GAAGCTGGGAAAGAACACAATAACACACAAGAACGCTACGAGAGAGATACCTTTACACAAAGCCTAGCGATAGTCTAGCAGATAACAATCAGAGGGTTCGTTTTGCCGCCTACTGGACAAGTTGAATCGGAGAAGCCTCGAAGGACGGACATTCCCTGTCGAAGGACAAAGGACCAGGATCAAGATCTGCGGTGAAGTCTCGGAGGACGAGCATTCCCTGTCGAAGGACCAAGGACCAAGGCTCACCCGGCGTGTAGGTGGTTGAACTCTCTCACAAACAGTTTCAAAAAGGTTCAAAATGGTTTAAAGGAAAATAAAGAGTTTTACTGCGCAAGTCGTCGAGGAATCGGATTCGCTGTCTTTAAGGACAAGGGCAGTACGAAGCTCCAGACACACACACTCAAGTCCAGTTACGTGGGGATCAGTCTGCTCCGGCTGCTGAAGTCATCCACGTATTCCATTTCCCAGTTGGGCCCATTGATTTGAGGTAAGGGTGGTGTCCCATTTCACGTTAACGATTGATATCTCGGGTGGTATGGTAGCAGTCGCCCCCGGGAATAGTTTGATTGACTACGTTTAGGATCGGACTGTCTTTGGTCTGTATATTTCCCTCATCTTTAGGGTGGTGCGCGTGTGAAAGTGCGTTCAAGGTTGGCCAGTACCTTGATCGCAGATTAGTTGACTGGTGTACGACCCACCGCCCGAGGGTCTAAGAATAAGTGTTTGTGTATAACTCTGCATTTGTATTGGCTATCTGAAAGTGGTGTGTAGTTCTGGTGTTCTAACTTGTGGTATTAACCCTGATCCTTCCACGTTTCGAGCTTCAGACATTTCGGAGAAGTGCGTTCAGACAAGTGAACGTTACGCTCAACGAACTCAAGGCTTTCAACCCCACAGACAACTCACCTGGTGATCGATCCAGGCTCCCCGAAGATAAACGACACCGATAGGGATTCACAAGGTGCCACGCCACCGTGGCCGCATTTTCCCCAGAACCTGCGTTCAAGGAAATCTGCGTTCAGGGTTTACCTTTCCAAAAAGGTTTGCTCGTAACTCACTCTCCTTTTCTGGGCTACCGCTATACACCTGGGCGTAAAAGGTTTTACGGACCTCGTCACACAATTCCGACAGATTTGTGACACCTTTTTTTTTTTGGGGGGGGGGGGGGGGGGGGGGGGCGATCTGCGTGGTCGAGCGGCGTTTCTGGCATCGCACTATGGGCTACTACGCGGGGAGAACATACGTGACCTCGAGCTGGCCAACATGTTCTCTCAGGCGCTGGATGGGGAAGGATTTCAGGCCTGTATCGCTCTGGTTATACTAATCCAACACTGAAAGACAAACACGTACCGGAAGCTCCAGCACGTCGGCTATATTCGCAACAAATATGTTCACTTATGTCCTGTCGGTGCAGTTGCGTTTTACCTATTCGAGTGCTTTCACATCGATTTGGAGTCCTTCCCGTTCTTTCGTACAGCTAAAGGTTGGTATGACGTCAAGTTTTTGCGTGGTCGCACTTGTACGAAGTCAATTTCGTACAACACCCACAAGAACAGTTACGAGAGTGTGTTCAATCATCTCGGATTAACATTTAATAAGAATACACACATCAATAGACAACAGGTGTTCGGCAGCTTGAACGCTGTCATGTGGATAGCTCCCAAACTCGTAGACATGGCAGATGGGGGCAAGATGCAATGGAGGGTGTATACTCAGCTCCGCTCGCACCGGAAGCTATACGCGCCTTGTCAGGGCACCCCGCACGTTCCGGGCTGTACTATCTGGAGCGAGCCTGTGTGGATCCTCCCCAAGATCGACAACGGAAAATTTGCCCTGATCTTGAAACATAGAAGAACAAAATATTAGATGGAGACTGGGAACAAAATTTGGCAGTACGTGGATTTGTCGAGTTAATGGAGTACTTACGGATCGTCGTGCTTGAGGACGCTGCGTTCTCTACGAGCTCCTGCTGTAAAAGTCCCATTTACATAAGTAGGTAGACGCTACATAGATTCATACACAAAACTAGGTGCAGTCACACGGCTAGCGTGTGACCTGCTGTCGTATTCTGATTCGTTGAATGTGGGGAGCCAGACCTATTTCATCCAATCAGGTACAGACTTAGATTTGAGTGGTTTACAAGGGTAAGGGGGCCTCCGCCCCATACATAAAAAGAGTTAGACGATCGACCACATCATAGTGACCAGCAGATATCGCGCGTGCCAATGCCTCTTTCCTTCCGTCAGGGGCTCTTTCCTCATAGCCACAGGAGTCTCGTTCGGCGTTGTCATCCAAGGACTCGATACTGAGATCCACAATGCTGAGATGTCCATTGGCTGCGGCCTCTTCTAGGATGCGCCACTCTTCCGTGTGCTCTTCGTTGTCGAACTCCAGCTCTTCCAGTAAATCTCGCACCACATTGAAGTCGCCCTTTTCAGCGGCTAGAGCCCCCTCAAATATAATATCGTCCGTAGGCCCGCGACTCAGCACCGGCTGTCTCGAGTTCGTATCGCCTCCTCCGCAGCTTCATCGCGCGTCATTAGCAGGCAATCGATCCGCTCCATCACGTGTGGTAAGGCCACGATCTCACGAGGAAGTCGGACATATTTAAGGCGCTTGTATTCCAGGCTTGGCTCCGTAGTACGAGCGCGCTTCGAGTCACGGGTGGGGGAGACCGCGTGAACCCGCTTCGACGCACTGTACTTTTGGAGAAAAATCATATGTTTAACTATTTCATGAAACCTCTTTGTTATGATTTGCAACATAATACCTTTGTGTTAGCATATATGTTGTACAGATGTCGGAAGTTTCTTCTTGATAGACCCACTAGGATGACAGCACGCAAGGAGGGCTTACGAATGCTAAAGTTGGTTCCGCCTCGCCAGTATGATGGCGATGGAACCATATCCATTTGCGTGTGCTCTTGCTACAACGAATACTACGAAACTATCGAGAATTTGCTTCTGATCGAGAAGAAGATGCATTACAGTAACGCTGCAGGCACAGTATAGTGCGTGCGTTACTTGATCACATTACTTTTTCCTCATAACAACCTTTACTAGAGCTGTAGTCATTGGGACGTCGGTCTTGTACTCGTACTTTTACGATCGCTTCAGGCGCGAGCACCCAGACATCTACAACATCGTTCGAGTGCAATGAAGCAAATAAAAGGCACTTTGCCAGAATGGGGAGGATCTCAAGTACGCGCCTGTTGCAGACAAAGGATTTTACTGGAAGCGGACAAGTTGAAGAAAGAGATATGTGGTGGGGCTCTGATAAAGAAGTATTGGCCGACGGTGGTGTTCACTAGCTTCGTTCCAATGTAATGGTGTTCTCTGCATGCCAAGATGGACCTGTTAGAAACAGCGCTTGTGGTCAACCTCAAGATCAGCGACGATGAACTTACTGTACAAGACGCTACGACATATTTGGAGGAAATGCTCGTCTGTTTGTGCCGAGATCGACAACGCTATCAAGTGTACTGTTGAATGGGTCAGGAGTCCCGGTGACGTGTGCTGCGTCCTCACGGCTGGAGAAAATAATCCCACACGTAAATATCTCCTGGACGAAGATAAATCTGGCAAGCTTACCTTTGCATTGTCGTTTGTCGCTCCGTTTCTGACGGATCAAATGATGGCTTGCGGCGATTCTGGCTCCACTTTCAACCCTAGATTGATGCCCATGACATAATTGCTGTGGGGTGAAACCATCCGTGGAAGTTGCTACATACACCATGCCCAGTTGGCCTGATCAATCGCAGCCGATGGTCATGGAAATGTAGAGCCCGACGATGCCGACTTACCCTCGACGATGCCCCGTGGTGGTTCCTGTCACATATCAGCAGAGCCTAGAGATCTAAATGAACACAACATACCTCACCTTGAAAATAAAATGATTCCTTTCACAAATCCGAGTCACGGATGCTGGCATCAATTGATTCATTTAACCTGAAGAATTCGACGACGTCGATTTATCTTCGACGATGCTCCACGGTGATCCATATCACATGGATGCTGGCCTCAACTGATTCATTTTACCTGAAGAAGGTTCCAGCGCCACCGAGCGGATTAATTGCGGTACCAGACGCCATTACCTTTTCAAATGAACGTGACTACGGTGTTTCCTGTGGATGCGTTTCGGGCAGGGATGGTAAACTTTCTTTTATTGATTTTTCTTATATATTCTTTTATTGAAAAAGAAGATTGGTGCCAGAGGCCGATTTTTTCCTTTTTTCTTATATTGTAGCCAATTTTCAAGCTGTTAGTTGATACGATGGGAAAGGTCCAAAAACAGGCTAGAAAGGAGCAGTAAGTACGGTATAATACTTCGAAGTAGTTCATTTGTTGTCTATCCACGGAATTTTGAAGTCATTGGTCACTCCAACAAAGTGACGACTACATCCTTGTCATCCCTTCATGTCCAATATATTCAACAAAATGCCTGCTATATTTTCAGGTATGCTGCCGACTCTGTCTGCGTCGTATATCTATATCCAAAGTGAAGGCAACAGTGTTAGTGTAGCAACGTCAACTTCAACGGCGAAGCTAGTAGACAAAGTGGTAGAGGCGTGGGTTAGGTACCACTGCCGCATTTTGCACTTCACTTTTGATAAATCTGAGGTTAAAACTGCGTTACTTTAGTGGACAAAACGCATGTTTTAGCGATTAAAAATTGCGGCTGACACGCACCCACAGACTTCCAGCCCAGCGCCGCCGACGTCACTGGTGCTAGCGGAATACGACCCACCTTCGCATGAACGAACGCTGCGACGTCGTCACGACTGCAATGGCCCGACAAGACAGCAAAGCTCGATTTGGACTCGAAACCCCTGGCCGTGGCTGGCTAATTATTGCCTGCTGCGAAAACAGCTTAACTACCATAGCCCAGAGGAAGGTGCGTACGCGTACTCATCTCTCCACTGATTAAAGCTCGGCACTCGCCTGAGTTATCGTTGCACGGGGAAGAACGCGGCTCTCAATGACCTTGAGACCTCTGTCGTAATGGCTCCGAGTAAAATCCACCCCAATGCAGCACGGAGCGGCCCAAGGAGCGTCTTGGTAGACGGCGGCGGAGCGCCCCTGGCCATCGGCCTCAACACAGGGGGTCCTTCTTTAGAGGTGATTCCTCGACGAAGGCCTGACCGAGTCTTGATCCAAGTCTACCAGCGAGTCTACTACGGCGTCACGCGCCCAGTTGTCCGGTCCTACAAGCGCCTTCCCTGGGTCACAAGGAGAACGATCAGCATCGGCGTGCAGCTCTACATGGTGCTCTACATCTTTCTTACGGTGCCGCTCCGAGTCGCTTTCTACTATGATACACGGTCACATTCCGAGACACATGAGTGGACGCAAGAACTTACGGTCTTCGTGGCGCTCGACTGCATCGCGGATTTCATCGGGGTGACACAGTTCGCGAGGTTTTACGATCTGTGGAGGACGGTGTTCTACGAGCTCTCGACGTTCGCGAGTCTGCGCTCCACCAAAGACCGGACCAGGACCAGCGACACGGACCGCGTCTCGGCGTCCAAAATGGTCGTACGGCGCCTCTCGTCCGCCAATAATTTCCAGCTCGGGCGCGTGAATTGGACGATTTCATCGATTAAACCGCTATCGGCAATGCCAGGCGACAAGGGCAGTCGCTCCAGCTCTCAACATCACTACAGCAACGCAGAGCTGGTGCTGGAAGTTATCGCGCTACTGCCGGTTGAAGTGATCCCCGTGGTTTTAGGCTCCTTCAACACGCTCCACCTGGTTCGAATTACCAAGTTGTGCCGACTGTATCGCTTACGGAGCTGCCTTACACGCCTCGCGAAGCTGTATTCAGACCGCGACTTGGTCCAGTACCTGTCTTCTGCTGGTATTGACAGTCTCGTGCGGACTATCGCCTTGTGCGCAGGGCTGTGTCATTGGGTAGCCTGCGGGTATATGCTGATAGCACACGTGCAGTGCGGCACTGACCTGGCAGAATGCGACGCGAACATTGAATCAAGCTGGGTGGTGCGCGACCGTCTTCACGGCGCTTCGGTAGGACGGAAGTACGCGCGCACGCTGTATTGGGCGTCCAGAACTCTGGTTTTACTGGGATACGACGACGTGACCCCAGTCTCGAACGCGGAAACACTCTACGTTGTCATCGTGACGATCATGGGCGCGTTGTTTGGCACGTCAATGCTGGCGAATTTCCTGTTCCTCTTTAGATTCCGCAACGCTCGATACGCAGCGTACGCCCATCACGTCGACAACGCGCGCGAGTACATGCGACTGCAAAACATCCCGCGCTCGGTACGGCAACAAGTGACTGCGTATTTCAACTACGCGTGGAGTACGCACCACTGTCTGGACAGCGAGGAGGCTCTGCATCTTCTGCCTCAGCACTTGCAGTCCAAGGTCATCGCTACTCTGCGAGCGAATCGCACTGCGCAGGTTTGTTTCTTGATGAAAGAAAGCGTGGAGTTCATCAACGAGCTCGCTCTCGCTCTGGCGCGGCGAATTTATTCACCCGGGGACCAGATTATCGAGCCGAAAGTCAACGCGCAGATGTTTTTCGTCATTCGAGGCCAAGTGATCCTGGCAAGTCTCGGTGGTGGCAAGCCAAATGAGTGCAAGACGGGGGACCACTTTGCCGAAATGTGTTTACTCTTCCCTGAAGTCTACCTGCAGAGAGCGTTTGCAAAAACTTTCTGCGAATTGTATGTTCTGACGAAGGCCAAGTTCGACGAGGCGTTATCCGAATATCACCGAGGAACGGAACATGCAACTCGGTTGCGCATGGCTGAATCTCTCGAGAAATACCAGTTGCAACTTCGGAAGACGAAAAAAATCCTCGGATTACAAGACGGGTATGAAAATCTGAGCGGGAGGAGCTCGCTCGGCAGATTTTCCACTGGCAGACTCTCTGCGGTCAAGAGTAGGAGCTCTCAGGGCAAGAGCTCGACAGGGAAGAGTTTAACTTCTATTGGGAGAGGTTCACCGGGGCATGGCCCCATGCCTGTCGGAGCGCAATGGAAGCAACGCACGCATTGGAGACTTCCTGGCTCACCCTTTCGCTTGGGATGGGATACGGTCCGTCTAATGGCTATCGTGTATGTTGCCTTTGAAGTTCCGTACTTTGCCGTGTTCATTTCCATGACCGAAGGACGGCACATGTTCGTCGTGGACACTGGGATGGATCTACGATACGTCGTGACGATGCTCGTGGAGTTTTTTTTCACTTTCGACCTTATCCTCCGCACGAGATTTTTCGCGTTCATGGACCACACTGTTATGCTGTCCATCGTTCGGTCGGATCTGATCTTCGCAGCGTACAAATCCAACGGATTTTATCTCGATCTGCTCGCTTGGCTCCCTGTGGGCGATATTTTGGATTCTATTACGACCGGTTCTCTACAAGTTCACTCGTCAATTTTCCGACTTCTTCGTTTGCTGCGACTGCGATTGTTGCCGGGTTTACTACACGAACTCAGCGATTTGTACGGTGCGAGCTCAAAGTTTCGTATCGTCTTAACTTTAGTTTTGGGCGTCACGCTCATGCTGCATATTGTCGGCTGTGTATGGTTCGAGATGGCCCTCTTCCCACCCGACAGCCAATCCGACCATGGAGATAGCGCCGTGTTCATAGCGGAGCTAACGCGCTCCGACTGTCTCCACCAGGCAACGCTGTTCTACAATTGCTCGTGGGTCAAATTTGACTGCTACGGACACCTCGGGCTAGAGTTTCCGCAAGAAAACCCAGACTCTATGTACCAAGCCCCGTTTGCCTATTTACGATCTATATACTGGGCGATGGTGACCCTGACGGCAGTGGGGTATGGAGATATCGTAGCTTACTCGACCGCTGAGAGTTATTTCGCCGCGTTTTGGGTATTCCTCGGCGGAATCATCAATTTTGGGGTCATGGGGGCCATGTCGAGCACCATTTCGAATTTAACAGCGACGCACCACCATCACATGGAGAAACTGAATCTGGTCAACAGCATCATGGAGCGGGTTAATATTTCCAAGCGACTAAGTGCAGAAGTTCGACGGTTTTACCACCAGCAGTTCGTTGGCCACAAACAAGCGTATGAGTCGCAGTTGCTGTCGCACTTGCCCGATCAATTGTGCTACCAGATCTCGTCGCTGTTACATTCGAGGGCTGTGAAGAAAATCCCTCTTTTTGACTCAGCTAGTATTGAGTTCATACGAGAAGTCACGGGCAAATTCCGGCACCGAAGCTACCAGAATGGGGAGACGATCTGCCTGGAGGGGGATATTTGCCGTGAATTCTTTGTATTTTTGAATGGCAGCCGAGCGAACCTCTTCTTCCGATCCAAAAAAGTGCCCATTCGTGCGCTTCACGCGGGGAATTGCTACGGCGTAAACGAATTCTTGCTCAAAAGGGCTCACGCTGCAACAATCATAGCAGCGTCTCACGTCCACGCGTCCGTGATGTCGCGGGAGCAGTTTGACTGCGTGCAGCGCAAGTTTGCAGATGACCTTCGGGATATGAGAGAGGAGGCGCACACTCATTGGACCGAAGAGAGGGCGGTCATGAAGAGCGTTATGGGAAACCTCGCTAGGATCAAGTTGCAGCCGCACCTGCTTCAGACTCCGAGTTTATTTTACCAACGAGATAACGTTTTTATCACGAGTGGCGATGAAGACGCTGGACACGGGCTGTACTCAATATCTGACACCTTTACGACAGTGTGGAACGCCCTCGTTACGTTTTGGAGCCTGTACAACGCTGTATTTGTGATTTTTCGCATTTGCTTCCATTCGCACCTTCACTTTTCGAGTGCGTCAGTGTGGATTGCTGATCTCAGCTGCGATGTGTGCTTCGCAGTGGACATTTACTTGCGGTTGTTCTATTTCGACCTGGCCGAAGTGACGGTGAAAAATCTCATTGAACGAAAGCTGATAAACAAGCAGTACCTGCGTAGCCCGACATTTAAATGGGATCTCGTTGCGTCGCTGCCGATTTATACCCCATTTTCCAGCGGCTCCTTGATCGCCAGCTTGTGTCGCCTACCACGGCTCGTTCGATGTGTCAAGTTATGGTCATATCTGGACGATGTAATCGTCCAAATTCAGCAGCACTTTGCTGCCCGCAACGTGTCAGCGTACTTGAGTCCTGTTAAGTTGCTCATTGTTCTCGTGCTTGTGGCTCATTACGTGGGTTGCATTTTCTTCTTGATCTCGGAGCGCGAGTGCGAGTACCTTGAACGCTGCTGGATGGCGCATGATCCCGTGCTGCACAATAACCACTCGGTGCCTATCCTCTACGCTAAGACGTTCTACTGGGCTATCACGACGCTACTGCTGGTGGGGTCTCGTGAGATCATCCCGAGGGGAATGGCAGGCACGCTCTGGACGGGGTTTACGTGCTTGTGCTGCACTTTCGTCATCGGACACATCGTCGGCGAGATTTCGGAACTGATTCTCGAGCTGGGGAAGGAGACAAAGCAGTACAAGAACCGAATCGCGAGCTTCGAGAACTTCGCGAATGAGCACGAGCTGTCGCCGGGGCTACGCAAGCGCGTTGTCTACTATTTCCGAGTCGAGTTCGAGCAGACCAAAGGTACCAACATGTGCAAGACGATGCAGGATTTGTCGGCCAATCTCCGACTAAAGTTCATGCTGGAGAAATACGGCTACTCGATCGAGAAACTCCCGATTAGTAGTTTTCTCACGGCGACACAGATCAACAATCTGGCATTGCGGCTCCAGTCTGAGCTCTTCATCCCGGGCGATACTATCCTAGTTGAGGGAACCTTTGGAAGCCGATTATGCACTTTACGCAAAGGCCTAGCTGCCGCGTACTGGACAAAGTCTGTTGCGAGTGTGGCTGTGCTTATGGAAAACTCTTTCTTTGGTGAGATCGCCTTCTTCCTCCCGAACCAACGACGACTCGCTACCGTGCGTGCTACGACATCGTGTGAGGTCCTGTATATCACCAAGCAAGACTGGCAGGAGCTCTGGATTCCGAGCGACGATCCGTCGGACCTCAACGTCCAGAAGCACGCGCAGTTCGCCATCCTCGGGTGGGTAAATTCACGTCTTCAGCGGTACCAACGCGGGTGTCTGCGCACAGCTAGTAGAGCTAAGGTGGTCGATACACGCCGACCCAGCATCAAACCCAGTGTGAAGCCTTCCAGCAGAAGACCGTCCAGATTTTTTGCCAAGGATAAAGAATCATCCATACCACCTGATCGTAGACCAAGCAGCGACGGGCACATTTTACTTTGGGCGCCGACTCCCCCACGGAAATTATCCAAAGTGGAAATCTGCCGGATGTTTGTGTCTCCAACGGTCCAATTGCTCGAGAAAAAGGCTGAATATCTCCTCTCGAAAAGCACCGCGTGTTCTGAGTCCCTTTCCGATCGCGAGTCATCAACAAGACGCGACTCGAAGCAACGTGCTCCGCATCATCTCGAAAGCTCAAAAACCTACAATCCATTCTGCTGCTGTTTTAATGGGAAAGTTTACGACTCTTCAGCGGATACTCGTGCGAGCAAGACGGACGATTTACGCCAGCGTCAGTATATCGTGGATCTCAACCCCATCAACGAGTACATTAACGCGAATCTGGGCGCGGATAATATCCGAGAACTGGAGACGGAGAGTTGGGCGCGCTTTCGGTTACTAGCGGCGCTGCAGCACGTCGTGAGTTCTCTTCTTAGCGATTTGATCCCCTCGGACGCCGGTGTGGAGTCCCAATCGCCGCTAATTCATATCCCTGTGAAGCCCAAAAAGCCCAAGCAACTACGACCTTTTCGCTTCGATGAACGCGCCAAGCGCAAGTGGAGCGCAGCGATCATGCAAATGGTGTCGTCTGTGAGTCGCCGAAAGACGATTGGGCCCGAGGCCGCGATAGCTGAAGCCGAGGTGGCGATGCCGCGGGCGAGTACCAAGCTCGCTCCGGTTCGTAGACGCAGTTTTCCCGCTATTCTGCCTCAAGTGCACGACCAGAAAGTTTTATTCCCGTCATCCAAAGAAGCCCCAGTCAAGGGCGGAGGCAAGCGGCAGATGCTGATCCGAAGTCGCTCTCTTACGCTCTTTGGCGACGCCTTCTTCCGAGACAGAGAGCACTACGAGGGCTACTACCGTATAGCCAACGACGACCGCAAAGGAGGCGCGGGAATCGACTTTGAAATCTTACAGCGCTGCCAACGCCCGCAGTACGCGACGCAACTGCACTGGTACAACCGCTATCGACGCTGGAAGAGCAAATTGCAGAGCGAGACTATACCAGCACTTAAAAGTTTTTTTACGGGAGGAAGTTTTAACCAGAAGACGACCCAGGTGTCTCCATTGAGCGAAGAGATGAGACTCGCCAGCCACCATCGACCGGGGAATTTGCGCTCCGAGGTGGTGGACACCGCTCAGCTCCAAATCCCCAACCAGCAGGTGCTCCGAGCCGCCATCACCGACTTCCAGTCGAAACAGTTCATCAGGCGCGTCAAGCAGCTCGGGAAAGCCTGGGACCTTGTCATCGTCTTCGTATCCGTGTACCATTTGGTCGTCACGCCTTTCAAGATGTGCTTCGCGCACGAGGTATCCGTCATATCTGACGCCGTGCTACGCAGTTGGTCGGGGCTTGAGATTTTCCTGGATGTGCTCTGTCTAGTCGATCTCGTCTACAAAATGCTCCACGCCTTACCCAAGCACCAACCACTTGCCATTGATCCGACGGGCAAGGCGAAGGAGAGTATCCGACACCTCCTCGCCAACAGCTTCACCTCCGAATTCCGCTTTGATCTCGTCGCGATGCTCCCACTGGAGCTTCTGCTGGTTAGTACGAGGGTGCGGTTGCCGACTTCTGCGATCCATCTCGGCGTGGAGGCCACCAATGCGTCCTGGTGGACTACGCGCTGGGTCTTGAGGCTGAACCGCATGCTGCTTGTCCGTCGAATCCAGCCCATGTCAGAAGAGTTGATTCAGTTTGCGATCCACGATCTCAAGCTGCCGGTGAGTGAAGCACTGCTCTATTTCCTCCGCTCGGTGGCTGCGTACATCGCGATGGGACACCTCCTGGCGTGTATCTGGTTCATCACGAGCGAGGTGGCTCTATGGCAGTACGCGGTGTCGTGGCTGTCGACTCCAGGGATGTTAGCCTTCAGAATGGAAGAGACAATGGCGACAGACGTGATTGAAGCACATCGCTCGCTCTCAGAGGTAGCGTCCGTCGCTTTCTCGCTTGATTCCATCTCGCTTGGGCGCCAGTATCTCCGGTCGCTACTCTTCTCGTTGGAGTGCATCTCGACGCTCTTCTATGGAGATATTCTCTCGATGAACCCATTGGAACTCCTGGTCGAGATCGCCATCACCTTTTGGAGCATCTACATCTACGGCGCACTGATCGGAGCGCAGGGGGAGCGGATCGACGCTCAAGCGCGACAGGAAGCAGCGTTCGAGCAGAACCTCGCGGAGTTGCAGCACTTTCTGAACGAGAACGATGTGCCAAAAGGACTCAAACGCCAGGTGAAGGCCTACTACGCGCGAATGTGGAAACGCCACCAGGGGAAGCCCGAGTTTGCTTCGGTTGCGGACGTCTCGAGGGCGCTCTACGAAGACGTCGTGTTCGCCACCCAGCGGGACTTTGCCGCCCAAGTGCGCGTGTTCCGCGCTCTCGACGAGAACTTTTTACGCGGGCTATTGGTGTGCTTGGAGTACGTCGTCTGCTCTGAAGGCGAGGAGGTTGTGACGAAAGGGGACATGGATCGCAGCATGTATTTCATCGCTCAGGGGCGGATCTTGGTAAGGATGGATTCCGGAGAGGAAGCGCGCGAGAGAGGCGAGTACTTTGGCGAGTTTGCGCTGCTGTACGGGATTTCCCGTCTGGAGACGTGCATCGCGATCAGTGTCGCGGAGTTGTACCGACTGGACCATGAACCGTACGAACGCTTGCTGCAGGACTTCCCGGGCTATCGGCGCCGCAACAAGCAGTCGTGGACAACTCCCATCCCCCAAAACCACTCGATGCTACGAGCGAGCAACTACGCGGGCAAGCGGAAACACACGGCGACGACCATTATTGGGGCGGCCCCCATCCTGGCGCGTAGAGTGAGTGTGCGGAATATTGATGCAGTCACGACCGTAAACATCGAGAAAGAAGTGCCGCATACGTTCGTGTACAAGTCAACGATGGAGATGATGGCTCAATTGCACACGATGCACCCGGAGGAGGCCAAGCAGTTGATTCTCAAAGTTCGAGCAGGATCGAGGAAGAGGCTCAGTAGGGAGATCGCCCAGGAGCAGCTAGAGGACGGTGACGAGGACGAAGGCATGGAGTAGAGGTTGGCGGTCGGTACCGTTAAATTAATGGACAGCTCTTGCAACTTGCCAGGCGGACTCGCATGTCATATGAGTTTGTTTGTTAGGTACTTAGGGCTGAGGATCTCAAGCATGCGAAGTGAAAGAAATACCGGACGCAGCTGTGAATCGAGATCTGAACTCAGACGCACCGCCATTGATGCTGACATCGCAACACAAAACGCACCGGTACCAATAAATAGTAATGAAGTCGCGTTGATGACCTGGTATGCGGTGATACGATAGATAGCGGCTGTATCGATAGCGTTCGAATGATGTTTGGCTTTATTTAATGGCTACCAGAAAGAAAGAAATGCTGCTAGTTGCTGGAGAGCTACAAGGGCCAGTGTCTTGAATCAGAACGCAGCTAAAGCTGACAGCCCTGTGCTGACTGAGCAAAGAATTGGACGCCAAAGAAGCCGATCCCGTTGTCGCTGTTGTCGGAGCTGTAGTTGTAGCGGAAGGCGTGTCAGCAGTAGCACTCGTGGACCCAGCAGCACTCGTTGATCCACTCGCACTGACGTTCGTGGCAGGAGGCGTGTAGATGGTACCCGTGGACCCACTCGTATCTCCTCCACTCGTGTCGATGTTGACTAAATAGTATTTTGAGTAACTATCGTCGTCGACTGGAACGCAGTCATCAGTGTTGAAGCTTGTTGCGGGCTGCTGGAATTCTGGCGTATCGGAAGTATTGCATCCAGGGTAAATTGTCACCATTCCACCCTCATCGACTGTTGTGAGCTGAGTGTAAGCGGCAGATACGCGTGAGTCATCCCGCCCACCTCCAAGCAGTTGGCGTCGTCGTACGACTCGATAACCACGTATGGGTCTTTCTCTCCAAAGTACTCGGCCTCATTAGGGACGTAGAAGGTCTTCCTTGAATCATACGAGTCACAAACAGCCTCGACTTCGGTGTTTGAATTTTCACAGGACGGGTACAGGCGGACGAATACTGGAATGCCAGTACACTCCAGGTTATCGTAGAATGCATCGATCCCAGAAGTCGTCGTAGCAATGCCAGTACTGGTCCGTGAGGCTCCCTGGAGAATGCCAGCAGTGCTGATAGCGAGAGTGGTCTTCATTTTGGAGATGCTCGACTGTGGCGCTTGAAATCAGCAAGTGGTTTTGCTTTACGGGATTTCCAAGAATGAGTTCTCGGTCCGTTAAATATTGACAAGACCCCGCGAATACCACTATCTAGTGTCCTGCCAATAGAATCCTGTTAACCATTTTTGTTTGAGTACCGTTGAATCTTGGCCGTAGCGGATTCTGCAGTAGGTGCAAGTTTTTCAATTGTGTCGGTTGTCGTCGCACACAGTCCCATCCAAATTTACCAGCAAAACCGCTGGATTGCGTCTCGCAGTCTACAAATACCCTATAAATGCTGTTGCAAAAAGGTTAACACCTCATGTGGGATAGCTCCAGTGCCATATTTACTTCAGAGCAAAGGAAACGCTTGCACTTGCCCGACGTGCGACGGCACCTCAGAACCCGAGGTAGATCTCGCACACAATTTGGACCTCGGCGGTGGAATGCTTTACTTCAAGTAAAACAATTATATAAAGAAGATAAATCAGGAAAATATTTCTTCCAGATGATCCACTGAGAAGTGTTTTATCTTCCCCAGAAGCTTGACCATATACCCTCCAGCCATTACTTTTTATGATATCAAAATATATTAGCCGATAATTAAATCTGGTTCTCTCTCTCTCTCTCTCTCTCTCTCTCTCTCTCTCTCTCTCTCTCTCTCTCTCTCTCTCTCTCTCTCTCTCTCTCTCTCTCTCTCTCTCTCTCGATCAAACTGCCACTACAACCGACAGCGCCGTGCTGACAAGTAAAAATGCAATCGAGCAAAGAACCGGAGCCGACGTGGCCGACGAAGTCGATCCTGTTGAGGTTGTCACCGGAGCTGAAGTCGTGGTGGAAGGCGTGCCCGCAGCGCTGGTTGAGGTCGACCCACTCACGTCCCCAGTTGCGCTCGCACTTGCTGTGGGCTTCAGCTGGCCGACCGAATAATATTTTGCGCTGGATTCGCCGTCAGCATCGACAATGCACTCGCCGGTGTCGAAGCTCGAAGCGGGTTGCTGGCGGTGTGGTGTGGCAGAAGTGTTGCAGCTATCGTAGATGGTCACGGTCCCGTCTTCATCAACTGTTGTGAGTTGGGCGTCGCCTTCGTTACTGAACATGTACTAGTGGCATTTCCCATCCGCCAGATACGCGTTCGAGCACCACCCCGGCGTCGTGCAGTAGGCGTCGTCGTAAGACTCGACGACAACGTACGGTTAGCCTCTCCGAGGTACTTGGCCCGGTTGGGGACGCAGAACATGGTCTTGCTTGCATCTTTCTCGTCATAGACGGCCTCGTCTTCGGTTCTCTCAGTGCCACAAGTAGCGAAGATGCGGACGAACACCGAGACGCCAGTGCAATTCGTGGCGGCCTTATCGTAGAAGGCGTCGATCTCGGCAGGTGTCGTTACGATGGCAGCATGGGTCGTTGAGACTTCCGCGAGGGTGCTGACAGTAGTGCCAAGAGCGTGGATGGTCTTCATTGTGCTTAGGTTGGTTTCTTCAAAAGGTGCTTGGCTGATAGGGTCGAAGTTGAAAAGTGATCTTGGTTGACGCGGGTTCTCACGGGACCTCCTTGTACTAGTCTTGGCCCCGATAACAGAATTAACCGCTCTACTGTATAATGTAGGCGGGTGTCACTTCCCGCCAAGTCCCATGCTATTATTGTATCCGTTGCATCCTCACGACACATTTGCATCCTCACTAGGGCACATTCCCATCCTGAAATTGACCAGTTGTGGACCTACAAATAGCAAGCAACTACCGTTGGAAACATATTTCCGGTTAAGTGGGCGTTTCTATCGACGCGCTTGTCTGCTTCATGTACACATAAGCCACTCATTCATATAGATAGTCCTCAACAACAGAACACGATATCTTCTGGCGGCTTGATATCATTAACATAAACGGAAGTCGGGATGAAAAAAAAACTCGTACTTATTACGAAATCATCCCAACATTCCTTCCTCAAGCTCAACAACGGCAACATGACGGCATTGCCTTTGCTTCTAAGCGTCTCTCGTGCTGTACCAGATGATATCCAGGCCATCCCACAGCTTCTATAGTGTATCAACACTTGCCTCCTCCCGCGCACTGTGGACGCTGCTGTCTACAACGAATTACCGGGAGTGTTGCGCAGGTTCGGAGCTGATCTCCCATGGAGTCCATGGGCCATGGACCTACCGCGCGATGGACGGCGCTGCCACCAGAGGGCGTCTCGATCTCGTCCAGGGTCTTGCTGCTAGCAGATCAGAGGGCTGCTCCGCGGAAGCGTTCGTCGGAGCCGCAGCCAACGGTCACTCGGCAGTACTCGAATGGCTAATAGGCCACTACCCAGAGCTCTACGACCCACCACGATGCTTCGTTGCAGCAGCTGAAAGCGGCCAAGCGGACATAGTGAACTTGACGAGACAACAGCGGTGGAATCCACACGTTCTCAGAGATGTCATAGGTCCTGCAGTGGAGGCCGCTGCAGCTAACGGGCGTGTTCACGTGCTGGAAGCTCTCAGACCGTGGCCACCTAATCAGACCAAAGCGTTCATGGCGGCAGCGGCGCACGGACATACGGACGTGATGGAGATGTTCAACTGCGTTGATTCGACTTCTCGTTTATCCTCCGCTGCGGTATTGCGGGACGTCACAGAGTGTGGTGATCCCGCTGCGATCGAGTGGCTGATTCAGCGCTATGACCCAAGCGAGCGTGCCATTGATCAAATGCTGCGCACTGCTGTCTGGGCGACTGTGGTGGAGCTGATACTTCGGTCGTGTGAGGTGGGTGAAGGTAGAGTTTTCAGCGCGTGTATGAAGAGGCGGGAAACAGCAGCTACGATGTCGTTGAGCTCTTGCTCGACGATGCCCTTCGCCCATACTTCAGCGACCCGAGCATTCGGTTCACCGTCGCTATGGCTGCTGGCTACGCGACTTCATGTGGCAACGTTGAAGGAGCAAAAATGGTGCTCAGTGAATGCGATGGAGCTGGTGCTGGCCACGCGCTCTGCATTGCGGTGGAGGCGAAGCGCATCGAGTTGGTCGAACTATGCGCTGGGAAAAGCGGCAGTTCGTATAAAAGTAAGGCTCTGGAGCAAGCAGCACAAGGCGAACAGATTGCCGTCTTGGATGCTTTGATGAACTACCTTGACGAAACATCAGTGTGGAGAGCGCTGGAGCAGCTTCCGTCCGATACGAATGTCGTCGTGTTGGAGGCGATTGTGAAGAATCGTGATCCTGAAATCTACCCGAACAATTTTGCGGCTGCTGCCGAGCGTGGATTGCTTGGATTGGTGAACTGCTTGCAGGGTGGAATGGACGCGAACAGCATCCGCTGGGCACTTCTGCTCGCTGCCGCGAATGACCATGCTGAGGTGGTGAGCGCCTTACTCCGTGACAGCGATCTGGAATCCATTGGGTGCGCATTGGAGGCTGCAGCGACAGAAGGTCACTCGAACGTTCTTCTTAGTGGGCATTGCGATCTACCAAGCGCTTGTGCCGCCTGGGCGTCTGCGGAAAAAGCTGGTCACGTGGATGTTGTGCGACTCCTTGACGAAGCCCTAGGGTCTCGGTCGTGGAAAAGTTGAATACGCAGGCCTGATGTCAACTATTTTAATACGTCTGATACTTCTGTCTACTACTTATATTTGCATGTCTTGAGTGCTTTTGGGTTGTGGGACACCAGCATCGAGGTAACGATCAATTTACTGCTGGTTGTGCTGCAACCAGAATCATTTTTTGCGATGCTGATATCCGACTCAACAGCGGACAATATTCATATAGCACGAATCATACTAATACTTGTAAAGCATATGGTATTATTTCGATCATTAATATTAATAACATTACTAGTATTGTGCTTTGCAGTTTTTTTGGCGACCATTTAAATATGACAAAGCCTGCTCCTAAATATGTGTGAAAGAAGATACACGACCTGCTAAAATTATGCATAAATCCACCTCATCATATATATATATCGACTTGGGAGGGCCTGTCAGCAGCCATGCATTGGCCCAGTACACCACTGTCCATGATCCCCAGTACATCCACCCTCTTATGCATAATTGCCGGGTGTGTAGGTGCTTGTGGATAAACACCGACAGAATTGCAGCTGCACAGCCACAATTGCACTTTCAAAAGTGCAATTGTGGCGCTTTTAGGGTAATTCTAGGCCTCCCCCCATTTATGCACCTTGATTTATCGTAAATCTAGCAGGTGGTCGCTATAAATACAGCAAATCTCGCCTCATATTGCCAAAATCATTGCAAATCACAATAGTTATCGTTGAACAACAATAGTATCATTGTTATGTATACTATATTATCAATGCAACCAAATACTAGTATGCACTACTATCGCATAGTTTTGATCCAGCGAGTCCGTCCCAGACAAAACCGATGGTTGCTCCGATTTATCTCGAGATCTATCTATGGTCTGCAACTATGCATCGATTCTGCTATAAAGCTTGCACTTAAATCGCCTCAAGAGGTTCGATCGTCAACAAATGTCCCTCAAAATCATGATCACGAACATAATCGCCACGAGAAGTTCGATCGTCAACAAGTGCCCCGTCCTTCCATGCTGGCCTGCTTGCCAAGCACAGCTTGGTTACAGCAACTCATCCGTTTGCTAAACGAGTTTATGCAATAGATCGACCTAGAGATATGTTGCAGCTTTATCGTAAGGGCTATGCCATGGGCACTAAAAAAAATCTCTGGCCGTGCGCCTTGCTACATCCACTACAAACCGTAATTTTTGCGCGCACGCAGTTGAATAAAACGACGCAGTGATGGTGAGGACAGGACCATTCGAGGGCCACCATCCAGAACAAGTTGTCGAAGTTTCTGAGCAAGGATAAGGTCGACACGATTATCAAGTACTACTAAATGTACTATTAAGTGTGACAGGCCACTGTCACACAGGCGCCACCGCGTGTGCGCGGTGGCCAATCAGAGCCCACTATAGGTTTAATGACTGTGACGGTCTCGAGTGCCGAGACCGTCTCGGCGCTTAATACCAGAGTTCAATTTGCCTACTACTTCCTCTGCTTGTGTAAGCACGTAACGGGCTGCAGTTAGCCCGTTACCGCTGGTAGCATTTCGCTAATCCGTCCAACGCCCAAGATCGTGATGAACATGAACGACACATCGATGCCTGACGCGTCCTGGACGACTGCCACTTCACTGGAGCACGCCAGCTTTCCTCACCTGTCGGCGATCGAGTGGGAGGCGCTACACCGCCTCGCAGCGGTGTCTGGTGACGCTGTGATCAAGACTCTGCTGACGGCGGGAACCGAGGAGCAACAACGCCTGGCCGCCCAGGAGTTCATGGCGCGTGAACTCGCTGACCTCCGTCAGCGAGTGTCGACTCCCACACAGACCAAGAACAAGTCCGACATCGTGAAACTCGATGTCTCCACGTACAGCGGTGAAGGCGAGGGCCGCCTTCACCTGAACCGCTGGTTCTGCGAGGTGGACATCGCGATCGAAGCTCGGCAGCTGTCTACCGAGCTCGCGCGCATGCGTTTTCTCCTGTCCAATCTGCCGGGGAAGGCGAAGGAGTGGGCGCTCGTGGCCGACGCTTCCTGCTTCCCGACCATGGCATCAATGAAGGCGGACTTGCGGCTCGCGTTCGAGCCGCCCCAAGCTGAAAGGGTTCAGCGCTCCGCCTTCTTGGCGTTGAAGCAAGGGCGCATGTCCATGCTCGAGTACATCCAGCGCGCACGACACCTTGTGTCGTGCATCACGACGCATCCCGTAGACATGGCGACCCAAGTCCACGTCTTCATCTCCGGCATGAGCGTTGGCTACCAGCGCTTCTACCTGACCCGGAAGACTCCACCGACACTCGAAGAAGCCTTCGCTGTTGCGCTCCGTGAAGACTACAGTGTGACGGCATCGCAGGCTTTCGATGTCTCTCGGGCTCCGGTGCCCGAGCCGGAGCCGATAGAGGTGGATGCGATTCAACGGTTCGGTGGACGTCGGGTGCCGACGTCATCAGCAAGGCCGCCAACGGCCTCGTCAACGCGCAGTCCCCGCCCGATGCGCTGCCACCGCTGTGGGAAACCTGGACATCGCGCGGCTGTTTGCCGCGCTCCGGCGCCGATGCAGGCGAACGTCACGGTCGCGAACGACGTCGCCGCTCCAAAAAACGGCGACAACCAGTAGGTGCGGGGCGCCCTACCTGTCGTGGAAGGAACGATGGTTCTCTGGTGACAGAACCTCCTCCTAGCCCTCCCGGGCTTCGTGCACATCTCTTTGCCACCACCTCCGGCAGTGACACGAGGCGGATTGTGCTCAGCCTCCACGTTGACGGCGCGACGCGCCCTCTTCGCGCGCTGCTGGACTCGGGCGCGACGAACAACTTCGTTCGCGCCGAGAGCTTGTCGGTGTTACCGGCGGACATGAACATTCGCGACGGGCCTGGCGACATGATCGTGAAGTACGCTGATGGGAAGCCGCGGCGCTCGGCGACCTTCGCGTACGAGTTCGAAGGGTTCCGCAGTTCCGAGGAGTTCTTGGTGATCGAGCTGAGCGGGTCGTTCGACTGTGTCTTCGGCATCCCGTGGCTCGCCCGCCACCAGCCTGAGATCAACTGGCTGACTGGCACAGTCCGCCCTCGAGACATTGATGTGAATGCAGTATTGGCGTTCCTGTGCGGAACGCCTAACCAGTGGCCGCATGTTGCCGTCATGGACCCCGACTCCATGACCCATGCTGCGCACAAAGCGAGCGATGGCCCTTCGTGTGCGGTGTGCGAACTCGCAACCTGCGCCGGTCCTGAGCAGGAGCCTCAGGACGTGTCTGACGTGGTCGAGCATGCCCGATGAGCAGCGGTTCTCGGAAGCATACAATGACGTGGTCGAGCCACGTCAGGACGAGTGGCGGCTCTCCAACGTTGAAGAGCGAGAAGATGTGGTTGAGCGTGGCCTCCCACACGCGGTCGAGCATGGGTTCCCGCGTGTGGTCGAGCGGGAGCTCCCTGATGAAGTCGACGCGGTCGTGTCCAATGACCCGCGCCCAGGCGCCGACGTTGTGTCCCGGCGCCCCCGTTCAGCGGCCGTGATCGAGCATGGGCTCCCATCGGCAGCTTCGCACAACACTCCACGTACGGTTCGACGTCGCAGACGTCGCAACCCGCGCCGTCGTCGTACGCCCTCGGCGGACTCGGTTGAGGCTGAGGCTGAAGTGATCTCAGTCCTGGTGGGGGACGACGCGGAGGCGGCTCCGCGTGTACGCGACGTCGAAGTCGCACGTCCACCGTGCGACGCCGCCGAGGTCACTGGGCTGCCTGTGCTCTCGTGGAAACACTTCCTCCGTGACCTGAAGAAGGGCGAGATCGAGCATGTGTGCATGATCGTCGCCGAGGACACCGAGTCAATTGCGGCCGTCGCAACCAGTGCGTCGGACCCAGCTTCCGACGCCAGGAAGCGCCGAAAAGGAGCCGAGCCGAAGAACGCCCATCAAGCCCGCTACGCAGCTCAGTCATTGCCGGCGCTCGAAGCGGCCGGCAACCCAGTCGCTCCGCTCGTGCGCGAGTTCATGGAGATTTTCCCGGACAAGGTTCCAGCCGTTCTTCCAGGTTCGGCACAAGATTGACCTCGTGTTCGGTGCGAAGTACTGCGTGACGCGGCAGTGGCCGCTTCCTCGCGACCAAGTCGAAGCCATTGACGCCTTCATCGAGAGTCGTCGGCAATCCGGCCACGTTCGCGAGAATCTCTCGTCGCACTCCAGACCGACGTTCTGCGTGAAGAAAGCAACCGGCGGCTGGAGAATCGCCCACGCCTTCAACAAGCTCAACGAGGCCATCATACCGGCGCAAACGCCGATCCCGAGGAAGGACATGGTGCTGGACGCCATGTCTGGCAGCACGAAGTACAGTGCCATTGATCTGATGGGTGGCTTGTATCAGATCCTGATGCACGAAGACGATGTGCCGCTGACAGCGGTCAGCACGCCCAGCGGGATGTTGTGGGAATGGCTCGTGATGCCGCAGGGGCTCAAGAACGCCCCCGCCACCTTCAACCAGATGGTGTCCAACTTGCTTCGGCCGTACCGAGACCTCGCGCCCAGCTACTTCGACGACATCTTCATTCACAGTCGTGCCGAGGACGGCATGACGGACGTTGAGGTCCACCTACAACACCTGCGCAAGGTGTTCGAGGTGATGAAGAAGAACAAGCTGTACGCCAACTTGAAGAAGTGCATCTTCTGCGCTCCCGAGATCCCTGTGCTCGGGAGCTACGTCAGCAAGGACGGTGTCCGCGCCGACCCCGAGAAGATCGCGGCCATCTGCGCGTGGCTGACGCCGCAGGACCAGAAGCAGATCCGGCAGTGGCAGTGGCTCGCCACGTATCTTCACCATTACTCGAAGAACTTCGCTTCGACGAACCGTCCGCTATCTCAACTACTCAAGGCAGACGCCACGTGGACGTGGCGACCCGAGCACCAAGCTGCCTTCGACGAGGTGAAGTCGAGCTTGTCCATCGCGCCCGTGCTCATACTTCCAGACCACTCGAAGCCCTTCCATGTCGTGTGCGACGCGAGCGACTTCGCGATCGGATGTGCCTTGATGCAGTTCGATGACGAAGGACGCGAGCGGGTCATCAGCTACCAGTCGCGTCAGCTGAAGCCGGCGGAACGGAATTATCCGGTCCATGATAAGGAGCTGCTGACCATGCGCTACGCCATCATCAAATTCCGCGTGTATCTCCTCGGCGAGTAGACCTTCGCGATCTACACCGATCACGCCTCGTTGAGGACAACGACGAAGAGCCCCCACTTGTCCCAGCGCATGGCGCGCTGGTTGTCCCTGTTCTCCGAGTACAACTTCGTCGTGCACTACAAGCCGGGTAAGACCAACATCCTTGCCGACGCGTTATCGCGTCGGCCTGACTACGTGCAGTCAGGTCGCCACGCAGTTGACGACGAGGACGACGACGAGTGCGCCGTATGCACTGCCGAAGCCGTCGCTGCTGTTGAAGTTGCAGTGACCAGTCCACTCCGTGACTTGATCGTGGACGCGTACAAGGAGGAAGCGTCCTGCTCGGAGCTGATCCAGCTCCTGCGAGAACCCGATGCGCAAGCTGTCTCCACGCAACCGCTCCCGCGTCGACCGCTACTCGCTGGACGGCGAGTTGCTCACGTACCGCGTCGACTGCGAAGACCCCCGCGCATCGTCGTTCCTCTGGACGACGATTTCCGAGCTCGGCTGATCCACGAGTTCCATGACACGCCGAGCGGCGGCCACCTCGGACGCGAGAAGACGTTCGCGTCGATGTCCAGAGACTTCTACTGGCCGCATATGTACAAGTGGGTCCGGAAATGGGTACTCCTGCGAAGCGTGCCAACGCGTGAAGCCGAATCCGTCCAAGCAGGCTCCGCTTCGACCTCTCCCAGTCGCCACAGACGCATGGGCGTCTGTCAGCATGGACTTCGTCTTCGGGCTGCCCCGAGACGCTCAAGGGCGCACTGGCGTGCTTATCTTCGTTGATCGGTTCAGCAAGATGCTCCATCTTGCTCCTGTTGCTGCCAGCATCACAGCGAAGCAAACCGCCGCGATCTTCGTGGACGAAGTGTACCGCCACCACGGGCTTCCGTCCTCCATCGTATCGGATCGCGACCCTCGCTTTACGTCTGCTTTCTGACGAGAGCTTTTCCAATTGCTGCGGACGCGGTTGTGCATGTCCACCGCGTCGCATCCGGAGACAGACGGCCAAACTGAGCGCGCCAACCGTGATGTTGAAGACATACTACGCAGCTTCGCTACGACGTTCAAGTCGTGGAGCACCTTCCTGCCCCTGGTCGAATTCGCCCTCAACAACGCTGTCCACGCATCGACCGGGCTGTCCCCGTTCTTGGTCAACTTCGGTCGCCATCCTCGCGTTCCAGCGCTCGTTGGTGTGGAGCGCTCTGAGGCTCCGGCTGGTCGCGCTGCTGAAGACGCGGGCGATCCCGCGTCACTCGTTCCGGATGAAGACGTTGCTGTAGACCCCGACCCAGGCCAAGCTGATCGTCGTGGCCCCGTCCCCGACGCTGTCTCCTCGTTGTTACATGGCGTCACCACTCGTCGAGGCTCTAACGCTCCAGCAGTCGGAGTTCGCACACGTGCCGCCACGCGGGCGGCACACGAGAGACCACACGCTAACCCCGAACGAGCTTCGCGTACACGTTCCGCAAGGAGGGCGGCACCTTCGGACATCGCAGCTTGGACTTCGCGCACGCTGGTTGACCCGATGCCACGTCGGGCCGTCGAGTATCAAGACGCGCAAGAGGCGGCGACACCTGCCGCGCCGGTTCCTGCCAACTTCGATCCGCTCCCAGCGCCGCAGTCCCAAGACACTGCGGCTGTCCGCGACTTCCTGCAGAAACGTGAGTCAGTTGTGCGTTATATACGCGACACCATCGCGGCGGCGGTGGACCGGCAAAAGGAATATGCCGATCGACGAGGGCGACGACATCTGGAGACGTTCGCCGTGGGCGATCGGGTACTGCTATCTACGACGGGCATGTCGCCAAGTTTGGTGACGAATTTAGGCGCGAACAAGCTCGCGCCCCGATTTAATGGACCTTTTAAAGTGACGAAGGTACTCGGCGACGCCTACACGCTGCGGCTCCATACGGCACTCCGGCTGCACCCTACGTTCTACGTTGGCCGACTGCGACGATACCATCCCGCCGCCATTCCCGGTGGCGCCGATGACCATGCCCAAGTCGATCAAGACGCTGCGCCATCGCAGCGTCAGCCCGAGGTTGGCGCATCTGCATTCCAGCGCGACGGTCCTGCTCCACTAGTGGACGCAGCTGGGAACCAGCGTCACATTGTCAAAGCCATACTAAACCACGACGACCACTGAGATGCACCGCAGCGCGCGCGCATGGATCGCGGCACTCGTCGCCGCGATGGAGAAATACCTTCGCACCGCCGGTATCTGGTTGGATGGCTTGGCCCGATGGACGACAGCTGGGAGCCCCGCGAGGTCCTACTCGCAGATGTCCCCGACTGCGTGGCGGCGTACGAGACGTCGCTTGCAGAGGGCGCGGCGGCGAGCCGTGCCTAACTCAACGAGAGCCTCGTAAGAGCGGACAGCCCACCGGCGATGCTCGACTTCAGACGACGGACGACCTTCGGTGTTCCAGTATCCGCGGCGACCTGACCCACGGTGGAGTCACGGTGGGTACCACCGCGACGGACTCGCTTTGTACCACGCCAGCGCCGGACCAGCTGCACCAAGATCGCTCCGTTGAAGCCCACGACGCTGCTGCGGTCGCGCAGCAGCGGGCCCTTGATAACGTCCGAGACACTGCCGCGCTGCTTCAACCACTTCGCGTGCGCTATCGGACCGCAACTGACAAGTAGCGTCGCGTCCGCCTCGCGAAGCTCTGCAGTTCCTTTCTAGAGTTTAGATAAGTAACCAGAGCCTTTTTCTAGGGGCACTGCCCTTTTACTGGGCGGGGGCACGGGTCTAGGTAAAAAAAAATAGTATGGATTATAGCATTCAAAGCGAGGTGGAGGCAAAAGTTAGGGGGGCCCCCTAATCGGGTCTAGTTAAGCCCCTACTGGGAATCCTTAACCTAGTGACGATCATCGCCATCATGCCGGTTTTTTGCTGGGATAGGAAGCAACGTTAGTGCTGCTATCGCAGACCAAAAAGGATTATATCCGTGGTACGTCAAGTCAAAATATGACCTCTCTTGACCCCAACTTCAGAAACCGGTATGACCCCGGTGCCGCACTGGGCCTCCAAAAGGTTTATATGCGTGGGCAGGTTGAACCGGTAGGATGCCCATCACACCAGTACGACCCCGGTGCCGCACTGGGGGTCCAAAAGGTTTATATGCGTGGGCAGTTTGAACCGGTATGGGTCAGTAGCATATACCGAATCGGATGGAGTGATGTAAAGTGAATGATTGAATCGAACGGACTACTACAGGAATGTAGTAGCATACAAATGCAAGCATTTTCATATGTCCACGAGCTAGATCTCGAGCAAGGTTCGTTTCATTACTGTGTATAATTACTGCCTAGTCGTATCTTGCATCTTCGCCGTTAAGGTGAATGACCGGGCGCAGGAGATGACTGGGATCGTAAAAAAAAAGTAATAAAGGAGTTTATCCCAAAAACCTCCTATCCCAGCCTTCGCGGAGCCCTAGTTGTTGTTTTTTTCAACTGCCGTGATCCGCACGATACCCGAAACGCGCTGACAGGTTTTGACTCCTCGTTGACACCCGACCATTTCTCAACTGGAACGAGGAGAGAAAGAAGTTCATGGGCGAGGAAGGCCCTTGTCGGGGGCGCCTCTTCCGGCTGCTGAGGCTGGTCCGCGAGACGCAGTGCGAGCTGGAAGTGGTGAAGCCCGTGCTGGACGAGCTGGAGGTGTTGCGTCTGTGCTGCAGCTTCGGCATGATGCCGACCGTGAACCCCATGGAGTTTGATTTCGACGTGCTGCACGCCAGCGAGTTTGACAAAGAGTTTGCAGATCTCTTGCGCTATGAGCTGCTCGAGCGCACGTGCCTCGATAAAGTGAGAGTCACGGCGCTGTTCGGCAAGCAGAAGGATGTTTCGGCCGCTTTGGTCGACATGCAGGCGTTGTGCTCAAATGAGACAGCGGCGTGGCTCTCAGGTTCTGTGGAAGGGGTTTACTGTGTGAAGGTTGCAGCCGACGGAGAGAAGAACACCGAGAAGGACGACTCTGGTGCTGATTTGGTTCTCTTCTCGTGGATTCGCGACGAGTTGTTCAAGCCTCACATGCTTCGAGACACACCCGCGTTTGTGTTGCGGTTTCTAACCGTTCTAAGTCCAGAGATTGTTTGCTGCGTGTCCAAGGAGGATTTAGAGCTGCTGAAAGCCGCAGTGGTTGAATCCGAAGAGCAGCACGACGACAAGCTGTCACTGTATTCGGTGTCTTTCACTATCGAGAAGCAGGAGGATGAACATGACGGCACGGAGTGCGTGTCCCACACTTCTGCCGACTTGGATGGTGCTATGGGGAACTACGCTTAGTGAAAGGCAGTTATCCTGCTCTCGTATTGACGAAAACGATGGATTGTGCGATTCGCGCCGAACCATTTCAAGAAACATTTCAAGCAAACGCAAAGTTGTCGTTTGCAGCATGGCTGAAGACGGAGTCGGAGGTCTACCGGATCGATTTGAGTGGGACTATTGGCCGTTCACCCAAGCTCTGTGAAAGCATTCTTCGTGAATTTGATTTGTGGCCGGAGGAGCAAGTGTCAAGTTGCCGTGCCTTGCACGAAAAGAAGCAGATGGAGGAAAGAGAACGATCTCGTCGGGGCTTAAGACGTGATATTGCAGAGCAACGCACAATTGTGGATAGCTCACGCGAGCTACTTTTGCAGCTCTGTAAGGCCAACTCACCAGCAGCATTGTCGCGCTATGAAGCTGCAGCTGACAAATATGCAACTTTTTGTTCGTGGGTCAAAGCAAACGGCATCTGGAAGCTTGATCGCAAGTCCAAATTGGCGCTCGAAATCCCCAACCGTCTGCAAGATATTGAGGCAACACTGCTCGAATTGCACACGCAAAACCAAGACGCCGACCTCGCCAAATTGTTGAGTTTATGCGCAACCTCCCCCAAAGCGAACCTTTTGCTTGCCATTGAGAAGCAGAAGAGGTCAAGTTGTAGCCCCACCAGCTGGGGTGCTAGCGACTCGCACCTGTGGACGTCATTCCTGGCGAAAACGGCGGAGGTATTGGTCGAGCTGCAGGTGAAGTGGTGGACTGCCGTCGAGAATGGACTGGAAGCGGTGCAGTTGGCCGGTCTTGAAGCTTTGAACCGCGAGCAGAAGCAAAGTGCGTCTGATTTTGACAGTAGCACCAAAGAGATCGTACGACAGCAATTCGATGGTCTCCGTGAAAAGCTCCTGGAAAAAAGTGGATTGCTGTTGAAAGTAAGCGCAAAAGCTCGTGAGGGGTATATATTGTGCAGCGGAACGAGGTAAATTAAAGCTTCAGCCACCCAGTTCCACGATGTCATGAAAGTACAACTGAACCGTGGCGTGGTGGACGATTGTCTACAGACAGAGCGCTTGGGCCATCATGTGCTTAATGCGTACGAGACTCACATTGCGATGTTCACGATCAAGAACCGGTCGGTCATACAAATAAGCACGGGAAATGAACGAACGTACGTCAACTTGGTGCACTTTCCAGCTAATGCCGATGGGCCTTCTTCACGCGCGAGTGAAATGGTCATCTCCACGTTTGGGAAGGTGCCCTCGCTTTGCGACTTCAATTATCAGAGTCGAAGCATGGTCTTCCTGTCGGCAGATTCAGTCGGGATCTACAAATTCGACGAGACATTCAAGCGAATGGACTACGTGAAAGTTGTTGATTTGGGTGTGCACTCGACGTTGACGGCTCCATTCAACGATATGCTCCTCCTGGGCAAAACAGTTTACGTAACAGACTCAAGTGGCAGCCTACAAGGTGTCGACATCAATTGTGACCAGACTTCGATTACCGGAGCAGTACCCAGTGATACTGATACTTCGCGCAGCCGTCTTATGGGGTTCTCGGATGATCTTGCTATCGGGGCTGTTTTGGTCACAGCGTGCGCGGATGGATCTTTTGAGGGAAAACTGTCGTGCGTTGCTCTTGATGCCTATCGCCAGCTACCTGTTGCGCCACTAGGAGACACTTTTCTGACGAACGAAGTGCAAGCAGAGTGTGTGAACGGACATGTTTTTGTTTTCGATCCATTAGCAAGAAAGCTGCACGCATTTTCCGTTGACGTGACTGTCCGTAGCGATTCCTACAGCATGCGGCAGTTCGATGACGATGACGACACCAAGGCTTCTGGAAAGGATGCTAGCGGCGAGAAGTGTCTGCGCAAGGAGCACTGGCTGTACACGTTTTATCACGTTTTCGAGAAGTTCCCAGTGATTGGGCTGCTGGAAGATGGATCCCCGCCACCTCTTTCTGTTCTTGTGTGTTGCCAGTCCTGTGACGACGTCAATGGTGCTCTAGAAGATTGTCACGATTTTCTGTCACTGTTGATGAGCGACTTGATGGCTGTCAACAAACCGTTGCGAGGGCTGGATCTTTCGAGAGGGCTTGGCATGCGGTGTACCCCTTTACTGGGTCTGAATATGAGTGAAAAATCCATGGTGGCATTCCTCCAGACGCTCGTTACTTTTCTTCCTATTCAAATCTGTCGCGCTGAGGCAAACGCGCTGACAGTGCTACGAGATGGATTGGACCCATCTTTCGATGTAGCCGAAGTGGAGCAGGAGTCAGCGGATATTGCTGAATCAACTCGATTTGGGCTTTTGTCGCCACTTTTGTCGGCGTGGGAAGGTCGCGTCGTCGTCATCACGTCCATGGGAAAGCAGTCGACCGGGAAAAGCTACTTCCTCAATCACTTAACGGGGTCCTCGTTTGCCATCGCTGGAAATCGTTGCACTGACGGTGCGTGGATGACACTGCGCATCATGAAAGATGGTTTGCTTGTCGTTCTGGATTTCGAAGGTCTGGGGTCCTTCGAGTGAACAGATCAAGAAGATGTTTTTCTTGCGGTGCTGAATGCGTCGCTGTCGATGTTCACGATATTCCGGATGGAAATGCGGCTTGACAAAGAAATTGACAAGCTTTTCACCAAGTTTCAAAAGGGAATGGATCTACTCAAGCAAGACAAGCGACTGTTCCGAGGAATATTCTACATGAGTGTGAAGGACATTAACCCGAATGATGGCCGAGATGTCCTCTCGGAGTTTACGGGGAAAATCAGGAACCTGCTCAAAGCCACGTCGGGGCAAAACTTCCTAACGAACATGTATTCGGGTAAAGTGAGTATTAATTGCTCCCCTCCGTTAGGGACTCCTGGCTACTACGAGTCACTACTTCACGCGAAGAAGTTGGTCAAGAAAGTTATTACGCAGCAGGGCGAATCGGAGCATGGGTTTCGAAGCGGAAGAGCCTTCCACGACTTTATCCGACTGGTATTGGCCAAAATCTCGATCCTGGATTGGACCACTGTTGAAGAAACCGCGCAACAACTTCAGATGAAGGAGCTTCACCGAAATCTGCCTGGTATCATTCGCACAGGAATTCTGCCGGATTCAAAGAACGAGCGTGCTGCTGGAATGCTTTCTTTCGAAGATCTATGCCATGACTACCCCGATTTTGCTGAATCTTGGAAGCGTTTGAACCTCCAGTTCTCACTAGCAGCGATTGACGAGAATTTAGATTTTGGACCATCAGTCTGCGCTGAAACAGCGGACACAGGGTCTATCTACGATGCCATCACGATGCTGTTTCAACACTATTTGGAGCTGATATTGAAGGGAGCAGAAGAAAAAATCACCACGGCAGACTACACCAATTTCGACGCCATGCTGTCTTTTTTGGTTTGCTGTCGTAAATCGAAGGCTGTTGTCTGGGTGAAGGAATTCCTGGGACCTGAGCGATTTGCGGATGATTGGGATAACATCGAGCGAGCTCGACTTCTCCCGTTCGAGACGCGTTTTAAGAGGTGTGGTCATGGGTGCGCGCAGTGCCAACTCCAGTGTACGCGCCCAGCTTGCCACTCCCCAGGTGAGGAGAAGCACAACTGTGGCATGACTCATGTGTGTCGCAGCTATTGTGAGTACTGTGTGCAGAGCTACCAGCACCGTGGACAGGTTCCTCACTGTACCGGTAAGGCTGGCCACGAAGGAACGTGCGACTGCGGAAAGGGAGACCACACTTGCGGGTTTGTATGCAGTCTCGCGGATGCTTCGAACTGCGAAATTGTTTGCGTGCAGATGGCGGGGCATGACGGAAATCATCGCTGCTCCGTCAAGCAGCACATTTGCGGTATTTTGTGCAGTGCGCCAAATTGTGAAGGGGTGTGCGTGTTGAACGGAGACTGTGCACAAGTGTGTGGAGACGCAGTGCGCCTATGCGTGCGAGATGGAAAGCTGTGAGGAGCGTTGCGATTCCGCAAACCATTTTCATGGAAATCCTGGATTAAGTGCAACACTTGCCCAAGAACAAGGACGCTTGCTTGGGTATTACTCGGGCAGCAGTGAAAATGCGCGGCATATGTGTGCTTCAAGCCACGTATGCAGTAAAGTTTGTGAGGCGAATGGCATATGCAGCAAAAGCGTCCGAGTCTCCACGCGTCAGTTCAGCGGTTCGTTCGACAATTTCGAGTATGGATCGAAGCGGATGGTTGGAACACGCAACCAGTGCGCCATCGTATTGGAGCCTGGACAAACAAGCCACGGCGGTATGCACTCGTGTGCCAAGAAGTTGTGGGGTGGGAGGGTAGCCCCTCATGGATGCGACGCGAGATGCGTGGCCTGTGAGTATTACTGCGCCAAACCGTTCGGACACCACGGACTGCACTCTGCTGCACACGGCAACATGCGCAAGATGCACTTTGTTGCTAAGCAGAGCACCATCAGCTGGGACGACCGCAAGTACACCGCAGGCGAGAAGGGTAGCGCCGAAATGTACAGTTTGTACTGCTCTACAGCCGGACGAGGACACGTCCACTACCTCAAGTGCTACCAGAGTGCTGATGCGTGTGTCTACTCGGCTTTGGGGGATCACCGACGCCACTGCGAAACTGCGTTGATTCCAGCCCCAGACCACGAGGTTGATGAAGTGTTGCATGCTGAGTACTGGAGAACGATCGGGTGGGAAGACCCTTGTTCGTCCCCTGCAGAGCGCGCGCTGTTCACTAAGTGTCCGTACTTATGCAATGCACCGGACCACAAAGGGCGTGAGAAAGAACCTTCCGGCTGTGATCTCCCTGTCTGGCATCTACCTGCTGCATCCGTTCCCTTCCTGGAGCGAGATGGTGTGACGTACATCAACGGCCATCGTTTTACGTGCTCGCATGCCGCCTCCGCTCGTATATTGCACCACGTTTTCGTCTTGGACTGCTCGGGGTCGATGAAAGGCGGTCCGTGGCAAGCGTTGGTGAGAGGAGTCCGGGACTATTTGCAAGGTCGGATGTCGTGCGGCTGTCGTCAAGATATCGTCTCGGTAATTACCTTTGGGGATAAGGGCACTCTCGAGTATGAAAAAATCAAGATTGAGCAGGCTGCAACGCGATGCGTGAACTTCCGTGGTGGTGGGACGTACTATGAGAAGGGCTTGAAACAAGCGAACGCCGTGCTCTCCCGGAATCCGATGAAAAAGTACCAGCCTGTACTCATCTTCTTCACGGACGGTCGAGCTTTGAACATCAAATCGATGTTGGCAGGAAGCTCATCGCTCTCCTTGTCCGCTCTTCCATGTCAGTTCTCGAGCAAGACGCAATGTGTTGCTTCTTTACGTGTTTGTACGCACGCTCACACAAATTGAGAGCGAGACGAGTGAATAGGTGCCCCTGCAGCACTTGAACAAACGCCTCGGAGCTCAGAGAAAGCAGATCACAGGCCCGTACGGTCCGTACAGTATAAGCGCTGATGGTGCACCCCAGCAAACGACGCTCTCCGAAGTAGCTGCCAAACCGGTCGATCCAGGAGAGAGCGGCTGTGCATGCTCAAGTGGCCTTTGATCACGAAATACATGGCTCGCACGATACTTCCTTCCGTGACAACACTCTCATCGCGTGGGTAGCACTCGAAGCGCAAGCGTTCAGCAAGAGCGCGCGTGAACTCGTCCATCCTCTGGCTTTCGTCCCAGCAAACAGGGGCGATGACCTTCATGATGAACCACGAAAGGAGCTTTGTGGACACTTGAAGCACGCACGACGTACGGATAGCTTTAGGCATTTCCGCCAGAAGTTCTTCGTAGTTCACACCAGCATGCGACGACCAGAGAGACGTCATAAACGCGTACGTCCGAGTCTTCAGACGATCACTGAGACGAAGGCGTGCCATGTAAAGCTCCACGGCGATGTAATTCTTGCGGAACCCCACTTGCAGTCCGATATAGGAAATGAAAAGACTCGCGAGTTCACCAATGACGTATGACATGGTGATGAGACCCACGAAAGACATTCCAATGTGGAACGCGTAGAGCGTTGCAGTCTCAGGCTCGGGGCAATAAGCTTTCTTGACGAAAGTCACCATCGCGAAGAAAAGTCCCCGCAATAGACGAAGCGCGAGCTGAGAGGAGGACGGATTCTGAGGATCCGAGACAACCAGATCCTGGGACGGAAGCCACCCTTCCCACTCCGAAGCCATTTTTCAGGCGACCAGTGACCAAGCGCCGCGATCTTTGAAGCTTGAAAACATTCTTGAGGCTATGGCGTCCCCCACCTCAGTCAAGCGCCGCGTACTCAAGGCCGAGTCCTCGTCGGTCGTCATCCTCCAGGAGTCACCTGACTCCGCCTGGCGCTCGTCACTTTCACGGTCATCGTCTCCATCGTCGGGTTGACGCTACTGTTCCTCCTCGGATTGGAGCTCGGCCGGTTCAACGCCAGCGACAAGAACGCCAAGCAACAGACCCAACTCCTCGACAATTACAACTCGTACTCGGGTAATGTGGCCTCGGTACTGAGCAAGTTCTCAGAGATATTCATCGGACTGGCTGCGCAGATCACGGCGTTGTACGCGTTCACTGCGGCTTTCATGCGAGCTGAAAGGCGCGTTCGGCTGCAGGATTGGCCAGCGCCGTTATCGGCTACTTGATCGGCAACAGCTTCAACGCGCTCAACATCCAGCTACACGAATTACCAGTCCAGGCGGCAATCTCCAGCAGCGACCTGTCTTCCGTCGTCGACGATACAACCAGCAACGACAGCTCAAACGTGACGCACTCGGTCGCTGAGTCAACTGCGCACAAACCCATCGCCAACACGATTCTGAGGACTCTGGTGCAGCCGCGTGCTGCGATCCAGTCGCCTCCTGTCTGCGACTGGAGCCTCACGACGCAGAACTTCCAGATCTTCCTCCCAAACGACGTACTTCAGGTCGGCTTCCCGCAGCGGGAGAGGATGACGCGGCTGCTACCTGAAGCGCTCGAAGCGTCTACCCTTCGTTTCACCCTCAACGCGACCAATGCTGGTGCCAATGCTGAGGTAAGAAGTGAAGACCTCCCGATGGACGCGTCGTTGGCTGCTGATTTGGTCGTGAATGCCATGTTCCTGTCCAGCGAGTTCATTCCATGGGGGAAGAATGCTGTATGGAACGATGAAGTGCCTACTGACGTCGCCGACGTCTACCCTACAAGTGCTTCTCAATCCCAACGCCAAGTTCCAACTGCTGAACTGCTAACGCTCCTCCCAGCCGACCCAGCAGCAAGCGAATCGACCAAGAAGAAGTGGCTACTGGAGGCTATCGAGCCCGTTCTGTCAAGCAAGTTCGATACCAGCGACTTCAGCCCGAATGATATCAGTGCGGAGTTCGCACACGTTGACTTGGCTCCTAACATCACGTTCGACGCCCTGACGTTCGAAGTGGATGTGGATCCGTCGCTCGTGGCTTAATTCGAATTTTAACTGCGGGCCGTGGTCGAAACGATGTCTATTCCCCGAAACCGTTCTACCACCGCGATCGACTGTGCTCTACAATCTGCTATACGACGCGCCCGTACAGGTCAACGCGCTCGCAGTCTGTGTGAACTCCGACGGCTCTGAGACGATTCAGTCGACGATTCGTTTCAACGAGAGTTCCATGATCGAGTACAATTTCCAGCCGTGTAGTAACATTTCGAATACGTCGATGTTGCTCGTCAGTGTCGCCAAGCGCTTGGTTGCCGATGAACTAGTCTCAAACATCACGGATGATAGTCTCGCGGATTATATGATCGACTCGACTGCGACGAATCTCCGCAAGCTTTACTCGTTTACTGTGAGTCGACTACACTGGAACGTCAGCGACTTGGCCAACGAGTTCGACGCTGCGTGTCTGGTTGATGGAGGCGACTGCAACGGGCTGAGTGTCGACTTGAGCGCGTCAGATGCGCAACCAGAACAGCGCTTGGTTGCTGGAGTTAACGCGCTGCCTGTGAATCTACTCACGGCTCCGAACTACAATGGGAAGCTGCACGACGAACGACAGCGAGCGCTCACTCTCATTCAAGTGGACGAGCCACCGCATCAGGGCGGTGATTGGTACTCCGTCATAGCTGGCGACATGCTTCTCCCGCACAATGTGGGGCTGGGTCGATGGCATCCCGACTCGACAAACTGGAGTGAGCAGGCCTGTGGGCTTCAGGAGGACCGGGTACAACTTGTGATCAACAACCACTACTACATGGAGCACACGCTGCAGGCCACGTACACATCCGCGCTCTTCTTCCTGTTGCAAGATGGCGTCACGATCGATACAATACCACGTGGGCAGGGAAGGACCACGCTGACATTCAGTGCCAATGTGCAGCCGCTTGCAGTGTGGATCTCAGTTCCGGAGCTGAACGCTTGGCTCACGGTGGCCGGGTGCGTCGTGCTCGCCGCGGGACTCACTACCGTCGTTTTGCTGCCACGATTCGGGTCAAAACTGAATCATCTGAACGACATCTCGACGCCTCACGTCATTGCACGCGTAATGCTCGACGAACGAACCTTCCCACCTGAGCTGCTCCACAGACACGTTCACTTTGCACCGGAGGTTTCAGGCGAGCCGGGTTCTCGGTACTCGGTCAACACACTGATAATCAAAAAGCTCACAGTGAGATCTATCCGCGGCAGCAGCCACGGGGTGGAGGCTGCTAAGCGCGAAGGTGATGAAGACATTCAAATTGTATGATGACACGATAGAGCCGATGGTGCAGTGGGGGAGCTCTTACCAGCACGTCAAATATTCGAGCAAACTATTCATTTTTCCCATTTATTTGTGCAATTCGAGTGAAAACGATCAAATAGCATGCATTGCAATGTCTTCACGAGAAACTCGAAGCTGCGATCAATTTGATAAAGCCACTACGAGTTGTAACTCTAGTAGTGTTACAATGAGTGTTCCACTACTGCACATGTAGTACTACTAGTATTGCATATTTTTCGCCGTTCATGCATACCAAAGGGAGACATAACCCAGCATGTTGTGCAGCAATTCACTCGATTAATGTCCATATGATCACTACTGTAGTTTGATCCATCACACCAATCGAGGCTTCTTGCCGGTCAGCAGCAGCACAACCTCGCTACAGCCAACTTCTCTCGCAACCACCAAGGCACTGCCGATGCCTATTGCATCACCGAGCCCACGAAGCAAGGCAACGACCTTCACCTGGCCATTCCTTGCCGCCGCTTCTAGCGCACAGCGAATAGACATCGTATCCATTTCATTCTGCAAATACTCGACCAAACCACGACATCCTCGTGCTGCAGCACTCGTGAAAATATCTGGAAACAAATTCGGATCGCACTTGGTCAAAATCGGCTTGAGTGCAGCGACAGTCACATCAGAAGGAAGCTGCTCTAGCGCGCCTAAGATTGAGCTGGCGTCGATGTACTTCATCAAAACACCCACTGCTTGTATTGAGCTGCTTGGACCAGTGCCCCCGTTATAATTGGGCACTTTTGTCAGCACACAATTCAACTAACTTGATGTGGTTGGTCGCCACTGCAATTTTCAGAGCTTTACCCGCTCCAGATCCATCACATTCGTTGAGCAGCATTTTTGCTAGGTCAACATCGCCGCAAGAAATCGCGTTGCCAGCAGCCATACCGACAGTGAACGGAAAAGCCAAACCGTTTGAATTTCTTGTTGCACAAGTGTCTAGAAGCAGCTTCACACTGTCGCGGTTTCCGGTCGTTTTCGCTGCCTTCCTTAACGCGCTTCGAAGCTGGTACGGCGACCCACGCTGGAGAAGAATGCCAACCATCCGGGTGTCGCTCCTTCCCAGTGCTGGGCAAATTACGGCGCTGAGAAAACTCTCCTCCGTCATCGTATGACAGAGTTCGTCAGAGTGCTGCTCCGTTCTCGAATTTTTTTTTTTCATTCTCTCACCGGCTACTTTCCATTCAGTGGGGATGCATTGCATTCTCGACAGCTACATTGCATTTCTGATGGATTTATTGCATTCTGTACATTCGAAATGGCTGTTACATGCATTGCATATATTTTTCGGTTCAGGGCTTGTAGGGTTAACTGTTCGGTGCCGTACCGAAACAATTAGAAGGGCAGCATCTGTAACGGGGTTACATGGAATAGTGACTCTGTCACTATTCAGGGATGACTACATCGGTCACTCCCCTGGATAGTGACCCAGGTGGCCTCAGAGCCAACAGATACATTTTGTATGACACAAACTATAGGGAACTTAGGATTTGTATGCAGGCCAAATCTGTACCAACCTATAACTACATTCAGTCTTAGATCTACCGCTTTTCAAGTCAAGTCGTCTCCTTCAGACCAGGGACACGTGAACGGCTGTTCACTTGGAGTTTGTATACTCCTGCTTCCACTGTTAAGAAGTGCTGTGTGCCCCGTCACACTTGGTAGCACTTGTAGTGAATCCTACGCCTACGCGGGTAGATTGGACTACCTGAATCCTCTGTGGTCTCATCGAGTGAGCCATGATGGATCGTACGGAGTTTCCCCATCTGAACGACTCGCAGTACGAGTCCGTTCGTAAGATGGCAGGCATCTTTGGGACAGATGCCCTGCGTAGCTTAGCGGCGGCGACGCCGGCTGAGCAGGTTGAGCGTATCAACGCGTTCGACACCTACGAGCGAGGGCTCATCGCCCACGTTCAAGGGCTGCAGGCCACTGCGGCCGCGCCGAAGCCGGTGCAACCGAAGCCCCTGTGGCTGAAGGTTCACCCCTTCGAAGGGAAGGAAGGAGAAAACCTTCACTTCTGGGTTCGAGAGGTTGAGCTCGCGATGGACGCGCCTCTCGTCTCGGACGAGCGACTCCGTGTCGCCTTTGCGCTCTCCAACCTTAGTGGTTGCGCTAAGAGTTGGGCGTATACGCGCGAAGCGACGACAGCTGGATGCTTCGCATCATGGTCCCAGCTGTGCGAGCAGCTGCGGGCCGCGTTTCTTCCGGCGAACTACGAATACCGCCAGCGTTCGCGCTTCCTCGCCTGCAAACAAGGAAGGCGCGAGCTGCATGAGTACATCCAGGAGATGCGAGTGCTCACGGCCTCTTTGGTGGGGAACCCCCTGCCTGAACACATCAAGGTGACCGTGTTCATGGACGGTCTGCGTGTCGGTCCTGCCCGCACGCAACTGTTCCGTGTGCAAGCAAACACTATGGAGGAGGCGATTCAGATCGCCCTCCAGGAGGAGTACAGCCACAAGCAGGCTCGTACCCCCGCCACGGTATGGCAGAGCAACCCTGCCTCTGGTGGTGCGCCTAATGGTAACTCCGGCAATGGAGCGATCAACGGGCCGGTTCCCATGGATCTGGGCATGGCCGAGCAGAGCGACATTCGCTGCTACAGCTGTGGTAAGCTTGGGCACATGAAACGTGCTTGTCCCGCGGGAGGACTGAAGAAGTTCTCTTCGAAGCCCTTTGGCTCTAGGGGTCGCTGGCAGAAGCCGCGCCCTAGGAACCAGGGGAACGCCATACACCAGTAGGGGCGGGGCGCCCTACTGGGGAAACACTAAGTCTTCATGAGGGCGTGCGGGTCGCGCACGCCATGGGGACTTAGCCCCTGAGAGTCTCTGTACTCTCGAAGCGGAGAAGGGCAGCGGTGGGCTGCTTGTGGTGCACGCGAGTGTACCGAGATACGATCATCCCTTGAGAATCTTGATCGACTCTGGGGCGTCCAAGAACTTTGCGCGCCGCCAGACTGTCGCACGCAATCGCGACAAGTACGCCGATGCGCTACGTGGAAGCAAAGGCAACGGCTGGTCTCGGTAAGACTGGCCGATGGTACGGTGGTAGAAGTACCTCGGGTCCACTGTCAAGTTCGAGGACTTTGACAGCACGGAGCCGGTCTTGGCCGTAGGCATGGACAAGTACGACTTGATGCTTGGCATGCCGTGGCTGGAGAAACATGAGCCTTGGATCGACTGGCGCGGCAAGACCATCGGGGCCAGCCGTCCCCCACGCTCTGACAGAGCTTTGGTGAGTCATGTTCCCACCTCTAGCAGCAGCTGGGGCGCCCGCGAGGGCCGCCAGGGCGCAGCAGCGTCTAATGAGTTCTTGGGGTTCGTCGAGACTGACGACGACTCCGACCGGGCCGGACAAGGCCTGAGAGTGGAGGTGCCGGACAGCACCTACCAGGTGGGTAACGTAGGTCCACACGCGGGTAACGAAGTACCGCAGGCAGCAAGGGCTGCTGGAGAAGCGCCGCTGGCGCTGGCGTGGGTAACCAAGTTCCACGCGAGGTCACTCAGACCGTAACTGATGAGGAAGGCACCGCAGGCGCTTCCGATGTGGGTAACATAGTTCCACAGGAGGTCACTCAGACCATAACTGATGCGGGAGTCGCTGGAAGCGCTCCTGGTGTGGGTAACCAAGTTCCGCTCAAGAACAAGGCGGGTAACGTAATTCCGCACAAGATCGAGAAGATCGGTGGTGCCGTCGAGGCGGTGCCACGAGACGAAGACACGTCGTAAGCCGGGCCTAGTCGTGTGGCCGATGACGCCAGTCGCCAGCGACTCCGAGCCTCCAGCAAAGGCTCCAGCCGCCGAAGAGTGTTATCACATCTTCGACGGCGTGACCGGTCGTCGGGTCAAGACAGGAGCTGTCGAGCTTACAGCTCTGCCCGAGGTTTCCGAGTTGCTGAACCTTGAGGAGCTCGCCATGGAGGACTTCTTGGCCGAGCTAAAGGCCGGGGAGATCGCAGAGTTGGTTCTCCTCCGACCGGAGTCCACGTCGGCCGAGTTGAACTCGTCCTCGGTCATGGACCAGGCCGTCCTGGAGGAGTTCCAGAGACAGCGCGCGTCGCGCATGGGCTCTGAGATTCTTAAGAACCCCCGGGACCCGGTGTACCCCTTGGTGAAGGAGTTCGAGGACGTGGTTTCCAAGGATCCGCCGTCCAATCTCCCTCCGGACAGGGGAATCAGGCACGAGATCGATCTCGTGCCGAGCACGAAGTACTGTGTCACGAGGCTATGGCCTCTTCCCCGGGAGTAGTGTGAAGTCATTGATGCCTTCTTTGCCGCCAAGGCGAAGGCAGGCATGGTGCGGGAGTCGAAGTCCCCGCACTCGACCCCTACCTTCTGTGTTCGCAAACCGAACGGAAAGTGGCGCCTGGTTCATGCTTATAACAAGCTGAACAGCGCGACAGTGCCTGCTCAGACACCGATCCCGCGCAAGGACGTGTTGCTCAACAACATGGCCGGCTGCACGCTGTATAGTGCGCTGGACCTGGTGGACGGATACTACCAGATCCTGATGCGCGAGAGCGACATCCCACTCACGGCTGTGAGCACGCCGAGCGGTATGCTCTGGGAGTGGCTGGTCATGCCTCAGGGGCTTTCTAACGCCCCGGCAAAGTTCAATCGCTTGGTCACACAACTGTTCCGACTTTTGCGTGCGTTCACACAGACGTACTTTGACGACATCTTCGTCCACAGCCGTGCCGAGGCAGGCCATACGGCCATGGAGGTGCATCTCCGGCACCTTCGACGTGTGTTCGAAGTCATGCGGGCGAACAAGCTGTACGCCAACATCGACAAGTGTGTGTTCGCAGCTGAGGAGATCAAGGTGCTGGGCTGCTTCGTCAGCAGCGCCGGGGTCCGGGCGGACCCGGAGAAGGTGAAAACCATCGCGGCTTGGCCGCCATCTCGGTCGCAGAAGGACCTACGACAGTGCTTGGGTTTCGCCAACTTGCACAAGTATAGTGCAGGCTACACCGAGCTGACACGGCCCCTGTCGGATTTCCTGAAGAAGAATGTCGACTGGCGCTGGGGTGTCGCCATCAAGATGCTTTTGACGACATCAAAGCGAGCTTACAACGCGCGCCAGTCCTGGCATTGTCGGACGAGACGAAGCCTGTCAGCGTAGTCTGTGATGCGTCTGACTACGCAATTGGCTGTGCGCTATTGCAGGCCGACGATGAAGGCCGCGAACGGGTCATCTTGTTCCAGTCCAGGCAGCTCAAGGCAGCCGAACGGAACTATCCAGTCCACGACAAGAAGCTACTTGCCATGAAGTACGCTCTTGTCAAGTTCCGAGTGCACCTCCTGGGCTCGACGCCCTTTGTCGTTTATACAGACCACGCGTCCTTGTGGACTGCCGTCAACACGCCGCATCTCTCACAGCGGATGGCGCGTTGGATGTCATTCTTCTCGGAATACAACTTCCGTGTCGAGTACAAGCCGGGCAAGTTGAACGTGCTTGCCGACGCGCTGTCGCGCCGACCCGACTACGAGCTTGCTCATATTAGTCGGGTCACGACGGATCTGTATGATCGCATCAGGCTGGGGTACCGAGACGATGCCAGTCATGGACCTCTTGTGCGGTTCTTGGCTGCTGGCTCGGAAGCCAAGGCCGAGTGGCTCACGCCCCGACAACGTGCAAGGCTGCACCGTTATGAGTGGGCTGACGGTTTGCTCCACTATAGGGTCGAGCCCGAGGATCCTCCCCGTATTGTCGTGCCCAACGACGAGGATCTCAAGTACGACATCCTGATGGAGGCGCACGACGCTCCATCCAGTGGCCATCTCGGCCGTGAGAAGACATACGCGTCTGTCTCGCAGATGTTTTGGTGGCGTCATGGGTCGCCACCTACGTCCGTACGTGCGAGACGTGCCAGCGCGTGAAGCCTGCCGGTCACGCCTCGGCACCATTGCAGAGCCTACCGGTCCCAGCGGACTGCTGGAAGTCGATGAGTCTCGACTTTGTCTTCGGACTTCGAAGACCGTGGCAACACTGGTGCTGTTGCCTTCGTGTGCCGTCTGAGCAAGATGGCCCACTTTGCTCCAGTTCGTGACACCGTCACTGGCGACGAGGTCGCTCGCCTGTTCATGGACTGTGTCTTCCGACACCACGGTCTGCCCGAGACCATTGTCTCTGATCGAGACCCGCGATTCACCGCTACGTTCTGGCAGACGCTGTTTCGCCTTCTCGGCACCCGACTGTCGATGTCGACGGCGGACCACCCGCAGACGGATGGCCAGACGGAGCGCGTCAATCGCGTGCTCAAGGACATATCTGCGCGGAGATGCCCCGCTCTTGGGCTGATCGCTTGCTCATGGTTGAGTTCGCACTCAACAATGCGGTACATGCATCGACGGGCTTTACGTCCTTTTACCTGAACGGGTTGCGCCACCCTCAGGTGCCGCTCACATTACGAGGCAGTACCGGGACTTCGGTCCTAAGTGGGGGAGAGGCTCGGAAAACCTTTTCCTCCCAAGTATCGGACGTGAGTCCAGCCGCCTTGCGGAAGCAACTGTCCTCGTTTGCCGAAGACAGGCTGAACATACTCAGCAGGGTGCGAGACACCATGGCGCAAACCCAAGATAAACAGAAGGAGTACTCTGACCGAAATGGAAGAGGAAACATGAACGTGTTTAAGGTTGGGGATTTAGTTCTCCTAGATACTAGAAATCAACCGCTAAACACTGTTAGCTTGGTCGAGAGCAACAAGCTGAAGCACCGCTTCATTGGACCCTTCACGGTCCTCAGCCGGCATGGCGCGGCGTACACCATAGACTTGCCCAAGTCGATGACGACTCACCCGACGTTTTACGTGGGTCGTCTTAAGAGGTACCATGACCCTCTGGCTCTGCCTGCACGCAGGAAGCGGTGGGTGGCCCGGTGGAGAAGAGCGCAGCTCCTCGAAGCGCGGCGTCGGGTCGCGGTAAGGCGCCTGATACGCGCGCTGGTCGTAAGACGGCGCGGCGTACATCGGAGCAGCATACGCAGGGGGCCCGTACGAGCCCTGGCCAAACTGGGCCTGATACGAGTGGGGCTGCTGCTGCTCCAGATACGGCGCGTGGCCATGAAGCTCGGCCCGAAGGCCAGCGAGCTGGTTTTGCAGCGAGTCGTAAGACGACAGGTCGGCTCGACGATCCACACGGCCATGGAGACTGCGAGTTTCTTGATAGAGCGAGGCAACATCCTCACGGAGCCGCTCCACGGCACCAGGCTGACCAGCACGAGCGGCAGCCTCGCCACCAAGGCCGACGCCAAGCGCGATCTCGAGGACGTACACACGGTCCCGGAGAAGACGAATCTCCTCTTGCTGCAGGGCCACCACCTGACTCGGGGCCCCAGCATACGGCTGCGTCGCCTCAGCCTCGTAGCCATGGCCGTGCGAGGCCACCGCCGGCCCTCCTTGATCGTAATGGGCAGCCACTACCACGTGGAACGAGTCGTCCAGGAGCGGCGGCTCCATGGCATGCGCCAGCTGCTCGTGAAGTGGAGGGGTCACCCTGAGTTGGATAACTCGTGGGAGCCCGTTGAGCAGCTCCAGGCAGACTGCCCGAACGCTGTTACGATATGGGACGAGAAGCAGCGGCAGCTTCGTAAGTAGTCCTTGGCTTCTTGGCCGGTACCCGGGGCACGGTAGCAGACGTAGTCGCACCATGCCCACGCTCTTCACGAGCTTTGGCTCTCGCCTCTTGCTTCAGCTCGTCCATCTTCGAGTGGAGCTTGCGCTTGCTCACGAGTTGAGCGAACTCGATGCGGAGCTCGTGCAAGTCCACGATAGCGGACAGAGTGCGATCCTCACGGAGTTCTTTGAACTCTTGGTCGGAATACCCTTTGCGCTGGACGTAGCACCTGAAGCGGTCTTCCACCTCGTTCCAGGTCATGTTCTCATTCGGCTTGACCCAGTGGTAACCCCACACAGGATGGAGTCCACCCTTGTCCTCCGGCTTCTTGCGAAGCGTGGTGAACTCCTTCAGTGTGAGCTTGTGTGGTGCTAGTAGCACACACCGGGCGGCTTCTATGTCGCCAAGAAAGAGTGGCTCCTTCTCAACGAGAGCACGCTCATAGGAACCCTTCGAGGTGTACCCGCAGTTAAGGCCACGAGGAGCCGGGTGCGGCGCACCAGTGCCAGGCTCGGGCGGGAAGTAGCCCTGCGGATACGTGGCACTACCGCCTGACGAAGACTCGACAGCAGTCACGGCAGCCGACTGCCTGGCGTGTGCCCCCGAACGCGCAACGTGGTACTGCTCCTACTGCTCGTCAGGTCGTTGGAGAGCTCCTTGGGTTCATGGACGGCACCCTCCTCGTCCTCAGACTCCGAGTCGCTGAACAGCTTGGAGCTGGAACCGCGAGGCGACCTGGAAACGGGACGCTTCTTCGCCCTGGCCTCTTCGGTCTTCGCAGCGGCAGCCGCCTTCGACGCTTGGGCACGCTCACGACCTTGTGCCAGCGTCAGATGCTTGGGTGGCGACACCGCCTTGGGCTCGGAGCCCGCGTCGCTCGACGACTTCTCGGCCATGTCCTCCGTGTCGGCCACGACGACGTCGTCTTCTTCCGCCAGCTTGCTGTCGCCGAGGCCGGCGCTGGACTTCCGCCGGGATAGAGACTCGCTCTATCCCCGAGTACCGCGAGCGTCACAAAGCAAAACGTGACGCTCTTGCTGCCAAGGCTGCGGCGGGGACAACCCAACCGGAGATTGTCCTCGAAGGTTCCCCTCTGTAGTCAACGACCCCATTGACTACGGGGACGGCGACATGGAGATGGAAGACTTCAAGCATGCGCAAGGAGTCTATCGACAGCGATAGTCTCGACCCGCATGCCGGGTCGAGACGCCCTCGTGAAGGAGACGACTCGGACGCTTCGAGTTCGAAGCGTTCACGCGGCGAGAGCGACACTCCGCTCTCTGCTGCTGGGGCTTTAAGCTCCCCGCGTGAAGTGGTGTCTTCAAGCTCTCCGCGCGCTGCCTGAGCAGCGCGCGATCCGTGGATGCCGTCTGCGTCAGACATCGCAGACCGTGTGGGCAACACCGTGCCTCCAAATGAAATCCCGCTGTACGTATGCAGCGGCATCCACGACGATGCTGTGGCGGAGGATCAGCACTTTGATCCGTTAACGAATCAAATGCGCGATTATTACATCGGGCTCTTCCACGAGCTCCGGTACTTCTCCAGCAAGAAAACCTCTTCTCGCAGCAAAGTGCCTGATTGGCAGGCATTTTGTCAAAGTTGGAATGCTTTTGTTGAGAACTTCAACAAGAAACCGGCTGCTTACCGCGAGCGGGTTAAGCATGCCCGTGAACGCTTGGAGACATTCTCGACGCGCGGGCGGCTGGAGCAGCTCCACAGATCCTCTGTGGACGCTGGTATTCCATGCGCTGTGCCCGAAGGCCAACGGTGCACGTTGTGTCTTCCGGGTGCGGCGCGCTTGAGCGACCGCGACCTAAACGGGTACGCGACGATTCGTGTACCAGCGAGTCTCAAAGATCTCCGTGCCAAGTTCCTGACACGTGAGGAACGCGATCGTAAGACTTCGGGCGTTGCAGGCGACTAAAGCGCTCGCACTACCTACGCGCCGGCAGTGCGTGGTGAGCTTCGTACGCCCTCACCATTTCCGGAACGTCCTGCAGCAGGACGTCCCGCGGCTCCCATGTATCTTGGTGGGGCGGAAACCCGCTACAACGAATACGATAACGAACCGGTTGCCGGTTCGATTTCGGGATACTATGGTTCACAATACGCTCAACAATCCAGCGTGTTGAGCCGCGGGCGTCGCGGATCGGATGCGGCGGGGGTGGGAACACGCCCCGGGTATGGTCAACCTGGAGTTGACCTTGGCCCGACGCTCGAGGAGCGGGTCGCTGCTGTGGAGCAGCATCAGAGCCGGGAGTTCGCCGCTCTAAAGCAGGAGGTGGCGATCCTGAGGGCTCAAGTCGCTCAGGCCTGCAGACCGCGTCGGACATCTCTGTCAACGTGGGAGTTCGCGTCGCGCGCTTGTCCCAGCGCGTTCACGCGCTGGAGCAGAAGTTCGCTCCCGCTGGGGCTTCCACTTCGGGCCAGCCGGGTTAGGTGGCTCGTGCTGCCGGTATGGCTTCAGCCGCCCGACGTAAAAGGTCGGATGGAGGCACATGCTAGATGGAATATCTAGCGTGTAGGCGTTGCCATACCGTGCCAACACCGTGAATGGCCCGATGAAGCGCGGAGCGAGCTTGCTCGCCCCAAAGTTGGAAACAGCATATTTAGGCAGGTTTTGAGTAGCTATCAAAACCAATGAACCCTTCTTGAATTCATTTGTGTTGCCCCAGCCAACGTTGTCTGCGTTCAGCTTCTGTCGATCAACAGAAGCTGCTATAGCGTCTTGGACAAACCGAATGACGGCTTGTCTGCGCTGCACGAAGTTGATTGCGTCCGAGCTGAACTCGTTCAGCTCGCTTCCAGCAGTAGGCCCTGCCTCTGCGTTGGTCTTCGTGGTCGTTCTTCGTGCGCTTGTCGGCGTCTGTGCCCTGCACAGACGCGCGGTTCTTGGCTTTACTTCGTGTCGTTGCGGCTGATACTGTGCAAGTGTCAGCGGCATTCTGCGGCTGCTGCGGTGCAGTCGGAGATCCTCCCCCACTTAAGGAAGGAGCCACCATCCCGAGTAGACTCGGGAGGTGTGGGTGCCTCATGGCATTCGCGTAGAAGGGTGTATGCCCGGTCGAGGCATGCACCGAGTTGTTGATGGCGAACTCCGCCATCGGCAGGCACTCGCTCCAGTGTTGGAACGAGTGAGCGTAGCTCTTAAGCACGTCTACGAGCACGCGGTTTACGCGCTCGGTCTGCCCGTCTGTCTGCGGATGGTCCGCAGTCGACATCGAAAGTTGACTCCCAAGAAGTGTAAACACTTCTTGCCAAAGGTCCGCAGTGAAGCGCGGGTCTCGATCCGACACAATGTCGATCGGCATGCCATGGTGTTTAAACACCATGTCGACGAACACACGTGCAGTCTGCTTCGCAGTCACTTCAGCGGGTACCGCAGCAAGATGTACCATCTTGCTGAAGCGGTCAACAAAGACCACAATGCCCGTGTTCCCCTGACTGTCCGGGGGAAGACCGAACACGAAGTCCAAGACATGGACTGCCAACACTCTCGTGGAGTTGGTAGGGACTGCAAGGGAGCCTGCGCGAAAGGCGCAGGCTTCACACGTTGACAAACCTCGCAAGCACGGACGTACTTGCGCACCCATTTGTACTGGTGGGCCCAGTATAAGTCTCGCGTGAGAAGAAGGTGTGTCTTCTCACGGCCCGGATGCCCCGCAGTCGGTGCATCGTGATACTCATACATGATCCTGAGTCGCAGGTCGTGGCCATTGGGCACGACAACGCGGACCGCGTTGTCGTCGACTGCACTGTAGAGTAATAACCCGTCGTGCACCCGATAACGGTGTGCACGAGCACGAAGATGCTTCGGCAGCTTCTGTCGAGCTTGGTCAGAAGGCGCTGAGCCGTAGGCCAGCAAGAGCTTCGCGTCCGCGTCGTGCGCGGACGCGACCTTCACGTCGTCCAACAGTGACGACGTTGGGGTGCTCGATCGCATGGCGTCAATGGCATTGACGTCGGCATTAGTCGTGGCGTAGTCAGGTCGACGCGAGAGCGCGTCGGCCACCACATTGAGTCTTCCGAGTTTGTACTCAACCCGGAAGTTATACTCTGCGAAGAATGAGAGCCATCTCACCATTCGTTGCGAGATGTGCGGCGACTTCACAGCCGTCCGCAGCGACGCGTGGTCTGTGTAGACCACGAACGGTTTGCTTCCGAGTAGCTACACTCGGAACTTCGCGAGTGCGTACTTCATGGCAAGGAGCTCCTTGTCATGTACCGGGTAGTTGCGCTCAGCTGGCTTCAGCTGGCGCGATTGGTAGTAGACGACACGATCACGACCCTCGTGATCGTGCTGCATCAACGCACATCCGATTGCGAAGTCGGATGCGTCACACACAACGTGGAACGGGCGACCTTGGTCGGCCACCGCCAAGATCGGCGCCTCAGCCAAGCCCTGCTTGACTGCATCGAAGGGCTGCTGACTATCAGCAGTCCAAATCCACTCGACGTCCTTCTTCAGGAGCTGTGACAGCGGGCGTATCATGCCCGCGTAGTCCTTCACGTACTTTCCAAGTACGTGGCCAAGCCAAGGAACTGCCGCAGTTCCTTGACGTTCGACGGCGTCGGCCACTCATTGATCACTCTGACCTTCTCAGGGTCAGGGCGGACACCGTTCTTCCCAACGAGACACCCGAGCACGGGTATTTCGCTCGCCCCGAAGATGCACTTCTTCAGGTTCGCATAGAGCTTGTGCTTGCGCATGAGCGCAAGCAGCTTCCGGAGATGCACCTTGTGCATCTCAACGTCGCTCATCCCGTCCGCAGCTCGGCTGTGGACGAACACATCGTCGAAGTAGCTCGGTGCGAAGTCGCGCACCGAGCGCAACAAGTGCGTCACGCACCTGTTGAAGGTCGCAGTGGCGTTCTTCAGACCTTGCGGCATCACTAGCCACTCCCAGAGCATGCTGCTCGGCGTGCTCACAGCCGTGAGAGGGATATCGCTCTCACGCATGAGGATCTGATAGAACCCATCGCGCAGATCAAGAGCACTGTAGATAGTGCTCCTGGCCATCGAATCGATGATGACATCATATCGCGGTATCGGTGTCTGCGCCGGTATCGTCGCATCGTTCAGCTTGTTCTACGCATGAACGATGCGCCAGCCGCCCTGTGACTTCTTGACACAGAACGTCGGAGCACTGTGCGGGGATTTCGATCCCCACACTTGTCCAGCTTTGCGACGACTCTCAAAGAAGTCTTCGATCGCCTTGACCTGCTCTCGCGGCAGTGGCCACTGCCGCGTGACACAGTACTTCGTGCCCGGCACGAGATCAATCTCGTGCTGGATGCCCTTGTCCTGCGGAAGCTCCGCAGGGATCTCTTCCGGAAGTACGTCCGCGTCCTCCTAGAATCTCGTAGAAGGGACTCGTCTTCAGCGAGTCCCAGCTCTGCTCTTCAAAGCGCTCCTTCTTCGTCTTCGCACTGAGAGTCTCCTCGCTCTCAGTGGTGGTCTCCATAAAGAACCGCCTCAGTACTTCATTCTCGCTCTTCGTTCTCTCGGCGTCCGAGAGAATGCATATTTGCTCGATGCGTCCATCGTGCAAGTCACGCGCGAAGCCCTTCCAGCTCATGACTGGAAGCGAAGTCAACTCCGACGCTTGCGTCGGAGGGTTAGCGAGAGTCATCTCCATGTACCGGAACCCGGTACAGGTACGCGTCAAGACGTTCAGCGTCTCGACATCCGGCTTCTCAGCCTCCGCCTGTCCGGCAGACATTTCTTGTAGTGCCTCGGCCCCAGGCCGAGACTTGCGCAGCGACCTTCGCATGCGCCGTCTTCTTGTTTTGCGGAGCCCGGCTCCGCTTGGTTCTTGACCTCGTCCACGCCCACCGTGGACGGGTGTTCTTCTTCAGTACCGCCGGCGGGTTCATCCGGCGGGCTAGCGACTTCAAGCCCGGCTTGGTCGCCCGGCGCTTCGTCGTGCAGCCCGGCGGCACGACAGCATGCACGTTTTTCCGGTGCGGGACGTTTGCAACCGTCCGCACCGCTTGCAGCGTCGGCTCCCGGAGCCGACACGCCATCTTCACCTCGACGCCTGTTATTGGCGGAGACCCCCATTTCGTAGGGTGCGTCGGCTCCCCGAGCCGACGAATCAATTTCACCCAAGCCATCGACTCCCGGAGTCGACGGCGCCTCGTCACCTTGGCTCTCATTATTGGCCAAAATTGATCCAATCCGATTCGCGTCAGCCTCCACGGCTGAGGCGTGTGACTCGCCTGCGTCATCGGTGCCCCTTGAGGTCGGAGACTCTTCCTGATTCGCTGAAGAGCGGGTGTCGACCTCCGAGATCAACACATTTCTCCTTGAGCCGTCGGCGGCGACGCCGGCGCTTGCTGCTCTTGCGCGCGTGCTCGCGCGCGCCCAGGGCGCTCCGGGACAGCGGCGTTAGGCGCTGTCTCGAGTGACGAGTCGCGCGCACCTGTCGGTGTGTGCGTAGCGGCAACAGGGCCATCGCTCACTGTTCCGCTGTCGCGACCGAAGCGCACGAGAGTGCGCTTCTCCCAATCTATGACCGGATCATGCCGTGCAAGCCACGGCATGCCCAATGCAATGTCAAACTTATCGTCCAGATCCAGGACGATAAAGGTATCGACAAACTCTTGGTCTTCATACGTGAAGCGCACGCGTACTATGCGCTTCTCGGTCTTTACAACGGCACCCGTTGCCAGTCGTACTTCCAACATACTTCGAGGTATCTTTGAATCCTCGAAGTCAAGCCTTGATAGACTTCGCAGTCGAACAAAGTTCTTCGACGCGCCAGAATCTACCAAGTACGGAGAGAGCTGCTTGCTCTCATCGAGTTCACATTCAGGATGACAAGGTCAGGCTTGTCATCTTGGTTCTTGCAGTGAGAATGAACCTCACTGGGGGCTGCAGTCCTCAGTGTCGCGTGTCCAAGGTCGACACGCGGAACTGCATTACCAGTAGGGCGCCCCGCGCCTACTGGCGTCCAGCGTTTTTTGTTTGGTTGCGACGGTGCCCGGCACCGCCGCGATTGCCACCCTGCTGGTGCAAGGGGGCCATGCACTCCCGAGCAAAGTGACCGACTCTACCGCAACGGTAGCATCGCACATTGTTTCCATGCGACTGCTGGGGTCCAGCAGTTGCAGCGCTCGAGAGACCATGGGTTCTGGGCCTCCCGTCCTCACTACCGGGCGTGGCTGTGGCCTCGGCACATGTGCATGCAGCTTAGCCTGCCGCAGGCTAAACTCCTCCTGCATTGCAAGAGTAATTGCAGCTTCGAGAGTACTCGGGTAGTCATGGAAGAGATAGGTCTTCACAGGCCTATCTCTTAGTCCCTTCATGAATGTGACGACCTTGGTGTCTTCATCGATCGGATTGGTCACGATGTTCGAGACCAAGTACCGAGCTCTCTGAGCGTAAGCATGGACATCATGCTTGCCCTGCTGCAGGTCGAGGAATTCCGCCCTTGACCGGAACTCGTTTCGTGGTGGCTCAAACGCTAGCCTGAGCTCATCCTTGAAACTCTCGTACGTGCTAAAGCACATAGGATCCGAGAGTCGGCGTCCATACGCCCAACTTCTTGCGCGTCCGCCAAGACATGACATGGCGAACGCAACCTTCGACGATGGGTCGACGATATGTCGAGCCACAATGGCTGTGTCGAGTTCGACAAGCCAACGGAGGAGAGAGTAGCAGCAACATCGTGTGCTCGCTCAGGATGAAACCCAGAGCAACACCGTATTGCTCTGTCGGCGTTAGCGTACGCAGCATCGTAGCTACAGCCGCCTCACCAATGACTGTTGACAGTCGTTGGAGGGCCTCCCACTCTGGATCCGACAGGTGGGGACAGTCAGCGCGTGCTACGTGAGTTCCAGGCGTAGTGGAGCTTTCCATGGGCACCTCTGTATCCATGGGAAGGTTCTCAGCTCCGCGTTCGTACGGTGACGTACGAACTCAGGTAGTCGGTCGTTGGACGGACTACAAAGTGCTACCAGGTGTAATGGGCCTACTTTGGCTCACTACTTTAGCTTACACGTGTGCGCACGTGTACGAGGAAACGTAGCTTAGTTTAAACTAGAGTTAATTATACTCGGACCTCCGAGTATAGATTACTCTAAATTAACGATCCAAATAATGTTTTCGGTTAAAATGAGAATTGCTATTTTTGTTTTATGCTTTCTGACTTCCTCTAAATGTAATATTCTAAGATAGGAATCTGCCAACGGCTGGTTGGCACAATTCCAATGCTATGCATGTCGCTCATTGGCTAAAAGATGCTGCTTTCAGCCAATAGGAATCCTAAGTCTCTATGGACCACCCGTCGTGGTGATCGTAAATGTATGTAGCCTTTGGTGTGTCTACACCAAGGTCGAGAAAGTCTTTCGAACCTCTAACAGACGTCGTGTATGTTAGAGTTACAAGTGACTGTAGCTACTTGTGCGTGTAACCCTGTTACAGGATAGCCTTCTCCAGCTCCTGCTCGCTCTTGACCATCTCGCCCGACACGCCACTCTTGCCGATGCCCTCCTGTAGTACAACCCCAGCGCTGCTCATCGTGAGCACACGCACCGTCTTCGCGTCGATGGGCAGCTTCCTGCAGCCGCGCACGCTGGGCGTGCCCCATCCACGGCGGATGCGCGAGACGTCCTGCTGCCGGTCCCTTGGATGCGTGCACGGAGGTGTGCAGGAACCGCGCTCCGCGCTCGCCGTTGTGGTCACGATCTCTGGCCGCCGCTGCGTCGCGTGTGGGGGCCCGCGTCGAAGACACACTTGGACATGGTCGCGAATCTTGTAATGAACACCAATCAAAACTCTAATACGTCCTATTCTAGGACACATCCTAGCTGTCAGAACGGCAAAAGTGTTTGCAAAATATTTTCTGTACTTGACTTTAGTATAGACATATACATAGTTAGGCCAGGCTTCCGACAAATATTTGTCGGAAAGTGTCGGAACGCATTCACCTAACCAACTTGCTCCATTGGCTAAAATACTGACACCAGGCCATATGATATAGGCTGTAATTCAGGTGAAGACCAGCCTGAAACAATCCTGCTCACTTATCAGTCGGAAAGACCACTGAATGGTTCATTGCTCTTAGACAATAAATAGTCTGACCTAGACTATATTTTTGCTAAGACTACTTATGAAGCAACACACACGAAAGAGGAGTTTTCATCGACCGACTTACCTTCGAAATGCTCGGGATGTTTCGCGATAATATCTTGAAGATGCGGGTAGAGCTGGCCAACCGACCAGGTACCATCAATTCCAAGTGAAATTCCACATCGGATCATCGCCTTGCGCGCATAGGACATGCCATTTTTGTCCCTTTGAAGGTTGACGGCTTTCACCGCCTCTGCAGCAAGCTGGAGGAAAAACCTTTTCCCTGGATTTTGAACCACAAACAACAACAAAACTTGCAAAGGAGAAAAAGGTGTAATGGGTCAGTCGTGGTGATGAGAGCCTTGCACCCTTACCCGCATGACACAGGAGAGACTAATTTTGAAGTTGAAGTGGTCAGACTAATTATGAATTCTACAATTTGACCAGTACAATAAATAGTCTGACCAAGACCTTTTTCGAACATAGACTATTTCCGCACACAGATAAATTACCGGAGGCAGTGTAGTTGTATGTCGAGAGTTACCATCAATATTGGTAAAAAAAAAAACTAATCAAAAATAGTCTAGGTCAGACTAATTACCGTAGGCAGTGTAGCTTGGGGTCGATCGCTAGGTATCGAAGCTGAGAAAGCCACTCAAGCAACCTCCAAGCTTAACTAGTCGTCGCCTCTCTTGCCCTAGCAAGTGAGAGGAAGAACTATCAGCTAAAGGAGGTCAGAAAAGCAAGACCACCGAGAAGAGTCGACAGCGCCGGAGACTCGAGTCCTTTGAGGAAGGTATATTTGAGAATGAGACCACACTTGGAGCAGAGGCTCCGTACGAACATGGATAGGGGAATTCCCCTTGGAGACGTGGGGCTAGATCTCTAACCTAGCCACACTTGTTGCCTGTCCTACTGCTGGACAGAATGAACACTCGCAATGACACATATAACCTCATTGGTAACATATCACTGCTGAGTAATGCTTGCAAGGTTTTCCTATTTACAACATCAGCTTCATGGGCGATACCTTTATGAGAAACCTGGAGCATTAAATATATTGTATCGTAGTTAACGTTGCGTTTTGTTTTCTTTTCGCATTGTTTGTAACCTGAAAATTAACTGTAGACCACGACTTCTAGCGCCAAGATGCGCGCCGTATACACCCTCCCAGCTGTAGTGGCCGTGGGGCCATTAATGTAGTCGTGCCGAAGAAGGTTTGAAATTTAAGGATTTCTAAAAAATAGTCTGCTCAATGCCAAAGGTTGGTATGATTGAGGGCTATACCACATACATAGAGTAAGTGTCTCCTGCGGTCACACTTTCGGTCTTGTAGCTGCTGCATTTGTACTTCTTAGTTAAAACTCGTTTTGTCCTCGTACCGCTCCAAACTTACTAAATAGTATCTACTTTTCAGATTGCATTACCCGGCAGATCCTAGCTTTTGCGGGGCCATGGTGCTCCGGCAATCGTTGTAGAGGTGGGTGGCTAGGTACGTAGGCCGGCTGCTTGGTGTAGTGGTAGAATGCGAAATTGCTCAATAGCTGAAGTCCCATGACCATGCAAGTGACTATCAGCGAGACCGAGGTAGACACAGCCTGCGACGCCAACTACAACAGTCAGCCAGTGGCGAATTATGGCGAAAAACGCGCGACCATGTTAGTTTAGGGAACTTGGTGGCTGTACTGAGCAATCGTTCTAGCTCGCGAGATAAAGGAAAGGCAGGGGGATAGGTACGTACGTAGGTGCCGGTTGCTTTAGAATGCGCAATGGCTGAAGTCATGCCCTGATCTCTAGAAAGACAGAAAACCGAGATCGGACTCAGTTACCGGCTCCAGTTACCGGGTCACCAGTAGAAAGACAGCCAGTGACAAAGGACCACGATACCGGCCTCAGTTTACTGGCTTCAGTTACCGAGGCGCGAATTAACCCGATTTGGGGCATGGCCTATCGGCCACTGCTATCCCCAGTAAAAACTACAAATGATAGTACTCCAACAAAAGAATAATGATAACACACCACATTATATTAGTACTTCGAAGTACTAGCGAGGATGCTGACTCTGTCGACTCATACTAATATTGTAGTAATTAGAAAGGATATACTATGTTATGTCTAATTTCGAATACTGTATTATTTTGTTGTACTACTGATGTCACTATTAGTACTTAGTTCTCACACCGATACTGTAGTACTTTCAACCTATTTCTGCTGAGCTCTCAGCGCTCTACGCTTTTCGAAGACGGGAAGCAGCTTGCCGTTGGCAAGGCGGCTTTCCCTACCGTCCCTCCGTTACTACAATCTGAATTGCTCGCTCGTCGCAGCAAATGTCTTCGGGCCGCTTCTCGGCATTTCAGGATGAGATCCTTGGCCTCAAGCGGATGTAGTGTCTGCATATTCGCCAGCATCTTCATCGTCGCCCTGTAAACGAACGAGTACTGCAGTCGAGCGTCCACATTGGAAGGAGTTGTAGCCGCCACTTTCGCGATACTCGGTCGCAACGCAAGTGCCGTCTGTGCGTTTTGCGAGGTCGGAGATCCCACCAGATCCGCGTCGTCTACCGTCGTCCATGCCAGCTTGTTACGAGTCCGGTGCTCCGGGAACTCGAGCAGCAATCGCTCGTAGGGCTCGTGGTCGAGTCGATACAACTCGCTTACCGAGAGAGCCACCGCCGTCTCCAACCGCGAGATGCCGTAGAGCAACGCCAACTCACCGAAGTGGTCGCCTCGTTCGCGAGCAAACTCGCTGGAGCCAGTCTTGATCAAAATGCGCCCGTGAGCGATGAAGTACATGCTGCGATCCACATCTCCGACCACGAACACCTCTTCGTTCTCCGAGCACACGGCGTACCGTAAGCACACAAGCAATGCGCGCAGGAAGTGTTCGTCAAGCGCTCGAAAAGACCGGACCTGGGCGACGAAATTGCGAAGTGTAGTTAAAATAACGTCCTCATACAATGCCCGAGATACACCCGACACGGCAGCAAACTCGTGCTCACCACGGCAACGCCGCCATAGTCGAGCGTAGTACGCCTTGATCTGCCGCTTTAGAGCCTTTGGAACTCCGTTTTGCACCACATAGTGCTGTAATTCCCCCAAGCTCTGCTCGAACGCAGCTTCCTTACGAGCACGTGAATCCAACAATTCGGCTTGTGCTCCGACGAGCGCTCCGTAAATGTAGATACTCCACAGTGTGATCGCAATCTCTGCGATAAGCTCTAGCGGGTTCATGGACAGGATGTCACCGTAAAATAGCGTCGAAATGCACTCCATCGAGAACAAAAGAGACCGAAGATACTTGCGCGCGAGCGAGATACTCGCTAGATAAAAGGTAGACGAACTCTCACTCAGCATCCGCCCCCTGTGCTCAAGCACCGTATCCCCCTTGGCGATGTAGGTGAGCATACCGGACGTGGACAGCCAAGATGTGCCGTAGTAGTGGAATCCCACCTCGCTTATACCAAACCAAATGCAGGCTAGGATATGCCCCGTTGCTAGATATGAAGATAGACCACGTAAGAAGTACAGAACAGCCTCGCTTACAGAAAACTTGAGGTCGTGGATCACGAACTGTAGAAATTGCTCGGATAAATGGTCAATCCGGCGGATAAGCAGCATCCGATTCATCCGTAACATCCAACGAGAGGCCCACCATGACGCATCGATAGATAATCCAAGAGAATGGGAAAATGGTACGCGGATTTTATCCGAGATAAGGAGCAGCTCCAAGGGTAACATGGCCACGACGTATGCTCGGAGCTCCGGGTTCGTAACGAAAATCCGACCAAGCCGATTCCTCGACGAGTTTGCAGCCGCTGAGATGACCGCTTGCTCCATCATGCAAGCGTGACGCAGTTCAAAGACCACACCGGCCACGCAGAAGACATCCATGAACATCTCCAAAGCTGACCACCGTCGCAGAGTGGTTAGAGGCAGCTCCACGAGAGCGACAGAAAAACTCAGTTTGAATGGCGTGACTATGAGGTGGTAGATGGACACGAAGAGCATGACCAGGTCCCAGGCTTTTCCCGCTTCCTTGATTCGTCGAATGAATTGCTTGGATTCCAGGTCTGTCGTTGCAGATAAAAGCGTGCGCTGGCTTGGAAGTTGCAGGCTTGAGCCCATGGCTGCGATTCGCGGGGGTCCTAGTCGACGGAACCCAGGGATTTGGATGTCACCTTTAAGGGAGAGAGCGTTCCCTCGGTGCTTTTGGGGTAAGGGCAGCGTTGAAATTGGTAAGGTTGGACCTCTTTTGAGTTGTGGCACCACAGCTGCGGGGCGCAAGCTTTGTCTCCACTCACGATAGCGATGGTACCAGATGAGCTGCATGACGTATTGCGGTCTTTGACAGCGCTGGATGATTTCGAAGTCGATGCCACCACTTCCAGCTTTAGGGCGAGATAATTTACGACCATGTTCGCCAAAGAATCCGGTCTCGATCACGGGCAGCGAGTGGCACCTCGTCATTCGCATGAGAGCAGCTACTAGCTCCGTTTTCGTCGATGGAACCACACGCCTCTGGTCTGGAGACGCAGCTACGGATAATCGTCGCCGTTGCGCACCACTTTTCTCCCCCGAGAGCATCGCCAGGTTCGTGAGTTCCGTTGAACTCTTGAGATCAACCCCCACCACCGGTTTTGATGCAGCGGCCGGAGCCACATCAAGCGCTTCAACCTCTGTACTTAGTGGAAATTTCTTTTCTAGCCACGACCGCCTCACTCTCCGTCTTCCAGAGGGAGTTCGGACTCGAATTCGACGCGTGACATTGCCGGATTCTGACGGAAGCAGCAGTTCGAGTAATTTGCTAACGATGTGCTGCGCTTCCGCAAGCTGTCTGCATCGCGCCCAGCACTCTTCCTCAACAGCGCGTATCCCAGCGTCGCCCAAGTTGTCACGTACGTGTTTGTTGAGCGGATTCAGGTCCACCATGAATTGAAGGACGCGGATATCTGAGTTTTTGTTTTCTCCCACCAGAAATGACGTGTCCGCATTTGCACTGTGCCACATACCGTTTGTTGAGGTGGCACCATCTCGGTTCCGCGAAGAGGTTCGATGGGATGTGCGGACAGAGATCATTGATATCGAGCTGCGCACCATGTCGAGGACCGACGACTTGCGGTAATCCATGCTTGAGATCTCGGGACCGAATGTCTTGACATATTCATCCGTCTTCATCAAAAGGTACTCGGTCTTCTTCTCCAGAAGTTGCGCTTCGGGAGACGTGAAAAAACGCCGAAGGTCTGTTTTGGACGGCTTGCGTGGAGGCGCCCCCGTTCGAACGATCCCATTGATGACTTTGTTCCGCGTAGCTATTGACGCTGCGGTATCGGTTTTAGTCTCGACGATAATTGGGCCAGTGCTTGATGTAAGCAACCGCTTCGCGCGACTTGCAATACGTAAGCACGCGTGCTGGTAGCGCTGGAGTCGGTTGGTAACCCATCCGAGAATTGCGTGCAGCGCGTGCTTCTGGATCTGGTTGTCGGACGCACTACCGGTGGTCGTCCACAGCTCTTGCCAGTCGTGTTTTGACACAAACAGCACCTCACAGAAGGTAGTTGAGCGTACCGTTGCAAGTCGGCGCTGGTTTGGCAGGAAGAAAGCGACTTCTCCGAAGAAGGAGCCCTCAAGGAGAACTGCGATGCTCGATACCGACTTCGTCCAATACGCGGCTGCCAGCCCTTTGCGTAAGGTGTACAGTCGATTGCCAAAGGTTCCTTCCTCCAGAATGTTGTCCCCTGGGATGAAATACTCCGGCCTTAATCGCAACGCAAGGTTGTTAACCTGAGATGGGGCGAGAAAGCGGCAAATAGGCAGGTTTGCGATCGCGCGGCCGTAAATCTCCAACCGGAGTTTGAGCCGAAGGTTCGCTGATAGCTCATCCAAAGTTTTCTCGAGCTCAATGCCTTTAGTGTGCTCGAAATGTTCGTGAAAATAGAACCCCACGCGCTCTCGTAGACTTGTCGGGAGGTCGTGAACTTTGGCAAAATTCCCAAAGTTGGTAATTCGACTCTTGTACTGCTTGGTTTCCTTTCCAAGCTCGTGAATGAGCTCGGAGATCTCGCCCACAATGTGACCAATGATAAATGTGCAGCCTAAACAGGTGACACCAGTCCAAATTGTCCCCACCGCATCGCGAGGAACACTTTCACGTGACCCTACCAGTAACAAGGTCGTGATGGCCCAGTAGAAAGTCTTGGCGTAAAGGATCGGGACGGAATGGTGATACTCATGCAGCAAGTGATCATCCTGCATCCAGCAAGACTCCACCTGAACGCACTCGTGCTCTGAGATCAAGAAGAAGATGCAGCCAACGTAGTGGGCTACTAGTCCCAGAATGATCAGCAACTTGGCGGGACTCAAGTACGCTGATACATTGTGCGTCGCAAAGTGCTGCTGGATCTGCAGGATAACGTCATCCAAATACCCCCAAAGAGCACCGCAGCGAATGAGTCTCGGTAATCGGCAGAGACTCGCAGTCAACGACCCACTTTCAAACGGGGTGTAAACCGGCATAGACGCGACAAGATCCCACTTGAATGCGGCACTGTGGAAATAATGTTTGTTGATCTCTTTCCGCTCCCAAAGGTTCTCAATTCCAGGTTCCGAGCTGCAAAAGTAGTAAAGCCGCAGATAGATATCTGCTGCAAAACACACGTCACAGCTCAGGTCCGCTATCAAAATCGCAGTATTTATTCTGCTCGGAAAATGAAGGTGCGCGTGGAAGCAGATGCGGAAGATGACAAACGCAGCGTTGTACACGTTCCAGAACGAAATGAGCGTCGTCCACAGAGCCTTGAAGGCGCGCCGTAAATTACCGCTTGTGCTAAGGAATGTTTGAGGGCGGCCTCGGTTTGGAATAATAGCACTATCCCGCTGGTAGAAGAGGCTCGGAGTTTGCATCGAGTGAGGCTGTAGTTTGAGCTTTTCCAGGTTTCCAGCAATGCATTGAAGGCGTTTCAGTTCTAGAGTGCACAGCGTTTCCGCCTCACCTTTCATGTCATTTATGTCGTCAGAAAACTTGCGCTGGATAACATCAAACTGCTCTCGCGTCATCACGGAGGCGTGAACACGAGAGGCAGCAGTAAGAGTCGCACAATACGGCCGTCTCAACAGAAACTCGGCCACCGCGTAACTATCGCCGCCATGGAGAGCGCGAACTGGCACTTTACGTGAGCGGGAAAACACGTTGATCTTGCTTCCTTGCAACAACACGAAGAATTCGCGACAAATATGTCCTTCGAAGCAGATAGTCTCGCCGTTTTGGTAGCTTCTGTGGCGGAATTTTCCAGTTACTTCTTGCAGGAACTCGCAGCTGGCCGAGTCAAACAGTGCCACACTCTTCACGGAATCCGAGTGCAAGAGTGACGATATCTCGTAGCAGAGTCGATCGGGTAAATGTGATAGTAATTCGGATTCATACGTCTTTTTGCGACTGGTAAACTGGTGGTGGTAAAATCGCCGGATATCGCTGCTCAACTTTTCAGAGATCGCCATTCGCTCCAAGATCGTGTTGAGCGTATTCAGCTTCTCCATGTGGTGGTGGTGAGTCGCCAGCATGTTCGAAATTGTACTAGACATGGCGCCAACTACCCCAAAATTGATGATACCTCCGACGAAAATCCACAACGCAGCGAAGTAGCTCTCCGCCGTAGAATATGCTACAATGTCACCATAGCCAACTGCCGTCAGGGTGACAATTGCCCAATATACAGAGCGTAAATACGCAAAGGATGCCTGGTACGTTGAATCTGGGTTTTCTCGTGGGAAAACTGTCCCTATATGCGCGTAGCAATCGAATTTTACCCACGAACAGTTCTGAAACTGCGTGGCCTCGCGAAGACACTCTGCGCGGGCGAAATCCGACGACATGATGGAGCTTAGCGAGGCAATTGATTCATCATGAGAAAGGAACGTCATCTCAAACCAAATGCAGCCAACGAAATGCAGCATCAGCGTGACGCCCAGCACTAGAGACACAACAAGGTGCAGCTTGGAGCTTACTCCGTAGAAGTCGCTTAGATCCTGAAGGAGACTTGGGATCCAGCGAATCCGTAATAATCTCAGTAGGCGAAAGAGCGTTGAGTAGCCTTGCAGTGGTTCGATCGACATGGAGTCAAGCACGAGACCGACAGGAACCCACGCCAATAAATCCAGGTAAAACCCCTTCTTCTTGTACGCCTCGAAGATCATGCTCGGCTGCATCACGTTAAACATCACGTCTGGATCCATATACGCAAAGAACCGAGACCGCAGAACCAGGTCGAGGCCGAATAACGCCTCTACTAACAGTGTAACCATGAAGCGAAGCCCGTGTTCAGGTTTTGCCATGAAAATGGGTTTTTCGCCGCTCATCGTGATAAATACGCCAAAATACGGCACCTCGAAGGCAACGTAGATGATTGCCAGTAGACGCGCTGCGTTCCAGTGCATACAAAACGACGAGCCAGGAAGGCGCCAGCTCGCACCACGTCGTCGTTCATGAGAGTGCACATCTTCGGCCATCAAGCTGTGGGAACTTCCTCCCATGGAGCTCTTCCTACTCCCACTCTCGTGAGCTCCACGCAGTCCCAGCAACTTCTTCATCTTATGGAGTTGCATCGAGTATTTCTCGAGAGTTTCGGCCATTCGCGAGCGCACATCAGCTTCGCTTCCGCGATAAAATTCCGTGATAGCTTCGTCAAATTTTGCTTTGGCGAGAACATAGACCTCGCAGAATGTCTTCGCAACGGCCTTTTGGTCGTACTGCTCGGGGGACAACAGACACACATCAGCGAAGAAATCCCCCTCGCTGCATTCGCTCGGTTTGGAGCCGTCAAAGGCTGAGATCATAACTTTCCCGCGGATTACGAAGAACATTTCGGCGTTAACTTTAGGCTCAATGATGTGGTCGTCTGGTGAATAAATCCGGCGCGCGAGGGCGAGAGCGAGCATGTTGGTGAACTCGACGCTCTCTTTCATGAGGAAGCACACCTGCTTGATACGGCTGGCCTTCAGGGTCGACACTACTTTGGACTGGAGATGCTTAGGCATGAGCTGCAGCGCTTCCTCGCTGTCCAGACTGTGGTGGGTACTCCACGCGTAGTTGTAGTAGGCAGTAACCTGATGTCTTACTTCTCTTGGGATGTTCTGCAGCCGCATATACTCTCGAGCATTGTCCACGTGCGTTGAGTACGCTGCGTATCGAGCGTTGCGGAATCGAAAGAGGAAGAGAAAGTTGGCCAGCAACGACGACCCGACCAGTGCGCCAACTAGCGTCATAACTAGTGCGTACATCGTCTCCGCATTGGACACGGGGGTCACATCGTCATATCCAAGTAACACGAGAGTCCGCGAAGCCCAATACAACGTCCTGCCGTATTTCCTAGCCACCGACGCGCCTAAAAGTCGATCGCGAACTACCCAGCTAGTCTCCACAACTTCATCGCACACGGTCAGATCAATGCCACACTGAGCATGTCCAATCAGCATGTACCCGCAGGCTACCCAGTGGCAAAGTCCAGCACAGACACTAATTGTACGAGCAAGACTATCAACTCCAGAAGAAGTCAAATGCTGGACCCACGCTCGATCTGCGTAAATTTTTGCGATACGAGCAAGGTATCGGCGTAGTCTGTAGAGGCGACACAATTTCGTAATCCGAACTAGGTGCAGCCCGTTGAAGTTCCCCAGCGCTAACGGTATGAGCTCCACCGGAGTAACAGCAATGATCTCGAACACGAACTCGACGCTGCGGGCGAAGAAGCGCTTCCGCTGAGCGAGAAAGCTCTCTGCGACTCCGTCCGTCATGGATGAATGCGACTCGATTGTTGCGATAGTCCATTTGGTTTTACCCCGGCGCTTGCGGAAAGAGGAAGACCGGATGAATAAATTCCGGGCGCTATTTGACGTCGAATCCGTTGGGTTTTTCTTCACCTTCTCCGACCTCACAGAGCTCCTCACCTTCTCGAACGTGTTTTTCCACAGCCGATAAAAAGCCAAAAACTGGAACAACCCGATCAAGTCCGCGAAGCCATCCATCACCGCGAATACCGAGAGCTCTTTGGACCATCGATGTACACTCTGATCGTCCTCTGTATAGTACGGATTGTAGTAAAAGGCGAGTCGAAATGGCACCGTCAGGAAAATGTACACGACGACGTATAAGTTCACGACCACGTGGAGGGTGTGTCTCGTGGTCCACGACAATCGATAGTAGATCTCAGCGAATGGCCGAACTAAGCGAAAGCTTTCGATTCGACGCAGTTGTCGCCCGCTTGGAACTTTCTTCAGCTTCACAGGGATCACTTCGGAGGACGGACTGCCACCGGTGACGACGGATGCGTTTCCCTGTAGCGCAACCTCGTCTGGGCCTTGTCGAGCTGTGGGTAGGACCTTATTCCGCGTCATGCCATCAGCGAGCTACAGCCGCATCAACGAACTCCCAAATGTCTCGACGGGCCAGTCCCCGGAAGTTAGACCGCAAGCGGGGTCCGAAGCGAGTGAGATCGTCAGCGTTGGCAAATGGCCCAGGGACTGAAGGCGTCGGTTATGTGGTGCACGAGGTGGCCTATAAATGGTCTCGCGCATTTGGCAACATGAGAAACTCCTTCACGACTGGAAATAGCCTGATGGCGAACTCCTCTTCAGCTGTCCAGCTTCCTGTTACGTACGAGGCAGAAGCTTGGTAAACCCGACGAACTTGATGAATGCACTGAGCACCCAGAGGTCACATTAGCTGCAGTAATATCGACTCTACGACGTTTACTTCGGGTTTTCTCTCACGAAGCTAGAATTTCAAATCTGCCCATGCCTACTTCAAACCAACTTGCATACGCGGCTGACTGTAGCATGGGCTCAAAGTGCAGTGAGGTCACGGTACGAATCTGTTCCTTAGGGCCTTGCGGCGCATCGTCGGATTCTTCTGATAGGAGGACTGCAACCTGTGCGACAGCTGAGCATGTAGCAACCAGTACAGCTTCCTCTTCGTTCATTGTGTGTGCGGCTGAACTGCCTCAATCTCCAGCTACTTTCTCCTTCTCCAGCTCTGGGAGCTGGAGAAGGAGACGGGGTAATTCTCCAGTTGTCACGTTGTGAACTAAACTATTTTGACCAATCAAAAGACAAGAAATAGAGTTGATGAGAGGTCATCTCCATCTCCAGCTACCTAGCGAACACGCTCTAAGGAGATAGTTTTCATCTGGGACTCCACCGTTCACTAAAACAATACATCGCCCTAAGTCTGGTACAATTCGGGAAACATGCTTTCTCAAAAAGTATAAGGTTCTGCCTGTAGTGCTAAGAGTCTGATAGAGCGCTGACAAACTCGTTTTAAGGTCTACAGTACAATATGTAATGGGTGAACCCGGACACATGTTTTTTGCAACCAGCTGGTATACAAAGTGGTAAGGATAGTTGTTCTGTGGTGCAAATCCGAGGAACTACGGTGCTGAAGCATACTTTAGGTGTTTTTGTTAGATCTACGGTGTAGAGGGTACTCCCTCGTTGGCCCCAGCATGATGCTGCGAAAGATGGGACAACTGACTCTCGGTTTGATCGCAAGCCTTTCGGGAAGCAATGTTCACTTTCAGATTCACCGCCTTCCTGCACTGCAAGCCACACCATGATCCTACGCTCTCTTCTTCTCTCCGCAATCGCCATCGCCTCCTTCAGCGCTGCGGGGGCTGTCACTATCGACCACGACAAGGTACAGCCGTTTGCGCAGCCCGAGCCAGTCACCGTGTCCGAGAAAACCGCTGTAAAATTCAAACCGAGTCTCCAGATCGTCGGCGGATGCCACCCGTACCCTGCTGTCAACGCTGCGGGTGAAACGAGCGCGGGGCTAAAAGGAAGAGGACCTAAAGACGGGGAATGCAAGGGGTCCGCTCTCGGCTCGCAAGTGTATGGACGAGCTATATGGTACAAGGATCTCTGGGCCATCGTGTACGGCTGGTACTTCCCCAAGGATAAAGGCTATGGCAGCATCCTTGCCAAGGGCCAACGACACAAATGGGTCAGCGCCGTAGTGTGGTTGGACAACCCTGCGCTCGAGACGCCCAAAATTCTCGCCATCTCGACTTGGAACGTGGAAGGAGGGTATGACATTTTGAAGAACGAACCGCCACAGTGCTATCGTTACAGTTGCGACGCGAAGTTCGCCGAGTATATCAACATGACGACCCCCATGCTCTCGTACGAGCGTTGTCGCCCAGAGCCTTCCTATCACACGCTGCGACCGACTACGGCAAGGGGTACTGGCGAACTCCAAGATCTCGTCATGTGGGAGCAGTTGAGCGAAGAAGCGCGGATCGCGCTAGGTGAGGCAGACTTCGGGGAGAAATCACCGGTCCCGTTCATTGACACCAACTTGAACGCAACTCTCGAAGCGGCTCGTCCGTTTCTGTAGGCATACTCGTTGGGCGGCCTCAGAAAAGTTTGATACATTGATATCCTGCAACGTAACGGCCAGCGTCTTTAAGTTGCGTGCTTGACAGCATTGACATCGTGCAACATCGCCAGCAATATCGATGTGAAGATCAACGTTTCAAGTTTGTGTTTGAGCTGGATATTATAATACCATTGTTGCAAGGAGGATCAAGGGCACGGCCGTGAACGTGCAGGCTTTTGTCTACATATCTCGGAGCTGGCGCAGAAGTTGTCGACCGTGTAGAGACAGCACGACGAGACCGTCTACATGCTGGAGGTGCATTTCAAGAACGTGGAGGGCACGGAGTTCACGGTGCAGGACGCAGACGCGCAACTGCAAGCACACGGGCTCCGCCGCTTGGCGCTAGAAGCTGATAACGGAGGAAGAGGCCGTGGTGGAGCAAGGACGTGCTGTGCCGAGGCCTGCCGGCATCTCCGGGCGCAACCGTGGGCAAGATCGTGTTCGCGGCGACCCTCGCGGAGGCGTGGTTCGCGTGCATACTGATGCGTGAGGAGACGTCGCCCAAGGAAGTGGGCGGCATGCACGCGGCCGAGAGCGCCCTCACGTCTCGCGGCGGCATGACGTCCCACGCAGCCGTGGTGGCCCGCGGCTGGGGCGAAGCGTGCCTTTGTGGCTGCGCGCGCGGTGTCCATCGACGCCAAGACCAAGACGATGCGCTTCCACAAGTCGAGCGGCACCGAGGTGCTGCTGCGCGAGGGCGATTAAATCAGCGAGAACGGCACGACGGGCGAGGTGATCAAGGGCACGCAGGCGCTCTGATGTTTATGACTTTGTCTCGAAGCCTGACTACAACCTTGATCCTGCGGTTAGCGCGAGTGTAATCGTTGCGCCAAGTGTGAATAAAAACATCGTGCCGCACGCGTACAAAAAGCCCCGTTCGTCTTCGCTTGATAATCTGCTAGAACGTTTCTTCAGCACGGCCGCACCAAGCTTCTCCACTCTTTCCTCCGTCAGCGCGCTCGGATTCTTGCTGATCACCGTATTGAGCTTGTCCATGGAAGGACTCTTTTTCAAACTCTCCATCCTCGCCATTAGAGCCGTGTCCTTTTGCAAGCTCTCGAACGTCTTGACAAGCTGAGGGTTGTTCTCGAAAGGCTTGAGAAGCGATGGATTGCCGCTCAGCGTCTTGGTCAAGGTCGGATACTCCTTCAACTTCTTGACAACACTGGACTCTTTGGTAGAAAACGAGTTCACTTTGCGTCTGCATTCTCTCTTCGGCCTCAGCATTGGTGGTGCCATCTCCGTCACCCGTTTAACTGCTGCTTCGGAGGCTTGCAATTGCGTTGGCCTGTTCGGCGATAGCAAAAGCCTGGATACATGCAGCGAAGGCGACGGCTATCAGAAAGAAGCATCCCTGACGCATGCTGGTGATCACAGGCCCGATTGAGAACGCTCTTCACGCCTTGAGTGCTTGTAGGTCGGTTCGGGAATGGAGAGGAGTTGTTGCATCACTATGGAATTATTCGGCAAGTTGCTGCCGCGTACAGACGACGACCTGATGCACGGAAATGGTGATTACTACCCACCTATCTATGCCGTCTGTGGAGTTGAGCACACCTCGGGCTCATTAAAGTCGCAGAGTACCTATTGTAGCCAAAGTGGCCTTGTCTGCTCTTAAGTACAATGCATGCCAGGGTCACCACGATCACCTCGTAGCTATTTTGAGCAAATATCTACCGCACTCGGGCACAGAGTTGGTGAAGTGTACCAATATACTGTGCCATCCAGTTCTCGACATGCAGATTTATGGATACCAGCCGCCATCGTCATCAGCGCGTCCGTGAACGAATGTCATCGGCGATCGCGTATCCAACTTCCTCGGCTTTCGCGAATACAGTGACAGAGCTATGAGCGACGCTTGTAGCCAAAGCAGGTAAAAAAAGAGAAAATAGTACTGTAGTGTACACATTGATGTCTATCTGTATCCGGATAGTCATGAAAGCTATTTCCTTAGCACGAAGTAGTCGGGCGTACACCTGCAAGCCGTAGCCCGCATATTTTCCCCCAGTTAATGGTATAAAGCCCTGGTCTAAAGCTAAGCTTGCAGTTTGTATAACGCTTCGACAGCGGTCGGTCGTTCGCTCGGGTCCCCGGACGCACAATCATACCGTAGCTCAGTGATTGAGGGGTGAGTTGCCCTCGGAGAAATTTGCACGGACTGCACCTGTCGTAGATCCTCCTTTTGTGTAAGGTAAGCTGGAGCCATCTAAAGTTAGGTAGGTGCCCTTGCCGGCTGGTGGAGCGCACAGTGCGTGGGGGATGGCGGGGAGAACAAGAGCAGAACTACAATGGCACCTCGCTCTCCTTCGTAAGCGACGCGCAACATGCCGACGGTATCTTCAATAATAATAAATGTACTGATCAATTTGAGTGACCATATTATTGACTTTGGACTAGTGGTTCTCAGGTCCGCAGGTTTCATCAGCCAATAGGATTTACCTGCAAACCTGCAGCAAGTCACAAAGTATGCTGGCTAACCTGCAATGCACTTTCTGAACACACCTGCAGGTTTACGCTGATTGGTTAGATCTACCTGCAACCTGCAAATCTACCAACCGTGAGAACCACTAGTATTGCTTTTTGCTCAAAATGGCCAGCTCGTCAACGCTGTACAGTCAAACCTGTTTATATGAGGCCCTGTTAGTGACCATCTACTACAATGACTCATATAAAATGGACTCAGTTAAAACAATTATGTGGTGCACGTAAAGAAATCGTGCATAGTTCGCTGCCGCTTTGCCTTCACCGTAGTCTCTCGAACCAAAGCGGTCACCGTCTGTAAAGCTCTTCGTTCTCTGTCAGTCTGCTCTCCGCATTGCAGCAGAAATGCAGCCAGCTCCATGCAGTGTCTCAGAGCAATGGCAGGTTGAACTGCGGGTTCCTGTTCCTCCTCCTCCTCCTAAGCGCTCCGCCAGCTCATGCGCCTTCATCAGGAGCACGTCGTCCGCCATCGCCGTTTTAGCTTCGTTCTGAAAGAAAAATTCCCTCAGTTCCCGCTCGAACTGAGGGAATTTCACTCGGCGCCGCTTGGTCGCACTCAGGTCGACGTGGCTGAAGTAGGAAGAAGGCAGGTTGCGCAGTCGGGCGAGTGTGGCACGGCTGACCCGGGCCTTGAAAGTTGCGTAGATCCACTCGGCGGGCATGGGGTTGTTCATGCCAGGATTCTGCTTGAGCTTTAGGTGCACTTGGAGCTTTTGTTCTAGCGTCAGACAGGTGCGAGGAGACATGGCGAGCGGTAGGCGTTGAGTGTTGAGCAGTGGTGCTTTGAAGAGTGTGTGGCCGTGAGCAGTGAATCAAATAAACAGGTGAGACCTAATTTGGTACCCAAAAATGTGACTCATATACCTTGTATGCATATAAACAGAGATCATACAAAAACTAAGTGAAATATTTGGTAGCGACAAAGCCTGCATCAAATAAACGGCATGGCTCAAATAGAGAGGATCATTTAAACAGGTTTGACTGTACAACTGGGAGACGGCCGTGGCGCGCGATCCGGACCTACAGCGCATCGACGCGTTCGTGCGTGGGCCGCGGCGGCTCCCGGTACGCGCCGCCAGTCAAATCCGAACGTGCGTACCCAAATCACATTTCTGGCCCAAATCACATTAATTTGCTAACCACCTATTATATTTTGCCCAACCGCCGCTGAATGAGTAGGTCCAGCACCGAGCGATACAAGCATGGTGTCAACGAGGACAGGCAGTACAGCTACTGTACGTGCTCCGCCGTCCGAGGGCAGCAATGAAAGCCCGCAGTTCATCGACCCGAGCAGCTACCAGAGCGAGTCCTCCAGCGAGGTGGACATGCGCGAGGTGAACCCCATGGACGAGCTCAGCGACTTTGAGTCGGACGCGTCGCAGCAGCCGCAGCAGGAACAGCAGCAGCAGGAGCCAATAGAGAACAACGCTGCAGCTGCAGACAACGACGTGGAGATGGACGCAGACGCAGCCGCAGAGGAGGAGGAAGAGGAGGACAAGAACACGGTGTGGTGTGCAAGAGCTCGGAGCGCGAGCGCGACATTGTGCTCTGCGACGACTGCGACGCCGAGTACCACGTCTTCTGTCTGAGCCCGCCGCTGCCCAAGGTGCCCGAGGGCACGTGGTACTGTCCAAAGTGCCGGGTCAAGTATCCGGATACCGAAGCGGCTAGCGCTGCGGTGGACGTGCGGGTGATGGCGGAGCAGCTGCGGGCTGGAGGCGCAGCAGTGGAAAATGCTGGCGCAGTGCAGACGAACGAGACGGAGCCAGAGGCGCCGACTAGTGGCGACGTAGCGGCAGCGGATGGAGGGGCAGATGGACCGGCATCATTCCCGGTACGCGGTTGCTATTGTTTTCACGAGTTTGTGCTGGCTAACGATTGTTATCTTGTGCACAGATCTCTCAGGCGCTGGAAGGAAACCCAGAGTCAGCAAACGCGTTGCTCGTTCACGCGTGCAGTTGCGACGACGTCAAGTGCGCGGACGCGGAATTCCATGTGTTCTGTCCCCACATGAAGCGCTTCCTGCGCAGCGTGTGTTGGGCATCGCACAGCGACAAATGGCGCTCCTACCGACTCGCACGGATCACGGCCGAGCTCTTTGCGTACCACGCTATGAACTGCAAGCTGGAGCAGTGCAATGTCCCGCTTTCGTGAAGAAGAAATCGTCTAAGGCGACGAGCGGGCGGCGTATTATCCATCCATCCGAGGACGCTAATAAGTAACTGATCTGAGGGTTTTGAAGGAATGCCGTTTTTCTATGTGTGACGCAGAACGAAGAGTTACCATGAAGAGTGCATTGCGTTGGGTTTCTGGGCGACGACTGTGGTCCTCTAATAGTCGTGTCTATGCGGAAGTCGAAGCGGACTGAGGTGGCCACTTCGATGGGGTTTTGTTTTGGTGCGGAGCGGTGAAGCCGGCTTCAGTGGCGACGCGGCGTTTACAGCGTGGACCCATGCATATTCGTCGCTTTTGGAGACCTCCCACGATGCGACTATATCTCTGTAGTTGCTCGGAAGTTCGAATTGATGCTTGTACGCAGGCTTGGGAAGAGAGAGAGGTTTCTGCTGCCGTGGCGGGGATGACAAAATTGGGCGGGATTCAATCTTCAAAGCAGGAATCAAGTCCAAAGAGGACGAAGTCAATATTCCTCCCTCCTCCTCCTCCGCCTTCGTGGTGTTTGCTGGATTAGCTGGACTCAGATTTACCGTTGACGCGGCGGCAAGTGATGCTCTGGGCCCGGGCTTCAGAGCGATGCTGAAGCGTGGCTCTCGGTTTTTGAGCTTAAGCAGCATGTCATCCACGACAGCCAGTTGATTAGCGGGGCGGAGCTCAAAGCCGCGTTCCTGTTTGATCGACACGCACTTCTTGAGCAGCAGCAGCGCGTTGGTGAGACTGTTTTGCGTGGGCAGCACGGGCATCAGTCGCGTGATTTCGCTCGGTGCGGCTGAGTAGTAAGTCCCCTCGCTCTCCACAATTTCGCGGGTTGCAAGCTTCAACGAAAGCGTGCAGCAAATGGCGCCGTCGTGGTCCCCGCCCAGCAGCAAGAAGATGCGAAGTGTCTTGCTGTTGCTCGATGGTTCATGCACGTGAGTCGCCGCTGTGCTCACGTGTCCATTGTGCTCGAAGTACCTGCTGTTGCGCCGATCGGTACTGAAGTCATCACTACGAGGAGTGAAGGAGCCCGCCGTCTCCTGATAATCGGAGCTGTCGGAGTTGTTCGAGCGATGGGAGTGCGAGCCTGACTCCATCGACTGCATCACCGATCCATGGCTCTCCGAGTCGGTAGTCGCAATGCCGAGAATGCGGCCTTTTGTCGACGACTTTCGTCGCAGCTCTATCTTCTTCTTGCCTGAGGTGGAGGCGTGATGAGCGAGGCGGTTCTTAGACCCGCCGCGGTGCTTACTACCTATCAGCGAGTGACTCGAGGAGCTGGACGAACTGCCTCCCGGACCTGGCTGCGATAGCATAGACCGTCGAGACTTTGAGCGAGGCACTCCCAACTTTTTCCGCTCTTTGCTGATGGAGCCACCGGCATTGCCATGGTGGTGAGTGGAGCTTGCGGTGTGATCATGGTCAGTATCGTCGTCCGCAGTTTCCTTGATGGCGGGAGGCAAATGTCCATCCAAAGCAGATTCGTCTTCAGCCGCTGGGTCCACGCGTGGGTGGTTGTTCACCTTCATTGCGCCGAGTCGAGCTGTGATTGAATGCAGCTTCGAGTCTCGGGTCGCTTCAATGGCTTGGAGCAGCTGTACCAGTGTCAATTCACCGCCGCCACCACTCATCTCCGACGAAGGGCCATTTGACGCAGACAGATTTGCCAGAACTGCGTATGGATCGGGGAGGTCTGCGCGTCTGCCCACACTCGAAAGTAGGGGGAAGACTTCCTGCCGCGGCAAAGTACCGCGATCAAACACGTCAAAGGTGCGGAACTTGTCGGAAACGAGCGCGATCGTGTCTCGGTGGAAGCTTGCAAGCAGGCGATCAGGAATATGATAGCACCTCGTCAGCTTCTCCTGCTTCAGCTCCTCCAGAGCCTTATCGCGTGTACAGTCTGCTATCACTTGCTGGAATGGTGTCGATTCTCGAAAGTCGTCGGTCGATTGATGCGGATCCTGCAACTGGCCAGGCGTCCACATCGAGATCGCGCCGTCTTTAGGAAAGAGCCCAAGGATCCCTTTGTCGGCGGAGACGTGATGCCCATTTACGATTGAGCCCTCAAGGAGAATGGGGAGAATTTGACGAAGTGCAGCCTCAGGGTGTGACAGTGGAGTTAACAGCATTGCACAGTTCATGAGCGCGCCGCAGAATAGAGGGAACGTGAACGCAGGTTGGCCGTCCGCGTCCAAATACACGCGCATCTTGCCCATGACTGCCTGAGCGAAAATGCGCTCGACACTGTCGACTTGGAGGCCCCTAGTTGACGGCATCACGGAGCAAACGTTAGTACCGCTGCTGCTGCTTTCGTTTATCAATCGGGCGTCGCGGAGGATTTCGACGAGTCGGGCGCAGTTAATTGAGGGCAGGTCGTCTCCAACTGCGGAGGAGTCGTAGAACTTGAACAACCCGTAGAGCTGGTTAACCTGGTTTTGCGTCAGTGTCTTGAGCGCTGAATTGTTCAAATTCCAGTGGAACTGCGGCGTCAAAGTAGGCACCGGACAGGTGTTCGGTCGGTGAGTTTCGGTTGCTGCAGTGGCTTCGGGACGATATTTGTTGACAGTTTTGTTGGAATGCTGACGCAGCAGACACGACGACCCGCCGACATTTGTCTTTGTGAACTTTTTGGCTCCTGAAGTGGGAGCGGTGGCGACTCGAGGATCCATGCTCTCGATTGTCAGGCGTTCATGAATGAGTTTGCAATCGATACTTCCACTCTCTCCGTACCAAGGAAGGCCATTCTTGGAAGACAGAGGCAGGTATTTTTACAGACAAGCATGAGGGTCGGTCTCCTTTAGGAGTTCAATGAATCGAAGACAGAGAAACTCGCCGCAATCTGAAGACTGTCGAACGAAGGGTTGGTTGAGCTCAAGGCTCTTCGGTGTTTTTGATGTGGCTGCCTAGTCTCGACGGGAATCGAAGAGGGCTTAGATGTAGATGGCCACTACGAGAGGGCATGGCTTGGTGGTATGTGTACAGTGCCGGCTGGAGAGGCGATGCCGCATTCACATTGTGGACCCACGTGTCGCTTCCAGCAACCTGCCACGTTGCAAGGAGGTCTTTATAGTTTTTCGGGAGTTTGCTCTGTGAACGGGTAGACTTTGAATGGGGTGGAACTTTCGCTTGTTGCCATGGTAACCTGTGGATATGGTCTGATGGAGCCGAGGAGATTTGGCGGCACCCTTCGGACCTTTGAGATACTGAAGCGGTAGCAAGGGGTTGCCTTGGAGGTAGCACTGCAGTGTCCCGCGACGTCTTGATAACGGGGGTGCTGTAGTGCGGTTGTCGTTCGTTCAGATCTTGCAGCATTTTAACCACGACAATGAGTTGGCCAGCAGGACGCTGCTCGAAACCGCGCTCCATTCTGGTTATCACGCACTTCTTCAGCATACGTAGCGCGGTGGCCAAAGTCTTTTGAGTCGGCAACACGGGCTTCGTTCGTGTCGTCTCGTTTGGTGCTGTCGCGTAGAATATCCCCTCGCTTTCGGTGATTTCTTTGGTCGCAAACACGAGGGAGATGGTGCAGCAAATGGCTCCATCGTGGTCACCACCGAGCAGCAAGAAGATACGGATCGTCTTCCTGTTGCTTGCACTTGGGGGTTCACACACTTCAATCGTCATAATCGGTGGGCATAGCAACTCTGGCTCATGGTCTGCGTCGGAAACCTGGTGAAGAGCGCTCACGGTGTCATTACTGTTGGGAATGTTAGTGTCCAAGGAGTCCGCCTCCACAACTGTGGGCTCTTTCTCTCTGGCTGTGGCTAACAGCGCGGATTGCCTCCGGGATGTCGGCTCTTCCTGGTTAATCAACTCTGCTGCCACGGACGTCATGGCTTCAGCTTTGTTGCTGTTGATCGACGACGTCCTCCAGGGCAAGACGGCTTTTCTCCTGTTAGCAGTGGACGGGTGGTGAACGAGGTGCGCCTTGGAGCCGCGCGACTTCGTCATACGGATCGGACCGTCTGAATCGGAGGCTTGGCTTAGCGTTGACTTGCGTGGCTTCAATACACCCCGTCTCCTTCCACGCTCTTTGGCACCTTTGGAGCCTTTCGTGCTGGCGCTTTTGTCTTGCACTGGAACATCGTTCAGTTCCAGTAAACTTTGGTTGTCATCGTCTGCGTTTGGTTCGAAGGAGAGGCTGTGTCTGGCTTCGTAGCTGCTCGGGTCAGTCGGATCTTCATCGAGGCAAGGCGTGCTGCGGAGGAATGTCGCTTGGCCTCTCGAGTCACCTCAATGGCTAGGAGCAGCTCCGCTAATGTCATCTCACTCTCGCTGCTAATTCCACCGCCGGTGCCTCCACCACTCATCGGGTTATTAGAAGCAAAGAGCCTCGGGAGCACCGAGTACGGATCAGGAAGGTCTACGCGTTTGCCCAGACCCGAGAGCAGCGCGAATATCTCGTGGCGTGGCAGCACTCCGCGTTCAGAGACATCATACAGACGGAACTTGTCCGAAATGAGTGCGATCGTGTCGTGCTCGAAGCTCGCAAGCAGGCGATCAGGGATATGGTAGAGCTTTGCCACTCTCTCCTGCCTGAGCTCCTCGAGCGCCATGTCGCTCTCACAGTCGGCGATGACTTGTTGGAAAGACGGCAGGTCTCGGAAGTCTTGTTGACCGTCTTCTGGCTGAGGGAGCGGAGCATGTGATTGCTCGGGTATCCAACACGAAAGCGTGCCACCCGTGGGGAGGTGTCCGATCAACCCCTTCTTCGCCGCTGAAGCGTGATGCTCGGTGCCAATCGAGCAGGCGAGAAGCCTCGGAAGAGTCTGGCGTAACGCGTCGGTGGGATGCTCCGACGGAACCAGCAGCATCGCGCAATTCATGATGGCGCCGCAGAAGAGCGAGAACGTCAGCGCTGGCTGGTCGTCTGCGTCCAAGTAGACGCGCATTTTGCCCATGACAGCCTGTGCGAAGATCCTCTCGACACTCTCAACCCGAAGTCCTTCCGTCGGTGGCACAACCGAGCTGGAACTAGGGATAACATCATTGTTGCTGAGCAGTCCGGCGTCGCGCAGGAGCTCCATGAACCGCGTACAGTTGATCGAAGGCAGCGCGTCTCCAATCGTGGACGAGTCGTAGAACATGAACAACCCGTACAGCTCTTCGACTTGGTTCTTTGGCAGCATATTGAGAGCTGAGTTGTTCAGGTTCCAGTGCAGGTGAGGCGTTAACGTCGGCGCGGGGCATGTTTGCGGCCGACCCTCCTCTTCTGGGGCTTCCACAGCGAGGCGCTCCGCACTGAGAGTCCTGACATTTCGCAGCAGATGCGACGATCCAGGGTTCTTGGACCACCGTTTGGCCTTCGGGCCTGAAGCAGTAGAGACACGGGGATCCATGCGCCCTGCTAGCCAACCCGCTTGCACTGCTGATACTCGTTCCCTGATCAAATGCGCTGTAGTTAGTACGAGCGAGTATTTTAAGCAGCAGAAATACCAACAGACAATGTGATACGCAACGACAGTAATTGCCAGATTCCGGACCGGAATCCGGAAACCTGTCAAACCTGCAATAGAGACACACTGGCGAAACATAAAATCACTTGTGCCAATCAGGCCCACTTATTCATTCCGGACAGCGATAGAAAGGTATGAAAATCGGGCTATTGTAATTTACAATTTGTAAACATCTCGGTTCAGTATTTTTAAGCACGACGCAGGGACGGATGGCAGGCGGCTAGGAGTGCATGGCGGAGGACTGGAGCGCGAGGAAGAGGACAGGTCAGAAGGCTGAGCCCAAGTACGTTTCGGATGCGACACCTGCAGATGTCCACAAACACGTCGCCGAGATGCAGCGGGAGTCGCGTACTCCGGAGGCGCAGGCCTTGGGCAAGCGCCTGGCCGGTTATGTGAAAAACGAGCAGTTGGTGGTGCGCCCCGGCATCTTCTGGAACCGCTACACCTATTACTGGGAGATGCCCATTGAGCTCCAGACTCGTCTGTCACGTGAAGCGACGCTGGTGATCATCAATGGCGACCTGAACTACCGTCGTCTGCTGGGTGACCGACTGTGCCTTCTTAAACTCGGAGCTGGACGAAGAGATTTACCTGGAGCCGGTCGAGGGATTTGAGTCTCCCGATAGCCACGTTTGGCAATTGTTGCGGGCGCTGTATGGGTTGAAGCAGCCCGACGTACGCTACAATGATTCTCGAGCGATTTGGTATGCTGCGTGCACGGACGGCATGCACACCCATGGAGGACCGCTATCGCGACCAGTTGTTCAATGTGCAGGAGCCGTCGGGATTCCGCGCGCGTCCAGCGATTGGCGCGTTGCTGTATCTGGCAGTGATAAGCCGACCTAACATTGCCACCGCAGTCCGCATCCTAGCGCAGGAGATCGAGCGCCCGACGGACAGTGCGAAGCATGGCGTGGAGCTTGTCTTCCTTTATCTGAACGGTACAACTGACTTTGGGTTGACCTTCAGAAAAGGTGCTGGTAGTGGACTGGAGGTGTACTGCGATGCAGCGTTTTCGGTGGAGCGGGACGCCAAGTCTGCCACTGGCTACGCGATCTTCTTTGGCGGCTGCCTCGTCGAGTGGGGATCGAAGAAGCAATCTATAGTGACGCTGTCGTCGACCAAAGCTGAGTACATCGCTATGAGCGCCGGCGTGCAGGAGTGTATCGGGCTCAACCTGGTGCTGAAGGGCTTGGGGATCGCTGTCGACACGATCGTCATGCAGGAAGACAATCAAGGCGCCGAGCATCTGGCGGAGAGCAGAGCCGTGACACAGCGTTCTCGTCACATCCACACCAAGTACCATTTGTTGCGCGAGAAGGCTGCTCAGGGCGAGATTCAGACCAACTACTGCGCTACTGCTGGGATGATCACCGACTATTTCACCAAGCCACTTGGAACCATCAAGTTTGAGCGTTTTCGCGCCGATCTTGGCGTTCGTCGAGTGGGGGTGTTGGAACAGCTTAAACAAGCGACGAACGAAGCCGGTCGCGACTAAGGCACACATGGTTGACCTCGGTGCATGGCCTGGACAGCCAGTTGCTCGTTGAGCTCGACGACGTCTGGCGGCATCAAGTCAGACATCGTCTCGGGCAATCACTCAAGGTTCAAGCCGTCATCGACGCGGCAACCAATCGTGGGGCGTCACGCGCGCATCAAGCGCTGTGGCTACATGTAAGAGCAGCAGCAGCTCATGGAGCAGATAGCAGACTGTAGTTCGTTTGGTTTTCAGCTTTGGCCCCACCTCAATCATTTTTCATCATTCTCCGGCCTTCCCAAGGCTCCTTTCCTACCTTCCTGTCCGTCGCCGTCCTCGCGTCCGTCGCCGCCGTGAATTCCTTTGCATCCAAGCCCTTCCAATATACGGAACGACACGAAAGCCGTGGGAAAGTATGACACTGCTTCCTCCACGGGCGTCGTCGGCTGCCGGTCTTGCTGTCAAGCTGTAAGCGGTGCATGCGACGCTGTACGGCTACTACCAGCACAAGACGCACCGTGATGTGACGCACGACAAGGCTGAACGTCTCCGTGTAATCTTCACGATAGCGTTGACGGAAGCCCTTGGTGACAACACGTGCTTTATACTTGTCCAGCGTTCCATCCGCGTTCATCTTCTTCTTGAAGACCCACTTACACTTGATGGCGGAGCGACCAGGAGGCAGCGGGACCTCCACGAACGTCTCGTTCTCAAGCCGTCTCTGGATTTCGTCCAGCATGGCGTCCTCCCACGCGCTACGATCATCGGCTTGCTACACCTCCGCGAGGTTGATTGGCTCCACACAGAAGCGTCCAAACCTCAATATCGCTAGGCGTTAATTCGCGGTTGATAAAGCCGTCACGCACATTCGTGCCGTCGAACTGGGCAGGAGCAACACGTTCTTCGACCAGGTTGCAGACTTCCTCCATGGTGAGGTGCGATTCTTCGAACTCCAGGCGACGTTGACTGGGCTTGGGAATGCGGTTTGACTGACGCGGAGGGGAAACCTCCTTCTCTTGACGCGGGTCTTCTCGAAGCCGAGCCTGCCGTCTCGCGACTCCCACTGGTTCTGAACGGGTCGGCTGCGACGCGGGCGTGGTCAGCTCTTCTTCAAAGTCGACAGGGCCCATGATGACGTCTTCCTTCTCTAGTCTCCAGCTGGAGTTGGCACTCAGTGCTGGCAGCGATGGACACCGCCAATTACGCCAATTACGTACTGATCGTGACCACGTCCGCATCTGTCGCAGGCAAGAACTGGTCCTCGTACAACACAACCGTGCTAGCAGTAATCGTGTGGCCAGCCCCATTTTCCGGTACGTGGACCAGATACGCGCCGCCAGTTGCATACCCGACAAAGAGGCCGTTCCGCGTCTTGCTTCGAGTTTCTTGCGGTGTTCCTTGGGCACGAGCACCTGCACCTTGCACCCGAAGCCACGGAGGCTGCTGATGTCCGGTGCCTTGCCGAGGAAAGCCTCCATGAGTATCTTGCCATCAAGCACCTTCGTGGGGCAGCGGTTGCACACGTACGCAGCACATACAACAGCGTCTGCCCAGTACGAGCACCGAGCATCATTGACCTCGCCATTTCCACGATGACGCGATTGCCACGCTCGACCTTGCCGTTTTGCTGCGGGCTGTACGGAGTGGTAAACTCTTGTACATTGGTCTGACGTAGTCAATAGCGAGTAGGAGCTGGTTCTTCTTCAACTCGCGGGGTCTTTTAGGAGCAAATGGCTTCTGGGTCAGCTTTCCGCTCACGCAAGTGGGGCACGCTTGCTCCATGACGCCTCCCCAGGGTAGCGTTAGATCTACAAGGACCTGCTGCACGCTCTGCATGTTGAGGTGGCCGAGGCGGCTGTGCCATGTCTCCACGTGTGCCGCCTCGGCCGTCCTCATAGTGGCACCATCGCTTGGCCCGCTCAGAGCCGAAACCACATACATGTGGTGGTTGGCGCATGAGGCTTCCAAAGCCACACCAGACTTCGCGCGAATCACACATGACACGCTTTTGAACGAAATCTCCATGTCATTGTGCGACGCAGCCGCAACCGAGAGCGAGCCCATGCATATACAGGACGTCCTGCAGCACACGAACCTCACGCCCATTGCGCAGCAGAGGAGCCTTCCCGATAGCGGTAGCCAGCATCGTCTCGCCGGATGCGACGGTGAGCGAGTGCGGCGTGTCCAGGGTGTGCACATCGACGAGATTCTCAATGTGGCCAGTCATGTGTCTTGTCGCACCACTGTCGACAATCCATTCCCGCTTGTCATTGGCCGTCATGTCCTCCACTGAGAAGGTCATACTGACCGCTTCCTTTTTCACGGTTTACGGCGCCGGATCCCCGGCGCAGTTCCGAGCGTAGTGTCCCATCTGGTTACAGCTGAAACACTTGCCCTTTGACCGGTCACGTTTCCTCTTCGACTTAGTGTTGCCCTTGCCGGCCATTTGCTCAGTGTTGAACGCAGCAGCCGTCCTGCCGCTGCTTGTAGCACAACTCGTCGATCGACGATCCTTCTGCTGCTCACGCCGGATCGCCTCTGCTTGGCATCGTTGGAGTATGGCCTCGAACGTCGCGCATGACTCGAGGACGCCAACGAAGCCGTTCCAAGCAGGCATGAGGCTCTGGATGAAGTTCTACCTCTTCTCTTCATCAGAGACAGTCACGTGCTGCTCTTGCAGCTCATCAAGGACACGTCTTGCCGTCTTGATGTGCTCCACCACGGCGTCATCTCCATCCAGATAGAGCCCCATATACTCGCGCTTGGCCGCCCCAATGCTTGCGCTGTACTTGTCATTGTAGGTCATGCGCAGGTGGCGGAGCATCGTAAGCGGGTGTTCCATCAGGTACACCTCCGCAGCGAGCTTCTCGCTCAGCGCCGCCAAGATGATCAAAGCAGCCATCTTCTGCTTCATCACTCGGTCGTTGAGCGGCGTGGCCGGCGATGACGTTCCGGCAGGAGCTACCGCAGATGCAGCAGCATCCCTCTCGGTCTTCAACTCGGCTTCGGTCGGCGTCGGCGCATTGACGGCGACCCAAAGCCCCTTCATCTCCAGCACCAGCTTGACTTAAGTGCCCCAGGCCGAGAAGCCAGTTCCGTTGAACTGCTTGAGCTTGGTCGTGAACGTCGCGGCCATAGTCGTAGACATTATAACCTATTGGAAGGGCTTGGATGCAAAGGAATTCACGGTGGCGACGGACGCGAGGACGGCGACGGACAGGAAGGTAGGAAAGGAGCCTTGGGAAGGCCGGAGAATGATGAAAAATGATTGAGGTGGGGCCAAAGCTAAAAACCAAACGAACTACAGTCTGCTATCTGCTCCATGAGCTGCTGCTGCTCTTACATGTAGCCACAGCGCTTGATGCGCGCGTGACGCCCCACGATTGGTTGCCGCGTCGATGACGGCTTGAACCTTGAGTGATTGCCCGAGACGATGTCTGACTTGATGCCGCCAGACGTCGTCGAGCTCAACGAGCAACTGGCTGTCCAGGCCATGCACCGAGGTCAACCATGTGTGCCTTAGTCGCGACCGGCTTCGTTCGTCGCTTGTTTAAGCTGTTCCAACACCGTACGCTCAAGTCGAACCTTGTGGTGGGCATCCCTGCAGACGTCGTAGACAAGCTGGAGAAGGAAGACGTCAAGTGGCGGTACAACGGCAAACGCGGCACCATCCAGAGCGGGAATATTTTTAAATGGGTCTTTTGCAGAACAGGTCTTCAATTTGATCATAGCGTACTTTTTCTATGATCTCGTGGTTGGATCACATTCGCCATGTTTTTTTTTGCCCCTAGGACGAGTACTCTTTTCGGAGTGAATCCAGTCACCTACTATTCCACGGGAAAGTACGAAATATGTGGCGAGTATGTGGCGAATTCTGATTCTGATTCTGCCTTTCTCGCAGTCATTCTTTTTCATTTTGCAATTTGCAGGCTTCGTGGCAAGCAGCGGAGGGCGCGGTGCACGGTGGCGGCGCTTGGGCGATGGCCCCGCAGCGTACGTGCGTCTGAACATGCAGCCGAGTGGCGAAGAGCGCTTGTGGACTTCTGTAGGTACGCCTACAGGCTCGTGAATATGGGTTAGATACATTTTGTCGAGGGTGAAAGCGCTCCAAAGCCCCCCACATGTAGATTAGTCGCACGGGGCGCGACCTTTCCGACGTGCTAAGATATATCCGCCTCGAAAAAGCGATTTAAAATGCACTAGGAGTGCATCTACCGCGATGGCGCTTGCGTATCTCCCTCAACATGTTGCTCGGGAGGCTAGCAGGTAGATTGTCTTTTTACACAGAACTCACATGTTTGAGGTTGATTTTCGAGGCACAAGAAGCTTGCTGTAAGGGTTTCAGATGCGAAAGGGAAGGGGAATATATATTTCTACATGACTTCATGACTCGCTCGTACTAGCGATCAATAATGCAGGCACAAACCTTCACCACAAAGAGTAGCTGAGGCTTCCATTTCCATTTTAGACTTCGTCGTTTGGAGTGAACCCGATGCAAATCCTCGCACTCGTCTAAGTACGATATATTCGACGCAAACTCGCCACATATTTTGCCATTTCCCATGAAATAGTATGTGACTGGATACTCGTCCTTATAAATACCAAACGGGCACTGGACTCTTCTCGGTTTAACAAATTATATCCGGATAAATATCAAAGTAATTGGCTGTCGTCGTCAACAGTCCACAGAGTTCCAAGATGTTGTAACGCGTTCCGCTTAAGAAAATAACTTGAACACTGTGATAGGGAAGCTGGCACTTCCTAGAGTGTTGATCACCGAGTAGATTCAAAAGTGGAAAGCATAGCATGCCTGCCCCAGCGCTCATGCCTGTCAGTTTCAACTTCTAGATACTGCTCTTCTACGGATTGTTCTCTTCTACAGATTTTTCTCCCCAACTCCTAGTTAATTTTCACGTAGTCCATGCCAGCTGGGGAAATGCAACTGCAAGACCCCAATGTGTGTGAGCATGGCTTGAATATCGGTATTTCCGGCGAAGACGGAAATTAAGTTTTCCTGGAAGAAGGATAGGCGTTTGTCAAGACTTCGCGCTCCTGATCGCTGTGCAACTCGGCCAACAAGCTATAGCCGTCAAGTCACAGGCGGGTCAGCTGGCAACCCGGTTCGACCCACGGTTCTGACCCGGCTGTTGTACGATAGAAATAGCAGTCGTTCTATAGGAAGAAGATGTGTTCGATTACCGATTTATCTGACTTCTCAATTTATGTGAACTAATGTGCTACTTACTCGACAACAGTGCGGAACACCACACCAGAGCGGGATGCTAAGTGTAGTTGTACATGCCGAAGCTTGAATCTGTTGTCATGTCTGCTGATGAAATCGCCCAAATGTTTGGAATACCGAAGCCGTTGTAACAGAGATTTGAACTTGGTTTGATCTTCGGAGTTTGATAGTCTTAAGAGGCGTCGATAGTTGGAGCTGAATGTGCTGTAAATGCTTGATATCGTTGTTTCAAGGGGTTCCGGTCCTCCATCCTCGAAACAAATTTTGTTCCTCTCAGTTCATTGGCGGCTAAGTGCTGCGCACCTCACTATATTCCATAGGCAAAGCACTGCCTCTCTGTGATGGGACCATGTTGACCAAATTTCCTGCTTGTGGGGGAGTACCATGGAAGTCCAGCTGATGCCTCCTACGAAAACGATACTCCAGTCGGTGGCGACGGACGCGAGGACGGCGACGGACAGGAAGGTAGGAAAGGAGCCTTGGGAAGGCCGGAGAATGATGAAAAATGATTGAGGTGGGGCCAAAGCTAAAAACCAAACGAACTACAGTCTGCTATCTGCTCCATGAGCTGCTGCTGCTCTTACATTTAGCCACAGCGCTTGATGCGCGCGTGACGCCCCACGATTGGTTGCCGCGTCGATGACGGCTTGAACCTTGAGTGATTGCCCGAGACGATGTCTGACTTGATGCCGCCAGACGTCGTCGAGCTCAACGAGCAACTGGCTGTCCAGGCCATGCACCGAGGTCAACCATGTGTGCCTTAGTCGCGACCGGCTTCGTTCGTCGCTTGTTTAAGCTGTTCCAACACCGTACGCTCAAGTCGAACCTTGTGGTGGGCATCCCTGCAGACGTCGTAGACAAGCTGGAGAAGGAAGACGTCAAGTGGCGGTACAACGGCAAACGCGGCACCATCCAGAGCGGGAATATTTTTAAATGGGTCTTTTGCAGAACAGGTCTTCAATTTGATCATAGCGTACTTTTTCTATGATCTCGTGGTTGGATCACATTCGCCATGTTTTTTTTTGCCCCTAGGACGAGTACTCTTTTCGGAGTGAATCCAGTCACCTACTATTCCACGGGAAAGTACGAAATATGTGGCGAGTATGTGGCGAATTCTGATTCTGATTCTGCCTTTCTCGCAGTCATTCTTTTTCATTTTGCAATTTGCAGGCTTCGTGGCAAGCAGCGGAGGGCGCGGTGCACGGTGGCGGCGCTTGGGCGATGGCCCCGCAGCGTACGTGCGTCTGAACATGCAGCCGAGTGGCGAAGAGCGCTTGTGGACTTCTGTAGGTACGCCTACAGGCTCGTGAATATGGGTTAGATACATTTTGTCGAGGGTGAAAGCGCTCCAAAGCCCCCCACATGTAGATTAGTCGCACGGGGCGCGACCTTTCCGACGTGCTAAGATATATCCGCCTCGAAAAAGCGATTTAAAATGCACTAGGAGTGCATCTACCGCGATGGCGCTTGCGTATCTCCCTCAACATGTTGCTCGGGAGGCTAGCAGGTAGATTGTCTTTTTACACAGAACTCACATGTTTGAGGTTGATTTTCGAGGCACAAGAAGCTTGCTGTAAGGGTTTCAGATGCGAAAGGGAAGGGGAATATATATTTCTACATGACTTCATGACTCGCTCGTACTAGCGATCAATAATGCAGGCACAAACCTTCACCACAAAGAGTAGCTGAGGCTTCCATTTCCATTTTAGACTTCGTCGTTTGGAGTGAACCCGATGCAAATCCTCGCACTCGTCTAAGTACGATATATTCGACGCAAACTCGCCACATATTTTGCCATTTCCCATGAAATAGTATGTGACTGGATACTCGTCCTTATAAATACCAAACGGGCACTGGACTCTTCTCGGTTTAACAAATTATATCCGGATAAATATCAAAGTAATTGGCTGTCGTCGTCAACAGTCCACAGAGTTCCAAGATGTTGTAACGCGTTCCGCTTAAGAAAATAACTTGAACACTGTGATAGGGAAGCTGGCACTTCCTAGAGTGTTGATCACCGAGTAGATTCAAAAGTGGAAAGCATAGCATGCCTGCCCCAGCGCTCATGCCTGTCAGTTTCAACTTCTAGATACTGCTCTTCTACGGATTGTTCTCTTCTACAGATTTTTCTCCCCAACTCCTAGTTAATTTTCACGTAGTCCATGCCAGCTGGGGAAATGCAACTGCAAGACCCCAATGTGTGTGAGCATGGCTTGAATATCGGTATTTCCGGCGAAGACGGAAATTAAGTTTTCCTGGAAGAAGGATAGGCGTTTGTCAAGACTTCGCGCTCCTGATCGCTGTGCAACTCGGCCAACAAGCTATAGCCGTCAAGTCACAGGCGGGTCAGCTGGCAACCCGGTTCGACCCACGGTTCTGACCCGGCTGTTGTAGGATAGAAATAGCAGTCGTTCTATAGGAAGAAGATGTGTTCGATTACCGATTTATCTGACTTCTCAATTTATGTGAACTAATGTGCTACTTACTCGACAACAGTGCGGAACACCACACCAGAGCGGGATGCTAAGTGTAGTTGTACATGCCGAAGCTTGAATCTGTTGTCATGTCTGCTGATGAAATCGCCCAAATGTTTGGAATACCGAAGCCGTTGTAACAGAGATTTGAACTTGGTTTGATCTTCGGAGTTTGATAGTCTTAAGAGGCGTCGATAGTTGGAGCTGAATGTGCTGTAAATGCTTGATATCGTTGTTTCAAGGGGTTCCGGTCCTCCATCCTCGAAACAAATTTTGTTCCTCTCAGTTCATTGGCGGCTAAGTGCTGCGCACCTCACTATATTCCATAGGCAAAGCACTGCCTCTCTGTGATGGGACCATGTTGACCAAATTTCCTGCTTGTGGGGGAGTACCATGGAAGTCCAGCTGATGCCTCCTACGAAAACGATACTCCAGTCCTTCCAGAGGGCTTTCCAGGTTTCGTTTGAGTAGTGGCACTCGAGGAAAAGGCGCTGCGCTTTTCGATTGCTGCGCAGCCGTAGTAAGGGCACTGCTGAACATTTGGTATTTGGTGCGCTAGAAACCAGAATCGAGACCTTACAGGCAACAGTCGATACGCAATTCGCATTTGCAAGTCATCCTGCACAGGTAGGAGTACTTGCCGTTGTTTCTTGCAAAACTGGACAAATGTGGTGACATCAGAGGCACTTGTACCTTGTAAGTCACGACAGATAGGATGCTCGTCACGTTCTTGAGATTTGGGGCCGAAAAGTAGTTTTAGGGTCGAACGTTGAAGGAATGGGAACAAGGTTGTCTTGTTAGACATTTTCAGACCAACATTTGGCGTGAATCCGTCTGTAGATCTCGTGAATCCAGAGCCACCCACTGCGATTTCAACCCGATGAAATATTTGTGTGAGTTCGTTATAAAGCCCACGAAGCCAGCGCCGTTGCTGTTCGAAGCTGCAGGTATTCTCATTAGGTTCGAGTGTTTTTGAAAGAAAGGTTTCGTTACTTGTCCAGCCGCAGAAGGCATCGTAGATATCTAGCAGACACGCGAACGAGAACGTTAGAGCTACGTGGAGTCTAAAGCTCCGACGAGGCTCAGCTACAGCCACCATATTCCTTCGCTGAAACGATCTAGTCCCATAGTGTAGCTCGGGCGATTTAGAGAGGCCTGCAGCAACGATTTTAACGATGTTGGATGTTGGCGCTTAGCCGGCCAACTTGTTTCATGCCACAGGCGCCATGATGCTCTCCACCAGGCGGACAACGCAGCTGGGTGTAGGACACCTTCGGCGATATATCCAAGAAACTCAGTGTATCGTTCACAGGAACACATGGCGTCAATCGCGTAACTGCTTGATGAACGAGAGCTGGCCAGGGGTCGTCGTTACCTCGCCTGAGCTGTCGGACAAACTGTTGAAGCAAGCTAATGCGTTGGACTTTCAGCTGGACTTGGAGGTTTGGTATCTGGATGCCTCCACTTTGCCGTGTTTGATACGGAAGTGCTGATGGGTCTAGTTGAACAAAGTTGGAGTCATTTCTTGGATAAGACGAATTTGTTTAGCATCCTTTGCTCCAAGAACGACTGCTATTTATATACGATGAGAGGAAGACTACTCCTGACTCACACACTGATCCTATCAACTCTGTGGCACTTCACACCTCACACCAATATTCCGCTCGACTGCATCCAACGTTGGGAGTTGCCCGGCCATTCGCGGTCTCGCGTCGACGGACACAAGCTACTCAGGCACGGCCAGGAACTCCAAGCACCGGTACGACGCCGCGTGCGCCATCAGATTTTTAGACCCACCACACCACTCCCTAGGCTGCCTTCGATAACCAAGAACGTACTGCTTTGCCCCCCAAACTGATCCTCGCATGTAAAGGAAGGAAAACCACTTTCCTCTCTTGTGCAAGAATCCGTGTGGGGCTAGAGCTGCTTCATTTTCAGTTAACCCCTCCAAACCGGGATGACATTTGTATACAATGGGCTAGGCGAGGGCGAGGGGAATTATCCTGAGATGAGAGTTTGGTGAGTGAGCGGTGCTAAAACTGCCTTATCCTGCATTCTTATTTTCAAAGATGACTCTTTATGCTGCATACAATAGCATTATCACGAAAGGGACGAGGCAGCCCTCGAACAGAACCTGAGCACACTCCGCTTGGGTGCAGCACGGTTTCTCTAAAAATCGGAAAATGAAACTTCCCATACAAAGATGCATATACAAAGGTGGGGGGGTCGCCTCTACAACGTAACGCAATCACTTGATTGCCAGCTACTTGTTGTTTGCACCATACAAAATCTGAGTGAGCTAAATATCCAAATATTTCACTGGTAAGCATACATCTTGAAACGGTTGTAAAACGGACTGCCAAGATGGTGCTTGAGATGTGACCGAGCGCAGACAAGGTAGGCAGGATGCAAAACGAGATGAGCACGGGAGTAGACAGGTACAATATAAAAAGCGAATTGTACACACGATTACGCTTATGCAAACGATTGGTGATGCAAACAGACTTATCCTGCACATATTCAGCATAACGACACGATAATATGCAGCTTAACTCCTACTGGCTTGTCCGGCGTCTCTTGTGCGATGCTGGCGTTGCAGGCGTTCCCGGTGTTGATGGCGCAGCCTCAGAGTCTTCGTCGGCTTTGACACGGATCCGAATCACTTTACCATTGTCCATGGGGACCAGCTTGCCGTTCATCCATTCTTTATGCCAGATATCCCAGCACATCATTGCTACATCTCGGACTTTGCGGCGCGCTCGCATACACAGGTAAATCGGGCCTGTGCTGTTGCAGTTGCTGCAGAAGTAGGTAGTCGTGGAAGCACGCTGGGCGCCGGAGCGAAGGATGGAGCAGACCTTGCAGGTCCGCTGGCGACGTTTTGCCTGAGAGCCTTGGTTTCTACACTCATCACTTTGACGCGCAGTATGCTTGGTAGGTGCCTGGGTGCTGCTGGTCGATAGGGGAGCATAGGCCGGTTGGGTGGCTTGGCGCCGCGTTCAAAAGTATTCCCTTCATACATGTCCGATGATTGCAGCTGGAATAGCTGCAAGTGCAGCAACTTCATGCACTTGACGTGAGAAAGCGGCTGTGACTCCTTGTTCTTGTGAAACGCCTTATGCACAATGTACCCATTCACGATAGCCAGGTCTATCAATCCCAGCACCAACGACTTGTAGTACTTGCGAAATCGTAGAGCGCGTTGTAGAGAATATCGTTGCAGTCGCAGCTGGTCATGGACGTCCACGCCACCCATGAAGGCGTGGTAGTCCTTGATCACCCTCGGGCACGGGACCTCGACTTTCTCAGACCGATCTTGCTTCACGACGCGATCAATCTCGACGCTGCCACCAGTACACAGAAAGTGTACGGGGCGCGAATCCCACCAGCTTATTGCCGTCATGTTCGGCACCATACGAGATCTGGCCACTTTGAAGGATCCTCGAGCAATGGAGTCGGGCCTGCTCTTCTTCTTCTCAATCACTTGTTTGCAATACCCAAGTCGATTCGTCATGATTGTCCCAACGCAATAAAAAACCATCAGCAGTAGCTGGATCGCGAGCGCAACTGAAGTATAGAAGCGGTCAACCACCTCGAGCCGCATTCCTTGCTTCCTGGCATCCCGACCAAACACTTCCAGCAAGTTCCGCGCGACGGCGGCGGGAGCGGACTTCATATCCGGCTTGTGTGCATCACTTGCGTGCTGCTTTTTGCCGCAATAGACCTCAAACCTGTCGATATGCAGCATAAGTAAAACAGAAGTAGTCAGCCTAAACTGCATAATACAGTATAGTGAGTTGAATCGACCAAAAAAAAGCTTACCGAATGCAGTACGCTGTGACAGCACTGCAGAGCATAAAGAGCTTCGTGTCCCACTTGTGAGGCTTATCCTTCATGTAGACACGCATCTTGTGGAAACTTGAGCGACTTGGTTGCACAGCCTCATCAAAGGCAAGGTGGAAAGGCGCAATATACCAACGCGCAAAGGTCCTTTGAAGCACTTCAACCACTTTGCGGATCTTCCAAGCGCGATCCGTGTGAGCGCGTGGATCTTTGTGGTTTCGAGAGATCTCCATGAAACGGTCGCGAGAGACCACAGAGCCAAAGCACCCGCGCGAAATGACACCTTTGTCAGCGGTTTTCCAGTGGTTGGAAAGCTTTTCGCGATTGGGCGCAATCGTCCTCGCCACCAACAAGCCTATGAACTGGCACAACTCGTGAGGTAAAATAGGCTTCATTCCTTCCAAATCGTGCTGAATGTCGCGTCGTGTCTTCTTCGGTAGGTCTGAATTGAGGCGCTGCTTCCGTCGGTACCGCCGATACGTTTCGTCGATGCGCTGTGGAAGCATCTCTCGATGATACTCGTTGGAGCAAGCAGCAATGTGCTGCCACAGCACCACTGGCAGGAAATAGAAGAATAGCGCCACGGGGGAGTCACCTCGCCGAAGCGCATCCGCTGTTGGCACCGAGTAGCCTTGGCGCAAAGCAGGGTAGCTAGACGCGTTGTCGATGGGCTCGTAGGGAGCCATCAAGTGCTTGTGGATGTCGGGCTCGACAACGTCTTCCCAACCTGTGGCAGTCATGTTGCGCAGGACATCGTTCTCCAGGTTTCCGGCGAGAACCTCGTCGTCGCCTCCAAATGACTCGAGGAAGTTTTCAGCGAAAAGCACCTCTGCAGCCACCTCCTCTTCAGTCTCATCAGGATCATCGTGAACATCTTCAGCTGCGCACTGCTCCGCATCGTCGTCCGAGCCGTACTCACCAGTCTCCACGTCATCTCTCTCAGCCTCATCCCCGGATTCCATGGCTCCGAATGATGCACCGTCAGCTGCATCCACGGTGTTCAAGCTGTCGTCAATGTTGTCGGCCAGCAACTCGTCGCCCGGTGTGCTTTCATGAGTGACTGCACCATCTACAGTGAATAACACAGCATGTTAGTATTCAGCAATACAGTCAGGATAGTATGCAGAATACGATACACCATAGCATGCAGTATAAAATGCTGCATAATATTCCGTTTAAAATGCAGCATATCAGTCAGCATAAGATGCAACATACCGTCACTCGAGTCGTTTGAGGAATCGACGGCTTCTTGTGCACTCGCAGCACTCGAGATTGGGTCATCATCACTTGATCCACCTTGGTCGAGATGCGGTGAGGTCGCGATCAATACTCGCGAAGGTCGACGGTTGACACGACTTGGCGTCGACGGTGTCGATGGTGGCTCCAGTGACCATCGGACCGAGCGGCTTGCCTGCTGCTTTCCGTGGCCGCGAGATACAGGAGCGGGATACGTCTCCTTGCTGGAGCTGGGCGGTGGAGGAGGTACCGGACGCGAAGTTGATGCTGGAGGCGTCTCCACGTCAGCGCTGGGACGCCGAGCAGGTAGCGGACTTGGTGTAGGCTGTGGTACTGAGCTCGAAGAGGCCAGTGAGCCAGTAGCAGCTCGGACTCGCGCTTGTTCGCGCACTCGGGCTTCTGCAGCTTCGATTTCAGCGCCGTAGGTTTCTTTGACAACATGAGCAGCAGCTTCCAACTGGGCGTCGCCAGGAGCAAGTTGCGTCGACGGTAAGGAGGCAGACGTCGCGGCGGGGACACGCGCACGACTCCGAAGAACTAGAAGTAAAGCAGTAAATTTGTGTCAGTTCTGTATATATACAAATCATTCAATATAAACCCACCGTTCGCATAATACTCCAGCACTCCCTCCTCGCCCATGAAGTAGTCGACGCCTGACGCCCCGCTTGTACTGCCGCCGGGTCTGACGTAGAAGTAGCGATCGTCCAGACTTCGTCGTGGCGGCACCTTCCGCGTCCAGCATTGAGCTTTGAGCTCTCGCCAGACGGACCTGAACGATAGATCACGCGCTGTGACCTCGCAGTCGCGCAGGATCTTTCCACACGGTTTCACCATCGCCTTGACTTGACATACTTCCTCCGGCCGCATATTCTCGAATGAGGCTGAATTCGAAAAGGCGGCGTGGTCCAGCCAATGCAGGAACGTGCCCGGAACGTGCCGCAACCCTCCAAAGATAGTCGCAGATCAGTTGCAGTTTTCAAGAACTGCAAATTCCTATATCTCGAATTTAGACAAATGAGTGGCCCTTCGTATGTAAGAAAAAGAAAGGCGTAAACAGAAACAATGCAAACTTTTATCTTAAAGTTTGTATACCTCTTGTCATGGGAAAATACAAATCATACAAAAACCAAGTCATTTTTTTCTTAAACTGCATATATGCAGTTTAAAGGTTCAAATCTAAGCTGCATTATGCAGCACCCGGTTTGGAGGGGTTAATGAGGCTAGCCTCAGTGCGCCTTGAACCACAAGGCATGCCGAGGCACCCCCTCGGGAATGGTGGGTGGGTTAAAATTCTGCGTCGCCTACTTGCGAGCGCACATGGTCGAATCGCTCAGCGCTGAGCGAAAGACCGAATGAAGCAGCTCACCTACTCGACCTCCTCGACACTACCGCTTGAACCGTGCACCCAGATTTAGACTTCCGTTGGTCAGGTCGCTGGGACAAGACGGACAAAACAAGCCCGAGGAGGCCGTTAACAGCATCATGGACTCGTCGTCCTTGGGAAGGAGCTTGGCATCTTGTCGGACTCGTTCCCTGATGCGATCTTGTGTGTTGAAGTCGTTGTACATGGCCTTCTTTTACGTCGAACCCGAAAAACGCGTTTCCGACCTCCGTTGCACTGCGGTGGAAACTACTCATTTCCTCTCTTGTGCAAGAATCTTTGTTCGGCCACAAGGCCAGTAACTCAATACACCTCAACGTTATTTAAAAAAAAAAAAGAATCCATGTGGGGCTAGAGCTGCTTCATTTTCAGTTAATGAGGCTAGCCTCGGTGCGGCTTGAACCGCATGGCAAGCCGAGGCACCCCACATTTAGCCGAGTTGACTGGGAATGAAGTGCTCTGGCCAAACAACAACACAGTACAATCTTTCGTTAGTAACTAGAGCGGTGAACGTGTGAACGAACCGTGCTCCATTGTTCGCCGCCCTCCCGGCAAGCTGCTCCGCCCTCGATCCACCCACAGGCCCCCCTTCGGTTTGAGCACGAGTATGCCTTGTAAATGGCCCGCCACGCACAGCATGATGCCACCCAATGATGGGTGTTCGAGCAATCACTGCTTGTAGTTCGTCCACTTCACGGCTGCTTAGATGGTGTCATGCTTGAGCGTCTTCGACACGCCATCTCCGCCTATTCCTCCGCTAAACGGCCCGGGGGGTTGAGTAGATCGAGCGAGCGTTGCTATACCTGGAGACACAGCCTAATCAAACATCAGATACAAATACTTAGCTGAGCACGCTTCAGTCTTCTTCTGGTTAGCCCCCTCAGGCAGCGACTTGTGCCATCGCGCGCCCACAACAGATAGCGTTGGCGCTGTCGAAGCAAGCTGGACGGCCAGCCGGATAAACCGTGTGAACCCTTCTGTGGTGGCCGGTTTTGGCTGCTTGACCCGTCCGCTTCGCCGTCTCCGCCAGGGCTAAAATTCTGCGTCGCCTACTTGCGAGCGCACATGGTCGAATCGCTCAGCGCTGAGCGAAAGACCGAATGAAGCAGCTCACCTACTCGACCTCCTCGACACTACCGCTTGAACCGTGCACCCAGATTTAGACTTCCGTTGGTCAGGTCGCTGGGACAAGACGGACAAAACAAGCCCGAGGAGGCCGTTAACAGCATCATGGACTCGTCGTCCTTGGGAAGGAGCTTGGCATCTTGTCGGACTCGTTCCCTGATGCGATCTTGTGTGTTGAAGTCGTTGTACATGGCCTTCTTTTACGTCGAACCCGAAAAACGCGTTTCCGACCTCCGTTACACTGCGGTGGAAACTACTTACTCACACTATAATGTGAGGTTTATTTCAGAGTTCAGTGCTCCGTTCTCCATTGTCAACGACCGTTATAGTGCTGCACGCGATCTCCCCGCATTGGTGGAACCCATCTTGCCCATTGTGGCGGAAACACCCTGATTTGCTGTATTTAAAGTTGACCAGACACTTCTCGGCTAAACAAATTATAACCAGATAAATATCAAAGTAATTGGTTGTCAACGTAAAAAAAAGAAAAATGGGTCTGGGTGAGAAAAGGTGTCAGCGTATGTATTCTCTCAAGCTGTTTTTGTTATCTCTGATCAAGAACTCGCCACACGTGACAAAGCCACCAATGCCATTGGTTAGCCTCTCTGTGCTTCAAGACCGCTGAAGCAGGTACCGAACCTCGCAGGGTGGGTTCCGCCTAGTAATACGTGAGAATAGTGTCGACCTGATCCTTGCTCAAGTGCTTCAGCAACTTGTCCTCGACGGTGGCCCTAGAGTGGAATTTGCCCCTCCGTATTTTAAAGAGGTCAGTCCACTTACCCTGGACCAAATAGTGTGTGCAGATCCACTGTTTCCTCGGCGAGGTACACAGTAACAGTAACATTGGTACCGCTTGGTTCACAATGGTCACAGTTACCTACTACCCCCTATATTTAATAGGCTTGGAATGTCGCGCTATAGCTCTCCACGTCGACTTCACTACATGTAATGCTACACCCGCCTTCACCATCAGTCTACCCCACTTCTTCGTCGCTGTTGCTGTATCCTTCGTCTACACCGATCGCTCGTCAACCAGACTTGCCAACGGCACTAGACCTTGCCTGGTCCCTTTTGTCCCTGCCGTTGGCGACGTGGAAGTACCCGAGAGAGTCTGCCAAGCATCGTTGTTATGTTGGAGACGGGGAAACAGCGATACTGACGAAGAGGAAGTGCTAGCGTGTACGTAGACGACTGGGTGCGGCTTCTGAAGAAAATCGAGGAATGAGGCAATATTGCAACAGTGCTCGACTATGAATAGCTTTACCGCACAGATCATTTACCGCATAAGGCTATCTATCCATCCCACGATAGCCAACGCATGGTCAAAGGTCGTCTTCAAAAGCAATGTTGAAGTCAAGATCCCAAAGCTTCACCTGTAACATTTTATCGGGTCCTTTCAGGCTTCCTGGCGAAGGGGGTCCCATGAGCAGGAAACGTGTTATCAGATTCTGGTACACGGTAACATCCACGGTTTCCTTGGGTTTTCATGGTAACTGTGGACGTGTACCTGCGCACACTAGGACCAAATCGTCGATTCTCTTGAATTCATGTGCGTCTGACCTCATTTTTGTATCAAAACTTTTGCGTTTCCTGTGCGTCTGCGCGTACAAACTGCTGTTAAGCTGGTGGAAATGCAGAGTCGTAACGAATTCGTGTGCATCAAACGCACAGAAAAACTACTGTGAACCTCGAAACTCAATACCACACAGGCGCATAACAACCGCAGTTTATACAGCCACAAGTTCGAGGCGACAGGCAGTACAGACAACGACTTACAAAGCCGGCATGCTTAATGCCATCCTCCTATATAAAAACAACGATAAATTCCCTCCCGTCAAATCTGTAAAACTGTCATAAAACACACAATGTGTTGCATAAAGTACACAAGAAAGCATATAAAGTACACAAAACCAGATGGTATACAAAGATGAAGTCATTTGATTGAATCTGATTGGCTGGTTTGCTCATGTTAAGCTTTGCTTGACTTCGTCTGCCGGCTTTTTGTGTCTGCCGGCTTTGTAAGTCGTTGTCTGTAGTGCGTCGTCGCGCATTGCCTTCGTATAATGCAGCGTGAACCCGTGGCCAGGCGCCCTGGCTACACCAGCGCCCATTAGGCTCCATACTACTCGTCCTCGGCAACTGCATCAACGACGTCAGGTAAGACGAGCTGAATTATCTTTTGCTTATATGCACGTGTGTTGGTGTTTCGACGCTAACCTACGCGTCTTGGCTCGATCTACTGCAATTTCTCGAATCTCGTTCAATGCAGTAGACCATTTGAGCTGACCTTTGCGCCTTTGACGATTTTTTGGTGTTACATCGCTGATACGAAACTTCGGAATAGCGCCTTGAAGCATTTCGCGAGCCTGCTGCACCGTTGGGGTTGATATCCAGCAGCCTCGCGGAACTTTGGCTTGTATCTCCATCATCATACACCGATAGGCTGAGAGCGTCTTCCGCTTCCCACAAGTGGAAAGGTCCTGCCACTGCAGGAAGCGATATGGACCAATTCGCCCAGATGGGTCACCACAGCACCAGTGCTCCCAAGCACACCTTAACGACATGCTGGGAATAGTAAAATCAGCAGGTGCTCGCGTCAATCTTGAGTTCGTAAGAGTCAGGTTTTGTGTAGCCATTTGGACTCCATCGTTATCATCTACATCTAGGCGGTCCTGAGAATCTTCTGTAGTGCAACCCAATGGCTGGGGTAAATGGCTTCGGACCGCTGCAACTAGCTCAGCTATTCCACAGTCATTAAGTACCCGCGATATACTGGCATTAAGCTCTGTTGACGACAAAGAAGATCGACAACGGGACATTTCAACCACTTTCTGTTGCAACTGGGAAACTACTCTGGTATTTCCGAAAAGCGCGATGCGATACAATGGATGCTGCTCACTCAGCGGAATGTGTTCCAATATCTGAAGGTACCAATCCTTCATTTTCAAGCAATACCTTCATCTCGTCTTCCTGCATGACGCGCTTTAAAATCTTTGAGAATTGATCATATTGGTTACCACCGGGGGATATCTTAGAATCGTCGATTCCCAGTACAGCAGCATACATCGCTAGCGTCAACACTGGGCAGATTTCAGGGACAAAGGGGTTCGCGTACACGTGCCTTGCATCGCGAGGCCGGGAGCCGTCTTGGTCGTTTTTCATGTGCCCGAAAAGAATTGCGAGCGCGTCTCCATCCCAGCTCATATGACCGGAATGAATTGAAGCCGTGTTGCCCGCGCGACACATCAAATTCAAACTCAACAGTAGAAATGCGTGCGCAAAAAGAAATTCTTCGTCACCATGCTTGATAAACGCAGCACAGAGAGAGCGCAATAGCGAAAATGACATGGGCTCCTCCCCCTCTGTCAGCTTCACACCAGCATCGTGGTTGCGCCGCGCAACAGTGCGTTTCAGGCCTTTGAAAAATACCGTCAAATCAGCAGCAAACTCTGGTGTCATCGACCGCCCATATCCTCGATACAAATGAAACAAACTTGAACGCATCGAGTCGTAAACGGATTGATCAGGTTTATATCCGCTACGGTTCCGAAGAGACAGCAGGAACTGCTCGAAGTCGTCAGCGCGATGCTGATCATAGTTAATAGGAGATACCCCAGGATTCTCAGTCATGAAGTCAGCAATGCTGCTCTGTTTTAGCGACGTCATCTCCAACTCGTTAGGGTCGAAGTCGTCATCTTGCAAGGCTCCAAGACATGCATCGCTCAGAACATTTCTTTGGTTCTTGTAAAGCCATGCTACATAACGACATATTCCACGAACGTACGTCTTCACAGTCTTCTGGCCGATCACATTGTGCTTGACTGCTTGTACCTGACTGGCGAGATCCGCAGCGTCCGGGTTCGTGAGCATGTCGGCATTCGGACCCGTGGTTACCTTTTTTACTACCCTTATTTCACCCTGACCGGCACGTTTACCCGGAACTCTTTCTTACTGAAAAAGAGCGCATGTTTTCAATGACCTGAGAATAACCCGGAGAAGATATATTTGCCAAGTTCATGCGGGCATATATATCATCTACATCGCCATCTACCCTAAGAAACTATTATTATCCAAATCTCTCACAAAACTATACTTATCCGCAGCATTCTCGCATGGGAAGGCCCCATGGGAAGGCCCCATGGCAATACTGGTAAGGCAGCAGCACATACCATCTTCCTGCTTTCCGCACAAGCGCAGCTCCCTGTTCAACCACAACCAACTCTCGAGACGTCTTGATGACCCGCCAGGGCACCCAGCAAAAAAAGAAGCGCTCCGTCCGTCGCAAGGTCGGCAATGATGCGAGTGGGAACACTCTCGAGTTGCAAGCGCTGTCCCTCGATGATCCATCTGACCAAGTCCAAGCTGCCGGTGATCACATGATGCTACCACCTGCTAGCCAGGAACCCATGCCACGAGCCAAGAAAAAGCGAGGGTCCAAAACGATCAAGATCTACAAGGGCTTTCGATATTGCAAGAACTGGTACTCGACGAAGCACATTGCATATCGCTGCAGTACTTCGAAGACTTCTGGCTGTAAGGCCACGCTCAAAGTAACCCCGGCCGCTGTTTGGTGGGTGGAGGGTGAACACACGTGCCGTCCGGTCCCGGTATTGAATGGGCAACTCAATGATGAGACCGACGCAATGAAACGAACTACAGCTCAGCTAGCAACCCAAAATCCAACAATGCCAGAGGGCGACATTTGGGAGCAAGTATGCGAGGCGTTCTACGGTCCCGATAGAGAAGAGCTGTTAGACGGATTGACAGAGGAGCAAGTTATCGGGCATATCCGTCGCATTCGCCGCCGATACTACGGTGGTGATATTCACGGAGTTGTGGAAGTCCCTCCCTTCTCCAAAGTGAAAGACTCGGCCATCCCATTCTTCCGGTTCCATTTGGTAACGGCCCACCCCGATCCTAAAGAAAGCACCAAGTCGTGTGCTAGGCTGGGCCCATCCTGCGCCGAAAGAGCTCCTACTCTACAACAGCGTATCTCTTTTCCTCGACGGTACTTTTCGATCTGTACCACGAGGATTTCGCCAGTGCTTGATCTTAATGGTGGATGACCCAGCGTGTAACCTGTTCACACCGGTATACTTCGTGCTCTGTACGTCCCAGACTGAGTCCATGTACGACGATATCCTGCATCTCATCTACCGCGACACCGGCAAAAAGCTCAATCCTGCAGAAATTGTATGTGATTTCGAGTTTAGCCTCATCTCATCTGTTCAGACCCGGTTCCCGAACGCTGAAGTGGTGGGCTGTTTCTTCCATTTTAAACAAGCCATTCGCCGGCGACTGAAAGACGAGCGCATCTCCGACGACGAAGTGACTATCGCTATGGAGTCTGGCGTCTTGGACATTCTCACTGTAATTGATCCAGACCTCGTCGATCCGAAGGGCATCGCTTGGGTGAAGCAGGAGATCAAGCAGAGGTGCATCGCGAACAATTGTCCATACTCACGCCGTGAGTGGAAACGTTTTTGGGTTTACTTTAGAAAAACCTGGCTTGAGCGATACTACATCACAGAGTGGAATGTGTTTGGTATCGCCAATACTATCGTGGCACGCACAAACAACCCCTTGAAGAGGTTTAACAGGGAGATGAACGCCGCGTTCAAGACCCACCCCAAGCTTCGACACTTTGTTTCTACAATTGCCAAAATTTCAACTGCTTACGCGCAGCGGCAAGCCAACATCACGCGCGGTCTACGCAAGAAGAAACAGCGTCCACCACGCATTGAGTTGCCGGCTGCCCCTAGTTTGGCGCGCGTGTTGGCGGCCTTGCTCGACTTAGCAACATTTGAAGTTCCGCCTGAGTCGGAAGATGAAGGTGACTATGATGAGCTTGGCGACCTGTCCGACGGCTCCGACGAATCAGCTCGTAGTGGCGAAGCTGATCACTCTTCGGAGGAAGACGAGCCATCCCGAAATGCGCAGTCGGCCGAAGACTTGCAGCAGGAAATTGATGACCACGCTAACACTTACAACTTCTTCCTTGACTCGGACAGTGACCACGATCCAGATGAAGAAAATGGCGTGGAGGAGTGGTCATTCTAGCCCCCAGACTGCGATCATGCTGCGACGCGCTGAATCGTCGAGCTACGCACCTGCATAACTCAACACACACCATAACTTACATTAAACACTGCTATTAAATATCACTTCAATGCACACTCTTGCTTTACCCGGGTGTTTGGCCTGACCTGGTGTTTTACCCGGGAAAAAGGTCCGGGTAAAAGTTCCGGTCAGGGTGAAATAAGGGTAGTAAAAAATCCTACCGGACCCGTGGTCAAGGTGGCGCCTGGGCTCGTGGGCATGTTGGCGTCTGGATTTATGGTTGTGATGGCGTCTGGATTGATGAGTATGTCGGCGTACGGATCCATGGCCAAGGCGGCGTTCAGATTCGGGGGCACGATGAACGTGCGCCCGCGGGCGTCTGGCGCCTAGCTCCAAAAGTCACACACCACTTCGATTAAGTACGATCGCAGGATAGTCGCACAAATTCTTGCTACATATGATTTTCCATTGCTGGTATCTCTCTTCGTCGACAGCGCCGTCATCGTTGTCCGCAGCTTCGCGGCCGCGCAGAGACCTCTTGTTCTCATTGGCAAGGCCATCAATCTGATTGCCCGACTCCAACGACGCCAGCCTCGAAACGGTAGCCTGGCCGGCACCCGTGGCTGGAGCCAAAGCGTTGCCGCTTGCGAGGAGAACGGCCGCAACACCCACGACGAGAGAGTTGGAGAGACGCATGCTTGCTTGAGGTCGAGTAGTGATATTGAGGCGCTTGAGGGCTTGAAGGGAAAATGCCGAATGAGAATCGAGGTTACCACTGCTACCACTTTCGAGACGACTGCCGTGCCAGACGACGAGCGACGAGCAGACCAACGACGAAGACGGCGACACGGCGAGTATTATGGCGGGTCGAGACAATTCTCAGGAACTATTAGCGACGTACATACCTAGGAGCCGATCCTGCGAAGTTCGGCACAAGCTTTGATGGTGGCAAGATCACATGTAGCAGAGCTTACTCGCTGTTAAACTTTTCGCCTGGATGCCCTCTTTTCGTGATAGAAATTTGCTGCAGTTTACGGAATAAATGCTCTTTTGCCATTTTGAAATTGAAAAGGTTATTCGTTTTCAATCTATTCGTTGGGTAAGTGTTCTGTCAACGTGAAGTTTCCTCGATGAAGTAGATGGGACGGCATATCCGGCCCTAGCTGCGTGATTACTGGGGAGCTCGAGCGCCTTCCGAGTAGTCTCAAGATTCGATCTTGTGATCGTCTGACGGTGTCGACAACTCTGCCACTGCCGCCTCCAGTTGCTCAATGCTGTCGCTATGCTTCTCGTGAGCTTCCTCGCGAGGCGTCGGCGATCCACTGCGCGAGTGGAAACTGTGCACTACATCATCCGCAGGTTCTGCGCGCGCTGTGATGAGGTCTAACGCGGTTTTGAGCTGTCTTCGAGCCCCATCCCGGCTTTTGAGGTACAGATCTCTGGCTTCCAGCGTGTCCACCTTGCTCAATTTCGACAGCAACTCCATTGCCGAGCGGTAGATGTACGAGTGCGGCAACTGGGCGTCGATTCGTTCGGCGTTCTTCGCGATTTCCTCCACGTTTAGCAGCGTAGGAACTCCGTTCGAGCTCAATTTCGGCCCTTTCTGCTTACGCGAACGCTTAGCCCCGTGCTCTCGGAAGCACCGCAAAGCTTCCTCGACAATGGAGCGATCTCGGGCAGAACCCGACGAGTAAGTCGTCCACGCTAGTTTGTTGCGACCACGATACTCAGGATACTCCAGCAGCAGTCGCTCGTAAGGTTCATGGTCAAGGCGATACAGCTCCGTCACACAGAGCGCAACGCACGTCTCCAGCCGAGAGATACCATAGAGCAACGCTAACTCGCCGAAGAACTCCCCCCTCTCTCGCGCACTCTCGCTCGACCCCATCTTGACGACAACTCGACCATGCGCGATAAAATACATGCTACGATCCATGTCCCCGACCACGAACACCTCCTCGTTCTCGGAACACACCACGTACTGCAAGCAGACCAGAAGCGCTCGCATGAATTGGTCGTCGAGAGCGCGAAAGGCTCGGACTTGCACAGCAAAGCTACGCAGCGTCGTCAACACAACGTCTTCGTACAACGCTCGTGAAACCTTCTCCACTGCAGCGAACTCAGCTTCACCTTTACGACGCCGCCACAGACGCGCGTAGTACGCCTTCACCTGCCGCTTGATCCCCTTAGGCACCTCATTCTGGACCAAGTAGTTCTGCAACTCCCCTAGTGTCTGTTCAAACGCGGCCTCGCGGCGAGCTCGAGTGTCCAGTAGTTCGCCCTGCGCACCTACGAGTGCTCCGTAGATGTAAATACTCCATAGGGTGATTGCGATCTCTGCGATCAATTCAAGCGGGTTCATGGACAAAATATCGCCATAAAACAGGGTCGAGATACACTCCATCGAGAAGAGTAGTGACCGGAGATACTTGCGTCCAAGGGGGACGCCATGCAGATCGAAACTTGACGAGGCCTCGCTAAGCATACGGTGTTCATTCTCTTCCTGTGTCGTTCCTGAGCTGATATACGTCAGCATACCCGAAGTTGAGAGCCACGACGCTCCATAATGATCGTAACCCAGATCACTCGTAATGAACCAAATACAGGCCAGCAAATGGCCCATCGTGAGGTAGGACGACAATCCCCTCAAAAAGTACAGGAACCCCTCATTTAAGGGTATTTTCCAGTCGTAGATGACAAATTGGAGCAGTTGCTCCGTGAGGGGTTCGATCCGACTCACGAGAAGAACTCGGTTCATACGCAACAGCCAGCGGGTTGTCCACCACGAAGCATTGGCTGGGTTCACAGACGAACTGAACACGCGCGGGACTCGCACATCGGCGGCAAAAAGCAACAACTCTAACGGGAGCATCGCGAAGATGTCACTGCGCAAGGCTGGATCCGAGAGAAAAGCTCGTCGAAAGCCCGTTTGACGAACTTTGGTCAAGTTCGTGATGTCGCCCTCGGTTGTAGAGCTGGAGCGGATTTTATACGTTACATCAGCGACGCACAGTAAATCCAAGAAGATCTCAAACCCCGACCATCCACGGAGGACACCACCGGGTAGCTCCGTAAGACCATGCGAGAAACACACCTTGAACGGTGTGATGACCATGTGGTATATTGCGACCAAGAGCATGATGAAGTCCCACACTTTCCCCATCTGCTTGACCGTCTTGATGAACGCTTTGGCCTTGAGCTCTCTCGTGGCAGCACGGAGCGCTTGCTGATTGGAAAGCTGGAGTCGGGACCCCACGGCAGCAGACCGAGGGTTTCTGCTGTCAATCACCGTCTCGCGCGTCGAAGGCGTCCGTGGAATCGCATCATTTAGGTGACGGCGACTAATCGCCAGCAGAGTTGTGCTCTGATGCTCCGGTAGAACAGTCGACCGACTGCGATCTCTCCACAGTCGATACCGGTTGAACAGCATGAGCTGCGCAGAGTATTCTGGTCGCTGGCAGCGCTGCAGGGTCTCAAAGTCTATGCCCGTCTGGGTATTGCTCATGGCCAAGTGTCCGTCATCCTCGCGCCTCAACTTCTCGAAAAAGGCGCGCCCGAAGTTAGGCAGTGAGCGGCAGCGCATCATGCGCCCAAGTCTCTTTGTCTGTTCCGATCGGACTGGTGCGAGTTGTTGAGGCTGCTGTCCCTGTGGGGCGTTTACTTGCTGCGAAACTGAGAATCGGCGACTGCGCGTCCCCACTCCAGCCTCCTTCGACAGTCGAGCGCCTAGTTTTGGCGCAGCTGCAACAGCTAGAGCTTTCCACTTCTTCACAGCCTCTGGCGCGGCCGATCGCTTGTTGATCAGGTTTGCCATCACTTGGTGTTGAACATCTCGCTTCCGGTTGGCATGCTCGTCGTAGCGATACGATCGCGCTCGAAGCAGCTTGTTCCGAGCTGGATTAATCTTGACCTGTCGCTGCTGTCCGCCCGAGCCAGCAGCGTGCCCTGGTGCGACCGGGGTGTGCATGAACGGCGTCTCTGCAGGCGCAAGCTCTTCTAGGAGCTTGCAGACGCCATACTGCGCCGATGCGAGAAGCTTGTATCGTACCCAGCACTCCATCTCAATGCTGCGAAGATGTTCGTCGGATAAACTGTCCCGCAAGTGCTTGTTGACCGGACTGGTGTCGACCATGAACTGCATGATGCGAATGTCAAGACACGAGCTGCTACTGCTGTGGATCAACGGGGCGACCGTGTCCCCAATCATGCTGCGATACATCCCGCTCGAGTTAGCTCTACTTTTGCTCGAGTGTGTGACGCTGGTACGAACGCTCCGACCCGAGACCACTGAGGAAGAACGACGAGAAATTTGCATCGCAGCAATGGCAGGATGAAACTTCTTGGCACACTTCTCGGTCTTCGCCTGAATGTACCTGGTTTTCTTCTCCAGGAGCTGTATTTCAGACGCGATGGAGGCGCGTCTGGTTTCCGCTGGCACGGCCAATGCTGGTGGAGCGAGCTTGGGCGGGGCAAGAGCCCCGCTGCTATCATGGCCGTGGTTCAGCAACACAGCCGAGAGCCGCGTCTTGGCCTTGATTGTTCCTGAAGCCGCTGTGGCCGCTGTGTGAAGTCGAGTTGGTACATGACGAGTCGCAAGCAGCAACTTGGCCTTATGGGCGGCACGCAGACTAGCTCGCTGATAGCGGAGCAAGCGGGCGTGAACCCAGTCGAGGATCGCGTGCAGCGAGTGCCTTTGTACCTGAGTATCCGACTGGTCCCCGGTGGTCGTCCACAGTTCTTGCCAGTCATGCTTGATAATGTACAGGACTTCACAGGACGTTGTCGCTCTGACCGTTGCTAGTCTGCGCTGGGCAGAGAGGAAGAAAGCCACTTCACCAAACACTGCGTTCTCCATAAGCACGGCTACACTGGTCACAGAGCTCGTCCAAAACGCAGCTGCTAGCCCTTTACGCAGGATACACAGTCGACTTCCAAAGGTGCCTTCGACGAGAATATTATCCCCCGGGATGAACAGCTCGGACTGCAGACGTAGCGCGAGGTTGTTGACCTGGGACGACGACAGAAAGCGGCTGATCGGCAGGAGCGTGATAGCGTGGCCGTAAATTTCAAGCATAAACTTGAGCTGGAGGTTCGCTGAGAGATCGTGCATCGTGCCATGGACGTCGATGCCTTCAGTGTGCTGAAACTGTAATTTGAAGAAGAACCCCACTCTTTTGCGTAGTCCCTCGGGTAGTTCGTGCTCCTTGGCGAAGCCATCGAAGCTGGCGATGCGGCTCTTGTACTCCTTCGTTTCCTTGCCAAGTTCGAGAATGAGCTCGGAAATCTCGCCAACGATATGACCGATGATGAAGGTACAGCATAAGCACGTGAAGCCTGTCCAGACGGTCCCAGCAGCGTCGCGCGGGACACTTTCACGCGATCCGACCAGCAACAATGTCGTGATGGCCCAATAGAAGGACTTGGCGTAGAGCATCAGCACTGAATGATGGTATGCGTGCAGCAAATGATCGTGCGCCATCCAGCACTTTTCCACTTGTTCACACTCGTGCTCGGACACCAAGAAGAAGATGCAGCCGACATAGTGAGCCACTAATACGAGAATGATCATCAACTTGGCGGGGCTCAGGTAAGCCGAAACATTATGCGTCGCAAAATGCTGTTGAATTTGCACGATCACGTCGTCCAAGTATTCCCACAGATCCACACAGCGAACGAGCCTTGGCAGTCGACAGAGACTGGGGATCAATGCCCCGCTTTGGAATGGAGTGTACAACGGTAAGGAGGCGACAACATCCCACTTAAACGTCGAGCTCCGAAGATACTGCCTGTCGATCTCGCTTCGCGAGACCAGATTCTCCAAATTGGCCTCAGAGCACCCGAAGTAGAAGAGCCGCAGGTACAAGTCAAGCAAGAAACACACGTCACAACTGAGATCGGCGATCCAGACAGCGGCATTGGCGCTACTAGAGAAATGAAAGTGCGAGTGGAAGCAAATGCGGAGGATGATAAACACCGCGTTGTACGTATTCCAGAAAGTGATGATCGCATTCCAGACACTTTTGATCAAGCTGCGCGTTTCGTAGGGATCTCGCGTGGTTTTCTTCTGGCCCCCACCTCCAATGCTAGTAGTGCTCGTTACGGTCACTTCGCCCTGGTAAAACAGCGTAGCAGTCGACATCAGATGCGGTTGCAGTTTAAGTTTCTCGAGGTTGTGGATGATACGTCGCATACCAGCCTGTTGCTCGGCCCAGAGCTCTTGCGCTTCCTCCCGCATATCGCGTAAATCGTCTTCGAACTTGCGTTGGATGACGTCAAACTGCTCCCGAGTCATGACGGATGCATGGACAATCGAGGCTGCTATGAGGGTGGCGGGGTGTGCACACCTGAGCAGAAACGCGTTTACTCCGTAGCAGTCACCCTCGTGAAGAGCGCGAATGGGTACCTTTCGAGAACGGAAGAACACGTTGACTTTGCTTCCATGCAGAAGCACCATGAACTCGCGACAAACGTCTCCTTCGAGACAAATTGTATCTCCATTTTGATAGCTTCGATGGCGAAATTTCCCCGTAACTTCTTTCAGAAACTCAATACTGGCCGAATCAAAGAGCGCGACACTTTTTACAGCTTCAGAGTGCAACAACGACGAGATTTCGTAGCAAAGCTGGTCCGGGAGATTGGACAGCAACTGCGACTCATACGCTTTCTTGCGCTCAGTGAATTCGTGATGATAAAATCGGCGAATCTCAGCACTCAGCTTTTCAGAAATATCCATGCGCTCGAGAATGCCATTGACAGTATTGAGCTTCTCGATATGGTGATGGTGAGGAGCCATCGCATTTGAGATAGTGCTGGACATTGCGCCCACGACGCCGAAATTGATAATCCCGCCAACAAAAATCCAGAACGCAGCGAAAAAACTCTCGGATGTCGAGTAAGCCACAATGTCGCCATAGCCCACCGCCGTGAGCGTAACGATTGCCCAGTAAACGGAGCGCATGTACGCAAAAGATGCCTGGTACGACGAATCTGCATCCTGCGCTGGAAAGACGTCGCCGATATGCGCGTAGCAGTCGAAGGTCACCCATGAACAATTCTCGAAGAGCGTGGCCTGTTGGAGGCATTCGAGCCGAGTCATCTCCGCCATCCCATGCTCGCCTGTGTTCTCTAGCGCTACTACGTTTGGGAGCCACGCCATTTCAAACCACACACATCCCACAACGTGAAGCATGAATGTCACCCCAAGCAGCAGCGAAATGACGAGGTGGGCCTTGGAGCTGACGCCGTAGTAGTCGCAGACGTTCCAGAGTAGGCGTGGGGCTTCTCGTAGGCGTAGCAAACGAAGCAAACGAAAGAACCACGAGTAGCTCTGACCTGACGCCGTAGCTAAAGCCTCCAGCACAAGCCCAACCGGCAGCCACGCAATTAAATCGGGGTAGAATCCATCCGCTTTATACGCTGCGAAAATAAGAAAAGGGTCATCCACAGTCAGCATCACGATAGGGTCTACGTGCGCTAGAAATCGCGACCGTAAAATCAAGTTCACTCCAAAAAACACCTCAAACATCAGCGTAAGCGCAAACCGAAGACCGAATTCAGGCTTCTCCCCGAACATGTCTTCATCTTCCTTCATTGCAATGAAGACAGAGAAGTAGGGGACCTCAAAGGCCACATAGATGATAGCAAACAGGCGCGCTGTATCCCAGTGAAGACGAAACGCCGATCCCGGAAGTCTCCAGCTCACTTTGTGTCGAAATTCAGGCATGTGTTGTGTGTCTTCCGTAGCCATAATACTATGCGAACTTCCTGCAAACGAACTTCTGCCTCCACTTCCCCCTCGGTTCCGCATTCCTAGCAGCTTCTTGGTTTTGCGCAACTGTGTCGAGTACTTTTCAAGTGTTTCTGCCATTCTCTCCCTCACTTCAGTCTTGGATTCCCTGTAAAAATCATCCAAGGCGTCATCAAACTTGACTTTTGCCAGCACGTAAAGCTCGCAAAACGTTTTCGCAACAGCCTTCTCCTCGAATTTCTCCGGGAAGAGCAAACACGTATCCGCAAAATGGTCACCGCCTTGCACCTCTTTGGCATTCGACCCATCGAACGCGGATAGAAATACCCGGCCACGAATGACGAAAAACATTTGAGCGTTAAACTTGGGCTCAATAATCTGGTCGTCAGGGGAGTAGACTCGTCGTACCAGCGCCGCCGCCAGCAAGTTAATGAATTCAACGCTCTCTTTCACCAGAAAACACACCTGTTTGATCCGGCTCGCCTTCAGCGTGGACACCACCTTGGCCTGTAAGTGCTTGGGCATGAGATGCAGAGCCTCCTCGCTGTCGAGACTATGGTGCGTGTTCCAGGAGTACGTGAAGTACGCGATAACCTGACGTCTCAAAGCCCGCGGGATATTTTGCGAGCGCATATACTCCCGGGCGTTGTCCACGTGCGTAGTAAACGCGGCATAGCGCGCGTTTCGGAACCGAAAGATGAAGAGAAACGTTGCTAGCAACGAGGACCCAAAGAGGGCGCCCATGAGCGTCGCAGCCAAAGCGTAGACTGTCTCGATATCTGAAACTGGTGTAACATCGTCGTAACCCAGCAGTACCATCGTACGTGACGCCCAATACAACGTCCGCGAGTACTTCCGCGCCACAGACGCACCAAAAAGGCGGTCACGGACGACCCAACTTGTCTCCACATTCTCGTCGCAATTCTCCAGTGTAATACTGCACTGCGCGTGGGCAATCATCATATATCCGCAAGCCACGTAATGACACAGGCCCGCGCATAGCGCGATATTTCGCACAAGACTGTCAATCCCTGTAGAAGAAAGCTGCTGCACCCACGTGCGATCCGAGTAGATGCTGGCCAATCTCGCGAGACATCGTCGCAATCGATATAGTCGACAAATTTTCGTAATTCGAACCAAGTGCAGCGCGTTGTACGCCCCCGACGCGTAGGGTATTACCTCCAGCGGTAGTATCGCTACAATCTCCAGCAGTAGCTCAATTTTACGCGCCCTCACGTAATTCTGCTGCGAGTGCGAGTCGTCCGCTGCGCTGCCGTGAGCCACCGCGGATTTAGCAATCGAAGCCAGCGTCCACTTGGTCTTCCCGCGGTGCATCATGTTGAACGACGGGGTGCGCGTGATCACGCGCATCGAGCGGAACATGCTGTCGTTGCGCGAGGCCGTCCGCACGTCGAAGCTGGCAAACCGGGAGAACAGCCCCCTCTGGAGCTGGTAGAACCGTACAAACTCCACAACTCCAATAATGTCCGCGACAATATCCAGCGCCGCGTAAATGCTGAGCTCCGTAGTCCACCGATGGAGATGAACTGCCTCCGTTCTACCGTACGGATCGTAGTAGAAGGCTATCCGGAAGGGAACAGTCAGGAAGATGTAGAGCACGGCGCAGAGGCTGATCCCGACTCGAACGGTCTGCCTCGTCGTCCAGGAGAGGCGCTTGTAGAGCCGCTCGAGCGGCGCAAAGCACTGGTGGTAGGTGTACCCCCACGACCTTCTGCGTCTAGAGGGTCTGGTAGCACCAAGCTTGGGTCGGTAGTCTGGAGTAGGGTAGTCGCCACTGACGGGCGGCCCCGCGAAGGTCGTCACTGAAGAGGGTCTTGGCCCTGCGCCGACTCCTGCCGCGTACACCTTCTGGGTCATCCTCTCATCAATTGGACGGGGGACTTGGCACTCGGTCGTCCTTGTAGTGTCACCGACGCTCCTGCCACCGAGGAAAGGGCGGAACCTCTCTGAGGCCTGGGCAGGGCGAGATAGAGAGGAGGCGTCTCTGGTGGCCGGGGGTTTCACGCTGTGGTCGCTCTGCTTTCCCCCATTTTAGTCTACGCAGGACGGAGGGGAGGGTATTTCCGGACAGGAGGAGGAGGAGGGTGGTTTCGTGAAGTAGAATGCGCGTCTCACTTCCCGTCACTTGAGCTGGGCGACGCGAGTCCAAGTGGCCGAGAGGGGCCACAGCCAGCGAGTAAGTAAGGTGGGAGCGGCCGATAGATCAGCTCGCTAGCCCTCGGGAAGAGCCTAGATCTGCCGTCCAGCACCTCGCATGGTCCACTGATGGTCCACAGCTGGATAAAGAAACGCTCGTACTGCTCAAAGAAGGCGGCGGGAGCAAGCTCCGCTCGGTTGCGCACTCCGATTTGTAAACTGAAACTTTCAGTCTGAAACACTTGCTGGAGCAATACCGGAATTCTAATTTGTATATTTAGAACTGTACATCTTCCAAGTTTCAGAGTTAGCAAACTTTGCAGGTACAGGGGCCGCGGCCTCAAGAACAGTTTAGCTCTAAAATTACGCGGAACTGCGAGAAGAATAAAACCCAAAGAGAGCGGCACCTAATGTTATTTTTGCCCATGTTCGTGCGCGGCAACCTCGAGGGACTCCGCGATTCCGTCAGCCTCAGCCCCTGTGCTTGCTTGTCCGCCATGGTCGAGACGCTCGCCAAGACGCCGGTGAGCCGCAGCAAGAGCAGCAAGGGCAGCCGCGTGAGCAAGGCCAGCGACAAGCGCTCGTGGATGACGTCCATGAGCCGGCGCTCCGTGAGCCGCGTGCACTCGCCCTTCAGCCTGCACACGCGCGTGGCGCACGTGCTGGCCGAGGACCGGCGGGACGCACTGGACCCTAGTTCTAGGGTCTGCACAACCTGGAGTCAACTGCTTTTGCTGCTGATCCTGGCCGAGACCTTCCTGCTGCCGTATTTATTGGCCTTCGAGCCCTCGGCCATGGAGCAGGTTTCGCTGCTGTTCCTGCTGCTGGCGGCCTGTGAGGGGTTCTTCGCTCTGGACCTGTTCGTACAGGCACATACGGGCTACTATCGGGACGGCAACCTCATCCGAGACAAAGTAGATACACGACGAAGGTACCTCTGCTCCAGACAATTCGTGCTGGATCTGGTGGCCATCCTGCCAGGCCAGGCCTTGGTGCTGGTGTATCCGGATATTGTGCTCAAGACGATGTTTTTGAAGCTATTCCGATGGTCCCGACTGCCGCAGCTTCTGTTGCTTCTGGACGAGCTGTACGCCAAGAACTTCGTCGCGCTTAAACTGCTCAAGGTCTTGGTCTCGACGGTGTACCTGGCGCACATTTTGGCGTGCGTGCGGCACAGCTTCGGCTACGACGAGAGCGGGACGAATTTGTGGCTGCCACAGACTCGACGGCCGAGTGAGTCTCTGCTCAGAGATTATTTAGCGGCGCTGTTCTGGAGCGTGGGGATCATGACGGGGTACTTTGAAGGGGAAATCCCGCGCCACATCTCCGAGTTTCTGTTTACGATACTGGTGGCGCTCTGCGGGTTTTCCGTGTTCGTGACAATATGCGCAACGATATTCGTGATATCCAAGTGTCAAAGCGGAAATACTGAAGCGGTGGAGGCACGAATAAACCAACTTGTGCATGTACTCTCCTTCCACAGGGTTCCGGAATACCAACAAGCGAAGGCGATTGAGTACCTCCAGGTAAGACTCGCTCTAATTTATTTTCAAAACGTTTTGGTGAACTAAGTACTACTAGCTTTGTTGTCACAGCGCTATTACACTGATGCTGAGTCGACGGATCGGGACACGGCCAAGATCCTGTGCCCGTCAATAGCCAACGACATCCAGGTAGAACTGCTCAAGTCGACGATCGCCCGGGTCCCGATCTTTGATGGTTACAGTGACAGATTTATCGTGGCTATCACGAGCCTTTTGGAGATGATTGCCGTTCCTGCGCAGACAACTTTGATTTCTCCAGAGACGTACGGTCATGCGATGTACGTTGTGGGCTCGGGGGTTTTCGCTATTCTCGTTCAGTCCGTGTCCGTACAAGAGATTCGAAAAGGCTCGTGTTTCGGAGAACTTTTCGTATTCTCCCCGATACCAAGCAGAGCGACAGTAATATCGGCGACATACGCAATTTTGTGCAAGCTGTCGCGGTTCCACTGTGAGCGAGTGCTTGAAGGATATCCCGACTGTGCCGGTGTGATCGCGGGTCATGTGAACTATATGCTTCGCAAGGCCAACAGCAGTAAGGACAACAATGCCAGCGAGGCTTCATCGTCCACTTCGAGCACTCCTGCAGGAAGTTCAAGAGCTCTGAAGTCCCGGCGATCCTCTAGAGCAAGTCGAGTTATAACAGAAACGTCCAATCTTGTCAAGGCCTTGTCAAGAAGAAGTAGCGTGAGCGAGGAAGAACTCCATCAACCCGACAGAGCTCGATATCCCTCGGCCGAAAGAAGCACACATGTACACCGGGTCCTACTTGCGCGAGATCACCACGGAACTGATGCCATCATTGACGAGTGAAACTCCCCCTGGCTCGTCGGCTCCGTTCATGAGAACAATGACTCCGACTCGGCTTCCTCATCAGCAGGGCCCCGCTATTTCTCATGTTTACAGTCATCAGGGAATGTGGCGTCTGTTGCTATTCCGAAGGTGCATCGACCACCAGTCTCGGACGCGAATGTGGTGGCTCTTGCTGCTTCTATCCAACATGTTATACTGCTGGCTGATGGTGCCCGTCCAAATTACGTTTCCGCTCTGGCAGCGAGCAACGCTGATCACCCAGACAACTGACACCATTTCAAACGCTGGTCTCCTCGTAGACCTCATTTTGAATTTGAATCTGTCTTACACGGCCGACTCGTGACAAAATTATGGATCCGATGGTCACCGCGCAGCGATATGTCAAGGGCGAACTATTCTTCGATTTGCTGTGCGCATTTCCCTATGAATATTTCTACGTGGAGAGGTACGCGCTGATGCGACTGCCTCGTCTTCTACGTGTGTGGAGGCTGGGAAAATACTTGAAATAGATCGCGTGTTTCATCTGCTTGAGCAGCAGACGGCAACTATTTCTCCTCGGGCTGTTGTTTTTCATCATTTGCCACGTCGTCACGTGTATTCACTTTGGCGTATCGTATATCGAAGGCTTCAGCCCGAATGATAAGAAAGCGAGGATATCCCCCCCAGTCTTTGCCTGCGCAGGCTAAACGCAACACACTTGGATGATTGCAACGGCACAATACTCGACGAAAGCGTGAACCGAAGGGAACTAGACGCCGTCACGGCCACGGAATACTTCCGGTCCCATTACGTAGCTGTGGGCGTGTTCACATCTCCTGGAAACAGCGTGGAGCCTACCAGTAGTCTACAGTTAATTGTGGCGTTGCTCTTCATGCTTGGGGGCTTCTTAGTATCCGCCATTATCGTCGACACCGTACAGAAACGCTTTACCGCCTCCGCATTCGAGCAGAAAGAATTTTTCGAGACGAGTACACGGATTCGGCGTTTCCTTCACCGCCAAGATGTTCCGATACTGATTCATCACTGAGCCAAGTCGTTCCTGGATTACTGGTGGTCCGCGCATCGTGGCGCTGTGATTAGCGAGTTGTTAGCAGATTTACCTCGATCAATTCGGCTGGAGTTGCTGCAGAGTATTTGCACGCATATATTGCAGACGCTAAGACAACTGCAGGGTCTGCACTCAGCCAGTCAATCCCTCGATGAAATCCTGATTGAAAACGCTAAATTCGTGCTGTATGGCCAGAGCGAGACCATATATCGCCACGGGGACTATGCTACGGGGATATATTTCCTACTCGCAGGGGAGATCAGCATCGTGAAAATGGGCGGAACGCCATGCGAAGTACCCCGAGGAGGGTATTTCGGCGCAGCTGCACTAACTGAACAGGAGCGTGGAGAAGGCTAGACGGAGCACGTGAGCGCTACTAGTGGTTGCATTCTGTTATTTGTTTTTCGGGACCAGTTGCAAACTATGGATACTATATTCCCTGGGTTCAATGCAGAGCTGCTTTCATATGGTCAGCGGCTACTCAGCAAGAAGCGCTCAGACAGGTCTATCAGCACATTCCAAGACGGAACACCTGACATTCAAGCAGCACAACGAGCCATGAATGAGCTGACACCGCGACGGAACTTATCGGATCTTGCCCAGGACCCCGACTCGACATTTGCGTTGATATGGGAGACGTGGGTGTTTGTAGTAATGACGGTGCAATGGGTGCAGATCAGCTTTCAAATGTGCTTTCCGTTGGGGACGAGCACAAGACTGCGGATGCGCTCATGATTTTTATGGAGCTTACATTTCTTCTGGACACATTTGTCCGATCCCGTCTTGGCTTTTACGAGTACGGAAACAAAGTCATGGAGCTACAGCGCATCAAGCACAAGTATCTCAAGTCGGGAACCTTCGCTATGGATATTGTTGTATTAGTTCCGCTATATGTCGTCAACTGGGAGGTGCCTGTCCACTACCGATGGAATCTAATTAACGTGAACAAGCTGCTGCGCTTATTCAAGTTTCCCAGACAGCTGCAGGCTCTTGAAACGCGATATCTGAAGCTAACGACGGAGCTGCACTTGTTCAAGCTGCTTTACTACACGTTCATGCTGTCGCATTTCCTGGCGTGTATGTGGTTTAACTTCGCGTCCAAGGCTGCAGTCCCGAGCATTACTTCGACTGTGACGGCGTTCGGTATCGACGCGTGGTTACCAGGCAAAAACCTGGAGAAGGCCTCGCTGATGCTCCAGTACATGGCTTCTCTGTACTGGTCTTTCGGCCTAATGTCATCTTCAGGCAACTCTGCGTTCCCCCAGACCACAGCTCAAAGCATCTTTAGCGTGGTCACGATGGCGTCTGGATTCTTCCTCTTCGCTTACGTGGTGGGCAACTTCGTGGTGGGCAACTTCACGGACATAATCGACCTCACAAGCTCCAAGGCTCGAAATTTTAACGCCAAGATGGGCGCTGTGCGTCAAATGCTCGACCACTTCGCTATGGCAGACGCTCTCCAGGAGCGTGTGAAGACTTTTCTACTCTTCAAGCGTCACCACACCATCACAGAGGAGCACATCCTCGTGCATTGTCTTCCCCCTTCGTTGCTCACAGATATTCGCCTGGTGTACATGAAGCCTATGATCGATAAAGTGGAATTTCTCACGGGCATGGAGTCGTCTATTACGCGCATGCTCGTCTCGCAGTTTCAGCAAGTTCTCGTTTCCCGCGGCGAATTTGTTTTCAAGCTGGGCGAAAGTGGAAGTGACATGTTCTTTATATTTACGGGGGTTCTACACGTATTGTTGCCATCCCGGGTAGCAAATCCGACTAAAACAACGTTTAAAATCGTCGCTGAGATTTTAGCCGGGCGAATGGAGGTTGTGGACGGCGCGTCATCCCACGCTGACCCCCAAGAGAACGATATTATCGCCGGTATGAAGCACAAATCCGTCAAAGACGAGTTGAAGAAAGTCAGCAAAGTCTCGGATGGCAGCTACTTTGGCGAAAATGCATTCTTCACCAACAAGAAACACGACGCGTACATCCAGGAGCACACCTCCTGCATCTTGTACCGGTTATCGCGTGAATCCCTGGAGCTGGTGTTCGACCGATACCCGAAATGGAAGCAAAAAGTACTGCGCATCGCCAATATTCACCGGGAGCAGGCGCGACTGGTCCACCTCTCGCGTAAAAAACAACGACTCGGATTAACCACTGCTGCTAGCATGCTGTCACGCTCGGATATCATGAATTGGCACGCTGAGAGCTTGAAGGAGATACGGCATCACACACATTTGCAACGAATCAACGATCATAGCAGCCCAAATGTGATGTACCGAGCAATCCTCAAGGCTCTCTCCAGGTTGTGTGACTATGCTCTTCATGGCGTCGACGTGCAGAGTCAAATTCACTTGTTTTGGCTCCGATTCGTCATATCCTGTACCGCGTACGTCTCTATCCTGATCCCGTACGAGCTCACTATGGATCCGATGGACCGTGCGACTGCAGCGACTACGATAGCGAAACGTTGCGAGTTATTGTGCGAGGTCGTTTTCGCGCTGGACGTGTGGTTTAGCTGGCACATTCGCGAATCGCCTGACGCTATGGAGCTTTACGATGAAAATCTACGCAGATTGTACCGCAAAGAGCGAATGTACTGGGACCTCATCGCTACGATTCCTGTTTACGATATGCTGTCTTGTTCAAATGCAGTCCGTGGTTCAAAATGCTGCGCTGCGTCAAGATTCTCAACATGAAACGATACCTGGACGAACTAAATCGGCGCAGTGTAGCCAGCGAGATCACGCGCTTCTCACATGTGTCGATGTTGTACTTGTTGGTGATATATTGGTCGGCTTGTGCCTATCTAGCAGTGGCCACCAGAGTGGGCTTTGCTTCAGACTGGGAAGATTGGCTCCCATCTCAAGAATTGCAGCTCGAGGACCCTCTAAACCCGTCCTCGAAGCAACTAGCACTCCGCCTTCTTCGCGGACTCTCCTTCGCTGTCACCACAATTGTCAAGAAGACGTACATCCCTACACCCACGACAGCGCTTGTGTTCGTGTTCCACATTGTGATGTCGTTCATCGGTCTCCTGGTCATGTCGTACGTGATCGGGGAGCTCGCAAGTCTCTTCATATCGTACATCGATCTCGAAGTTGGATTCCGCAAGAACTGCATCGCTGTCGAGCTGTACCTACGCCGTCTTCGACTGAGTGAGCAGCTTAAAGCCCGCACGACTGCCTTTATGACGTCGCTGTGGTCCTCTCACGCGGGTGTTAATTACGAGGAGCTTCTGGCCGAAATGCCGTGTGATATCCGTGTAGCGTGTGTGCTCCACGTCTCGAACAAGCCCTTGGACTGGTTCATAATGAAAGTTGCAACCCCGCTGTGCTGGGAAGGGGACGAAAGCACTGACGCACTCACTCTTTCGTTGGCCAAGCGACTACGCTTTGAGAGCTACCCGCGCGACGAAAACGTCGTCGCCGAAGGCAGCGTCGTTCGCGCCATGTACTTCGTGATCAAAGGCCATTTGAAGATGGAGAGCCGATTTCTCATCCACCGCGCACTGGGTCTCCGTGACGGCAGCTACTTCGGTGAACGCGGATTGCTCGCCTGTAATATCAGTGCCTACAATGTACGCACGGTGCGCGCGTGCGATCTGCTTTCGCTGAGCTCCGAGGCCTTTGCTCAAGTGCTAAACAAGTATCCCTTCTCACGTCTGGCGCTCAAGCTCTGCTATGCTGCGTCCAAGCTTCTGAAGGTGCAGAATATAGCGTCGTGCTCAAAGCCAAACATGGAGGAGCACTGGGGGGCGGCGCTGCTGTCCTTACTTCATACCATTCGAGATCAGCGCTTGGCAACTTTAGCTGCCAACGACCGAGCGGGCGTTTATACTGACGCCGATGCATCGTTTACTGCATCTGCTGTTGTTTTGAACGGTGATTTGACAGCGTTGTCCACCCTGAAGGGCCCGCTGCCTTCGATGCGTCGGGGGCCTCAACTAGAATCAAGGAGGCGGAGGGGCAAGGGATGCAGCAGAACAATGACGCACCAGCAAAGAGGCCAGAATTCAAGGCACCACCGACAGTCACCGCTGAATGGGGAGAGCTACCTGCTCACATCGATGAAATGTTTAACGCGCTGGATACAGCTCAATGCTGCTTTGAGGCGTTTGCACCGCTGCTCCACATCGTACTGGCGACCGACCCGCTTGATTGGAAAGCAAGCTTTGATTCATCAACTAGCGCTAAGATAGCGCCAGAGGCGTCAACTCCAGCTAAAGAGGTACAGACACGTCCTACGGATTAATCGTCACCGGCGCTACATCATGAGTAGCATGACGATTTGCTGCGATCAAGTATCTCGCGTCTGACCGCAGAACTGAGATCTTGGCCATCGCCGCGATCCTTTGCAGGACCCGCACGCCACCAAGCGGTAGAGTGCAGGTGTGCGGTGACTGAGAGTGCTGGTGATGGTATCATAGTAGGGTTGGGTACCTCCGAGTTCATGCTGATCTTTGCCTGAAGTGCTCGGAGGCAACTAATTATCGGCTGGTGAGAGTCATTCCGTGGTAGTGTTGACCTGATCAACAGGTTAGGCGTTGCAGGTAGACCGGCGGATTAGAACTGAGCAGAACTATGATTGTTTGTCGGATGGCAGATTGGGAAACTGCGATAACCTCTTCGTCTCTTCGATTGCAAGTTCGGCGGTGCCATCGATAATAACTGAGAAGGCGATTTATTTAGTTTTTGCTGCGCAGGTGGGTGAGCAGTTGAGGTCGAGGGCTTCCATGTCTAACTTGCGACTATTTTTGTTTGTTTCGCCCGCGTACACACTCATTGCATGCAACGAAGATGATGAGAGGAGGTGCGAAGGGCAAGGCGAGTGCTCGGAGCAAGGTGAGCGCGAAGAGCAGGATGAGCGCCAGAAGCAGAGTGAGCACAAGAAGCAGTGTGGCCAGCAGGAGCAGCGATATGCAGTCGTGGATAATGTCCCGCGGTCGTCGATCTGTAGGCCGCGCACACGGCTCCTTCAGTCTACACACCCGGGTGGGCAAAGTGTTAGCAGACGACCGTCAGAATGCCTTCGACCCGAACGCGCGCGCCGTGAAGCTCTGGGACCAAGCCCTCCTGCTCTGTCTCCTCCTCGAGGCGTTCGTGCTACCCTATTTTTTATCGTTCCAGCCCGAGGTCGTTGGCGCGATGTCGACGTTTTCTGTGCTGGTGGTCGCGGGTGATGTTGTATTCGCGATAGACTTGTTAGTGCAAGCCCACATGGGCTACTACTCGGACGGGAATCTCATTCGAGACAAGAAGCGCACGATCCGGAGATATGTGCGCTCGCCTCAGTTCGCATTGGATTTTATCGCCATAGTACCGACTCAGGTGCTGGTAATAGGATACCCTAAGCTGGTGAACGAGCTGCTGTTCCTGAAACTTTTGAGGTGGTCGCGACTCCCCCACCTCGTGTCGAGTGTGGATGAATTTTACGCCAAGCATTTCGTGGTGCTAAAACTTCTCAAGGTGTTGGTATCTACCGTGTATCTGGCGCATGTTCTAGCGTGCGTACGCTACATCTTCGGAGAGGATCAAAACCATACTGATCCATGGCTGCCGAAAGCCCTGTCGCACGGACACTCGCTGCACCGAGATTATCTAATGTCGCTCTTCTGGAGCGTGGGGATCATGACGGGACTTTTCGAGGGAGAACTGCCTCGCCACAGTTCGGAATTCCTGTTCACGATCTTGGTTTCGCTCTGCGGGTTCTCCATGTTCACGACGTTATGCGCTACAATCTTCGTGATCTCGAAGTGTGAGAGTGGCAACGCTGAAGCGATGAGCGCGCGCATCAATCAACTCGTGCATGTGCTCTCATTCCACCACGTACCGGAAAGCCAGCAAACTCAAGCCATCGAGTACCTAAAGGTAAGTTGTGGAAACTGTATCGTGCATGGTAACAACCTAAAAGACTAACAAATATTTCCCCTGTGTCTTTTAGCGCTATTATACTGATGCTGAGTCCGCAGACCGAGAGACCGCGAAATTTTGTGTCCATCCATCGCCAACGACATCCAAGTGGAGCTGCTAAAGTCGATTTTTTTTTAATATCGTTGAGGTGTACTGAGTTACTGGCCTTGTGGCCGAACTTCTAATCCCCCTTTCATCCTCAAGAGCAAGAGGAGTGGGTTTGATATGTAAGATGTGCATGTCCCTATAAGCTAAGCCGTGGCTTCGCTTAGAGAGAAGAGGGCATGAGGATTTCTTGTCCTGTGTTCGTGTCTGCCCATTTCCTGTAGTCATTCATCAAGAAGCTGAGAACGCCCGGGTATCGTCGTTTCACCAGGTCCCTATTCATGGGTTCATCCTGCTGACTTCGTCTGGAATCCATAGCGAGGTTCGCAAGACAATCTGCCATCTTGTTGTGGCAACGGTAGTGGTGTCTCCATGAAGCTACGCGCACCGAGTCTGCTAGGCGCCGTGCTCTGTCATAAATAGGCTGAAGCACCCGAGCTTTTGGCCGCCTGCGCTCCCGTATCATCCGTAAGACGAGTTGACTATCTCCTACTATGTGCACCTGTTTGAGTTTGCGCTTGTCCACGTGGTGTAGCAATCGGAGCAATCCGTTGAATTCTGCGAAATTGTTTGTACACGTAGGACGTAGCAGCGAGATGCTGCTCAACCAGACGATTCGTGGTACCCCGCACTCGTCGACCTGGATGACTTCCGCCTGGTCCAGGATTTCCACGCGATTCTCCATCGATGAAGCCAACATAGTGCTCGGGCTGCGATGGACTCTCTCCCGGAGCTACGATGTCGTCTGAGTTTTGTTGGTGCAGACGCTTCCTCGTGTCCATGGCGCTGGCCCAGTCGCCCGCATTTTTCCTATCTAGTTGGAATGTTGAAGCCACAATATCAAAACCGGTCTGTAGCCGAGCGTGAAAAGAGGCGTCCCGTTCATTTGTTGCTCTTCCTGCCGCAGTCGTGTTGTAAATCATATCCACGCGGGCTCGCCAAATCGACGCTAGCGTTTCTACCACGGCAAAGCTCCAATATTTGTTGACGACAGCATGAACTGCATCCGTAGTCTGTAACTTGTGCAAACGGGAGTTCTGTTTTGCCAACTCCATTCCGTAACGCACGCATTTCCCAGGAGGATAAGTCAGTCTACATGAGAAGATTTCGGTAATGCTCGGTGCATTGGACTCAGTATCAAGCTGCGCAAAAATGCTTCGAGTAGTCTTCCACCTCCTTTGCGCGTGCGGGCATTCCCAAAAGACATGAGAAAGCGCGATGTTGACGTGATGTGTGCATTCCGCGTGGGGGCATGCTTGGCGCTTGAGCGGTGGGGCCCACAGCGACAAAGCACGGAGTTTGAGTCTATACAGGAGTGAGTGCTGGTATGAGGAGGTGCCTGGGATTCTCGAAATGTTCATCCATTGGACTTGGTCCAAAGCCGAGTTGATAACACCGCTTTCTCGGGCCCACGCAATTACTGCGTTTTCGATTCGTTGTTTCCCCTTCAACATCCTTTTCTCTCCAGCTTGACGCTTGTATTTCGCTCGAGTTTGCGGCCACCTTGCCGTTCCGGCCCATGTGACTGCCAAGCGAGTCACCAGTTGGTGGGGAACTGTCCACACCGTGGCGACGGGCACCCCGAGAAAAGTGGCTATGGCTTGATCTAACAGTGGTGGAGTGGTATGCTCCAGAACACTAGGCTCCATAGAGCCCCATGTGTGAGTTACAACATGCGCCGGTCCGTCACTAAGCAGGAATTCATGGTGTGGGTCTGGTAATTTGGATGAAGCCGGTGCCAGTAGAGAAAAGCGTTTGCACATTATTTCAAGCTGCCCCGTAGTCGTAAAGAGTGGCAGATCGCGTAGTTTCAGCTGCTTTACGCCGTCTCCGACAAAGCGACCGAATCGTTCTTCTAGGAAGCGTGCGTAAGTCTGAACTCCGACGAGTATTGAACGGAGATCACACACTAACTCGCCATTTATCCATCGTGTTGTGACACCGTGTCGCTTTCGAAACTTAGCCAGCAATGCGGTCTGTCCGCTGATACTATTTTCCGGGAAGGCTGGTGCTAGCGAGCGCGCCACCCAGACGCTACCATTTGTCCACATCGAATTTCGGAGATTTTTGGGGGTCTTCCCGCGCCACACTGGAGTGATCATCATCTCTGTTATACCGTCCCGCGAGCGCAAAATATCCCCAACCACTCTGATAATTCCCGAGCTCTCGAAAGCCCAGTCGCCTATGCTAAAGTCGACACTGGCCCAAATCTCGCTCTTTGTCGGCTGCAACGACCAGTTTATCGTGGCCATGACGAGTCTGCTCGAATTGGCTGCAGTGCCAGCTCAGACCACATTATTCTCCGAAGGCGACCACGGGAGCGCGATGTACGTCGTCCGATCAGGAGTTCTTGCCGTCGTAGCCCGATCCGTGACTGTACTGGAGATGCGGAAGGGGAGTTGCTTCGGCGAGCTGTTTGTGTTCTCTTCGCTGCCCTGCACGGCCACGGTCATCTCGACTACGTACGCGAATCTGTACAAGCTCTCTCGATTCCACCGCGAGCGCGTGCTGGAGGGGTACCCGGACTGCGCGTCGGTCATCGCTGTCCACGTGAAAGACATCCTCAGGCAGCTCAACATCAGCGAAGACGACTCGGGCAGCAATACGTCGTACAACTCCATCTCGTCTCGAAGCAATTGACGAAGAGCAGCGCTCCGTCGAGCTTCCGTCACCATTGGAGGCATTACAGGCGCGCTGGCGAGAGTTCGAGGGGCGTCGAGAGGGAGCAGCTTCTTGTCCTCCCAACGAATAAGCATCTCGCGCAAGCAGTCCAAGAAAAACTCCATTGGTCCGTTGCTGCAGGACCTCCCTCAGCCAGGTCTTAAGCCAGTTAACATTGAGCATCTCTCACGAGACACGAGAACAGATACAACGATGTCAACGGACGATCTGCTCTCGCACACTCTGACAACGAAGAATGACCACGAACCTCCACCGTTCGAGCAACGCCAAGGACCAAAGCTCAAGATGGTGTACAAACACCACGGCCTGTGGCGGCTGATTCTGCTCCAGAGATGCATCGACTTTGATTCTCCCGCGCGAATGTGGTGGCTGCTGCTGCTGTTCTCGAACCTTTGCTACTGCTGGATCATGGTCCCTGTCCAAGTGATTTTCCCGCTCTGGCAGCGCCCGTCGTGGGTCACTCAATCCATCGACTCCATCTCGAATATCGGCCTGCTGCTTGACCTCGTTTTGAATCTGAATCTCGCCTACATGATTGAGTCGGACAAAGTCATGGATCCGAAGCTGAGTGCACTTCGACACCTCCGGACGGGGTTTCGTTTCGATCTCCTGTGCGCGTTGCCCTACAAGTATCTGCACATGGAGGCGTATGGACTCATGCGGTTGCCTCGCCTCCTGCGCGTGTTCCATTTGAAGCGGCACCTGAAAGAGCTGGACCACTTCATCCAGTTGAACAGCAGGCGACAGCTTGTGCTGCTGATCCTCCTGTTCTTCATGATGTTCCACGTCGTAGCGTGCATTTACTTCGGCATTTCGTACCTCGAAGGGTTCGATCCAAACGAGAACGAAGCTTGGGTCTGCCCTACCAGCCTCTGCTTGCGCCGACTGAACGCAACGCACTTGGCGAACTGCAACGGCGTGATATTCGATGAGAATATGAACCGACGAGAGCTGGGAGAGATTGCGGCCATGGAGTACTTCCGCTCGCTTTATTACGCTGTAGGGGTCTTGGCGTCGCCTGGGAACACCGTGGAGCCAACTAGTGACGTTCAACTGGTAGCAGCGTTGATCCTCATGCTCGGAGGTTTCTTGATATCGGGCGTTGTAGTGGACAACGTACAGAAGCGCTTTACCGCCTCCGCCTTCGAGCAGAAGCAGTTTATCGAGACGAATACTCGCATTCAGCTGTTCCTTCGACGACAGAAGGCCCCGCTAGCTATACACCACCGTGTCAAGTCCTTTTTGGATTACTGGTGGTCTTCGCATCGGGGCGCGGTTCTCCGTGACTTACTCGCAGATCTGCCACACTCAATGCGACTGGAACTGCTACGAAGTATTTGTACCCCGGTTCTGCAGACGCTAGCACTACTGCAGGGTGTGCATCCTGTACGGGACAAGCTCGAAGAAGTTATGGTGGAGAACGCCAGCTTTATTCTTTTCAGTCAAGTCGCTCACGATTCTGGGGGTGTGCCAAACGCGGCACAATGATGACGAAGTTGCATTGTAGCACCACCACTGCCGGGGTATCCGGGCGTGGGGGATGCCCCTAAACTTGATGCAATGCGGGCTTCTGCAGCATTTGCGACCATCCGCGATGTCAACTGCCCACTTATGCGCGTGTATCGTTCGACTGCGTCGGACTTCCATCTCCCAAACAGCTTCACTGCCAGACTATCAAAACCAGCATTAAACAGCGCCGTAGCGCCGCCACTTCGAAGGGAGTGCGAGGCGTAGTCTTGCGGATTATGGCCAGCTCGACCAGCAGCAGCCTTTATCGCTCTTACCACGTCGGATACTTGCAAATTGTGAGATGCATCCACCTTGCACAGTAACTCGCCCGCATCAATACGAAGCGCCTTGTGGTGACGAACTAGGTACAATGCTGCTAGTACAGGGCAACACCACCGATGCCCAGATCTCGCCAATTCTCGAGAAGTACCCTTGCCAAATTGGTCGGATATACTCCCTCGAAATTGTAGAATCACCGAAGTCACATCATGAAGGTTTCGGGTCTCGTGGCCTCTAGCATCCACAAATTTGACATCCGCTCTCCGAATTGCGTAGTCGTGCATCCTTGAACCTTGAGCCAAATATTCGGATCTTCTCAAAAGAAAGAAGAAGCCCAGCACCGAAGCCCCCCAAATGACCCGGTGCTGGGCAACTGCGAAATCGAGGAGCTCATGCAGGCACTTGAGGATTGCGCTTGTAACGGGAGATTTTGGCTTGCTTGATGGGTCTTTCCGCCGCATTGCGGTGATAGCGAGTTGGTGGCCCGGCAAAAGGCCGACGTTGTAACCAAGGGTTCGCCTATGATGCCACGCAATATGGCTGACTTTAGAGAGCACGGTCGAGGCAGAATTCCCCGATCCCGATTTTCCCCAGCCATATTTCCAGCAGTACGTGGCGAAAAGGGCGAGCTGGTACGAATGTTGCCGGCGGTCTTCTGGCAGCCATTTTGCGAATTGAAGCCGCTCACACCATCTACACCACTGTGTCCATGTGCTTGCATACTTGATCTTGGACGTCGTGGCCAGTGACTCGGACTGAAGAGATTCGAGAAGTCGATGTAAATTTTCCTGCATTCTTGTGGAACTTGTGTCTGCACCCAACACGAAGAAAAATTAGTCCATCGAGCAATGTAAGGTTCGGGCCAAGCTCGCGAAGCTGCATCAGCCATCCAATTGGCCGATCCTGGAATATGATCCGCCGATACTCGAAGGTTGAAATACACTTCAGCCAGACCAATCGCCCGATTTATTTCTTGGCTGAACGCGTTGTTGGAGTGCATCCGATTGCACCAACTCACAGCTGCGGCATTGTCACTCCAACACTTGACATGAATTGTGCGTCCGTTCGCTTGTGTGCTCCACTTTGAACCCCACGACCACAACGCGATGGCAATGTACAAGTGTTCCCTGACATTGATTGAAAACTCGTCATGGCCGCTACCAACTTTGTCGATGAGCAATTTCTCTTCGTCATCAAACTGGATCTGTATATATGACTCGCAGGCGGGATCAAGCACGGCTAGCCCGAGGTTGGACGCGTCCATATACAGCTCCACGTCCGGTGCCGGCAGCTCGCCAAACATCGCAAGCGGTAATTCAGCAAAACAACCATGCATTAAAATGTGCCGAAACCACACGAGATCTGTTTTGGCCCCTGCTGTAAGTTTAATTCTGCCGAACCGTGGTGCTGATGTACACAGTGTCTACAATCGTTGGTAAAAAGGCTTGGCTGTTGGCAGACAATTAGCCACGTGGCGAAGAGAACCCAGTAGCTTGTACAGTTCGGATTTTGACGCTGTGCCGCGTTGCTCCACCGCACTGGCGCGAGCACGAGCTTTAGCGATCTTCTCTTCTGGTATCGATACGGTGCGGCGCTCGGTGTTCCATAGTAGACCCAGAACAACAATTTCCACACTCCATTCCGAAAAGTTTGCCTCATTGATCGAACGGGGCCCTAAGACAGCCAACATAGCGTGTCGTAAAGTAGCTTCAGCGAGTTCTAACCTGTTCTGGACATCCGGTTCGACCAAGACATGGTCATCTACCCACTCGTAAGGAAAAAATGGGTTCGTGTCGCTCGAGTCGGACACCGCTGCAGGTGAACTTCTGCCCATTAGCCACGTGATGGCACGGCCAAAGCGTGCGTAGCAGGGGGGCGAACCTGACCAGCCAAATGGTGCCGCCATATCGACGACGAGAATGCCGAGTTCTTTCACATATGCCGCCATTCTGAAGACCTGGTTTGCGCGTGTTCTTAAGTGGCGAAAGGCACTCTTGACATCTCCCTTGAGGACGCGTATCCGGCCTGCATGCCCTGCTTTTGCTAAACTGTCGATGCGCCGTGCGATAACTACCACTGACTCGTATCTCACTTTGGGCACCGACTCGACAATAAATGCAGCGTTTACACAGTCGTCTTTTGGGTAGGATAAGTCGTGAATTATGCGCACTTCCTCCATCGGGTCCACATCCTTCTTCTCAACAGCACCGAGCGGACTGCAGATTAGTTCTGGCCACCGCTCAATGATATCGGCATCAACTATCAAATATTGACCGGAGTCTTGGCCATCCCGAATGCTTCTTGTGACAGCACGTAGGTAACGTCGGCAGGAACCATGGTTCTTCGGTGGTGGCCGCCGCGGTCTCGGCCCTTGTCTCCACCCCACGTCGATGCCCTTCTCAGCAATTTCAACGAGTAGATCGAGATGTTGATAGCCGTTAAGAACGGTCCGCAGCCGGACAGGATCGATGGCTTTGTTCGGTCTGCTGTCTATGCTATCTTCGCACCGCACAAATCGCGTAGCCTCTTCCAGGGACATATTGTGCGTGCGAATTACGGTGGATAGAGACTTGCAGGCTACTCCGTCAATTGCGTAGACAGGAGATGCGGGTCGCTTTGCACTAACGAACCCCCGTTTGCGGTGCAGGACGGAAATTCGAGCTTCGGCCCGAAATAAATCCACTTCCAAACATGATTGAATCTCTCGCGCCGAATCCAATGACAGACTAATGTGGGCGTGACTGCAACACCTCAACCGACAAACGCTTGCACCCTCCACCGGCAACTGCTGCGACCCAAGTGATTTTGAACGCAAGTCAGCTACCCGGGTGCAGGATACCTTGCCGGTCTCGCTCCTTGCGTCTGCCTCTGTGTCATAACAAGGCCTCGATTGACGACTATCTGTGCAACCAGCAGCCATTGGCGCTGTCGGATTTACCGCAGATCCCGCCGACTGCGCACAAATTACCTCGCCAATCTTGCTCGTTGTTGTGGGTACCCTAATTGAGTCGCGTGGGGGCCTCGATTGCACGCGTAATCTAGACTGGTCCAACACCGTCTGAGATCCATCACTTGAATTGATTGTGTTAACGCAGTTTGCTACTTGACCTCGCGCCACCCTATCGGCTTTGCATGGCACCGCCGACGGTCGGTCGTTTTGCGTTCGTGATGGATACATTGCCAGACCAGTCTGAACGAGTCATAACTCTTTGTGCTCGTCCTTCAGCCCACCAAAGCGCCTGTCAATCTCTTTTTTCACGATCGCGGGTAGCAGCTTGGGAACGCGATGCCCATGCTCGCTGGGACAACCGCCATCACTGTCCACCGCACAACCCGCCGCTGAGAGAAAACGCATGCACAGTCGTCGCGACTTTCCTGATGCGGGGTCGTTCTGCACTGGTAATTTGCGAAGTACTTCCTTAGGGATTCGCCCAAATCGCTTCTTACCGTCGTGGTTGCGGCCGTTGCGGAGCTGGGATCCTTGTTCAACGTGGCCCTCAAGGCGTGCTGGTCCCGACATCATCTCGTGTCGTACATCCTGCACTTGCCGATGCACCTTTATAAACATCACATCCTTGAGCAACCGGTCATCGGTCGTACAATGTTGCTGTACGGCTCGAAGCTCACCACCTTCCTCAGCCGCTGTACGAAAATCCTCGAGAACGTCATTTACCCAGAAAACTAAGCTAGAAATCTCTTTTGGCGTCCACGATACCTGCGATAGCGTGTGTTCGGTGAACTTCACGATGGTCTCAACCAATTCGACCAGTTCAGCACAGCAAAACTCGCGAGCATAGGTGAGGAAAACCCTGTCAGAGTCCACAACACCTTCGATGCGCGATACCGGCGATGCCGCCGAGAATTCTGCAGTTGCGGACAAATTGTCAAAGCTTGAACCACCGGCCTCCAACCAAGCCACCCGCTCATCCCTCGATAGTCTTGCAAAGTGTCGAATCGAAAGACCACCAGAACCGAAACGAATATCATAGGCCTGCGTACAAATTCCAGGTACGGCTTTGAACTCCACGTGCTCGGACCGAACTAAACCTCTGCAAAACACATTGGCAGACTAACCTTTGTGCTTCTCCGTTATTATGCGCTTGTGAACTAATTCCTGCTCCTCGGACGGTGCAAATGCGTACTTAGACGACTTCTTTTGTCGTAGGGGATGGCTTCTGTACGTGAGTACGCATGGTACCACCACCCTCCACCGGCTGCGCTTTGACGTTGGCCTCCTCCTTCCTAATTATTAAGAAACGCTCGAGAAGGTCCGGTTCGTCGCTTATTTTTGCGATAATCAACGCGTCTTGATCAATAGCGGTTTGAACTCGTTGTCGCTTGGAGGGGACGTGGCCATCGTCGCCGTTGGCAATCGTGACCTCTTGCTGTCGTTTTGTCACGTGTTGTGTGGTAGTGTTTGCCCGACCAACTTCAGCACCGCGTTCCGATTCGTTTTGGGGCGAGTCATCGTCGTCTGGAAACGGGTCAAAGAGCTCTTCCACGTCCTGAACCGAGCCGCGAGACAAAGCGGACGTGCTCCGAAGCGGTTGGGGCTTTGGTGGTATGCAAAATGAGTTGCCTACGCTGCGTGGCACTGGTGACACCCCTCCGTCGACGTAAAAAGCGAAATTTATAGCGTGCTGGAGTGGAAAATGAGCTTCCTCTCCTGTTCTTGGGTCGATCCACTGACACACCTTGTCACCACTAGGGTGATTTTCCTCACTCATCAGACCTTCCAGTATCTCGGACACTTGATTTGAAGCAGAACTACCGCCGGTACCGAGCAGCCGACTCAGAATTGACTGCTCCATCGCCTCTAGGTCAGTAGGACTCCACTCGTCGCTTCTGAACTCGACGTCTTCAAGCAACAGAACAATCACTGGTGGACTGCAGCTGCCGCTGCCACAAATTCATGACCACCGGATCGGATCGTGACACTGCTCTGGTCGACCGAGGTCACTTGTCCATACTGAACCTCTCCAGCTAAACTGACGGACACGGGTCGTCGGACCAACGAGATCTGACCGGCCTGAGAAACTTGACTGGCCCGAACCACGTGGTCTTCGGCGACGGCACGATCCAGTTTCCCTTCGCCTCCTTCCAAGCTGCGAAACGTCATCTCCTCCGAGTCTAGCTGTAAGACCTTAGCATAAAACGGATGCTCTGCTTCGAACTCCACCACTTCAGGTGTCAAGTGAAGGAAGGAGCGGCTTGTAAGTCTCACCATGACCGGAGTGCTGAAGGCTGAAAGCTAAAGCAGGAGAGCTTAAGCGGCAGACAGAGATTTTGAAACTAACGCTACGACCTCTACGACTGCTCCTAGCACTTGAGCGTTGGTTTCATCTCTGCTTTCTCTCCTCAAAAGCTATTTTCACCTTGAACTTGAAAATATCCAGTACGGGCAAGGGGAGACGGTTTACCGCCATGGAGACTACGTCACTGAAATGTATTTCGTGCTGGAAGGGGAGGTCTGCGTCGTGAAAATGGGTGGACCTCCGTCTAAAATCCACAGAGGCGGGTACGTTGGCACGGCTACACTGACACAGCAGGAGCGTGGGGAAGGTTACATGGAGCATGTGAGCGCCAACAGCGGCTGTATCCTTCTCTTTGTGTCTCGCGACCAACTGCGAGCTATGGAGGCGATTTTCCCACCATTAAAGACTGAACTTCTCACTGTTGATCGGAGGCTGATGAGCAGCGAACTCGCGAGTATGCACGTGCAAACCGACAGAGAGGAATATAACCAAGTCAGGAGCATGCTCCACAGGGTGCAGTTGGCCCTAGCAAGCGTATTCACTATTGTGTACGATCCAGATTCACTGTTTACTTTGGCGTGGGAAACGTGGCTGTTCATGGTGATGACGACGCAGTGGGTGGTAGTGATGTTCCAGGCGTTCTTCCCTCTGGAGGAAAGACATAATAAGGTGGACTCACTCATGGTCTTCTTAGAGTGTTCGTTTCTCCTGGACGTTTTCATTCGCTCACGACTTGGGTTTTACGAGTACGGGAATAAAGTCATGGATATCCACCGCATCAAGCACCAGTACTTCCGATCGGGGGCTTTCGCTTTGGATATCATCGCGCTATTGCCGCTTTATGCTGTGAATTGGGGCATAGAGTCGTACCAGCGATGGGACCTCCTGAACGTCAACAAACTTCTGCGATTGTTCAAAGTTCCCAAGCAACTTCACGCACTCGAGACGCGGTACCTTAAGCGACAACGGAGCTGCATCTGTTCAAACTGCTCTGCTACACGTTCATGCTCTCGCACATTCTGGGCTGCATCTGGTTCAACTTTGCGTCGGGAGTAGCCACCCCCAAATTCAGCGACAGCTCAGCCCCGACCGCCACCCAGACGGCATTCGGTGAGAACCTGTGGCTGCCATCCAAGAAGCTGGAGAATGGGTCGCTCATGCTCCAGTACATGGCGTCTCTCTATTGGTCGTTCGGTCTCATGTCGTCTTCAGGCGAGTCCGAGTACCCACAGACCACGGCCCAATGCATTTTCAGCGTTGTGACCATGACCGCGGGCGTTTTCCTGTTTGCGTACGTGCTTGGTAATTTTACCGACATTATCGAGCTCACAAGCTCCGAGAGCAGAGAATTCGATGTCAAAATGGGGGCAGCACGACAAATGCTAGACCATTTCAAGATCCCGACTATCCTCCAGGAGCGGGTCTAGACCTTCTTGTTGTTTAAAAGGTACCACACGATCACCCAGCAGCATCTGCTCGGAGAGTGTTCGCCACCGTCCTTGCTGACGGATATCCGCCTTGTATACCTAAAGCCCATGATCGAGAAAGTGGATTTCCTCGCGGGGATGGAGATACCCATCACGCGAATGCTGGTGTCCCAGTTCACGCAGGTGCTGGTTTTTCGTGGCGAGTTAGTTTTCAGGTTCGGGGACTGCGGCAGCGACATGTTCTTCGTATTCACGGGCATCCTCGACGTTCTGCTGCCCATGCAGCTAGCCAAACGTTCCAGACCCACGTTCAGAGCTGTAGCAGACACTGTAGCAAGCAAGGAGAACGCGTCCTTCCAGGCTGGACCGACACCGGAGGATATCGATGACAGCTTGCAGCAGATCAGTATTCCAGGCCAACTGAAGAAGATGAACGAGATATCCGCTGGCAGATATTTTGGTGAGAACGGATTATTCACGATTGGGGAACGGGACGCCTACATCCAGGCTCGGACGTCGTGCATCCTGTACAGACTGTCGCGCGAATCGCTGGAGCTAGTATTCGAGCGGTACCCCAAGTGGAAGGAGAAGGTCATTCAAATCGCGAATATTCACCGTGAGCAGGCGCGACTGGAGCAGCTTTCGCGCGATGAGCAACGCCGTGGGATGCTGATATGTGGTGGGCGAGCTTTGTCACGTTCGGACATTGTGAATGAGCGAGCCGAGGGGTCGAAAGGAGCGCGATATCACACCCGTTTGCAGCGTAGCAGCACTGGGAGCAGCAGTCGGATCCTCCCAGTTCCGACGTCGGTGGGTTTGGTAGACCAGCAGGTTCAGAAGCCTCTTCTTCGGTTGGTCGATGGGTTTCTTCACGGGGTTCCAGTGCAGAGCAAGTTTCCCCACTTTTGGCTGCGGTTCATCATTTGCTGCACCATGTTTGTCGCCGTTATGACCCCCTACCAGCTCACGATGGACGCTATGGATCGCACAGCGGTCGTCCCCGTTCTCGTAATTATCATAGGGATCCTTTGCGAAGTCGCTATCGTCGTGGATCTTTGGTTTAGCTGGCACGTGCGTGAGTCCCAGGCGTCCATGGAACTGTATGACCAAAAGCTGCGTAGCGTGTACAGGAAGGAGCGGATGCTGTGGGATATCCTCGCCGCCATTCCGTTCTACGATGTGCTGGCAGTACTGGGCTGCAGAGCGTGGTTCAAATTGCTACGTTGCATCAAGATTTTCAACCTCGGCAGCTACTTCAACGAGCTAAACCGACGTAGCTTTTTCCAACGAGACATCCAGCTTTTGGCACGTCTGGATGGGGTATTTGTTGGTCATCTACTGGGTGGCGTGTGCGTATCTGGCAGTGTCGATGGACGCAGGCTTCGGAGCAGAGTGGGAAGGGTGGCTTCCGTCCCAGGATCTGGTTGTCTCGGACCCTCAGAATCCGTCCTCCTCTCAGCTCGCGCTTCGTCTATTGCGGGGACTTTTCTTCGCGATGGTGACTTTCGTCAAGAAAGCTTACTGCCCCGAGCCTGAGACTGCAACGCTCTACGCGTTCCACATTGGAATGTCTTTCGTGGGTCTCATCACTATGTCATACGTCATTGGTGAACTCGCGAGTCTTTTCATTTCCTATATCGGACTGGAAGTGGGGTTCCGCAAGAATTACATCGCCGTGGACCTTTACATGGCACGCCTTCGTCTCAGTGATCGTCTGAAGACTCGGACGTACGCGTTTATGACGTCTCTCTGGTCGTCGCATGCTGGTGTGAACTACGAAGAACTTCTGGCGGAAATGCCTAAAGCTATCCGTACGTCGTACGTGCTTCAAGTGTCCACAAAGCTCCTTTCGTGGTTCATCATGAAGGTCATCGCCCCTGTTTGCTGGGACGAAAGCCAGAGGATGGACGAGTTCACGCGCGCTCTTGCTGAACGCTTGCGCTTCGAGTGCTACCCACGCGATGAGAGTGTTGTCACGGAAGGAAGTATCGTGCGAGCCATGTATTTCGTGATCAAAGGCCACTTGAGCATGCACAGCCGCTCTCTCCTGGATCGACCGGTTGGGCTCCGTAGTGGCAGCTACTTCGGAGAGCGTGGTTTGCTGGGGTGCACCATCAGCGCTTATACTGTACGGACCGTACGGGCCTGTGATCTGCTTTCTCTGAGCTCCGAGGCGTTTGTTCAAGTGCTGCAGGGGCACCTATTCACTCGTCTCGCTCTCAATTTGTGTGAGCGTGCGTACAAACACCTAAAGAAGCAACACATTGCGTCTTGCTCGAGAACTGACATGGAAGAGCACTGGGGAGCAGCTCTACTGGGAGCCGTCCAAGCGATCCAGACCCAGAGACAACCAGCTGCGCAAGCGAACCTCCCTGTTGCCAAGGAAGTCGCTGGGAAGGAAGCGGGTGACCCTCCTCCCAACTCGGATCGGATTCCTTTATCGTCCCTACGACGTAAAGTCACACACCAGAACAGCAAGGCTCCGGAGAAGCAAGACCATCTCCTGCGCAGCGGCCACAAAGATGTACCGAACGTTGGTGAAGCTAAGGGCGTCCACATTGCGGACAAGGAGAGCGATGAGCTTCCTGCCAACATTGATTTGATGTTCAAAGCTCTGAAGACGCCCCACAGCTGCTTCGAGGCGTTTGCCCCCCTGCTTCACATCATGCTGGCGACCGACCCGCTGGAGTGGCATGTGAGTTTCAATACCCTCAACAGTACCGCCCTGCCGAATGCAATTGAGTCGGTAGACAATTCCGGGTGCCGGCGGCGCAACTCGCCCCCAGCAGCCGAACATACAATTGCGTCACCACTCATCAGCCGCAATGAAGAAATTGAGCAATAAACTCAAAAGTAGTGCGAAAACCTATTTGTCGAGGAAACTCCACTTTGACTTCTTTTCTTGTAAGACTATGAATTGGCTAGTTAGCTGGTGCCAAGTACAAAAATGTATCTTCCTTCAAAATCGTCAAAAGCTGCCTTTGTCATTCCTTCTTAGTTTCTTTCTTTCTTCCCCTTACAGCCTTTTCAAGTCGTCGCTTCACGTGCTTCATCATCGCTGAGCCTTATCCTCACATGCTGACGCCTTTTTGCTCGTTACTTCACGCAAAGGTGCTGGAAATGAGCCCTGCACGGGCCCCAAGTGACATGGAGATCGAGCGGAACGTGTCCCAGAGATCGTCAATTGAAATGGCTTCGTGCACTGTCCCGCCAAGGTGCTCGGCGAGATCTGTGACGCCCAGATCGCTGACACGTCCATACCCAACCACAAAAGCTCGCAAGCCCGACACCGCGTATTGCTGCCGCATGCTCGTCGCTAGCTTCAGCCCTTGCTTACGGTCAGCAGGTCGACCGTCCGTGAAGAAGATGAGTACAGGCTGGTACTTTTTCATCGGATTCCGTGAGAGCACGGCGTTCGCTTGTTTCAAGCCCTTCTCATAGTACGTCCCCCCACCACGGAAGTTCACGCATCGCGTTGCAGCCTGCTCAATCTTGACTTTTTCATACTCGAGAGTGCCCTTATCCCCAAAGGTAATTACCGAGACGATATCTTGACGACAGCCGCACGACATCCGACCTCGCAAATAGTCCCGGACTCCTTTCACCAACGCTTGCCACGGACCGCCTTTCATCGACCCCGAGCAGTCCAAGACGAAAACGTGGTGCAATATACGAGCGGAGGCGGCATGCGAGCACGTAAAACGATGGCCGTTGATGTACGTGACACCATCTCGCTCCAGGAAGGGAACGGATGCAGCAGGTAGATGCCAGACAGGGAGATCACAGCCGGAAGGTTCTTTCTCACGTCCTTTGTGGTCCGGTGCATTGCATAAGTACGGACACTTAGTGAACAGCGCGCGCTCTGCAGGGGACGAACAAGGGTCTTCCCACCCGATCGTTCTCCAGTACTCAGCATGCAACACTTCATCAACCTCGTGGTCTGGGGCTGGAATCAACGCAGTTTCGCAGTGGCGTCGGTGATCCCCCAAAGCCGAGTAGACACACGCATCAGCACTCTGGTAGCACTTGAGGTAGTGGACGTGTCCTCGTCCGGCTGTAGAGCAGTACAAACTGCACATTTCGGCGCTACCCTTCTCGCCTGCGGCGTACTTGCGGTTATCCCAGCTGATGGTGCTCTGCTTAGCAACAAAGTGCATCTTGCGCATGTTGCCGTGTGCAGCAGAGTGCAGTCCGTGGTGTCCGAACGGTTTGGCGCAGTAATACTCACAGGCCACGCATCTCGCGTCGCATCCATGAGGGGCTACCCTCCCACCCCACAACCTCTTGGCACACGAGTGCATACCGCCGTGGCTTGTTTGTCCGGGCTCCAATACGATGGCGCACTGGTTGCGTGTTCCAACCATCCGCTTCGATCCATACTCGAAATTGTCGAACGAACCGCTGAACTGACGCGTGGAGACTCGGACGCTTTTGCTGCATATGCCATTCGCCTCACAAACTTTACTGCATACGTGGCTTGAAGCACACATATGCCGCGCATTTTCACTGCTGCCCGAGTAATACCCAAGCAAGCCTCCTTGTTCTTGGGCAAGTGTTGCACTTAATCCAGGATTTCCATGAAAATGGTTTGCGGAATCGCAACGCTCCTCACAGCTTTCCATCTCGCACGCATAGGCGCACTGCGTCTCCACACACTTGTGCACAGTGTGAAGCCGCTCTCCGTTCAACACGCACACCCCTTCACAATTTGGCGCACTGCACAAAATACCGCAAATGTGCTGCTTGACGGAGCAGCGATGATTTCCGTCATGCCCCGCCATCTGCACGCAAACAATTTCGCAGTTCGAAGCATCCGCGAGACTGCATACAAACCCGCAAGTGTGGTCTCCCTTTCCGCAGTCGCACGTTCCTTCGTGGCCAGCCTTACCGGTACAGCGAGGAACCTGTTCACGGTGCTGGTAGCTCTGCACACAGTACTCACAATAGCTGCGGCACACATGAGTCATGCCACAGTTGTGCTTCTCCTCACCTGGGGAGTGGCAAGCTGGGCGCATACACTGGAGTTGGCACTGCGCGCACCCATGACCACACCTCTTAAAACGCGTCTCGAACGGGAGAAGTCGAGCTCGCTCGATGTTATCCCAATCATCCGCAAATCGCTCAGGTCCCAGGAATTCCTTCACCCAGACAACAGCCTTCGATTTACGACGGCAAACCAAAAAAGACAGCATGGCGTCGAAATTGGTGTAGTCTGCCGTGGTGATTTTTTCTTCTGCTCCCTTCAATATCAGCTCCAAATAGTGTTGAAACAGCATCGTGATGGCATCGTAGATAGACCCTGTGTCCGCTGTTTCAGCGCAGACTGATGGTCCAAAATCTAAATTCTCGTCAATCGCTGCTAGTGAGAACTGGAGGTTCAAACGCTTCCAAGATTCAGCACACTCGTGGTAGTCATGGCATAGATCTTCGAAAGAAAGCATTCCAGCAGCACGCTCGTTCTTTGAATCCGGCAGAATTCCTGTGCGAATGATACCAGGCAGATTTCGGTGAAGCTCCTTCATCTGAAGTTGTTGCGCGGTTTCTTCAACAGTGGTCCAATCCAGGATCGAGATTTTGGCCAATACCAGTCGGATAAAGTCGTGGAAGGCTCTTCCGCTTCGAAACCCATGCTCCGATTCGCCCTGCTGCGTAATAACTTTCTTGACCAACTTCTTCGCGTGAAGTAGCGACTCGTAGTAGCCAGGAGTCCCTAACGGAGGGGAGCAATTAATACTCACTTTACCCGAATACATGTTCGTTAGGAAGTTTTGCCCCGACGTGGCTTTGAGCAGGTTCCTGATTTTCCCCGTAAACTCCGAGAGGACATCTCGGCCATCATTCGGGTTAATGTCCTTCACACTCATGTAGAATATTCCTCGGAACAGTCGCTTGTCTTGCTTGAGTAGATCCATTCCCTTTTGAAACTTGGTGAAAAGCTTGTCAATTTCTTTGTCAAGCCGCATTTCCATCCGGAATATCGTGAACATCGACAGCGACGCATTCAGCACCGCAAGAAAAACATCTTCTTGATCTGTTCGCTCGAAGGACCCCAGACCTTCGAAATCCAGAACGACAAGCAAAACATCTTTCATGATGCGTAGTGTCATCCACGCACCGTCAGTGCAACGATTTCCAGCGATGGCAAACGAGGACCCCGTTAAGTGATTGAGGAAGTAGCTTTTCCCGGTCGACTGCTTTCCCATGGACGTGATGACGACGACGCGACCTTCCCACGCCGACAAAAGTGGCGACAAAAGCCCAAATCGAGTTGATTCAGCAATATCCGCTGACTCCTGCTCCACTTCGGCTACATCGAAAGATGGGTCCAATCCATCTCGTAGCACTGTCAGCGCGTTTGCCTCAGCGCGACAGATTTGAATAGGAAGAAAAGTAACGAGCGTCTGGAGGAATGCCACCATGGATTTTTCACTCATATTCAGACCCAGTAAAGGGGTACACCGCATGCCAAGCCCTCTCGTAAGATCCAGCCCTCGCAACGGTTTGTTGACAGCCATCAAGTCGCTCATCAACAGTGACAGAAAATTGTGACAATCTTCTAGAGCACCATTGACGTCGTCACAGGACTGGCAACACACAAGAACAGAAAGAGGTGGCGGGGATCCATCTTCCAGCAGCCCAATCACTGGGAACTTCTCGAAAACGTGATAAAACGTGTACATCCAGTGCTCCTTGCGCAGACACTTCTCGCCGCTAGCATCCTTTCCAGAAGCCTTGGTGTCGTCATCGTCATCGAACTGCCGCATGCTGTAGGAATCGCTACGGACAGTCACGTCAACGGAAAATGCGTGCAGCTTTCTTGCTAATGGATCGAAAACAAAAACATGTCCGTTCACACTCTCTGCTTGCACTTCGTTCGTCAGAAAAGTGTCTCCTAGTGGCGCAACAGGTAGCTGGCGATAGGCATCAAGAGCAACGCACGACAGTTTTCCCTCAAAAGATCCATCCGCGCACGCTGTGACCAAAACAGCCCCGATAGCAAGATCATCCGAGAACCCCATAAGACGGCTGCGCGAAGTATCAGTATCACTGGGTACTGCTCCGGTAATCGAAGTTTGGTCACAATTGATGTCGACACCTTGTAGGCTGCCACTTGAGTCTGTTACGTAAACTGTTTTGCCCAGGAGGAGCATATCGTTGAATGGAGCCGTCAACGTCGAGTGCACACCCAAATCAACAACTTTCACGTAGTCCATTCGCTTGAATGTCTCGTCGAATTTGTAGATCCCGACTGAATCTGCCGACAGGAAGACCATGCTTCGACTCTGATAATTGAAGTCGCAAAGCGAGGGCACCTTCCCAAACGTGGAGATGACCATTTCACTCGCGCGTAAAGAAGGCCCATCGGCATTAGCCGGAAAGTGCACCAAGTTGACGTACGTTCGTTCATTTCCCGTGCTTATTTGTATGACCGACCGGTTCTTGATCGTGAACATCGCAATGTGAGTCTCGTACGCATTAAGCACATGATGGCCCAAGCGCTCTGTCTGTAGACAATCGTCCACAACGCCACGGTTCAGTTGTACTTTGATGACATCGTGGAACTGGGTGGCCGAAGCTTTAATTTCCCTCGTTCCGCTGCACAATATAGACCCCTTACGAGCTTTTGCGCTTACTTTCAACAGCAATCCACTTTTTTCCAGGAGCTTTTCACGGAGACCATCGAATTGCTGTCGTACGATCTCTTTAGTGCTACTGTCAAAATCAGACGCACTTTGCTTCTGCTCGCGGTTCAAAGCTTCAAGACCGGCCAACTGCACCGCTTCCAGTCCATTTTCGACGGCAGTCCACCACTTCACCTGCAGCTCGACCAATACCTCCGCCGTTTTCGCCAGGAATGACGTCCACAGGTGCGAGTCGCTAGCACCCCAGCTGGTGGAGCTACAACTTGACCTCTTCTGCTTCTCAATGGCAAGCAAAAGGTTCGCTTTGGGGGAGGTTGCGCATAAACTCAACAATTTGGCGAGGTCGGCGTCTTGGTTTTGCGTGTGCAATTCGAGCAGTGTTGCCTCAATATCTTGCAGACGGTTGGGGATTTCGAGCGCCAATTTGGACTTGCGATCAAGCTTCCAGATGCCGTTTGCTTTGACCCACGAACAAAAAGTTGCATATTTGTCAGCTGCAGCTTCATAGCGCGACAATGCTGCTGGTGAGTTGGCCTTACAGAGCTGCAAAAGTAGCTCGCGTGAGCTATCCACAATTGTGCGTTGCTCTGCAATATCACCTCTTAAGCGCCGACGAGATCGTTCTCTTTCCTCCATCTGCTTCTTTTCGTGCAAGGCACGGCAACTCGACACTTGCTCCTCCGGCCACAAATCAAATTCACGAAGAATGCTTTCACAGAGCTTGGGTGAACGGCCAATAGTCCCACTCAAATCGATCCGGTAGACCTCCGACTCCGCCTTCAGCCATGCTGCAAACGACAACTTTGCGTTTGCTTGAAATGTTTCTTGAAATGGTTCGGCGCGAATCGCACAATCCATCGTTTTCGTCAATACGAGAGCAGGATAACTGCCTTTCACTAAGCGTAGTTCCCCATAGCACCATCCAAGTCGGCAGAAGTGTGGGACACGCACTCCGTGCCGTCATGTTCATCCTCCTGCTTCTCGATAGTGAAAGACACCGAATACAGTGACAGCTTGTCGTCGTGCTGCTCTTCGGATTCAACCACTGCGGCTTTCAGCAGCTCTAAATCCTCCTTGGACACGCAGCAAACAATCTCTGGACTTAGAACGGTTAGAAACCGCAACACAAACGCGGGTGTGTCTCGAAGCATGTGAGGCTTGAACAACTCGTCGCGAATCCACGAGAAGAGAACCAAATCAGCACCAGAGTCGTCCTTCTCGGTGTTCTTCTCTCCGTCGGCTGCAACCTTCACACAGTAAACCCCTTCCACAGAACCTGAGAGCCACGCCGCTGTCTCATTTGAGCACAACGCCTGCATGTCGACCAAAGCGGCCGAAACATCCTTCTGCTTGCCGAACAGCGCCGTGACTCTCACTTTATCGAGGCACGTGCGCTCGAGCAGCTCATAGCGCAAGAGATCTGCAAACTCTTTGTCAAACTCGCTGGCGTGCAGCACGTCGAAATCAAACTCCATGGGGTTCACGGTCGGCATCATGCCGAAGCTGCAGCACAGACGCAACACCTCCAGCTCGTCCAGCACGGGCTTCACCACTTCCAGCTCGCACTGCGTCTCGCGGACCAGCCTCAGCAGCCGGAAGAGGCGCCCCCGACAAGGGCCTTCCTCGCCCATGAACTTCTTTCTCTCCTCGTTCCAGTTGAGAAATGGTCGGGTGTCAACGAGGAGTCAAAACCTGTCAGCGCGTTTCGGGTATCGTGCGGATCACGGCAGTTGAAAAAAACAACAACTAGGGCTCCGCGAAGGCTGGGATAGGAGGTTTTTGGGATAAACTCCTTTATTACTTTTTTTTTACGATCCACAGTCATCTCCTGCGCCCGGTCACGGCGAAGATGCAAGATACGACTAGGCAGTAATTATACACAGTAATGAAACGAACCTTGCTCGAGATCTAGCTCGTGGACAAATGAAAATGCTTGCATTTGTATGCTACTACATTCCTGTAGTAGTCCGTTCGATTCAATCATTCACTTTACATCACTCCATCCGATTCGGTATATGCTACTGACCCATACCGGTTCAAACTGCCCACGCATATAAACCTTTTGGACCCCCAGTGCGGCACCGGGGTCGTACTGGTGTGATGGGTATCCTACCGGTTCAACCTGCCCACGCATATAAACCTTTTGGAGGCCCAGTGCGGCACCGGGGTCATACCGGTTTCTGAAGTTGGGGTCAAGAGAGGTCATATTTTGACTTGACGTACCACGGATATAATCCTTTTTGGTCTGCGATAGCAGCACTAACGTTGCTTCCTATCCCAGTAAAAAAACGGCATGATGGCGATGATCGTCACTAGGTTAAGGATTCCCAGTAGGGGCGTAACTAGGCCCGATTAGGGGGGGCACGCGCGTCGGGTCTTCTTTAATCCACGCGCTCGCCCCGCCTCCGCAGCAGCAGCCGCGGCGCTTCGGAGTCTGACACCTTCGCGCAGCGCCAAGAATGGGGCAGTCTTGGCTCGCACTTTCGCCAGTGCGTCATCAGCGCCGAAGGAGGGTCCGCCACGATGGCACACACCGGCGCTGCTGGCCCTGACATTCGTGACGTACTTGGCGTGCAAGGTGAAATTTACCTTCCGTAGCTTACCAGGGAGTTATCGGCGTAACTCGTGATGTTTATGACTTGAAAATTGCGGCAAAATAGGAGGAAATGAAGAAGCGGCCGCCACCGGAGCTCAAGGAACACGAGCGGTTGGTGAAGTTAAGTTTCCAGTCGTTGAAGAAGGTAATTTATATGGCTTTATCGAGCATACGGTAGACTACTGTCTCGTTTTACTGATATTATTTTTTTATTACTGTATTTTGTTTAGGGAGACCAGGAGCAAGGGATGAAGTATCTTTCTGAAGCATACAACGCTACTAAGGACGTACAGATCCCTCCCGGTACGGTATTACAAGTTGAGCTGAATGTATCAATAGAGACTCACCCTGTTGTGCGGTTCATGCAGAAAACGCGGTCTTGCGGGCGTGCTTGCACGGCGATTTGTGCGAGAAAATTGGCCAGCATGCTTCAGCGTTACCGTACTACGATATGGCGACGAAATATATCAAGGCAGTGGAGCCTCTTAGTATCCGCTGTACCCTTGGTGTGAAAGTCTTGAATCAAATGGGACGCTGTTACTATCACACGTACGTCTAAGCTTCTAAGCTTGACATGACCATGCAGGTTAATGCTAACGAGTGTTTATTCCCTACAGAGAGCAACATGAAAGTGCGGAGAAGGTTTTCAAGAAGGCAATTCAGGGCTACGAGAAATTTCAAGGCCAGCTCTGACTCTCGCAGCCTTCGCGCACAGAAGCTAAGACATTGGAGCTCCTCGACAACGAAATATTAAACTAATTGGTGAGCTACACCATTCTGCTGGTAGCGATGGACCGGCAGGACGAGACCGCTCTCCTCCGCGAGCGCGCCCTTCGGGTTGTACGCACCTCGGAGGGCCTCCGCAAGAGAGAGACAAAGGTCATGGATCTGTTCGACGATAGGGTGGCACTCTTTTCGATGCGGGAGAAGCGTCGGCTCAAGCGCCAAGGAGGATCGGAAGAAATATCATTCACTGCGTCGAGTTGAGAAGGCGGTGGTCGTTGCTGGAAAGGGGCTCAAGGGTGTTAGCATCTCAGTCCAAGAGTCAACATGCTTCGTGAATTTTTTTTTCAGCTCATGTTGAGATGGAGACGGTGATGATGAATACTTCCAGTTTGTGAGTGTGCAATTGGCGTGGCTACGAACGCGTGGCGCTGGACACAATTACTCTACGACACGGCCCCGGACAGCCCGTTAAAAAAATAAATGCCAATGTGGGGTGCATACAGCCCACCGCCAAGCAGTTATTTAGTCGGACTGACGTTTTTTGTTTGCCACGGCAAAATAATTGTTGGCTTTCAAATGCGAGACTTCTACATGTACAGTAGTCCACGACATCCGTCGTGTGGTTCGATTACCAGGCTACGCCCTCACCAAGTTGGACTTGAAATGGGCAACGATCCCGTTTGAGGGAAACCGCTGCGTTGGTGGGGAAGAAACTCGGGGACTAGTTCTTTGACACAAAGATAATGACAAGAACTTCAACGCCGACCATTAGACAATATACACTGCGTAAATCGAGGACGGCATTGCCGTCGGTGGGAATGAGGTGGACGTGAAGCTGTCGATTGAGAAAGTTCTACCCCAAAACTTGGGCCCGATGCCGAACGAGAGAGCTTCGTCAGTCGGAATACCACAGTGGAGCAAGTGAAGAGCGGAGAGTACGTTGTAGGTTACGGGGAAGTGCCGGGAAATAAAAAAGTCGAGGTGAGTCAGAAAAGAGGTGAGTCAGAAAAGATTTCCAACAAAATAAAGTACCAAAGAGTACAAGCCCAAGTACGCCGCAGTAGGAGATCGTCTACGGGGGCAAGGCGGACGGTTCGAGGTGCAGCGTGCATGTAGTATTGAGCATTACTATCACGGCCGATAGTAGTATTCACAATATTAATGAAGTGATAATACTACTACCATCTCTACTACAACTACTTTCTGGTATTAAATTTGTCAGGATGCAGTAGTAGTGATACTACTAATAATATTGCGTCGAACTTGATTTGGGAAGTTCGGGAATCAGGCTTAAGGTCTGATTCCTCCAATTTGCCGGAGCTGCCGTGAATGTTGGTAAGATGTATTAATAATAGTTCGGGCGGGGAGGGCGAGCCGCGAGCTCCGGCACCGCAAGCCATGGTTTCCCAAGTTAAAGTGACGAACTCGAGCTTGACGACTATGGCACCAGAACCCAAGAAGAAAGCACGACATGAGCGACCTGAGGGCTGGACGAGCTCGGAGGGGATTAGTCTTAGCTGACCGCATGAACGGAACAACAGACCGCAAGGGCCTCGGCGACTTGGACACGACGAAGTGTGGAGCGCATTCGACCTTTTACAGCTTCCTGTCCAAAAATACTAAAAGGGAGGAAAGTGGCTAAAGCCTGAAACCCCCGCGCCTCCTATCGCCCAGACCAGAGAGAAAGAGGAAGAGGTTCTGTCCTTGTCGGTGAGACTGAGCGACGACGACAGAGAGGCCAAAGTCCCAGTCTACTAATGAGAAGATGAACCCAAAGGTGTACGCGGCAGGAGCCGGGTCCGGCCCGGGGGCCTCCTCAGTGACGACCGTCACTGAGCCGCCCGTGAGTCTCTTCTACCCTACTCCAGGCTACCGACCCAAGCTCGCTGATACCAGATCCCCCAGACGAAGTGGGTACACCTACCACCAGTGCTTCGCGTCGCTCGAGCGGAGCTACAAGCGCCTCTCCTGGACGACGAGACAGACCGTTCGCGTCGGGATCGGCCTCTACGCCGTGCTCTACATCTTCTTGACCGTTCCCTTCCGAATAGCCTTCTACTACGACCCCTATGGTAGAACGGAGGCTGCTCAACTCAACCGATGGACCGAGGAGCTCAGCATTTACGCGGCGTTGGATGTTGTCGCGGATATTATCGGAGTTGTGGAGTTTGTGCAGTTCTACCAGCTCCAGAGGGGACTATTCTCCCGCTTTTCAAGCTTCGACACGAGGGCGGCCTCGTGGGGTGACAGTATGTTCCGCTCCATGCGCGTGATCACGCGCACCCCGTCGTTCAACAAGCTGCACCGCGGGACAACCAAGTGGACGCTGGCTTCGATCGCTAAATCTGCTGCGACACAAGGCGAAGCAGCGGACGACTCGCACTCGCAGCAGAATTACGTGAGGGCGCGTAAAATTGAGCTACTGCTGGAGATTGTAGCGCTGCTGCCGCTGGAGGTAATACCCTACGCCTCGGGAACGTACAACGCGCTACATTTGGTGCGAATTACGAAGATTTGCCGCCTGTATCGACTGCGACGGTGTCTTGCGAGACTGGCCAGCATCTACTCGGATCGTACGTGGGTGCAGCAACTTTCGTCTACTGGTATTGGCAGTCTCGTACGCAACATTGTTCTTTGTGTGGGGTTGTGTCATTACATGGCTTGCGGGTACATGCTGCTTGCACACGCGCAGTGTGGAGTGACTCTTGGGGATTGCAACGAGGATGTGGAGACAAGTTGGGTCGTCAGTGACCGTCTTTTCGGTGCCTCCGTGGCGCGGAAATACTCGCGGACGTTGTATTGGGCGTCACGAACGATGGTGTTGCTGGGATACGACGATGTTGCACCAGTTTCAGCTATCGAGACAGTCTATGTGGTAGCTGCGACGCTCATGGGTGCCCTCTTTGGGTCGTCGTTGCTGGCAACGTTTCTCTTTATTTTTCGGTTCCGAAACGCGCGCTATGCTGCGTTTGCTACGCACGTGGACAACGCCCGGGAGTATATGCGCTCGCAAAGTATCCCGCGGGCTTTGAGACGTCAGGTTATCGCGTACTTCACGTACTCCTGGAACACGCACCATAGTCTCGACAGCGAGGAGGCTCTGCATCTCATGCCCAAGCACTTACAGGCCAAGGTGGTGTCCACGCTGAAGGCGAGCCGGATCAAACAGGTGTGTTTTCTGGTGAAAGAGAGCGTTGAATTCATTAACTTGCTGGCGGCGGCGCTGGTACGACGAGTCTACTCCCCTGGCGACCAGATTATTGAGCCCAAGTTTAACGCTCAAATGTTTTTCGTCATTCGTGGCCGGGTAGTTTTATCCGCATTCGACGGAACAAATGACAAAGAGATGCAAGGCGGTGGCCATTTCGCGGATACGTGCTTGCTCTTCCCGGAGAAATTTGAGGAGAAGGCTGTCGCGAAAACGTTCTGCGAGCTTTACGTGCTGGCAAAAGTCAAGTTTGATGATGCCTTGGATGATTTTTACAGGGAATCCAAGGGTGAAGTGAGGGAGCGAATGGCAGAAACACTTGAAAAGTACTCGACACAGTTGCGCAAAACCAAGAAACTACTAGGAATGCGCAATCGAGGGGGAAGTGGAGGCATGGATTTGTTTGGGGGAAGCTCACACAGCTTAATGGCAACGGGAAACTCGCAACACAATCTCAAATTCAAGCAGAAAGTGAGCTGGAGACTTCCGGGCTCAACATTTCGTCTTTACTGGGATACAGCGCGCTTGTTTGCCATCCTCTACGTCGCATTTGAGGTTCCCTATTTTGCTGTCTTTGTCGCGATGAATGATGATAACGATATATTCGGGGAGAAACCTGGATTTGACATAAGGTTTGCGCTTACGCTGATGATTGAGGTGTTTTTTGGAGTGAACTTGATTTTGCGCTCGCGATATCTAGCGTACTTAGACCCTATTGTGATGCTTCCTGTGGATGACCCGTTGCTTATTTTCGCGGCATATAAAGGTGATGGATTCTACCCGGATTTAACTGCCTGGCTGCCGGTTGTCGTTGTGTTGGAGGCTCAAACTACGAATTCAGGACAAGGCTATTTGTGGTTCTTTCGCTTTCTTCGCTTGCTGCGCCTACGAGAAGCCCCGCGCCTACTGTGGAACGTCTGCGACTTTTACGGCTTGAGCTCCAAGACCCATCTTGTCATTTCGCTGCTGCTTGGAGTCACATTTATGCTTCACGTTGTGGGATGTGTGTGGTTTGAAATGGCTAGACTCTCAAACTTGACGGTGTTAGATAAAGCAGTCGAGCATGGAATGGCGGAGATGACTCGGCTCGACTGCCTCGAATACGCCACGCTCTTCGAGAATTGTTCGTGGGTTATGTTTGACTGTTACGCCCACATCGGCGACGTGTTTCCCGCACAGGATTCAGCGTCATCGTACCAGGCATCTTTTGCGTACATGCGCTCGGTGTACTGGGCAATAGTCACGCTCACGGCTGTGGGCTATGGAGATATTATGGCTTACTCGACATCCGAGAGTTTTTTCGCGGCGTTTTGGATTTTTGTTAGCGGAATCATTAATTTCGGCATCATGGGCGCGATATCCAACACTATCTCGAATGCAATGGCTCCTCACCGCCGCCACATCGAGAAGATCAATACTGTCAACGGCATTCTCCAACGCAAGGATATTTCTGAGAAGTTGAGTGCTGAGATTCGACGATTTTATCACCACGAATTCACGGAGCGCAAGAAAGCGTACGAGTCGCAGTTGCTGTCGAACCTTCCGGACCAGCTTTGCTACGAAATCTCGTCGTTGTTGCACTCTGAAGCTGTAAAAAGTGTCGCGCTCTTTGATTCGGCCAGTATTGAATTCCTAAAAGAAGTTACGGGAAAATTTCGTCATCGAAGCTATCAAAATGGAGATACAATTTGTCTCGAAGGAGACGTTTGTCGCGAGTTCATGGTGCTTCTGCATGGAAGCAAAGTCAACGTGTTCTTCCGTTCTCGAAAGGTACCCATTCGCGCTCTTCACGAGGGTGACTGCTACGGAGTAAACGCGTTTCTGCTCAGGTGTGCACACCCCGCCACCCTCATAGCAGCCTCGATTGTCCATGCATCCGTCATGACTCGGGAGCAGTTTGACGTCATCCAACGCAAGTTCGAAGACGATTTACGCGATATGCGGGAGGAAGCGCAAGAGCTCTGGGCCGAGCAACAGGCTGGTATGCGACGTATCATCCACAACCTCGAGAAACTTAAACTGCAACCGCATCTGATGTCGACTGCTACGCTGTTTTACCAGGGCGAAGTGACCGTAACGAGCACTACTAGCATTGGAGGTGGGGGCCAGAAGAAAACCACGCGAGATCCCTACGAAACGCGCAGCTTGATCAAAAGTGTCTGGAATGCGATCATCACTTTCTGGAATACGTACAACGCGGTGTTTATCATCCTCCGCATTTGCTTCCACTCGCACTTTCATTTCTCTAGTAGCGCCAATGCCGCTGTCTGGATCGCCGATCTCAGTTGTGACGTGTGTTTCTTGCTTGACATGTACCTGCGGCTCTTCTACTTCGGGTGCTCTGAGGCCAATTTGGAGAATCTGGTCTCGCGAAGCGAGATCGACAGGCAGTATCTTCGGAGCTCGACGTTTAAGTGGGATGTTGTCGCCTCCTTACCGTTGTACACTCCATTCCAAAGTGCGGCATTGGTCCCCAGTCTCTGTCGATTGCCGAGGCTCGTTCGGTGCGTGGATCTGTGGGAGTACCTGGACGATGTGATCGTGCAGATCCAGCAGCACTTTGCGACGCATAACGTCTCGGCTTACTTGAGCCCTGCCAAGCTGATGATCGTTATGTTACTTGTGGCGCACTATGTCGGCTGCATATTTTTCTTAATATCTGAACAAGAGTGCGATCATCTGGAGAAATGCTGGATGGCGCAAGATCCGTTGCTGAAACAATACAATTATTCGGTACCGATGCTTTACGCCAAGTCCTTCAATTGGGCCATTACGACGCTATTGCTGGTGGGGACACGTGACAGTGTTCCGCGCGACGCTGCTGGGACGCTTTGGGCCAGCTTCACGTGCTTGTGTTGTACGTACATCATCGGTCACATCGTGGGAGAAATTTCCGAACTGATTCAGGAACTTGGCAAGGAAGCGAAGGAGTACAAGAGCCGCATTGCCAGCTTCGATGACTTCGCGAAGGAGCAAGAACTACCAGAGGGATTATGCAAAAGAGTGGGGTTCTTCTTCAAGCTGCAATTTCAGCAATCAGAGGACCTCAACGTCCATGGTACGATGCACGATCTCTCGGCGAACCTCCAGCTCAAGTTTATGCTTGAAGTTTACGGCCACGCCATTGCGTTGCTTCCGATCAGCCGCTTTCTGACGCCGCCCCAGGTCAACAACCTGGCGCTGCGTTTGCAATCCGAGCTGTTCATTCCCGGGGATAATATCCTAGTCGAAGGCACGTTTGGTAGTCGACTGTGCATCCTGCGTAAAGGGCTAGCAGCGGTGTTTTGGACGAGCTCAGTGACGAGTGTGGCCGTGCTCATGGAGAACGCTGTGTTTGGCGAAGTCGCCTTCTTCCTCTCGGCCCAGCGACGTCTAGCGACGGTCAGAGCGACAACCTCCTGCGAAGTTTTGTACATTATTAAGCATGACTGGCAAGAACTGTGGACGACCACCGGGGACCCATCCGACATTCAGGTGCAAAAGCACTCGCTGCACGCGATCCTCGACTGGGTTCACGCCCGCTTGCTCCGCTATCAGCGAGCTAGTCTGCGTGCCGCCCATAAGGTCAAGTTGCTGCTTGCGACTCGTCATGTACCAACTCGACTTCACACAGCGGCCACAGCGGCTTCAGGAACAATCAAGGCCAAGACGCGGCTCTCGGCTGTGTTGCTGAACCACGGCCATGATAGCAGCGGGGCTCTTGCCCCGCCCAAGCTCGCTCCACCAGCATTGGCCGTGCCAGCGGAAACCAGACGCGCCTCCATCGCGTCTGAAATACAGCTCCTGGAGAAGAAAACCAGGTACATTCAGGCGAAGACCGAGAAGTGTGCCAAGAAGTTTCATCCTGCCATTGCTGCGATGCAAATTTCTCGTCGTTCTTCCTCAGTGGTCTCGGGTCGGAGCGTTCGTACCAGCGTCACACACTCGAGCAAAAGTAGAGCTAACTCGAGCGGGATGTATCGCAGCATGATTGGGGACACGGTCGCCCCGTTGATCCACAGCAGTAGCAGCTCGTGTCTTGACATTCGCATCATGCAGTTCATGGTCGACACCAGTCCGGTCAACAAGCACTTGCGGGACAGTTTATCCGACGAACATCTTCGCAGCATTGAGATGGAGTGCTGGGTACGATACAAGCTTCTCGCGTCAGCGCAGTACGGCGTTTGCAAGCTCCTGGAAGAGCTGGCACCAACAGAAACACCTATTGTTTTATCAAGACCCGCAGCTGGGTCGAGTGCGCAGCAACCCCAAGTCAAGATTAATCCAGCTCGCAACAAGCTGCTTCGAGCGCGATCATTTCGCTTCGACGAGCATGTCAATCGAAGGCAAGACGTGCAGCGTCATCAAGCTACTCCAGAATCCGTGAAGAAGTTGAAGACTCGAGATGCCGCTGCTCCAAAGCTGGGCGCTCAATTACCACAGGACAACGGCATTGGAGCGCGCAGCCGCCGGTTTTCATTCTCGCAGCAAATGAACAAGGATCAGCACGAATCAGAGCCAGTCCAGTCGGAGCGAGCAAAAAGACTAGGACGCATGGTGCGATGCCGTTCGCTGCCGAACTTTGGGCGTGCGTTTTTCGAGAAACTGAGGCGAGAAGAGGACGGACGCGTGGTGATGCGCAGCACCCCGACGGGCGTTGACTTTGAGATGCTGCAGCGCTGTCAGCGCCCCGAATACTCTACACGACTACTGCTGTTCAACAGGTATCGGCTGTGGAGGGATCGCAGTCGGTCGAGTGTTCTACCTAAGCATCAGCCCACAACTCGCCTCTTAAATGATGCGATTCCATCGTCGCGTGACTCGGCCATTGGAAATCGGTCTGCTAGCGTGGGGTTACGGCTCCGGCTTTCCCGTGCTGCCACGAGAGATCTCAAGGCCAAGGAGTTTATCAAGACGGTCAAGCAGATGGGGAAAGTTTGGGACCTCGTTATGCTTTTGATCGCAATCTACCACTTGGTCATCACCCCGTTCAAAGTGTGCTTTTGGCGTGGACTAACGGAGCTACCGGATAGCGCCCTGCGTGGGTGGTCCGGGGTTGAGATTTTCTTGGATTTACTGTGCGCTGCTGATGTGGCCTACAAAATCCACTTCAGCTTTACAACCGAGGGCGAGAACACCATCAAAACCTCTACAAAAGATGGGCAACAAGGATCGATTCTCTCGGATCCAGTCTTGCGCAGCGATATTGTGGCAATACTTCCCCTGGAGATACTGCTCTTTGCCGCTGATGTGCGAGTACCGCAGGTACTTGATTTGTCAGTAGACCCAGCCGATGCTTCGTGGTGGACAACCCGCTGGTTGCTGCGTATGAACCGTGTCCTACTCGCGGGTCGGATCGAATCGCTGACGGACAAACTGTTCCAATTCGTCATCTACGAGCGGAAGATCCCATTGAACGAGGGGTTCCTCTACTTTCTGAGGGGGCTGCTGTCCTATCTTACGATAGGCCATTTGCTGGCCTGCGTTAGGTATATTACGAGCGATATTAGTTACGATCTCTACGGATCATCGTGGCTATTTAACTCGGGGGTGCTGACGGACGCCAGCTCTGGAACGGAGCAGACCGAGCGGAGACTTCGTGGGGTCTCGGCTGGCCTCGATTTTCAGAGCGTCCCGCTTGGACGCAAGTATCTCCGGTCGCTGCTCGTCGCGATGGAGAGTATCTCGTCCCTATTCAATGGAGAGATTCTATCCATGAACCCACTTGAATTGGTCGCAGAGATTGCAATAAGCCTGTTGAGCATCTACATCTACGGAGCTCTCGTGGGGGCGCAGGGCGAACTGCTCGACTCTCGAGCTCGCCGCGAGGCTGCGTTTGAGCAGACACTGGGTGAGCTGCAGAACTACTTGGTCCAGAACGAGGTGCCCAAAGTGCTCAAGCGACAGGTAAAGGCGTACTACACGCGTCTGTGGCGTCGTCGCAAAGGTGAAGCCGAGTTTGCTGCGGTGGAGAAAGTGTCCCGCCCTCTCTACGAAGACGTAGTGTTGACCACGCTGAGTAGCTTTGCGGTGCAGGTCCGAGCTTTTCGCTCTCTCGATGACCAGTTCGTGAGAGCACTTCTGGTCTGCCTGCAGTACGTGGTGTGTTCCGAGAACGAGGAGGTGTTTGTGATCGGCGACATGGACCGTAGTATGTACTTCATCGCTAATGGCCGCGTTGGCGTCAAGATGGAGTCGAGCGAGAGTGTGCGGGAAAGAGGCGAGTTCATCGGAGAGCTGGCGTTGCTGTACGGTATCTCTCGGCTGGAGACGTGCGTCGCGCTCTGTGTGACGGAGCTTTACCGCCTTGACCATGAACCTTACGAGCATCTACTACTGGAGTATCCTGAGTATCGTGCTCGCAACAAGCTCGCTTGGACGACTCACCCGTCTGAATCTGTTCGATGCCGCTCCGTTGTTGAGGAAGCTCTGCGGTGCGTCCGAGCGCACGGGGCTAAGCGCTCGAGCAAGCAGAAAGGGCCGGCGTTGGGCTCAAATGCGGCCCCAACGCTGCTAGACATTGAGGAAATCGGCAAGAACGCGGAGCGCATTGACGCCCAGTTGCCATGCTCGTACATCTACCGCTCGGCGATGGAGTTATTGTCCAAGTTGAGCAAAGTGGACACGCTGGAGGTCAGAGATCTGTACCTCAAAAGCCGGGATGGGGCTCGTAGACAGCTCAAGGCAGCGATGGGCCTCATCACTGCGCGCGCGGAGCCTGCTGACGATGTGGTGCACAGTTTCCACTCGCGCAGTGGATCGCCGACGCCCCGTGAGAAAGCTCACGAGAAGCATAGCGACAGCATCGAGCAACTGGAGGTGGCCGTGGCGGAGTTGTCGACACCACCCGAAGAGCAGAAAACGGTGTCATTGAAAGTACTCGCGAGGCGGTTGAGCGCTCAAGCAATCATGCAACTAGAGTCCGATATGCCTCCCAACTGCAGCCCAGACGCTGAGGAAACTCAAGGTTGACTGGGTGCTCGCAGCGGAGACCGCAACAAGCTCAAGACGCTGCTGTTGTGGTTGGAGTTTCGAATTTACAGCTAACTAACACACAAGACTCGGCACTTGATTTATTCGGAGGGATCGACAACTCTATCCCCCGCGCGCTCGGCAAGAAGTTGCTTGTTGCCGTGGGCCAGTAAGTGGCCAGGCCAATGCTCCGCTATCTCATGAGTCAGCTTCTCAAAGACAGGTCAAAGTTCAATCATGGCACCCTGTGCGGCGGTACCAGCCTGCCGGCACAGAAGATACTGGTCGTCCAGCATCTCGTAGCGTCGATGGCGGTACATGTACGCAAGTATCCACGCATGCTCAGCGAGGGTAATTCCTGTAAGCTTCTCATGGACCCCGGTGGGCGCGGGCCGCGCCCATCATGCTCCAAGCAGAAGCAGCAAGCACTGGTATCGTGAGCACCAGTGGCTCGTGAGGCCATACTGAAAAAGAGGGGCCAACTTCAACCAGATCCCATCGACCCAAGCAGATCGTCACTTTTCATGCAGGAAGACGCATGCATGGTGGAGATTCTCCACTGGAGAAAGGGGCTACTGTAGCGTTATTAAGATTAGAGCATACCGCTTTCCAGTCGAAAGCGACTAGGTACGCCAACTACTAGTTGGCAACTAGCTCCAAATATTGATCATTAGGTTATCCTTGGGGAGATCGTCTCAGGTGTGACCGCTGCGATAATATTCTTTCGGCACTTCTATGCTTTCGTCTCCTTGGAGGCGCCTCTGGAGTTGACAGATTCACCTTCGTTTCGCCACTTGATTTATCGAGCAATTGACAACTTTCAATGTCCCACAGCTCAATGCGCATGTTCAAACAGATGCTACAGTCCGCTACTGTTCATACCGGTAAGCACATTGAGACCTTAACGATAGGACGTCCAGGACACGTGCCAGTGGGCGGTACACGATATCTTTCTGACGAATCACTTACAAAAAACTACAACGGGATAACGATATCGAGAAGGAAAAAAAACACGATGACGGGTAATGGCTCGGTGGGAATCGAAGGGCGGTCAATGTATGGGATATTGCTAGCACAAACAGAAACTTCAGTTATTATCACTTAAATGTACCGCATCAGAATGTCCTAATAAGATCGTCGATGCTTGAACAGTCGAGCACCAATCAACCAAAGCTCTGGGACGTGGGACGTTGAAAGTTGTCAATTCCTCGAAATCAAGTGCCAGGGTAATTTGTCAACTCCAAAAGGCAGCTCCAAGGAGACAAAGGCATAGGATAGAAGTGCCAAAAGAGTACAGTGATCAAACCTGAGAGGATCTCACCAAGGATAAGCCAATCGACCAAGGATCGGTATGTCTTAAGCATAAAAAGCTTGTTGCCGTTGTCGAACTCGGTACAGATAAATGCTGGGGTGCGCTATTCCTAATAGTGCTACCGGTAGCTCCTTTCTCCTACATACGTTTCCTTGCTGGCCAGCCAGTTCATCAACGCGTCGCGGTACCAAGCAGCGATTCGAAGAGCCTGTTCCGCACGTGAAAAGTGACGATCTGCTTGGATCGATGGGATCTGGTTGAAGTTGGCTCTCTTTTTCCGTACTTAGTATGGCCTCACGAGCCACTGAGGCTCACTGCTTCTGCTTGGAGCACGGCGGAGGCGGGTCCATTAGAAGCTCACAGGAATTACGCTCACAGAGCACCCGTAGATAGATATACTCATTGCCGACAGCTGGTACCGCCACAGAGTGCCATGATTGAACTTTGACCTGTCTTTGAGAGTAGTTGACTCATTCGCGGAGCATTGACCCGGCGACTGACCCGGCGACTGGCCCACGGCAACAAGCAACTTGCCGAGCACAGCCGCTGTGCCACAGCGTCGTCGATCCCTCCAAATAAATCAAGTACTGGAGTCTTGCGTTATTCCATCATCAAGCTTTTTTATTCAGCTGCCCTTCGAATATCAATGCACAATGCGACACCAGTTGTCCACGAGTACATACTCGATTGAGTGTTGGCAGTCTCATAATGAGGTTAACACGAGGTCCTCATTGCCAATGCGAACACCCGATCACGCCAACTCGACTCGGCTCAATTTGCTCATTCGGGAATTTACTGCGTGCCCCATAAGCTTCGAGCTCCTTCTTGACTTCGATCCAAGACTTTGAAGAAGGCGTAGCTGTCATCAACAATGCGCCAGTTCCGACCGATGCGCTTCCTGCTGATCGCACTTGCAGCTACCTGCCACTTCAGCAGCGGCGTCCAAGCTGCGGTTATCGAAACGTCCTACCTCACGACGTCCGGCTACTTCGTTTCCAACGTCGACGACAGCGGGACGGCGCTCAAGCTCCAACTCACGCGAAACTCGACCGTGGCCAACGCCACGTACGGAGACGACATCGACGCCCTCGTGGTTGAGGTGACCAAGAGCTCCAACGATGCGGTGCGCGTCAAGGTTGCGGACGACGCAGGCGAGCGCTGGCAGGTTCCGTTCAGTCTGTACTCGAAGGGCGCAACACCTCCACTGACGGTGTCTGCTGGTCTGCTAGTGACTCGACCACGACCTTCACGTACACGTCGAGCCCCTTCACGTTCCAAGTGACGCGCAAGGCGGACGGCTACTTGCTCTTCGACTCCTCGGCGCTGTCACTGGTCATCAAGGACAAGTACGTGCAAGTGGCGACGGCTGTGAGCAGCGACGTCAACGTGTTCGGCTTCGGCGAGACGACGCAGACTCACCTGCGCGTCCAGTCGGGCGACAAGCGCACGCTGTGGGCTCGAGACCAAGGATCCGCGAACGTCAACGTGAATCTGTACGGCTCGCACCCGTTCTTCATGGGGGTCAACGGCGACGGCCACGCGCACGGCGTGCTGCTACTGAACAGCAACGGCATGGACATGACCCTCGAGGACGACAAGGTCGTGTACCAGACCATCGGCGGAATCCTCGACTTCCACATCATCGCGGCCGTCGCCAGCGGGCGTTGTCTCACAGTACACGACTCTGATCGGGCGTCCGAAGCTGATGCCGTACTGGTCCTTCGGCTTCCACCATTGCCGCTACGGCTACAACTCGAGCGCGGCGCTGCGCGAGGTGGTGCGCCAGTACAAGGCGCACGAGATCCCGCTCGACGTCATGTGGGCCGACATCGACTACATGCACGACTACGAAGACTTCACGCTGGACCCGGTGAACTTCCCCGAGGCCGACATGACCGAGCTGCTGGCGGAGATCCACGTCGCCGACCAGAAGTTCGTGCCCATCGTCGACCCCGGCATCCCCGACGATGACGACCTGGACGCGTACACGCGCGGCCTCGAGATGGACATCTTCATGAAGGACAGCGACGGCGCGCCGTACCTGGGCCAAGTGTGGCCGGGCCCGACGTACTTCCCCGACTTCTTCCACCCGCAGGCCGAGAGCTACTGGGCCGAGCAGTTCACGCGCATGCACGCGCTCATGGCGTACGACGGCATCTGGATCGACATGAACGAGCTCTCCAACTTCTGCAACGGCCTCAACGTCACGTGGTGGCGGCTTATCCTGGAGTAAATCACGGCGGGGGTACGCGTAAAGTCAAAACAGGTGAGATCTAGAGTAAGAGTTTACAAAGCCGGATATGTTACCCGAACCGAGACGATCAGAGTAAGCTCCTGACCATTCGTCCGTTTTCGCTCAACATGAGCAGAGCCGACGAGGCAAGCGGCAGCGACTTTGCCTCGTCTTCGGACGAAGAGGGGCAGCAAGTCAGAGCGACTCGTAGAGCGTTCGTTGTGTGCGAGGTGTTCCCAACCCTTGAAGAGGCGCAGATTGGCATCGACGTCTTAGACGGGTTCCACTACAAGTACAAACACAACTACGGCAATGCTGGCAACGGTACTCGTATCTACTGCTGCATGTCCCATGTTAATTGCCCCAAACGGCTGCGGCTGTCTAAGGTGGAAGGCGAAGCCCAGGACGAAAGCGGAGCTCAGTTTGTTTTGGAGGAGACAGACATGCATGGAGACGAAGATCAAGACACTCAGCGCCGTGGAATTCACGGTGCGCTGAAGCGAGAGATCGACAGCATTATGTTCGGCGGCGCTGGACCAAAGAAGTGCCGGAAGCTGCTGCTAGATCGTCACGGAGACAACCCAGTCATGCTTCAGCATTTACCCACGGAAAGTCAGCTCAAGAACCGAAAAGCTGGACTCCGGAAGAAACAGTCAGGTATGATGTTTTTGGCAGCTCTGTACTTTATTTTGGGTTGATAGTAATAATTTTGAACAATTGTGGTTGTCTTGCATTTGGTTCTGCCACAGGTGGGTGGGAGATTCACAACTTCGCGACTCTACTAGAGTGGGCGTACACACATTTGAGTACATCGAAGAGTGACTTCTTTGGTCACGAAGACGACATCAGCGCTGCGGACGCCGCAACGCAGTTTGCCAACAAGTCCCGCCAGTTTCAGCACGGTGTGATCGTTCTTGAGTGCTTTGAACACGACTTCATTGACCAGGATGGCAAGGCAGCAAAGTCTTTCGGGCTTATATTGACTTCGCGTCACATGCTCCTGAACATTCCCAAGGCCTACGAATGCCACCAGAATATTGGCGTCTTGGGTGCTACGGATGGAACATATAAACTGCATTTCGGTAAGCTTCGAGGTGTGTTACTAGTCGTGGCAAGGTGCATTAGCTGACCGTTTTCTCTTTTTTTTGTAGATGGATGGACCCTCGTAGACTTTGGGACCTACACGACGCACTATTCGCGAAAACAGTACTCCAAAACATTTGTCCCTTGGATGTATATGTTTGTCAAGACATAACATCAGACGGCGTACGCAACGCTTTTTCGGACTGCCAAGCACTTTACCCGACTGTTTTTCGGAGTCGATTTAGCCCTTGCCTATGGCAGCCTCGATAGTACCCAAGGCATTGCGAACGCTTTTAAGGAGGTTTGACCTGATGTAATTCTCCTTAATTGCTACCCGCACCTCGTGCGGAAAAGTCGAGAGAAGATCAAGCTACTCAAGGACCCTGCGTTCTACGAAGACAACGTGCTACCGGACATTCGCTATCTCAGTAAAACTCGCTCGGCCAAGCAGTTCAAGGCGCTCAGTAAACTCTTTTTCGAGTTTTGGATACAACAAAACGAGCGAGACTACGCCAAGTGGTTCGAGGACATTTACTTGGGTGACACGTGGGGGAACTGGTTCTACGTCGCCGCCGCCGCAGGCATTACACCGTCCCAGAATGCCCTTGAGGCTCATCACCGCGTGATCAAGAAGGTGTGTGTCGGGACGCTTCGGGCAAGTACATCGGTCGTCTTGAACGACTCAATTCCTCGTATTCTTGGTCTCCAAGAAAGCGAGCCGGCTTGCCTTGCTCTAAACCACTTCTCGGAAGGTAAGATGACGTTTGTTTATCCTTTGCTAATGGTGTGTACCGATTGATTTTATTATTCGTGTATCTCGTGCATTCTAGGTCCGTTCATGAGTGGTGTAGTAGCGCGCGCGCAAACGCTTGTCCAAGAGAAGTCTAATCACTACATGATCAAGGACACACGGGCGAAGTTTGTGAAGGCGTTCTTGTTTAACGCTTCCAAGTTCGTGGTATCGCCCAAGAACATTCATAGTGCTGTTTTGAACCGCGACCGTGCCACAATGTGAGTATTACAGCTGTGCGAGTCAAAGTTGTTAAGCTCACTATTTATTTGTTTCATTTTGGCAGCTACAGGAACTCCATCAACGGCAAACTACCGCCAGGGATGACTGTAAACCTGGTGGAATTGCACTGCTTGTCCATTCACCAAGTTCGATTACTGAGCAGAGATCCACTGCTCGATGGTGGAATGATAACGGCTGCACCATCAATCCCCTCCCAAACAGTACGTTCAGTTTGATATGTGGTAGTAGCACACTTAGGCGATTTGAATCTGACACTGTCACTGCGGTTTTAGATTCAGGCGATTCGGAAGAAGTATGTGTGTTATCAAACAGGGTGGCAATGCTCCCATGTCGACGCTGCCATGACATTGCAGAAGGAGATCAGCATTCAAGGGATGCTAAAGGCGTTGCCAACGAGAAAGCTAAGTGGTGGGCAGCGCAAGCGCGTGGGTCCGCTCACAGAAGGCGGAGACAACACTCACCGATTCTCCGTCGACGTGCTGATTCGAGAGTTCTTGAAGTACCCTACCAGACCCCTACATTGGAACCTCATGAAGGAATTCAAAATTCCCGATGACTCCGGTAGTGAGGTGGAGCAGTTTCTGTTGGGAAAGGTGATCTCGTGGGGGGAGACCAACGGCGTCTTCTTCTGGATGACGAAGTTTTCCAACGGTGCGCAAGTCAAGCTGGAGTGCCAAGAGTTAGCCGAGTGTCTTAACAGGGCCTACACCCATGGTGCAGATGTTGCTGGAGCCGTGGCCTATTAAGGCGATCAATGGCTGGCGAGAACAACTCGAACGTGCTAGGTTGTAGCTAGCATTTTTTTCATTTTGCATATCGAGTCCTACGATCCATTTTCGTAGACAACAATACACGTTTCGTTACATTTTATTCACAGTTCTTCGTTGTTAGCAATACTTCATTCGTACCCAATTTCTGAATACTCGTATCTCGGCTTTAGTTGTTTGATGCAGGGGCTCGACTGCCGACACATTGATTTTCTGAATGCGTTCTTGAACGGCGAGCTGGCAGATACATGGAGCAGCCGCAGGGTTACGACGACGGGACCGGCAGAGTGTGTCATCTTCTCAAAGGGCTGTATGGCTTGAAACAGGCCCTCAAGAGTTCGTGCAGTGTGTTTTAGATCCTGGAGTTTACTACCGGAAGTAGTGCCTCTTTTTGGTGTGTTACTCTTGGTATCGCCAATTTTACTCGAGATTAAGCTCGTTCGACGTCACGTGCCCCAACGCCAGCTCACAGACCACGTGCTGCCTCGTGTGCGCGGACGACGAGAGCGAGTGGAACTCGCCTCTGTTCGCCATCAACAACGACGGAGACCAGACGGCCATCAACTACAAGACCGTGTCCGCGAGCGCGCAGCAGTACGGCGGCGTGCTGCAGTACGACGCGCACAACCTGTACGGCTTCACTGAGGCCATCGCCACCAACGCGGCGCTCGAGTCCGTGCTCAACAAGCGCGCTTTCGTGCTCTCGCGCTCGACCTTCGTGGGCTCGGGCGCCCACACGGCGCACTGGACGGGCGACAACGCGGCCACTTGGAACGACCTGCAGTGGTCGATCCCCACCATCCTCAACTTCGGCATGTACGGCGTCCCCATGGTGGGCGCTGACATCTGCGGCTTCGCCGATAACACGATGGAGGAGCTGGGCGCACGCTGGGCGCCTTCTACCCCTTCGCGTGTAACCACAACGTCAAGGGCGCCAACCCGCAGGAGACGTACGTCTGGGACTCGGTCGCTGAGATTGGCCGCAAGTTCATCGGCATGCGCTACCGCCTGCTGCCGTACCTGTACACACTGGGCTACGAGGCCCACGCGACGGGACTGCCGATCGCGTGCGCGCTTTTCTTCGAGTTCCCGGGCGACGCCAACGCGCGCGCCTCGCCGTACGTGGACAACCAGTTCATGCTCGGTAGCTCGCTGCTGGTCGTGCCCGTGCTCACCGAGGGCGCCACCAACGTCACGGGGTACGTTCCGTTGGGCGTCTGGTACGACCTCTTCGACTACTCCAAGATGGAGTCGACCGGCGCCGCGGTGGCGTGGAACGTCAGTCTCTACGACATGCCCGTGCTCGTCCGCGGCGGCTCCGTGTTGCCGATGCACCAGGCCGCGCTCACCAGCACGACAGCGCGCAACTCGTCGTACGACTTGTTGGTGGCGCTATCTGCCAACGGAAGTGCAAGCGGCGTGCTGTACCAGGACGACATCGAGGCGGTGAACGGGGACGAGCAGTCGACGATCGTCGAATTCAGCGTCTCCGGCGCGGCGTTGAGCAACAAGGTGGCGCAGAACAACTACAACGGAGAAGATTTCACGGACGCCATTGCGAATGTCGTGGTGCTGGGCGTCTCGGAGGGTCCTTCTCGTGTGACGGCGACTCCGGCCGGTGGCGACTTGGAGTTCACGTACAACGCGACGTCGGGAGCCCTCGCCATTGATGTCAGTAGCGCGAACCTCAGTGTCGTCCAGGATTTCACCGTGGTGCGAATGAGCTTTGACACATTCTTGCAAGTGTTAATTGTGTTATTGCCATACCAAAACGTCTCCACAATTTGAAAGATTCAGGAAATTAGCGTCTCAGGAGGCAATCGATGTAGTTTTCCGCATAAACATTTCAGCTTGCATCCAAGTGAGTGAGTGCACTTGAACGAAATACAAAGAAGAGCGGCGCTGGAGAAAACCATCCCCATCGGTACTTCCAGAAACGAGACCTCCATTATCCAACAGCACGCGACTTCGACGCCACGTTCTCTACGCCGCCCTCTTAAGCCGAATGGCTTTTCACCTCCCCCGATTCTCCTTGGCGCTTGCGACGGCGTTCCTCCTGTATCGCAATAAGTGCTGCGCCATCATCGAACTGGTCCATGACCTCTGTTTCCCCCTCCCGGAGGGTCTCCGAGTTGCGCACAACCCGAAGTAAGCGCTCGCGGAGGGAAGGAATCTCGTTCTGACGGTCCGTTATTATCAGCAGAATGGTGTAGGCAGCAAATAAGCCGAACACCGACTCTTCGAGCTCGTCCAGTATTTCTACATCTGGGGGTGAACACTGCGAGAGCGAGAACTGACCTTGGAACTTCTCGTAGCCACGGATGGCCTTCAGTAATACTTTCTCAGCATTTTCGTATTGCTCGCTGTAAGTAGAACACGAACGCAAAAACTTCAGTACCACAATACACCCAAAATAATCCCACAAAGACGTACAGGTGGAGGTAGCACTGGCCCCTTTTGTACATGATTTTGATGCCGAGTAGGTAGCGGAGGACAGGCGGCTCCACCGTCTTGCCATGCTTCATTGCCATAGCAACGCTGAAGAGTTCAGCCCAATCTTCTCACATATTTCGCCGTACTTACCCGCCTGCACGGCCGCGCCAGCTGCATTAGTACACAACAGACAGGAAAATTTAATTAATTTTGACCTCAGTAACAGAAACCCCCATGCCAAAGTAATACCAGGTGAGCTCACAGCGCCCTTAGACGCTTCATATGCTTCAGTAACGTACTTCGCCGCTAGCTCCCGGTCTCCCTATCATAGTAAGTAAAATAAAAGGATGTGAGTGTAATTTTCGTCTCTCAAATAGATAGATACCTTGCACTTTGGATGCCGTAATTTACCTTCGTCGCGCTCTCGTGGGCCAGATTGAGCAGTCGTTCTTGCTCCTTGGCCCCTGGTATCGGCTCCTCCTCGAACGTCTACTTCAGGCGTAAATTACGGCTAAGAATAATATTTTTCAATGCTGGTCAACAAAGTGTATCGGTAAACCCTCACCTTGTAGAGCTGGTACGCCCCGAAGGTCAGGGCCAGCAACGTCGGCGCGCGCCATCTAGGCGGACCCTGCTTCAGCACTGGTGACGCACTGGCGAAGGTACGAGCCAAGACGCCCCCAGTGTTGGCGGTGCGCGCTGGCGGCAGACTCCGGAGCGCAGCAGTTGCTGCTGCTTGGCGAGCACGCGGACTGAAGAGGACTCGGCGCATTGTCAAGCAATAGTCCAGCAATGTGAGGCTCAAGTGAGGGGTGGTGTTCGTACTTAGTGTGTACTTAGTGCGTACTTAAGTAGATATAGTGCGTGAAAAATACATCCGAGTCGTAATTTACCCTCGTTTATAGTTTAAATTCTTCCTCGTGGATATCAAAGTTGAGAGCCCCAATGTCGGCGATGGCAGTCGCGGTGGAGTCCTTGAGCGCTTTTGGTCCAGAGATGAAGACTCCAATGGTCGAGTTGCCCTTTGTCTCAGTTTCCGGGTGGGTAGAGGTGAAAAGTTTGTGTTCGTCGAGTGCTTTCCGCACGAGCTCGTCCATATTGGGGCGGTGGCCGACTTCCACGTGGTGTTCGGCAAGGAGGTCTCGGAGCGTGTGGACGTCGCTAGTGTAGGGGTTTCCCACTCCTCCCGGGGTCACAGTTTGCCTAGACGTAGTACCCGCAGATTTCTGCTTCTTTTTGTCCTCGATGAACGAGAACACGAGGAATCCCAGCAGCGCCACGAGGATGACGAGGATGATCTCCACGAAGTTCTGCAGCGGCCACAGATTACCGTCGTCCACTTGGATCTTGTTGCCGAACTTGACGACGATCCACAGTAGCAGCGTCAAGAAGAACGACGCAGTGTAGACGACCACGCGGCTAATCGGAGATCGAAGCGGCTCTGCAAACGGTACCGGGGTTTTCTTCGTAGAGGAGGTGTCGTAGCTAGCAGCGGAGACGTGGGGCTTCCCCGACAGCCGGCTGTGGTCGATTTGGTAGTCGAGCTGGTCGTCGGTCGGGGGTCGAGTGAGGCTGAAGTGCAGACTGAAGTACTGTTGCTGCGGGTCGAGCTCCTTGATCTGCATCAAAAGCGGGTGGATCTCCTCCAGCAGTGACAACTCACGGAATGTGAAGATGAAGAACACCTTCTGCTTCGGAGCTTTGCTCTGACGCAGCTTCGCTACCAGGTCCTCCAAGATCGCCAGCAGCGGGGTGACGCCGATTCCGCCGCCAACGAGACACACAGTCGCGTATTCGACGTACAGCTCCAACGATGCGCCGTAGTAGCCGTCCATGTAAATTGTCGGTAGCACGTTGTTCTTCTTGCATTCGTCCGAATACTTGACAAGCTCTTGCGTCCAGTCACCCAGCGACTTGAGCAGAATCGTGAGTGTTTCGGGGCTGGCTTTAGGCGACGAGCTGATGGTGAACGGGTGCCACTGCAACTTGGAGGTAGCCGGCACGTTCAAGTAGACGAAGTTGCCGACCTTGAACTCGCCGGCGCGGGTCGATGAACGCTCCAGCACGATCTTAATGACGTCGTTCGAGAGCGTAGTAAACTCGCGAACTGAGACTGGAGTGAGTGCATTCGAAACGGAAAGTGCGCGGCTTGCTGCGTAAACCATGACGGAAGGGAACAGCCACGCGAGTGTCGAGTTCCAGTGGAGAACGACGAAGATGGTGGCGATGATAAAGAGGTGGTGCACGTAGTAGAATGCCTCGTACATCTTGCGGCGGATTCTCCCCACGGACGTGACTCCAATAGCCAAGAAGCAGAGCAACGCAATCGTACCGAACGTGTTTGTCCAGCGATACTTGCCATCCTCACCGACTTTGCAGTTCCTGAAGCACGGTAGGGCGTCCTCCACCCACGTTCCCTCTCGGATCCACGACCAGTAGAACCCCGTACAATGCAACAAAGCCGTCAGAATAGTGAGGATCCCGAACCAGCGGTGATACCGGACTCCGTTCGCGTAGGAAATGTTGAGGAATTCCATCCAGACGCAGTTGCGCGTGGCCGGGAGGAAGAGGAACGCCATGTTGTAGATGCAGACGTAGCCGAACGTGAGCGCGATAGTCTGCAAGTACGTGGTCGTGTCCACACTAGAACTGAAGTCCTCGTACGGAGCGATGTTGTCTCGGTAGAAATACTGGAACACGTAGACGTTGCCCCCAATGACAAAACCGAGGAAGAGGAACTCGCCGAAGCTCTTGTGAAGCACGCGCCCCATGATCCGAGGCTTGAGGCGAAGAATTCTAGTCAATTTCAAGACGTGGCTGGACGCGATGCGTCGCACGTTAAAGTGACGGAGGAGTTCGAACAGGAGAATCGCCACCGCCATGGGGAGGAAGCAGAGCAAGAAGAAGAACGTAGGTAAAATCATCTCCTCGTGGTCCGTTTCCTCGGTCGGATATCCGTACCAGTTGCCGATCGTCACGCTCACATTCGTGGTGTACCCGTCCGAGAAGAAGAAGAGATGGCCGAAGGCGTACATCAGCATCGATGCGAAAATGACGAACTGCGAGAGGTTTCCGAGAGCGGCCAGGCGATCCGTCCATGGAACTTCGTGGCTTCCTTCTCCCGAACACTTGACGCTGCCAACTCCGACGGCAGAAGTCGCCGGGTTACTGTCTGTCATTGCCGGCTTGGGACGCTAGTGGACAGTTTTCTGTGGTCACGAGTTGGTCAGTCGAAAACAAATTGAAGAATGGTAGGCTGCCAGTAACAGCTCCTACATTGCTGAGCCTCAGCAACCTCGGATGGCTTCGCCCCTAAATTTAAGCAAACAACGGGCGGAAACGGACAGCGCGTCTCCCGGTTTTCAACTTCATGCGAAGTGACAGTGAGTGAGTGCGATTGTTCCTCATTCATCACTTAGCTACGTAAACGAACTAGCAAAACTAACAACAGTGAATCGTTCGAATGAGTAGACAAATTGTCCTGGATAGAGGAATAGTTAAATTTTAATCACTCCTTATTAACCCCGTTGTTCATGCTGCGCATCCGAGCCATGCCTCCACGTCTGGGTCGCATGGGTCTCCAACACCTCGTTCAATCTGGAGCTTTCGCATTGCTACGTAGCCGGACGTCGTCTCGCAATTAACAACCATCATGCGGGTGTTGTAGCAGATGCCCTGTTCCCCGTCGAGAGTGCAGTTCTTGTACAACACGCCACCGCAGAGCTCATCAGTCGTGTACTTGCTAGGAGCAGTAGCCTCTCGATCGACGGCTGCGCTGTTAGGGCAGATGGAGCTCCCGAACGAGTCGACAACAGCCTTGTCTTTATCTGAAATGCGCTCATCGGTGCAGCTCATCGTAAACTTATCGCTCGCTACTGGCAAACACTGCGCCAGCGTAAGGTCGCACGTGCCCGACATGAATCCGTTGCAGCAAATTCCACTCTTGGGTCGAATTCCTAGCGACGTTAGGCTCACAAGCGGTGCCAGGGACGGCAGCGTCGTGATAAGCGGCGCATTGACAATATTCAGGTCGCTGACTGCTGAGAGTCCCTCGAAACTTGGTATCTCCGGTAGGGAATCCAACACAGCCAGAGTCAGATAGCGCAAGCTCGTGAGGGACGAGAGAGACGGGAGGCTGGTCACGTTTGGAATACCTCCTAGGCGCAGGAAGGTCAAATGCGGCATGTTGTCGAAGATGCCGTCAGGGATAGCTGTGAGTCTTCTGCTTGTAAAATCCCCCTCGATGTGGTTATACATATCCCATATAAAAAATGAGTACAGCACCCCCTTCTCTCTAAGCTAGAACGATGACACTTACATGTATTTCAGGTGCGAGAATTCCGACATCCATTCTGGTAGGACTTCAGTCTTTGTGTAGGCCAGAATGAGCTGTTCGAGGTGGTGGCATCTCCTTAACTCTTCCGGTAGCTCTGGAAGAGCATGGTTGATAATCTGAATGATTCGCAGTTGTCCCGCCATAGCCATAGCCGCGAGATCACCAATAGTGTCCTCAGGATTCGTCCACTCTGCGTAGGTGGCAGGTGCAGTCTGCCGGTCAGCAAACACAAGGCACGTGCAGTGCTCTTCGCCGTAATTCCAGTGGTAGCTCCGCACGACGCACTTGCTGTAGCTGCTGCACAAGTCGTTCGTTGACTCGATGGCGCCAATTGAGTACACGAAGTTGCCGACTCCAGCGAGGAAGAAAAATAGCGAGAGCACGACCTTGAGCACGAAATGCTTCTCAAATTTCGGCTTTGATACCACAAATTTCTTTTTCACAGAGGCTCTGAAGCTTGCAGTGTCAGACGCACATCTTAGAGTCGGTCCCACCAAGGCTTTTCTCTTTCGCTCCAGTTGCCGCTCGTGGTGGTTATGAATCAGCGTGAATATTATCTTTCTCCACTTGTACAGCGACAGCAAGTTGAGCGCGAAGAGAATTGCAAGTAGTGGAAAGCTTTGCAGAAACTTGAAATCTGCGATGGATCCCCAAAGAGGCGGGCGACAGTGTCGAATGTACCCGCGCTGATCGTCTCTGTTTTCGTAAGAAACGCAGCTCGGTCGAACTGGAATGAATTAATGAAGAGACCAGCACCACGAGCGGTGCGAACACTGCAAAAAACAAGTCGAAGCTGTGCAAAACAACTATGTAAGTTTCCAGGAAGGCAAGCAGACCATTTCGCAACAACGTACGTGTAGTAAAGCCGAGCAATGACCAAAGCTGGGTCCGCAACGTAGCGTTGGTTTCGATAGCTCACCATGAGCCAGTTACAGAGCAACAGAACCGAGTAAGTGTAAATGATCGGGAGCGGGAAGCTTTTTTCCAGGTACGTGAAACGCGTGATGGTCTGGAAAATAAGTTTTGGGAGATCGAGGGCAGCCGTCTACAACATGAATGCAACTCAGATCAACAGGTTCATTTAGCTCAACCTTCCACAATGAACACGACGGGCTGGCTGAATTTTTTGCAAGATCACTTACGTAGTAATGCTGGCGGATCTCAACCGGCAAATCACGGGCCCAAGCGATTAAAACTTGAAATGATTTTTCCTACCCGATTCATTCGAAACATTTGCTGGGGGCGCGCTGACAACTGCAGTGGAAGGAGCAGCAGCAGGTGGTTGGTGGCTGTCCTTGTTCGTGCTTCCGCCCCGATAGCAGAACAGCATAATCACCACCAGGCCAGTGTAGCCAACCCCAAACAGTGCAAGAATCACAGTCGAAGAAACAACTATCGCCGCGTCTGGTTTGGGGAGTAGCCAGAAGTTTCCGTTGTCGAACTCAGTCGTGTTCATGATCGTGTTGGCCATGGAGTCTGCGTGGACTTGAATCACTGCGAGCATGAACGTCCAGGCGGCTGACAGGAGGAACACAATGATCATAGGGATCCCTAACAGACCAAACACGTCGAAGAACGTGGCCACTTCTGTAGCGACGGTATTGGCGACAGATTTTCGAGGTTCATGCGTTGATTCCACCGGCCACGTGCTCCCTGAAGATCGCGCCATCATGATTGACGCTCTCGCCGAGTCCATCATTACCTCGCTCTTCCGATGGCGAGCAGGTGGTCGCTCTCCATCTTGCTGTATCGCAGGCCCAGGCTCCGCTAAATCATCAGTCTCGAGAACCAAGGACGACAGAAAATCAACCCGTCCAGCCTCGACCGGGACCTCAGCGCCACGCAGATGGCTGTCAGAGACCCCTTCGTCTTCAACCCCTTCATGCGACGACATAGCCGTCCCTCGTGGAATGGCAACAAAAGTCACTCCAGCCAAAGCAGGATCAGCAATGCGGGCTGAAGCTTTGGCTAATGCCGGATCCGTTTCGCCGTCACTGGTGTTGTTCTCGATAGGGATAATTAATTGGCTACGCAGTGTACATCAAATCAATACGCTACAGTACCGCGTACATGCATTGCTGATGCAGAAGAAGCAGAAAATAGCAACACATAGCAACACACAAATCGAATGCAGGAGTTCCTTAGCTCCATAATACAGGTACACCTACGTGGTGTCGCTGCTTCAACCAGGCTGGTGGTGCTATACGTTTGCTATTCACAAACTAATGCCGTGCTTTACACGGGGAAGCTCTGGATTCTCTTCAGCTTTTGTAATGTTTGTTTACTATGTTGGTGCACTTGACCAGGGTTTTTTTTCAGTATAGCTATTTCGTGAAAAAAAGGAAAGTAAAAGTAAGTCCGATCGTTCGCATCACACCCGAGGCGCACCAGTCGCACGCGTCAGCTGCTGCTATCTAACCTTTATGCAAAGATATTGAATACACAGTCTGCTTCGGACGACATTCACCCGAATGACTTATTATTGGCCTGTTCTGTAGTTAGGACCGATTGGAATCCCTGGTAGTATGTTTTATCCGTAAAGTAACTCCTGCTTAACATGTTTCTTCAACTATATCGACAAACGAATGTTCAGATACAAAGAGAAGGTGAGACTGCAGTACACTTCAGATATATACCGCGACTGCAGTGATAGTTTGGATGGATGCTACCTTTGTGTGGACTACCCTAAAAAGCAAAAAGCCACATTTAAATCGATAAATTTGGCTTTCCGATCAGAATGTAACAATATACTAGTATAGCAGCATCCTCACAGCGAATTCTCGCACCGGTTGCTAGAGGGTGCATTGCTTTGGCAAATGTAGTATCTTATTTCATTTTCATGGTGAGGTATATTGTGTTCATTTAGAGCTAGGTACTAACGATCAACAAATGTAGTATCTTACCTTCTCAACCCCCCCCCTGTACCCTACATACGGACATACTTAACCAAATTGGTTTTAGAGCATATCCTCGAGACAGCTACGACATCCACGAGTGTTCAATGGTCAACCGTGGCAATATCAAAACCACTTATAATGATTTGGATTTGAATGCTTATTTTCTACTGTAGCATGGAGACCAGATTTAAGCAAAATGCAATATATTGAATAGCCTTTCCAACTCACCAGCCTTCCCAATTAATAATGGTGTTATACTGGGATAGGAAGCAACGTTAGTGCTGCTATCGCAAACCAAACAGGATTATATCCGTGGTACGTCAAGTCAAAAGGTGACCCCTCTTGACACCTAACTGGTACATTGTCCTGAAACCGATGTGACTCCGGAGCCGCACTGGACCCTCCAAAAGGTTTATATGCGTGGGCAAGCTGAACTGGTAGAAAACCCATTACACCGGTATGGCCGCGGTGCCGCACTATGCCCTCCAAAAGGTTTATATGCGTGGGCAGTTTGAACCGGTATGGGTCAGTACATATATCGAATAGTAAGGAGTGAAGTAAAGTGAATGATTGAAGCGGACGAACTGATGCAGAATTATACAAAGGTAAACATTTTCATTTTCTACAAGCTACAAACAGATCTCGAGCAAGGTTCGTTTTATCACTGTATCTACAGTTTTGAGGTGAATTACCGGGCAGATGCTGCGGCTGCGAAGCAGGCGCAGGAGATGCCCGTGGTTCGTAAAAAAAAAAACTCATAATAATAGAAAGCGATTATACCAAAAACCTCCTATCTCAGCCTTCGCGGAGCCCTAGATTTCCTATTTTCCCACACTACTGTAGCCACCACTCAAGCTACCCACCTTAGGCAAGTGATGGCAACCTGATGAGCAAAACTACGAAATCAACGCTCAAGTGGTTGATTTACCTCGGCTACCTAGCAGCTATCCACTATTATCAATACCATGGTACATGAACTAGATGATAGACTCAGTAGTGATATTTACATGAAAAAGGTCAATGGTAAAAACACCTGCTTCTGCGTCACTAAAGGTTGCGGCTTCAGTGTACACTGATAATATGATCGCCATGTGATGGTACCTAGCTATTTCACTAAGAGGCCTCAGAGAGACTGTTTGCAACTGAAGCGAAGCGGAGGTCTGCAATGGTCAGCCCGTGGGCCGGGCAGGGTACGTCTAAGTAGAAGTTAACTTTGAATCCAGACACATGAGGGGATGGAACAGACCGCGCAGTGGCGCTCCCCGAGCAAAGCAAGAGAGAGGTGGGTCCCTGAAGGACCGTCGCTAAGTCCGCAGGCGAGAGCCAACGCGCGAGTGTCTTACCTAAAGCAGCTAGTGCTTTTGATGTGGCGATAGTTAGGTTCATCTTTGAAGGTATTTCGCGTACCAATATCGACTGCACAGGCAGCAACAGCGACTTCTAGGCCGCATTTGAGAGCATGGGCTGTTAAAATGAACCTTATACACGGGTGATCTCCACGAAAACACTTCGCTTGTGCCAATACTTCGCTTTACTAGCGTAATACTTAGGCGATACACTCAGGGTGCTCACGAGTTGCCGAAGATCTACGAGTGTACTGACCGATACATTGAATTAGGTTATCCTGGTAGTGCTACCATGTAGTACTCTGTAGTACGAGCAGCGAATAAAGTAGGGATAACGACGGATCCACGAACAAATGAGAGCTTCGAGCGACCTCTACAAAAGCGTACGCGTTTGTACGGATTGTTCCGTCACCCGTGGGTTATATAATAGTATTCAATTTAACCCATGGGCTTCAAGCAACATTTTCTGGGTGATGGGTTGTAATGTTACCCGTGCCGCCACAAGCAACATCACCGGCTTTTTTTCGTTGTATCCCGGTTATGTATTATAAGAGGTATTTAAGCTCGATCTAAGCCCGTAACCAAACTGATGTACCACTCATGATGGAGTTTAAGAGGTAGTAGCGGCACTTTGGGCTTCTACGTCGCCAATTCCCTCTGGGATCACAGGTACATTCGATTTCACAATTACTTTGGGTTCGATAACTAAGCAAATGCAGGTTTGAAGTAATTTAGGTCATGGTACGTATTAAGTACTAGAGTAAGTTTAGGTCGAGTCGCGTCGCCGGAGAAACTCTGGATCTAAAATCCAGAGAACATACGGAAGCAGAGCCAAATCGTGTGATAACAGTGAGTAGAGCAGTATGCAGTGCATACTGCTCTACCCACTGTATGACATCTGCAATGTCAGAATCCAACTTTTCAAATGTAGGAATGGTGATGACCAAAGATCGGAGCTCGCTGAAGCCGTCTGTGCTGAATGATATCCTCGTCGTTCGATCAAATGGCGATCTCGCTAAAAGTTAGGCCAATTGCTGCACAGACGTCGTAATAGGGGCTAACATCTACATAGTTGCATTTCACTTATTGCCTTTGCAAACGACCAGCTTGGCTGTGCTTCACACATACGAACTACATTTTGTTTACTGTGAGTCGGGTCGGCTCGGGTACCCGAGGCTTGTGGTCGGGCGGGTACGGGTACCCGACTCCAGCTGGGGACCCTGGCTGGGCGGGCACGGGTACCCGCCTCTCGCCGTTTGCGAGCCCTGGTATGCACGAGACCCCGTATTAGTCAGTATTTGCGTTAGATCGAGAGTGAAACTGCACAAGTTATAGAAGTGCATCGCATCCCAACGACGCATGAAGAACGCTTGAACTATTGCGCGTTTAATGCACTTCTGATTGTTGCAAGAGGATGTATAAGGGGCCGGTGCTGGCTTGTTTTGGCAAATTGGATCATAAACAAGATACCACTTTTGATGTGGAGACTCCACATACGGAAAAGCGCTCCTATAGATAAATCGCTCCACAGTGGAGCGGCTTTTCCAGCACCAGCTTACTTGCAGTACACTCCCCATCGGTTCTGTGGATCCTGCTACGCTCTTAGTAATATGCAGATAAGAGAGGAGATAAACTATATAAGTGGATAGGATTCATTTTCTTAGAACGTCAGTAGGTTGCTGAACCTACCTACGTTGTAGTACATTGCACCATCACGAACGAAGCGATGTGTAAGTACTAAGGGGTTTCATGGACACTCGCGCGTTGGCTCTCGTCTGCGGACTTAGCGACGGGACTGCGTGGCCTGCCCCACCCCCTTGTCCCTTACGCAAAGTTCCTCGTCTCGGCCAGGCGCGGTGTCTAGAAAAAAAATATCGGGTTGCAGCGCTCGTGTTCGCTCGCTCGCACAGACACGCCCCCGCCTAATCGGCGGGTGCGGGTGATTATTGAATGTATTGAGTGAGGCTCGCGCTCGGGTCCGCTCGCCCTCGCCCATAGACTATATAGACCATACTACTGGGAGGACAGCTTTAGCTGGCTGAACAGCCTAACCAATTTTATTTCAGCGGCCGCCCCCCCCCCCCAACTTTAACTGGCGAATGTCGCCTGAGTCCATAGTCCACAGATTATGGTAACATCAAGGAGTTTGTACGTTTCGTGGCTGGTTGTTCCCAGAATGTCGACCGTATCCGTAGCGTGTACCACACACCACACCTTCTACGAGCCCGGGGAGAGCCGAGCTCCTGGGCTCTTGCAAAAAGTCGCGAGCTCGGGCTCCTGGGCTCTTGAGTTCAATAGGTTAAGTGAAAGGAGCCCTCCAGAACTGTGAGCCCTCGTTAAGCCCCCCCCCCCTCGCCTGTGTTAAATATCTCGCTGATGATTGGCCGTCCGTGGCGCATCGATCACGCGAAGTTGCTCGCCTAAGTCTAGATAAAATTGGCCAATCAGATATTACTATGAAGAGCCCGTCATAGATTTGAAGCCAAATTTGGGGAGCCCTGGAGGGGAGCCAATGGGGAGCCCGAACCAGGGCTCCTTGATCTCGTACTTACCATGAGGGAGCCCATTTTGTGCGACTTTTTGGCTCTCGTATTAGGGGGGGGGGGGCACTTTACGGGCTCGTAGAAGGTGTGCCACACACTGTAGTGAGCAGTTCTTGAATTTACGAAATTTATTCGGAACATCATAACTAGGATAGCAGCATTTTTTCGATATAAGCTAACATTTACTCAAAATCATTGAAATAACAACTAACGGATTGAATCCTTCTTGTGTAAATTTGTATAGCTGGAATGCATGACCTCAACGCGTTCGGCCGGGGGCTTTGCCCCCGGCCGAGCGCGCCTTTAAGTTCTTTCGTGTCTTTTGCGCGGCAACTTCGCAATTTTTTTAAAGGCGCTACACCAGGGTTTGAAAACTTGCCACCAACTTTCATGTTACATTATTCTTGCCTACCCCACGTTTATAAATTTAGGCACACAAAGGAAGTCTACACTGTCCTCCCAGACCGAAGCTTCGCCTCTAATCAGTCACCTCCGTTTTGGTACATATTTGGGATAGCTTTATGAGAAAGCAGTCGTGTACTTGGCCCGAAATATGTACCTAAATGTTACAGAGACAATTCATTATTTGGGACATTTGGGGCGATTTGGGCACATATTTGGGATGCATTATAAGCTTCCATGCAATGTTCTTCCTTGTTCTCCTCAGCCGTGCATCGCCGTCGACAAGTCCGACGAGGTCGTCTCGACTGATTTGGGGCACTTGAGGGTATACGTGCCCGGCCTCCAGGGTTAGCATACGTACCTGAAAAATGGGTCGGTCGGTCGGTCGCTGCCTTGCAGCTGACGCACGTCGCGCGGGGTAGTAGTGCATGTAGCGAGTACAGCAGTCTCGCGATCACGACTTCATGGATCATCGACGGTTGGAGCAGGCGTCGCACTCGCGCTGCGGTCTTGATAATCACCGGCCACCCCGTGGAAGGCGTGGTGAAGTGTTTGCCCGAACGCACTAAAACTTTTCGAATGTCTTACAAGACCCGCACTCGAAAGGTGCTCTGCAGCTTGGATGACAATGTTCTAAGCTTGATCTTCCAGTTTGCTGCGACCCCGAAGCAACGACCCGTTCCAAATATCCAGATAGCGTATTGGTCGACTCGCCGGAATGCAGTTGTTCAGTTCGCCCTGCGCTTTTGACGTGCTAATATAGGCAATGCGGGTTACTATGAAAAAAAAAAGTGGGCCAGATGGAGAAAGTTAATTGTGTCGCGCTTTGAGCTTAGCTGGAAAGTGCTGGCTCGGGCATAAGATTAGGAGCATCTTCCACTCGCACACGAGGTCCAGGCAGGATCACCATTTAAGCCTTTGCCGTCACAATCAAGCCGCCGTTCCTCTAAGATATTTCATCGGTATGGGCGCGAAGACTTCTCTACTTCAGGCAGCAGCTCACGGAGATGTGGCGTTAGTCAAATTGGCACTCGAGCGGGGCGAAGTCGTCGACATCAAGGACGAAAGCGGGTGGACTCCTCTGCTCTTCGCAGCTCGAGAAGGTCACGAAGGTGTGGTGCGTCTTCTTCTGTACTATGACGCGACTCCCGATCTCCCCGGTAAGACAGGGTCCACCCCGCTCATGTGGGCTGCCTTCACAGGGCGGGAGGGCGTGGTGCAAATTTTACTCGAGCATAAAGCCAAGGTCAATGTTCAAAATGTGGTCGGGGCAACAGCCCTCGGGCTTGCGGCTCAGAACGGACACGCTTCGGTCGCACGGTTGCTCTTGAACTGTGGGGCGGCTGTGGATCTCGCGGACTCGGATATGTGGACGCCGCTGATGCAGGCCGCACGAATCGGCCATACGGATGTGGTTCGTCTTCTCCTCAGCAATAAAGCCCAAGTTGACGCTGTCAACGCCCAGGGCAAGACGGCGCTGCAAATGGCAGCAGCAGAGGGGAACAACGGGATCGTGAGGTTGATACAGGAATTCGTGGAGCAATGCGATACACCGTTAGCGTTTCTCTCGTCGATGATATGAACGCGGTGTTTGGAAATTCCGAGAAGCAAAACGCCGTCCGGCGCTGCGTCGGCGACGCAGCAGGGGCGATTGGAAATCAAACTTCTTGAGCGGTACCAACTTCGACCACCCGAAGGAAGCTACGCAGGCGCAAATAAAGAAACCTGTTCCGGGGCCTAACTTCCCCCGACGGATCAATCGGTCGCGCCGCTTCACCATCCGGACACTAAGAGGCACCACTGCATTATTTTTTTTACCGTCATGGCGTCTCCGTCAAGCGCCAAGATCCCCGTCGGCAGCAGTACGAAGCAAGTTCGAGCCAGCAAGCGTGATGTCGGTCGCTCTCGGGTCATCGGCGCGTCGTCCGTGTCCAACTCGAGTCGCCGAGTCAATGGCAGCGTCGCCAACGTGAACGGAGGAGCGTCAGGCCACGGGTCAGGCCACTCGACTCGCGTGTACCTCGACGGCGTGGACGTCACCCCTCAGTCTTTACTCGTGAGCCGCATCAAACCGTCGACTCCAAGCGGGGGCTACGACCCCAAAGCCAAAGGCAAAGGGGGCAAGGGCAGTCGCACCAAAGCCGTCCACGGTGTCGGTGCCTCGGTCGCTGGGGCCTCCATGGCCGGTGCCAGTATGCTCTTCAGCCACGCGTCGTCCTCTTCAGCGGACAACGACTCGGACAGTGAAAGCTCCTCGTCGGTGGTGGCCACGGCTGCACGAGGCGTCCGCAAAGAAGTTCGACCAAGTGGTGGAGATCGCTCAGTCTCGAGTTCTGCAACGCCAACGTCTAACCAGGAAGAGGACGACAGTTCACGCGCGTCGAATGGGGCGGCGGATCCTGAAGACCGCGAGGACGGCAAGGACGAGGGTGGAGACCCACTTCTAGCGGCTTCGGGTCTTGCCGTGGATCGCGCGGCTCCGTTGCTCGTTGGGGGCAAGTCAGCGTCCAACGCAATGGGACTGATGTCTGGCAGGTCTCGCCGAGTGCCTGTCACGGTGACGTTGGCGGAGACGTCGACCGAGATGTTGCTGGAGATCCGCAGCGTCTGCGTGGCGCAAGACGCGCCGAATCACACGGCGGTCACGGCGAGGAACAAGCGCTATCAGGCGGTGTGTGCGCAGAAGAAGGGGAGTGAGAAGTTCGTCGAGGGGAGAGCGCAGACGCTGCAGCTCGCGCAGAAGGCGAAGGAGGTCATGACGGCTCCCCCCGCCACGCGAGATGTGGCGTGTGTGGCGACGGACTGGGACATCTACGACTGCGCCAAGATGGAGGAGGAGAACAACAACGAGACGGACGAGGTGGGCGTCGGTGAATCTGCTCCAAGCTCCGAAGCGCAAGCTCAGACGCAATCAACTGGAACTTCTACTGAAGGACAGCCGAAAGACCCCAATGATGCGACTTTGGGACCAGGAGCAGCGGCTTCGGGAGCGGAAGGAGGTGGCGCTGGCGGAGTGGGTGATGTACAGCTCAAGCAACAAGTGGAGGAGATCGTTGGAGCTACCTTGGCGTCTCCAGGCTGTGTGCTAGATGTGGACGGCGATATTGTCGAGGACCTTCGCGCCAGGCAGCACCACTCGTCGAAGCCTAACCGAAAAAATCGCGATAAACATGGCCAAAGCAATGTTTTCAGCCAGAAGTCGCGCATGTTCGACAGTCAGAGGTCTACCGTGGTTGCAACTGCGGTGTCCGGGAATTCCAATGCGTCTGTGGCGATTGGGGAGCAAAGAACTGGCAATTTGTCTGCGGGCGCTTCACAAGACTTCGCCGCTCTTGCTGGAGGTGAAGGCGCGAGCTCCGGTAGTGCTGCGACTAACTCCCAAGTAGGGATGAGCGTGGCAAATGCTTCGCGTGGAGTTCTTAGCGGCGGCCCTGGAGGAAGCGGTGACGCGAAATCCAACAACGTCTACGCTCGAGCCAACACCAACGTGGACATCGGTGAGATTATCGCCCGCCAGCGCACTTCTCACGTGCTAGGATCGTCGTCACTGCTATTGACTGCCAACGTTGTGGAGCGTGCCGTCCAGCAGAATGTCTACCACCAGCAACATGTGCGATACCGAGATTTCCCCATCCTCGAGACGGCCGAAAGTCCGCCAGAGCCTGTGGTGCCTGCACTGGGAATGGGGTTTCCCACACGCTCCGATTCCTTCTCAGGCGGGTCTAAGACCATGCAAGAGCTCGAGCAACTATGGGCATTCCGCTGTGAACTCACCAAGGACCGAACAGTCTCGTGTCTCGCTTGGAACACAGCTAATGAAGACTTGCTGGCAGTTTCTTACGCGCGCGCGGAGCCTTTGAATCCAACGGAGTTGGCAGGACCTACGTCTCCCAGTGCTGCGAATGGTGCCTCTAGTGTCGCAGTGGGTGGTGCTGCATCAGTCGTTCCTGCTAGCCCAGCTCCTCGACCTGGCCAAACTGCTCAATCCGCAGCAGCAGCCGCCGCTGCAGCTGGTAGCACACCAGGATCCACCGGAGAGTCGAACGACGGGCTGGTTCTCTTCTGGTCGCTGACAAACCCTGAATATCCTGAGCGGATTTACCATCTACCAGTGGGCGTGACATCCATCGACTTCAGCACGGCACACCCGTACCTCCTCGCGGTGGGTTTTGCGGACGGCGTTGTGTCCATCTACGACACTCGAAAGGCCGATTCATCGTCATCTAGTGGACCTTCGAACTCGACGCCAAGTAGCAGTGTACCTGGTGCTGCGGAGGACCCAACTGCGAAGTATGTGCCAGTGCCCATTGCTACTAGCTCAGGAATGGGTGGCAAGCACTTGGACGCCGTGTGGCAAGTGCGGTGGGTGGCTCGTGGGGGAGGTGAGAGTGTGGTTAGCGTCTCGAGTGACGGTCGAGTGGTCGAGTGGAGCCTGAAGAAGGGCTTGAGCTACAGCGACCTCATGACACTCAAGCGCTCGACAAATCCGCTGCTCGGAGGTGCAGGGACCGCTGCAACAGGAGCAAGCGGTATTGGAGATGGAGTCATCTCACGACAGGCAAGTGGTCGGTGTCTGGCGTTTGCAAGTCGAGGTGACCCCTCCGTTTACTTCGTTGGCACTGAAGACGGTCTTGTGCACAAGTGTTCGGTGTCGTACAACGAGCAGTACCTGCAGACGTACATCGGACACACCGGTCCGGTGTACCAACTGCTCGTGTCTCCCTTCTGCAGCGACCTCTTCCTCTCGTGCTCGGGCGATTGGAGTCTCAAGCTGTGGCACCAGGCAGATCCGCGCGGCGACGCAGTGCTCACGTTCCACTCGGTGGACCTTGCCCAGGCCGTTTTGGGTGCTTCCTGGAGTCCAAGTGACGCTGCAGTGTTCGCTGCTGTGGCGGAGGACGGTCGGATCGAGCTCTGGGATCTCGCTCAGTCCACACTCGACCCGATAATTCGTCATTTCCCGAAGAAGTTCATCGCTGTGGCTGCTCCGGTGCCTCCACCGACTGATGCTGACGGCTTGGACGCTGCCGGAACTTCGAGAGAAATGACACCGAAAGGTGGAGGCGACAGCGACCGACTGGACGACGATACGTATCGAGACCCCAATGCAGCTTCGAGCTCGGTCCCTGCAGCCCCGACGATGGTCGAAGTGCCGCTCGAATGCACGACGGTGGCGTTTGCTCCGAAAGCACCGGTGCTTGTCGTGGGGGACTCAACCGGTGATGTTACAGTCTACCGAGTTCCAGCGCAAGTATCCACAACATGCGCAGATTCAGCGTCTGACCCAGCGTCGAGCGTCGAGGAGCAAGCAGCACGATTACTACGGGCCATTCAGCCCAACAAGCACGAGTAGAGAGACTTGGCAAGACTGAATACTGAATTATTCAGTATTCAGTCTGAATACACAAGGTTTTCATACTTGTAGCCATCTTGAAGAAGTGTAGCCATTTCGCTAGTAGACATGTAGACATGAGCAACCTTGAGACGTTGTGTGATCTGCACGGTCTCACATGCACGAAGTTCGTTATCGCTGTATCAGACAGAGCTGTGGGCAATTGGCAGAGCAGTCTCACGCAGTTCGTTGCGTATAACGCGACGTCGTCCTCGAAACAGACAGACCTGCTGGCCTCACCGCCAACGCAACGATCGTGTCGCGCCACTTGGCTGCGTTCAGTTTGCGTTCGGATGGCAATTTCAACACTCACGCGAGCTTTTCACTGCACGAACAGCTCCAAGTTGAAGTCGATCTCTGTGTGATAAAGTGACGACGAACAAATCCTGGACGGTATCAGCACAAAAGACATGGAAAGGTATTTATTTGCCCCAAATGGAGCTTAAAATTGGTCAAACACGTCGAAGGCCGCCCTGTCCTCACCGTACAGCACGACCGAGTCGTCCACGGGCGAGTCCGGGTACTCGTCGAAGTGCGTGTGGTCGCCGGGGCCCCCAACCGGCGGCAGGTACGGCGGCGTTTCCGTGCGTGCGAGCACGGCATCCCAGTCCACTTTGGCAAAATATTTATGCTTTTTCACATCCTCTGAGCCACCTCGTAAGCACCCTGCAGCGCAAAAAATAGCAGTAACTCGTCAGTCCTCTCGTCGATGAATGAAACCCCACCACACGTAGAAAACAAACGTACCGAGTCGCTTGGTGCGGTCCTGCGAAAGGAGCTTCTTGATGAGGTCCTTGGCCTTGGAGTCTATGTGCTTGGGGAAGTCGACCTTCCCGTCCAGGATCTTCTGGTAGATGCCGAACGGGTTCTCGTCGTAGAAGGGCGGGTAGCCCGCCAGCATCTCGTAGATGAGCACGCCGAGCGCCCACCAGTCCACCGACTTGCCGTGGCCCTTGCTCTGGATGATCTCGGGCGCGAGGTACTCGGGGGTGCCGCAGAGCGTCCACGTCTTGTCCTCGACGATCTTCGCAAAGCCAAAGTCGGTGATCTTGAGGGACCCTTCGGACGTGATGAGCAGGTTCTCGGGCTTGAGGTCCCGGTAGATAATGTGCTGCGCGTGGAGGTAGGCCATGGCCAGCACGAGCTGCGCGGCGTAGTAGCAGGCCACGTGGTCGGGAAAGCGGCCCTGGCGCCTCAGGTACGAGAAGAGCTCTCCGCCCTGCACGTACTCGAGCACGAGGTAGAGTCTCCGCTCGTCCTGGAAGTGGCCCAGGTAGTTGACGATGAACGGGTGCTGGATCTTGCTCAGGATCTCCACCTCGCACTTGATGTGGTGTAGCTGCTGCAGCCGCAGGATCTCGCTCTTCTTGAGGATCTTGAGCGCGTGGTACGAGCCCACGCCCTTGAGCTGCACGAGCCGCACGCGGCCGAACGTGCCCGTGCCCAGCGTCGCCAGCAGATCGAAGTCGTCCAGCGAGTACGTCCGACGCTCCCGGGGCGCCTCCACGGGGGCAGCAGGCGAGATGGCGTCCGCTGGAGCCTCCTACACAGCAAGCAAGCGAGCAGATAAGAGCGTTAAGTAATTACCCATTGCCATCTCACGTCTAGAGCAAATATTTTACCCCTCCAGCGGATAGATTACGCGGAGTTCATGCTTTACCTTGTCGTCGACGACGGGCCCGGCCGTCTTCTTCCGGAACATGGCGCTAAGGCTCGAAGGCTCTGGGCTGGGTTGTATGTAGGCTCCGGGCTCTTGGCTGGTTGCTAGGTGCAGTGGAGCCGCAGGGCCAGCGTGGGTTTCCGGCGGTTATCTGTGTGTGCGGGGCCTGGAGCCAACGCGAGTTGGTTGGCGTTTCCACGTCTGCGACGGTGGCGAGGGCGAGAGCGCACGTGGCTCTGTGGCGGCACCTGCGAGGGCCCTGGGCGGAGCAGCGACTCCGGGCGACTGCAGGCGGCTCAGCTCTCCGACGCTTCGGGCCTCGATCCTTTTCTGGGCTTCCCCGGAGCGCCGCGCTGATTGGGCGGAACGAATATGCGCGCTGATTGGCTGGACCTGTTGCCACAAACGGGTCTGGTAGGTGATTTACAAATAGTAAGAGAGATCAAGGCCCGGGTCACGGTTATTTGTGGCAGATGCTGGAATATTTGCAGTAATTACATCTGTCACTATTTACGGTAAAACGGTAGTAATTATGGCATTTTGCACCGTCTGATAATGGGACTGCAGCCAGGCTAGGTGCTCAATTGAGCCAATCCTTGAGCCATTTTTCTTAGTACACGTACGTCGGTGAATGATTGTGTTGCCACAGCTGTCCTTATGGAGGACAGAATGTACGCCGCTGTAAGGATTCAGCTAAACTTGAAGTTTGAAAAAGTAATATCAATAACAAAAGCGTATTTTTTTCTTTTTTTGGTTAGTTTTACTCTCCGAAACAGCTAATATGAGAACATAAGCAATCTATTATAATGTATTCATTACAACCTGTATATTTGTTCAGTACTTAAATGATGTTTTTTGGTAGTTTATTTCGAGTCGAAGTTTACGACGAAACCGAAACCAATTTACAAAAAATAAACAGGATATTTTTTATCTATGCACGTACATGTATTACGCACACAAACTTCATCCAAGGATCGCCAGATTGCCCCAGGGATCAATAGAGTCCAATTTCACCGTCAATAGTAATGATGTTGTGGTGGATCGTAGCTGTCCAAAACTAGCCAAGGAGATATCGGGGGAGTCTTGTGCTGGCGCGGTATCGTTCGGTCTAATTATGCTCGAGTATGTCAGAACTTGCCTTAGCTTGGTAGTGATGGATAGTTAAGTGATGTACGGGTCCAAGAGGCGACATGGAAAACAAGTTAGTCGAGCGCACTGCTGCGGTGCTCGAGTTGCAGGGTCGTATTGTATTAATACATGTATTCCTATTGGCCAGCTTGTGTAGAAAAGGGAAAGTTAAATCGTAGGGGCGGTGCCTCTAAACTAAAAATCGAATGCAAACCTCGTCGCAAGTTTTTCTTCCTGTAGACTCACGATAACACGAATCGATAAAACCTCTCGCCTTTCTTACCCACTCTCCCTCTACGACTCGTAATAGACTACTAAGTACGAAAAACATGAAAGCAGAAGCAGCGACACTTTGACCACAAAAACATAGTCGGCCTCAGGCAATGTACGGCCATAGTATTAATAGCCTAAATCTGTTGTGGTTGTGCCCCTCTATGAAGATGAAAAATGAATATGAATTTCCAAATCATAAAACCCAAGGCGACGACTTTCCTAGGATCAATTGAGCTCACCAGCAATGGGCAATGGACACCTTCGAAGGAATCATATGGGGTACCCAAATGAAGGGGGCCAAAGTCCGGAACGTTCTTTGGAGTGGACTCTTAGGATCCTGGGTGGAACATTCCCCTGCCAGGTGCCCGAACGAGCGCCGAACGCGCCGCTTCGTCGATGGAAGGACACTTTGAAAGGCATATCTTCAGGAGCCGGTTGGCGGGGTACACTTGCACTTGCACGCTGCAGCGCCATTGGTCCTGGTATATCATGCCGCCGCGCTGCTCTGCAATACGCTGCCACGTTGCCGCCGACGCTTTCGCCGCTCGCACACGATTCACGACGGGCAAACCCCCGCAAGGTCAACACAACGATGAGTTGCTGGCCGCCCGACGATGACGAGTCCGGCGTTGCAATCAGGCCAATCGTCCACAGTCCGATGCACGTCATGTTGCCGGTTCATTGTGACCAACAATCTCAGCGATATCTTTCAACTCGGTACTCTCGGTGCTATCGTTCGACGGCGCCTGTGGCGCGCGTCCGCTCAGCTGCGACGACGACAACTCTCGCTGGACCTGAGTTTCCTCGCTCACGATGGACCATTGAAATCGCTGGGCCCGTCTGGCGAATATCCAGGGTGGACTACGCTACGATGCGCGTATGCGGTCAGCGCTGGCAGCGCTGCCACGGAATGACTGGTTCTGCGCGAGTGTGGTGCAAGGTGAGAATGGGCTGGAGTGCTGCGTAGCGAGTGTGAGATCTAACCTCCGCCTGCGTGACTAGTTTGGGCCGCAACATCTCTCCATCGTCACTTGAAGGCATCCGTGTGAACTACTTTAAAAAAAAAGCAGTACGACTTCTTCAGCCTTCACCGCATTCTCCGAGGTCTTTCATTTTTTTGTATTTTTGAGTTCGCAAATACTTATCATGAAGGGATGATACAGGAAAGTTGGTCCGACACCGACAAATGAGCAACGATTGATCAAAATATGTAGTTAGACGTTGACTTCCTTAAAAGAAAAAGAAAACGGTACCCTCGAAGGTTTGTGGCACAGCAGCCGATGCAAGAACGATAAACGTTCCGGATGCAATCACGCACTCGGCACCTGGGAGTCGAGCCACTTCGCGATGAAACCAAATCCTGCCGGACGACGCTGTCTCGCTCTCTCACGCATTGCTTCCACGCCATGCTCCGCGAACATTTCCGGGTAGTACTCGTGATAGAAATCCGATCAATACTGGGATTACGCGCAGGAAAGTGCTTAAAACACCAAAGCGCGACGCGGAAATGGCCTTCGCTCATTGCTCTCTCGACTGCAACCCCACAGCTCTTGAGCGCAGCACCCTTAGGTCGATGCGAGTACAGGTACTTTAGTATCTCCAATTGGTCATGTCCCGCAGCAAGGATCATCGCATTTGCCGTGCAACGAACTTTCGCTTGGGTGTGTAGCCACTGCACCAACGCTAGATTCCCCTTGTTAATAGCGTCCTCCATCGCACCGCTCTTCATATACGTTGGTGCTTGCGGTATCAACCATTTCACAACTTCAATGCGATCATGGAGGACCGCGGAATGGATGGCTCTGTCCGTGAAGCCTTCGCATGAAGCCATTTCACCACTTCCAGGTATCCTCGCGCTCTTCGTGCAACCCTCAGTTCGATTCATATGGAGCCACTTGACTGCTTTCCGTTGTCCATTGGCTGCAGCAGCGTCCATAGCGTCCGTTGATCGCCATCCCGTTGAGTGCGCGTTTAGTCCGGCTGTGCGAATGTCGGGTGAGAATTTAGTACCTGTTCTTGGGATCGAGGATAGTTTTGACCCCGGGAAACCCGGCACCTCCAGAGACTCCGAGCTCTGAAAATACTGCAGCATCCCCACACGTCCATACCTCGCAGCTTCCACCAGAATGCAATATTCAGGGATCTTCTCCGACGGAGTGAAGTGCGCTATCAGCCACGTTACCGCTTTCATGTTGTCTCTGCGAATCGCACAGAGTAGCGCGACCCCAAAATCCACAGCGAACCCTTGATCATTGAGATACCCCATCACTTCTAGATGCCCTTCACTTGCTGCGTTATTCAACAAAGGAATCAAATCATCGGGCTTCTTCGAGAACGTGATAGCCGCTCGACCCGAAGGGTGCTCCATCATCCACTGCAAAATAGCGAGATTCCCCATCTGACATGCTGTTGCCATCGCCTCCATCCAATGCTGCATCCATTCATCCGACGATATGAGCCACGCGTACTTCTCCCAGACTCTCTGGGCGAGGTCTAAGCGACCAACCTCGACTTGCTTCTTCAGTGCAGCTGCAGCTTCAACTTTCTCGTCCACTGGGCCAGCACTAACTGCACGCTTGGACGCAGCTTTAGAAGAGAAGCGTCTGTAGTCTGTGACGGATTTTCCAGGAGGCAGCAACAGCTCCGCGAGCGCCACTTCGCCTGCAGCCAGAAGGGCTGCGATTGTCCAGGTCAACGACCCCGCAGACAAGGTACGGGGCGTGTTCTCGTAGAGAAACCGGACGACGCTGAAATGCTCTTCCTGCGCACCCTTCGGTATACTGTGACCTCCCCACTGCACCACGTTGCCTCCGTCATGTTCACCACTACCAGAAGCGCTCACAGGTAAAGTATCGCCCACTTCCAGTCCAGCAGCTCGGTGGACCCAAACTCGCAGGCATCACGTAGCGTCAGGTCGCTCTTGGGGCCCACGTAGCTGGCGATAAGGCGTCCAACGTGCTCGAGTGCAGCGCCTTCCTTGTGATAGCGGAGCACCAGCGTGACGACCAGCAGCGGAGAAGCCATCGCGGCTCGAAGTCACGATAATGAATCATTACGCGAATTTACTAAGCTTGGTATTTTATTACTTCAAGTATTTTATTTTACCTGCTTGTCATTGCGGTGCGGTGTTGTGTTTGCGCACGCAGCTGCGAGCGTAGTTGCTCGATTTCGGCCTGCATGTCGTCCGTCAACCTTGCCCACTTTTTCATCTCGCGGGTGCTGACGTCGCTGAGTTTCTTCAAGCTCGCTTCCACCGCGGCTCGCTCTTTTCGCATCGCCGAGCGCTCCTGCAGCAGTTGGTAGATCATTTGATCTTTGACGCGCAAGAGGCTTTCCAGATCTGCTTGCTTCTCGTGCTTCGGCGACGGCGCTCGAGTCACTTTGGGGCTTGGAAGCGGGGTATCCCCTCCAATCGCAACATGGCGGACTTCAGCTGGAGGCGGCACCGGTTCTTCTTCCTGCACGGGATGCAGCGGCACCGGGGCTACCATAACCGGTGGGGGCGGTGCGAGCGCTCGGTAGTTGCTCTCCTCGATGAACGCTCTTAGCTGCGGCTTGAAGTCCGCGAAGAAGACGTGGAACGTGTCTAGAGTAAGTGCGCCCGTGTGGTCCTTATCGTACCGCTCGAATAGCTGTCCTGCTTCGAACTCCGAGTTCCTGTCGGCTCGTTGATAGCCTAGCGGGATGCCTCTCGTGTCCGTGAGTGACAGCGGCGGCCGCGATAACAAGGACGACCCCCATCCGTTGCTCGTCGGGTCTGCATAGTCCTTCAGTAGCTGCAGGAAGTCGAGTCGAGTGAGGCCACCGGACCGGCTGCGGTCGTATCGACGGAACAGCTGAATGGCGTCCGGGTCGTGGATCAGCGGCGCGACTGGGGTCGGAGCTGAAACGACGCTGGTTGGCTCAGGAGGCGGCGCTGGCGCTGCTACTGCTGCCTTTGTTTTCTCTCGCTTGGACGAGCTCTTGCGGTCTTTGTCCTTGCTCTTGCGGCCCTTGTCCTTGCTGCGTGATGTCGCCTCGGCGCCACTGGATCGACTGCTCTTCTTGCTCTTCTTCTTGTCCCCCGCAGCGGCAGACTTGGAGGCCGACGCCATGGCCCACAACGATTAGTCGGAATTGCTGACCCGTTTGTCCAGGCGGGCTGAATGGAGGTTGGTGAAGTGTACACTGCACAGCGCCTTAGACCATCGATCGCATGGTTCCGAAACGCAGGCGGCGGTTGCACCTTGAACTCGCGTCGCATGGTCAACAGGGCTAAATTGTGTTATGTGACCCACATACATGTAGCCAATCGCTTCCTAGCATCCGAATTGGCATCGAATACGATCGAGTGCCACTCGAGTGGATCACCAGATAGCATAATATGAAGCAGTGGGACAAACGCCTCAAAGCAGCACGTTCTGGGTATCCCTCCAAGACCCGTTCACAGTGAAACCTTGAGGGTTTGTACAAGGTTGCATATGATGTAGATACGACCGTGGCAGTTCGAGAGAGCGAGGAAAAGACAGAAATCTCGCCAAAGCACGAGCCTTTGCGGAGCTCGCGTACTGTCACAGAATTGCAAATGGTGGAGAGCACACCCGAGTGAACGACGTACATCGCGTCTCCATAGTCTCCAGCGGAAAAAAGCGTCGTCTGCGCTGGTACGGCGACCATCTCCAAAAGACTCGTCATGGCTACAATAAACTGGTCACTGCAGCCGTCAAACAGCGAAACCTGGGCGATTGTGGACTTGAGGAGCTTAACCTGGATATCGTTCGCTATTGACGGACACAAGAGTCTCACTGTCTCACGATCATTCGACTCAGCATCCGTGTAATAACGCTGGACAACAACGAGAAAGTGTCGACTTAGTGAGTTATGATACCAACGATGGCATAATAAAGCGACCGACGACGTACCTTAAGATACTCGATGGCTTGGACCTTGTGCTCTTCCGGGACGCAATGAAAGGAGAGCATATACGTGAGTTGATTGATTCGTGCGGTCGTGGCCTCTGAGTTGCCGCTCTCGCACTTGGAAATGACGAAGATTGTTGCGCATAGTGTCGTGAAGAGGGAGAATCCACAGAGTGCGACCGCGATGGTGAACACGAACTCGGAGATATGGCGAGGCAATTTCCCTTCAAAGAGACCCGTCATGATCCCAACACTCCAGAACAACGATGTCAAGTAGTGATCGCGGTGCCGTAAAGGACTGTACACAGGCAGCCAATGATCTGCGCTGTTGACGTCTTCCCCGAAGCTGTAGCGTACACAAGCTACAATGTGGGCCAAGTACAATGTAGACGCCAAAACCTTTGCTAGTTTGAGTGCCACGAAATACTTCGAGTAGAACTCATCCAGATTCGACACGAGCCGCGGCAGCCTTGACCATCTGATGAGCTTAAACAGCAGCATTTTAGTCCAAGAAGCTGAACGGGTAGGAGCGCTACCAGATCAAGTACAAATTGCCGCGAGTGCACGTATCGCCGTATCGTCCGCTTCTTGTTTCGGATAAGGTTCCCGTCAGAGTAGAAACCTGTGCGTGCTTGGATGAAAAGGTCTACCATGAAAACTGCTTCACACACCAAGATAAGCGCGGAAAATGCAGAGATGGTGCCTACTACACCTGGCTGGAATGCTGTGAAGTACGGTAGTAGGAAAGATTTCAGCAGTATACCCACAAGTAAAACCTGCTGCCAAACCTTGATAGCTTTCGCATTCGGGTCGAAAGCGTCCTGTCGGTCTTCGGCTAAGACTTTGGCGAAAAAGGTGTGGAGGCTGAAGGAGCTGTGCACTCGACCGACGGATCTGCGGCTCAGCGATACGAGACGTGCTCTTGCTCCCCATGCTGCTCCTGCTCGCCCTTCTCATTGCGTCGCTATGCAAAACGTGGACGTCAGGTAATACGTTAAGTGCCTTGCCTCCTACGTCGATAATTCCAAACTTAGTAAACGTCGTACAGAAGGCAACTACAGAACACGCAGTATAGCAGGCATAACACTTCGTCCCAAGGAGCTTGCTATTAACACATTTGATGGGAAGATGCACACACCAATAGTGAGTCGGGTCCGTGTGTTCTGCAGACATCAGCTTCAGCAGAGTGGGGCGTGCTTCCTTCGACGCTTCCCCCTTCGTTACCAGCGCTAAATGCTGGGGGGCATCAATTCGTTCGAGTGCTGGCTGGTGGAAGGGACTACATGTATTATTTATTCACTGTGGCATTCTTTTCTCGAGTACTTAGCAGGTCTCACTCGCTACCAATTCTCGTAGCAAATGAAAGATCCTCCCTTAGTAAAAGTGCGCGAAGTGAGGCCAAAACGTACATCCACATAATCGTTTAACATTCACTGGGCTGACTAAAACTAATCAGTGCCAGCCGACGGTGTCGGGATGGAAGCAGACGTCGACGCGGAATTACCGAACAGCATCGTGAGCAGTTGACTTTCCTTGTACTCGACCGCATACCGTTCGACAATTTCGTCTACTAATTTCTTTCGCGTCGGATACGGCCGCACATACAGCATTGTCTGCAAAGCAACATAACATGTTAGCACCGCCGATCACACCACAATATCAGGTAGCGACGAGTTTACCTGTGAGCGGCACACCCGGTTCGCGTTCATAGCTGTTTGCCGCACAAGCCGTGCAAGGTCAGACTGGTGGACCACCATGCCTGACTGCAGCGGCCCGAAAGGTGGCACCTTATCCTTGGTGTGGATCTTGATCAAGTAGAGCCCACGTTGCGCCTTTCGAAGTGGGTAAATCACAATCTGCACGTCATTGAAGTGGCTCGTAATTGTTGACGGGTCATAGGCTTGGGCTGCGTTGTCGCTCCAGACAATGTGCACGTAGTCATTGCCCACGTGCCGCTTTTTGTCGATCTGCTGCGGGTCTGACGCCTTTGTGGGCATCATGGTGACCACGTGGAACATCACCTCGCTGTGCGAGGTAGCGTAATAAAGCGTCGTCTTTCCGTTCGAGAGGCTTTTGGGGTTTGTGTCCAAACCACCCACAAAGCCACGATGCGTCTGCATATCAACCTTCCAGCCAAGTTGCGACAAAAACGATTCGTAAGCGCGACTTCCCTTCTCGTTGTGGAGGATTTCTTGCTGAGTATGTTGCCTCTTGCCCACATAAATCACGCCAATCTTCATGGTTTCGCGCGTCGGACTCTTATCCAGGTGCCTCAACGACCGCTCTAGTTTTGGTCCATGCTCCAGCAATTTCAAAGTCGATTTCTTCTTCGAATCACCGTCGGGGGATGGTAACAGACCCGCTTGTGACAAGAACAGCCGACAAATGTCAAGCGCGCTAACACGGCTATCCTTTAGGCTGCTGTTTGACACATCCATCAAACGCTCAGCAGTCACACCCGGCTTTGTCATTTTCACCAATTGCTCGTCCGAATTTCGTTTCTGCAGAGCCAGGTGGGATACACGCGCATTCACTTCCATGATTGAAAATGAGTCGAAAAGCGCAAGCTGGGGTGGAATGGACGGTGTGCTTGAGCTGCTTTTACCGTTGCTTGCACTGGTAGAGCCTGCTGTTGATGATGATGTCGCAGGTTGGTCCAGCGCTGCAACGTACTTGTCCAGCAAGCCCGACTTCTCGAATCCTTCATACTCAACAAATGCCATAGCGTGCTGGAAAAGCGAGCCTGGAAGACAGAACTTTGGCGCTGAAGGATCCTCACCAGTTACTGCCGCTGCTGCTCTCAGGGCGGACTGGGCTTTGTGAATCTGCTCTTGAATGTCCGATACGATTGCAGTTGGGAAAATGAGCTTCTTCCCTCCTTCAACTGTTAGGAATTCCCAGTAAATGACAGTGGCCTGGCCCAAGCGATCCGTAGGGACAGACGAGCGTTCATACTTCTTCACAGCGTCACAAAACTCCACAAGTTCTTTTCCACCAGTATTCTCCTCCTTTGTCAAAAAGTTCTTCAGTTGCGAGTAGCATTCTTCGTCATGAATAAGTCGTTGTAGGAATGAAAATCCCGATGCTTCGGCAGAGTCCATCAGAAGGGGGTTCGAAGAGGGCATAAGATCCATAAGATTGTAGCGCATCATGGAGTAGCGGCCGCCCAGAAGGGTTTTGTCGGTCGTATCACCGCCACAGTCGCGGAACACCATCGGAATGCTGTCTAGAACCAGGTCCAGCAAACATCGTTCGTCATCTAAACTGCCAACGTTCGGCTCATTAATCGACATATCGAAAAGCCCACAGATCGTAGTTGTGGTACGGCGTTTGAACTTCGATTCGGACTGTGGTGGGCAGTGGCAAACCACTTTTTGCGGCTCTGGGGTGGGCTGTGCAGATGTGCCCGTGTTATTGCGTTCTTCGTGTTGTTTTGCAATCCGCTCGAGGCGTTCTTGGCGCTCATCTTTATTTCCACTGCCTGGCATTTTTTCGACCTCAGATGATCGCGATTTCTCCTTTTTCTTGGAATCGCCGCCTTCCTTGGTGCTCGCACTTGTGGATGAGGAACTTCCATCTTCGTGAAAAACATAACTGCTCTTGATGGGGCACACATTATTGGACAAGTTGTCTTGTTCCTGTTCCCAAGAAACCTGACGCGCCTCCAATTTGATCCCCGACGAAGCATTGCTGCGTCCACCCTTTGCATCAGACGGGGCTGCCTTCGTTCGTGGCTTCTCCCCGCCACAGGTTTTGCATATACCTCCAACCTCGTCAGTGTGCTTGAATTCCACCTGCACGGCACCAGTGGGGTGGTGCAGTGCCAGCGAGTCCGTGATCATATCCGTCTGCAGGGTCAATTCTCTCTCAACGGGGGCATTAACGTCGAGCTTCTTGTTTCCAGCAGAACCCGCGCCGATCCAACTTGTTAGTGAATGCCCACCACGTGGCATCACACCTGGTGTTATCTCCCACGTGAAAAGCCCAGTCATATCGCGTACGATAAACCGCGCGCACGGTGAGTCTAAACTGCCCACAACGCTAAACACGATCGAGTCCATGAACACAAAGCTCAACGCCGCAGGCGGTGAATCGTCTTCTCCATTATCGCGTGAGGCATCCAACTCGGTGAGTTCAGAGCAGTCGGACACCATCTGATCAACCCCTGCAGCTGACGGGAATCCATTGATGTGGTGTAATAAGTGCATCAGCAGTCCTTCGGCAGCCACAGCAGTCTCTTCAAAGCACTTCAACCCGGCATGACCTGGCTCATTATTCAATGATGCGCGCATTTGCAATCCCAGGAATAGAAGCGGCATCGACATGCGTCGCTCAAGCGTACGAGCACGTTCAACTTCGCGTTGCCATTCACCATCAGGCAGCGTACCCACCAACGCCGCCTCGATAGCGCTGAAGATCAATTTCTTTACGTCAGCGTCTTGTAAAACCTCCGTTCGATGCATGAGCCAAAAGCGCAGGCATTCAAATATCGCGCTGGTCTTCTGCACAATCAATCGAAGAGCCGGGATTTCCTGTTCTTTTTGCGCAGCTACAGACGTTGCTTCGCCTACTGGGCTGTTTGTCACGGGTGATGGAGCAGAGGCAGGGGCGTTAGGGGCGCCAGGCTTCAGCTTGCTCTTCAGCTTGCTAAACGCGTCTGTCGCTTCACCGGGATTACTGGCTATTGAACCCTCAACTCGACTCGCCCTAGGATTGTCGCTTCCACGACGAGCCCCTCCACTGGGGCCTGAAACGTGAGAGCCACCTGTGAGACTGGATCCTGTGAAGGAGGCAGACTTGGTGCCTGAGCCACTGTGTTCACTTGCAGTATCAGCAGCACCCATACGCTCCATTGCCGCCTGAACCTCGATGGAAGCCTCTTCAACTTGCTGCTGAGCAAACACTGCCAGCGTCATGACAATCCGCGCGACCAGGGAAGGCTCAAACGCGTTAATTTCCTCGTGGTAGTCGGACATGTCTTGCAAAATCGAGAGTGCTGCCATCGAAATTGAGAAATCCATGTTTTGACATACATCCACGAGATGCACAACCCATTCAGCTAGATGAATTGGATCCACGGCGTGCCCACCATTCATGCTTGGCTTCAGGTTCATGACGACGAGACAGTAAATCCCCCACAGTGCACGCTTTTTAATATCCACGACGTCTGTAAACGGGAGCTGGGCAATGCGAACCAGAATACGACCAATAATCACGTGAAACTCATCCAATGTCTCCGGAATTTCATCAATGATGTCCTGCATCAAACTGATCTCGTCAATACCGCACACGCCCTGAATTTTTTGTCTCCACCGCACGAAATCTTGATCGGGGAACCTTTTGGGCAATTCCAAGATAGCGAAAACCACATCAAGTGCTGCGTTCAGCTCATTATTCCACTCCGACGACTTGACCTTAGACTTCTCTGCACGACTCCAGATGTTGCCAATAATGATCTCATCGACCGCATACAAATAGGCGGGTACGAGGATGTTGAGGCCTTCGAGATTCAACGAGAACAGCACCGATGATTTCTGCAATACGGTGGAAACAACCACCCCGGATGGTGATGTGATTCCCTTGAAGAGGACGCGGGCAAGGGTCGTCAGGTGGCCGCGCGTAATTGAGTTAGTGCAGCGGACTGAGCAGAGCTTGCACAGAGCCACAATCGCCACGCAACGCGAATTTTGAAAATCGGGAGCCTCCAGTTCACATGCAGGTAAAAACCACTCGCCAAACAAAGCGAGAACCGTGGATGGACTAATTTGCTGCAGCTCCGATGGCTGTGTGCGCTGTGCTCCAATCGCCGAATCGATCCACAATTCCACCAATTGTAGCATACCTTCGGTCAGGCTGAGGTGCATCGGTGGCGGAAGCGCAGCTACCGTTGGGGGAGGGATAAGGTGTAATACCCGATCGAGAAGCAGCGTCGCGTCGGATACCTCTACAACCGTCATCATAAGAAAATTGGCTGAAGACTGCAAATATCCTTGTTTCAGCTCCCGCAAGGTTTTCCCACTTCCCGATACCTTATCATCCTTTCCACCGGCACCGTTCTGAGGTAGCAGCATAGCTCCTTCCGGCGTGACTTTCAGATATGAGTAGCCCTTGTCCATGACGTACATCAGCAAACAGCTTGAAAATCGGAGCTCACGCTTCCAGCAGTTGATCATTTCAACCCCGACAACCTTAGCGTCCCCAGGGTTGACAAGCCATCGCCGAATGGCAATAGTAAGTTCCATCCACATCTGTGCACCTGTGGCCTTCGCGACTACCGCCGAGTGCATCCACACGTGCAGTACAATCGAAAGCATTGCTGTAAGAACGGGGCGGTTACTTGGATCGCGCAGTATGGTGCAGTTGTCGATAGTAGATAGCACGAACTTCCGAAGGTATGTGGAAGTGTAATCATCTAGCCGTCGCTGGGAAACGAGCTCCAATAGTTCGATGCAGTGCAACAAAATCTTCGAGTCATCCAACTGAACCGACGGGTGAAAGAGCTGCGATACATGCGAAATCATCGCGCGAGAGCACTCGTTCATCTGCGCTTTCATTCCGGACGGGACATACTGCGCCCCAGTGCAGATTCCAGAGTAAAATTTAATCGCATCCACCACCAGCTCTGTGTCGCGATAGGCAAATCGTTGGCGGATCGTTTCCATAATCACTTCAGAGAACTCGCGTCGTGACCACAGCACCTCCATAAAGTCCTCCTTCGAACGCAACTTGTACACCCACCGCGCCACAACTCGCTGGAAGCTTCCGGGGCAGTGGTGGAAAAATCCCAGCGTGTCCCCCTCCTCTTTCAGCTTGACCTTGAGGCACACCTTCGGGTACAGCAACGGCATGTAGAACTTCATAATCAGCTCTGCCCAGAAAATGAACCTGTCGCTGCTCCCACTCGGCTTGCCAGTAGCCGACAAGGGCGCCAGTTTCGCATGCCCATCTTCCCTCTCCAAACTCAAGTCCATCAGAAACTTCAGCATATCCACGGGCTCCTCCGCCTGCGTCGGCATGGGCCTCATCCACCCTTCCACGTGCACTCCTTCGTTCAAAAACTTGTCGGGCAGCATGATGCTGCCACCTCCATAGGGAGAGAAGTCAACACTCTCTCTCAGCAGCTCCAGATGCATGTTCTTCCTGTTGGGCATGGCGTGTGAGAGCATGGCCGTGCCCCGAGCGTCGCCCTCGTCCTCGTCGATGTCGATCTCGATGCCGTCGCTCATCAGCCGGATGCTGCCCGCTCTCGAGGCCTGGAAGCTCGACGTGCTCGTAGACGGCATGGCCGACAGCTGCTGGATGTTCCTCGTGGCGTCCGTGTACAGCGCCAAGCACCGAAACGCGTACTTCTTGATCATGGAGTGGTTGTCCCTCTTGAGCAGCTTGGCGAACAGCATCGTCAGGCCGTTGTTGTTCCAGCCCTCCCGCAGTCTGGCCGCGTTGTTGCGGAGCAGCACCTCCAGCCCCTCGAACACCTCGCTCCAGTCCTCGGCTTCCAGCGGCTTGCGGCGCTGCTTGCGGAACGCCGTCTCGTGGGGCGTGTAGAGCGTCTCGAGCTCCGTGACGCAGTCGTTCACGACGCCGAACACGAGCGTGCTGTTGTTGGCGTCGGACCAGAAGTCGGCCACGGCGGCGGCGTGCTCCGGGCCCGTGTTGGCAGCGCCCGCGGCCTCCTTGGAGGCGCCGGAGAGCAGCGACTGCACGGCGACGGCGATGTTCCCGCCGCCCGAGGCCCCCTCCGCCCCCGGCGGGTGCTTGAGGAAGTCCAGCAGCGTGCGCAGCCGCTTGCGCGGTGGCCGGTCGGCCGCGTAGAACTTCTGCAGGCGCTTCATGTCCGCGGCCGGCGCCTCCTTGCGCGGCGCCTTGGCGTCCGCCACGCGCTTCGATGAGTCCATCGTCGTCCTCGCGCGGCGCTACACCTGAACTGAGTATGGGCGAGGGGGAATGCGCTCAGGAGTGATGGTCACTGAGGTGTCGTGTTGTGTGGGCAACACAATTTGTGGTGTGGACGACACAATTAGCGGAGTGTGTGTGCTGGGGAAATTGCGCACTCTTGCTAACGGGTCGGCGCCCTAAATAGCTGTCCGTGGCGGCGGCATGCGCGAAACCAACCGACGGCGCGCCAATTGCGGCTACTACAGTCAGCAGGCGACAGAAACAACCTGCAGACACTTTTCATGAGTCGCAGCGACCGCCGCAGTCCTTGACGATGCCTCACCGCAAAGTGTACGCGGCGGCGGCCCAGAACGACGACCCACACGAGGTGGTGGTGGCCACGGAAGACCCGGCCGCCCGCCCCAGAACCAGCTTAACCGCGGTGGAGTTCGAAGTCCCGCGCAGTACCTTGAAGACTGCGTCCAAATTGTCCAGCCGAAGCCTCCTGAAAGTCTGCAGACGGCTGTATCGACGAGGCTCTCGGCCTGTATCCAGACTCTACAAGAGACTGCCGTGGACCACGAGGCAGACCATCAACCTGACCATCAGCCTCTATGCGGCTCTCTACATTTTCCTGACGGTGCCGTTCCGGATCGCCTTTTACTACAACCCGTTCCAGCACGAGGAGCAGGAAGGCGTGCATCGATGGACGGAGGAATTGTCCATCTTCACCCCGCTGGATCTTGTGGCTGACGTCATTGGGCTGGTGGAGTTTATCGGGTTTTACCGTGTGTGGAGGGACTCGTTCTCGCAGCTTTCGGAGGAGGTGAGCTTTGAGCTGGGCAAAAAGCTGACGAGAGATGCCAACCGGCTCAAGATGCCCAAGACGTTAAGCCGTACAGCATCGGGCAACGCCCTAAGGACAGGAAAGGCCAAGTGGACGCTAGCTTCCATCAAACCATTGTCATCGATCGCGGGGTTGGACGTCACCAAGTCCCATCGGAAGTACCTTTGCGTGCGCAATTTGCAACTTGTGCTGGAGATTATTGCTCTTGTGCCGACGGACGCTATAGCCCTCGCGACTGGAGCCTACAATGCATTGCACCTGACGCGGATTACCAAGATCTGCCGCATCTACAGGATACGCCACTATTTGGAGCGGGTAGCCAATGTTTATTCGGATCGCGGATGGGTCCAGCACCTCTCTTCCACAGGCATTGATACCCTCGTGCGCAATATCGGGTTGTGCGCCGGCTTGTGCCACTATGTGGCTTGTGGATATATGCTTCTTGCTCATGCCCAGTGTGGTGTGTCCTTGGAGAATTGTGATGAAAGTGTGGAGACAAGCTGGGCAGTGCGAGATCGGCTTTTCGATGCAACAGTAGCCCGGAAATATGCTCGAACGTTGTACTGGGCATCCAGGACAATGGTTTTACTTGGATATGACGATGTTACCCCCGTCTCCGATGCTGAAACGGTGTACGCAGTGATCGTGACGCTCATGGGTGCGCTCTTCGGATCGTCGGTACTGGCGACTTTTCTGTTTATCTTTCGGATTCGGAATGCGCGATATGCAGCTTTCACAACGCATGTGGACAATGCTCGTGAGTACATGCACTCGAAAAACATTACGCGCACTATTCGGCGGCAGGTTACTGCGTATTTCAGTTACTCCTGGAGTACTCACCACAGTCTTGACAGCGAAGAAGCGCTGCACATCATGCCCAAACACTTGCAGTCAAAAGTTGTCGCGACCCTGAAGGCTACTCGCATAAAACAAGTATGCTTTCTCATGAAAGAAAGTGTGGAATTCGTCAATTTGCTCGCTCTTGCGCTTGTGCGTCGTGTGTATTCGCCAGCTGACCAGATCACTGAGCCCAAGTTTAACGTGCAGATGTTCTTTGTTATTCGTGGGAAAGTGGTGCTGTCATCTTTTAATGGCTCTAGTCCAAAGGAGTGCAACACGGGGGATTTCTTTGCGGACGCATGCTTGCTCTTCCCGGAAAAGTATGAAGAAAAAGCGATCGCGAAAACATTTTGTGAACTTTACGTTCTCGCCAAAGCCAAGTTTGATGAAGCCGTTACCTTTTCGCACAGAGGCAACGAAGTTGCTGTTCGCACGCGCATGATTGAGACCTTGGAAAAGTACTCGACGCAGTTGCGCAAGACTAAGAGATTGCTGGGATTGCGTGGTGGTCATGAGAGTGGCGGCAGAAACTCGGTCGGCGGTAGCACCCATAGTGTTGCTGATGAGGCTTATTCCGGTGAGATGAGGCGCGGTGTAAGCTGGCGACTTCCTGGTTCAATGTTTCGTGTGTACTGGGAAACTGCTCGTTTGATCGCTGTCATCTACGTCGCCTTTGAGGCCCCCTTCTTTTCTGTGTTTATTGCGATGTCCGATGACCAAGATATGTTTGCTGAGCAGCCCAAGTTCGGTGTGCGTTACGGATTGACACTTCTGGTGGAGGTTTATTTTGCTGTCGATCTTGTCTTGCGCTCGCGATACTTCGCCTTCTTGGACCAAAGTGTTATGCTGGAAGTCACACAGCCAGATCTCATTTTTGCTGCTTATCGGGCTAGTGGGTTTTACGTAGATCTGTTAGCATGGCTTCCTGTCGGCTTGATATTTGATTCCCACCCTATCAGCGCGGCACGAGGGCGTTTATCGCTCATTCGTTTGCTTCGCTTACTGCGAGTACGTGAGATGCCCGGTTTGTTCCGCAGCATTAGTGATTACCACGGTGTGAGCTCGAAAGCTCACCTTGTTGTCTCCCTACTGCTGGGTGTAACACTAATGTTGCACGTCGTTGGCTGCGTGTGGTTCGAAATGGCTTGGATTGAACGGGGGTCAACGTTTGAAGACGCTAGTTCGGAGGTGATGTCAGAATTGTCGCGCGAGAACTGTCTCCAACACGCAACGCTGTTCCAGAACTGCTCGTGGGTAAAATTCGATTGCTATGCTCACATCGGAGAAGCTTTCCCCGTCGAAGAACCATCTTCCATGTACACGTCCTCATTTGCCTACTTACGCTCAGTGTATTGGGCCGTAGTGACGTTGACCGCAGTGGGTTACGGTGACATCGTCGCCTATTCAACTGCCGAGAGCTACTTTGCGGCATTGTGGATTTTCATGGGAGGCATCATAAATTTTGGTGTAGTAGGAGCAATGTCAAGCACGATTACGAACGTAATGGCAACACGGCATCACCACATCGAGAAAATGAATACGCTGAACAGTATCCTGGAGCGTATGGATATTTCCGAGAAACTAAGCGGAGAGATTCGACGATTCTATCACCACCAGTTTGTGGAGCACAAACATGCCTACGAGTCTCAGCTGCTATCGCACTTACCTGATCAGCTTTGCTACCAGATATCGTCGTTGTTGCATTCCGAAGCTGTGAAGAACGTGCCGCTTTTTGATTCGGCTAGCACGGAGTTTCTTCATGAGATCACAGGCAAATTTCGACATCACAGCTACCAACATGGAGAAACCATTTGTCTAGAAGGTGATATTTGCCGCGAGTTTTTCGTCTTTCTGCATGGAAGTAAAGTTAACGTGTTCTTCCGCGTACGGAAAGTCCCGATACGTGCGCTCAACGGTGGTGAATGCTACGGTATTACCGAATTTTTGCTTCGGAAAGCACATAGTGCTACACTCATAGCGGCATCTTTTGTCCAGGCGTCGGTCATGACTCGCGAGCAATTCGACGTCATCCAACGCAAATTTGCAAGCGACCTCAACGATATAAAGGAGGAAGCCCATATTATGTGGATTGATCAGCACAATTCTATGCGGCGTGTTGTGCACAATCTCGAGCGCCTTAAGCTTCAGCCCCACATGATGCAAACGTCTACTCTTTTTTGCCAGCACGATACCATGGCGATAATACCCGGTAAAAGTGGTGGTAAAAACGAGAAACAAGGCCTCCGTGATGTTGACGCAATTCGAGGCACTTTCACGAGCATTTGGAATGCTGTCATCACGTGCTGGAATATTTACAACGTCATTTTCGTGATTTTCCGGATATGTTTTCACGCACACCTTCACTTTTCCGGAGGTTTAAGCACCGTTGTGTGGCTTGCTGACTTCGGATGTGACTTTTGTTTCGTGTTTGATATCTATCTACGGCTTTACTACTTTGGGGGCTCGGAGGTCGGCTTTGAAAATCTTGTGAGCAGGCAAGAGATGGATTCTCAATACCTACATAGCGCAACTTTCAGGTGGGATCTTGTTGCATCATTGCCCCTTTACGTGCCAAGAGCTAGCGGGTCAGTAGTGGTGAGTTTGTGCCGATTGCCGCGACTTGTACGTTGTGTGGATCTTTTGACGTACCTGGACGACGTAATAGTGCAGATACAGCAGCACTTCGCGTCGCACAATGTCTCCGCTTATTTGAGCCCCGCCAAGTTGATGATTATTCTTGTGTTGGTAGCACATTGTGTCGGCTGCATTTTCTTCCTGATATCTGAGAACGAGTGTGAGCATGTTGAACGATGCTGGATGGCTGAAGACCACTTGCTGCATCAATATCACAACTCAGTTCCGATACTCTATGCGAAGTCGTTCTATTGGTCTATTACCACTTTATTGCTCGTGGGCTCACGCGAAAGTATCCCTCGTGACGCAGCTGGTACGCTTTGGACGGCATTTACGTGCCTGGGCTGCACTTTCATTATCGGCCACATCGTTGGTGAGATTTCGGAACTTATTCTTGAGCTTGGTAAAGAAGCGAAGCAGTACAAGGATCGGATCGCTAGCTTCGACAGCTTTGCAAAGGAACACGAGTTGCCTGAGAACCTACGTGAACGCGTCAGCTTCTTCTTCCATCTCCAGTTTGAGCACACGAAGGGGCTTGATTTGCACAGCACCGTGCACGACCTCTCTGCAAACCTTCGACTCAAAATGATGCTGGAGGTCTATGGTCACTCCATTGCATTATTGCCTATTCGAAGCTTTCTTACCGCACTACAGATCAATAACCTAGCGTTGCGTATGCAGTCTGAGCTTTTCATCCCGGGCGACAACATTTTAGTTGAAGGGACGTATGGCAGTCGTTTGTGCATCATGCGGAAGGGACTTGCAGCCGCGTTTTGGACAAATTCAGTGACAAGCGTGGCTGCACTCATGCAAGGTGCGCTGTTTGGAGAAGTTGCTTTTTTTCTCTCGAAGCAGCGAAGACTAGCAACGGTCCGGGCGACCACTTCGTGCGAAGTGCTTTACGTTACCAAACACGACTGGAAAGAACTTTGGACGACGGATGGCGACCTATCCGATATTCAGATACAGAAGCATGCTCTGCACGCTATTCTCGACTGGGTTCGTGGTCGACTTTTGCGGTATCAACGGAGTAACTTACGAACAGCGAGCAGAGCTAAACGTCTGCTGGCAGCTCGCCAGATGGAAGCTTCGTCGCATTCCAATGCATCAACCCCGGAACCAAGTTTGCCGGGCACTCCGCCAACCGTACGACCCCTCGGTTTGACGACGAGAGGAAGTAGCAGAGTCTCCTTGCCCTCGGAAATTCAATTGCTCGAGAAGAAAACGAAATACCTCCTGACAAAGACCGATGCACTTGCATCCCAATACCGCGACGCTCTAACCGCCTTAAATTTGCGGCGGCGGGCATCCTCGGCTGTATCGAATCGGAGCGGACGCCACAGTTTTTCGCGAGGCAAAGCGCATGGCGCTTCCAGTGAAATGTACCGAAGTGCTATCGGAGATAAACCTCGTCTTACAACTGCCAACAGCAACGAAGCGGTTGATATTCACATGATTCAATTCATTGTGGATCTAAACCCGGTTAACAAGTTGATCCGAGAGAGTCTAACGAAGCAACACTTGCGCCGTCTGGAAAAGGAAAGCTGGGCACGGTTCAAGATCCTTGCAGCCGTACGACACGCTGTCGACAAACTGTTGGAGGATCTCATTCCCCCCGACACAACTTTCACACGTCCGAGGACAAGCGTGGATGGTGAAAATGACCATCGTCCACAAGTTCGAATCCACCCTTCTCGAGGTCTCGTGAAGCGGCAGTCGTCTTACTCTTTTCACTACAACAGCCAAAATGCCTCGGAAGCTTCGGCTGCTGCCAGTCGAAGAGCAGTTGCGCTCGACAATGCAGCTAAGCTATCGAAGATTGCGGCAGGTTCTGGTGAACAGAGTGCTTCTCTTCGAAGGCGGCGGTTCTCTGCTGTGATCATGCAAGAGGAGATACAGAAGCAACCTGGGCTGATAAAAGACACGAAGACAGGGATCACTCGCGCCAGCATGAGGCGGAGCCATTCGCTACCGCTATTTGAGGCCAAGTATTTTCAAGGCTTAACCCAAGAGGGTAAAACGGGTTTGAAGATGATAGATGGGGAAACATGGAGGGGAAACATTGATTTTGCTATCATTCAGCGCTGCCAACGCCCACAGTACGCGACACAACTCCGATTGTATCACCAGTACCGTCAGTGGAGAAATCCAGATTTCACGCCGGGTACTGCTATTGCGCAGGCTCCAAGTATGACCAATATCGCCAAACGGCTCAGTGACGTAAGACCAGTAACTCCCCAGCTGCGTGCAAGTTTTCAATTTCTAGAACCAATTCTTCGCACCAGCAATGTACAACGCCCTTCGTTGATGGGAATGAAGTTTCAACTTGTGAACGAGCGCACAGACATCCTTGATCCCAAGTCAAGGGCGTTCATCAGACGAATTAAAGAGCTGGGCAAGGTATGGGGTATTGGTATGCTTGCTGTGGCGCTTTATCATGTCACGATCACACCATTAAAGCTCTGCTTTGCGACCGATTTGACCGAGCTGCCTCAATCTACTCTGCGCACCTGGGCCGGATTTGAGGTCTTCATGGACATTCTGTGCGTCATGGATGTGAGCTACAGAATTCGGTACGCTTCTTTACCAGTTCACAGCATGGGCACCAACTTGGTCAGCTCGACGCAAGGCGGCTTTCGTCGAGTTTTTCTATACAATCCCGCTCTTCGCGCTGACATTCTAGCAATGATCCCTCTTGAACTGTTACTTTTCGTTTCAGAAGTCCGTGTGCCGCTAGCATACGCGCCTTCGATTGCTGAGACGGCTCACTGTTCGTGGTGGACCTCACGCTGGTTTTTAAGGATGAATCGTTTCTTGCTGGTGCAGCGTATTGAACCGCTATCGGAAAAGCTTTTCCAGTACCTGGTTTATGATCGAAAAGTACCAGTAAGCGATGCAGCATTATATTTCGTGCGTGGGTTGGCATCGTATCTCGCGATGGGGCATATTTTGGCCTGCATTTGGTTTGTAACGAGCGAACGTGCGTTCCATCACTATGGTACGTCGTGGCTATCGACATCTGGGATGCTAACGTATGTACCGACAGTTGAAGATGCAGGGCGGATGCTCACCGAGCAGTCTACGACCTTCTACTTGGGTAGTGTTTCGCTCTCGAGAAAATACTTGAGGTCCTTGCTCTTCTCGATGGAGTGCATCTCGACGCTTTTCTACGGTGATATCCTCTCCATGAACCCCTTGGAACTCGTTGCGGAGATTGTGATCACGCTGTGGAGCATTTATATCTACGGCGCACTTGTGGGTGCCCAGGGTGAACTTCTAAATGCACAAGCACGTCGCGAAGCTGCATTCGAGCAGAACCTGGGTGAACTCCAGCACTACTTGGTGCAAAATGAGGTTCCTAAGAAGCTCAAGCGTCAAATCAAGTCGTACTATGCGCGGGTGTGGCGACGGCGCAAAGGAGAAAACGAGTTTGCTGCTGTGACGAGCGTCTCACGCCTTCTGTACGAAGATGTTGTGCTGGCCACCCTGCGAGGCTTTGCCACACGAGTTGTGGCGTTCCGGACGTTAGATGAACATTTTCTGCGTGGTCTGTTGGTTTGCTTAAAATACGTCGTTTGCTCCGAGGGAGAGGAAGTCACGATGAAAGGCGATGTCGATCATAGCATGTATTTCATTGCCAATGGCCGAGTCCTGGTGAAGCTTGACGCTGCCGAGTCGATTCGTGAACGAGGTGACCACTTCGGCGAGTTGGCGTTGCTCTATGGGATCTCCCGGCTCGAAACGTGCGTGGCGCTCACCCTTACTGAACTCTATCGCCTCGATCAGCAACCGTACGAGGAGTTATTGCAGAACTTCCCGGAGTATCGGGAACGAAACAAGTTGGATTGGACAAGTTGCAATGCTCCAGCCCCCGACCGTACGATGCTCGAGGCTGTAGTTAGGAATTTCCAGAGTGGATCCACGCGGAAGTCCACGACGAGAGTGTCACGATTTGATACCCCTTTAGTGCCGGCTCTCAATGCCGACGATGTTGTGGCTAATGCTGAGCGCATTAATGCCGACGTGCCGTACTCGCACATTTACAAGTTTATGATGGACTTGCTCGCGCACTTACACCGAGTAGATCCGTTGGAGGTGAGGGATCTCGTGCTTAAGGGACGTGCAGGGGCTCGAAAGCAACTGAAGGCACTGCTGGGTTTGGCTACATCTCGCGAGGAGCTAGCACATGCCGCCCCCGCCTGTTGGTATCGAACTGGTTAGTACCTGTCGCATGCACAGTATCACCTACGCCAATCTGATGATTAAGCGCTGTTCGACGATGCCCATTTGGATGCTAGATAGGCCTAAAAAATGCAAGGGACAATTCTTGTTGTTCATCATTCGGGTCCCTGAACGGTTAGCCTCATTTGTTCGTTGCGGAGTTTCATGGATGCCAAACTTAGGCAAGAATTTATTTTGGCGGCCACAATCCCGTGGACAAGTGCGACGTAGCAACGTAACGCGGTCTGGTCCGTTTTAGCTCAGTTGATGCTCCGAAGATGATCAGAGGAAGCGCCAGGAGCAAGGGGAGCGCCAGGAGTAAGGCAAGCCGAAGCAGCAAGGGAAGCAGGAGCAGCGATAAGCAATCGTGGTTACACTCTCTCACTCGCAAATCTGCTGGTCGAGTCCACACGACGTTCAGTTTACACACACGCTTGGCGCGAGTACTGGCAGAGGACCGCCAAGATGCTTTCGATCCGCATGCGACCGTCGTCAAGATGTGGGAGCAGTCCCTATTGGTGTGCCTTCTTCTCGAGGCCTTCATGCTGCCTTACTTGCTAGCTTTCCAGCCGGAGGTCGTGGGAGGTGTCTCGATTTTTTTCGTGTTGATCTTTGCGTGCGAATTCGTGTTCACGCTGGACTTGTATGTCCAAGCTCACATGGGCTACTACTCAGATGGCAACCTCATTCGAGACAAGAAACGAACGATTCGGCGATACATTCGATCGTGGCATTTCGCGCTTGATGTCATAGCGATTATACCCGTCCAGATTCTGGTGATCAGCTTTCCCCGCGTAGTGACGAAGCTTTTGTTCGTGAAGCTTCTTCGATGGTCACGGCTACCGCATCTCGTGTCGAGTCTGGACGAGTTCTACGCTAAGCAGTTTGTTGTACTCAAGCTCCTGAAAGTTCTTGCTTCGACGCTCTATCTAGCCCACGTGTTGGCCTGTATACGCTTCAGTTTTGGGGAGAACACGAGCCAAAACAACCCCTGGCTCCCCGCAACCTCACTACATGATCTCCCACTACATCGGCACTATTTGGCTTCCCTTTTCTGGAGCGTTGGGATCATGACAGGTCTCTTCGAGGGGGAGCTGCCACGACACAATACGGAGTTTTTATTCACGATTTTGGTTGCACTGTGTGGATTCTCCATGTTCACGACGTTGTGTGCGACTATCTTCGTGATCTCCAAATGCGAAAGCGGCAACACTGAAGCTGTGGGCGCGCGTATTAATCAACTGGTGCACGTTCTCTCTTTCCATCACGTCCCGGAAAATCAGCAAGCCCAAGCGATCGAGTATCTAAAGGTAAGCTATACACTTGCGCTACTACGAAGTAGTATGTGGGTATGATCTGATGAAGTATTTCTTTGCCCACAGCGCTACTACACGGATGCGAAATCGACAGACCGCGAGACTGCAAAGATTTTATGTCCTTCAATTGCCAACGATATCCAAGTAGAACTCCTGAAGGCAACTATTGCCGAGGTCTCGATCTTTGGGGGTTGCAGCGACCAGTTCATCGTAGCAATGACAAGCCTGCTGGAAATGATAGCTGTACCGGCTCAGACGACTCTCTTTTCGGTTGGAGATCATGGCAACGCTATGTACGTCGTCCACTCCGGAGTGCTTGCCATTATCGTCAAGTCGGTGACCGTAAGAGAAATTCGAAAAGGCTCGTGCCTGGGCGAGCTGTACGTCTTCTCCTTGTTGCCGTGCATGGCTACCGTTACAACCACAACCTATGCGATTCTGTACAAGCTGTCTAGATTTCACTGCGAGCGCGTGCTTGAAGGTTACCCGGACTGTGCTTCTGCGATCGCTGTTCATGTCAGAGCCATGTTCAAGCTGCTGAACATCAGCGATGACAAGTTGGGCACTAACGTTTCGACTTCAATCAGCACCCCGATAACCCCAAGGAAACTAACGTCTCGTCGGACTTCTGTCACAGCTGGAAAATCAGCAGTTGTAGCTGGACCAACCCTGGTCAAAATACCGTCAAGGAGAGATAACAAAGTTATGCCCTCCCGACGCGAGAGCATTACGCAAAAAATCTCGAGGGCTACTCGAGCTATTGGTCCACTTCGACGGGACATTTCGCAGTGGAGCAAAAGGAGTATGCGCAGCGAACGAATACGAGATACCAACCCAGATACCATGCTAAGTGCAGATACGTTTCTCTCACCACCGCTGACCGACCCGGGCTTAAGACCTAAAGTACCCGCTGGAAACGAAAGCCAACAGGGCCCCAATATGGGGTTAATTTTCGAGCACCATGTATTGTGGCGACTGATATTACTTCGGAGATGCATTGATCACCAGTCTGCAGTGCGCATGTGGTGGCTGTTGTTGTTGCTCTCGAATCTATGCTACTGCTGGCTTTTGATCCCCGTCCAGGTTGTTTTTCCGTTGTGGCAGCGACCAACGTGGATTTTCCAAACGACCGACACCATCGCGAACGTCGTCCTGGTGTTTGACATCGCTCTGAGCCTGAATTTGTCGTTCATGGTCGACTCCGACAAAGTGATGGATCCGAAGCAGAGTATGACTCATTATCTGAAAGGAGATTTTGTCTTCGACCTGCTGTGCGCACTGCCTTACGAATATTTAAACATGCACAATTATGGGCTCATGCGGCTGCCACGACTCCTGCGCGTGTTCAATCTGAAGAAACAGTTAAAAGAGATCAAGCATTTCATTCAGCTCAATAGCCGGCGACAACTGCTGCTCTTCATCCTTTTGCTGATAATGATGTTTCACGTGGTTGCCTGCATATACTTTGGTATTTCTTACGCTGAGGGATTCGATTCCAATGAAGACGAAGCGTGGGTGTGCCCCACTAGCCTCTGTCTCCGTCGACTGAACGCAACACACTTGGAGAACTGCAATGGTACAATATTCACGGAGGCACCGAATCGAGACGAGTTAGAAGGGATCACCGCATTGGAGTACTTTCGTTCGCTGTACTATGCTGTCGGGGTGCTAGCTTCACCTGGGAAAACCGTGGAGCCTACCAGTGACCGTCAACTGGTTGCAGCGCTGGTTCTCATGCTTGGCGGGTTCTTGATATCCGCTATCGTTGTTGACAACGTGCAGAAACGCTTTACCGCCTCTGCATTCGAACAGAAGCAATTCTTCGAGACCAGCACTCGGATTCAACTTTTTCTTCGGCGACAGAAGGCCCCGCTAGCGATCCATCATCGCGTCAAGTCTTTTCTTGATTACTGGTGGTCTACGCATCGAGGCGCTGTGATTCGTGAACTACTGGCCGATCTCCCGCGATCAATGCGGTTGGAGTTACTGCGAAGTATCTGCATGCCAGTTCTGCAGACATTAGCGCTACTACATGGCGTCCATTCAGTGCGCGACCAACTCGAGGAGATTCTGGTTGAGAACGCTGAATTCATTCTGTATGGCCAAGGAGAGACTGTTTACCGGCATGGAGACTACGTGACTGGCATGTTTTTCCTGCTTGAAGGAGAGGTTTGTGTAGTGGAGATGGGAGGGCCCCCGGCTGAAGTTCCGCGTGGTGGATTCTTCGGCACAGCGGCGCTTACACAGAAGGAGCGTGGAGAGGGATACATGGAGCATGTGTGCGCCAACAGAGGCTGTATTGTACTTTTTGTATCTCGAGAGCAGCTGCAAGCTATGGAGGCGATTTTCCCAGCGTTGAAGAACGAGCTTCTTGCTCTTGATCAGCGCTTGGTCAACAACAAGCTGGCGGGTTTGAATGTGAACACCTTCCAAGAAGTAGAGAATCCAATCGAAGTTCCGTCGCGTGTGTTTCTACACAAGATTCTGTCTGGACTCGGCAACCTGAGAACTGTCGTGTACGATCCGGACTCGGTGTTCATTCTGATGTGGGAAACGTGGGTGTTCTTGGTCATGACGCTCCAATGGGTGCTGGTTATTTTCCAAGCGTGCTTCCCCTTGGATGAAGGGCACAAGGATGCTGACGCTCTCATGATCTTTCTGGAGGTTTCGTTTGTGCTGGATATTTACATCCGCTCGCGCCTGGGATACTATGAGTACGGAAACAAAATCATGAGCCCTCAGCGCATCAAGCGCGCGTATTTAAAATCTGGGGCTTTCGTGCCGGATATCGTTGCTCTTCTGCCACTATATGCTATTAACTGGGAGTTGCCAGCTCAAGGTCGGTGGGACCTACTCAACATCAACAAGTTGCTGCGGTTATTCAAAGTTCCCAGACAGCTACATGCTTTGGAGACGCGGTATCTGAAGCGCACAACGGAGCTACGACTTTTCAAGTTACTCTACTACACATTCATGCTTTTACATTTCCTAGGTTGTATCTGGTTCAATTTCGCGTCAAAGGTGGCATTTCCCAACTTTGCTACCCGTGCGACGGGCAAGCAGACAGCTTTCGGTCACAACCTGTGGCTGCCGCCAAAACAACTGGAGAAAGGATCGCATATGCTGCAGTACATGGCGTCGCTTTACTGGTCGGTTGGTTTGATGTCTTCGTCAGGCGAGTCGGAGTACCCCCAGAGTACTGCGCAATGTATTTTCAGCGTCGTGACTATGACCTTGGGCGTCTTCCTGTTCGCGTATGTGATCGGCAACTTCACTGACATAATCGAGCTCACGAGCTCCGAAAGCAAGGAATTTAACGTCAAGATGGGAGCCGTACGCCACATGCTAGACCATTTCAAGATGCCAGGGGCTCTACAAGAGCGCGTCAATACGTTTCTACTGTTTAAGCGAATCCACACGATCACGCAGGAGCATCTGCTTGGGCAATGCCTCCCGCCTTCGTTGTTGACAGACATCCGCCTCGTGTATCTAAAGCCTATGATCGATAAAGTGGACTTCCTTGCTGGGATGGAGACGTCGATCACACGAATGCTCGTCTGTCTCCCAGTTCACACAGGTGCTGGTTTCGCGCGGTGAGTTTGTCGTAAAGTACGGCGACAGTGGCAGCGACATGTTTTTCATTTTCACGGGGATAGTTAAGCTGCTACTGCCCGCGCGGATCGCCAATCGCCCAAAGACTACGTTCAGAGCAGTTGCAAATGTTTTGGTAAATCGGAAGGAAGGCGAGAATGTCACTCCGAATCAGGTTGGGCCTGTGATGACCGACACTGGAAGGGATTGGCAGCAGAACAGCCCCCAAGAAGAGCTGAAGAAGGTGACGGAGATCTCGGCGGGGAGCTATTTCGGCGAGAATGCTCTGTTTACAGATGGAAGACGTGACGCGTATATCCAGGCTCAGACCTCGTGCATTTTGTACAGATTGTCTCGTGAATCGCTGGAGCTAGTATTTGACAGATACCCCAAATGGAAGCAGAAAGTGTTGCGTATCGCGAATATCAACCGCGAGCAGGCACGGCTCCTGCAGCTCTCACGCGAGGAACAGCGACGAGGGATGACCACAGCTAGTGGCAAGGTGCTGTCTCGATCTGACATCGTAAATGAAAAGGCTGAGAGTTTGAAGCAGAAGCGAAGTCACACGCGGTTGCAGAAGAGTGACATTGCCAGCAACAGACCGACGAGCCAAAAGCTGACGCGCGTACTCGACCGATTCATTTTCAAGCCTCTCCTCGTTGTGCTCGATGGTTTCATGCACGGGGTCCCCGTCCAAAGCAAATTCCACTTGTTCTGGGTACGATTCATCGTGTGGTGCACTACGTACGTCGCTATCATGGTGCCCTACGAGCTCACGATGGACTCGATGAAGCGTAAAACGGTAGCGGCTGTATTAGTGAACACTGGCGGATTACTATGCCAAGCTGCCTTTATTCTGGACGTGTGGTTTAGCTGGCATGTACACGGATCGCCAGAATCCATGGACCTATACGACCAAAAGGTGCGCAGTGTCTACATGAAGGAACGAATGATCTGGGATATCCTTGCAGCGATTCCCTTCTACGACTTTCTATCCGTTTATGACTGCAGTTCGTGGTTCAAATTAGCGCGGTGCATTAAGTTCTTCAACCTTGGGAGCTACCTAGCCGAGCTAAACCGCCGTAGTGTTGCTGCCGAAGTCACTCGATTCTTACATGTTTGGATGATCTATCTGCTGGTCGTCTACTGGGCGGCATGTGCGTATCTGGCTGTATCAATGGAGGTTGGCTTTGGTAAGCAGTGGGAAGGGTGGCTCTCATCGCAGGAACTAGTGATCACGAACCCAAGGAACCCATCGAATGAGCAACTTACTCTTCGGTTATTGCGTGGCTTGTTCTTCGCCATGGTGGCGTTCGTCAAGAAGGCGTACTGCCCACAGCCTGAGACCGCACCAATTTATGCGTTCCACATCGGAATGTCTTTTGTCGGTCTCATTGTGATGTCTAACGTCATCGGTGAACTGGCAAGCCTGTTCATTTCTTACATTGGCCTGGAAGTAAACTACTGCAAGAACTTCATCGCCGTTGAGCTTTACGTGGCACGGCTGCGAGGCTCAAGGCGCGTACGTACGTCTTCATGACGTCCTTTTGGTCTTCTCACGCTGGCGTCAACTACGAAGATCTCTTGGCTGAGATGCCACGCGACATCCGTACAGCTTGCGTGCTTCACGTGTCCAAGAAGCCGCTCACGTGGTTTATTATGAAGGTCGTGTCTCCAATTTGCTGGGAAGGAGGCCAGAGCATCGACGCGTTTTCGCGGTCCCTGGCTGAGAGACTGCGCTTCGAGAGCTACCCCTGAGACGAGCACGTCGTGACCGAAGGCAGCATTGTCCGCGCCATGTATTTCGTGATCAAGGGCCACTTGAACATGCACAGTCGGCTGGTATTGGACCGCCCGGTTGGTCTTCGCAGTGGTGGATACTTTGGAGAGCGCGGACTTCTAGGCTGCAGTGTCAGTGCCTACACTGTGCACACCGTTCGCGCCTGTGACCTCCTTTCTCTAAGCTCCGAGGCTTTTGCTCAGGTGCTTCAAGAACACCCTTTTTCCCGCCTGGCACTCAAAGTTTGCGACTGTGCCTACAAGTATCTCAAGGGCCAGCATCTCGCGTCGTGCTCGCGGAATGACATGGAGGAGCACTGGGGAGAGGCCCTTTTGCTGGCTCTTCAAGCGGTGCGGACCAAAACCCAGCCAGCTCCGGTTTCTAGCCCTGCATTGACTGAGAAGCCTGTGGAAGTGACGGCCTCGAGCACGGAAGTTACGGCGATATCTTCATTTCAGACCGAGACCGCCGCTCCTCCTGACGACACTGCAGCAAGGTCTACGCGCTCGTTTCAACGCATCAGCAGCATGAAGCACCCAGTAATTGATGAAAACGCTCCAGCCGTCGTCCATAGTACCCATTCCGAGTTTGAAGACCTGGCCGCTCACTTGAGCACGATGTCCAAGGCCTTGGATACAGCCCACGGGTGCTTTGAGGCGTTCGCCCCCCTGCTTGATATCATGCTCTCGACCGATCCGCTAGAATGGAACGCGAGCTTCAATGCGCCCAGTGTCCCCAGCCCAGCAAATGAAATCGAATCGAGCGGCCAGACAACGTATTCACGCTGGAATTCGCCCTTCACAAGTGCACAATGAGCGATGAGCACCGGTGCCATTCATCAGTCGCAACGGCGGAGATGAACACTCTGACGCATAGCGAGAAATTCATGGTCTTTGTCACGACAATGAGAGGACAAGAAGGGGCGCCTCCCCTGGCTCAGATCGGTGATCGCGTCGACCGATCTCTGTTGACGAAATCAATGATCTCGTCATAAAAGTCATCCGATCTACAGGTACATGTACTGTACGCGGTTTACTCGTAGTATTTAACACGCCAGTGAGCTTAGGAAGAAGAAAAGACAGCGTAGGGATAAGGAAGACGCTTTGCGTGAATTTGATAGCGGGGTGATCACACCGAGACGAGGATACAGCAGTAGAACCTCCCGAGCTACATGCACAATACTCAAAGGCGATCCGATTCCTATACTTCCTCGGGGTCGAATCCACCCAGATGGCAACGTTTTCGTTTTGTTCTGTGTGCTTACACGTGTGAGATAGCAAAGGAGACCCACCTCGATGACCTGGAGACTATCCATTTATGATACCCTGCTGTATAAGTATCTATTCAATAGCAGCTTGCACACCCGAGATATCTCGAGAGCCTGCTTCATGTGGACACAAGGAGCGCTTGTTGGGATCGAGATGATATCAAATACCATCCACAATATACCGCACCTAGACACCGGAGACAACCTAGTGGACACTCTCGAATCCAGTTTATTTACTCAACGTGATAAGATACTTGTTGCGATCTGCATCCGGTCATTCTCGAACTTGCATCCTCAAGCACATCGAGATACCGATTCCCCCGACGCACGTCTCCTGCTCAAGCCAATCTCGACGACATGAAGATCTTTGTCCCCAGTCTTGCGCTGCTGGCATGTGCGCTCGTGTCCGCCGACGACTGTGTAGTCACTGGAGACTCGACAACGACCACGACCGACACTCTCACGAGCTACAGTGATGGCGCTTCTGCCGCCGCCAGTACTACTTCAGCTGAAGATGTCGCCGTGACTCTGGCTGTGGTAGACCCCGTGGTCGACTGCGCCGACCTGCTGTCCGTCAACATCACGTCGATCGGTGGCGCTGGTAGCAACGTCACGTCGGCTACGGAGACCACGACCGACGGCGTTTTGTACTGCCTTGTAGAAGGTTCGCTGCCTCCTGCGATCACGTGGGAAGTTATGCTCCCCGTGTCGACGTGGACACAGCGCTACATGCAGATCGGCTGTGGCGGTCTCTGCGGCTCCATCGAGATGTCAGTCGGCGCTGCCGATGGTTCGGAGGCAGTCAACAACGGCAACCTGGCCACTGGCGCTACGGACATGGACGGCGGCACTGACGGCACCTTCGGTCTCGTGGAGGGCAAGCGCGTGGCCTTTGCCTACGAGGCTCAGCACTGGACGGCGGAGGTGGCCAAGCTGCTCATCAAGAACTACTACGGACAGGAGCAGGAGTACGCCTACTTCAACGGATGCTCGGACGGTGGGCGTGAAGCGGTGATGGAGGCGCTGAGGTACCCGAACGACTTCAACGGCATCATCGCCGGCGCGCCGGCCATGCTCTTCTCCTTCCAGAACAGCTTCCACCACGGCTGGTTGTCGGTCAGCAACACCGACGAGGACGGCAACCACATCGTTCTGTCGGACCGCTTGGACATCCTGCACGACGCCGTGGTGAGTGCCTGTGACGCTCTAGACGGTATTGAAGACGGCCTGCTCTCCGACCCGCGCGCGTGCGACTTTGACGTGTACAGCATCCAATGCGCGAGCGATGCCGACAACTCGACGTGCCTCACGTCGACTGAGATCGAGGCTGTGGCCAAGTTCTACGCCGGACCCATCGACGCAGACACCGGCGACCACCTGACGGTTGGTGAGGCGCAGTTCTCCTCGGAGCTGGGATGGTCGGGCGTCTTCGTTCCCGACGCCGCCACGGATACCATCATGAGCACCAGCACCGCGCTGGCTGCCATCAAGTACCTTACCTTCGACGAATACCCAGGCGACAACTACACGCTGGCCGACTTCGACTTCGCCAACTCGACTATCGACCTGCTCCGTGCGCGTCACCCGCTGCTGGACTCGGTGAGTGCCGATCTCTCGGCCTTTGAACAGGCCGGCGGCAAACTCATTTTGTGGCACGGCTGGGCCGACCCGCAGATCTCGCCGCGCACTACGATCGCCTACCATGAGGCGCTGCAAGCTACCATGGGTGCCGACGTCGTGGAAGGCTTCGAGCGTCTGTACTTGCTCCCTGGAGTCTACCACTGCGGTGACGGCGAGGGTCCGTCGGATCTTGACCTGTTGGCCCCCATGATGCAGTGGATCGAGGAAGGCGTCGCACCCCACAAGGTCATCACCAAGTCCGCGGACGGCGACAGCACCAGCACACGGCCAGTGGGTGAGCTCCTCCAGCTCCAGCAGCACGCGCCGGAAACTCTCCAGCACTTCGGGCTCGGGATCCTCGACCAACGTGACGCGTCCGGTGTATCCGTACCCCGCCATTGCCAAGTATGTTGGCTCGGGATCTATTGACGACGCCGCCAATTTCGGGGAGGGAGCGCCGCTGTACACGTACCTGACGGGCTACTGGCTGGGCCAGGACTTCTTCAACCCGTTCACGCCTATCGAGGGCTAGAGTGAGTCACGACAGGTACGACCGAGACAATCGGGTTTTACCACGGAAAAAGACGAACAGATTCATACAAAGACGGCTAAAGCATAAGAAAATCATCTTTATCCTGAAATGAGATCAATTACTACCTTTGGCTGATGTGTGTTGAATTGTCGATGACGACGCAGGCAGAAACGAACTCGAGGGTTTCTGCTTGCGTGCATCTTACCAGTCCCAGTGTCCACCGCAGCCGCGACCACGACAGCCACCACCACATCCCCATGGACGGCCCCACGGGCGTCCCCAGTGTTCCTTCTTGTCGCCAACTTCCTTCGGCTCGCCTGCGACTGGGTCCAGTTTCGTCTCAGCAACTCCATTCCCAGTTGTCGTGGTTGGGGTGTCAACCAAAACTCGGAGCGCAGATGGTTCAGCTGCAACGACACCTGCGGTTGCAAGTACTGCAGCGACGGCGACGGCGGTAAGCTTCATCGTCGTTAAGATGCTTGGTAACTTCGAGCTTGAGCAGGCAAATTGCGTAATGAGGACTGCATGGATAGAATGCAATGGGGATTTCTTTCGGCTTTCATCCGTTTTGCGTCGAAAGTTTCCGTGTTAGCTACCATCAACTCGACCATTCCTGCAATTTTCCAGTCAACGGCACTTGTGTATTCGTCGAATTCGAAGACCAAATTACTTCTCTCAAACAGAAAAAGCTCTTCAAAATTTTCAAGGTTGGCAATCCAAACTTTTAATGCGAACAGGAAGAAGCCCGAAGCGTTGATGATCTCGCCATTAACGGCTTGCTTCGGAGACGAAGCTCTGACAAAATTTATGATTGCGGCAAAGGAAATTCTCCGTTTGGAGGTCACGGTTGTGAAATTGGAGCAAGCCTCGCATGGTGGGGTGGCACAGAGAGAAAGTGCGGAGGATGTATGCTGCAGTTAAACAAACAAAGGAAACTCCATTGATGTCGAACGCGATTAAACTGAAGAAGAACCTGGACGAGTTCAGGGTCATTAACGTTTTTTTTAATGAAGAACTACAACGACCTGAACCTCCAAAAACATGTTCGTTTCTGTGGAGAAAAGGACTTTATTTAGAGCGTACGCCAGAAACTACAAAAACTCTACAGTACAGTGCATAGTCCCAACCAAACAACGGATACTTCATACAATGCCACTGTGGCGTTCACCAGTATTTTAATACTTCGAAGTACGTACCTGGACGTATTTTGTCCACAGATTAGATTAAGATTCGGCCACTAAAGCTTACTAAGTAAATCAATTGTTTGCTTATTGGGATCGTAAGTGCTGTCTCGTTCATCATGCTGTATTAGTATTTTGCGCAAAATTAGAAGATGTTATTACAAAAAAAACTTGCAGCTAGCGCGCGTGGTGGAGCGCTGGGAAGCTCAGCGGCAAAGCGTTCGAAAATCCATACGAGAAAATGCAGGGAGTTCGTACGAGCAAACCGTCAGATTTCTTCTGTTAGTGTGGAGAAAAAACAATCATGATGGTGGGAGTATGAGGACTTTTAACAAGTAACATCCGAAGCGACAGGAATCCTGACATCGACCAACTAGTCAGGGTTGCAAGGCCACACCTATGATTCCACGCACAATAATGAGAAAACAGTTTATTTTAACTAAATCATTAAAAAAATATTTAGCATTCGTCACTCTGCGGTGAGCTACCCAAGTCCAAGATGGCGACCCCCGTCAAGCCAGAGACCCCACCGAGCTCTACCGACAAGACGGAGAGTTCTGGCTCGAGGTGACGCTAAAGTTCCAAGTGCTGAAGCAGTCGCACGTGGTTAAGTACAAGATCCCGCTGAACCCCATCCTGTTGGAGCGCGTTGACGTGCTCGAAGCCAAGATACTCGACCTCCGAGACGCGACCGAAGACCTCCAGTGCTATGCCAAGGACGCCATCGGGTTGCAGGACCTGCAGCGCCAGGTTCGGAGCTGAAGATAGCCGTGGCCAGTCGTGACACAGCCATTTCCACGCTGAAGGGGGAGGTCAAGTGGTTCAACGTGCTGCGGTGGTGGTGGAGAAGCAGGCAACGGCCAAAAAGGGAGAGTTCATCTTGTGAGGAGCGAGCTCGGACGTCATGCTGCCAACCCCGGGACTTTACCAACTCACTGCCGTCATCTCCCACGAGATGAACAGCGCCAGCATGCACATCCAGTTGGTGCAGGGCAAAGCGTGCATTCAGCATGTCTTCTCGAACCTCGGACAGAGCTCGACCATGGTCACGGATACCATCCGCGTGAACAACCATGAGCGCGTCGCAGTCAAGTGCCCTGTCCGCCTCACGGGCACGAGCTACCTGACGCTCGTCCGTCTTGCGAAGTGACTGAAGTCCCAGGTTAACCGATATCCTTTTGCTGGTGGAGAGGCGTACCTCACTCCCATCTGAATGCACTGCTGTCTTCCGATTTCGCCTGCCGGTATCCAAAAGTTTGACCCGAGCATTTTCTCTTTCATACACGTAAGCAGGAGCATTAAATTTTAAAATTGAAATTATACTTTTGCATGAACGCTTCACCGACAGTTTTACTTTCTTGTGTACGCATTTATTCATAACTAAAACCACACGTACGCCCACTAGTAAGCAACAACTTCGTCAAAATAAATACTTCAGACTAAGATGTATTTCCTTTGTGTGGAACCAAAAGTGCTACGATAGCGCTATCTGAGTCCCTTGTAGCTGTAGCTGCAGTGGAACGCGACGGCCAGAGTGCAAACAAGTTTTATCACACTGAACAAACCAAACCATGAAACGTGCAAGAAATTGGTTTGCTCGTAAACTACACAGATTTCCGAACCAAAATTACCGCTTTCGCTGGTTTGTGGTCAGATCCTTCCAGCTTTCAAACCACGAGCAGGGGTTCGGAGTTATGTAGCGTTACAGGTTTGGAGTTACTGTGGCGCTCATTGGCTACAAAAGGCTATACAAAGATATCGCACACTTTCGTAGAGGTCCGCATTTGTTGAAATAAATTCTCGGGCTGTAGAATACCCAAGTATGTCGTTAAGAATTGATGTACGAGCCACAATTAATGAGTACCTTAAGATGCACAAGAGTTTGGCACAGATTTTGAAGTTGCTCGAAGTGAGCTACGACTAGCCCGCATAATATTAGACGGCGTGGGAGACTGGAGATTATCTTTGAAACACGATCAACTTCCCGGGCATTCAGCGTTGTTAACACTGTTCTAAAGTAGCGAATTACCGCTGCTAAGCAACAATTGGATACTCAACAGACCAAGCGTATGCAAACAACGCGTCTAGTTTTTTTCAGATTTGCAGAACATTTCAAAATTGGCGGAGCTGCACTGTTGTTAGGGATCTCATTATTAAATTCATTTACTTCTTGTGGTCATCTTTGATGACTTGATGACTCATCAAGTTAACAGTAAATCACGTTGACCATTCTTTTTTTCTCACGAGCAGCATTGCAGAGAACTTGGTGACTCCCGTGAACTAAATTTTTCGAGTAAATTGAAGCTGGAAATTCTTTGTTGCACGTGCCAAGCGCCAGGGGGCGGCAGCATCATTAACAGCTATTGCTAGTTTTGATCCTCAGCCCACGCAAAAGGACGACAGTTACCCCATGCGCTTTCATGAAACCAACGCGGGCCATCCAACAACAAAAAAACTAGCCAGTTCATTTCGTCGTCACTGGCAAAATATCTACTGGCACACGCCTTAACTGATTGTGAGTATTGTGTGAGCTCTTCTTGTGACTCAGCATTGAATTCCGTACCCCTATACAGCAGAACGTACTATGAAACAATATTTACGAACAAATTTCTTACCAACAAATGAGAATTCATAACGTCCTCCTCCCAATTCATAACTTCCTCCTTCCTTAATGCTACTCGAACCACCTCAAAGCAGTACATGTGCTCGTATCCTAAGGTTTTTGATTCACGGGTAAAAATTAAACTAAAATGCCGCAAACAGTTAGAAATTATGATGGCGCTTCTGGAAGATGAGTGCGAGAGCAATATGGACAATCGAGTTCAACGTAGCTCTGAACAGCAATAAGTTATGCTACCTGCCAGCGTCTTCAAGAGTGTCTGCACGAATTCCCCGCTTTATCACGCCTGCACCGTTTTGTCGCGGCCCACCCTCGGGTGTTTGCTATACGCAGGCGCGCTCTCTTAACAAACGCCGAGGGAGCTGTTCAAGCACCACCCAGCGCTTCGGATATCTCAATCTTGGACGTCACCATTCATTACGTCTCTCTTAGCTCCGTAGTCAGAACGGTTTTTGCTTATCGAGAAGTCACTAACCTGTAACAAGGATAATTTCTACTGATCAATAAGATAATGCACTGTATGTTAAGGAAACTACTTATGTAGATAGCCTATCTATCCCGAGCTTGCAGTAGCCAAATTGTGAATTTTTATTTTTTATTTTTATGCGGTTATCGCCGATTGCACTCAGGGCGAGCTCTGCATCAACCCCGCGGACCGGGCCCACTGGGTACCCGGCGGCTAGCTAAATTGTGAACGCGACCTACGTATCAGCGGAACTTAAGGGAGCTTTAGAGACGGAACCACTTCGTATTGAAAGTGCAAACAGAAGCTGTGCGCACTAACTTAGTTGTTCACGCAGACGAACATCAGCCTCTTTTGAGGGAGAATATTATAATCTGTTGCTAATCTACTGACGCATCTGTTGTAAGCAAATCAACGGAAAACCTGTTGCCCGTGTCGGGTTATCTGTTGCGGGTGTAGGGGAGCTAAGCAACAGGTTTTCCGTGATGAAAATGCGCAACAGATACTATGAATGAGCCTCCTGGATTATCTGTCACATCGCACTACACCATGTAGTCGAATGACAGCCGGAGTGTTTGCGTTGTAGTATATTTCTATGGCCAAGATATGCTGATACTACATTATCAACGTGATGCCCTTCATACGTCGAGTCATATCGGAATTTATTTTTGTGTGTATATTTAGATGCGCAGTAGTCCAGTGGTTACAAAGCTGTTGTCTTTTCCAGGTCTCACTTTCCAGCCTGAGGCATCATGGAAGGTAGCGCTTCCGCAGCCGTGCCTTGCACTAGCTCAGCTACAACGGGGAACGCACGCTCCGTGGAGGACAACGTTGGTGACAGCGCTGATGAGGATGAGCAACTGGACTCGATTTGCCAGCAGCTAGATTTTGGGGACGACGACGAAGTTGAGATCAACGTGGGTGTAGATCGCGGTGCTTTAGAGTTGGTGGAGGCTACCGTAGCGAAGTATGTGTCGGTGGGGTTCTACGATTCGCTACAGGAGGCGACCGTGGCACTACAGCAGCACAACGAGTTTGAATACACCTACAAAACTCGGTACACCTCCAAAAATGTCACTGGGACTGAGTTCAAATGTCGCTCGCATGCTATGTGCCCCAGCCCCCTCAAAATTGTTGAGCGGAAACTTGGAGCGAACTTAGTTCGATACGAGTTGTTGCAGAAGGGTGAGCACGGTGATGCTTCTGTCTCGCGCACGCGGCATGGTATTGCAGCTGTTCACAAGTCTAAAATTGACTCACTATTGGAGTTAGGTATGGGAGCAAGTCGAGTACGCAATATGTTGTTGCACAAATATCGACGCGATCCTGACCTTTTGAATTTGGTGCCTGAGGTTCGTAAGATCGAGAATAGAAAAGCGACTATCAAGAAAATGTGGAGGAAGGCTGGGATATTGACGACTTCAACACAATTGACATCTGGGCACACTCGCGATTGTGTCAAACCCGTAAAGTTCTCGACTCTGCCGACGATTCAGACTTCGCAAAGATGAACGAGTTGCTCGTGCTCGAGCGCTTCCAGCACAATTTTGACGACAACGGAAAAACGAAAGCTTCGCTCGGCTTAATCATGACCTCGCGAGCGCTATTTCGTAACGTGGCAAAAGCGACAACCTCTCAGAGAGGCAGTCTTGCGATGTCGACGGACGGCACATACCGAATTCCATTGTGGCAACTGGACGTTGGTGGATTGCGGTAGGATCTCTGTTGAATGGGAGACAACTCACCATGTTCAGCGATTTAGGCCCTGGCTACATGTTTGTCCGGTCGGAGTGCACTTTTGCATATGAGCAAATGTTCGGTGCGCTCATTAAATACGGACGCATGTTTCTTGACGTTGACGTGAATTTAGCTTGCTGCAGTATCGATCACTGCAGTGCTATAGCTCGTGCGCTGCCGGAAGTGATCATTTTGTCCTGTTGGGAACATCTTCTGAGGCAGGCCAGAAAGCAGCGCTCAAAGCTAGTCGGCAAAAGCTTCTACAAGAAGTACGCACTTCCTCAGCTGAAGTGGCTTCGCGAAACGCGCTCCCTAAATCAATTTCGCAATCTCTCGAAGTGCGTTGTGCGGTGGTGGAAGTTAAAAGGAGAGACCGCGTATGCGGAGTGGCTAGAAGATGTTTACCTCACATCGCGATGGGAGCGGTGGAGCGTAAACAGCAGTCCGATACCAGGAGTCTTGCTAACACAGCAGGCCATTGAGAGCCACCACAAAGTGATAAAAGAGGTGATCACAGCCTTTGAGAAGGCCCCGACGATTCACGTATTAAACTCTGCTCTGCCCAGACTCTTAATTCTTGTTTCGGATACGTTATCGGACGGCCCTCAGGGTCATTTCTGCGAATGTGAGTAAATTACATGCTTTGAATTGTGACATTATACTAACGCGTGCTGCTAAATTACACTTGCACAGGCCCTTCGCCGAAGGATGCAGTCTCTAAGGCCAAGTTGTTACTGACGTTGCCAGAAAATCATCGTGAAATAACGGAGCCCAGTCAACGTGGCATTCCCGTTCGAATCGTATTCAACAGTGGTAACGCCATTGTGCGTTCGAAGAACTTGGCTGGGTCTACGGTCACTACCACGCGCTCGAAAACGTACGTTTAAATATTGCGTTTACTTTCTACCAGGTTCATTATGCTAATTGATGATTATATACAGCTTTGTTTCGTCGCTAGAAGGTAGTACAGGAAGACTGCACCCATCTTTGACATATGGACGAAGTTTTTTTCATTGCAACAGGTGTCGGTCAACGTCGAGCGCGCACGAGCGATGCCAGAGTTTCAACTTCGCCCTACTTGGCCTTTATCCGACGTAAGATTCATGTTCCATCTGAATTTATTGTTTCTGAGTCTAATATCTTACGATGGCACCTGAACAGATTGCGGCTTCGACGAAGCACCTGCAAGCACGAGTCACACACAGTGAAAATGAGTAGATAAAATCGACGCGCGCGCACTTAGTGTTGTAGCCCGACAATCCTTTGGGGGGGGGGACGTCTGCTGATGTAGCGGTGCTGCATTAACGCCACCCAGCCAGCATCTCTCGTGTCAGATCCGTGCTGCGCCATCGAGTCTCCTACGACGAAAATGACCGACCGGGGCGTTGACGGAGTGGCAGCAGTGGAGCAGACAGCGGTGTCTTTGAGGGGTGAGTCCGGAAATGAACCAAACCAGCGAATGATTTGCATGAGCCCTCAGTCAGTCTACCGACGCCACTCAGTAGCACTCAAAACTGAAAATACAGAGCGTTCCGTGCATTGGAGGATGGCGACAAGCCTTTGAGCTCTCAAAATGGTAAAACCTCGTTGGGATCATATACGGTACATATCTGATATTGGATCAGACTAACTTACTTAATGGTTCGAGATACACTCCGATGCACCTGCAAGAGTTACATGCACTCTGGCTGGGTCTGCTCGCATGTGATTGCCTCCCTCAAACTGCTGAAAAAGCTAGATTTGAAGCTTGCAACAGAAGTTATCCAAGCACGGAGGTCTCCAGGCCGACCTCGAGCACCGGTTGGAGCCCGTCAACAAGAGCCGGCATCTACCAACTTTTGGGATCCCGATCGGCTTGAAGCCCTTCTTACCAAAGAGCCTTACACTCCTTTGCAGTGGGCTTTCATTACACAAGTTGACGTTCAAAAGGAAGGCCAAGCTTCTACTTTTCGCGAAGATCGTATTGGTACAGTTGGCGGTGTTCGACTGTCGGAGGAAGACGGGGTTTTCGAGTGGAGCGTGGCCTTCGTTCACGGCGACGTGACGACTTGGTGCCCGGACTGATACGTGCACACGAGCAGCGAAATATTTAGGCATCTACTCTGTCGCCACCACAGCCTCAAATTGCATTTCGATTAGCATTCATGGATACAACACATATACCGACTACACTCTACTTGTTATCTGTTGCGCATTTTCATCACGGAAAACCTGTTGCTTAGCTCCCCTACACCCGCAACAGATAACCCGACACGGGCAACAGGTTTTCCGTTGATTTGCTTGCAACAGATGCGTCAGTAGATTAGCAACACATAATAATTACGACCCCTCTTTTGATCTTTCTTGAGAGACTTCGCATCAAATTCGCCATTTCCACTGGTCACGGCTAGTGCTGTGATGCGATCTTGCCTACCTGTAAACACATATTCCCGTCCAGCGCTCGAACGACCTAACTAAATCCTCCATTCGCTCCTTCGTCCTGGATTCCGGAGCTCCAAGATGGAATAAGGGGACCGTTCGAAGGTTTGAGCCCGTGGCATCTTAATAAACGGGCAAATTTTGCGTGTAGATCCCCCTTGATTTATCGAGTAAGCTTGTTGAATATCTGGATTTATATACTCTCTGACGTCGTGTCTGCCTGTGTATATTTTTTTTTACCGCAAAAGAAAGTTTGAGGGCAAATGCCCATATTATCATGAGCTGGAGACTGGCTTAAGCTAACAGTAAGCTTGCTTGCAACTACTTTATTTATCTTTGGGCGTTCCCGTGGTCGAATCTGATCACCACACGAGCGCTGCGCGAGTACATGGCTCCGGTCATCCAAGAAAAGACGCTGCTACTACAAAGTATTTTAGCAGACAAGAGTGAGACCAAGGAACCCTTCGACATGTACAAACTCATGCGGCAGTTCACGCTCGACACCTTCGCCGAGATCGGCTTCGGCTGCCACTTGGAGATATTAACCTCTGGCAAGGAGCACCCGTTCGAGGTAGCCTTTGATGAAGCCAACCGCATCTCAAGCGAGCGCTTCACCAAGCCCACGTGGCTTTGGAAATTCCAGCGATTCCTGAACATCGGAAACGAACGACGACTTCGCGAGGCTATCAGTGTGATGAACGAGTTCTCTGTCGACTTGATCATGGAAGCTATGGAGCAAATGAAGAACTCCAAGCCCGACGAAGCAGACGTAGAGAGTCCGGCACACAAGAACATCATGGCGATCCTCTTGAGCAAGAAGGAGGCGGTGACACCCACCCAAGTGCGTGACATTGTACTCACAAGCCTCGAGGCAAGGAGGAACACGACGTCCGACACTTTGGCCTGGTTCTTCCACTCGTTGAGCCACCACCCTCAAGTCGAGAGGAAGCTTCGTGCTGAAATTCGCTCAAAACTGCCAAAATTTGGAGAAATCCACATCTACGTTCCATCGTACGAAGCAGTCCAAGACTTGCCGTACCTGGAAGCCACACTGCGTGAGGCTTTGCGCCTGCACCCGACCGGCCCCAGCATCCCTTACCACTATCAAAGAGACACTGTCCTACAGGACGAGACATTCATTTCGGCAGGTACCGATGTGTTCCTGCACCTCTACTCTGCGGGTCGTCTGACCAGTGCGTGGGGGTCCGATGCTGCGTCGTTCAACTCCCAGAGATTCAACGACCTAACTACCGGAGAAGTGCTTCCGTCCAAGTATTCGCCCTTCAGTAGTGGACCGCGAGTCTGCATCGGACGAAACTTGGCGCTACTGGAAATGAAGATCGCGATTGCGGCTGTTGTTGGCAGATTTCGGCTGTGCGAGGAACCGTCACTGACCCAAAGGCGCCCCGCATTTCAAAATTTTCAAATTTCAGAACTTTTCATCCCAGTTTGTATTGATTTAACTAGACGTCGTAGTACTTCGTAATACCAGTAACTAGCCCTTGGAAAATGTGACTCTTTGCAGGTTTCTCCGCGAAGTACCACGTGCGCCACACACACTCGTCTAGGTAGCCAGCTACCACTGTTTTCCGCATACCACGAGCAGCTTTGATGTGCTGCTTGATCTTCACCTCCCAGACGCCCTCGATGCGGTTCGTATGGGCGCCAGTCGTGGGGTCCTTGAAGTGTTTCGTGTGGTTTACCCACAGGTGTTGGTACCGCATCCCACGCAGGTGCCTGTTGTTGGTAAGGGTGTATAACTTTCCTTTGTTGCGCCCACTCTGGACTTGGGTCACGTACGCCTTAAACATATCGGAGACAATCAAAGTACTGATAAACATGCATAAAGAGTTAGATATCTTGTCAAATCATACGCAGTTATACAGGTTTGATGTGAGCTTTAATCAAAGCAGACAGAGTCGGCTTTGTCCGGTTGTTATAAAGGACACGAGCGAACCACGTTTTAGTGGTTCGGTCGATTCCGCCGAAGCCCCAGAAGTCTGGGTGGCGAGTACCACGTCGGTACTTTTGCTTCTTCTTCAGGTACGTTCCGTCGATCTCGACCACGTGCCCAACCCCACCGATCTAGCAGTTTAACATCATTGTTCAACCCGTTAAAAATACAATTCAACACTGCTAACTAAATAATATTTAGCAACAGAATAATGTACGATTTTACCTTCAGCAACGTCCGCTTCATCTCGGCGGTGCAGATGTCCTGCGCATAGACATACCACGGCCCTGCCGTTGTCGGCGACACCTCCGCCTGCTATGCTGCCGTTGTGACTGGGTGCTGGAACGCCCAGAACAACAGCAGCTTGATCAGCTTCGAGAGGGGAGCTGATGACCGGGCAAAGAAGGAGGAGACCTGCACGCTTCTCTCCAGACGGCACCCGGTGCGGGAGCAGCGCCAGTGCGTCCGCTTCACAGCGACGTACAACGTCATGCCATTGGTGCAGGTAGGACACAGAGGCGCGCTTGCCAGAAGCCCCACTCGCTGCGCCCACTCCAGCGCGCCCTTCTCCGTCACGCACGCGCTCATCACAGAGTTGAAGGTGAAGAGCGCGTTGGAGGAAACATCATACTCGTGGGGGCTGGGTGTGGCGAGGGGGCTGCGACCCGGGCGGGCGGTGTACGTGGTGCGGGAAGTGCGGGGGGCCATGGTGCCGTGCTGGATGCGGGGTGATTCTGGTTGTGTGGCACTGACTCTTGGTTGCCAGAAGTTCGAAAGTATAATTTAGTTCTAATCTTTCCGAAATTTGAAAAATTTGAAATGCGGGGCGCCTTTGGGTCAGTGCCGAGGATGTCCGCCCCATTCTGGATCTCACCTTGACCATGAAGAATCCGCTGATGATGCGCGTTGGAGCTGCCAGCTAGGCATTGAATAACCTTGAAAAGCTAACTACTTAGTACACAAGATGCATGCCCTACAGTACAAGCACAAAAGTTGTACCCATTTAACGGTAAAATCAAGACTCAGGATCAATGATCATCACCTTTTAAGTAAATCCTCCTGACCAATCGTATCTTTTTCATCGCCTTTTCGCCCAATCACAATACCGACTGGGTGATGGGCAGATGCTGCTGATGGGTACAATCTCCATTATCCCTATCTTGACTGGCTCCCCACTTCCCATTCGCGGATTCCCTCAACGCGAGATTCTCGGGTATTTAGCACCTCTTGTGTGTCTCCGTGCCTCTCTATCCGTTGCCTCTGTGTGTATGTTGCACTGACATCCAATCAGCGAGGGGTGCCGACTGCCAGCCATGGACGAGTTCCGTGCGCTGGCCGGCTGAGATCCAAACCCTTAAAACCTGATCCGGGTCATTCCGGCGGAGGGACTGCTGCTCTGTTCGTTGTTGACGCGTGTGTCTTTGCCTTGCGTGTTGTTGCCGTCGCGACTCTCTAACTGCCAGACCCAGCTCAAGTATGGTGTTAACACTACCTTATCCGTGGCAAAAACGGATGGATTCTGACAATAAGATCCCCCCCCCTTTATGCAGACATGCTTGCCAGTGGAGTCACGTACGGCGTCATGATCGCCACTTTGGTGGCCGTGGCCGCCTACGCCATCATCGTCAGCCGCCGGATGGAGGTCAACTCGGTCAAGAACTTCATCAGGTGCGTCACAAACAAAAGCAAAAGCGAAACAATATTTTTATGTCAATAATCTCTAACCAGCTTCATCTCTGTCAATACCAGCGCCAAGAACTCCACCACCTCCCTACGTCTCGCCTGGTGCTTCTTCTCAGCTGGAATGGGCTCGTGGACCCTTTTCTCCTTCCCTCAGATCGGCGTGGACGCTGGTTCGTGGGGTGTCATCGGTTACACACTCTCGGGAGTGTGTGGCATGCTGGTACTGGCAGTTGTGGGGCCCTACACCCGCTCCGCTCTGGGTGAAAACGTCACCATGACGGACGTCGTGGCGCAACGTTTCGGCTACGTCATGCAGGTCTACATCGGGCTCATCTCGGTCTTCTACCAGTTCATCTCACTGGCCTCGGAACTGACCTGCGTGGCCCAATTGACGACCATGTTCTCACCAAATGCGCACTCGCTGATCCCCATCCTGGTCGTGGTGTTCCTCACCAACTTGTACCTTATCATCGGTGGTCTCCGCGCCAGTTTGGCCACGGATGTGTGGCAGGGCATTGGCGTTATCGCTCTATTGGCGGTGGTGTGCATCGCCATGTGCTTCCATGTGGCCATCCCCGAGGGCGCGTGGTCCAGGACCAATGTTGCGGCCTTCACGGTGGAAGGCTTCGAGACGCTGGTGACGCTCGTGATCGCCGTGACGGCGTCCAATTTGTTCTTCACAGGCTTCTGGCAGCGCGTTTACGCGGCGTACGACGACCACACGCTCAGGAAGGCGGCGTTCATGGCGTGCGGCATCATCATCCCGTTCACGGTGGCGCTGGCGCTGGCCGGAATGGTGTCGTATCTGGCGTACCCGGATGGAGTCTTGTTCTTCGCCATCTTGATGGACATGGGACGTGGCTGGGAGGTGCTGATCGTCATCGTCATCGCTATGCTGGCGAGCGGTGTGTCGGACTCGATCCAGATCGGAATTGCGGCAGAATTGACGACGTGCTTCCCCAAACTGTCGTTGTTGCACGCGCGTATCATCGTCGGTAGGTGGCGTTGTGAGGTGATACTTTGAGGTATAGTGCGTCTCTAACTTGACATTATGCTTACCTTTGCAGCTCTGCTGAATGTGCCGGCCATCGTCATCGGATACCAGCAGTACGACATCCTGAACCTCTTTTTGATCGCCGACTTGTTGTGCACGGCTGCGGTTGGCCCCATGCTGCTCGGTGTGTGGAAGCGCGCGACTCGTACGGGCGCTCTGGCTGGCAGTGCCGCAGGTTTGATCACCATCTTCATCAGTGGCGTGATCGCGCAGGGCAAGTTCGTGGGTGGCTTCAACTGGTTCATCCTGCCCGAGGGGCTCTACTCGCAGAACAGCATGATCACCTTCATCGTGACGCTCATCATCCCTCCCGTCGTGACTGTAATCGTGTCGCTCATGACGCCCAAGAGCGACGACCCGACGGATGGCAGCTACCTGCTCCAGCACTCCCCCATCCAAGTGGCCAAGGACTAAGAGGTTGCATCCACCGGTACGCACGTATCGACCGTCGCTCATTTCCCCGTTATCCATATCAACAACAACACCTCCGTGCTGAAGCTCTGCTGAACATTTGCTGATCAAATGAACACCTGAATTCGCGCTTCTTTTGAGGGTTTACTTAACAGCCTGTTCTCTATTCTTCAAAGCTGGCATTGTTTTCCAGGAGGAGCTGGACGACCACGTTGTGACCGCTTTGTGTGGCAAAAAGCAGTGCATTATGTTCGATCAGCACGCTGACAACGTCGAGGTGACCTTCAAACGCAGCTTTGCAGAACGCCGTCTCCCTGGTCCTGGTTCGTGCATTCGCATTCGCGCCCCCTTCTAGCAGCAGCCGCGCGACGTCGGAGTGGCCTTCTCTTGCAGCATACCGAAGTGGTGTCCACTGCTCTTCATCCCCCGTATCAACTGGCGCACCGTACGCCAGCAGAAGAGAGACGATGTCCAGATACCCGTTCTGTGCTGCTTTGTGCAGCGCCGTCTCACCTCCAGTCGCTTGAGCGTTGATGTTGGCCCCACGCTGCAAGAGAAGGCGAGCCACAGCTTCGTGACCCGCTTGAGCCGCCAAGATCAACGCCGTGGCGTTGTCATCGTCGGGTTTATCCAGATCAGCACCGTGGAAAATCAGGAGCCGAACGACTTCCGCGTGGCCTTTGTAGGCTGCTTCAAGTAGGGAAGTGACGGACAATTTACTCTGCGAATCGACTTGTGCCTCGGCGTTGAGCAGGAAGCGCACCACGTCTTCGTGCCCGGCGCGTGCAGCTAGCAGCAGCAGTGCAGTGCATCCGTTCCTGTCGCGGACTTCGCTGCGGTAATCCTTTGCCAAGACCGTTCGGACGTCGTCTACTCGGCCTTTTGACGCTGCGTCCAGGAAGGCTGCTGCGTTCTCCCTTCGCCCACGTTGGTAAGCGCGGAGGAGGGCGAGGATACGGTTTTGACCGCTTTTCTCGGCAACGTTGAGCACGGTTTGGCCTGCTTTATCCTGCAGACTCGTGTCAGCTTTGTATTCTAACAGGAGGGCCACGACGTGTTCGTGGCCCTGATCAGCAGCGTGGAAGAGAGGAGGCCAGCCTTTAGCGTCTGTGAGATCGATCGAAGCACCTTCATCTAACAGGAGCTCAGCTATGTCTGCGTGACCCAACTGTGCTGCGATGATTAAAGCTGTCCGACCAGCGATCGTTGGTGCGTCAAGGTTGAGCTCACTGTCTTCGTCAGTGCCTGGGTCGCAGTCACTGTGATCGAGTTTTTCGTCGAGTTCGTTTCCATCCTTTCCGTGAGCTAGGAGCAGCTCGACCACCTTTTCGTGGCAGTTTTGCACCGCTTTGATCGATACGGACTTGCCTTCATCGTTCGTAGAATTGATATTCGCTCTAGCACCAAGCAATAGCTTCACGATCCCTTCGTTACCGGCTTCAGATGCGTACATCAGCGCCGTGCATCCGCTCGAATCGGCCAAGTCGACATTTGCGTAGAGTCCAGGCAGTCGCCGATTGGTTTTTCTCGGATGCGATACTCAGAGCCGTCCTTCCTACTGCATTCTGCGCATTGACGTCTGCAATGCTCTCCAGCAGGAGCTTCAGAACTTCCTCATGGTTGTGGGTGACAGCAACCAGAAGCGGCGTGTTGCCATCGCCATCTCTAACCTCAATATTCGCATCAAGTTTCACAGCAGCCTCCACCATCTTGACATCCCCTTCAGCCACATACTTCAGCAAGGAAGATTCAATCTCCTCACGCCCATGGTGAGTAGTTTCAAGTAGGACCGCGATAGCAGAATTCTTCTGTTGCTTGGCATAATCTAAAGCCGTAAGTCCCTCATTTGATTGTAAACTCATATCCGCAATTTCGTCGAGAAGAACATGCACAGTGTTAACATGACCAGCAATAGCGGCGTGCATGAGCGCGGTCTTGCCAGAATCGTCCTGCACGTCAATACCCGCGCCGTGTTCGATCAGCAACTTCATGATGCCACCTAAATCACTGCGAGCTGCAACCATCAGTGGACTCTCGCCAATATCGTTTACGATGTTGGTGTCTGCATACCATTCCAGTAGAATCTGCACCATTTCTTCATTCCCTCGCATCATGGCTTGCATCAACGGACTTGTCTTGGTTTTATCGACTAGATCCACCGCCGCTCCTCGCTCCAGAAGAAGAGAGGCAGTAGTAGAATCGCCTTTTATCCACAGCTTGCCGTAACGCCGTCTCGCCAAACATGTTCTCAGCATGAATATCTTAGAAGGCAAATAATGTCAGCGTATCCACCTCTAACAGCATTCATCAAAGGGGTGTTCTCGAGTTGGTCTCTACAGTCGGCTTGAGCCCCGTGCTCGAGCAACGTAGTCACCACTGCGCATCGGTTGTTCGCTGTAGCATACGTCAAAGCTGCCCACCCGTCTGCATTACTCGTCGTAATGTTAGCCTTCCGCTTAAGAAGTACTCGAACGGTTTGGTTGGTACCTAGCTCGGCTGCTCTCATCAATGGAGTCATCCCCGTTTTGTTCGGTAAATCAATTGATGCACCGTGGTCTAGCAGAAGTACTGTCGAGTGTTGAGATGATACAGAATGGAAAAGCGCCGACTCTCCGTTCAAATCTTGTGCGTCGATATCTGCCTCATTGCTCAGAAGTAATTGCATCATTTCGTCGTAGTCGCCCTTTGCAGCAAATATGAGCGGCGTTGTTTGGTTCCGGTCCGCTGTATTCACTGAGACACCATATTGGACTAAAAGTTGCGCCACATTTGCGTTCCCGTATTGTGCAGCCATGACCAAAGGAGTTTGTCCAGCATCGTTCGGAACTTCACAATTGGCACCACTTTCAAGTAGTTGCCGCACTATGTTGCTGTGGCCTGCCTTCACTGCGTAGAGTAAGGGGGTCCAGCCTGTAGTATCAGCCAAGCTGGCATCGGCATTGCTTCCAAGCAACAGCTCAACGAGACGTCCGTAGCCTTCTTGCACAGTGATACTTAGTGCTGTACGCCCCACAATATTCTGAGCATTAACGTCTGGCTTGTTATTCAGGAGAAGTTGGACAATTTTTTCGTGGTTCTCCATAACTGCGAGCAGAAGCGGAGTCCGCTTGTTAACGTCAACACAGTTGATATTCGCACTTTTCCTCAAAGCACTTCGTACTTCCTCCAAATCGCCCTGTAAACAGGCACTCAGAAGTAGCCTATTGGCAGCCTCTCGCTCTTGATGCCGCCCTTCTAGTAGTGCGATTACATCCGTTTTATTGTTCTGGCGAGCCCAGCCTTGCGCTGTCCGCGAATCATTCGATCTCAGATCCATATCGGCATTACGATCCAGTAGAAGGCGTGCCAGATCGACGTGTCCCTCAGCGGCAGCATACATGAGGGCCGACATACCGTTATTATCTTGCAGATCGATTGAAGTCCCATGCGTAAGCAGGAATTCCATAGCACTGCGTAAGCCAGCTGCTGCTGCCAATGAAAGCGCGGTTCTGCCGTATTTATCCTTAAAGTCAATGCCCGCTGCCCCCTTGGTAGCAGGAGGGCCATTTCGTCACGGCCTTCGAGGATTGATGCCATGAACGGGGTCCGTTGAGCAATATCGGCGGGGTCTACCAATGCGCCGCGCTCCAGAAGTAGAGATACAATGCTATATTACCTTGATTTGCAGCGGATCGCAACGCAGTCTGCCCCATACAAGGTGCGGCATTAATATTTGCTTCTCTATCGAGCAGCAGGCGAACTATTGCCCCCTCGCCATTCCGGACAGCATATAACAAGGCTGTACCACCGATCGGGTGCGCAAACTCAATATTCGCCCCAGAATCAAGAAGTAGAGAAGCCGTTGCAGGTTTTCCTAGCATTGACGCATGCAGTAGCGCAGTCCTTCCATCAGTATCGACACCATCAAGTGTTGCCATACGGTCAACAAGCAGGCAAGCAACCTCAGCATGATCACCCCACACAGCCCAAACCAATGGGGACTTCCCTGACACATCGGCCAAGTCAACTGATGCACCATGATCAAGTAGCAGCGAGACCATACCACAGCGATTTCGCTGTACTGCATGGTGAAGAGCCGATAACCCACTCGCGTCTTGAGCATCGACTTGAGCGCCTTGTTCGAGCAGATAGCGCACTACCTCTTCCTTAGAGTTGGAATAAACTGCCAGCATTAACGCAGTCTTGCCGTCCTTATCCCGAAAGTCAACCTTTCCTGAGTTGCAAAGAGCTGTCTTTACGCTGTTCAAGTCGCCATGTCTCGATGCTAGCAAGAGTGCCGCACCAGAAGCTTGCAGGTGTTTGTGTTCCATCAAGCAATCCACAACTTCTTGGTGTCCTTCAGCCTCCGCAATTTTCAACGCTGTCTGGCCATCTTTATTCTCCACGTTCATATCTGCGTGGTTGCTCAGCAATATCCGTACAAGATTAACATGACCATGGAACGCAGCCCACATCATCGCCGTCATTCCCCGGCTATCTACCAAATACCAATCAGAACATCGACCACATCGTACTTGTCATGGTCACAGCATTCATCAGCGCTGTCTGTCCATTCGCGTCTTGCTTGTCAACGCTCGCATTATGGTGAAAAAACAGTCGCACAATGGATTCATTGCGTCTCGCAGCTCTCATCAGAGGAGTCACTCCAGCATTATCTGCCAAATCGACCTTCGCTCCATGATCCAGTAACAATTTCACCATATCGTCGTGTCCAAGTGAAATTGCTGCCAACAGTCCTTGTCAGAAAAATCTACCCCTGCTCCTTGCCGCAGCAACAGTCGAGCAGCATCGATATCATCCTGGAGAACTGTCTGCATAAGCGCCGTCCTCCCTTCTTCATTCGTTGCATCAATACCCCCGCCACTGGAGAGTAGAAGCAGCACCATCGTGTTACTCCATCCTTTAGCCGCCAGCAACACGGCAGAAGCACCGTTTAAATCGAAAACATTCACTTCAGCTCCACATTTCAGCAACTTTTGCGCCATCTTCTCGTTCCCTTTGCTCTGTAGCAACCATCAGCGCCGTTCGTCCGTCCTCTCTTGCCGCATTCACACGAACTTTTGCATCTAGGAGGAACTTTACAGCTTCTAACTGCCCCTCTGCTGCTGCCAACAGCAGTGGCGTTTTTCCTCGATCATCACGAATCTCCACATTATTTACCTTCTCCAACGCAGCACGAATCTGCTTCACATCACCGCGTTTAGTAGCATGGAATAGCTCGAGCTGACAGGATTGCATGTAGTCCGTGATAAGCGCGACAATTGCTGGATCTCCCTTCTTCTCGGCATAGTGCAATGCTGTCATTCCATCTAAGTCGCATTTGTCGACATCCGCGCCATGTTCTAAGAGCTGCTGCGCTAGCTCTACATGACCACTGCAAACAGCATGTATCAGCGCTGTGGCCCCTTGTCGATCGGGTAAATCTATAGCAGTACCGTTGCTTAATAGTATCTGGACAATCTCCATCTTGTCAAATAGGACGGACTGGGTGAGTGGCGTTAGTCCTTCCACGCTGTAAACGTCGGGGTTTGCCTTGTGCTCGAGAAGAAAGTGAACGGTATCGGCTTGTCCGCTAGTACATGCATGCCACAAAGGGGTTCTCTGTTCGGCATCCGGCAGATCAATTTTGGCGCCAGCTTCCAGCAAAATCTTCGCAACGTCCAGGAGGCCGCGAGATGCCGCGAGGAGAGCGCAGTCTGCCCTCGAGTGTTGCGCATGTCTACGTTTGCCTTGTGCTTAAGCAGTTCACACACGACATCTCCATGACCAGCGGCTGCAGCGTACAGCAGAGATCCTAATTGTTTTCGGTTCGCGACTTCAGTCTTGGCTCCCTCTGGCAGAAGACGCACGATATCAACCTTACCACGAGCCGATGCAACGCACAAAGGCGTAGGACGGGATCCGCTGTGGATATCGGGGAAGGCCTTGTGGTTAAGAAGCATACGCACGACTTCTGTGTGGCTCGAGTTCACAGCGTGCCACAGCGGGGTCATTTTCCTCATCTGCGACGTCAACAGGAGCTTCAGCTTCAAGTAAAATACTCACAACTCCGAGTCTGCCTGAAGTTGCAGCTATGGATAAAGGAGTTTGGCCTGCCTTGTTTTTAGCGTTAATATCTGCTTCGTGTCCTTTTTCCACAGCAGTATGTATCATTGTGCTGTCATCAGCGTCCCTCTTCTCAAGGCTATCGCCACTTTCCAGTGCAATTTCCACCCCACTTGCGTCGCCTTTCAGCACTGCATCGAGCAAAGACACTTATTTCTTCTTTCGTTCAGTCAACTGCGTTTGAATCATCGCCACAATCCTCCATTGCCTTGCGCTTGGGCAATTTGTAGTGCTGTTTTGCCTTGTTTGGTGCGTGCTTCAACGTCTGCCTTACTATCAAGGAGAAGACGAACCATTTCGCTGTGCCCAGCCCTTAAAGCGAGCAGAAGCGGGGTCCAGCCGTCGCTGTCTGCTAAATTCACGGAGGCGCCTTGATCAATCAACAAGCGTGCAATTTTTGCGTCTCCTTTTTGAGCTGCAAGACCCAAAGCCGTCACTCCAGCAGAGTTCTGGGCGTCCACATTCGCTTTCCGGTCTAATAAGACCTTGAATACAGCTTCTTGACCTGCAAATGTTGCCCACATCAATGGGGTCCACCCGGTTATACCTGGTAGATCTGGAGTGGCATCGTAGTGGAGAAGAAGACGCACTTTTCCCTCGTGGCCTTCACGTGCTGCGAATAGTAAGGGCGTCCACCCATTTCCGTCCTTGGTGTCTACGAGTTCTCCGCGTTCTAGAGCGAGCTTGGCTTCGTCGATTTTGCCTCGTTCAGCCGCTTGGAGCAGCGACAACCGGTTGCCCATGCGTCCTCACGTTGACGAATGAGAGTGGCAGTCTAATGATGGAGAGTGTCCACATGATCAATTTATCCACGAGAGGAGACTGTCAATAGGTTTTGTGTAACTTAGCACAAGAACACCATCATTGACTTGAATCGATGTGTTTTGGGCTGGGAGACTAAGAAAATAGTGTATGCGCTTTCACATCATTAGTTGTTTTTTTAAAAATGATCGAGTTTTTCCATTAAAATGAAAAACTCGATCATTTTTACTTTACTTTTCTAGAAGAGCGATGACTTCACTGTTGTCTTTGGCTTTCGCGTAGTCTAACGCCGTTTGGCCGGCCTTGGATTTCAGGTCCTTGCTGGCGCTCCGGTCAAGTAGAAGTTGCATTACACCGACGTGGCCATCGTTAGCAGCATGCATAAGGGCAGTCATTCCTGCAACGTCGGACGAATCGACCTTGGCGCCAGAATCAAGGTGGTTTATCGAAGATGCCGGGGCCGCTAGGCCCCGGCATCTCCGATCCGATTGGTTGCAGCTCCGATCTCCGACTCCGCCCGACTAAAATATCTTAAGTTAGCCAAAAGTCGCTGAAGTGAATAGAGTGGGGAGTGAACACAACCCGGCACAACTCGCAATGGACGCTGAAGAGTGCAGACGGCGAGTGCAAGAAGCGAAGTCGCAGCATGCTTTCCCGCCAAGTGTACTGTACCCGGAGCTAACGAGCTGGAAAGACGACACGGCCCCTCTCTCAAAGTTGTTTTCCCGGCCGATTGTTGTGTGGGTCCCTGAGTGCTTGAATGGGGGCAACGCTGAGTGCGCTTCTCCTGGTTGTTACTGTAAAGGAGTACGTACACCGTACGGTCGATCTTGTTGACGCGAAGTGCGACTTGCTTTACGTGCGGTACGAATGCGCTGGTTCTACAGGAACTTGTTTTACTACAATATCACGAGCATATGTGCAGAAACACGAGGAGTTTCTGGTTCACTTCCCTTTTGTTTTGTCGGTGAAAGGAGGGCTTTCTAACGAGTTTATGGAAACGGTTCATGATGGGATTATGTCGCCGAATGGGCTGTCGCGTACATTGGCTACTGTGGAGCGCCGCTGCCAAAGCCGGTATTACAAGCTCTACACTCTTTTTGCGGATAGAGTTCGGCGACTCTAATGCTGACTATATATCTCCGACCCCGCCAACTTGCTCTCAGTATGCCTCCGACAATGCCCACAGCATTTTGGACGGAATTTACAACGATTTACAGTTCTCTGTGTGAAAATCTCATGAAGCACTTGAAGATTCGAAGAGCGCTCCGCATTGATCACTCCGTGAAATTTTGTAAGCGTCTTAAGATTTGGACAGGCAGTGGGAAACGTGATGGTATGGCAAACTGTAAGATGCTTCTTCTCGCTCAAAATGAAATTGGGCAGATCGTTGGTCGTTGCCTTACACGCTCAGAGAACAATGATGAAACTGAGAAGCTACTAAAACATGTGGAGCCCATGCTTGCACCGTTTACTGACGATGCTGAGCTTTTGGTAGTAAGTGATGATGTCACTGGAGTTCGCAATCTGGTTAGCAGAGTGTTTGGTGATCGTGTCTCGACCAAGCAAGACCCGTTCCATGTAATACAGCGCATAACCGAGAAGGTTAAGTCAACTAAGTGAAAGTGGTTATCTAAGGAGCTAAGTAATGCGCTGTACACAGTAGATCGCAAGCTGCGACCCGTTGACGAAATGGAGAAAGGATTTTTACGTGCTGTCAGAAGTGTTGCATTGACGGACGTGAACTGCTCGGATGCGGAGTGGCGCGGCTGTTGAGGCGAGGCGGGTGAACGCCTTTATCGTCCAGGGTGTATAGCGCACTATGCCGGACCGAATGAATTCGGGTTCGGGTACCAGAGATTGTCCACGCGATAAACAGCCCACGAGACACTGAATGACCCGGGCCTGGAACCGCTTGGACGCACCGAATCGCACCAATGCGGTCCGGTGTTTGGCGTGTGTCCTTGTGTCAACCCCTATAGGTATCGTTTACCTTTGGCGGACCGGATTTCACCGAGTTGAGTTGTTGCGATACAGAATAAAGTCTGCTGGGTGTGTTCCTGGGATGAACCACACCGAATGAACAGAAGGTCAGACTGAATGAAAGGGACCACAGTCAGATCCGTAATTCAGAATAACCAACACACAGAAATACAATGCCGAGCTAAACGTCACAAAATATACAGCCACCACTTATTCTTTAAGACCCTTGGGTGGGGGGTCTATACGCCAGTCAACTCACGAGCCGTCACCCAAGGCACTGGTCAACCCTGGCTGCACACTCACTTACGCGCACCACCCTCACAGAGTGAGGGAACAATACAAAATATAAGTCAATCCTATCACACAGTAGTCAATCAATTCGGTCTGGGGGGTGACTATCTCTCAACCATTAAAGACACACAGTAGGGAATATGAAATGGATGCCCGGTTAGAGCACGTAAATAGAAAATAAAGCTCTCCCAGGTCACTCCGGGGCGCAAAACCCCAGTCACTGCCGACTTTGCCTTGGTACCTTTGAGTCCCCACTACACCAGTGCTCGCTACACCAGTGAGGCCTTGGAAGCGTCCCTAAACTGGATTAGACCGCGCGCAGGCAGTCTCCTGGAGGGCTCTTGAAGACGTCAAAGTCGGGGTGCTACTTCTGCCCCGAGCACAGAGTCGTCCGCGTGCTCTTCGGCAAATTGGTTTCACTTCGCTGACTTTAATGTAGGTTTCACTATGCTTCGCTTGTCTTGAGTATGCTTGTGCTTCTTGGCAGTTCTTCAGTACACTTGTTTTGGTTTCGGTATGCGGAGACTTGTTGACGGCGACACTTCTTCGGGTGCACTCATCAGATGATGACAGAGGTACCTGGGCACACCGTCTCATCATCTTGGGACTGGACCTCTCCCTTGGATCTGCGGCTTATTCGGTGCCGCCCGTGGATCTTGGGTGATCTTGGTCTCATCGGGTCTGGTTCGACGCCGCTGTGCGAACACACGCGGCGCGCACTGGACTTGTTCTTGGTGCGTCGATATCCAGTGTGGGCACGGGGGCCGGACCGAATGAACGATCCGGTCCGTCCCCATTCGGTGTGGCACTTCTCCAATCGGTACGCTATCACCGGGTGCACCACGATCCGGTCCGGACAACACGAGGTTTCATCCAACAGGGTCTTGTGCGCGTGTGATCATGTCTGGTGGGGCGATTCAGTGGGGTGGTCCGACAACATGACTGAGCCAATGCAGGCAGTAGCCAGGATGCATTCGCTGGCCACACTTTCGCGTCTTGGGCCTATCCTGCAGTTAGGGAAGTCGGCGGACGGACAGGATGCGTGACTCCGCACCGAATATGAGCGCTCATCCGGTGGGCGCATCTCCAATCCTGTGAGCCCATGCTTGCTGCAAGTGCCGGGCACTGTCAGTCCTGCAACAGAATTACAATTCGACGATATTTTCATCCGTTGCTTGAGCCATATGTTGAGCAACGGAACAATATAACAATAATGTGTACGAAACATAACGAACATAAATGAATTGCGTTTTAATGAATATAATAATTAATTTTAGTAGTATTGTAACAGTCACTGTGAGTTCAATTTTAATTTTTTATATTACAGCAGGGCTTCGCGCTAAGCTGTAATTGTCACCTTATAATAGGGCTACGCTTTGGTTGAGACAGCACAAGAGTGAGTTACATGCGTTAATAGGAGGATGGAACGACAAGCGTATATACAAATTATGGGATACGATGTCAATACTGCCCATTATAGCACCCTCGCAGTAGGCCGTCACAACACAGGTCGTTGAGATCCAGCTCCGATGGACCCGGGTCAGAGTCGAGTACTCCAGTATCTAGGGTGCGCGTAGTACAATGTAGTAGCTTCAGAATTCATATATGTTTATGGAAACAAGTTAGTGCGGTTGTATAGTACATTTTTGCGCAATTACCACGGTCACCTATGCAGTCCGAGAAAGAATCGGAGTGGCTGTGTCCTTCATGACATTCCGTACTAGTATTCCCCATCACAGCTACTGCTAATAACGAAGACGGTTGCGACGCATTCTATAACCAGCCTTTCAACGAGCGGTACAATGTTCGCCATCACATCGTATACGACTGATGTCACTTTTGAAATGAATGAAGCGTTGGATTGGTAAGCGCGGTGACGTACCACAAGGCATCAACGGGAGCGTATCCACGGCGCGGCGGTGTCTCATGTGCGCTGAGTCACTAACGGACGGCATGCTTCTCATCAACACTGCGCTCCGATGATCGGTGGCGGAGGCGGTTATTTTGGCAGGACTCCTTACTTACTCACGCGGTGGCGGGGCTTGTCTGCGTAATGACAATTTGTTAGGACGTGCGCCAGGTAAACCTTGAATACTTGTTATCACTTGGAACAACCAAGGGTACCATGAAAAATATATGTAACTTAAGGCATTGTGTATCCAGATATGGTTTGTGGAACCTGCCTCACTTACACCATAGAGGTGCGATTCGAAATACTACGGTAGTTTTCCCCACTTCGCAGACTACATCTGATTAGTAAGTGTACGGTAACGGTTGTCATCATGCTTACTCCTTTTCGATCGGCGCTTTGCCGCATCACACATCACGTCCGCCAGACTCCCACAAAAAGCTCATTAATCGAGGAAACCATGGAAGCAGCTCTGTTTGGATAGTGCCGTGCTGTATACCTAGAGTAGTTCAGAGTTCCATCTCCCGAGTAGAAAAAAAGTCAAGTAACACTCCTTCAGTTTCTATGGAGTCCAGTTTACTGTCTCGGACAAGGGAGCGCAGCCTGTAGAAGGATCGATCCCGATCGGCTCGGATAGCTGGATACGGGATGTTACTGAAGGAAATTCCCCCGCGCGATCGAGAAGAAATCGATAGGAGAAAGAAGCGAACTATCAATCGTGTCAGAAAACCATCCCCGCGTGGCCACCAATCAAGCCCTCAAGGCTCAAGTGGATAAAGTCTACACCTGCCAACAATGATATTTCATAAACAGCGGATCGGCCAAAACACTGCGTGTTCTGCGTAGCGATTCCAGCGGAGTTTGAGTCTGTAGTGTTAACAAGCTTACGTGCGTGCCAACCACGGAAGGGGTCATCGATGCCCTTGCGGCAGCCGCTCCCGCTGTGACTTGGGCCTCCTTGGACGTTGTAGCGTGCGCACCTCAATAGTGAACGCTACAGGAGGCCAAGACATGCCGAGGAAAATGATGGAGGGTCGGTCAGACCGAACATTTGCGCAGAACTGCTGCAGGCAGCCGCTCTACAGCCTAAAAGCCTTCTGTGCCTCGAGCATATCGGTGTCTAAGAGGTAGCATATAAACGTGACCCGGTGGCCCCGAGCTCTGCAGTCGCACGACGGATGCGATCCTGGTCGTGTGGCTTCTGCAACAGGTAACTTGTCATATACATTTTACTTCAACCATGCACACGTAGCAGGGTGGGTGCGCACGGAGCAGAAGAGGCAACAAAACTGTAGAACATCGCAATGTTCTACAGTGGTTTTTGGCGTATAGCGTATTTAAATCAGTGTGTTCTGCAAACGCTTCCAGAGGAATTCTCAATGCAGCGGGTTACCTCTTTCCAGAGGAAAAACTAACCCTCTGTTTGAAATCAGAGATGCTGCGGACACACCCTAAGCAAATACGTTGCTACTCAGACACAACGCATCGGTCTTAGCAGTAGTTCGGTCTACATGACGGGAGTGAAACTTCTATTGCGCCCACTCCGTTGCGCAACGGAAGGGATGCGTCATGACTCGTATGTTTTGTCTTTATAAAATTATGTATGTACCGTTGCGCAACGGAAGCTAGAAAGAAATTTATTGTTTTATTTCTACAGTCTACCTTTTATAATCAATATGTTGCTCCGTTGCGCAACGGAATATAAATACTTGATTTTAGTATTGATGTAAACCTCTTAAGAATTATATTATGTAGACTGTCTCTCCATCCATTTGTGGCTTACTATTAATAGAGGCGCGTAATGGCAGCAAGCTTTTAGCGCTCGCGGGCGTTTCTCCAGCACTGACCGGGCGGGCGACCATCTACGGAGACGAAGACAAGTTATGCGCTGGTAAGGTAGGTAAAGAGCGTGTGATCATCCCGTGCTATGACTTACGCTGTGCACTGCGCTCGCAGGGGGTTCATCTACAAAGAGGAAGACAAGTTGTACGCTGGGTAAGTTTGGTAAAGAGCGTGTGATCTTCCTGTGCTAAGAATTATGCTGGGTACTGCGCTCGCAGGGGGTTCATTAGCGCTTGACGGCCTGGCGCCCATTAACAGCTCAAACGGAACGTAAGGCGTAAGGTACGCAGTGGGTGTCCGCATTAAGTGCCTGTGCTCTTGCATGTCTAATGTTTACGCTGTGGTAGATGGGCGGCACTCGAGTACTCGAAGAACCCGGAGGACCCAACAATGCAAAGCAACAAAATCGGCTGCCATCCTCGCGCCGAACTAAAACATCACGAGTAAAGGCGAACATTGCTGCTGGCTTCACCGCAATCGATAATGTTGTTCCCCAGTTTAGCCCGCGGGTATTTACCACTTGGGACCAAGTGTTTTCAGCCGCCAAGAGATACGAAGAACAGTTTCATTTGAAATATCGCAGACGAAGCTCCAAGTCGGCCAAGAAACACAACGAGTATGTGTTGGTATTATTTGATATGTGTTCAGTATTTAAAAATTAATCGTGGATTTATGTTATGGCTATTTTACAGAAACAAGAGAGCTACTCCAATTCCTGATCGCTTCGCTTTTAAATTCGTCGACTTTTGGTGCACCCACGGGTGCTATCAGGAATCGCGTGCTAAAAAAGTCCGCGACACCAATGTCCGCTTCACAGATTGCCAAGCCCGGTTCACAGCATCCGTGGAGCAGGTATCTGGAGTTTGGGGAATATATATTCTCAAAGAGGTGCGATGCCATGTTTTGTTTTCTTACATTAGAGGTACTGATAAATGTGTCGTATCTTATTTTCTTACAGACATTCACACACAACCACCCGACGAACGACGCAGTGTCAGATCTATATTTTTCTGCTAGCGCAATTGTTGAAGAACGACCCGATGTTGTTGATGACGTTGCCAAAATGCTGGACGTGCGCGCTAGTGCAAAGCATGTTACAGCATTTCTCTCCGAAACGCTAGGTTCGTCGAATCTTTGGATTTTTTTATGCTTCAAGTTTACTTACAAATTAACGTATGCAGGGAAAAACATAACACCTCAGCAATCCAGAAACATTATACGGAAAATTGAAGGGGAAAATAGCGCGGAGTCTCGTGCTCGACGCATGTTACAAGAGTTTGTGAAGACAGAAGGAAACGATGCAACAGTACTGCAAGATCAACACGGCATCATTTGTGGGATAATAATGCAGAGCGCTGCTCAAAAGAAGTGTTTTCAAGAGTGGGGCGACTGCCTTCTGATGGACCGGACTCATGGCACGAATAATCTCGGGTATCATCTGGGTAAGTAATTTGCACTGGGATGATATTTTGTACAGTACTCATAGTTTAATGTGCACGTAGGGTCACTTCTAGTCACATGTCCGAGCGGTCGCGGGATCCCTGTTGTTGACTTTCTGGCGCTGAACGAGAAAAAACGAACCATGATTCGTGTTCTGGATTTTTTCATGTAGAAGAATCCTTCGTGGGAGAAGATAAGGACGTTCGTTATAGATAAAGATTTCACGGAGTGGAAATCTTTGGAGATGTGCTTTCCGTCGGCGAAAGTTATTTTGTGCCAGTTCCATGCTATCACCTATTGGAAGAAGCTCCTGCAAAAACGAAAATACAACGTCAAAGTTGGCCAAAGAGATGAAATCATAAAGCTTTTCAGAAGAGTGATGTTCAGGTACGAAGCATGCGGACAAACATCATATATTTTGAAAATACTGACAGACCTGTGTTATGTTTTGCGGTAACTAGTCCCACCAAATCGCTGTATGCGACGGCGTACGATGCGTTTGCAAACTTCTGCAAGAGAGAGTGCCCAAAAATTCCCGCCTACTTTGATAGGAACTGGGAGTCATGTCGTGAAATGTGGGCAAACCATGCACGAGGTCTTGTTTTTCCGCTGCTAACACTACCACCAACCGTCTCGAATCGAACTGGAACCAGTTAAAAATTCTACTAGGACACAAAGTAGCACAAGTGCACTCGATCATACACGATCCAAATTACTTTCAGTCTCTTGGAGAAGCTATTTCGACGGAATACGTTTGCTTGGTGCGCCTTCGCATTATGTGGTTGCTACTGTGCCAAACGAAGGAACGAAGTAGTGAGCCAGTAGCCGAGACGATCAAGAAGAAGATCAAAGAAGACTTTGGTGCATGGGTTTAACTTTACAGGAGTAAACTATACATTTTTTTAGCATATTTGCGGACTTTACACGCGTATTTTTGTATTCACGCAGTGTGGACATGCGTCTGTTTGGTACTTTTGCCTCGTGGAGACGGACTCACAGCTTCATCCGGTCTCGCTGCATGCAATTTTCCCTTTCGTCAGCCGTCTAGTGATGAAGGTCACAGTATCGGCTTGGATCTTGCTTATCCAGGCCTTGGGGATTCGGCTGATGGCGAGCGCATTTATGGCCACCCTGGCTCAACGTAGGTGTTGCTCATTCAGGTGCGGCACGTGTCTGCGTACTACACGTAATTTTACTGCTAAACTTGGTGCTCCTGCCGGTAGTGGCCTTACAAGTACTGGCTTCGGCTACTGGAACTCGTGTTGAGCGCGGTGTTGGTGCCGGTGCTGACCTTCATCCAGTCGGCGTGTCTGTTGCTACTGTAGGCCTGGGCATCCCGGCGCCGGCGTTGGTTCCTCCTCTGCGCTGCTGACCAGTTGGGCTGCTGCACTTGGTGCCGCGGGCAGGCTTGCTGTTGCTAGTCTTGGTGGCGTCGACGTGTCTGTTGGTCGTCTTTGTCTCTGCTTCTTGTCTTTTTTGTTCTTCACAACCAACTAACCAATAATACACTCGAAATTGCTACTTTATTACATTAAGCATTCCGTTGCCCAACAGGTGCTGAAGCAACGGCGATACTTTCGTTTGATTGTGCTTCCGTTGCAGTAACGAGACTCAGTGCCGGGTCCCCACACATCCACAATCCACACGTCACACTCGTCTCTACCGGATCTCCATCACATGCGACCAATCACTGCTCACCGAATGGTCCACGTATCCATGGGGTCGGACATGGGTGCAGACAAAAATCTGTTTCCACATCGTGTCACTGTTATGAAAGTAACGCGAAGCAGATTCGGCGCGGAGATCTCTTTGTCTCTAATAACACGTACGAGGAGGCTGCTAAGACGGTGAGAGTCGTATCCACCAGTCAACTCGAAGGATTTCACTTCGTCTTGAAAAAACTACTCGTCCGCACTGTGTCAGCTCCCGTTGGTTTGCGAATTCTTCACATTTTTATTGTTCGCCACAATCTCCGCGTTGGGACAAAGTTTGGTCGTAATGCAAATTTAGGGGAACTGGACTTCATACAACTAGCTCAAGCTGCATTGCTAAGTCGAGGCGCGTTGCCAGAGTCGGCACAATTGGAGTTTGCGCTAACGATGCTATCCCAACCCCAGATTTCTCCGCAATACCGCTCAGCCTCACGCATAGACTTTGATCTCGACCAATGGAGACGAATTTTTGAAAATGCGCGTGTAAGCAATGCTGGCATTGATGCTACACTTACCGCTTCTCGACGCCACAAGAAAACAATAAAGGAACTATTTTTCAACTGCGCAAAAGTTGCCCAGTCAACCCCCCTTCGCACGAAAGCGTTTTTTGAGTCGATGCAGCTGACTGAGACTTCGTACGAGCCATCCTCTGATTTTTCGCTCGAAGAGTACGAGCTGCTGCGTCAAGTCCGGTTTGAGCAGGATCGAGAAGGGGCTGTGTGGAAATCGTGTGTCCTTGTCACGACGATACTTTTCAACATGGTAGTAGAGTTTAACACAAATGTGGCTTTTCGTTTGCGCCGGAGATCCTACTCAACGATCGAGGGGAAGTTAAAGCAAATGTCGGACCCGAAGGTGGATAGCTGTACTAAAAAATCCTTCGCAAGCAGACCTCCGCTGTTCTCGTTTGATCTAAATCGTAAGACTACCAGCACGGAAAATACTGTTTGCCGAAACGTAAACGGTGGCAAGTGGTGGCGAACGGTGACTAACGGTGGCCAACGGTGCCGACAGGTCCCAGGGCATTAGCGATAAACCGAATTGAGAAGCAGCAGCATGATATCACAGCGATTCGCTCGAGCTGCGGCAATAAGCGACGTTTGCTTCGCATTCTCTTCGGCATTCGCGTTAGCTTTTGCTATGAGCAGACGCTCAACCATCTTCTGATGTCCTTTCAGTGTAGCTAGGTGTGCAGTGGTAATTGTCCGGTTCGTCTACAGCTGCCCCACGTGCTAGCAATAAGGCGACGACACTATAGTTTCCGCGGTCTACAGTCGCACGGAGCGCCGTACTGCCATAAGTATCTTTTGCATCAATGAGAGCTCCTCGATCCAGTAACAACCGTGCCATTTCTTTTTTCTTTTCCCCCTCGGAATATATTTTCACTGCACATTTGAGTGCCGTTTCTCCGGTGGTCCCTCTTCCATTTATGTCTGAGCCGCGATCTAAGAGAAGTAAAACAACCTCAGTGTTGGCGTGAAATGCTGCTCTTGTCAACGGAGTCCACCCCGCTCCATCCACAACGTGAAGGTTTGCGTTGTGATCGAGTAAGTATCGAGCTATTTCTGAGTATCCATATTGCGCAGCTAGCAGCAAGGGCGTTTCCATCTTTTGATTTCTCGGATCAACAGTAGCTCCACACTCCAACAGCACTGCAACCTTCCGCATCGTGGTTGATTCGGAACCGTAGCCAAGTATTGCGTAATGCAAGGCAGTCCATCCCGTAGGATCCTGTACATCCACATTAGCCTTTTGCTCCAGAATAGCGCGCAACACCTCAGCCGAGTTACTTCTAGCCGCTAACATCAGCGCTGTGCACCCATTCTCGTCCCGCTCGTCGATGTCATCTACCGTCATCAGTGTTGCTTTCACTTTCTCTAAGTCACCTCTAAGAGCGTTGGATTATCCAATTGTTGTTCTTGCAAAATGCCCACAACAGCTTCCATTCCTTCCGCCATCGCTATCTGAAGAGCCGTTTTTCCAGCTGAATTACGCAGCTTGTAATCTGCATGGTAGCTTAAAAGTAATCGAGCACTTTCAGTATCTCCAACCGAAGCTGCCCACATTGAAGCGGTCATTCCGTTTCCGTCGGCCACATCAACAGCCGCTCCAGCTTTTAAAAAGATTTCGACAGTCGTTGGATACTGTGTCGTTTACAGCAGCGATTGTTCTGTAGCGTTTTGTGCGTCAGAATTCACTTGTCTGTCCAGAAGCTTGTGCACAACATCATTGTTTCCACGTCTAGCGGCATTGATGAGTGGTGTAGCCCCTTCGCTATTCGTCGCGTCAGCATTTGCATTGTTGCCTAGTAGCAGGTCCACCAAATCGTTAAACCCTAGCGACATGGATAACAGCAGCGGAGTGTTTCCAGCTTCATCTCGAGCATCGATCTCAGCACCGTGCTCTATGAGCAGTTGAAGAGCTCCAAGTTGGTGTCGAATGACGGATTGGATTAGCGTCGGTCCCTCTTTCGTATCGCGAGTCTCTATATTTCCAAGAGAATCAAGCGGAAAGACAGTCGGAGCTGTTGCCTCACTTCCCGCTCCCTCTTCTTTGACAATCGTACCCATGTGGTCTTACTCGTCAAAATGTTTAGTGATTTCAGGCTCCTGGACCTCATCTCCTGGAAGAGCGATATTGAACGTTGGCTGATCCGGCTGCGCATTGCTGCATTGTTGTCTTAAAAGTGTTGCTATCATCGGATATCCGCCACATTCAGCTATATCCAGCGCCGTTTTTCCAGAACTAGTGTGCTTGTTCACATCTGCATTGCGGCTTAGCAGAAGCTGCACGATTTTCGTGTTGCCTGTCATCGCTGCAACCATTAATGGCGTCATCCCGTCGCATGCAAGATTGATATCTGCACCATTTTCCAGCAAAATTGTGGCCGGTAACAGCTTCCCCGCCGCGGCACAGTCTAGCAGAATGGATCTTCCTTTGCAGCCCAGGATGTTGATATAGGGCCTTCGAGTCATAAAAAATCGAATCAGTTCTTCCTTCTCCGTCACGCAGGCTACCCAACGGGGTATGCCCCTCCGCATCCGCTAAATCGATCTCAGCACCGCAATCGAGAAGAAACTGAACTATATGCATGTGTCCCGCGATCACAATGGTGTCCGACCCTCCCTGCACTTTGTGTTGACATTCGCCTTCCGCTCGATCAAAAGCTGTGCAACCTCCAAATGCCCATAAATTACAGCAACAATCAATGGAGACCACCGGACAGCATCTGTGCAGTCGACTGCCGCTCCATGATCAAGCAAGATACGGACGATACTCGTTTTTCCTTTCTCCACGGCAACGCACAATGGAGTCTTGCTTGCTTCACCTCCTGCGTTGCAGTCTGCGCTGCGCTCTACAAGAAGGCGGACCACGTCTGCATAGCCATTTTCTACAGCGATCAGCAAAGGGGACTTGTCGGCATCCATCGTACTGGGGAGCTCTCCGCGATCAAGAGCAGCCTTAACGCCGTCTATATTGCCTTGTCCAACAGACTCAAGTAACGATCGGTGCCTTTCCACCGCTGGTGCAGCTTTCTGTGTATGTTCGACCAGCGTCTGATGCTTGTTTTCAAAGTCTTCACACATTTTCTTACTGACACCTCCTTGCACAGTTACCTCAAGATGATGATTCGCTCTCAGCCTCTGATTCTGAACTCTCCTCGTCACGACCACCGTCACTCTCGCTATCGGCCACTGACTCTTCCTCCAGGGACACTGTTTCTTCTCCTGCGCTGTATGAACTTTCTCTATCGCTATCACTTCCACTCCCACTTCCACTGTGATATTCTTCCACCACCGTGCTTTGAGTTTGCACGCTAGAAACATCATCAATCGAATAATTCTTTTCAGCTGCCTCCTCAGTTTCCGTCCCCGCGTCTTTCACCAGTGAACCCTTGTACTCATACTCGCCAAAGAGCGTCGCGATCTCGGATCCCTGAACTTCGTCAGTTTGAAGCGCGACATTGTGTGTTGGCTGTCTGGATTGTTCGGCGCCGCACAACAGTGTTGCTATCATCGGGTCTTCGTGACTTTCAGTATAATCCAGTGCCGTTTTCCAGGAAATATTGTGCTTGTTCACATCTGGATTGTGGTTTAGCAGGAGCTGCACCGTATCCGTGTTGCCCTTCATCGAAGCAACCATTAGTGCCGTCATCCCTCGTCTACACGACAGATCAATATCTGCGCCATTTTCCAGCAGAATTGTAGCGGGTAGCAGCTTAGCCATCATCACAGAGCGCAGCAAAATGGACCTTCCGTCCCTATCCAAGAAGCCAAATGAGCTCTTCCTTCTCAGCATCGCAGGCTACCCACAACGGAGTTCGCCCATTCACGTCCGCTAAATCGATCTCAGCTCCGCTATCGAGAAGGACTTGAGCCGTATGGAGTTGCCCCGTACTCGCAGTATGGTGCAAAGCTGTCCGATCGTACCTGGACAATGCGTTGACATTCGCCTTCCGCTCGATCAATAGCTGCTCAGCGTCCAGGTGCCAACCGGCAGCAGCGTGTATTAGCGGGGTCCACAGCACCGCGTCAGAGAGGTCGACCACAGCATTATGATCGAGCAAGATACGAAGGATATTTGTTTTGCCTTGTTCCGCGGCAACACACAGCGGGGTCTTGCCTGTTTTAGCCCCCGCATTGCAGTCTGTGCCTTGCTCTACCAAACGTCGGACCACTTCTTCGTGGCCATTTTCCACAGCTACCAAGAGAGCCGTTCGTTTGTCGGAATCTCTGGTATTGGGGCTCTCTCCCCGGCCAAGAGCAGCCCTGACGCCTGGTACATCGCCTTCTAAAACAACGTCCTATGATCCTCGACCAATTCCACATTTCGCTGGGATGTTGTGGCCTCCCATGCGTCAGCCCGCATCTTCCGTTGGTTCTTCAACTCTTCAAAAACCTTGGCGACGTCCGCATTTCCCATTCCCTCTACCAACTTCAGCACTGTTTTCCCTTGCTTGGTTTTAGCTTCGAGGTCTGCCTGGTTTTCAAGGAGAAGGCGGATCAAATCGACGTGGCCACTTCGGACAGCATTCATCAGCGGAGTCCACCCATCCATGTCCGCTATGGCTCAGCAGCAAGCGAGCGATCTCTAGTCGGCCTTTCAAGACTGCAATCGTCAACGCTGTTTGCCCCACTGCATTTTGCAGATTGACGTTTGTTCTGCCGTCAAGTAAAAGCTGCACACGTCCTGATGGCCGCCATCAGCAGCCCACATCAACGGAGTCCACCCTGTCTTGCCACTCAAGTCAGCATTGGCATCGTAGTAGAGAAGCAGACTCACCACCCCAGCGTGGCCTTCGCGAGATGCAAGCAACAGAGGAGTCTAGCCATTCCCGTCCTTGGTATCCACAAGCTCCCCACGTTCTAGAGCAAGCTTCACATCTACGACCACCCCTCTCCTCGAGGCTTCCAGCAGCGACCATTGAATCCCCATGTCCAACCAAAAGAGACCTTGCAACGTATGCCCAGTCTTGAAAAATAGGAACTAACTTCTCAGCAGAAACACAAGCAAAACTGATCTGAGCTGTGCATAGCGGCTATAAGTTGACCTGGTCGTTCTCGGCTATAGCTATCATCGGCGGACGTGTGACATCCTGCAACGATGTATTTTCATCCCCTGTTCATCTCATCTCAGTCTCGAACTCTTTTTTCGTCACCTCAGAATCGCGCGTTTCGTTCGCAATCCACTCCGAACCCAACTAAAGTGGGTCAGCACGTGGCCACGCGTCCGCATTCTCAGCGACAAACTCACGGAACGAGCGCGGCTTGCGTCCCAGCACCTTCTCCAGTACCTGCGTGTCCACTTTTTCCTGAGCTCCAGACTCCAGCGCTCGAACCACCGCGAGTTCCTCCTCGATGGCGTCTCCAGGGACCCCACGCACCCATCTCGCCGGCTGGACGGCCCATAGGGGGAAGTGCGAGTAGTTCACCTTGTCTCCAATGCCCTCACTCAACAGCTTGGCAACGTCCTGGAACGTCAACGCCTCGGGCCCCGTCAACGTGACCACCCCTCGCTCTCCAATCCCCCCACCCTCAACCTTCTCCTTCTGCAGCAACAACGCACTCAGCGTCTCCGCGACGTCCAACGGATGCACGAAGGCGACGCGCCCCCTCTTGACGCTCGTGGAGAGCGTCCTCCCACAGACCAAGTCGAACAGCCGACCTCGCAGGAAGGCGTCCATCCCCGTGGGGGTCCGTAGAACGAGCAGGTTACGAGCCCACCCGTCGCCATCGCCCTCCCCACCCCCAAGTCTGAGCTTCAACTCTCGTTCTACCTGCCAGGTCGCCCTCCCAATGGCAGAAGGAGAACGTTCCCCCACAAACCCTTCGGTCCACGATAACTTGGCGACCAAGTGGTCTCTGGACACGAGACTCGCCACGTTCTGCTCGCACTGAAGCCACTCGTCCGCTGGGTTGCTCGGCAGGTTGACGACGTCGTCCCCGCACCCGCTGGCGGCTAGAACGACCGCGTCACAGCCCCCCAAGGCCTCTTTGAGGTCCTTTGGGTCGGAATAGTCCGGGATGGATTCGTGTTCGTGGGAGGAGAAGAGGAGGGACGGGAGCTGGGAACGAAGAGAGTGGGCCAGGTCGCGCGACGTGGACGAGATGAGGAATTGGACGGGAGGGGCAAGAGGAGACGAGAAGCGCGAGGAGAAGTGCAGCAGGGACGTCGCGAACGGCAGCGAGCGGCGCGTCACGGGCAGCAGGAACGTCGGCATCTTGGCGTCAGTATGATTGTCAAAATCTGTGTCTTCAACGAGAAGCCGTACAAAAATCCGTATGATGTTTTTCTATTCTCATACGGGTTTTAGCGTATGTTTAATCCCGTATGTTCAACTAAGCCGTGCTAAAGCACGGAGAAGCTCTGGATTTTATCATGTAATTTTGATTCTAGGTTTGATTCTAAGGTAATTTATCTTAAATATGCCTAGCAGTTCTACCCGAGGTTCTTTGGTTAGAGTGAAGTATCCTTATTTTTTAGCAGTTGGTGCTTTTGTCTTTATTCGGGTTTGCTACCAAGTTCTAAAACCATGAAAGCGTGCACTGCCAACTATATCAAGCCCTTACGCGAGCATGTACTGGTCACTCGCTATGGCTTAACTATCTTGCAATAATATGCAGTCAACGTCAAGGCTTGAATGCGGCGGTAACGACGTGCAGAATGGTTGAAACGAAACCAGCATCGTTTGAAGACTTCAACGACACCCACGGCTTTAAATTGAAGTGGTGGGTGTTCGTGGGTGTCGTTTCATGACTTGAACGTGGCGACACCGATGTAACATCGTTGAACATACATGTACTGCAAATACAACTGTAGTTATGTTAGGAGTCATGGTGGAGCGACATCCGATCGATCGTGTCACGTGAATGTCGACCCTAAAAGACTCTAGCAACACGCCGCTGGATAATTTATAATCCAAGCGTTTATTAAAGTTAACGGGTACGTTCCGATACGTATATGATTCGTTCGTTTATAACCGATAGCGGAGCATGCATTTTTATAGTGATTTGCACCTGTAGTCGTATCGCCCTAACAACTCTGGATAAAATCCAGAGAACACTGATTTTATTGTACCCACTTCACTTTCGCTATCGTCTCCCTCAAGCACAAGCGCCAATGCTGCCGGCTACTGCCGTCCGCGCCGCCCTGCCCACTGGCGGATGTTGGCCTTGAAAAATGGGGTGGCAGGAAAAAAAACATAGGGGGGCAGGGCTGAAATCGGCAAAATCGGGTCGAAATCGCGCCCCCCCCCCCCCCCCCTTTTGACTGAAGATCCGCTCTACCGGCGTTGCGCCACAACTCGTTCGGCCACTACCACGTGTCTGCCACCTTCGTGGTGCCGGAGGACCCGAAGCGGCCACAGGAGGCGTGGGGGCTGAATCTCCGAGAGATCCTGGAGGCTGTGGGAGACCAGTCGCAGGCCTGGGCGGCGCGCATCCAGCCGGCGCTAGGCGCTTTTCACGAGTCGTTCGACTTCAAGCACCTGGGAGGCGACAAGAAGGAGTAAATACAGGTGGCAGCTTGATCAGCACAGGACGAGTCGGGGCTTCACAGTGGGTGCAGTGTTCTTCGCCCCTTTCGATAAGTACACGAGGTTGCCTGAAAGTATAAAGATGTAGTGTCTTTCGACCCTTTGCTTGCTTGAGAATCCTTGCTTGGAGGTGAAATGAATTCTGGTATTAATGCAGCCGCTGCGGCGCAAGCCGCAGTGGTTTCTGTTAGTTTCTCTTTGCTATATGCCTCCTTACTATGCAGTATACAATTGCTCTGAGAGTTCGCCCCGCTCTCATGCAAGGATGGATTCGTTGCTGTCACTACGAGTACATGTACTTGCGGGGGGCGCTACCGTCAGAACCTGCGGTTTTTAAACTGAATTACGTTGGGCTGAGACAGGATCACTGACTTACTGAGGCGATTTCTTTTGCACTACACCACGGATATGTCGACCTAGCGAGGCAGCTCCTCCACAAGGCAGACCCCAACGATCTTGGATCTGCGCTGGATATGGCTGGCCACGTCGAAGTTATAAGGCTCCTACTTGACGCGTTGGAAGATCAACTCGAGGAGGACGAAGTGAAGATGCACTGCATTACTTGCGCGATGAAGAATGCTAGAAGAAGCGAAGCTGGTGGCTGCCCAAAGCGGATCCTATGGCATTCTTCCCGCGTTGGGACTGGCAGTGGTTGAGAATAAAGTGGCGAAGGCGGAGGAGTTGGTGATCCTCGTCCATGTCGCTGTCGTCGGAGCACTAGTCGCTACGCCTTTAGTGTTCAAGTGCCGCTCCAGCTTGAATCAACTCACCAGCTTAAAGCGGCCGATCTTCTGATGCACCAATCGGGTTCAAGGTCGTCTTCAACTCTTGTGCTCTGGCAGCGCTTAAAGTACACCTGAGACGACCCAGCAACTAGTCGAAGTCGCTCTCAATTCTCCCTTCGCCCAACCAGCCGGCTCCAAGTCCTTATCGCCGGCGAATCATGTCTCGAACCTCAGTGCTACTCTTCCCCGCGGATGTACCAAGCGCACAGCTGGATGGCCCCAGAAGTAACGGCAAGACGTGGGGGTACAGTCCAAGTGACCATTCTACCCCGCTCGGACGATGAGGAGAGCACCTCGGCCACAATCACGCGTGCCGTGGCCGCGGCGAGATCAGTTCCAAGGTCGGAGCTCAGCACAGGCCAACCCGGAGTGAAACTTTTCCTCCCAGTCTGCTACCGCGTTGGCGACGTGTTCAGGCACGGTCAAATTACGGCCTACAACAGCACCGTGTACGTTGTAAGCACGGAGGGAGAAACCCATGAAGTCCCGTTCAGCGCTCCCACCGAGATTGCTCCAGCTGTGGCCGTACTACTGTGGAATGCGGTCTTGCTTGAGGACGTTGCTTCGATGTCCGATCTCGAAGCGGCCCACGCGCTGATTCTGGACCGCCTACTCGGACAGAACGGCCAACGGGCCACCAAAGCCATTTCCAGACTGTTAGCAGGAATCGCCACTCGCCAATCCAAGCCCAGACCATCGGCCATGGTGCCGTGGGTATGTCCCAGAACGGGTCACGAGCTTCTAGTCAGCGTCGTCGACGTCCTCAACTTCGCCTTCTACGTAGACGGCGGGCGGGCCATACCCGCTAACGTCCGCGTCGGAGCAACGTTCCTCGACGGCCCTGCCACCCGCCCTCGCGAAGGCGCTGCGGCAACGCGATTTGCAGATCTACTGGACGCGCTTAGTAGCGATCATCCCGCGCCAAAACGCCGACGCACAGTGCGCACTGAGCAGGCGCCGCCGACACGTAACCACAGCCCAAGGTGATTCGCGCGCTGAACCCGCTACCGCCGACCCGGTGCAAGCGATATTGCACGCGTTAGCTCCGCTCCGTACCCGTCGGTACTGGCAGATTACGCCCAACAGCTGCAACGATAGCGGCAACAGCGACATCTCCAAGTCAAGTGACAGGAATGAACCCGTCAGACCTGATCCCAGTGAACGAACCAAGTGATCGACGACAGCAGAATTTTCGCCCATCTCGTGCCCAACAAGAAGTACACGACACCATCTCAGCACCAGCATATATAGGTAAGGACGGAGACGTTTACATGGACCATGTACGGACCTCAACGGCAACCAAGTTTCTGGCTCATCCGGCTATCGCTTCCCGACTGTTCGACATCGAGTTCAGCGCGTGCGACTTATCCATCCTGCATTTCCCACGGTTTGCCCTCGACAGCCAACTCAACCGATCAAAGGCGAAGGCGGTCAACATGCGCAATTTCTCCAGCAAAGTGGCGTTGCCCGAATTACCTGATAAACCACCTCACCGAAGCTCTATCCGTGCTTTACACGTTTGCAAAAGAGTTTTTCAACGAGGAGACAAGAGACGTCTTCGCGGCCGCTGAAGATTTCGGGGAACAACTGGAGGATTTTGCCCCGTGGAGCTCGTCCGAAGTCCACATTCTCGCGTTCTGGTTCTCCAACATCATCGGAGCATATCGCCTTGCGGTTGTTGAAGACATGCGATCGGGGTCTAGCACGCGCCATTCGGTCCGTTTCCGATTCACGATGCAAGACCCCGAGCTGGCCGGATTACTGGTCAAGGCCTCACGTGCACGCGCGAACCAAGCGTCCGGGACAAATGGTCCATCACCTACCCGGGACAGCACCCGAGCGGTTCACAAAGGAGGAAACGACGCTGTGGCTCGGCAAGGAGTTAAGCGTAGGGACCGTAAGGTACTTCAGGAAATCTCGGCCCAAGTTCCAAAGAAAGACGGACGCCAGCTCTGCCTCCGGTATGCTTCTGTACAAGGGTGTTCGTCCAAGAGCAAGGACCGGTGCCTGCAGAGCTTTTTAGCACACTTTGAGCCGGCCGAACTACCAGAAGCCGTAGCGGCGTACATACGGGACACCTACGGCGGCGTTCGGACCTTCGCGAAGCAGGAATGAAGCCTGCGAGTGCCATCGACACTTGCCGCACACCCACGGGTGGGATCGCGGTCTGTGGTATCAAGAGTAATCGAGCTCCTAGAACAGCGCCTACAAGCGTCAGAGAAAACGCGCAAGCAATCGCCATTCGCAGCCTTTGAAGCAGCAGACGTCGAACCACCACACGGCATACCAGCGGCGAATGACACTGGGCCACGACCAACGTTCTCGCTCGATCACGACATGGTACGAGCCATTTCGCTTCTCGTGACGCGCACGAATATGACCCTCGCTGAAACGATTCGTCTCTGGCGAGGCCAGTCCGCGTCATCGCCCACACCAAATAAAGCGCTGGTCCACGATCACTTCCCGTGGCTACTTCACGAGTACGAGCACGTCAACCTGCTCATACGTACAGCCACACAGGGTGTGAAGCACGTCTTTCAAGTTGATGGCACTCAACAAACCTGCCCCGTACCAAACCACAAGTCTGCGGCAGTCATGCGCAACGCGCTAATCAGAAGCATCCGAGATGGACAGAGAAGCGGTGCGTGCCTCGTTGTATCGCGAGACGCGGCATCGCGGTGGCGCCTGCATTACAGTCCATTTGGTTGTGTCGAGAAGACCGACGCCGATCTAACAGTCGAAGCGAGAGTAATTCACGATTTATCGTTTCCGCTGGGCCACTCGACAAATGCTTGGTCCGACCAACACAGCATACCCACGCTCGTGTACGAACTTGTCGACATCATCGCGCACAGAATCATCGCACTACGGAAAGCCAACCCAACGCTGATAATCAAGATTATGAAAGGCGATGTGAAATCTGCGTATAAAAACCTACACGTTCACGAAGATGTCAGCGCCTTCTTCGCCGGCTCGTTACCTGACGAAGATGTCACGATCATCGATCTCGCACTACCTTTCGGCTGGACAGGCTCCGCAGCCCACTATGGTGTGTTTGGAACAGCCATATCTCACATTGTGCGTCGCGAGAGCCCGAACACACTCGATCCGACCAATCCTGACACTACCCCGTTCTTTTGTTTCGACTGGGTAGACGATCACGTGTTGGTGGAGTACGAGACCCATGATCGCCTCCAAGCCTGTGACAGCGCGCTTCGGCTAGCCATGACGGCGGTGCTAGGCCCAAGAGCTATCAACAACAAGAAGTTCACCGAGTGGTCGACGAACGTAGTGACCCTAGGTCCGGAATGGGACTCCGTCGCTATGACGGTATCAATGCCCGTATCCAAACTTCAAAAAGCTCTGGGGAGAGTCGAAGCTGTTCTAGTCTCATCTCAGACGACGCGGACTGCGCTAGCGAAGCTACTGGGAAGTCTACGGCATGTCTGCTCCTGCATCCGCCCGGCTAAACCGTTCTTCCAACAGTTAGTGGCACTATGGAAACGCTCACCAAGGGTACGACCGATTAGCCTCACTCTAGAAGCACGTCTCGTTCTCGCCTGGTTCGCCCATATTCTTCGATTTGGACGTCTACGCGGGGTACCTCTCGAGTATTTTTGTGGATTACCTGCTCCGGCGGTACACTTGTACATGGATGCTAGCGATAGCGGACTGTGCGTTCTGAATCCCGTACGACACGAATTCATCCGCCTACAATTTGACACCGTCGAGCAAGCCCTCATCAAGCAACGTCGGCTGAGTATAAACGTACGTGAACAATTCAGCGCACTAGTAGCAGTACTGTGCTGGGGCAAGCACTGGCGATCCTCGAGCCGCACCACATTGACACACGTACGATTCTGGATAGACAACGCCGCCGCAGTGACGTGGTACAACAAGCTAACCAGCACGAATCCGTTATCACAAGAGATGAACCGAATTTTTGGAGCAGTCGAAGCCGAATGGAGCATACGGGTATCAGCCAAACATCTTGCCGGATCATCCAATGTCCTAGCCGACCTGGGGTCCCGCGCATGGTCCGACCCGCAACTTACACTCTGGAACAAACTAACCAATGATTGGATGTAGGTCAAAGTGCCCGACAGCATGAGGAAGGCTTACGACGGCAGCTGGTCGCTCTTCAACAACGCTCCCTTGCCGATACGTCCCGACGACAATACGACTCGACATGGAAGCAATGGGTCTCCTTCAGTCGGCGCATCGGACGATCTCCCTGGCTACCAGAGCACGATCAAGTCGCGCAGTCTCTCCTCTCCAACTGGTGTTTTTTGCCATCGATCGATGGTCGGCTACATGCTTAGACGGACGAGTCGGATCTACCTCCTCCGTGCACGCCCAAGTTAGCCATGTCAAATGGCATCATAAAGTCTATGCCGGGTTCGAACCCGTCATCAGCCCCAGCCACGCCACAGCGTTCGCAGGAATAGTCCTCCTCCTCGACCCCGATCTCCCGTCACTCGTACAATGCTCGAGTGGATGTCCGCCCAAATCGACTACACGAAACCCAAGCAACGCCTATTTCTTGGGGCTGCGCTGCTGGGTTTCTTCTATCTCCTAAGAAGTTCCGAATATCTGGCGATCAAAGGGGGAAGGCGTTAGAGGTCCGCGACGTCGAAGTACTTGACATCACAGGCAATCCTGCGGTCAACTTCGATGACGCGGTTCATGCGATAATAACACTCCGCGGAAGCAAGACCGATCAGCGAGGCGAAGGATCGGCACGTTACTTATCACGATCCGGACATGGCAGGGTCTGTCCGGTAATCGGAGCCTCACTGCTGCTGGAACTAGCCCGTCGACACCATCTAAGGCCGACCGACCCGATATGTTCGTTCAGCAAGTCCCGAATGCTCAAGGCAGAAGAAATGTCCAAAGCCCTGAAAGCGGCTGCAATCGGCACCGGAATCGACCCGCAGCGATATCCTGTCACTCGCTACGCAGCGGCGGGGCCTCTGCGCTAATAGCCGGTGGAGCAGATTCAACAACAATTAAACTTCACGGCAGGTGGAAGTCAAGCGTATTTCAGAGTTACACACACTACACGCAAGAACTGGGAGCACCACTCGCAGCGATGATGGCAGGCAACGGCGACTTGGCATTTTTCGCGATACGAGCACCACTCGTCGCAATGGGGTTCACGCCTAAGGCGTGCCAACGCGCGGCTGCTTCGTAATCTCTTAATGTCAAGTCTTACTTTGATCCCCACATCATGCAGCACGCTAATCCTATTCTATGCCGATGCCACGACCGAAAACCATCTTAACGTGTTGGAATATCTCGGCGAGCAGCACAAGAACAAAGAGAAAACGTCCCCCGTTAAGGCCCTCGAAGCAGCAGCAGCTAAGGGCCACATGGATGTGATCAAGTACCTGCCACCTCGAGTCGGCCGGTGGTTTAACATCAGGGATGTTCTGCTCGCTGCAGCGCTCAATGGCCACGCTGAAGCGACCGACTTCCTGCTGCCAATGAGCTTTTTGTTGGGAGACTTGACCGGGTTGACGCAACGGGTGATCAAGCAAGGCCACCTCAACGTCGTTGACTTGCTGGTTCAGAGCGGACGGACCGAGTTTCATCCATTGTTGCCTACTGCAGCAGGAACGGGCTCGTTTGAGATGGTGGAGTATCTGCTGCCCATGTGCGACGTGGAAAGTATCAGCGCGGCAGTTGGCCCCGCTGCGAAGCACGGTCACGTTGACATGGTGAAGTTCCTGCTCGAGCGCGGAGACGTGGAGCGTATTGGATCAGCATTCGTCCAGGCAGCCTCCATGAACCAGGTGGAGACGATGGAGCTGCTTCTCGACGCCTGGGAGACAAGGTCGTCCAAGGCCGAAGCCAAACTGAGAGCGATCCCCGCTGCTGTGAAGGAGGCGGTGTTGCTAGGCCACCTCGAGGTGGTAAAACTGCTGGCTGATAGGTGCGACCCCAAGCTGATTGACCCTGCGTTAAGGCTTGCAGTGGTGAAGAACAACGTCGAGATTGCCAAAGTGCTGGCGAATGTGAGCACGCAACATGCTATCGCTCATCAAGCAGCCACCGCAGCATCACGTCGTTGCCTAGAATGACGGGAATGCTGCTAAGACGCTGCGACCCGGAGGTATTGGAGGCTATCTTGGAGGACATGGTGGCATGCGATAACCTCGACACGGCGAAGGTTGTGGTGGAAGAAAGCTGTGATGAAGCGATCGATGCGGTCTTAGCGATCGCGGTTGAACGCGACTGCGCCAGTCTGGTCATATTTCTACAAGGACTCCTGAACTCGAGTGTTGCAAGTCAAGCAGGGCAATACATAAAGTAGCCGGGGAGGTGGTCGCCAAGTACGAGGAACTTTGTGTGAAGATTGGGTCAGTTTACCACTTGCGAATGTAATGCCAGTATCATACTCTAAGCTCCTGATTTTCCGGTGGCACAGCCGATGGAATCGCACCCTGTATGACGTACGTTAGCTCTGCGCCTCCGGTGTTGAGTGCTGTTTAATTGCGTCCTGCCTGAATTAATTCCACGACCTTGGCTCGCCCACGTGTCGTCGCTATCACCAATATGCGCGCAACCTTTTGCGCATTGCACGCTTCCAGCAGGACCTTCGCCATCGGGATCTTGTGCTGGGCCACGATGACCTCCAAGGCGAGCTCGACGACGAGTGCATTACAATGTTTCAGCAGCAGCTTTGCCATCTTTGCCTTTCCATGCTTGGCAGCACTAGCTGCCGCATTGACGACTACCGTCAGTTTGCACTACTTGGCCAGCTCCCTCACTAACACCTTATTACCCCTGCCCATCGCCAACCTCGACGCCGGGTGTCACCGCATTCTTCATCGCGCTTACGATGTAGTTCAATTTCAGCCGGTCCTGCTCCGGTCGGTATTCCCAGAAGACTCATCACTCCCACTTGGCCAGCCGACGCTGCATTATCCAACGCAGGCCCAAGGCTATTGGAGTCGGCTCTGTCGAGGAGCCTCACAACGACCACGTGCTCATACAGTGACGCCCAACTAATCGCCTCGTTGACACTGTCCAAGTCGCTTGTGGGTAGTAGCAGCTCCACGATCTCGATATGACCCGATGCTGCCGCTGGGCGCAGCACGTTGCGACCATGCGGGTTGCCACTTGAGATCAGCACTCGAGCCAACGCTACGTCACCAGCGGTTATGGCCTCGTGAAGGAGGTGCGATACATCCTGTGTCGGAGACTCCGTGAGAAAATGCTCAACCAAATCAAGTTGGCCATTTCCTGCAGCTTGGTAAAAGACATCGCGGCGGGTGAGGGAAGGCAAACGTGGTGGCGACTCCAACGCGCGGCCAAGCCTATCGGAGTCCGCCCTGACGATAAGCAGCATCACCAAGTCGACATGTCCGAGCGCGATCATCCACGCGGCGACTGAAGCTGCGGCGCGGGGACGGGCGCAGATGGTGGAGCTGCTACTGAAACACTGCGACGCGCTCACGATCGAACAGGTCCTGGAAGATATCGTGCTGAACAAGAATCTCAAGACGGCGAGGACGTTGCTGGGCGCGTGTGACCGTGGAATGACGCGGAACCAATGGCGTCCGTGATGCTGTCCAAGTCGCTCGTGGGCAACAGCAGCTCCACGATATCGGTTCGACCCGTTGCAGCTGCACTGATCAGTGTCGCGTGGTGGTCGTACTGGTTTCCGCTTGCGAGCAGCAGGCGAACAACATCAACGTTGCCTGCAGCAATAGCTCCTGTCAATGCGGGAGATACGTCATAGGAAGAGCATTCCGTGAGCAAATGCTCAACCATAGCGACATGGCCGTTTACCGTCGCCGGGTACAAGGTCTGGTGGAGTGTGAAAGGGAAAAACGGCGATCCTGCTTCAAGCTGGACCCGACGGGACCGCAGGAACTTGTAGACTTGGACGTGTCTATTTGTCGCTGCTGGCACCAACGCTTCGTGCAGATCGTGGTGTAGTTGGCGCACAGCCACTTGACCACTTCGAGGTGTCCATTCGATGCTGCTCCGACGATCGCCTTGACTGTGCATCCTTCACTCCTCTCGGCATGCAGCATCTGCACGATATCGAGTCGACCGTTTGCCGCAGCGCCGTCCATGGCGTCAGCCGTCCAAGCGCGAGAAGCTCCGTAGTTCCGAATCATGTGCTGAAGGTCGTGGGCAACAGCGCGGTCGATTGTCTCGGGAAGTATATAGTCCGTGATGCATTGCAGAACGTGGAGGGTGCCTCGGGGGCGGGAGCGCCAACGAGACAGTCAGCAGAGGTGTTATCTCCATTCGGGCGGTGTGCTTGGTGCTTCACGTGGTAAACTTGAAAATGATGTGAGGAATGCTACCACCTCGAACCGCGTAAGCATCCCGTTCAATGGCTGGAGAGATGGACGTATCAGCTTGGTGACGCGCCATCTTGGAGTCGCTGCATTCGGGGGGAGGCGCACCGTCTTCGACATTGCTAGCATTGTGAGCTCACAGAGTTACAAATCCTGGTGTTCTGGTGTTGGTTGGTATCGAGAATCTCGGTTGGAAAAATCGGGAGGCACGCGTGTGTGAAGTTGGCTCGAGCTGCCGCGCTTTCAGTGTCCAGCTTTGTTCTCGTCGTTTTCTACTCGCCAGCTTGATGCTACCGCGTGCTGTCGCCTTCACCAAAATGCGCTCAATCATCTGTGCATCGCACGCCGTCAACAAGTTCTTCGCCGTTTTAATGTTGCCGTTCACCACAGCATCTTCCATCGCCAGCTCGAGAGTAAGCGCGTCGCAATATTTCAGCAGCAGCTTCACCATTATCGCCTGACCGCGCGTTGAAGACTCAGCCGCGGCACAAATGACAGCACTGGGCGTGCTTCTCTTGGCCAGCTCCTTGACCATCAGCGCATTGTTATGAATCACTGCCAATCGCAACGCCGGACAAACCACGTAGTATCCGCCTCGCGCAGCCAAGAGCGTCGCCACCTCAACCTCGTCGTTCAGTATGGCGTTCTTCATCGCAGACGTAATGTAGCGCACCTTTAGGGGGTCCTTCTTGGGGCGATCTTCCCACACATCGAGTAAAAGTTTCAGCGTCTCCACTTGACCAGCCGAGGCCGCCCTGTGCAACGCGGGCCCAAGCGTGTCGGGGCTTGCCTTGCCGAGGAGTCTTACATGTCCATAAAGTGACGCCCCTCCCACCGCATCATTGATACTATCCGAGTCGCTTTTGGGGAGTAGCAGCCTCACAATGTCGATATGGCCCCGAAATGCGGCCGCGCACAGCATGCCGCGACTGTATGGGTTGCCGCTTGAGGTCAGCAAACGAACTAAATCAACGTTCCCAGCACCAATGGCCGCGCGAAGGAGGAGCGATACATCCTGTGCAGGAGACTCTGCGAGCAAATGCTCGACCATAGCGATGTGGCCACCGCTTGTCGCTTGGCGCCAGGCCTCGCGGAGGGTTATAGAAGAAAATCGTTGCAGTCGCCTGATTTCAGGTCCTAGATGTCCAGTTCGCAACAGCAACGTCACCACTTCATCGTGGTTCTTCCGTATGGCTGAGCACGCTACCCTGCCTACAGCAGCCGGGTTGCATCCGCTGATCAGCACCTTGACGGCTTCGACATCTCCGCTGGAAGCAGCTCTCAGCAACGCAAAAGTCGTGCAGCACGGGTTGCTGCACTTCACCAGCAGCCGAACCACGGCAAAGTGGCCATTGCTCGCTGCATCCTCCACCGCACTACCCGTGGTTTACACCGATGGCTGCTCTCCACGTTCAACAAGAATTCAACAGTCTCGACGTGGCCATTCGCTGCTGCAGCGTTCAAAGCAGCTTCCAGCGGGGATACCTCGCGGAGAGGGACGTAGTCTGGTAGCTCTTTGCCCCACTCCGTTCGACTTGGCCACGCAGTCTCCGTCGTCTTGGGGGTCTTGCGGCATTGCGCAGACAGAGGGGTATATTGTGGCGCTAGCATCCACGGGACCAGCAATTTCAAGACGGAGACATGGTTGGATCTTGCTGCCATCTTGAAAGCGAAGGCGATGGTAGATTGGTCGCATCGCTTCCGGAGGAAGTGGACAACTTCGACTTGCCCGTTCATTGATTGCAGCAGCTTTCAGAGCTTCGTCAAGGTACAAATCTGGCTCTTGACTCCACGCAGCTTCATAACTAGCCACTTGACCACGTCCAGGTGTTCGTTAGCCGCTGCCCTGGCCAAAGCAGCAGAGGGATATCTTGGAGAAATCTGGAGCAGTCCGAGTTGACCGTGGGCAGCCGCAAAGTCCAGCGCTTGACTAGTGCAGGGACGAGAGCTTCTGTGTACTTGAACTACGCGATGCAGGTCGTAGTACACAGCGGCGTCGAGGTTCCTGGGCTGCAAGAAGTCGTTGACGAGCCGCACAACGCGAGGAAGTTTCGCCAGATTCCGTGGGATTGAGGCCGAGACTGCGAGGAGAGACGTGGTCACCATTGCGCTTGAAGGAGGTTCTTTGAGGAGTGACGGTTTGTCTTGAAGGCGGCGGTGGTGGAAGGATGGACCATCGGCACGAAAACTCGCGTCATCTCGGGGAAGGAATTGCCCGTCTGCATTGCGGCCTGCAAGTTGCAGGCTGCAACATCAGCACCACGCATTTACAGGGCAACGTTACACAAGTTGGCAAAGCTTCGGTGGTCGATGCTCTGTAGAACGGTGAACTCTTGTTGCTCTTGCTTCGGCTGAATGCGGTGCGGCACCGCCAGGGACAGTTGTGTCGAGAATCTATTGGAAGCCGCGAAGAGGAAGCTTTGCTGGGATGTTGCGCCTCGCAACTCGTTACCGTCGTCGTGATCTCAGGCACCACGCAAACTTTCCCAGCTGATGAAGCAATAGGCGCTGAGTGGATGACAAGTCACAACGAGCACACGACTGCACCGCGATAAGAAGATGATGGACACCAAGTGGTTCTGTGGAGTAAAGTAAAAATGCAGCACGTTTGCTATTATTTTACATCGAAAAGCCAAAATGGAACTTGCTACGATAACTGTTGGCGTTGTGTGGATCTACAGGGTGGGGCTAGTTACAGAGATGCTTGGGTCGAATGGTCCAATCCAGCAAGTCGGTGACGCGCGAGAACAGCAGTCGATCGCTAAATTTTTCACGCAGGAGACTTAATACACGCTTCGCCTCGCCGCATGCCTGCGCGCACCGATACCGCAACCAACTCCCGTCTAATCAAAGGTCACAAGGTGAGAGTCCATGCTGCTCAGAGCAATCGCGAAGGCCTGCACCGGTGTGAACGGGTGGGCGTAGTCCATCGAGTAAACCTGGCGGTCCTGAGTGCGGCCGAACAGCATAAGAGTCTTGTCCATGTCGTCAGGGTGAGAGAGCAGGAAGTTCTTCACGGATGCTGCGGCGACACGGCCACCGAAGTCCAGGCAGTAAGCCTCCAGCGACTCGATCCACACAGGCGGCTTGTTGATGAGGTGCAACGCGCGAGCAGTGTCCGGGTTCTCCACTTGTGACAGAATCGTGTCCTCCTTGGTCTCTGGTCTCCATGGCTGCACCTGCCACGACGGAGCACCGTCAACGGCACTGTCGACATCAGGCACAGGCGCAACGAGAGGAAGCGCAACACGCATTTGCCGCGGGGATTTTCCGAACGTGGCAGCATACTGCACCGCACCCAGCTCGGTGGGCACCTCGCCGGTCGTGTCGTACATCGTGTACTGCGATCCCATGTAGTTCTTGTCTAGTCGTGCAACCGGCACAGGGGTGTTAATCGGAATGGCTCCATCCTCGTCCGCTTGGTTGGAGGCGTCCAGGTTCGTCGCGAGCGAGATGATGAAGCTCACCGACATGTCGTACTGGCGACGGCGAACAGCCGTGCACAGAAGCGTGTCCGTGTCCTGTGTGTACAACTCGTAGTTGCCTCCACCGCGAGTGCGGATGTAGCACTGCATCATCAGCGCCTGAGGCGGGGACGGTGCGGTCAGGAAGCGAGCAAGGAAGGTGCTGTTCATTCGTGCAGTGCGAATCAGCAGCTGACGCAGCGCGACATCCGCCGGTGGAGGCGGCTCAACCGGTGCCTGGTCACATGCGCTGACGTGGTCTGCTAGGCCCGCCTTCTTCATTGTCTCGGAGCAGTACGGGCAGTTGACCTTCATCTCGTTAGCCATGCGCTGCGCGTGACGCGACGCCGCAAGCAGCGAGAAGCCAATCGCCTCTCTGCACATGGGGCAGGATCCACGCTCGCTCACCCACCGCTCAATGCACTCCTTGCAGAAAATTTGTCCACAGCACGTGGCTTCCGTTGCATTGGTAAAAACCTCCTGGCAGATGGCGCACTCGAGCATCTTGCGCGTGTTCTCCAGCGCCTCCAGCTGCTCGTCTCTGGGGATCGGCTCAGGCGCAGGGTACGCCTGCGTGCTGACCAGGTTACTCGCAGCAAGCGCCGAGGCTGCGGTTCTCTGTCCCAGGTGTCGGCTTTTCAACGCCGAGTGGATCTCAAAGAGCATGTCAACGACTTCACCCACACTGCGCTGTGTCTCCTGCGGCTCAGCATCGGGCTCAGCCTCGGCCTCCGGCTCGGGCTGCTCCTCGTCCACGTCCATCTCCTCGTGCTGGTTGTCTGCTGCCTCGTCCTCGTCGTTATTCGGGAAAAATCTGTTTCTGCTGCTGCTGTTGCCGTTGGTCGCGACGTTCTCGTTGATGGCCGAGAAGCCCGTCGAGTGCCGCTCGCTGAGTCTTCGCAGGCCGTTGCGGCTGCTGCCCATGAGGTCCACGAGACCCTCGCCCTCCGCGAAAAAGCTGGACACCTCTATGTCCATGTCGAAGCGCTTGTGGCGAGGCGTGATGCGCGGGCTGCTGCGCGGCGACAGCAGGATCAGCTCCGACAGCGTGCGCGTGCGGTGCATCTTGTTGCTGTGTTTGGGCTCCGTGACGACACGCAGGCGGCGCTGCGCGAAGCGCGAGGCCGAGGAGAGCGGCGCGGCGCGCGCCTCTCCGCCGCCGTTGCTGCTGCTGGGGCTGGGCTCGCCCGCCGAGAGGCTCGGGGTCGGCACGAACGTGGACGCCATGGTGCTGAGAAGCTGAGGGCTCGAGGTAATACTCCCCCCTGCGCGGTCGGCGGGGAAGTGCGCGAATGAACCTTGCGGAGCTGAGGTGGCCCGGAGTGATGGTCGCTGGCTGGCTCGAGCGAAATCCGCAAATGACTTGGCTGAAGACGCCAGGGGCCCGTTTGTGTGGCGTTGTGTGGGCGGAAGAGGCATACTGGGGGCAAGTGAGGCGCTTACCTTCCCCTCGGATTTCCGTCCTCGAGTGTCGTAACACAGCCGGGCTCTGCCTCTTCCACTGTGGGGATTTGTATGCGAAAATGTACGGAGCGGCCTCGTCGCGAAGATTCACTTTCCTCTACAACTTAGTACCGTTGGATTCGCGTTTTGACTCGCATCCGAACTCTACAAGTTAAATTACTTGAGTAACCACATGTGCCACAACACGCTCTGTTCTTCACGTATTTTCTGTACCACCAAGTCTCCGCTGCGAATTTTCAACAGCGGCGACATGTTGAAAAGTGGCACTGCTTGGTCTCGGGCGAGCTCACGAGCTGCCTCGCGGCCTGCTGCTTGCGGGCAGCCAACGCGGGGCTCCCGGGCTCGGACTGCAGCGCGCCCAGCTGTCGGCGCCTCTGCTGTCGGCGCCTCTGCTCGCTGGCGGCGCGGTGCTCGCCGCACGATCCAATGCTGCCGCGCTGCGGGCCACGTAGGAAAAGAGGCGGCGGACGGTTTCAACACGCTGGGCTGATGGGTGAGGCCTCCGCAATTGACGCTGGCCATTGACGGCGCCGTGCGTGCTTCGCTGTTCAGCGCTGCCTGTACACGGCGGGGAAACGCCCTGCGCTGCGCTTTTCGATGCGGTTCTTCCCCGCCATTGAAACGCTCGTCGTCGACACTCTTTGGACATGCCGCTGCGTCGCGCCGCGAGCGGAGCCGGGCAAGGCGTTGCACTGCAACCAGCAATGGTAGAGGGGAGCGATATTCGAACAAGAGCGTAGCAAATCAGAGCGGGTGCCGGATAATGCGATACAAATTCCAAGTCTTCGACATGTTCAGCGAAAATTACCGGACAATGCCGTGGACCGGCTGGGCCGCCGCCGAGCGTCGTCAGCTCCTGCTGCCACGAGGGCTGGCAACCCGTGACGAGATCACCTTATCGATGCCCCCGCGTCCTGGTCCCGCACTGCGCCGCTGTAAAACTCAGCGAGAGCGCTCCTGGGCTGCGAGTCCCCCGTGCATCTTCTCGGCGCGGCGACTAACGCACAAAAAAATGCAGCGAACGTTCACTTCAACCAGCAAGCACTTGCTCGGCCCGAAACTTGCCCACTTGCCCTCTTCAAGCCGCGCACCCTGCTGCCGCCGCCACTTTGGACTTTAGAGCCAACGGCAACAAGCAGCCGAAGCAGGTGACTGCTGTCAGCTGTCTCTCGCTGGATCGCGCCACGCTTGACTCGCTCGTGGTGAGCCAGCAGGCAGGCTGTGCTCAACTGGCCGGCTGGCTGGTGCAGCGTCAGCTCGCAATCTGAGCTCGGGATCCGTCCGCTGCTGGCGCTGTCAAGGTTCTCGTCAGGACCACAACAGTAGCGAACACAATGGCCGGTTCCAACGCCGTCTTGGCATCGGCAGTAGTCATCTGGAACGAAGCCCAGTGTGCGGATAGGCGAATAGTTTGGAATTGCCAGTGCCGCCAGTTATGAACTCCAGACCACACGAACAAGGAAGTTTGAAACAGCGTCTTACGTGGTCATGTCTGCTCTTGCGTATCACTAGGTGGAGCTAGATTTAGCTGACTCTTGGTGGAAATCAAGTTTTCTTTTCACTCTTACACAACACAGGCGCAAGTTGTCTATGATGGTCTCGATGTACTATTCGTTTGAAGTGGAACACAATAAGGTGGCAAAAACGCACTACCGCCGCTGTCTACGCGTTCTCGGCGACGTCTTCGGAAGACTCTACCCTTTCCTTGACGGCCTGGTGCATCTCCAGCTCCGTGAGCCCCATGCGGCCGCGCCAGAGCTCGAACAGCCGCAACGGATCCTCGTCGTTCATAGCGTCGATCATGCCCTTCGCCTTGTCTTTTTCGTTCAGGAGGCCGAACCAGTCGCCGCTAGGATACACTATGCATGCAGCGGCATAGCGGTGGCCGCCGTAGTGGCTTGACGTCCACAAGTTCAACGGCTTGTTCGCCTCAGATGCGGAGCTCTTCAGCCACTCCAGCAGTTCCGGACCCTTGCAGCCACAACGCTCGTCTCTGTGGTTCAAACGATAAGTTTTCACATTCGATATTAGAAAACTGCAAATTCACAAGCCGACGTCAGAACGCAGCCATACCTTGCAGCGTGGCCGCACACCATCATGTGATAGCCTTCTTCGATCCGAGTGTACTGCAGGTTCCTGCATGGAGACAAGGCCAACGGTTAGCACTATTATTCTCAACCCAACACAGATAGCACTTTCAATCCACTCAACGTACTCCTGTTCGAGCAGCTTCGGCATGTCCAGGTCCTTCTTCAACGAGTTGCTCACCAGGGTCGAGACTGCACGAACCAAACCAAGATACTCATTAGACAAGTCGTCTCCTTCATCACACAGTCGACCCACACTTACTCTTCGACGGAACGACGTTGTGCACGCGAACACCGTCCGGGAACACCAGAACGTCGTGGGCGCCTTCCTCCGCGTCTTCTGTCGACTCCTCAACCTCCTTCATCCCACCGCTGCACACGCCCGTGTACGGAATGGCCGCTGTCACCATCAGCGGGCTCTTCTTGACCTTCATGACGTCCCAGCCGTAGACTTTCGCCAGCGCGCCCATGTACGAGCTCAGAATGTGCTCGGGCGAGCGCTCTAGCTTGGCGGGCCACGCGTTGGGGTCCGTGTTCTGCGGCTCCACGATCACATAGTGTCGCTGGTACGACCGCGCCGAGCCCTCGATGAACAGCGCTTCGCTCTTCTCCTCCTCCGTCGCCGCCTTCCTCTCCGCGCGCTTGGCGCGGCGCTCGGCGATCTGCTCGGGCGTCAGCCGCGTGCCCATCTGCGGCGCCTCTGTGTTGAAGAAGGCGACGCAACGGCCGGTGAGTGGCAGGCGGGTGACGGTGAGGCGCGTAGAGACGGACTTGGCGAGGCGGAACATGGCTTAGACGCGACGGGTAACGCAGGAGGGCAATGAGGAAGTGATTGACCGGCGGAAACGCCGACGTACTTCGGTAATGGCGCCGGGGAGTAATCTGATGTAATCAATGTGTGCCACATAAATTTATCAGACGGAATGATGGTACCTGCGGCTTCAACTTGCCTCGAGATCGGCGTGTTGCTGCGTTTGCGCGGATTGCGAAGCGAGTTCATTTCATTCATTTAAGCAAGCCGTTTATCGGTCCTCTACTACTACTTCTGCCTGCTCTGCAAGGAAAGCGTGCCCTGTATGGCAACACACTCCAGCCCCGCAGCACCAAACGAATGGCGCTTGTCGCTGTTGATGCGGCACACACGCAGTAAGCAACGTAAGCGCGATCAGGTCCGTTGCTGTGTCGGTCAAGCTGCCTGCATCGGCTGCAGCGCAGTGTCGTCGCCGGCGTCGTTGCCGTCGTCTGGAACAATAGTCCACAGTATGAAAGATAAGGCACGGAGTGAGTGAATGAATGAAGCAGGATCATTCCTTCGTTGCTTTACAGATTGTCAACTCGGGGGCTACCGTATACTACGTAAGACTGCCCTACTCTGTAGGCTCCGGAATGCATTGTAGCATCACACGTAGCGGTAGCGACCGCCGTTGCCGTGACGACTGCCATGATGACCGCCGTGGCGGCCCGAGTGTGCAAACCACTCACGGCCACGGAGGAGTGGAGTGGCTTCAGCATGCTCTTGGAGAGGCTGCTGCTCTCCGGACGGTGGCGCTGAGTACACGGTTCGAGGAGCATCACGGCGGGCCTTGCGCTGTTGCATCCACTCCCTCTTGCAAGCTGGATCAATGTCAGCAAATGGAGAGCCTTGTTCCATTCCGAGATGACCCTCTCCACGGACAGCAGCGAAAGCCCTCATCTGCTCATCCGCCGTGGGCGGCCGGTGGCTCGAAAAGCGGCCGAATCGTCCGTGCGTGACGCCCTCTGCTTGCTTTTTGGCCCCCTCTTGTGAAATCGGTTGCTCGGAGTTCTGCATAGCTCTCGCGGCCTTGAAGCGGAGAACACCGTCTCCAGTCCATGGCTGATGCGGACGCCAGTCACCCCGCCCGTGATGGCGGACTTGTGGTTGAGTTCGCGCATCCGTGAGCGGGTGTCGGCGGGATACGCCGCGACATCCACCAGGACTCGAAGCTCGAACCGTACGAGCCCGGCGGATTGCTTCAGTCAGTTGTTGGCTGGTCGTGGCGGTGCTAAATTGCACGGTGCTGCCAGCGGCGGCGGAGGTCGGTGTTGAATGGCACATAGTGCGAAGAGGAAGGGGCTTGGTGACGCGCTGCATGCTGGAGGAGGCAAATTCCGAAGTGAGTGAACGAGATACAGCATTGATAGCAAAGGAGAAATACTTCAACGAGACTTTCATTCCGGCCGGAATGTGGATCAGTTAGTTGCAGTTGACGGGACGATACGTTTGGAGATGATCGGTTATGCCAGCTCGAATGCAATTTGAGTCAGGGGCCAGCCATTGCTATTCAAGACAAATGCTTTAGCTCGAGTTCATGACTTAAGCTCTAACGCGGTAGTAAAACCTCCGCATTCATTCATGACTTCTGGGTCGAAAAGCTGCAAAATCGCTTCCGTCGTCAAGATGGTGAGCCCTGAGCGCCGCCACAATGTCAGCCTGAGCCACTTGTTGCACCAGTCTTCGCTGCCTGTTGAAATAGAGCAGCAACCGCGACGAAAATGTGAGGCTCTGTCCTATGATCCGACATACAAGTGTTTCGTCGCTCAAAATCTGCGGTAGCAAAGCAACAACCGTCCCCCGTGTGATTCTTCCGGTGAGACTCGCGAGAACCTCTACGACACAGCCTCCAGTGTTGCCTCGCACTTCCTCATCGACCACTTTCAGCACTCGAATGGACTTGACAGTGAAGGTTGGATTGCCAAAGGTAGGGCGGCCTCGCTGCATCACGTACTGGTGGACTTCTCCACTTGCGGCGGGGTCCTGCTGGCTCACGTGAGTACGGGAGCAAAAACTGCTTCGCGCACTCGGGGACAACCCGAAGGCGCCGCCACGCAAGCCATCGAGCAGATTCCACACCAACTTGAGCACGTCACCTTCGAAGCGCTGGTCGTTCAGCAGCAGACGACTGTGATGCACGTCTCGAAGCTCCATCAACTGCTGAATCTGTTGCCGAAGCTCGTTGATGTCCAACGTGAGGTTGCACACACGAGACTCATACACCTCGTGCTCGTGCCGCCGTTTCCGCTGCGCAGCGCTCATTCGATACGGCCGTTTGCGTTGGTTGTCCGGCAACACTTTCAGCACTTGCGTTTGGTCTGGTGCTGCTGGTTCAGATGGCGTGTCTTCACATTGGCTCTCCGGGCTGGAACACAGCAACCTGGATATCTCCATCGTCTCGGCTGCCAACTGCCCAGCGGCCGGGTAACGCAAGAATGAGTCGGACGAGAAATCTTACATTTGACAAGCAAACTCGGTCCCTTTGGCAACCGTCGTTTGACGTCGATCCAGGAATTCGCTGTTGGTATCTCATGGTCTGACGCAAAGGACGGAATCGTGCTGGGACGAGGACTTCTAGCTGACTCAGTCAAACTGACGAAGCAACAGTGCAAGTGCAATTTAGGACGCAGCGCTTTTGACTCACTGGTTAACGGTTGTATGTGCCCTAGCAGTGGTTGACTTTGAATCCGTGCAAGCTCCTAGAGCTTGGTGGCCTCCTGGACGGGCGAGTGCTCGAGCAGGTAGCTGTCGTCCTTGGCCACTTCGCTAGCCTTAGGCGTCGTCATGAGCGACACAGCAACGGTCACGACTGGCGGCACAATTAGCGTCACGATGAAGGTGATCATGCTGTTCTGCGAGTAGAGACCCTCGGGCAGGATGAACCAGTTGAAGCCGCCCACGAATTTGCCCTGAGCAATCACGCCGCATACGAAGATCGTGAGTAAACCAGCGGCGCTGCCGGCGAGCGCACCGGTGCGAGTCGCGCGCTTCCAGGTGCCGAGGAGCATGGGGCCAACAGCAGCCGTGCACAGCAGGTCGGCGATCAAGTAGAGAGTCAGGATGTCGTACTGCTGGTATCCGATCGCGATCGCCGGCGCGTTGAGAAGCACTGACAAGAAACAACAAGACGGGGATTAGCACTACAGTAGAAGCTGCGAGGAGGAGGAAGTGCAAGTACTCACCGCAAATGACACGCGAATGCATGAGCGAAAGCTTGGGGAAGCACGTCGTAAGCTCAGCAGCGAGACCCATCTGGATGGAGTCGGACACTCCGCTCGACAGCATAGCGATGACGACAACGATCAGCACCTGCCAGCCACGCCCCATGTCGATCAGGACGGCGAAGAAGAGAGATCCGTCCGGGTACGCAAGGTACGAGACCATGCCAGCCATCGCAAGCGCAACCGTGAACAGCGCGATGATGGCACTGGCGATGAGCGCAGCCTTGCGAAGCGTGTTGTCGTCGTAGGCGGCGTACACGCGCTGCCAGAAGCCGGTGAAGAAGAGGTTGGAAGCCGTCACGGCAATCACGAGCGTCACAAGCGTCTCAAAACCCGCAGTCGTGAACGCAGCCACATTGGTCGACGACCACGCGCCCTCGGGGATGGATACGTGGAAGAACATGGCAACGCACACAACTGCGACCAGGAAAACCACACCGATACCCTGCCACACGTCCGTAGCGAGACTGGCTCGCAGCCCACCGATGACAAGGTAGAGGTTCGTGAGGAAGGCCACGATGAGGATCGTCACGATCGGGTGCGCGTTCGGCGACATCATGGTCGTGAGCTGCGCGATGCACGTGTACTCGGACGCGAGGCAGATGAACTGGTAGAACATGGAGATGAACCCGACGTAGACCTGCATGATGTAGCCGAAGCGGTGCGAGACCACGTCCGTCATGGTGACGTTCTCACCCAGCGCCGAGCGCGTGTACGGTCCAACAAGCGCCAGCACGATCATGCCAACGACGCCCGAGAGCGCGTAGCCAATGACACCCCACGATCCAGCACTCACACCAATCTCCGGGTACGAAAACAGCGTTCCAGCGCCAATTCCAGCCGAGAAGAAGCACCACGCCAGACGCAGCGTCGTCGTCGAGTTCTTGGCGCTGTTGAAATATTGCCGCACAAAATGTAAGCGTACTGCTTCCCACTGCTGCAGCCAAACTGAAGACTGGAAGCGCTCACCTCACGAAGTTCTTGACCGAGTTGACTTCCATGCGGCGACTGACAATGATGGCGTAGGCTGCCACCGCAATGAGCGTGGCTGCCATCACGCCGTAGGTGACTCCACTTGCAAGCATCTTGACGGATCTATTGGAGATCTAGTGCGCGACTTCATTAGTTTTTTGACAAGAATCTCCTCCGCGCAATACAATAACTGCTGGGCTTACCCGGAGGTTTCTGGTGGTGTTCGCAGGCAGGCAGCAGACACGAAGACATAGGCACCGTCAACAACAAGAAGAGCAGCAGTCCCTCCGCCGGTACGAGCCGGATCAGGTTCTAAGGGTCTCATCTCAGCCGGCCAACGCATGGAACTCGTCCATGGCTGGCAGTCGGCACCCCTCGCTGATTGAGTGTCAGTTCATGCAGCCCCAACACGAAGAGAGGGCGAAGCAGATAAAAACTGAAAGAGGGCAAAGAGCAGCTAAGTACCGGAACGAAGGAAAATCTGCCAGGACACTGGAGCGATTTCGCAAATAGGCCTTGGGGCAACGTTGAGCGGGCGGCGCTGCTGGCACCGCGTTCTCTCTTTGCTGCAGGACACGAGTGGTTGCGATGTGTTTACAATCGCGCGGTGTTTGGAAGCAGACGGTTTTGGTGGATGTAAAACCGTCCTCGACGATTGTGAAGCTCTTCAACTTGACAACTGCGCTTTTATCCGGATGACTGGCATCCATCCGGATAAAAACACTGACCACGCAAGCAAAGCAAGCCTGAGGCCCAGTCTTGTATCTCGCGGGATGCGGGATGGGACCAATCAGAGCTCTTTGTTGCGGGTCGAAGCGGGACGCTTTAGGGACGACACCCCCTCTTGTCCCTCTGGGATGTTGTGTGGCGCGGGCCGCGGGATACATAAAATTGAAAGGCAAATGTATCGGACTGCATCTCGAACACACTGCCAGGGTGCCGGAGGTCCTGGCAATAACCGAACTCGTCCCAATCTCGTCCCGCGATTGCGGGGAGATATAAGACTACTGAGAGCAGTAAGGCAAAGCAGCAGTTTAATGTCCATCCGGCAAGGCATGCAGAAAAATGGTCGTAACTTCAAAACTACATAATTGTCGGATTGAGAAGCTAGTTGCACCATTGTAAGAGGAGACACAGACCGACTTTTGAGAGTTTTTGTGTTCGGAGTGCTGCTGTTTTGAGTGGGGGGGGGGGTCAACGATTAACCGTGTTGTTGGTGAGTGCTGCTGTTTTGAGTTGTCTGGACGGACGAGTTCGCGGTACAGAGAACCCCGGTTATAGTGGAGGTGTTTGGCCATCAACTTCACAAGCTCTCTTATAGAGTTTTGCTGTTATAAGAGGGAACCTACCTATTGAACATTTAAACTACTATAAAGCATGGAAGTACGAGGTGATCGACGTCTGGCGCTTAGAGATAATCGCCATTCTCCTCGTCGCATTGACAACGTTCTGTACACTGGTGTCCTGTAATCCGTGAGCAAACATGTAGACCTGAAGCTTTTGAGCTGCATCTAGTGCCTCGCTGTGCGAAAACGGTCGTTCCTCCTCACCACCACAATCACTCTCACTGTCACTTGAAACTTGCTCGCTTGCGTCGTCGCTGTGTGGGCTATCGTCAACAGCATCTTCAACGTCAACGTAGCGTGCCACACTCAATGGATCCAATAGATCTAATCTAGATATCAGCGCTTCTAGATCTTCCAGCTCCGTTTCTCTTGTCATCGGCTCACTGTCGCGCTCAATCCTAGCGCTCATGCTTCCTGACACAACCTAGTATACCGCCGAATTGTCGCATCCGAAACCGCGTTCCATGCGTCCACGACAAATTTTATTGCCGTCAACAAATCTAACCGCTTCTGTGGACCGGTCTGCTCAATCACCCACTGCACAAATAATTTCTTGTACTTCAGCTTGAAGTTTCGAATAATGCCGGCGTCCATTGGTTGCAGGTGCGACGTAGTATTTTTTGGTAGGAAATGGATGTACACATTGTTCAGTTCAATGTCAACATGACCGGCAGCGTTGTCGAGTACCAAAAGTATTCTGCGTCCATGCATCTTGAGATTTAGCGCCCGCACCCACTTCAAAAACACTTCAGAATGCATCCATGCTTTTTGGTTCGAAAAATAGTCCATAGGGATCGCACCAACGTTGACACCTTTGAAGCAGCGAGGTTTCGCAGCTCGATTGATCACGATGGGCTCCAATTTTTCAGTACCTGCCAAGTTGCAGCATAGTCCGATACTAATTCGAGTCTTGTCCTTCTTTTTGCCTGCAACGGACTTGGTCGCTAGCGTTTGACTTGGTAGCATACGGTAAAACAGAGCTGTCTCGTCCATATTGAAAATATCTTGGGGGTTGTATTTGTCGAGTAGCTCCATTAACTTTGCGCGTTGCTGGCCGAGGTCCGCCGTGTCAACCGATCCAGCCTCCCCATGCATATTGTGTAGCGTCACACGATGACGAAACTTGAACCGTTGAATCCACGACAGGGAAATTGTCCCCTCTCCGACGAGTTCATTTGCCTTTGTTCGTAGCACCTCGTCCGAGAGGAGACCCTTGGATTCTTGAGCATGCACGAACTCCATCAGCTTGTCTTCAATAGACGCATGGTGCGACTTGCGTTTCTTTTTAAGGTTCCCATTGGGAGTGCAGTCAAGTGGCTGGCTGACAATTTTCCCCACTGTCGACAGGCCAATCCTTTTGTTGAGGCGTACGGCGACCCACTGCTGGAGATCGACGTGCTTGAGACTGGGGTGCGCCTGATGATACCGGCGGAGCTCGTTCTTTTCGTAGATAGTGAGGTGCTGACGTGACGAGACCAATATTGCGCTCTTGATCGTGTTTAAAAGTGGGCCACGTGTCCCCCACTCTTCTTACAATGTGTGGTTTTGGTTTGGTGGGGGAGCTCTCTTACACTCTTACAGTCTAATAGCCGGTTTGACTTGCTTTTACTATAGTCAGAATTTGGGATATCGCAGAAACGCTCTATTAGTCGATTTTCTCTTATACCCGGCGCCAGTTTAGCCGGAGTTCTCTGTGCATCGGATTCAGCCTCTAATCAGTTTAATGGCCAACTTAGACTTGATTTAACTATGTGTGGGATCTCGTCTGATCACGCTCGGTACCACTGAGGGTAGGGTTATAAAACCTCTCTTCCCTCATAACTTCGTAAGCTGACCACTTTGTTGGTGTATTACTTGCTCCAGATCCCTTCCACCCTCCGCTGTCGCCATGCTCGGCGGAGCTCGCGGAGCATGGTTTCTAAAGGCTACTCCTAAAGGCTCACGAGCTCATGACGCCTCACCCCTTATATCTCAGTGCAGGCGTCTACTAACGTAAGGGCTCCTGAGTAGATGAATTGCTGCTTGTCTACTAGTATACCAATAGGACACGCATTATTAATAGGTAGCTTTACCTGTCTGAGGCTAGCGACAAGCGCAGCACCGCAATGCGATAGTTAGAGGACGCGACTGCCACGCCTTCTAGCCTGCCCTACCAATATTCAGCGCTCGTCTCTTTGGGTGCATTTTGCAGCAGAGTTAGTGATAGGGCCCTGCAGGAAGCTTCTCTACGGAGTCGTCCACACACTGATATGGTGCCCGACCGGCCGACTTACTTGCGAGCGGTGTCATAAACAATGCCAAACGCTACCCACCACATACCTATGCCAGGGTATATACGTACGACGAAAAATGCTGCGGGGCAGCAGGAAAGAGAAGGAAGAGCTCTTCCGAGCACTGTTGACGCGCGGTGTGTGGCTGGTTGGTCCTCCCGTGCACAGCTTGAATATCAAGTCACTGAGGATTTCACTTGAAATCGGCTGTTTTTATTTTGGCAAATCATATCTAGAAAAAGATGGCTACATCGTCAGGATTGGTAGAAACAGTGATGGCCAATAAACTGCTCGTGGCCATGGAACTGATGATTTGCCTTACGGTTAGCTGGATCGACAGTCAGTGTCGAATGAGTGCGCCAACGGGTGCCGGCAACGGTCTATTACACTATCCACGACTCCACACTGCTCGAGTCCGAGAAATGTTGTCTTGAATGGATGCTGGGTGTAATTTGGCACGAATGTGAGCAAAATGAACCAGCTATCGGAGATGCCTGCTGTAACGGGCCAGGTGTGTGTCCGTTACTAGCTTACACGTAGCGGTGAGGAAGCTTGGTTAATACTCGGATTTAGTGAGACCAAGCAGTCATTCTTGGGTAAAATCAACTCTGTTTTATGTAAGGACCAGGGCGGCTACCCCTGGTCTCATGTGAGCCACTCAAATGCAGGTCAACGAAATGGGGTCTGGATCCCCCAATTCAGCAATCACGATGACCGTCAGTACACGCTAATCGTGTACTGACTTAACTACTTTATGTACTGTCAATCTACCTACTTATGTAAATGGGGCGCATTACATAACCCCCTCTCAAAGTTGCGCTTACGCAACGTAAGTGCAAAAGACACATTTCCGAATGAACACCCGAAGAACACCATGGACGACCGAGGCGGCGGAGGGACGGCGCTCGTGCTACCGAGCGACACAGGACGACGCAGGCGCAGCAAGCTTACACACACCAAGACATCTCGTCGGCGCACACACCGAAGCAACGCGTAGCTCCCCAAGTGGCTGCGGACATCCACGGACACCCGAAGGAACGGCGGTCGTCGCAACGACGCAGCATGGGAAGCGACGCCAACGCTTGACGAAAAGCGCAACTGTGATGCGCACAGAGCGGAGACCCGGCGAGTGTCGATACACAGGATGGCGATCAGCGTGGCGTAGCTCTTCGCGACGATCCTTCGAAGTAACTCCCGACGAAGAGTCGCGTAACCGTCGACTCGAACCGACGTGGCAGCGAGACCAGCTTGGACATCTTCGACACCGGCGATCATCGGTGGAGCGGCGTAGTGGGCAAGCGCTCACTGTGCTGAGCTGTGACTCGTGGGTTCGACCCCACGCGAATCCTTCTTGCCACTTGCCATGCGCAGTCGCTCCAAGCTTGATCAGGTCGCGCGCGTCGCCGTGGGAACTCGAAGTCCAGCTAGCGCAGTGGTCGAACGCTGTGCCACCAAGGTGGAGGTCACCGGTTCGAGTCCGGCGGTCGTCGTCGGGTTTTCTTCTTAGTCTTCGCGGTGAACGCCACCGCGAGCTAGTGGTGGGGGTCCACTTCCATCATCACGGTCAGTTAAGGCTTCAGCTTCCGCGGGGAGCTCCATGGTCTCTTCAGGAACAGCGACCTTCGCCTCATAGTCACGGACAACATCGGGGACATCCCGAAGAATAGCTGCACGCGTCTCCCACGTGTCCTCGTCAGGTGGAAACTACTCGGTAACGTCGCGCGGCTGGGATCGCACGAAGAGCTCGGACTGGATTACGCCCACGCCCGTTTGCACGAGATGGGTCCTCGTGGTGAACGATGCGGTCCACAATCCAGCACGCTTCACCCGCCAAGTCGACAATCGGAGGAGGACCATCGCGACGGTACAGGCTTGGGTGATGGGTGTTGGCGTCGCGAGTAGCCTCGGGTACATTACCCGCCAGTGAATCCTGGTGATCAGAGGTAGGAATATCGGCAGGAAGATATCGCTTGAGGCGCCCAACGTAGAAAGTCGGGTGAAGACGTAGCGACGACGGGATGTCCAGTGTGTACGCGTCGCCGAGGACCTTGATCACCTTGAACGGGCCGATGAAGCGCGGCGCGAGCTTGTTGGCACCGAGGTTGGTCACGGCGGAGGAGCGGATGCCTTCGGTAGACAGTAACCCACGGTCACCCGCGCGAAATGAAGTCATGTTCTTGCGTCCACGCTCGTCTGCATTTTCCTTCTGCCGGTCCACTGCGGCTTGTAGTGCGTCTCGCACGAAACGTGTGATTGCTTGACGCTGCACAAACTCGGAAACCGCCAAGTGATCCGTGGGACTCGCCGAGGACTTCGGTGCATAGTTGACGGTAGTAGCTGGTTGCTGCATCGTCGCTGGAGCGCCAGCGGGGTCGATCAGAGTTCGCTCTGTCCAGTCTGCGAGCGGCGTCACCGCTCGATGCGGTGCGGCAAGGGCCTTCTTCACTTGGGATCGTGTCACTGCATTTGCGCTTGATTCGGTCACTGGGAAGCGTGGCGACGCCTGTGAATTGACCGGCGACGGCTCCGCCGGCATCTCGGTCGGCGGAAAGTCTTCAGCGGTAGCTCCTCCCCCGCCAAGCATAGAGACACGAGCCTCCGTGGGTTGGCCTACGGCAAGCATGGCGGGTACGCGCGGGTGGCGGGCGGAGTTCACGAAGAACGGAGTCATGCCCGTCGACGAGTGCTCGGCGTTGTTCAGAGCGAACTCGGTCAGGGGTAGGAAAGCGCTCCAGCTCGTGAACGACATAGCGTAGCTGCGGAGCACGTCTTCGACGACGCGGTTGACGCGTTCGGTTTGTCCATCCGTCTCCGGGTGAGCCGCGGTGGACATCGGCAGCTTCGTTCCAAGCAACTTGAACAGCTCCGTCCAAAACGCGGACGTGAACCTCGGATCCCGATCCGAGACGATGGAATCGGGCAGACCATGAAGACGGAAGACGGCGTCGACGAAGTGGGCTGCGGACTCTTCCCCAGTAACCGTGGCAGCCACGGGAACGAGATTCACCATCTTGCTGAACCTGTCGACGAAAACGAGGACTCCAGTGCGCCCGTTCGAGTCGGGTGGAAGACCGAAGACGAAGTCCATCGAGACGAAGCGCCAGGCCTACGTGGGGACCGGAAGGGGACGCAGCGGAGCCTGTGACGACGGCGAGGGCTTTACTCGCTGGTAGATCTCGCAAGTGCACACCCACTTGCGCACCCACTTGTACAAGTGGGGCCAGAAGAAGTCTCGCGCCACCGCCGCGAAGGTCTTTTCGCGTCCCAAGTGACCCCCGATCGGAGCATCGTGGTACTCATGGATGATCCGGGCGCGAAGGTGTTCGTCATTCGGCACCACCACTCTCGGGGCATCGAGCTGGTCGATGGTGTATGTCAGCAGGGAGCCATCAAGCCGATATCGCTCGACGTGGCTGCGGGTCGAGCGCGACAGAGCCTTCAATGTCGCCTCGCTTGGAGAGCGGAGGTGGGCCAGGATGCTGGCGTACTGCTCGTACGCTGCGGCGATCTCGTCCCGAAGCGGCATCTTGGGGGCGACGCTTGTCAGGTTCAACTCCGACGTCACACACGTCGCACACGCGTCTTCATCATCTTCATCAGTTGCCTGGCGCTCGAGGCCTTTACGTGGGTCGTAGTCTGGACGCCGAGAGAGCGCGTCGGCGAGGATATTGTTCTTGCCAGGCTTGTAGTGCACCACGAAGTTGTACTCGGAGAAGAAAGACAACCAGCGGGTCATACGTTGGGACAGATGCGGGGATTTCATCGCAGGTCGCAGCGATGCATGGTTGGTGTAGACCGCAAACGTCTGCTCTCCGAGCAGGTAGACCCTGAACTTGACCAATGCGTAGCTCATGGCGAGGAGATCCTTGTCGTGCACTGGGTAGTTCCTCTCTGCCGGCTTGAGCTGGCGGAACTGGTAACTGATCACCCGCTCACGACCCCGTCGTCGAACTGCATCAGGGCACACCCCATGGCAAAGTCGCTCGCGTCGCAGACGACGTGGAATGACTTCGAATCGTCCGCGAGCATCAAAGCAGGGGCGGATTACAGACTCCTCTTCACCGAGTCAAATGCGGCTTGGTGCTCTTCTCGCCACGACCACGTGGTGTCCTTCTTCAGCAGCGACGACAGTGGCTGGATTGACTTCTCGTAGTCCTTGGTGCACTTGTGCAAGTAGTTCGGCATGCCCAGCCACTGACGAAGCTCAGTGGGACTCGTGAGGGTCGGCCAAGAGCAGATTGACTCAACCTTCTCAGGGTCGGCGCGGACTCCGTCCTTGCTCACGTAGCAGCCAAACACCGGGATCTCCGGTGCGCAGAACACGCACTTCTTCAAGTTGGCGTAGAGCTTGTTCTCCCTCATCACCTGGAAGACTTGTTTGCAGGTGCTTCAGGCGGACTTCGACAGCGCTGAGGTCACCTTCGGCGCGACTGTGCACGAAGATATCATCGAAGTAGCTCGGTGCGAAGTCACGGAGCGGGCGCAGCACATGGGAGACCATGCGGGTAAACGTGGCCGGCGCGTTCTTCAGACCTTGGGGCATCACCAGCCACTCCCAGAGCATGCCGCTCGGAGTGCTTACTGCTGTGAGAGGTATGTCACACTCTCGCATGAGTATCTGGTAGAACCCATCGGTCAGATCGATGGCGCTGTAGATCACGCTTCCCGCCATAGAGTCCAGCACCATGTCCTTGCTCGGGATTGGCGTCTGCGCGGGTATGGTGGCATCGTTCAGCTTGTTGAACGAGTGAACAATGCGCCACCCGCCCGTTGCCGTCTTGACGCAAAAGGTCGGGCTGGAGTGTGGCGAGATGCTTTCGCGCACGTGACCTGCCCGGCGGCGGCTCTCGAAGAAGTCGTCGATGGCCTTCACCCGGTCACGTGGAAGTGGCCTCTGCCGCGTCACGCAGTACTTCGTCCCAGGCGCGAGGTCGATCTCGTGGCGCACGCCTCGGTCGGCCGGGAGCTCAGCGGGGATCTTGTCGGGGAAGATGTCCGCGTACTCGCGGGCAGTTTCGTACACGGGGTTATCGGACTCACGCAGAGCTTCCCAGGACTGCGCCACGAAGCGCTCCTCGCGCGCTGACTTGGGCTCGGTGTGCTTGGGCCTCGACGGCGCATCCTCGACCTTGACCGCGTGTAGCGTATCCACCGGGACCGCTTCGGTGATCAGACACACTTGCTCGATCTCGCCTGCCTTCAGGTCTCGCAGGAAGTTCTTCCAGGAGAGTCCTGAGAGACGCCTGATTGTGTTGGCATCGCGAGGCGGACTCGCGACTTCGATGACGCGCGATCGTCGTGGAGCGCTCTCCACGTACACGAGAGCGCACACCGACTCCTTCGGTGGGTTCTCAGTCACTGACGGTTCTCGTCGGGACTTCAGGCGGCGTCGCTTGGACTTCTTCTTTCGCTTCGAGCGGGTGCTCGAAGAAGACGCATCGCTCTCGCTCAACGATGATTCACCCTCCTCTAGGTGTGGGAGGCCACGCTCGATCACACCGGCGGTACGCGGCTGCATCACGCTCTCAGCCGCAACATCGTTGTGCGGGAGCGACTCGTGCTCGACTGCCTGCTCAACTTGTGACTGGAACCCACACTCGACCGCCGTCTCATTGCGCGACGGGAACCCACGCTCGACCGCCGTCTCATTGTGCGACGGGAACCCATGCTCGACCGTCGACTCGTTGCTCGACGGGAACTCATGCTCGACCGTCGACTCGTTGCTCGACGGGAACCCATGCTCGACCGCCGACTTGTTCTCACTGTGTGGGAGCGCACGTCGCTCGACCACGCGTCCGTCATCGCGCCCATGCGATGTCATCCGGACATCATCATCATCATCATCATCCAACAGCACGGCACATGCCATCCAGAGAGGGCCATCGCTCGCTCTGTGCACAACTTGCGTCGTGGCTGTCTTGTCCATGACGGTAACGTGAGGCCAGTCTCTTGGAGCCACCAAGAGATACGTGAACACTCACCTACGTCGAAGCCACGTCGACGCTTGACTGACCGAGCAAGCCAGTCAATCTCTGGCTGATATCGTGCAAGCCACGGGATCACCAGAATGCAGTCGAACACGTAATTCATCTCGATCACCAGGAAGTCGTCGTTGCTGCGGAAGCCGTCGAACGTGTACGGCAGGGACACCTCGCGTCGCGCGCCGCGGTGGGCCTTGCCATCCGCAAGCTTGACTTCCACCTCGCCCGGACCCTTCCGGACGCGAACGCTCGCAAGAAGCACCGATAGATACGACGCGCGGAAGAAGTTGTTTGTCGCTCCTGAGTCAAGGAGCGCGCGCAGTGGACGTCGGGCGCCGGCGACATGGAGGCTGACGATAATCAGCCTCGAGTCGCCACTCGTAGAGGTGGCATTAAAACGTGCATATAGCACGGGAGGGCTAGAAGGCCGGGTTGCCACCGGAGGACCCGGACCTTCGTTCCAACCAGTAGGGTGCCCCGCACCAACTGGCCCCGGCCGTTTTTTGGTTGGGCGGCCGGGCTAGCGTCGGCATCGACGTGCGCGAGAACTGGGGCTGGCGCGCGGCACTCTGCTGCGCGATGTCCAATCTTCCGGCAGCGGAAGCAAGTCAGAGGACGAGCGCTCCGACCTCCTCCCCCACCATAAGCCGAGCGCCGTCGATCACCCGACGCCTCAATTGCGTCGATCTCCATGGGCTCGGGTGCGGATACCCGAGAGACGTCCGGCATAGCGCGCGCGTACGATGCCGCCACCACGTAGTCCTCGCGGAGCGCGAGGGCGAATGCCTCCTCGAGCGGGGAGGGTTCGGCTCTCGTGAGACAGTACCGCGTCATGCCTTCGCGCATCCCGAACACAAAGACATGTACCTGAGATGCCATGTCAATGGGGTGGGTGACAATGCACGACGCAAGGTGTCGTGTCTTCTGAACGTAGTCGCGTATGGACATCTTGCCTTGTTTGCGGGCGAAGAACTCAGCACGAACGCGCGACTCGTCTTGGGGCGGCTCGAACGCGAGCCGGAGGTCACTCTGGAGCGCATCCAAGGTGGGGAACGCGTGCTGGTCGACGACGAGCTTGCCGAGGGCCCACTCCTTGGCCTTCCCGGACAGCCGGGAGAGTAGGAAGTTGACCTTGGCCGCCGGCGCTTCAATCATGCGCGAGGCGATAGCGATGTCGATCTCGCGGAACCAGCGGTTCAGCGGAAGCCGGTCGTCACCCACACCGGAGTATGTCGATATCTCCAGTTTGACGACGTCGTTCCTCGAGGAGCGCGAGGGAGTTGTGACCCGCCGATTCGCGTCGGCGAGCTCGCGTTCCATGAATTCTTGGGCAGCTTGGCGCTGTTGTTCCGGCATCGCTGAGCTCAGCAGCGAGGTGACAACAGCTTCTCCGGACACCGCGCGAGGCGGTGGAGAGCTTCCCACTCAATCCGCGTGAGATGGGGGAAGGCACCATGCTCCAGGGTTGCTCCTGAAAGTCCGGACGTCAGGACTTGGCTCATCTTGGTCTTGGTCGTTGGAAAGACTACGAAGTGCTACCAGGTGTAACGGCCCAGGTGTGTGTCCGTTACTAGCTTACACGTAGCGGTGAGGAAGCTTAGTTAAGACTCGGATTTAGTGAGATCAAGCAGTCAGTCTTGGGTAAAATCAACTCTGTTTTATGTAAGGACCAGGGCGGCTACCCCTGGTCTCATGTGAGCCACTCAAATGCAGGTCAACGAAATGGGGTCTGGATCCCCCAATTCAGCAATCACGATGACCGTCAGTACAGGCTCATCGTGTACTAACTTAACTACTTTATGTACTGTCAATCTACCTACTTATGTAAATGGGGCCCATTACACCTGCCTTGCCGGTGTCATATTTGTCTCCACACAGCACCTCCGGCGCGCCATGTACAGTAAGTGCTAGTAGTTCTTCCCTGGCACGAGCTCACACTCACAGACAGCTACTTCCCAAGTTCATCGCAAGGGCGCAGGGCTGACAAAACCGTACAGTTCCATCTGATTCCTTATCAATGATTTGGGTCTCGCCAAAAATCCCTGTGTACAATGATATGCTTCAAGTCCGCCAAGAAGAAGAACATTTCAAGGGGGTTGTCGACGCGTAGACGCCTTGTGCGCATGGGCGCTACTCGTCCCCACGCCTCTCGCCTGTCCGCCTGTCCGCCTGCTCCCAGTGCAGCTATGACAGGCCTCGCTGCTTCTCCTCCTTAACCCCCGATCAAGAGAGCATCCTTGCGAAACCATGCTACAGGCGACGATAAGTGACGACACACTTTGTTCAACTCGTTATACGATATAAAGAAGTGGCAGGAAATGGTCAAGCCGTCGTTCCCCGCGTTCAAAGAGAAAGAGAAAGAGAAACACCTGATGGCCCCCATAGAGTTCTGCGTCCCCGAGGAAGACAAAGCGTGGCGCAAAGCAGCGGGTGGATATCCCCTGGACAGACACGCCCGTTAGTTCCGCAAGTGGAAGAGGAAGGATGAAAGCAAAATCAAGCTGTACCAATACTTGGATCGGGAGAAGATGAGCTTCGCCTGGGACTTATATCAATACAAGTGGGATCACTTGCTGTTGCCATCGTCGTGCAGAATATTCGTAGCCGTGAAAACTATTTCGACCAAACTGCGCGAGCAAAGCGATGGACGAGTTGGAGGCGATGAAATTTGACCTGGAGATCCCGGCTGACAAGTGGAAAGCGCGCGTCAAACCAATGCTGGCCAACTACAAGATGAGGACTGGAAATCACCACGTGCCGCGCGACTACGTGATCCCAACGCACTCTAGAAACAATTATTGGGAAGAGAAAGACAAGGGTATCCAGCTGGGTAAGCTGGTGTACAACCACGGATGGACGAGGATGATGAAATAGCTAGCTATTGCTGACGGAATCTCGAGCTGTTTGCGCAGGGGAATTTTAATGTCCGATCGGCTACACCTACGGGAGAGACCACTAAACTGGTACACCTGTCATACAGTGACACCTCCCTAAATGAACCCCTCTAACTGGCTATGTGTTCCCTATCTGGTTAGGATTCCTCGACTGCAAACGGGATTATATGGATTTCACTATAGGTGCTCTATAACTGATCAAAAACCTCTTTATTCTCTAAATGGTCGCCATTGTTGGCGCCTCAACCCTCTAAATGGACGCCGTAGTAATAGATCCAAACTCATATATATTTCTCAATCACTTGCCTGCCTCCTCCCACGTATGCCATTGCTACCACTACCCCCGCCACAACAAATCGAGCGAAGAGAGAAATTGTATTTGGGATGCTAAGTTGGAACAAAGAGTTTGCAGTAACTGCAAGCTTGTAAATACTGATAAAGAAGCTAGCCACAGTATTTTATACATATATTTTTACGAAAAACTAAAATATTATGATGTCGAGACAACTATAGGGGTTATGCAGTAGATACCAAGCAAAAGATAAAACTGCAGGCATGGTGGCAGGATATCGGGACAACAAATATTCCTATAACCTCACTGTATTGAAACTCACGTACAACCTGAGCCTCAGGTCCTGAGGGGATGCGATTCTGCTAATACCAATGAGAAGAAGGAGTAGGAACAGACAATACCGCGCCTACCGTTATTGGTTGAGTTCTGTTTGTATGAAGACGAAACAAAACAAGAGCACGAAAATGCTGTTGGAGAATTGGAAAGTGATTCATTTACGTTAGAGAGCTGGGAGATGAGGGTCAACTAAACGTCAACCCTTGATCGCTATCAGTCAGATAGCCAACCCTTCAGCTCGAGTCCAAGCTGGCCACTCTAACAAATGCTGGAGGGGTACCAGGTAAAGACAGCCCTTGTATGGTGCACCTAACATATGAAAATGTAGCCATTAGAAGTGTAGCCATTTCTTTATCTGATCAATTCTTTAACTGAAACAGCGTATTAGACCGAGCGAACTGGGTGTCATTTATAGAGGTGTGACTGTATTCCCTACCGCCATGTGCTGAACAAGTGTGTTATCTTTCGTTCGCTATATCATACAGTAATACGTCTAAACCTTCGCCACAGCGGGTGGCCTCACGATAGAGCCCGCCCTGACCCGGACTGCCAATGCCTCACCGAAACAATCGACCACATTTTGTGGGACTGCAGAAAAGCGGAGACGGCATGGCTGTCTTGGATCAACAAGTGGATGGGATACAAAATCCAACCATCTCAAAAAGCAGACCTGCGTGCGGCAGCAGCATCCAGGACAGCACCGCCACTCCAGAGTGCTTACTTGGCGACAGCTCAACTATGTATTGGTCGGTGGACCCCTCATCACACGGACGCGATGAAGTTTTTGTGGCGAATATGGGCAACTGTGACACCAGCTTTACTCTGGAGGCTTCGCAATGACGCAAAATTCAAGGAGAAAATAACCAACGAAAGAGAGACAAGGGCGGCCATCAAGACTGCAGGAGACTACCAGGCACGAGCGATTGCTAGTGCATGGAAACAACAACCGGCAAAGCGAATTCAAGGCTTATGTCTTGAAATCGGAAACAGCAGTATGATGGCGCTGGACGAAGACGATGAAGTTCCAAGCCTCGACGTCTGGAACATCCACTTCAGCACGCACACCACTGAGGACAAGTTGACCACGGGAGGATGGGTCCTCTATCACCAGACGGCTGCTCCACAGTGGATTCCCAGAAAAGCAGGAAGTCCCTACATTGGGCCAACAAATACTCCAACGGAAGCCGCAGCACGAACGCTGAACCAAGGATTGACAGAGCTCAGTGCGATGACAACCCCGGGCTCAACATATCTCCGCATTGATGGCCTCGACAAGAAACTACAAGTGCAGTCCCAACAACTCAAGGCCAACAATCAAAAACGGGTCCAGCAGCCGCACTTGCCAAGGACTTGGGCGCTATTTTCTCAGCACAGTGGGGTACACCCGTTGGAACCGCGCTCCGAGCGTCTAAGTTGACGGCAAAAACAAGCACTACGATCATCTACGATACGGAGCTTTGATCCCCAACTCCATGACAAGGAAAACGATTGCAGACTCCACACCGCAGCTGCAAAAGCAACAAAATACTCAAAGACGGTCGACATACAGACACGTCTCACTACATATCAGGCTTCTATAGGTCAGTGAATTAAGCTCAAATAGAAGGCCACTTTACCACATACAGTAATATGTCGTGCAAAAGCAAGCTTCTGGCTACGAAAGCAGGAATGCGTTTTTGGTATTGTAACGTCATAACAGCCACTGAGACGTAGCTGCAGTGGACCACTCTGTACGAGTTAGCGGGCTGCATATGACATTCCACACAGCACAGGTGACCAAACGGAATGGATCTGCGATTTCTTATAACCCAATCTAACGCAATCGTGTATTCTCCACTCGTCGAGATCAATTGGCAGTACATTCACAATAATGCCTCGGTCTTGGAGGGCCGAGACGAGGGACGTCGACGCGCGGAGTTGTCGTCGCGGCGTCGGTCCGAGTCGAGGGCCAACGAGGCCAGCCCCATTGAGGCTTGGATGTGGATGTACTGTGACGAATGCCTAAAAGATAGAAGACGCTGAAAAAGGAGTTAGTAGTACGAGTACTTCACGCACTTACATGACTCGCACTTCGGCACACAACAGGTTGGTCCGTGGTTTACCAGACGGTAGAAAACGCTCTCGCTTGGGATGAGGTACCCGGCCTTCGTGACATCGGCCTCCCCTCGCGGCTGCTTCACCGTGGATCGAACCACCGATCGGAGCCCAAAGTTGGTCCATGGTTGCCAGACGGTAGAAGATGTTCTCGCTTGGGATGATGTACCCAGCCATGGTGAGGTTCGCCTCCCTCGACGCGGTTGCTTCACCGTGGATCAAGCCATCAATTGGAGCCCTGTGTGTGGATCCACTCTTCGACACGCTCGCGTTGCTTCGTTACGGGAGCGCGAGTAGCCCCAAAAAGTAGGAGCAGTGAAGGAACGAGCGTGAGCGCGACGAAGCAGGTACATGGGCCTTTCTCAATTGTGAGCGAACCCAGCAGTAGGACTTGTGACAGCGATCGGTCCGTTCGACGTGGAGGATGATCACTTAGAGCGGAGCGAACCGTCCGCCGGATGGACTGCATCTGCCCTATCCATCATGGCCGTCGACTCAGGACTTGCTTGCATGTTGCTCGTCAAACGCTAGCGTGACCTTCTGCGAAGGTGTCGTTGGGAATCGTGGACTTGCTGGTCACGCCTCGAAAGAGTGAATGGTACTGCTCCTATCTATCGCTACACTATTCCTAGCGTGGGAAAACCCTCGCCACCGGATGCCGCATGCATACGGAGCCGTTCTGTGAAGAAAACCAGGCACCTAATAATACACACCTAGTTGACTTCGAGAGCTTGGTCCATGATAGGAACTGACTTGATCTCTCCTCGCCGAGAACCCCATTTTCAAATGCGCCTTCGGCTCCTTCCAAAATCTCCATTTGCGCCGCGTGCTGACAGAGCTAACGCGATCGGTGATGAGAGCACCGTCTTGCTGGTACCGTCATGGTTGGCCATGGCGTATACGTACATTAGCATAGATGCATCTGTTGGCGAATTCAGTGTGCGTTGCGCGTTTAGTTAGTCCCAATCGACGCATTCTTCAATTCTCACAGCAACAGCAACACAACGACAGGCAGCTATTTCTTCTTCAGCCACGATGAACACCAGCGTGCTCTACCCTCCTAACTCCCAGTCGTTAAGCGATGAAGTCATCCAAGGTGCCACCCAACGTGTCGAGTTTTCCTGCCACGATCGATACAACACTCGCAGGCATGTCCCCGTTAAGGTGAGACTGAATTCACCGACTCGGCTCGGCAACAGGCCGCTTCATGCACGCACTACAGCGGAACTAACGGCCCGTCCACCCCAGCACTCTACTATCGTTAGGGCCGGCAAAGATGCGTCGAGCTCGCTGGGCTTTGCTGAGCGCTCATTGCTACGTCGACGCCAGCAGAGCCGCGAGAACATGACGCGCTATCAAAGGAAGATGTCCGGCCGCGTCTCTGGCATTCGATCGCTGCGAGAGGAGACCTACAAGCTTGAGCTGCAGCGGCAGTTGCTCGACTTCGGCATCTCGACGGCGAGAACCTCGTGGAACGTGGTGTCGGAATACTTCCGCCTTTTCCGCTCTCACGTCCGGCTTGGGGGCTGCAACTCATTCAAGACGTGATCAAGACGCTCCAGTGCTGTGATAGGGCTGGAGCAGCCCCTGGGTGTGGTGCGTGGGCGACCTTTGTCACCGAGGAGGCAAGTCTGTGAATGAGCTGCTATCTTGTCTACGAAGCCTACCTAGCTATCTTGAGCATGCATGCGACGATGCAGACGTGCCCGCCGCTTGAGATGCTGCACTGCGGCTTGAACTTCGGGAAATATCTCCGTGGATTCCTGCCTACCGTTCTACGGAAAACTGGTCTCCGTCCTTCAACGGAAACCTGGAGTTCCGCTGCGCCCTCAAGGAACCAGCGATGAGGCGAAGCTCCTGTAGTAGCTTGGAGGCTCTGCACCCACAGCATTTGCAGGTGCATCGCTCATTTCTGGTGGCGACGATGGCTCCAGACGTGGTCACCTCGTCAGGACGGGGCGTAGAGGCACTACTGGAAGACTACCGACGCATGTCGCTCTACTTCCCGGATTTTGATGTCCAACTTGTCAACTTGGAGAACGGGCTTGGAGACACGTTCATCGCTACGACCAAAGTCAAGGCCACGATCTTTGAGAGCACACTTCGAATGGCGTTCCCCCACTTGGTGATCGACCAAGAGTTATGGGCTACTCTGGGCTCCAAGCTACTAGGGAAGCGCCTTGTTATCCGCTCACATCGTCTGGGACGGTGAAAGCGCCCGCGTGCTGAGTCTGCGCTGCAACGCAGACATATTGACGCCAATGCTGGAGATTCTGGGGGGGGGGGGGCTGGACGACGTTGCGTGGGTGTTTGAGCACTCACTCATCAGTCCAGACGGGAGTTTGGCGCAGAAGGCAGAATCGTGAGTTACTAATAAACAAAAGCTTTCAGGTATCTCGTAATATCATCAAACTCAAAACAAGTCGCGATTCCTCTAATAAATGAATCCAGTCTTTCGGCCGTGCATCTCACTCAGACTCCTAGCTCACTCTTCGACGACTGTAGCCTCATTTTTCTTCGTTATAGTGATGGGGGCCCACTGCGGTGGCCCTTTAGCGGCTCCGTTTCTTACGTTGGAGTCCGTATCGGCGATAGCAATCGAGTACTTGTCCACGTGCGTGCCGTCCGATTTCATCTCTCGAACATGCCGCACGGGCACGATGAAGCGGAGGTTGACCTCACCCCCCTCCAGCTCTTGCGCAGAGGCTCCTGCGTTTCGATTGCATGAGCTCGACTTTGAGGTCGGGCTCAATGGGTGTTGAAGTGTCTGCGCTATTGATTTATGTAGCCATCGAGTCAAAGTCAGTGGGCTGCAGAACCACTGTCTTTACGCCTCACTCTTCGTTTGGACCCGCAGTAGCGAAGGCGTTTGCTGCCAACCATGAGTGTGGATCCGGAAGAAACTCTGAGGGAGGCCGCTGTGTACGGCCAGCTGGAGTTGGTGCAGTATCTCGTCGAGGAATGCAGCGTTGATGTCAATGCCAAGGACGAATTCGGGTACACAACGCTGATGCAGGCGGCTCAAACTGGCCAAATCCACCTGGTGGAATACCTCGCTGGCCACTGTGGTGCAGATGTCAACGCCACAAACAGCAGCCAAGACACGGCACTGATGAAGGCCGCGGCAAAAGGACACACGGACGTCGTGAAGTACCTCGTGGAGATCTGTGGAGCGGACTTGAACCCCAAGACTCGGTTCAAACCTTCAGCGCTGACGTGGGCCGCTCGAAATGGCCACGTCGACGTGGTGCAGTACCTCGCCAGCGCCGATACCAGCTCCAAGAAGAAAAACCAAGATAAAGCGCTGGCCACAGCAGCTCAGTTTGGTCAAATTCAAGTCGTCCGCCTTCTTGCTGGTAAAGGCCGCGACTCAGAGGCGAAATCGAAGGACCGCCCGGAACCGACAGCGCTGTTGAAGGCCGCGGAATATGGCTACATTGCCATTGTGATGTGCCTCGTAGAAGAGTTCAACGCGGACGCACATGTGCAGGACCGACATGACTACACGGCGCTGATGAAGGCCGCGGAACGTGGTCATCTCGACATCGCGAGGTACCTCGCTGAGGGCTGCGGTGCAGATGTGAATGCCAAGAGCAAACGTAAAGAGACAGCGCTGATCCAGGCGGCTGCGTATGGCCATGTTGATGTGGTTCAGTACCTGTTGGACTGCGGTGCAGACGCGAATGCCAGGGACAAGGACGGAGACACCGCTGTGCGCGTTGCCGCTCATCACGGATATCTTGAAATTCAACGGATACTCACGCCCTTGATCGCTCTACCTCCCGTTCAACCATCAAGCTCGCATCGACTTCTACGTTGGACAGCCGGCCTCCGAGTTTTATTGCGCTGGCCTCGCACCTGTCTACCATGCAGTGATGGCACATCAACAAGCGACATTCACTTGTGTCGAGCATTCGTAAGACAGTTTGACGACAAATCAAATCTAGTGATTTGATTGGCGAATAGTACGACTTGCCAATTCTGTTGGCACTGCCAGGCGCAGAGTGCTCGCAGGCTCTGTGTTGTTTCTTACCAAGTTAATAACTCTTAATAACTGGTATTAGTAATTTTAGGCATTTAATAACGATAATATTACCTTTGTGTATCATTTGTGTATCGTAATACTTAAATATTGTCTTAAGCATTTTAACTTCTGGAAGAGCAAGCTTTTGCTCATATCAGCTTCCCACACAATGCTAGCCTGCACGCGCGCGGTGCGTTCTCCGGTCCCAGGCTGGAATCTCTCCCCTAGATCTACGCGTCGCTCGGCACCAGCTCGTTGCTCGGCCAGAACGTGAACGGCGCCGACGCCACGCTGGCCACGGGGCTCGCAAAAATAGGCCCAAGGTGCTCTACGACGCGTACATCGCCCAACATTCAAGCTGATCAGCAACGGTTCCGCAACGCAGTAGTCAAACGCCCGCTGGATGTCATCAAGGAAGCCATCGTGTACCTGCACTTCTGCTTTTCGGCCCGAGACGATGGACTGCGACAAGGCCACTCAGACTACTTACAGAAGATCTCTTCACGCGGACATGACGGAGACCGAAACCATGATGCTCGGCCTGGCCCTCGCGGACCCCATGTATACGTCGGCGGGCGACCTGCAGGCCGACGGCTCGTTCACCAAGGACCTGCGCTTCTTCAGTGGCCAGAAGTCAGCCATGCACGCGCTCCGTGCCGCCGGTGTGGGCGTCTACATCATTGGCGCGTCACCCGAGTTGTACACCGTTGCGGCCGGCAGTTGCTTCGGACAAGGCGACATGGTGCCCAAGGAGAACAGGTGCGGCGTGCGTTTCACGACGGACGAGGCCGATGCTTCACTGCTGAGCGACAGGACCTGCGAGTTCTTTGGCACTACGGAGTCCAGCACCAACAACACCTATCTCCTGCAGGGCGGGCCTAGCCATCAGTACGTGGACTACGTCACGTGCCTGCTGGCCGAGGGATTCATCAAAAATGAAGTAAGTGCCGGTGGGAGAGCGTGTAGCTGGATATAGTGGATCTCATGAGTTTGTGTGTTGTGCTGCAGATTCGTAAGAGAGGGAAGGGCTTGAAGAGTATCATATACATCGCCGAGGTGGCCATTATGCTGTTACATGAACGAACAGCTCGCTGATAAGGGTTGGACGAGGCCTAAATGTTGCGCTACAAGCGTTGATGTTACATTATTACTGCATTCTTAACCAAATATGACGCTTCTTTTTTGTGGGAGTGCTAGTGCGCGTTCTGCTGTACCAATGTGCGCCGTTGCGCTGGCAGCTCAGTGACAGAAGTTCAAGTTGAGGTCATCTCGTAGAAGGGCAACCTGTTTCGGCTGGTACGGCACGATGCACTGAATCTGTGAGCTAACTGATGTGAAGCTCTACGATTATAAGAAGAGCAAGAAGAGCTGGCGTTTGCATTATTTGAACTCGGATTAGTCAGGGCAAAAGCGGTTTAGCCCTCCACCTCTCCTTCACCCCTAGCAAGTTCGCCACCACTAAGGTCACCAAAGTGTTCTGCGACCGCCATGGCCACGGGTCCATACGCAGCTTCACCACGCACAAGCACAGAAAGGTTGTGTGCGCGCTGAAACAGGGTGGCGAGGCCGGCAAGAGCAAATCGAACATCCTCGGCTGCGTGCATGAGTGATCAAGGTTCGAGTAGCGCGACGACGAATATGCCGTCACGTCCGGCAAGTACCATCAAGTCTACCCCTATCATGAACAACTACCCAAGTCCGCAGCAGAACCAAAACTCCTCACGAGAAAATGAAGCGGAGGAAGCTGCTAGAAATACCATCAGCCGAGGCAGCATCTAGAAGAAATTCGAAAGAGGTTGAAGCCAATGCATTGATACACATTTGCGTGGGGACGACGACTCTATTGACTAACTAGTGCATGATATGTAATCAAGAAGGCGTGAACGGAATGAAAATATGGATCATGTTGCGGGCGTAGCTAGCGTGAACAAAGTCAAATATGCTAATGCTCCCAGGTTGGACCAAACAGCACCCTCGGCGAGTGGTGGGTGCGTCCAGTGCTCGACTGTGGAGTTGGAGGTAGTCCACGACGGCCGCTGCTACCCCCTGAAAATACGAGACGATCGCTAGTTGGTAGACTCGGTGTTGTTGCACTTGCCGATCCGGGCGGCCTCACGACCGGTGGCACAAGCTGGCGCTCATCAGCACGCGTGAAAACGGTTCCGCTGCTTGTTGACTGCGTAAGTGCGACTGACTGCGTAGGAGCGACCGACTGCGTAAGAGCGACCGACTGCGTAAGAGCGACCGCAGCCTCGTCACTGCATACTGTGCTGGTATTCGTCGCTTGGTCGGGTAGCGGGTTGGCTAGTGCAGGCGAAAATAGTGTTCTTCGAGCTAGCGGGGGTGGGACAGCTTCACGTTGGTCGGTCTGCGAGGGCGTGAAGAATCGTGATCGGTGCGCCGTATTAGACCGACTACCGCGCATGCGACTGGAGCTGTTGGGAGCAATTGGCGTAACGATGTCATCATCGCTGGAGTCGTCACTCGCGCTGCTTTCGCCCTCTTCTTCTGCATTGACTTGATAGTGCACTGCACTAGTTGCAGCCTTGTCACCCGCATTCGAGTACAAATATGCTAGCTTTTCCACGCGATCGGGTTTCAGCCGATTTCGTCGCTTGGTGCGGATGAAGGAGCGAACACTCCACGAGCGCTCACTCGCAGCGGACGACGTCGGGATGCTCAAAACGCGGGTAGCCAAAGCATGTAGGAGCGGAAACTTGTTAACCTTGACCAGCCACCAGTCTAATGGCGTGTCCCTCGCGTTTTTTTCGTGGTCTTCGGCTGTCCAGGACTTCTTCACGCGAATAAAAGCCATGACAGCTCGGCGAACCGCATTTGAAGATACGTTGGAGGGTAGACCAACTCGTGTAGCTAGATCTACGCATGCATCGACTGCATTGTCCAAATCATCACCTTCAAAGTCGTCCGTAGACTTAGTTGGGTCCAGTAAAAATGCAGCGAGGATTGATTCGCGCTTGAGGGTGTTCAAGCGGGAGCTAATCTGGCCTCGGATCGTGTTAAGAATACCAGAAGCAACATCATCAGTTTCGCGGTTGTAGATGACGTGGGTTTTCAGTCCACGAAAGTATTCATACACCATCGAAAGGCAACACCCATCCTTTTCGAGAGCGCCGAGAGCTTGGATTATCGGGTTCACCAGTCGCATTACGGCTCTGGCATTCACCCAAAACATGCTATCAGCCGAAATAGACTCGACGCGATTGAGTTTGGCAGCAGCATCTACGTAACGAGCCAGAAATTCATGGTTGGAAAACAACTCACGCAGCACATCTTCGTTCCTCACGACACTGGAAATACAATTTGTGCTCGAGTACCACCGCGTCGAAACAGGGATGATTAGCGCGCGCTCGACGCGGTGGTACTCGAGCACAAATTGTATTTCCAGTGCTGCCGGGTACCAAAATACTTGCGTTGCAGAGCCCGAAAGCGATAAAGAAGCGCTGCACGTTTACGCACAAATTTGGTAACTAGGACGGCTTTCTTGAAGACGTCACTCATGAACTCCATCCCGAACATGTCTTTGAGTAGAAGATTGATCGTGTGTGCCGCGCAGCCGTTACACGTTAGACTTGGTATCTTGGCCATTAGAAGCTCCCATGACTTACGCCTGTTAGACGCGTTGTCCGTCCCAACAGCGCATACCGATCCTTTTCCGACGACATTTTCAACAGCTTGAATCACCTTTTTCAACTCTGACGCGATGAACTCCCCTGTATGCTGTCTGTCGGCGCAGCGCTCCGATGACCAAAATATGGGTCGGATAAATGGAGACGTCACCATAAAGTTGATAATGGACTCGCTGTTGGGATCGGACCATCCGTCGCATAAAATGGCAACGTACTGCTGCTCCCTCAGCACCTCCATAACGCTGGCAACTTCCTCCGCGTACGCGCTGTCAAGCAGTGAGGTCGCCAAATCTTGGCGTGAAGGGAGCGTCATTCCGGGCCGGTACTTCGTCAGGATACACCTCATGGCTCCGTTTTCGATGACTCGAAACGGAATGCCGCAGGCATAGAACGCTTTGGCAATCTGAAGATGGAACTCCTTCTTTTCAGTCACTGAGACCGATCCTAGCACACTCGTAGCCATTTTAGGCCGCGAACGCTTGGATGGACTGTGGGGCCTATCGGAAGTTTCGGGACGATCTCGCTTGGAGGGTGTTACAGGGTAATTAGCCCGGACGTCCGCTGGGGCGCAGGGACAGCTGCGAATGTGTGGGCGGAGGTTTTTCTTGGGCTGGGCATTCTTGATGAGCTTGGAGCAGTGCCTGCACGTCACGTCGCGGTGCTGCTTCTTCGGGTTGGCCCAACGTGGCACAACCACAATGTACTCGGTCAACACGCCAACTGAAGGGCGACCAAGGCCAGACCTTCACTGCTAGCCCGGTCCTCGTTGCGGTGGCCGTTTTGGTCCATGGAGCTTGCAGGCTCTACAGGAGCAAGTTTGTGAATGCAGCGACGAGAATAGGCCCCGTGCGCGAGCTGCCTGCCACGTGGAGCATACGCAGATTCATGTCGGTAGACCTCCACGTACGTTGACAACTTCACGAAACGCGTTGACCGAATATTTCTGCCACACCAACTATACACATGAGGTATTACCGTTAGCAGATCGAATATTTCTGCCACACCAACTATACATAAAAGTTATTAACGTTAATAAATGGTAAGTACGAAGGTAATAACGGTAACTGGTAATAACTGGATAAGGATTTGACCAACTCTAGCTAGGAAGGCCCGCGTTCCTCTTCGCTACTCTTTTTGATGCATTTCGTTGCACTTCGTATCCTGACTAATATCGGGCGCAGCATAGTAGTGGTAGTAATGATTGGCGGTTCGATAGAACTGTGCGGAGGAGCGCTGCGACACCAACAAACTCCCTCTACATATTTAAAACACCACGGCGAGCTTAGATCGTTTAGATTTCGTAGTACTACAGTAGCAGGCCCAGCAAACAAGCCTTCAGCCGGGCTGATCAATTACTTTAGCTTTGGCATTTTTCATGTATTCCCGAGAAGTTTCGCCGCTTATTTGACTCTTAGAGGCCCTCACGTCGTTTTGTAGTTATTTGTTTGCGACACCACCAACAGCTTACCTACACGTGGCCGCGGGTGAGGTCGGTGGTGTCCACTACCGACGTAGGTGGAGCTGCAGCAGTGTGCGCCTCCGGGAGTAAGGTAGCCAAGCAAACCGCAACAAATACAAATACAAATACCAAGACTGGCTGACGCTGCCTTGTTGCTACTACAAAACAGTTCATTTCATGACTTTGGTAAGATCCCATAATGTATTGATTGTCTACTCCCTCGCGTCCTCCGACAACGCCTCGGTGCGGAGCATGTGTGCGCGCTCGTCGTGCACTGTTTCGCTCGGAGGCGTCCTCAGAGGACACGACAGGGTTCGTGGGCCGCACTACCGGAGGAAGAGGGGCTCTATTTGGTTATGCATTAACTAGAATTCACTATAAAGCCCTGAACGTTTTGTTTGTCAAGCTGGGCTAATGGTTCGGGTGCATTAATTTCTTAACCATTCTCAAACAAGCGTGTACATTGTAGTTGGCAGTAGGGCCGCACTACCGACTACATGTTCGTGCTTGTGAGCGCCTTATTTCGTCGGCTCGACTGTAGGTGGCACGAGCAATTCAAAAACGGCAAAGCGGTTGTCCTCGGGTTCCTACATGCTCAACGGAGGAACGCACGCAACGACACTACCCTCTGAAAGTTTTGGCCAATCGCATGGTGCAAATTGTTGTCCACAATGTAGCCACTAGTATACTAAAACCAAGATGTAGCCAAAATGCGTTGATTGCAAAACGTAAGACGCTTTGTCTTACGGTAGGCTGTCTGGGGCTAAGTATCGACTTACGAAAGAGCATGAATCTGCCGTGCTACAGCGCTTCCAGCAGCCCCAGCCCTCCGTCTGAAAGCAGCTCCATCCCTCCGTCTGAAATTGAGCTAACCCGCTTCTATCCAAACGGGAGCATTGGAGGCGACTTTCAAGCCAAATGGCTCGATGCCGATGCGGCCGTGAAGCTCTTTATCCCCGACGCCTCTCACTCGTCGTTCGAGCAGGAAGTACAACTATGGAAGCGCCTCCGTCATCCAAATGTGGTCAAAATGTACGGCGAGTGTGAAGTCAACCCCAATCTGCGGTTCTTCGTCTGTGAGTTTGCCAGCAAGGGGTCACTTTGGGAAAATATCGAGCTGATTTCAGTAGGAAAGCTGACGATGTGGACGCACCTGTACGAGGCGGCGTTGGGGCTTGAGTATCTCCACGAGCGAGGAATTGTTCATGGCGATCTACGCTGCAGTAATATTTTGATCGGCAGTGATGGCCAAGCGAAGTTGGCCAACTTTGGCTTGAGTAGATCGAACGGGTCAGGTCTTACTTCAAAGGTTGTTGTGGGGTCTGCGCGCTGGCAGGCTCCTGAGTTTGGGGATGGCGTACTGCCCTCGTTTGAGTCGGACGTGTATTCCCTGGGGATGACCATTTTGGAGGCTACGACTCGGAAAATACCATGGAGCGATCAAGACGACACGAGGGCCTGGTTTCATAGAACACGGTGGGCCCCGGAGACGGACGAAGGTCATCCTCCTGGCTCTCCTCCTGCTGAAATACGAGACTTGGTGTGGCGTATGTGCTGTCATGACCCTCACAAGCGCGTCAGTCTGTCGTCGGTAGTCTATGAGCTTGACCAATTAATTCTCAAAGAGAGTTCTAGCTCGAACGACCTGAAATTCGAGCGTTTGACCTCTTTCGACGAATACGAAGGTGGAAATTTGAACGAAACGTGGCTGAGGGTGCAAACACACATGAAGAAGTGCAACGATGTCCACTTTTTCCGAATGTTCGACGAGCTCAAGACAGCGTGAGCGTCTGCAAGGAAAATCGCACCACCCTACAGTGTTATCACGATTTGACGGACTACTGGTCGATTTTTATCGGACAATCAAAATGCCCCTGGACAGGCTCGAATGCTACGCGTATCGTCAACGCGAGCCAGGACCAACAGTTTGTACGCGTTTCAATGGCGCGTTAGGTCGCTCATGAAGTCGCTGGGAGGCGCTACGAGTTCAATGATGGAGACAAAATTGCTACGACAGCAACTGCTCAACGAGCACATCGAGCTCTTCATCGCAGGAGTATCGGATGCATTTCTTCTTCTGAATGATTTGAAGTCGCCGGAAGAACGGTCAGCGTTTTTGGGGAAGTTGAAAGCCGAAATCACAAATCCTCTGGGTTCATACTCGCCTGAACAAGTTGAGGGGTTGGAGAAAATGCTCTTGGAGATTGCTAGCAAGCGTGATGGCGATATTGCACCAGAACTGACGCCAGAGTGGTTCATCCCCTGGTACGAGCTGCTGGTTGACGAGTGGAATTGCCTGGGCGAAGGTGGCTTCGGCAGCGTGCACCGAGCCAAGTGGTTGGATTCGGACGTGGTGGTGAAGCGCGTGATCCTTGACGGCTCCAATACGGACACGGACGCCTCAAGTTCCCTGCTGAGTTTGTCCTCTACCCCTCATACCCAACCTCAAAAGGACGCTGCCAAGAGAGCCGAAGCGCAAGCGATGTTCCGTCGCGAAGTGGACATTTGGTTCGGCTTTAGCCACCCTCACGTGATCCGGTTGTTCGGCGCCTGCCACGTCGGGAGACCGTTCTTCGTATGCGAGTACGCCACGAACGGGACCTTGGTCAAGTATCTGCGTGAACATCCTGATGAATTGTGGTCAAAGTTGCATGAGGCGGCATTGGGGGTTCAATATCTCCACGCTCGTGGCGTGGTCCATGGAGACCTGAAAGGGAACAACATTGTGATCGGGAGCGACATGAAGGCGAAAGTGACGGACTTCGGTCTCAGTTCGATCGCAAGTGCCGAAGACAAGCCCGTGATTTCAGGCGCGTGGCAGTGGGTAGCTCCAGAATGCCTTGGAGACGGCAGTCCACGGCCAACATTTGCTTCGGATGTGTTTTCTTTTTATGTGCATCGTGGAGGCACTGCGCGTTGTAGAAGCAGCCAGGTCTGGCAACAACTCCCACAATTGTCTGCCTTGGCGAGTCGCTGACAGAGCTGCGGTGAAGTATCATGCTACCCATGGCAAATTGCCATCTCGTCCAGCGATGTGCGAGGACGGGCAGTGGGAGTTGGTTACTCGAATGTGCATTTTGGAGCCTGAGAAGCGAATTAAGGTCTCCACGGTGGTTGACGAGCTGGCAAGGCTAGCAAATCAAGCAAGTGGCATCGGTGCTATCTCACTGACGATTTCACTTAGCTGGGAATACGCCCTCACTGTAATTGGAGCAGGACAGGGGTTGCTGGACGAACTTCTCAATGGCACCAACCAGCCGGGTACGATTCTCTCGCTTTATGCTTCGTTCTGGAAAAGGCTTGAGCGCGTCTACAAGCGAATCGAAGAAAGCCAGGACAAACTAAGTTGAGGTGATTTCTGCTCCCTGGTGTCGGCCGCTGCTGGATCCACGTGGAATCTGCAAAGCAGGGAGGAAAGTCTCCTTTCGTCAGCTGACACCACAATGCAGTGTTACGCTCTGGATCGAGCATTGACCATGTTCTGCGAAGCGTACTTTATTGTTTGTGAGAATGAATGCCCTGACCCAATCAACTGTATATAGGGGAAAATGAACTCAACATTCAATCTTGACCGAAAGTTGTGAGAATACAATGCCCTTCGAGTGATAATTTCACCTTGGCACAGGTTTCAAAGAATGGAGCGGTGATGACTTGCAGCAGCAATACAGATCTAGATCCAATAGCGTGGATACTGTCTGACATCGTTTGTGGACGTAGGGAGGCTGAATGTGTGTCCCAACTCGAAAAAAACACCGGAGAACAAACATTTACTTAAATGCTTGCTTTAACTTCGACAAAATGCATCCAGAGGTACGACTGAGAGAGAATTAAAAATAGAACGCACTTCACCAGAACTAATCTCGGAAGTGAAACTGCTAAGAAATAGACTTTTGTGACTAAACTACAAGACAGCGGTACACAGTGTTGCCTTGTTCGCAGCACCGGGCGACATACGAAATGGGGTATCAATGCCATTCAATATCCAGGGCATGGGGAGCTTCATGGATTTTACTCGGCGGATCGTGCGTTAGACCTCGCGAAGTATATGCGCAAGACGAACTGGATTCGCGTTACGTTTGTTCTGTTGGGGACGCCAGTACCGTGCCTCCTAGTGACCTTTACGATCGACCTGGTGCTCTCCCCGCCATATTCTGGATTGTCCGCCAACAAACTCTTCTTTGCGCGGGAATATTACGCCTACCTCGTTATGACCTCACTTGCGCTGCACCAGTTCCGCACAGGGGTCTCGTTACTCCCATATCCGGCTCGAAGCCTTATCTGAGACACATTCGTCGTACCCACGCTCACGGTTGCCATCATTTACGGACTCGGGGTGGCTATCGGGTTTCCGCTTCCGTTCTCAACACTGATAGTGATGGGAGCGTGGGCCAGTTTGACCTTAACGGCGATGGCAATTCAATGATTCGGCAGACGCCTAATGCGGCATCAATGCTTTTCGGGATGTTTAAGTTGTGGTTGTGCGATATTCTACTGGTTTTTATCTACCCGCCATACTTCTACATCTTCACTACGCTGTCCAGCGACGCTCAGACGGCTTACACCGTGCTCTTACCCGTGATCAAGCTATTCATGCGGAATGTCTTTGTGCGAGCGGTTGGCCACCTGGGAGATGCAACGCCGGAGCTGGTTGTTTTCAACGCCGACGTCTTCGGTTTATTTCGTATTGCATGCAGAGCTCGCCGTCCTTTTGGACAACTTTGGAGATCATGGCTGCGGATGTTGTGATGATGGGGGAGAGCACGGGCTGGTGTGGGAGCTTTAGAGCGTATGGTTGACGAGAATCGAGTCTGGAACAGTCACAGTGGGGCTGTCGGGGCTGTCGGGTACATCAGTCTGGGTGGTCGCTTGCCAACGAGTCTGGAGAGAGCAAGTATCCTGCTGGAAATGCAAAGGAATTGCAACTTCACGGATGCCCCTGTTTTCTCTGTTGAGGGAAGAAGTAGCGCGGAAAGCCCACGACCGATCGAACTTAAAGAAGAAGTTGCAATCGGACCCGTCGTGGAGACAATGAAGGAGAATCTCCACATTCAAAACGTTGGGGTCCATCGCCACATTTTTTAATAATAGCGAAGAAGCTCTTGGGCGGAATCTTCGCATTTTTGGGATGGATTCGGCCTGAAGTTTCTCAGAAGTTGGGTTTTGCTGGTAAACGACCTCCAGCATCCTCACTCGAGCTATACACGAACAAAGTTCGTCGGCCATTATTCATGGCGGTGTTCCCACTGCTTACCAACTACGTTGAGGTCATCATCCCTCTTGTCTTCTGTACGTACGAAGTCTTGAAATGAAGCTATACATTTCTAACGTTCATTTATTTATCTGATTGCCAACAGATATCTACTTGTTGCTACGTACCACCTGCCGAATCGCGAGTTTTATTCCGTGTATAACGGTATGGACCAGATCCAACTTGCTCACACTTTGCAGAATGTCGTGCTTTACTGTCTGCTTCAGCTCTTCTCACTGCTGGCGTTGATCTTCATGCTAAAGTGCATGCTTGGGCATTCTCCTGTCAAACACATCGCGTTTGTCTTGAAGAAACAGATCGACTTTATTCAGATTAGCCTCATATTCTGGTTATTGTACAACGTCCAAACCTCGCTTCAGCACTTTGGTTAGTAGTCCCTCGCCTTAAAGAGTTTGATGCGTTGAAGAGTTCACCCTGCTGTTTCGTTGCTAGGATACGACTACAACTTCCAGGGTGCGTGCCCTGTTCGAGCTATAGCGAGTCAACCTAGTCAGCGAGGTGATTCAATGATCTGGTAGGGTAGAAATATATCTTTCGCAAACTACATGAAAAGGTATCGCGTATGGTGATGGAAATCCAAGCTCAACAAGAGATATCAAATGGAAGAAATGCAACAGCTGAATAGATTAATCGAGATTGTCGAAACAATCGGCTTATACAGTCGTAAGTAGTGGTCGAAGTTGCCGTCGCCTTGAGTCTGGAGGCTGTTGTCTCTGTTGCGCTCCATTCTACTCAATTCTTCTGAACTTGAGCGTCCTCTGCGCCAGGAGCGTGTTGTTGCTCTTCGATTCGGCAGCTGCAGCCGATCTCTTCAGTTCCGCGACTCGCTTGGTGACCTCTTCGACGAACGCCAAGTCCGTGAAGCGAATGCCCTCGGCGCTCAACACGAACTTGAGACTCGTCCGTTGAACAGCTTCCTGCTTGGTCGGGGCTTCAATCGCGGCCGCCTTGCTGGCTGGAAAGCTGAAACACAGCTCAGACGGTGGCAGGACTGCTAGTAGATCTGTCGGGGGCGTGAACAAGGTGGCTACGGTGCGGCACATGGTCTTTTTTGGGGATGAGTGCTTTGCTTTGGCGCGACCTTGAAATTTCGTTAATGACTTGAGCTGGCCGAGCGCAGCGCGTGTTGCTGCCCCCCCCAAGCGAGGGCGCAACGGGTGGGAAGGATCAGGACCAGAACGGCAGGTAGGCTAGTAGTAGTTTCAGCTGAAATTACCGGCCTTTTGAACGGCTCGGGGAAGCAGTCCAGTGGAATAACGCTCTATTATATTTATTTCTCTACATCCAACAACAGCGGACCAGCGCACTCAACTGCCCTACCGCGCAGAGTTCCGCTTAAATCTAGGTTACTTGGTCGTGGTAAAATCACTATTCAGGGCCTCGTGCTCGAGCACCTGGGCAACCGTCAGGCGCTTCTTAGGATCGGTCTCCAACATCCCCGACAGAAGCTGCAGCGCGCTGTCCGACACGCCTGCGACGCCCCAAGCCTGCATCACCACCTTGATGCCCGCTTGCTTCAGTGTGCGGAATGACTTGACCGACGTCGACGCGAGGGACACTAGCGGTGAACCTGTGAGCATGATGAAGAGCACGATACCCAGCGACCAGACATCAGCCGCCTTTGGGTCGTAGGTCTCACCCGCGACGATCTCCGGCGCCATGTAGTACTCCTTGCCCACTCTTCGTCCGCTTGCAGTGTTTGCGCGCGTAGCCAGCCCGAAGTCTCCGATCTTGCAACGACCGTGATGCAGCATGATGTTCTCGAGTGAGACGTCGCGGTGCGCGATCCCATGCTTGTGCAGGAAGGCGAGTCCCGTGGCCACCTGCGACAGCACGTTGAGTGCGTTCATGCATGACATGGTGCGTTGTCTCCGTCTGCCAAGGTAGTCGAACAGGTCGCCGTCGGCGCAGTGTTCCATGACGAGGTGGAGCGTCTGCTGCTCGATGAACGAGTCCTTGTAGTGCACGAGATTCGGGTGACCCCCGGCGTTGCGAATGAGGTCGCCCACTTCTATCTCGACGAGGGGGTTGTCGGGGATGTGGCCGTCCGAGGGGAGATCACGGACGATGCTGGCCATACGCTCGAGGGAGACCTGCTTCATGACGATGGACGAGGCTGCGGTTGCGGACTTGACGGTCTCTTGGCAGACGACGACGCTTCCGTAGAGTGTCGAGCTGAGCGCTCGGGTGAAGCGGTACCGATGGCGGAGCACCTGCATGGTTGCTTTCCTTTGGGCGAGGCGTCTTCGAGCTGGCAAAAGCTTGAATGAGGTTCTGTGACGACCGATGCCCTGCAAGAATATTGCACACTAAGTGAGCTCCAAGCAGTGGTTTCTTGCGTACGTTGATATGTTCAGCGACCAGGGCGGTGATTTAGGCCCACGCTGTCACGTCTTAGCTGGCCGCAGGATAAATGCAGCCCCTTGCAGTGCCAGGTACAAACAGCAAGTGCAAACTCCGCCCAACGACATTTTCGCACGATCGCATGGGGCTTCTTCTTTAAAAGAAGGGGGTGGCCGACCAAAACTGGACCGTTGTAGAATGCTGGAACAGGCAGCTCGGGCCGTTCGTGGAAAATCAAGCATGCCACGCAGCTGCTGGAGTAGCATCTCGAACGCTTCAGCATTGTTTGCGCTCATGGTTGGTATGGACTTCTGTTTGTTGACCTGGTGCTGCTCGACTATCCGCTCGTCCTCCTCGATCATGACGTCTTACAAGTTTTGGTTGTCCGGAGTTTTGGTTGTCCGGATGTCTCGCCCTCGCTCATGAGGCGAATCCCCTCCATCGCCCGTCTTTTCGAGTTGCAGCCTTCGTCGTTTAAATACGGATACTCGATCACTTCGCCCGTGACGTAGGGGTTCGAGTTCTCGGGGAACGTGACATTGTCGCAGTCGACAGCCACGACTTTGAGCAGCACCGATTGGTTGGTACTCGGGGAACTAATTCGTCACCTTTCACGGCTTTGAGCTCCAATTTAGTCAATACAGTACTTCAAAATATGTGTCGACCAAATGTAGTCTAGCTCCAAACTTCCTCTAGACAACATTTAGTCCACACAAGTAATATTCACTTAAAAAGAAAATATTACGCTCAACTATTTGAACAAAAATACGATCGCAGAACACGTAGTTGGTGTAACCATTTTTCTTGGAGAGCCCTACACTACAATTCCAATCTGACGATACTTCTAAAGCGGAATGCTTTTAACCGACTCGAACTATTGGATTTTATGAAAACAAGGGACCCTCAACTGCACCTGAAAAAAAGGGGGAGGTGAACAGCTTCGACACCACTCAGAGTTGGCCAGTCTCGAAAGGGACAAAGAAAAGTTATGACCTCAGTCGTTCTCCGCACCAAAATCCCCATTTTTTTCACTTGAAAATGGCAGCTCTCTCTCTGACCCGGTCCAGGAACTGCTTTTCATCTTATACTATCGCGTCCACGCGCCCAAACTTGAATGAGGCGACACCACAAACTTCACTTACATCCACCTCAATAGTAATGCTACGTAGTAGTATATTTCAGGATTCGTATTTTTACCTTAGGGGGTCGCTGCTATTTTCTCTTTGAACCAACCCTCCAGGTGATTTGGTTATACAGGTAGAGTCAAACACCATTATTATGGTGCAGGTTGCAGAAGCTCCGGCCGACAGCGTTAACATTGCCCCCTCGCCGTCAACAGCACACAGCAAGACACGAAGCACCAGTCACTCGCGAACATGTTACCTCAAAAAGGGAGATTGCGTCGTCCAAAAACCTTGGAAGCTATCCATTGCGCCAGTTCAGTTAACTTGTGGGCGTGCTCTCCGTGTGCAAGTGGTTGTGATGAGGAATGCAGTAGGAAGTATCGCCATCGCCTGGCTCACCGGCACGTGCTACTCGCTGGGAAATATTTCCTCGAGCAAATCGTTGCAATACCAGACTCGAGAAGAGTTGATAGTCGCCAACTCTGTGTGGGCCGGAGTCACGTTCTGTACGGTTGTGCTGCTATCATTTCTTCCCCTGATGCTTTCGCTACGGTTCATCAAATCGTCCGATCACATGCCGACGTTATGGTTTTGCTTGAAAAGACTCGTCCGTGCTTCTATCGTGAGTTTCTCGTGGGCGATAGTATCCAACTTTGGATTTGGATATCTTGCCGCACACTTTGCCCGCTCCCAACCCCATATGTTCAAGTACAAAATTGAGTGCTACCTCGACAACGTATCGCTTTTGGGCTATTTCACTGGTATTTCCCGTGCTGTAAAGAAGATCTACTACGAAGATACATGTCAAGGCTACGCGCGGCTTGCGGCAAAAGTCAACAGCTTGAAAACTACGATTAATCGGTCTTCAGCAAGGTCTGCGGCTGTTTCGCCCGAGTCTGGGCCAGCAACAAACGCAATTTGTTACCGTGCTCCGAGTTACTGGAGAGCATTTGTAAAGAATATTTCCTCAGGAGTCCCGGCACTTTTGGCTACAGGCTTCGTCCATGGCTTATGTCGGCAGCGAATTGTTGATCGAGACACTGGGGTAGTTACTGGATTCGTTGTCGGCAGTATTGTGTTCAAACTGACCATTCAAGAACTCGCCAAATACTACATCATGAGGAAGCACGTACTCAGCACGCGCACTATGTGCGTCATTGTGGGTATTCCGACCGTCATGATCGATACGCAGGCTAGAATAATCCTGTTGGGAATCAGCAACAAGAAAATCGCTGCAATAGGCGCATTGGTGATGGCTCTGATTGAAATTTCGCTGCGTGTTGGGAAGGCTAAGTTTGTGAGGTGGAGTATCTCGCATCGAGAGAAAACATTGCTGGGTACAATAGCGGTAAGCTCTCGACGGAGTTCGATTGACGGTCCGAGAAGCGTTAGACCCTCTCTATCGGCAATGCACGTTGAGTTTGAGGTGTGGCATCGGCAGGTGCAGGTCTTCCACACCGCTGAACTCACCGCAGATATGTATGCCGAATACATCGCCATTGGGTGCTCGGCATCTATTCTGTTTTTCTATTGTGGCAACCCTCACTATTCGCTGCTGAGGAGATCCGACACTATGGAAAATGAACTTGGTGTGGTGGATTGGCGTACGAATCAATTATATTTGCTGGTATTTCAGGTGGGGGTTGAAATTGTCGTCGACTACGTGTCCATAGTGCTAGAGATGACGGCTGGCATCGAGTTCGATCATATTCAGCATCTCGATTCGTTTCTCGCAGCTCTATTCATGGTGACTGCAGTGATGAATATGATCATTTCAATCGGCGTTTACCTAAGTTGATTTGATCTCATTCGGCCAAGATCCACCAGTGAACGTCCTCAATCGACTTCAAACGACCGATACCGACAGTCCCCGCAGAGGTCGCGCATAGAATTCGATAGTCTGCCGTTCGGCCTATAGTTTACTTCAAAGCATGGAGTAGGTCAAACATGTATTATTCAAACGTGTAGCGTATTATCGACTTCTTGACTGTTCGTACAGAAGACCTCTGACATCAAATTCTGGCATTGTCTACACCATGTACGTTCAATTTCTTGACGTAACCTCAGCTGATCGTTGTTTTCGTCGGAGCGCCATATCGCACGAGCTCACCAAGCCAACGAGTGCAAAACGTGAAAGTGCAGTTGTATTCTTGATTTTGCGACAACCATCGCACATACCGTACACGGAAAGGAGGTCGCTACCCTTGCACAATACTCGACTTGAACCACAACTTTCCATTCGAGAAATGATCCTAACTCGCTCGTGGTCTAAGTAAATGATACCGGGACTACGCGTTCGGGAGCGTGGGGGTGTAGCCACCCGTCAAGGGACCATTCATCGTCGATCGTGGCTGCGATGATAGCGGCCTCTGTAAGTACGAAAACCCACGTTAGCATAACGACAGAGTATGCTAATCATGTAGCATGTGACGTACTTGGATGCCGATTAGAAAGTTCAGCGTAGCCACGAGATGAACAGCCAACCATAACGAGAGAAATCCTATTATCTGCAACTCCAATTCTTTGTAGTGCCTGGCACATTAAAAAATAAAACCCACAGTATGAGAAGGCAATTCATTTACCTAGTTCTGTAGCAGGCGGTAGCTTTACCCACCTCGATGGCTTTGGATTCAGCCCCGCCGTTTCCGAACGTAGAAAACAGCAGAACCTCAACGTGCGTGATATTGTCTGGCACATCTAGGTAATGCAGTTTCCAGCTCGTAGTCCCATTATCCTGCACCGCTTTCACGTGTATTTGACCTACGGACAAGGGCTGTGTAAGCTCAAAGAGATCGCAACCAAAACAACCTATTTGCTCGGCCGTACCTGTCGGAGCGTCGGGGTCGACTTGGCCAAATGCGGTCAAAAACGATGAGCTTTCGTCCCCCAGCCTTATCGCACAAAATTCGACGTGCTGCCCAGGTCTCCCAGCGACATCCGTCTCTGGTACATCGTAACTAGCCAGAGCTGCTTCAATCAAGATGCTGAGCACCATAAACCAACAACAATATGGTCGACCGTCAGCTCGTTCCGCCAGGTGAAACACACGGAGAACTTACGCACGCACAAGGTTAGTCGAGCTGCAGCTCGTTGGAAAGCAGCCGAACTTGTCCTTTCATTGCGTAAGGTCGTCACCAGGGCCTTCACCGTCTTGGACTCTCCTTGCACAGTTGGCAATGCATCGGCGTTTCTTCTAGCGACTGGCGCACGCTTGACTTCGGGCTTTCGGACTGCAGGAGGGGTACCGGTAGTAGAAGCAGAGGCAGCAGTTGCTCCTCGCTGTTGTGAAGGCAGCGCGCCGCCTCCACGCGCGAGGATTTTCTCTCGTTTCTTGTACATCTGGCAGACTGCAGCGCGGGTGACACCATACTCCCGAGCCAACGCTGCCTGGGGCTCTCCACGGGCGACGCGCTCGATGATGATGCGTCTGTCGTCGTGCTGGAGGTAGTTGGGGCGCTTCCGAGGCGGCTTCTTCTCCTCCGCAAAGGGGGAGCAAGTACCGATCTCCATCGCAGCGTCTGGCTCGGTGGCGGGTCGTTTCGCGTCCGTCTCAGCGAAAAACTCGTCGGGAATGCTGCGCTTCCGACGCGCTGGGGCGTCCTCGTCTCGGTCTTGGGCCTTCACGTCCCTTTCGTATCGAGGCTCGTCACGCGTTCGCATGGGTGACGCCGTCCGGCCGTACATATCACCGAGCGGGGCGAATACCGGGAGTTGGTTGGGAGGGGGTAAAATCCGCTAATGGGTCCCTTCATGTCTTCCACCCTTCCGCGACTGTTCACCACGATTTCAGATCTTGGCGTAATGGAATTGGCATGTGCTCTAGTTTGGTCCTTTAAATGGGTCTTATGTGGCGTACGAAAGCGATGTAATTGGCGGAAATACTTATTACGACTTCTTCATTAGTGGATATATGGTGTGGTTCTTATAAAGAATTACTGAAAGTTAGAATAAAATAAGTACGGTACGTGTCGTCGCTGAGCACTTTTGGTGCTGTGCCGTTGACGGTCAATAGATGTCTGCGCTGTTAATGCCCGAAGAACGCGAAAACTAACGCTAGAGAGCAGTCCCGGTAAGAATTAGCAGGCCCTTTATCTTGACATAGGCCATGGTGTGATCCCTCTAACTCGTGTACGAATCTATTGACCCAGCGAGGCGCGGGAGAACGAGGAATTTACGCCAGGAGTCCGTTGCCGCCAGTGAGATAACTGATGCAGCAACTTCGTTAACCAACATTTACTGTAGAAATTCGTCGTGAAGCTGGAGGGGAAGACGGTTGTTAAGCGCGTGCCCTGATACCTTCTCGAGTTGGTTGACGAAGTAAAGCTGGAATGCGCTGCAGAGGGAGCCCACAAGCTGTGTGCAACATGTCAGCACACATTGAGAATGGAAAGCAGCGACTCCAACGAGTCAATGCAACGCACGGTGGTCATCCACGGTATGTACAGCTTCGGCCACGTTGGAACCAAGTCACCGCGAGCGACATTAGCGACCTCATCTTCACCCTCCGGTTCACAATCGAAGGAAACTGTGTCCTCCACGAGCCAGGTTCGCCGACGGTGTTGCACCCCCGCAGGGAGAGTGACGCGATGCGCGGTAGTTGCAGTCCTGAGTACAAGTTCGTATTCCTGGAAACCGGAAAGAAACAACCGTGCTCCATGGCGCAGCAACAACCGAGCTATAACGCCCCGTGCTTCGTTATTTGTGAGGCCGGTGCCTGATTCAAGTCAAACAGGACAGCAATCCTCTCACGCGCGGTTCCAGCGATGAAAAGACTCGCCATCTTTATTTGTCGTTTGAGGGGTTTCGCAGCCCCGAGCTCTTGCAAGTCACCAACACGGGAGCCATATCGAGCAGCGTAGTGTGCCGGCGACGCCAGTCTTCCCCAGCTCTTGCAAGCGGTGGAGATCCGAGTGGAAGAAGTTGTTCGCTACCTCATGGAGTACGCGTCTGTAACGACATGCCACTCTAGGCCCTTGAGACGCCGCCAATGCAAACCGTAGCTCGTGGAGCTGTCGAACGACTTGAGTATTTAACAGCGGCGATCTGGTGGTGATTCAAAGAGAGTTCAAGCACACCTATGTTGCTCTTCTGCAGCACAAGCGTCAAAGACAAGACCGTGTCGATATCCTTCACGTTGCCGCGCCAAAGCAGAAGGTCCGTCACAAGCAACGCTGCTTCTTCCACGTTGATGGCAAGCACAAGTAACGGATTGGCAAGGTGAAGATCCTCGCAAGTACAGCCGATTGCAGTAGTACCTCGTCAGTAACGGGTCGTCACGTGTACTATGCTCAACGTGCCGGCGTCCACGCGCGAGGACCCGAGGAATTGTGCAGTGCAGACTTGCCAGTCAAGAAGCGAGTCTATCCTGGTGGTTTATACGATGGTAACACCAATAATGCTTCGAACGTTGCTTTGTGCATCCAGTTGCGCGCCAAAGCGGAGGACAGCGCGCAATAGCGAGAACTTGCAATAGAAGTCAACTAGTTCCCCGCTACGAGTTAGCGATGCAGGAAATGTCGACGACGACGCTGCGTCGGATGGCCTCGCCATGGTGAGGATGTTGAGACGCATAATACGTATCACCTTCGCTGCCATGCCACTTTGTCGGTCGCGTTTGGTTCCTGTCTTGGCTCCAATAGGAACGACAGCATGTTGAGATTTCTTGTCCATGCAGCTCGTGGTGCGCCGAGGCCCCGGTCGTGCGTTGGTGGCCGATTCCTAGCCGCAGGATGGAAGAACGACTTACAAAGGTATTCAGCCTCATTTATCGGGATACCCGGATGTGGTTGATGCACGGTCTACGAACACAAGTACCTAAGGGGAGTGAGAGCGCGAGCTCGATCCAGCAAGGATCTCTACTGAAAGCCACGCCAAGTTCACGCACCTAACGTAAGTATTTATCCACTGAACCCTGGTGAACCCCCACCTCGTGCAACCAAGACATTTAGCCAGCTCAGCGCTGAGACGCTGAGCATACTTCATGAGGAGCAAGCTCACAGGTCGAAGACCTGTGCTTGGCCCCGGCAAAAAACTTTAAACTTTCCAAAACCGGGTACCAAACCGTGTCTCTCTTTCTTAACCCTTCCTGCCCCAGACCTTATTCTGTATCCTACAGAATAAGCATTAGACTTGATTAAAGTATACTTCAAAACCTGTCAAAGATTTGCTGTTGGAAGCCCTTTCGCATCTTGCGGTCAAGCGCTGGGAACATTGTGCACAGAACAGCTACGAAAGGGAACAAAACATGCTCAATGTATCCACCATATGCCGAAATGGCGAGCTTCTATTGGTCGTGGCGAGCGTAGAGCACGCTCGAAACCTGCTACATGGTACTTCTCTGGTCCACGATAATATGCGCGTAAGGTTTTATGTATTTTACACTACATGTTTTTATTGGCTAAAATTATGAATTTCCGTCACCATCGAATAATGGCCAAATCCTTCTGTGACATTGCTAATTCCAGCCAACAATTCCCGAACAATGCACACGCCAGGGGCCAAGGGAGAGAGGGGAGATCACACCGCGGCGGGGGGGGGGGGGGCATTGAAAAGATCTCGAGACGGAGGTCTCTGAGATCTGGAGCCAGCGCACCGACCCCTCCGCGCTAGTGGTTCCGCGAAAGCCGCGAGCCCTCGGTCAGACTAAACTCATAGTAGAGGAGGTAGCTGGGCTCATCCAGGACGTCCCTATGACGAACGGCAAGCACTGCGTTGCCCAGTAGCCGCCGCTACGGGCATACCCCCCGCAACACAGTGTTACACAAGCCAATAATCCAAGCCTAGCCTTCGCCCTGACTCACGTAGGAAAAAAAGACAACAAATTTTGTATTATAGGGGGTGAGACTTCAGAATCATTCACATGTATTATAGATAACTCTCCGCATAACGCATAACTTCTTCTTAAAACGCCATTCTAAACGTAGCATAAATATGAGCTATGTCCTGATTGGGCAAAAATAAATTGCTGAATGCGAATCTCAACCGTGCAAGCAGGAAAAACCTCGTTTTTATTCGAGGCTCTAGCTCTCACAAATCAACGCTTTTGCCTCTAAATCAGAGCTCATCAGAAAGCTTGTATCGAGTACAATCCGAGACAATTCTTGGATCTAATATCGCTATTGTGGTTTACGTTTTACGAAAAAAACCTAATTTTATCGCCATATAAGCTGCTTCTGTCGATAGTTTTACGGCCAAAGCCTCGCAGAAGCTGCTAATAAAAAATTTCATGTGCTTCAGCTCGATCTCAGCTTTTTGTTGCTACCTTGCTTGTCTGGCTACCATTAGAATTGGCGCAACTATGGTAGAAAAAGTGTTTCGCGCATATTATCGTGGACCAGAGAAGTAATATCTCGCAAGGCTGGTAAGGCAGCATACTTCGGCTCCAGTCACCCATCTTCGGCACGCCGCGATAAACGCGGAGGAAGAAATCGCCCTGTTCCTAACTGACGTAGTGAGGAGGAACTGGGCGAATTCTTCCTTGTGCTTGACATTAGCGCATCGTTAGATTTCTTTAGCCCACCTAACAAGCTTGTTACGATTGTCTCTCTAACAACACCAGGGAGCTTGCATGCTCAATAGCCCGTAATGACACGCACTACACACGGTTCCTCTTGTACGAAACAGGACAATATATGATATTCATGCCAACGTCTACTTATTCCTTTACATGCGCACGCTCTTCAATGTTCGCGCCAGCCGTGGGTCATCATCGCCATTTTGGCAGCCTCCGCTTTGCTCTGTAGCCTCCGGCACTGCCGCTCCATTCCTGCCGCTTTCATCGGTAGCCTCCGTCGTAGCCTCTGTCCCTTTTCTGTAATCTCCGGTGTAACCTCATCACGCGGAGAGCTTCTTCTGTAGCATCCGGCGTAGCATCTACCGCTTCTTCTGTAGTCTCCGGTGTAGCCACACCATGAGGAGCGCGTCTTCTGTAGCCTCTTGGGTAGCCACTGCATCAGCGGTAGACCCGGCTGTAGCCGGCTTCGTAGGAACCGATGAGGTTGTGCGCTGACTCCGCAATCGATCTGCCAATCGGGCCACACGCGAGAGCTCATAGCGTCGTGTGGGTCGGATCACCAGGTCTGGTAATCAACATCGCAACGTAGAATCAATATACCACTAGTACAATGTTACAGAGCAAAGTACACGCTCTCGCTTACCTGTAGATCACAATGGCGCTCATCATGATCGTCTTCGGCCATGGTCCTTGGTCACTTGGGCGCGCTCGACGGGCCCCAACAAAGCTTGCATTGCGACGTCTTGAACAGCGCAGTTTCGGAATGAAGGAACGTACGAGTGGCTGACACGCGGCGGTTTTAGGCTTCCACCCGAATTTTCAAACCTGTTGGTGGTTTATACTCGTCCGTCTATTACCGCGGAATAAACCCCGTTTATCTTTCCATCGCTAATCTAACGGGAAGATGTGCACAATACCGGCTATACAAGCATCCATATGCGAAGTTCGAAAGAGAGGACAAGTTTGCTGGATATTATGTCCTGTGACAATACTTATTCTGTAGGATACAGAATACGGGGTTAGAGGGTTAATTGTAATGTTTAAGCTAATATCTGCTGGATCGGGTACCCGTCGATAAATGCTAAGATTTATGCGCATTATTTACCAAAGGCTGATACTAATCGTTTATTATTGACCAAAACGTGCATTCAAACACTTTCGGACGCTATAGTGCACCATGAGAGCGTCATGGCTTCGCTGAAGGCGTATCAATTTGCGCCATAATCGACCAAGCTTGGCTGAAGATGAACGACATGACTTGTCTAGCTGCAGGCTGCATTTTTTTACATGTCAATTTGGTTAATACCCATTCACTCTTAGCCGAAGATGCCCAACCTCGTGTCTGTCGCCAAACCAATCAGCTCAACTCGACGGTGACACGAGCATCGCTCGTTTGAATAAGACTTTTTTCCCTGCGTTGAAGCACTTACTTCCAAGAAATTGGCCCACTAGCGTATATCTCATTCCGTAATTTATCCCCCACTCCCTCAAGTTATATGTTTGTTTGTTTGTTTTGTTTTTGAATTGAGGATCGTTATTGTCACTTAGCTAACATCCTCAAGTTAAATGGTCAAGATCAGCGCACCATGCGTCTCTCCTTCGTTCCGCTACTGTAGCTCTCTCGTCTGATCGTTAGCACACAACATAGTACAAAAATGAGCACAGTATACCTTACCTGCAAAATGAATGAAATAGCTCTCTTGTTGCTGGCGCCAACGCAGCCATTGGACGCTGACCAGGGTGTTATGTCATCGATGGCCCCATCAGACCAGACAACCTCAATTGGTGACTTTCGGTTCCTGAGAGCCCACCACGATAAAGAAGAGCGGGGCTTGCTGGTTACCAGCCTCACAAACGTTTGGCTGAAACATCATTTCCGTATAGATACACTTCGATGTGCGCAACTATTTGTTCAAGTACGCATTCTCGGGCAGATGCTGCGGCTATGAAGCAGGCGCAGTAGATGCCCACGTTAGAATCAACTAGAGAGTTGGACTGGTAGTGCTTTTAAGGATTAAAAACAAAACAACTTTGGGCTTTACTCAATTATTATCCGTTATCATCGTCCATGAAACTATTCGTCGACCTGCGTACCCTCCCGGAGCAACGCTCCGGGTTGCATATAATCGATCTTGTGATTCGAAACGTTTGTCAAACACCCTCTTTTCGTTAGCTCGATAGTAATATTACGTCGTTATTGTAGCAATAGTAGGTCGAGAAAATATTACTGCAATACTATATGAGTCTAGCTTTAAATACAACAATAGTTAGTATAGTACAGCATGGGTAATATATGAAATATCCATACTTTAGTAGTTGTTTTACTAATTTTCCGTACTGTATTTTGCTTTTTCAAATAGCTTCCTTAGGGGCTGGTCGCGCTGGCTGGTGCTGGTTCTCGATCGGGTGTTCCAGAGATGGGCAGGGGTAGGTGAACTACTAAGTCGGCCTCGAGTTTTCACTTCTGTATTATTTTTGCTCATTTTGGACATAACCATTGCAATTCACAGAGAACCCGGGGGATCCGCTAAGGAGATAGGGCCCTCGTAATTGAGTCGACATTTGGAAAACAGCCGGCTGTGACAAACGCACATTTGGGTGATTCGTAATAGGTGCATGTACCGAAATCGTCGGCAACGCTCTGTGGAAATGATACTGTTGCCGACGACCATAGCTCTACTATAAATAAGCATCCGAGGCAAAGTTTACTTTAGACTACCGGCAAATAATAAGAGGGATTGAGTGCTTGCCATTTTACACATCTCGTTGTGCTGATGGTGCGCCTTGCTTTCCCACCGTCTGGCTACGCCGTGTTCTACCTGGAAGTTTCCCAAGCGACGATTGATGAGCTCTACCTCGAAGCAGAGTCTCGGACCTACAGACCTGTGGTTCGAGAAGTAGGCGGAGTCGAAGATAACATGTTCAGAAGTCAATCGCGAGTTCAGCGCATGACACCTCCCCTTCGACGTGTTTCCGCTGCAATCCTTGAGGATGCAGCTACCCGCGACTCCAACTACAGACCCTGTGTGTTTTCGTACATGCACTCGCGACCTGGGGGTCTATACCAGGAACCTCATCAAGACTATGCAGACGAAGTGCGAGCTGCTGTGCATGCCCACTACCCGGGCAGCATTCTGGCTAGTGTTATTATTGCCATCCAACCCGGGACAAGACTGCGGTTGTTTCCCCGCTGCTTTGACTTTGCCCGCCCTGAAATGGAGATTGAATTGGAGATCCCTACTGGATATGCAGTTGTGTGTCGCGGCGATTTATTTCATAGTGTTGTGGGGTATACTACTTCCAACTATAGACTTCATTGCTACTTGTTTTTTCGAGACCTTGCTTGTCGCTCGTGACGGCCGTCGAGAGGGCGGGATCAGCTATCGCTCCGTCAGAATTAGGGACCGGGACCGGCAGGTCTGGTTCAGATGCAGAATGCAGCGAGGAGGCAGCTTCTTCATCCAGCTCAGGCTCTGCTCCCAAATCACCAGTACTGGAAGCATCCGATCCATTTACCGGCACAGCGTTGCCACCCGAGTCAAACTGGCTCTGCCAAGCGAGGGATCCCAAATACCTAGCATATCGGGGATTGAACGGCACTTGGTTGTTCACAGCCTCCTTAAATCTTGGGTTGACGCTGCTGTTGTCGGTTGTAAAGTCGCGCAACGTTGCTAGGGCCTCTCGAGCCGAGTCTCGCGTCATTGCATGAGCTTCCATCGCTTCAGATTCACTATGCAACAAATTATACGATCTCGTGGCAGATACATGAGCCGCCGCATCCCACATCAACACCAGTAATTTGTCTCGTGCTCCTGCCGAGAAGCTGCGAGCCACTTGCGCACCCAAGCACTCAATAACCGCAGCAGCAGACTCAGCAACACCATCGGCATCACGCTTCCGAACAGCCATCGCCATAGCAGCCAGCTCTGCCGACATCGCGGCTCGCGCCACAGTGCCACAGAGCTGATTGCGCTGTCGTAGAAGCTTGGCCAGAGCCTGGTCGGCCGCTTGAACTGGGGCGTCGCAGGATCTACCAACGCGCGAGTCAGTCGAAGTGATAGCAGCGCGGGCTCGATGTGGGTAGCGAGCGCCATCTTGGCGCTCGTCTAGCACCTGGTTGGGCGCTTCTTCCGAGGGAACGTGTCGTCAGCAGTGCTCTGCAAGAAGATCTCTCTCTCTCTCTTCTGGCGTTAGCGCTTTCCAATTCGCGCGCAGGGCCTTGCCGGCGCGATTGCTGAACCATGCCTTGGTGACTGCAGCCTCATGCGCGCCGTCGAGCTCTTCTTTAGCGAAAACCTTCGCCTGGGCAGACACTCCCTGCCCTTACTGTAGCTGGGATGCCCAGGCAAAGAAGGCACGGTGGACACGCATGAGAGGTGGGATAGTGCTTTATGAACCGAGCTCTCGTTTTGGTACATGTACCTATTACGAATGACCCAAATGTGCGTTTGTCACAATCGGCTGTTTCCCAAATGTCGACTCTATTACGAGGGCCCTCCCGATGAGGGCCCTCCTTAGCGGATCCCGAACCCTGGAACCAGCAAGGGGATCGAGTTCCCGGGTTCTCGGCGAATCGTCATGGTTATGTCCACAGTGAGGAAAAATAATACGATATCATTTCGCATATAGCTTGCCGTCCCGACCGAGAACCAGCACCAGCCAGCGCGACCAGCCCCTTAAGAAACTGTTGCGGGGTCCACATGGTTGGCGGCCATCTTCGCGGTGAAGTTGTGCACGTTGGGGTGTATGTCGAGGTTAGTGTTGTATCGGAGTGTGCATGGGTCGTTCGCCCCGTGATGAGGCTGGAGGTTTTACCACGGGGTTGTCCACCGCATACGGCAGTTGAAGAGAAGCTGTGGGCTCAGTTGAGAAACATCGCGTCAGAAACAATGGCGAGCTTTAAGGGTGACGGGCACGTAGCGCGGAAGGCCCCGCAGCGCTTCCGCCATGACTAAGATAACAGGCAGTACAACAAGCGCCCGTCCTCAGCTCCACGGAAGCCAAAGGACAGCAAGGCGCCTCGCAGATTCCCCCGCATCAACGGCGTTCGTGACGGACTGAGTTGCACGTGAAAGTTTGTGAGGGTCCGTGAGCCAGTGTCCGACGTCGACACGCGCAAGTTCCCGTATCAGCTCTTTCGAGAGGATGGTCTACAAACGCAGCGGGCCGCTGGAGAGAGTGGCGGAGCTCAATCCGCAAGCTGGTGCAGTTCCAAGAGTCTGGCGTAGGAGATGTCTTTGCCACGAAGGTGACGCTCGACCCTCGTCCGTCCAAGGACCTCAGCATCAACTACGCCAGTGGAGTTTTGCGGGCTACGTTTCCAGCTCTTGATGAATAAGAGCGACGTCCGGGCTCTGCAGCGCCATGAAAATTCCCAGTTCGTAAGAACTGTCGTTACTACCTATTTAATGTCAGATACCGGTATCGCCAGAATTAATTACTTGACTTTTGTATTGAAATCTAATATCTTGAGTTTTGTATGTATTCGAATGACTTACTGTTGTATTGGGCCGATTTATCTAAGCATTTGTATGCGGATTAACTAGTGTTGGATACATAACTCAGGGGAGTCCCCTGAGGGGACAAAGAGTAAAGGTATAGGCCAGAAGGCCTTTAGATGGAGGTATAGGTCATGATGTTCCTGATCCGAGCGGGGCTTGCTCGCTAAATACATTTTAGAATTTGCTGAACAGGAGAACAGACATGAGCTGGATGCTCGCATAAGGGCAAGAAGGAGCAGCAACCTCCGCTTGAGTCTTCAGGTACCCCCCCCATTACTCGTGACATGGAAACTTGGCCTAAACTTAATTTTTCACTGGTTGTACTGTAGAATGCGACGCGTTGGACGTGCTGGTGCTCTAGGGGGTTATTCGATGCCGAAAGTAGCTAGAAAAGGCCCACTCAGGCCACAAATACGTGCAGCACGAATTTGTTCGTCTACAATTGCTGCGGTATCGGCAACTTCACTAATATTGTCTGATCTTAATGCTAGTGAGGACATGATCGAGGCGTTCGTGGCTGGAATAGGTCACGACTCTGTATCACAATCTCAAGGACGACTCGAAAGGACAAAGTTTAGTTGGAAGGGTCTACCAGTACGTGTGTAAAGGTGTCCGACTGAGAGAAAATCTACTCGCTGCGAACCCAGATCCTGTGCAGGCGCGTCTTGTGACCGAACCCAAAGAACGCAAGACTATCTCGATATATGCTAGAGCGTTAAAGTAAGCTGAGAGGAGATGTGCGACTGGTGCGCCGCAAGTGAGGATCGCCCAAGTCGCTTGTGACTTTTTTCATTTGGAAATAAATATATCTAGTTGCCCTGCAGGGTTGTTGGTGTAATAATCATTTAGCTACATCTCGACTACTACAATTACTTGCGCATTGAACAAGTTGAGTCCCCTTAAGGGTTACTAAAAAATAGTCTGTCGATGTGTTTGAAAAAGTTTGGCGTTATGGATCGAGAGCTATACTACATTCATAAAGTGTCTTTGCGGTCGCACTTTCGATTTTGTAGCTGCTACGTTTGTGCTTCTCTTTCTTTTATTATTTATGTGGAGTAGCGGCCTCACAGAAATCGCGGAGTTCGTCCTCGCACAAACCCGACGCGTCCAATCTGCGGTCGCGACGGGCAATTTCCCGGATCTTGAGTAGCGTATCTTCGAATATAGAGCCCAAGTCTTCGCAAGCTTCAGAGTTGGGGGGTTGAGTGGACGCTTGTTCCTTGTCTTAGGGCGTCGGTTGTTCCTTGGGCGTGCGGACCGATCGGGCCGGCGTTTCCTGGGGCTTGTTGCGTGGCGTTATCGGGCCGACGCGGGGTCTTGTGCACAGCGGTTATCAGGCCGTGCGGTCCTTCGTCTAGGCTGCGCGTTTTCGAGCGCCTCCTAACCGGTATACGTTTTACGTGCCTTCGTTTCCAACACGGGGTTTGAGGGGGGCGAGTACCCGAGCCAGCGAGCGACGGGGGGCCACGTATTCCTTGCGGCTATACTTGCCGACGCTTGGTGGTTCTCAAGAACCTGGCGATCTTCCGGAGGGGAGAGGTCTGAGTGGTTCAGAGAAATTTCGGGACTGAGTCCTTACCCTATCCTATGTCCTTGCTACTGGCTACTCCCTACTACTTGCTTGCTAAGCCTACCACTCACGCCTATCCCTGCGTCTGTCGTGCTTGCACTGCCGCTCTTCAACCTGATTTGCGTAACGTAATCACGACTTGGGCTCGACGGGATTTCTCGACGGGGTTTAGGGTTGACGGGTTTTGGGGCCCACGGGTTTTGCTCGGCGGGGAAAAGGGTCGGCTCGTTTTGCAGAGACGGGGCGCTGGTCGACTCGTCGGATGATTACGCGTCGAGTTGGACTCTGGCGCCGTGTATCACGGCTTTCACCCGCATCGACTTTTCCCGTTGATCTCTGCCGCGCGCCGCGTTCCACCAACTGCATCGAGTTCCATCCTCCGCGCCGAGTTCCATCCTTCGCGTCAATCGGCTTCCATCTCGGCGCCTCCTCTCACCGGCGTCGACGTGCCCGCTTCCTCGTGGGGCACTACACCACAACCGTCCCGCTGTCTCGCACGCGCACTCCCCAGGCGGGTGTGTCGGTCGCCTTTCCAGCATCATGGTGCGCGCTGAGGACATCTACATCGAGGAGGGCGGGCCCGACACCTCGATGCTGCCGACATCGACGTGGAGAAATGCTGAATTAGAATTGTTCTCTAAGAAAGGCGGCAGGGCCGATCGACTGGAAGTATGGGAGATCAGCGATCGAGAGACAGGCAGCAAGGATCTGTGGATCAGAGGGAGTTCTTCGGGAGATCTCAAGTGGCCCGATGACGCCGGCGCGTAAGGCAGGACATGTGGCAAGCCGGATTGTGGATGATCGTGCTCGAACCGTGGCGTGATTCGGGGTCGACCCAAGCACCGATCGACGACAGATCTCGCAGATCTAGGACGACCGAGGACAGAAGATGATGGATCGGCGGCGCACGGCAACCGGCACCAGTCATCGATCGCGGATCGAGATCGATCGCAGATCGGGAGCCGATCGTGGGTTGATCGTGGATCAGGGATCGACCACGATTGGATGCACATGGAGGACGAAGTCAGGACAAGAATCCAGTGGTTGTTGAGTTGTAGGATGGTAGATGAGATGGTAGCGGTAGCGAGACACCAGCTAAACATAAATCAGAGCAGAATTTGCACCAAAGACCACAAGTCCCCTCAAGTCACCAAGTCCCAGGAACTACATTGGCCTCGGCAGCGTCGACACTTTGGGTATTGAACTAGCTGTACGGTTAAGACTGGGTTAATACATTGGCCAGCTCGACCTACTCTAGTGATCTATCTTTATGTGTAAGTCCTCGATCGACCGGATATTAGTGCTTGGCCGGCGATCGTTTCTCCTCTCGATCAACCTCGATCCCGTTATAGGAAGCGGCAAGCAACTCAGGAAAGGGAGGAACACACCCGGAAAGGCAACTACAGGCCTTGGATCTACTCCAGGCCGACCGATCGAAGCGAAGAACCCTCGATCGGAGCGTATACTCGGACGCAGAGCGAAGACTACCGCGCTGCTCCACAAACTATCCCCGCGTCACGCCAAGACACTCGATCTTCACCAAGTGCTGCATCTTCGGAGCCCCGAGAGAGCAGATCCAGCCCGCCGACGGGTACACAAGGTGAGAACAAGTTCAGCCGATCACGGATCGTTGGGGGACCCCCTCCGTTAGTCGGTGTCTGGGCGCTGGTGGGAAGCTCGATCAGGCCTTAATCAGATTTTGGCCGATCCCACTACACCTCAATGGTGTGCGTGCCCGGATCTCTGGGGGACTCCGGATTTCACCGTGAGTGCGTAGAAGATGCTCAAGTGAAGAAAGAACCAGGGGAAGTGGCGTCGTCGGATATCGGATCGACGAAGACGCTGCTAAACAAAACGAGATCTGCGGATCGACAGAGTGCTCGGAGGACTTCTGTCGACGGAATCGAGGGCGATCTGGGGACAGATCTAGAAGACAAACCTCAACATCCTCCCCAGGTACCTTCGGGGACCCCGGTGGATCTTGGTGCGAACCGAGATTCACTAACAAAACAAACTAAGGCGGGATCGGACCGATACGCGTTCGCTGACTCGCCGATCAGGCTCGATCCGACTACCTGGACGCAATCGCGGACAAGGCCCAGATCGTGAGGAAGAATCTGAGAGCGCCAGGCTTGGACGACGAAGATCCCAGACCGTCGGCACTCGACTGGTCCGAGGCTAACCTGGATCGTCAGTATCACTTGAAGGAACTGCGAGACTTCTTGCGTCAAGATCCTGTCATGGAGATCGTGCAGCCAGACCAGATCGACGACCCGAAGGGCCCGATCTCGGCCCCCCGAGTGACGGATAACAAGCTGATGGCGGTGAAGAACATGCTCGGCCTTTTGAAGGAAGCAGGCTTCGTGGCTGGCGCCTTTGAAGCGAACGATCTTTTCGATCAAGATCTCGATGTGATCCAGACAGCAATCTAGACATTGGTCGACAAGTTGAGACCATTGGTCGACGTGATCGCGGACAGTCCGGACCCGAAGGTGCCAGATCTAGTGTCGCCGGCTCCAGTGTCATCGCCACGAGTGGAGTCCACTGGGTACCGATCGTCGTCTCCATATGTCTCCGCAGCGGAACATGTATCGGATACGTCGTGTGAACCTCAACGGATGTCCCTCGGTCCATCAGGATCTGCGATGCTGGACGCACGATCACGGAGTCAACGTCAGGAACGCATGCGATCAGGACCTCGGAAGCAGAAACCCAAGTCGACCGATCGGACCACCAGTGCTACCGGATCAGATGAGTCGAACGGCCGACTGGAGTCTTACTTCCAGACTGCGATGGCTCGATTTCTGAAGGAACAACAGGCCATGGTGGTAACACCTACTCCAGTGGTCGACGACAACGTTGGATCGCGGGACGTGGAGATGGAATGAGCCGGATCACCGGATCAAGATCTCTCCCAGTGGGAACATGATCCGGACGACACTGATCTACCGAGTTCGGCCCCTGCTGCGGTGACCACCGCTGCCTCGGGATCCACTGGGTCCTCCTCGATCCAGCGTGTGCGAATCTCGGCGATGTCCGATCTTAAGGAGTTCAGTGGCAAGGATCAGGACGAAGACCGCGCCCGATCGTGGATCAGCAAGGTGAATTCGACGTTCCTGCGAGATCAGGCTACGGACGAAGAGAAGTGGCTGACCTTCGCTGATCTACTGACGGGCCCGGCGAAGAACTGGTACCGCCAGCTGGGCCGATCGACGCGGAACAAGTGGAGCGATCTACTCCGGAGTTTCCAGATCCAGTATTGTGGCCTGGGAGTATCGGTCGCTTGGCAGTATTATCATTCTCGCAAGAGAGCAGATGAATCGCCGTTGGAGTACCTCTATCGACTGAATGTGGCGGCTCTGCGTGCGAGATTGAAGATCAAGGACGGAGATTCCAAGGCCCGCCGAGAACATGTCGAACACTTTATCGAGACGCTGGGCGATCCGGAACTGGCTGATCAGCTCACCCTACTCCGGCTTGCGGACGCGGAAGATCTGAAGGAAGTCCTGCGCGCTCGAGAGCGCGCGAAGAACAGACGGATGCGATCTGCCTTTGGATCGAAGTATCGTCAGAAGGTTCCGACCTCAGCACCACCTGCTGCAACCAAGCGGGCAGTGCGTGCAGTTCAGATCGCGAGCCAGGAATCTGGATCGGACACAGGATCGGAAGGATCGGACTCGGAGGGTGATCTACGTCGCGTTTACATAGCGTCGGCCAATGACAAGTCTCGCAACGCTGGGGGCGACTCGACGAAGCTGGATCGGAGCAACCAAGCGTAGATCATCCATGACTCACCTCGATCGGATCCACGATCGCGATCTTCACCTGACGGATCGGACCGATCAAGCCGCTGCTCACACTGTGGATCGCGGAAACACACCTATCTCGATTGTTGGAGACGTTTGACGTGCGAGAAGTGTGGCAAGAGAGGTCATCCGGCGGATCGTTGTCTGCTTGTGTGTCGTGGATGTGGTGAACTACACGAGATGGGCAAGTGTCGGATGGAGGAATTCTACAACCAGATCCGTCAATAGTTCAACCCGGTGAAGCACGCTGGCATGTTGCCCGCGATCGCCGAGAAGATGTTAAACTAGGACGCTCGCCGGGTTGGAATCCGGTACGAGCCGAGCGTTCTAGTTACTGCATCTATGCATTCGTGAACAAGAACACGGTAGATCGAGTAAGTGGACGGACTGATCTACGCGGTAATACATGTCACCTGCATGCGAAATCTGCCGCCAAGATCTTAAGTCTACATCGATCGGACGACTTCAGCCGTTCTGACGCCGAAGTGCCCTTGGATCTCCAGTCTGGAGAAACGCGGGGCTATTGGAAGCAACGCAGACCGGAAGAATGGTTCAAGCCAGCTGGTGGAGAAGTGACGACCGAGATCCCGGAGCATGATCGCGATCGAAGTCTGCCTCGCGTCAACGAACACCGCAGATCTGTGGATGTCGTGCCGATCTCATCCCAGAGGAGTCCAGAGGGTACTGGAAACATCATTCGCCAGGTAAGTGGTTCCGTCAGGCCAAGATCACTGGCAAGATCAACAATGAGAAGTCGATCTTATTCTTAGACACCGGCGCCGAGGTGTCCATCGTGGACGCCGCCTTTGCTCGTAAGGTGGGGTGCTATGTCGACACGAGTCAGAGCCAGGAATGTGTGGGGATTGGCGAAAGCGTGTACATGAGGAAGGAAGGACCAGGATCAAGGTTACGCTTGCGGGATCGCTGGTGTATTTCTTCGATATCTGGGTTGGCGATCTATCAGGACAAGAGGCGATCCTGGGTATGGACTTTATGGTTCCAGCGGGGATCCGTCTCGATCTTGCGGACGGCTCTATCTGTCTCCCCGACGAAGTCAAGATCCAGCTTAGCGCACGGCGCCAGCTGTACAACGACAAGGTCAGACACGTGTGTGTAGATCAGGGAATGATGATCGCTATCGGAGATTCGATTGAGCTTCCGCTACGAATGAAGGTGACGGATCGAGAAAAGCTATGGGTCACCCGTGGAGATCGTTGGGTGCCGACTGTGGTCCGAGGACCCAGCAGGATCAGATATCGCCAGGTTACCAACATCAGCGACAATGACCTCGTCTTGCATCGGAATGAACGGATCGGGATGTGGCTGGCTGGAGATCGGATACCCCGGATCCCAGGATATGTGTCGATCGGATCTCGTCGATACATGGAATGGCAGAATCTAGCCTTTCAAGCCACGACAGATGACCGGCCGACGAACCAGGAGGCACCAACGGGACCTCCAGTACCTGCCGTCGAGCGACCGATTTATCGAACGCCCCGAGACGCAAGGTATCCCCGATCGTCGATCTGTCGACGGGTCCACCCGATCCAACAAGCGAACCGGAGGTAATGAGCCCTGATCCGGGGGCGACCGTCGTTGATACTCTTAGATCAGGGGGCAGACCGTTGCAGGACGATGATCGCGTGACAGAGGAGTCGGGGTCGTCTGCTTCAACTGTCCTCGTCGGAGATCCACCAGACCCACGGTCGGATCCTGTTGAGTCGGTGTGTGAACCTTCCGGATCGGAGGAGGAATGCTCTCCAAAGCGGAAACAGGTGGGGCTGGACTCCCAGCCTTCGCCGATCACGGACCAAGCGTGTGCACCGATAGATGACGCGAAGCCGCAAGATTATCGTGCTGGCGACCAAGAGGGGAAGCCAGATCATGTGGATTTCGAGCTGAGAAGGGCGAAATCGTGTCCCCTCACTAGCCATCGGCCGATCAGGTCGACGGTTGTGCCGTCGAACCAGATCTTGGGGGCGGGAGTACCGATCGGACACACCCGGTTGCGGTCTTAGCTGTGGAAGAGTCGAGATCAAGTGACGATACAGCAGTCGACGGTGTTCCTGCATCTGAACGACTGCCGCAAGTGGCTGAATACTCATCGATCGTTGGGGTGATCAGGTGGAAATGGAGGCCAAACCCACTTCAAATTGGGCGACCTCATTGCATCCGAACCGGATCGAGACGTTGGCGCTGATGATCAGGCCCATTACCACGAGGGCGGGAATCGGTCAGCAGAAGATGTCGAAGGTTAATTAGCTGTGATTCCTGAAATTGTGATCTCGACGACGGATGAGGTGAAGATCGATGATATCAAGGTGGGAGATCTGGAGTTCAACACCCCGGAGGAGTTCGATCGGCTGCGAAAGAAGATCTGGCACAGGAATCACCTGCTGATCGGCAAGGGCAATGCACTTCCCCCAGCAGCCCGGGGTGTCACCTGCGACATCGACGTGGGCGACGCAAAGCCGATCGCTCAGTGTGTCCGGAAAGTGGCCCCCCGTTTGTGGAGAAGGTGTCCGAGCTGATCAAGGGATTATTGTCAGCCAAGATGATTCGGAAATCTCGATCACCGTGGGCCTCGCCGATCGTCGTGATCATCAAGAAGAACGGCGTGGATATCCGACTCGGCATCGATTATCGGCTCGTCAACAGTCTAACCAGGCTGATGGTATATCCGATGCCCTTGATCAACGATTTGCTGGAGGATCTAGACAAGGTACTCTGGTATTGCTCTTTGGACATGGCTAGTGGATTCTGGGTGGTGACAATGACCGATCGAGCTCGTGCGGTCTCGGCCTTTATCACCCACATGGGTCTGTTCGAGGGGAACCGGATGCCGTTCGGCCTGAAGAACGCTCGTCAGATCTATCAGCGACTTCTGGACGACGCGTTGTATGCGTTCACCAAGATCCTGTCAAACATGAATCCAGCCTCGAACAGCAGATCTTGCAGGATGGTCATGCACTCCCGCGGCGTCAGCATCTGGACCGGGACCTGGACAGCCATGAGATCCTGGGTGGTGCTCAAGTACCGCCGGTCGAGACGAAGTTCCGCAATCCAGCCACCATCCTGGTCCTCCAAGAGTGCTCGCGCACTGAGGTACCTGGATGTGGTCAACATGGCGGCCATCCAGGGCTGTGCATCCGGCCTGGGTGTCGGCCAGGAATACTCCACAGTGGGCGGGGTCACGCGTTCGGACTCCACCCGCTCCCACCTGGACACTTGCTGCGCGACGAACGCCTTCTCCTGGACCTCGGCGAACCTCTGGTCAGGTGATCCCGACCGAAGCGATCCTGGATCCGGACCTTGGTGTGGGACGGCTTGATTCAGGGCCGTCTTGGCCGAAGCTTCCTGGACCGAGGATTCAGGGTTCGTCATGGTCGCTTGGGCGGACGGCGAGGTCTCTTGCGAGTCCTCAAGCTCGTCCACTTCTTGGACATCGGTAGCGGCTTGTCTTCCAGGTTCGGGGTCTCCTTGGACTCCGCATCTTGATCCGGCAGCGGAGAGTCCGAACATCGATCCGCCGCCGGGGGCTCAATCTCATCGGCGCCTCCCGCCGACGCCTTGGCGAGCTCATCCTGGACGGACTCACCCTGATCTTGGGCAGCCTTCGGGTCAGGATCCTGGACGTCCAGCTCGCCATCTGAGGACACTTGGTGCGCGTCATCCTGGACGGACGGTGCTGGAGTCGGCTCCTTCTCCGACGACTTGGCCTTCGCCTCGCGGGCCGCCTTGCGCTTTGCAGCGCCTGCCTTCTGAGCAGCCCGGACAACCTCGTCCAGACTCGCGTGCTCCTCCGGCAGCCCCTGAGACCTACGCGACTGGCCCGACGCATCACCGCGTCCCTAGCCATCGCGTCCTTCCTCGCGCATGTCTTCTCCGTTTCCTCTCGCCATAAACGCTTCGGTCAGAGGGTTAGTAGACTTCGCAACCTCAATCCTAACAATAAATGTAACCGCAACTCAGTGAAGTCCCAAACGATTCGAATCCGGGCACGCGCACCAGCTGAGGCGAGGCGGGTGAACGCCTTTTGCCGCCCAGGTGTACAGTGGCCAGAAAAGGATCTAGACTTGTCCCCTCGACACAACCCTGGATGAGCACTTGGTGTCGTCCCGGGTGGCGTGTGTTTCTTGTGGAATCCCTTTGGGTGTCGTTTGTCTTCGAACGTGAGACTTGCACTGCATGAGTTGCAGGAAACAGGATAATATCGCTAGGACCAGAAAGCGGAGCCAACGCACACTTCAGAACGCAGCTTTCACAGCCTGGATCCGGAGAGATAACCTTAACAATACAGAGTCATACACAAATATACAATACACACAACCGTCACTTATTCTTTGGTTGGCCCTTGGACGGTGGGCCCTACACACCAGTCAACATTGAGGGTAGATCCAGGACACTGGCAAGTCCAAGACCCTCAATCAAGAGGGAAAAAGCCGAATCAATACAAAACACGGTCCTACCTATCACTCAGTAGCCTATCGACAAATCACTAGGTGGTGACTACCTCAACCGCCCTAGGAGTAGCTTAATATGAAATGGCAGTGCTGTCCAGGACAAACACCCCAACTAGAATATGAAATAAAGCTTATCAACCCTGGCCGCACGACAGCTCAGGTACTCGCCGTAACTTGATTTGATACGTACTATGAGAGCTCCACACACGACCCTTACGTTCTTAGCCGAGGTGCCCTGACTGCGGGGGGAGAACCAAAGACACAAGGCTCCTTTGAGTCTGAACCAGCTCTGAATAGCCTGGCCCCAACAGAAGACACTTGCGCTGTAGCAGGAAAAACGAACTCTGTTTGGTCTTATCTTTGTAGGCTATCACTAATCGTAACATGCAGTCTTGGAAGTATTATCTTGGTTTCAGTATAGGTTGTCGTCGGTTGAGTCGCAAAGATCCACCGGGGATCGGCAGCACAGCTGGGAGGGAGTTCAAGGTTCCATGTGCCGAGCAGATCTTGGACGGTCGGCTTGGTCGGTCGATAATGTCTTGGGTTTATATGGTCAAATCTTGGAGCTTGGAGAGTCGTCCATTCGGGATACACGTTGTCTATTCAGGATACACCTGGACGGTTGGGATAAGTGGAACCTCTCGATCAGTGTGGAGAAGAGCTCTTGGGGAATGCGTAAGGTGGACTATCTGGGACATCGTGTGTCGAACGACGGGCTGGAAGCCAATGCGAAGGACCTCACCGCTCTGACCGACCTGCCGTTCCCCGGATCGCTCCGATCGATGCAGTCATTCTTGGGCAGTCTCAACTACTACAACCGTTTCTTGGAAGCTTACGCGATCTACGCTGCGATCCTGTGCGAACTGCGCGAGGTGGACTTCGCCGAGCTGAAGAAGAGCCCCGATCTGCGCCAGATCCTGGATCGTCAAGTGCCGAACTCAGTGGATACGGACCCAGTGAACCCCGATCGGACTCCACCAGTTCCTGAAGTCGGTGTTGCCGATGAACGCTAGATCCGTGCTCATCGTGCCTTTTCGACACTGAAGGTGAAGATCGCGACGACACCGATCACGGGGCGAGATCGACTGCAAAGCACCTAAGCTGACATTGTTAAAGCAGAAGGTGCTGGACCAACTACGGAACTGGCCAGATCACGAGCTGTTACATGTGAAACGAGACTGGAACGGAAGTGCGGACAGCCTTGCCAGTGCAGCACTCCAACGTGAAGGGGGCATCGTCGTCGAGGATGAGGTCGATCCTGGGGATCTAGTGACACTGAACCGACTTAATGAGATCCTGGTTGTTCGATCGGATGGGTCGATCGCCCGACTATCGCCGATGACCACTCGATCGGGCGACAGATCACGGCAGAACCCGACTGTCATGCAGGAGGAGTTCGTGCGAGGGTTGCGGATCGATCGAATTCGTCGAGCTCAAGATGAAGAAACGTGGATCGCGGGTATGAAGAGGTACCTGATGGGAGATGTGGCTGATCTGACGCAGAATGAGGCTCGATCCTATGGCAACATCGCAGCGGATTACGAGATCGACGGTGATAATCTGCTGTTCTATTGCCCACCCTCCAAGCGATCGGAGGCAGATCGAGATGGACCGATGAGACTGGTTGCACCGGAGACGCTGCATCAAGATATCTTGCATCACTATCACTCCACTTTGGGAGGGGACACCAGGGGATCGGGCGTACCTATCAGCGGAACCGCGATCACTTTCACTGGAGAGGTCTCTTCAGGAGTGTGCGGAAGTACGTCGGTGAATGTGTCGACTGCGAGACCGGCAAAGGACGACCTACGATCAGGGGCGAGTCGCCGGGGAACATCCAGGCGACGTACCCGTTCCAGATCATAGCGATGGATCACATACCTTCGCTGCCGAAGTCGTACAAGGGTAATACGGAACTGTTGATCTGGGTCGATCTGTTCACGGGATACGAGATCGCGAAGGCCAGTTCCTTCCGAACGGCGCAGACGATCGCTGAACCTTACGAAGAGTGTGTGTTCCGGTGATTTGGTGCTAGCGAGGTGATCAGGCACGATCGAGAGCCGGAATTTATGGTCGACTTCTTCCGCGCCTTTAACAAGATCCTGGGTATGCGTCAGCGAGCGACGATGCCATATCGACCTCAAGCTAACGGTACTGCAGAGCGAATGGTACAGACGGCGACGAGAGCCCTGAAGATGTTCGTGGAGGATCTGGATCAGAGAGATTGGGATGAGTACGCAGAGCGATTGACCTTCGCGATCAACACGGTTCAAGATCAAGTCCGTGGAGACTCCCCTTTTTATCTGATGCATGGTTGGTTGGGATCCTCGATCGACGCTCGAGGCGACGATACTTTTGGGTAGTACTCGGACTCGGGATCGGAATCCTCGACGGTGGCGTTTTCGGATCCAGAGGCACTACGATCAGGCTCGAAGTCAGGTGAATGCTCGCCTACGCAAGGTGATCGCGGATCGGGCCGATCGACACAATGAAGAAGTTCGTGAGATACTGTACAAGCTCGATACTGCCGAGTTCAGCCGCTTTCATCAGCGCAGTGACTCCGTACTGGTCCTTGCCGTTCACATTTGCGCCACACTGGTCAACTAGATCCTGAATACAACCTGAATATGACACTTGTAACTTGGCTGCTTTTGCGTGCGTCTGTAACTCACACCGCACAACGAAGGAGGAAGAGAAGGTGAACGCGCTGCGGGGGAGTAAAGCGACTTGCTGCTCCCGTTGTATTTTTGTGTTCTGTGGTTTCCCCCTCTTTACTTTTCTCTCTCCTTTCCCAGCTCCTGAGCCTTTTTTGTATCTGCACTTCAACTTACTGTAGAGCAAAAGCTACACTGCAACACTGAGAACCAGTAATTCACAACAGCCCCACCTACTGGTTGTCAACGTTGCACGAGTTCGTGGTAGTCTCGCATTGCCCTTGGGAAATCAATCCCATGCTTGCTTGGTGCTGCTCAAACTTCACTCGAGGCAGTGGCTTCGTGAATGCATCAGCCACATTTTCAGCCCCAGCCACTCGTTTCACAGTTATCTCGTTCAGCTCAACACGTTCGCGGACAAAATGATGTCGTACATCAATGTGTTTTGTCCGGCTGTGAAATTCAGGGTTGTTTGCCAGCTTTCGAGCACTCTCGTTATCCACAAATACATCTGAGGGGTTGTTCTGCTTCATCTTCAGCTCTTTCAACATCTGCCGCAGGTGGATGACTTCTTGGACAAGAAGACTGAGCGCCATGTACTCAGCTTCTGTCGTGTGCAATGCGACCGTCCGTTCTGTCTGTCTTGCCCATGAAATTGTGCTGCCACAGCAATAGACTTCCGATCGTCCACTCGGTTCGCAAAGTCTGCATCTGCAAAAGCTTTTAGATGGTCATCCAATTCCTGCTCATTCCATTGCACTCCTCCTAATTGTAGCCCCCAGTCCTGCGTCTCCCTTAAGTAACGCAACCCACGCTTTGCTGCGCGCCAGTGCAAAATCCCAGGGTTTTTGAGAAATTGACTGCACTCACGGACCAGGTAAGCCAAATCAGGGCGCGTGCCCAACATCAAGTACATTAGACTGCCAAGTACAGCCCGATACGGCTTCCCACTCATCAGCTCCTTCTCCTCTCTCGTGGTCGGACACATGACCTTCGACAGCTTCAAGTCAGGAGTGCTTGGCACTTTGCAGCCATTGCATCTTTCCATGTCAAATCGTTGCAATACTTTGTCTGCATACTTGCGCTGGTTGATGAAAATTGACCTCTTCTTTCTGTTTCGTGTTATCTCCCAGCCCAGGGTGTAGTGAATCGGCCCCAAGTCCTTCATCTCAAAACGCATGTGAAGCATCTACTTCAGCTCCTTCATCAACTTCATGTTGTTGGCGAAGAGAATCAAATCATCCACGTAGATGGAGATAAACACCAACTCACCATCGACCACTTTCACAGCAACACAAGCCTCACAATTCATTATCAAAAAGCCTTGTTTCTCTAGGTGGTCTTTCAGCAGGCGGAACCAAACACGGGGGGCTTGCTTTAAGCCATACAGACTTTTATCCAGTTTGCAAACCCATTCCTCTTTTCCTGCTTCCTCATATCCCTTTGGTTGCTCCATGTAAACTTCTCCATCAATAGGGCCATTCAAGAATGCGGTCGTCACGTCCATCTGGTCGACTTCGTAGTCCCAGGTTGCAGCTAGTGTCAGCAGCATCCGTAGAGTCTCCAAGCGGGCCACAGGTGAGTACACTTCAAGATAGTCAACGCTATAGACCTGCATAAAGCCCTTGACCACCAATCTGGCTTTGAACCGCTCGATTTCTCCGGTGGGAAGATACTTCACACGGAATATCCAACGGTTTCCGAGCACCTTCATACCTTTCTGGCGAGGGACCAGCTTTCATGTGCCATTTTTCATTAAGGCATGATACTCGGTATCCGCTGCTGAAAGCCACTCCTCTGCGTAGTCGCTATCCATTGCATCATCCAGGGTCTCTGGCTCATCAATCACACTATCCGAAAGACAAGAGAAGTCCTGCCACCAATCCATTGCTTTCTCTTTCGCAATTTCAAACTGCATTTCATCACGTTTCACCTCCCAGCTTGATGAACCAGCTAACCGCTTCTTCTCAATTGAGTCTCTGTACGCAAGATGAATGGTGTCGCCAAGCCACCGTGGTGGCTTCGACACTCTGCCACTCTTCGTCCGGTATTCGATGCAGCCAGTCTTCGGCGCCTTACTGCGAGTTGCATCTCGCTGCTCAAAGACGCTTAAAGTCCCCCATCGGCGAGTCACCACCAGCATCCAGCTTCTCGTGTCTAGCGGTCGTCATCTCACCAGTCGAACGAGTCGAAGACTGCTGCACTTCTGCCTCCTTATCATCTTGCTTCACAACCGGTGTCACACACCGCCCACTGCCCGGACCATCAGACTCCTCGTTTGGTGTCTCACACCGTTCACAACTTCGTTTCTTTCTTTTCCCTCTTTTTCTCTTCTTCCGACGAGGCGCATTCTCCTCACTCACCCGTGCTGCTTCTGCACTTGGTTTCACTTTTTCAACAGTGCGAGTTCTTTTGCGCGAAACCGAGTTTCCACTCGCGCGCTCTATTTTTCGCAACGGCACGGTCTCACTTGCGGCACCACCAACCTGCTGTGCATGATCTTCACCAGTAGTCTCTGCTCGCACTGCTCCTTCATCAGCCCCACCAGTTCCGCACTCTGACGCATGCCTCTCATCAGCTTGCGCTTCCTCCAACAGAGACGGAATATTTTGCATCGTCGTAGCATCAATGTCCAAGTACTCGGATGTGGGGACTGATGGCGCCTCTGTACCATCCTTCAACAGAATTCGTCCAGGTTTATCTTCGTAGAAGACGGCTGTGTGGGTGTAGAACGCCTTGTTCGTCTTGCTGTCCAGCAACCGGTAGCCTCTTCTCTCACGAGAATAACCAACGAATACAGCTTCTTTCGCTCGTGAATCCATTTTCTTACGCTCAACTTTGTCAACGTACGCTAACACAGCACAACCGAACGTCCGAAGTCTCGAGTACGCAGGTGTCTCTCTGAACCACACTGCATACGGGACTTGCATTCCTTTTCTCTTGTTCGGCACGATGTTCACACAGTATGCTGCAGTGACAGCGGCCTCCGCCCACATCTGCTTGGGCAGTCCGAAATGCTCCAGCAAGCACCTCATCCTCTCAGTCACCGTGCGAATCATTCGTTCAGCAACCCCGTTTTGCTCTGGAGTATGCTTCACAGTCAGCGAGCGCTCCATTCCGTAGTTGCGTTTGCACATCTCACCGAGCGCCAGTAGTTCCCGAGCATTATCACAACGAAGCTCCTTCATTCGGATTTTCAATTGTGTTTTTACTCGCTCATAGTAGAACTGGAACTTTGCGTAGACGTCGGTGCGCTCTTTCATCAGGAACAGTGTCGAGAAGCGAGAAGCCTCATCGACGAAGAGAGCAAAGTAGCGCATGCCCGAGTACGAAGCCACTGGATACGGTCCCCAAACATCCACGTGGGCTCGTTCTCCAACTAACCAGTCACGAGTCGAACTCGGCACCGAGTGAAAACTCTTTCTCGTCATCTTGCCTCTTACACATGCGTCACAGTTGAAGCCTCGCCCGACTCTCAAATCCACAGCTAACAGCGGCCAGTCTGCATGGCGAAATAGTGCGTTGAATACTGTCCGTCCTGGGTGACCAAGGCGCGTGTGCCACAGCTGCACCTTGTGGTCTCCATCAGTGGCTACAACCAATGCGGAATCCACAGGACTTTCTAGCTCCAAGCAATAAAGATTGGTTCTGTCAACATGTGCCTTCGCACTTCCTTGTTCAAACTTCACCTTTGCGAATTCATCGTCGTCAAAGTGAACTCGAACCTTCTCATCATCAGGCAGGGTTCGTGCGGTTTGTCGACGCACTGAGAATAAACTGCATTGCAGCTCTGGTACATAACGTACTCCACGCAGTACTAACGTCTGCCGCCCACTTGTAGTCTGGATCTCCTTTTTCACAGTACCAATTTCAGTTACAGTCAACCAGTTCTCACCACCAACTCTCACCAATGCCGTGAACGAAATAAAATCAATTTTCTGGTTAGTCAAATGACTTGTGGCTCCCGAGTCCAAGTACCAGCGCTTGCTCGCAAACTTCTGCACGTTGGGAGGCTGCTTGATGAGAGCAGTAATCACGTATGCCGATTCATCACTCTCATCTCCAGTATACTGGTTCTTAGCAGCTCGTTTTCCCTGCGCTCCTTCTACCTTGGCTTGCTTCTGAGGAGGCTCGGATCCACGAGCACCACTTGGCGGATGTCTGCCTAAGTGCGGGCAGTCCAGCACTTGGTGCGATTGCTCTCCACAATGAAAGCATCTTCCTCTACTGATACCTTGTCATCCGTGACCACGTCCAGCTCCTTGGCTGCTTCCTCGGCCACCACCACGACCAAAACTACGCCCTCGGCCACGATCAGAACCACGGCCACGACCACGACCACGATCTCGGCCTCGGTCCCGACCTCTACCAGATCCTCCAAACAAAGCTTGGTCTTCACTACCTTCGTCCAGCTTTCGTCGTTGGCGTCGATCATACGCGAGCTCTAACGCATGCTCCAATTGATCATAGTTGGGAGGGTCATTTACATCTCGAGGGCCGTGACTTGCCAGAAACGTTTCCACCACGTTATCATAGGCGTCAGGCAGTGTGCCGATCAAAACCGCAGGCTTCTCATACTCATCGAGAGGTTTACCCAATAGAGCAATTCGATCAATTAATCTTCGCACTTCACCCAAATGATCAGACATGTTGCCGTTCTCCGGGAGTCGGAGCTTCCTCAGCTGTGTCATTTCAGCTGCATACTTGAAATACGTTTTTTCGACGAATCTCTGCTTCAATCTCTCCACTACACGGAGCGCAGTCGGCTCAAACTTCACAGTTTTCATTATCTTGTCTGTCATTCCGTCGTAGAGTAGCTCCTTAGCGTGCGCAGAGTTCTTCTTGCACGCGTCGTGCTCATCCTGCTTCGACTCCTCCGGCTCCTCGATGTCCTTCTCACAGTACTTCCACACGCCCTTGCGTTCCAGCTTCAACTTCATGCGCTCGAACCATCCTTGCCATCGAACGGTGGGTGAGCGGCCTTCTTCTCGTCCTTCGTGTCCTTCTTCTTCGTGTCTGCACTTGCACTCATGGTCTTCACTGTCGGGGAGTTACCAACGCAGCGTTGGGCTCATAACCACTTGTAACTTGGCTGCTTTTGCGTGCGTCTGTAACTCACACCGCACAACGAAGGAGGAAGAGAAGGTGAACGCGCTGCGGGGGAGTAAAGCGACTTGCTGCTCCCGTTGTATTTTTGTGTTCTGTGGTTTCCCCCTCTTTACTTTTTCCCAGCTCCTGAGCCTTTTGTGTATCTGCACTTCAACTTACTGTAGAGCAAAAGCTACACTGCAACACTAGCAACAGGTGAGGACCAGTAATTTGGCGAGCGGCCTCAGTGAGCACAGTGCCAGTAGATCCGTAGACGCTTTTCGCGTTGACATCTGCGCAATACTGCTCGACTAAGTACCGCACGATCTCAATGTGGCCGTTCGCAGCGGCCCCCGTGAGCGTCGCAGTGTTCGACGATGTATCGTACGACGTGAAAATGACCGCGTTCAGCCGCCTCATCAGCACCTTGGACTGGCCCCAGCCTCTGACGTTCGCATCAACGCCGCGTTGTTCGACAAGATAGCGCACGCACTTAGCACCCCACAGCAGCGGCGTATCCGCCACCCGGCTATTCACATCAGCACCGAACTCCTCAGCGAGGCACTGCACCTCCTCCAGGTGACCTCCCTTGGCAGCCTCTCTCAGAGCTTCCTCCTTCTCTCCAACCTCTCCACAGAGTGCAGTGAGGTACCGAACGACTTGAGCGTTGCCGCTTGTAGCCGCCCTCACCTGTGGTCTGTATCTTGTAAATCTCATCGGTTTGTATGAAGTTACAGTCTCGGGGGCTGAGCATTGCTCGACCAGATACCGCACGACCTCCAGTTGCCCATTTTCCGCGGCACTTGCCAGCGCCCTCTCCTTATTGACGTAAATGTCGTGGCGCAACAACTCACGCAGCCTCGCAAGATCGTCCTCTTTCGCGGCCTCGACGAACTCGTCCACTTCGAGCAGCTGCCTGACAGCACGCAGCCAGCGATGGCTACACAATGGAAAGCATTATGTACCTATTTGTACTACGGTATTATCAAGCGTAGTACTATACTACTACCGTAGTACAATTTGAGTAGTTCTACTACTTCAAACTACTACCCAACGTCCGTGTCTTCGTTCAACATGGAGCCCCCACCTCCCCTCCGCGTCGGCTTGCTGGCGCTGAAGAGCCCGTTCCAGGGCCTCCCGCCCGTGCTCGACCTGGTGACCTCCTTCCTGCTGCCGCCCACCATCGACCGCGCCGTGTACCGCAGTCTGCACCGCGTCCTGGCGGTCTACGAGCCCTCTCGACCGTACACCGTCGGGGCCATGGACGGCTCCGCAGCCGCCGGACGCCTCGGGCTCGTGCAATGGCTACACGCCAACAGAAGCGAGGGCTGCTCGCCCGCCGCCTTCATTGGCGCGGCCGCCCACCGCCACTTCACCGTCCTCGAGTGGCTCTACGAGCACTACCCGCAGGTGGCGGACCCGGCCCGAGAGCTCGTCGTAGCGGCCCAGCACAGCCGCATTGAGGCGCTGAGCTTCCTGCTGCCCAGAGTGAGGCGCGAGCAGGTGGAGCCGGCGCTCGAAGCTGCAGCCGCCAATGGGCACGTCGCAGTGCTGGAGCACCTACTCAACCGACCGTACAGTATGAGGAGGTCGCTGCTGGCTGCGGCGGAGAACGGGAGGACGCAGGTGGTGCAGTTCCTACTGGGGAGGGGGTACACAGACAGGTACATGCTCGTGAACCCGGCGCTGATTAAGGCGGCGGAGGGGGGACACTGCGACGTGGTGGAGTTGCTGCTCGATATTAGCGACGACTATACCATCAGTGATGCGCTGGTGACTGCGGCGGCCGATGGACGGGGTGGCGTGGTGCGGCTGCTGCTAAGCAGGTGTCAATTGGAGAGGATTTCTGTTGCACGTGCACTAGAGAAAGCGGCGGAGTTTGACCGGGGTGACGTGCTGAAGTTGCTGCTGGAAGGCTCCACTGGGGAGGAGAGGGGGAGTGTCGGTGGCTTGACCGCAGACAGAGACACCCGGGCATTCAGAGCTATCGTCGATTCGGCGCTTCTTGCAGCGGCGGAAAAGGGCCGTGTTAACGTGGTGAAGGCGTTGATTCATATTTTCTCTAGTCCGATCAGTGACGCGCTGTTTGCCGCGTCTTCCTGCTATCAGGTCGAGGTGCTGGCGTTCCTGCTCGATTATTGCCGAAATCGTCCAGACATGAAGTGCGACGACTTTGAGCTAAGTGTAACCTCGATAGCTGAAACAGCTGCGAGCAAACGCTGCGTGGAGATGGCAGAGCTAGTTGTGGCCAAGTGTGACACGTTGAACACGGGTGGCGCACTGCGGATTGCGGTGGGTAACGACGATCTCGACATGATTCGACTGCTCGTCGTGAAGGGCAACTCAGCGTCGATCCAAGAAGCGGTGGTGAAGGCAGCAGTCACGAACCGGGTCCAGATTCTAGAGCTCCTCCTGGAACATAGCAATGCTGACACTATCGAGCAGGCTTTGCTCCGGGTTGAGTCGCTTGGCAACTCTACGATGTCCAAGTTGTTGCTCGAGAAATGCCATCCTGGTGCTTATTGTCGAATCTTTGACTGCGCTGCGGGGCAAGGTCTTGTGGGACTCGTGCGAGTATTGATTGGCAGGATGAGCAGCAACAGCATCCGGTGCGCATTGATCTCTGCAGCGATAAATGGGCATGCAGATGTGGTTGAGGTGCTGATGGAGGAAAGCGACTCGACTGGCATCACTTGTGCGTTCGAAATGGCAGCACTAAGGTGTCAACGGAGTGTCGTGGAGCTGCTCCGGGGTCGTTGCGATCCAGACAGCGTTAGCTTCGCTGCTTCGGCGGGTGATGCCGACGTGGTGCGTCTGCTGCGCAACAAACGGCCTCGCCTGGGGTGAAGACAAACTCGATTATGATTTCATTGTTCAGCCGGCTGTGTATAAAGTGCGACGGTTCACTTGAAGCAGAAGGATCGTTCGCTTCCGACTCCAAATGAGCAATATCTGGACACAAGCGGTAAAAAAGAGCAAGCTCGATTCGAGGAATTACCATGATCCAGTAGAAAAGTACTGGATCGTCCCCCAGGCCGACAGCCATTTTCTTCATACAGTAAAAAAATCCTAAGTACGCCCGGCACGCCACTTGCAAACCTATCAACCATTTATGGGCTAACTTCGAGCTCTCGGTTTATTTGCGGGACACCTGAAATAGATCGTGGGAGGTAAGATTTCGAAGGCTAGTGCTAAATAAAAACTAAGTAGACTTGAATAATAAATAATTCTCTAAAGGGTGATTCACAGCAATATTCTGCTGCATTGTGCAAATGTCCAAGTCAAGAGCAAGAAACCCCCCAAACTACGGCTCTGCTCGCTTTTCACTCGACGTGTCTGATCTCGAAGCTGCCAAGGAGTTGGGACTACTCAGGGACGATGTTGCAGTCGAGTCGACGAACCCGACAAGCTCAACGTATGGCTTGGCCTACCAGCTCCGAGAGAATATTGCCAATTCAGTATTTTCTTCTCAAAAAGCAGTCCACAGCAAGCGCAAAGATTTGGCTGTGAGGTGCGGCTTCCAGATTCTTGTGAAGCAGACCAGTGTGAAGGCCGACAACTCCGGTAATGCGAAATTTGCGTGCAAGGCGCTCAATGGAACGCAATATTTCGACCGGACTACACCAGCTGCCCAACTCACGTGTCCGTTTTTCGTGAATGCTCACGGGAAATCAAACAACACCTCATAATGAATAGATATTGTGCTTTCCGACAATTCTAACCAAATATACAAGTGTTGCTAAGTCATATTTGGGTAAGGTATATTAAAAATCTAAACCGATAGATCTCTAGTGTTGTGCCCTAAGAACACGCGAGTAAAATATTTCGTGAAAATCTCTTAAACTCTAGAAGGAGTAGGAACTCTACGAATGTACCACTCCATGGTACACCCTTTTTGTATACTTTAAGCCGCAATGGTGCAATATGCTACGTTGATCTGCAATCTGAATTTTGCAATTTCACTACGTTAAATTTAGCCAAATCACAACCTGACCTCCGGGCTGAAGTCTACTGTATTTATTTTAAGGCAACACTTAGAATAGAAATAGACTGCGAACTACATTTTCAGCGCTTCGGCAAGCCCCATTCTGCTTTGTGCTCAATGCCACGCCTTAACCCACGACAGCGCCACGCCCGGAACATCCAGCGCCGCCTGGACGGCTCGTTTTACCGTCTCCGACTGAATCCCGGTATTTTCGCTCATGACGTCAGCGACGAAGACACCGACGAGCAGGAAGAGGAAGCATCATCAGTCGGGGGTGGACTCCGAGAAGAACGACGTAGGGGTGGTGGCCGCTTCTCAAGCAAGCGAAGGTCCCAGAGAGGCGTGGATGGGCAGCTATATGAGGTAGAGCGAATATACGCGAAAAGGTGGATCAACGTAAGAGTATATTATTTCATTCAATGGGTTGGGTACCGGAAGCTTACATGGGAACCGGGAAGCCACGTTCCGATGCGCCTGAAGCTACGGTTCGAACGCGAATCGATCGACTTCACCTGGGTCTACCAATCGACAAGAGGGAGACATCGGACTCGCCATCGACGACCGACACGACGCAGCGCAAGGATCCAGTCTCGCAGAAGTAGGTAGATACGTCTTGATAAATACGCATCACGAACTTAGCAAATACTGTGACAGTAGTTTGTTTTTCGGTCGGCCTGGGGGGCGATCCAGTACTTTTCTACTGGATCATGGTAATTCCTCGCTCGATTCCCTCCGCTTGCAACCGCTCGTGCTACAAAAGGATTCTCCTCGCAGTGTGCAAGACGCAGAAACTAAAAATGTCGTCGCCCGGAGAGACCTTACCGACCCGACCGAGGCTGTGCGGTGTTGTAAATGTCTCTCGCCTCCACCCTCTCCAGCTTGCAATTCAGCGTGCACTCTAAGCTCCGGCCCCTCTCCGGCGGTGGCAGACGCCGATGAGCAAGCGTAAGACCAAGCCCATGTCCAACAGCGAGCGAGGAATCAAATTTCGCGAGCGACAGCGGGAACGAGAGGCCACACTATCGCAGGAGACTGACAGGCTTCGCGACGAGATCCAGCGCCTCCAGGTCTTACGGGATCTGTGTGAAGCGAAGTCGCTTGCATCAGAGTACTGCACTGCCGCTGTCCCGATGAAGTTCATCATGGAGTACTTCCAGCAGTTCCGGATAGGTCTGCACGTCCCCAACGCCCCTGCTACGGTGCTGTCTTCAGAGACACAGAGGCAATTTCTAGACGCCTAAATTGAGCCGCATACCAAGTTCGGAGGTAAACCCGCGGTCGAGATGATTCTGAGCATCTGGGAACACTACTCCAGGTTCCATACGTCTGTAAAGCTCGAGCTGGAGTCGGCCGACCTCATCACTGGAAAGAACTGGTCAAGTGTCGCCGTGCGTGGCATCCTGCACCTGCGCTACTCGCGACGCACCATCCAGCACGTGTTCCCCAGCGCTATCGGGGACGAGGAGCTCATTCAGAAGCTGATCAGCCGGCAACTGCACGTGCACTACAGGGCTCAGATGCACTTCAACGCGTATGGAAGGCTGGAGGGGTACGAGATCACTCCAGCCTTTGTGGGGGCGTTGATGGAGGTACTCGGCAGCATTCGAGGCTGCGAAAGAATGCTCGGTCGAGCGTTGATTAAAGGGCACGTGCTAGGGGAGAAAGCAGAACAAGTAGCTCCAGACAACAAACCCGTCCATATTCGACCGAATTCGGAGGCCACCAAGATACTCAAGCCCCGCATTCGCACTTGCGGTCGATGGATCTCGAGTATATTTTGTCGTGACGTTAAAATCCAGCTACAGTCCTCTCCAGGATTGGACGTGTTACACCGTTCCGTGGAGCGTTTGCCATTGGCTTCATTTGTTGAAAATCGCTGGGTAAATTGGATGTACTCCGTGTGAGTTGCGCCTGGGATGTTGATCGCCATCATATGAGCATCCTCGTCGAATTCCTGAGTGTTCACAGCGCGTTGTTGACTGCCGCTTCAGTTCAAATGAGTAGCGGTCAGTCAAAGAAGCTCGTCCTGCAGCAGTAAAATTCCGCGTGTGGTTTATTATCTCGTCGAACTTAGCGCGCATGAACGGGTGGAAGTAGAGTGGTGGCTTGTGGTGGTGGGGGAAGAAGACGCCAGCTAGAGCCGTCGCGTCTGGATCGAGATGTTCAATGCTTGTGGGCCCGTTGTCGCCAGTGGGAGCAGAGCGGACGTCTCCATCGTGTACCTCACTAGCGACAAGAAGTGCTGGAACCGCTAGACTCCCAGCCGCAAACACTGGTTGTCAGCTCGAAGTTCGTCGTTTCAAGAGCGAGTTGGCGACATTCGGTATTCGTGTCGCTCGCTGTTGAATCGTCCAAAGCGGTCAGGCGTCGAAGTTTGAAGAGGTAATCCTGTGCACATTCGCGTTGCCAACGAGTATTCGATTTCACTCATATAAGTATACGCTACGTGCCCTGCCGCGGTTACCGACTCAGTTCTTTTGGGCGAACAAAAGTAAAAATGGCCACTGCAGCCGTGTCGGGTAGTGAATGTGCGGACTGAGTTTAGAGCTGCATGCCTTCTGGTGGAGCTGTGTGATCCTATGCACAAGTTCATCGCTAGTCGAGTCGCTACCAAGTCGCCCTTCATCATAATGTGGCACGCTTTTCCGGTCGGTTAGCGCCGTAATCGGTCCTGCTACCAGTGAAGCTGGGCGGTCAACTACCGAGTTGTGTCGAAACCTGGGTGAAAGGGTTAACCTATCGTAGCTTATGGTTGGATCCCAAGTTGCAAATTGTTTGGAGACAGTCGATTTCTTTTTTTATGTCCGGCATCGAGAAAAGCAACAGCTTACCCGAAATACTGGCCGTACCTGCAGTATGTACAATTTTGGTATGTACTGTATCTCACGAAAAACGTTTCCCCTCTCACAGGGTTTCACCACAGTCGTCTACAGTACTGTACATACAGTGCATGTACTTCGAAGTATTTCGTTGTGTTGTCTTTTGACGCGTCCGGCTTTCGTACAGCGGTCATCCACTTTTGACTTACAAGCGAAGACTTTCTGCTCTGCTCTGCATTTGATGCTCGGATGAAACTTTTTGAATGCTTACTGCTATGCGTGTACACCCGCACTTTGCAGTAGCAATATGAATGAAACAGCAGTTGCAAAACTGCATGTACTGGGAATTGACCTTACAGATGAAAGTGAGCAACCGTACTGGCAAAAAGCGCTCAGGCTCTGCTGAGCAGCGCTTGTATGTCGAAGGATAAACATGGAGAAGAAAGTATTACGAGCTAAGGATATCAACATGTTTGTTTGCAGAGACCGGAAAACTCACAGAATATATTTTCGTGCATGCACTTCACGTGATGGTGCAGTTTGCCGTCGGAACCAAACTGTTGAAGGTGACATAGAATGATAAAAGTGTTGCGACAATTAGCACGTGCTATTGTACAGGTTGTCGAGTCAGCTTGACAAAAGGGTGATGCGCTTATAAATGTTGAAATATGAACTCGAATGTTTCTCAATACAGTATTCTGCGGTTCATCGTGCTAGACTTTGTCTCAAAAACTCTAGCAGATTCCTGTAGGCACTCGAAATAATAAACTGACTGAGTCCAGTTCAGAATTCTGTACGATGCTACGATTTGCAAATCTCGCCATGTTCTGATCCCGCGACTTGGACCGCGTGTGTGGCGCGTGCCTCGAGTGGCCACATTTTCGTCTTCATAAATCCGCAACACTTCAGATTGTGGTCTGTAAACCAGAGGTGGAAAGCGCCCAGCGTGATGCTAATAATCCACGCTTCACTAACGGTAAAGGTTGGCCAATTGCACCGGAATGTGGACGTTAACGCTAACTTTACTATGGACATTATTTCCTACAGATGCGGGGGTTTCCGGGAGCGACCCAGCCGCAGGTTGAGGACCTTGGCAGATTCTTCTTGCGTACAGACATTAATGCCAATTGGCAAGGGGCCCCCCAAGGTACCAAGAACAAGACTTCAACCAGGGAGCAAGTGACTCTCGTCATGATACCACGGAGCACGTGACATCGCCTCCTCTATCCAGCTTTTCCGACATTTTGAAGGACGGCAATGCGTTTGAACCGGGTCTGGGCTTGGGCTCTCTTCCCAAAGAGCCAATTCTGCTGCAACAGCCCTTGCCCCCCGCCGGTGTTCAAGCGAACGTCACCCACCAGAACCAACCGACACAAGATGCCATGGATCTCGTTAACTTCAGCTTGGGTCAGCGGAACCCGTTACCTCCATTGCCAGTGTCAGATGGCAACCACCCAACAGGCGGCACAAGTGGGTATGATCCCCACATCATCCACGCAGCCAAGTACGCCATGCGCAGCCATGTGGAGTAGTGATGACGACGATTTTGTCTTGGCCAATGGGGGATCCTGTCAGCGGTACAAAATTTGTTTACTGGGTGTACATGTACTTTACACTTTCGTTTAACTTTTGATCTTTTTCATGACATGATGAGAACCCCATCCAGTGAAGAAGACCGAAGTTTCCGAAAGAAATCGCGCGAGAAAATGCGTCGTAAAGAGGTGAACAACGAGGTACGTCTTTAATTTTTATTATGGAAAACTTACATGTGTTTTCTCCAGTTCGACCTTCTCGTCGATCTACTGGGTTTCACCAATCGTGTTCGCAAGAAGGTTATTCTGCATCTGCGATCAAGAGTCTGAAGCGCGAGTACAAGCATCTACGTCGAGATCGAGACCTGCTGAAGCAAGAATTGGCAAAGCTGGCTGTTCATCTAGACTCGTCCCAGCTCGAACCCGTTGCAGCGTGCGTCTCAACTAATGAAGATGCGGAACAGCGTACAGGAATGGATTTGTCCATGGTGCCATTTCATTATGAGCACATGCAGGCTCAACCAGAATGTAGACAGTACCCACGTATCTACTAAAATATTCATAGTGTGTAAGTAAGTATGCGTGTAGTTTTCAGTAAAGATGATAGGTATTATTATTAATAATTCTTGAAGTATTATTTTATAGTTCGTCGCGGCTTTTGATTATTTAAAGCTACGTAGTATAATCCCCCTGACAGTCCTAGAATGTAAAAAAATTGGGCCGTCTACTCGCTCGAGCTGTTGAGTAGGCGTTAGTGTTAACGTAGTAGAGCCGGCTTGTAGTACAACCCACGCTCTCATGGTGACTAGATATGTAGTATGTGAAGACCGGTGTGTGTTCCGTTTTTTTGAGGTAATGCATGCTCATGTTTGTCAAAGTTCGTGCCTATGCGAGCTCTAATACTTCATGACATCTTGCGTACTGCACGCAGACTTACTACTTCGTTTTATTGTCCTTTTATATACACAGACATTCACGTTGTATTTTTCGACTCTGCTGATGCGCTGGCTGGTGTCGATCGACTGTGGCTCCATCACGCAATCCGCGCCTTCTTGTTGGAAAGCAAGTGAACCACCTCATCATACCCCACCGCCGTAGCTTTTGCTAACGCGTTCTTCACACTTCTAGTGTCACATCGACCCCGCAGCATTTCCACGACATTGGCCCGGCCTTCCAAAGCGGCTGCCTCCAGCGCGAAATTGACGCTCGTTTCATCGAGCGGCGACCATCTACCAGCTGTCCTTCATAAAGTCCCGTGGGTCCCGACTTGTCCTAAAGTGACACACCCTCTATTAATAGTTTAACTAAATGAACCCACACGGGGAGGTTCATGACATCTATCCGCATATCTGAAGTGGCGGACTCGTCGGCATGCCCCACAATACGAGAGGCGGCGCGCTACTAAGCCACAGGACGCGTGCGTACGCATGCAAGCTAAGGAGAAGACGCTTGTCGCGACGAGGAAGAAGGCGGGCCGAGGGTAGCAAGTCTTTGAAGGTGAGAAGCTCACTGTTGCATCGTTTTATTCTGCGGCATCATGACGTGTGTTACTGTACTATTATATGATGTAGGCGCATGGCCAAGATAACGATGGATAGCAAAACCTGGTTGGAAGTATCGCTACAGGGCGCCTCCAGCCTAACGACGGCGAGTGTGAGTGCCGTCGCTAGCTGCGGCTAATGCTGAATCGCAAGCACTGTCCCGTGTTGTACCTCGACTCAGACGAGGACTTCAACGCGTACACCAAGCAGCTCCAGACGTGCGCGCTCGGCTCCTGACGCCCTGACGTCGAGGTTTGCTCGCTGCACTTAAGGTACTGTGATATTTACTCCCGTAGTCTAATAGTTCTAAGCGGACTAATTGATCAGTTGTATTCATTTGTTCTGTGTTGTTGGTCATGTAGAGCCTTCCTAAGCTGACGTAAAATATGCACTGATTGATATCCCACTCTGAGCTTTGTACTTACAGTACTTGTTGTTGCCTGATGGACCGCATCTTCGTCTCAACTCGTAGCAGCTCTTACACGCTGACTGTTTTGAATGCTTCGCAGGGACGTCGCCCCTGTGCTGATCACTGCTGCGGGAGTCTTTTGGTGCGTTTGGCTGTGTCTGGATTGTCATCTTCTTGCGCGGAGGGGGTTCTTCGGAGTAATTGGGAGCAGCTGCATCGGACTGAGCTGCTGGTGACACCTTCCGCTTTTTGGACCGATTTTCAAGGCGACAGCGGAGAGCATTGATGGACAGTGCCGACCCAGGTTTGATACGCTGAAATTCCTCGAAGATCATCCTCCATTTTCCAGGTGTATTTTTTTCAAACGAATCTGCATAACTTCGCAGGTGCTGTTTGGTCCCAGCATCCATGACTTCGGGCAGCACACGAGGGGGCCCTGGTACTGCAGCGACTACAGGCGCAATCGTTTCACCGTTCGTGACAGCGCTTTTACAACTAGTCTCTGGGGCCAATTGCGCGTTGGCAGCGAGAAGTACAGGCTCGCGCAACGCGGTACCACTCGCCTCGCTGTTCGACAACTTCAGGCCTACTTGAAGACGAGGTGAAGGTGCATTCGCCACTTCGGTCGGCTCTTGACCTTCATTATCACGATTTCGGCGCAACTGTCGTTTACCTAGTGACTCCCAACGCTTTTTCAACCAGGCGTCGACTTCGGTCTAGTTTCCGGACAAACACACGACGCCAATTGGTACACATTGTAGTACACTTGCTTCACCTTCTTAATACCAGACGAGCAGCGTAGCATCGTGAATAGCTCCTCCTGCAACACTCGTTCATCTCCGGACGAGGTGCTGTCATCAACAGCTTTCACGGTGATAGGGATCATGGCTGTACTTGCTTTTGGCGCGGGGCTTCGTGCTATCTGCTCATCAACGGCCGACAGGCGACGAGAGATTGCTCTAAAACTTCGCTTTCGAAGATCGAGCGCGGGATTGTCGATCTGGTCGACAGCACAGTTAAATCTTATAGTCGCGACCACCTCGCACGTATTCCACGGTTGACTCGACGCCAATTGCTCCCCTCGAATCTCCTTCAGCAAGGAGAACTCGTGTGAGGAGAATTCATTTGTGGATTCGTATTCTGGCTCCAAACGAAAAAATGTTACAAACTCAGCTCGAGAGGTCTGCTTTCGATTCACACGTGAGCGCACGAGAAGCCGCCGGATATCTGTAGTCGGAGCACGCTGATCTAGCATCCTCCCTTCGGCTCTATCAGTTCGCAGGCGGATTAGATCACTCAGTCTTTCCCATGGTCTGTTCTCGTAATTGCTGGATACTCCAGCACGATACGACGGATTACACAAACTGGAACCTTGGCGCGTAATTAGCTCGTACATGAACTCCAGCTGAGGAGAGGCAGGAAATTGCTCGCGACCCAAAACAGCAGCAAGACACATCGTCAAGAAGTCAAACTCAAAAAATTCAGGATTTCTTCCGAACTTGGCCCCTACTTTCAAATTGTGCTAGACACCACAGCATTAGATACGCATATAGTAGAATATGATCTGCATGCAATTACCTGCAAGAGGAAGATGTCGAGTATACGAAGGCCTGTTTCGTACGATACAATACGATCTAAGAGCTTGCGGAGTTTGGAATGAACTGCTTCGAGCTGACTAGTCGAAAGTACTCGTACCCTGCCGCCATTCTCGACGTATTCAGCCTCACCAACAAATAAATCTCCTACTCGGATCTGGTTCAGGTTGCTAGCTATGCATCCTTGCCACTCAGGCTCTTTGACATTGAGGCTTGAAGCTGGAATCTTGCCCAGAGCGGTTGAAAACAGTGTAGCCATTTCTTCGGGCTCTCGTATTTTGTGGTCGGCCGTGTAAATAGCAGAGGACAGCTCAGTCGCTAGCCATCCCCGCATGACGTGATCCTTTACCTTCTGTGAACCTTTGGATGACGTGGAAAGGGTCTTGTTTGACTACTAATGCACCGTTGAAGGCCTTGTCAATGAGGCTTCGTGTGCCGTTGGCGTGGTCGGTTATACAGAAGCGAGATTCAAGTGGTTTTGACGCTAATTGCGCGGCCACAGGTTTTAGAATTGCCGCAGTTTCAGCGTGATTTTCTGAGTACGTCAGGCCACGAGCAACAATTTGACCTATTTCATTTTGGGCAAGTAGTAGCATGCGTACCTCGCTTGATTGATCTTTCTTACCTTGAGCACCAAATACTTTGAGTTTGCTGCAAAACTTTTGCGAATGATCTAGACGAATCACTCGCTTGATTTTGCACTGTGTCATGTGGGCTTCAAGCAAACGAGAGCATATTTCAGTCTGGGTCAGCCATATCTTTTGAAGAGCCTCATAATCAAGACATGCATTCGCTTCCATGTATTGCTCCAATGACACTAGCATAGGAGGCGAATAGTTTGCATTTTTTTGCCTCCGCTTCTCCACCTCGACGCCGGCAACAGATAAGAGAGTATAATAGCGTCTCGGACGACAACGGGTGACGCTGCTGCTTGCCCCAGATATGCCTCTTGTCGTTAGCACGCTATCATAAACAAGGTGAAACAGCTCGCATGATACACCCGTTTGATAGGTTAGAAGGTAAGGGAATGCTAGCAAGAGTTCTGGTGATGATGCTAGATACTCATCGTCGATAGTTGAAAATGTGCGTGTTGCATGAGGCCCTGTACAGCGATACCTTGCATAATACAAAACAGTCTTGTGATCGACGTCGTGTACGTACCGCTGCAAATACTCCTCCACTTTTGGCTCACACAGACACCCCTCAACAACGCATTTTGGAACGCGGCTAGTGCAAAGGCACTCCGGGGCCCAGGCGAGCGTAGGGTGGCCGTGCCATGAGGAGAAAGGTGAGTCCTTTTTCTTCTCGGGAAGCTGCAATTCAGGAGGGAACTTCCTCAGGGCGATGGCGTCGAGTGCTTGGACGCCTTCTTGCCCATGTGAAAACAAATAACGACTGTGCCCAATAAAAAAGCGGCGGCCCGTTGAGCCCGCACTTGTCCAGCAAATTCTGCACCACCTCAGCATGGCCACGAGCGGCAGCACGAGTCAGCGCACGGTTGATGGTACACGAGTCCACTCCATCCAGCAGTTGCTGCACTATAGTGCACAACAAACCCGTATTCGGCTGCGTGTCCGAAGATCAGGGTGTACGCGCTCTGATCGCAAACTTCTCGAGCACCAGCTTGCACGTCTCCTCATTCTCCGCAGTGGCAATATTAAGCAAAGCGTCCAGAATTGTTTTCTGGTCGCAGAGCTCAAGCAGAGCCGTTAACATCTTCATCCTGCCCTTTTGTGCCGACTTTACCAGAGCACTGACCATGAATCGGCGGCTGCTCTTTTCAGCAAAAACCTTCACACAGTCAATGCGTTTTCTCGAGACCGCGACCTTGAAGGCCGGTATCGATATCCCCGCAGTTGTCAACGAGTAGTCTGGCCATCGCGACGCTGCCACTTGCTGCGGCTCGAGGTAGTGCGTCCGTTAAGCTCGCGCGCAGGCGGTCTCTCTTCCAGTCCCTGCCCTGAGCAATCTCCAGCAGCACCTCCGCGATCTCGACGCGGTTTGTCGATGCTGTCATCCGCAACAAGTCGCCGACTGACTGCGAAATCTTGGTCGCTAGGATCTTCACAACGCTCGTTTGGCCTTTATGCACGGCGCGCGTGAACGAGAGGTTGACCGCATCTCGAACAGCGCGGAGCTGTTTCTGTAGCTTTTTATTGCCAGCTTCTGTGCCGTCGGATTCGGCGGTTGCTTCGAAGCGGGACCAGTGCTCGAGAAGCAGCGCAAGTACGCCGCAGTGCTCACCGCCGGCTGCCATCAGCATCGCGGTCGACATTGTGTTCGCATCCGTCTCGATTCTTCTCAGCAACATCCTCACCGCCTCCGTCTGACCCGCCCCCGCTGCAGCGGTCATCGCACTTTTAATATCCCTCATTGCGCATCGGTCAATCACCAACTCCATGACCGGAATATGGCCGAACTTCGCAGCATTCTGCAGCACAACGAAAACGTACAGGTGGGCGCGATCGTCGAGCAAAAGCTGCACCACGTGCACGTGGCCGTTCGACGCTGCCGCAGCCAGAATCCGGTCCATCAGAAGGGGGTCCGGCAGGAGAGCCTCGATAACCGGCAAGTCTCCGTTGGCTGCGGCGGCTTCCAGTGCGGGACCCACCTGTATCTCCCTCATTCTCGGCCGTAAGTACTCGACCACCTGCATGTGACTGCGCTCAGCCGCAGCCTTGAGCTCCTTCACGGGTCTGCTCTGGTCTCCGTAGTATCGGTGCAGCCCTGCAGCACCTCGAGTTGATTGTTGCGAGCGGCGCCGATGAAGGCATTAGACGGGCACCCGGCGCTCCGACCCACGCGCAGCTTCTTGAGCAGGTCCAGACGCCCGCGAGCTGCGGCGCCGTCCATCGCCCCCACGGTCCACGGCCGAAAGGGCTCGTACACTCGGATGACTCGGTCCAGCTCGTTGTACACGGCGCTGTTGATGGTCGTGGGCAGCAGCAGGTCGTTGATACGCTGGAAGGCGTGCGGTAGATCCTGGATGGTGGAGGGGATCGCCTTGGAGACGATCAGCAGCGCAGGTGGCGGCGAGTCCGGCGAGTCCATCGTGGTGCGCGTTTGCAGGTTTGGTTCAAGAATGGGGACCTTACGAGTTTGGTGTCTGTCGTCAACACGTCGCCACGAGAGCCGGCCGAGATATCTTCGATTTTTATCTCGCCACAAACGATTTAACTGTACGGATCCCTGACGGGAAGTGTCGGGGTAGTGAGAGTCTAATAGACTCAGTCTATGGCCTCGACGAGAACACATCAGCCAAAAGCTTTGACTCAAAGCTCTCTTTAGTACCTTCACCTGGGTTTAACGGTATCAGCGTGTATCCATTCTCCAGATATACAAGCTGTGACCAACAACGGAAATTGACCACCTGCGGTTAATGACAGTGGTTGAGAAGGACCACTATGGTCTCACTTAGCATTCTTCTCCTGACACCGAGCAATGGGCTGCCGCCTAGTGACGCCGAAGGATGCACTGGCGCCGTCCGAGCAAGGGAAAGCAGAGCCCACGCGCCTGACCGAGAGACAGTCGAGCTGCGAAGATTCTGAGCCTGAGGCCGAAGCAGTGGGAGCGATCGCAACAAAGCACAAGCCTCTGCACTCTAGAGGCGACTCGGGGTCCGAGCTTCCGGGCAGCTCCAGCTCCTCGCTGTCGGTCGTCCCTGCCTCCATCACCAGCCAGATCAGCGACATCGTGGACCTGTGCGAGGGGATGAAGGAAGAGGACGTCCAAGCGAAATCCGAAGCTGTGCTTGAGCGGATCCTCCGAGCTCAGTATCGAGTGGACCAACTCGGAGACGAAGCTCCACACAAGACTGTGGAACTGTTGAGCGGGGCGTACACCCGCTTCCAGGCGATCGTAGCGGAGTATGCAGAAACCCACAAGGCCGCGGACGCAACCGTGGACGCGCTGGAGGAGGTGGACAGCAAACTGGACGTGGTGAACGGCCAACTCGACGAGAGCTGAGTGGAGGTCGCACTTCCTTTGTGTGTGTAAGTTAATACAACTTCGATTTATTTGATGTAGAGCCAAGTCTGACTGACGTCTGTCGCTGTTATCTCTCTAAGCGCACGCCTTGGGGCTCACCGTAGGCTCGGAGGTCGGAGCCGAGGTCGTGGCCTGCGAAGCTGAGCTGGCCGACGCACTGGTTGAAGCCGCGACACTGGTCGAAGAGCTCGTCGAGCCAGGGGCAACGTACAGCAGCAGCGTGATCGGCTCGTCGCCCGAGCACACGGAGAAGGTGGACGTGGCGGTGGCGTTGGCGCAGTCGATCTGCGTGGTGGGGCCTTCGCTGCCGATGTCCGAGGGCTTCTCGTAGCACGTGCGGATTACCGAGAGCTGGTTCTCGCCGTTCACCGCCGAGCAGAAGACCATCACCTGGTGGTCGTACAGAGCCTGGATCTCCGCCAACGTGCTCTGGGGCGTGTCGAGTGCCGCCCACGCGTTAATCTGCTCCGTGGCGGCACTGAGACGGTCCGCCGTGCTCAGCGTCGCCTTGAAGTAGGTGACGGCGGCGGCCTCGAGGTCAGCGCCCTGAGCGGCGTAGCAGAGCCCGTGCTTCTGGAACTCGTGGTCGTAAATCTCGCACAGCGTGTCGTATGTCGACTTCTGCGAGGCGTCAATCCACTTGTCCCCCATCTCGGCCAGCAGCGTCGCCTGGCTCTCAGCGAACTTGACGACATCGTAGGGGTCATTCGCCACGGAGTCGCTCGGATTGCAGCAGCTCACGTAGCCGTCGTCGTAGTTGGGCCACAGTCCGTGGATCGTGAGCTTGCTAGCAGCGCGCTCGGGCGCGCAGACCGTGCCGTTCGGGTACGGGTTGACATTCTGGTGCGAGATGGTACGAGCAGGTCGCGGCAGAACTGCGGCACGAAGAGCTGCTCCAGCACGAGATAGTCGAAGTCGCCGGGCACCTTTTGCTTGGCCAGACACGCAGGGTCCTTAGTCAAGCACGTGGCGCTGGGCGCCGAGCAGATGTCAACGCACTGGCCCGTGGAGACCGAGCCGTTCAGCCAGCCGCCGGCGTAGTCGGTGGCCAATGTGCGCGCGGAAAGCGCCGACGAGACAGCGAGCAGCAGGGCGACGGAGTACATGCTTGATTAAGTACCGGTGGAGGTGGAGGAGACTCGCTCTGCTTGGACAGGTGGGAGCAAATCAATCAGTGAGCGGAGGTGAATGCCCGAGCGAAGGCCACGGGTGTGACGTGCGTAGAGAGCACGAGGGCTGGAGCGGACATAGCGCCGCAGCTTGGCAGGGTCTTTGCTGCATGCCAGTCATTGCCTCGTGGTCACCCGCGACTGGCGCGTGCAAGTCGTTGAAGTGTTGACGGCACTAACGGAGCTTCGTGACAAGCAAGTATCCAGTTCAAAACCCCGTATCAATGGATATTTTGGACGAGGGTACATCTTACACCGACACTTTTGTTATTTGAAGCGACTCCGAAATATAATATGAAGTCAGAACCTGTCTGCACAGGTTGCACTCAGCTGTTGTTCGAGCGCCTTTCGTCGTCGACGAATGACCTCAGCAATACCTCCATAACGCTGCAACGCCGGACATGTTTCATTCGAGGCACCCGCTTGTGTCCTCGAGTCAGCTCCACGTTAGCTGAGTCTCAGCCTGCGTCTGGGTAGAGGCTCGGTGCACGCCGAAACGACCAGTTTCGAGCTTCGTGGCGCGCTCACCTCAATTAACGTGGACTACCCTCAGCTCCTGCATCCGTCTAGGCGTCTGCAAAGCTTTTCAGCTGGCGAATAGCATCCGAAAGCGTACATCGATGGCTCGGTTCAAAAGCACAAAGCTTCGTCACAAGTCTCCACTGCTCGTCGGTGAGCTGCTGTGGCCGAGGCAGAAAGCACTTGTGAACCAACTCGTCCTTTATCGCAACGTCGGTTTGCCGAATGCCCCACGGGACGCTCCCCGTCACCGCTTCGACAATGCACATTCCTAGCGAATACGTGTCTGATAGGAAGGAAGGTCGTTGTCGTCTGACCGCGCACTCTGGCGCTGCCCAGCGAACAGTTCCGACAGGCAGCCTGAGCCGTTCACAAACTTATTCCGAAATCTGTCAGCTTGGCAATTTCATTGGTATCTGCCACAATGTTGTAAGTCTCGGTGAACAATGTTGTTCTCGTGCAGAAATTGAAGCCCCAACGCCGCTCCGTGCATCGTTCGCCAAACCACAGATCTTCCGCGGGACTTCTCCCGGGCTAAAAGCTCAGCAGCACTGCCGTTCACAGCTTCCTCAGAGACGAAGAAGCACGGACGTGGGAGGTGGCAGGCCCCACAATACGTGACAACGTTGGGGTGGCGCCCCATGTTCCAGATTTTGTCTTCTTGCAGGAATGTACACATATCGTCCGGCGATTTCACGTCCACGTACTAGATGACAACGTTCGCACCCATCCAAGTGCCGCGGAATACTGTGCCGGGATCCAGAGCAGAATGGTGTGGACTCCTTTTGCACCTCGTGCTCGGGGATAAAGCGATCTGGGACAGCACCAATCGATGTGTCCGACATACATACCACTGCTTCAGCTGCAGCCTCGAGTATCCCTTGAGAACTGGTGCCGCGCTTCGACACAGACTGTCTGACCTCGTTCTTCAGCAAAGTTAGGGCGTCGAGCTGAGCCTCTGCATCTGGCAGCACCGTGCGCAGGCTTTTAACATTTGCTTCCCATGCGGAGACCAGGTTCTCTTCGACGTCACGGACCTGAATACTCCAGGTACTTTCCCACTCTTCTTCGTCAAAGTCCATGTTTCGCTGCATGGAATCCAGCTCGCGATTGATCTCCAGTAACACATTCATCAGAGTGCGAGCACTCACGAGGCGCTCAATAGTTGTACGGTGGGCGTGCTGGTCTAGGAAGGCGTGAAAACGATGCCCGATTTGGGCAAATGCTGCTCTCAATCTATTCGGAATAGCAGAGAAATCAGCTTCGTCCAGCCGATTTCGAGTTTTGAATAAGCGCTCAACCACATTTTCGCAAATGCCCTGAAGTTCATCCATGCGATAGCACGTGCCAACCAGACCCTCCAGATAGAAGGGTGGCGTTGAGTGTGTTTCTGACAGCGTACCGTTGTCAGGGTCCACCCAGCTGCTTCCCGATGAAAGACTGCTTGCTGAAGGTGAAGTGTCGGTAACATACGGGCCCATTCGTTCACTTCTTCAGCTCCATGCTGCACGGATCCGTCGAGAATTCTGTCCCCTTTTGCAAGAGCCCGCCACAGGCACTCAAACTCTCGCACATTCGTGTACACACCCAGAAAATTAAGCAATTCTCGACGAAGAAGCGGCCGGATCCCTAAAAGCTCTGTGAGGTATACCTCAAGTTCCCCCGTCGCTTCTGAGCTGAGATTGCGAACGTAGGATTTCCCAGGGAAACGCAGATGTCGTACCCGCGCTCCAAAGGACTTGTGGAGCTGTCGTAGCTCCGAGTAGCGCTTCGTGATTATTCATTCGAGCCCCCCTCGCAGTTGCACCTTGAGAGCGTACGACGTCACCCTCGTTTTCGTCTTGGTGATCCCATCCCGTCTACTGGGAGTGCCACACTTTCGATCACCACCCGGCCCGGTTCCCAGTCGTCCACGCCAGCGAAATCGTTCAGACTACTTTCCCCGAGCGGCTCTTCTTGAGACGAGACCCGCATGGACGAAGTCAGTGACGGATTTCCGCGAGCGTTGCTACGTGGAGAGCATAGCGGAGACACAAGTATGGACACCCGCTCCATTGTCTTGGACCTTCGAGCTGGTTGTTTTGGAGTTAGCGGCGACGGAGTCTTTGGCAGGCGAGAACGAAGATGGTCATCGAGATCGGACTAGCGGCGAGCGGCGCTCGTCCCAGTCCACCCATGGATTGATGCGACGTCGTCGCGGTGCCGTCGGGCTGTAGCTCGGCTCGGCTTATTCGGCTTATGCCCCTTGGTCAACGCCCGCTCAAGATCTGTGGTGTCTAGATTCGTTTAGAAGAGGATATGAACTACGAAAGTATCGTTCAACATAAATTTGTATTGATCATCTAGGTGAGGGCTGGATAAAGTTTGTACGACTTGTTGAAGATGAACCGCAGAAAGAAAGAAAAAAAGCTGGCGTCGAGGCACACCGCACGGATGCATTCGCCTGCATCAGCGAGGCGCCAGCGCTGGCAGTCATGTCGTCAACTGATTTCAATCCTTGAGCTGCTTTCGCACTGCACACGAGCTGAAAGTAATTTGCGCCTCGTCTGCGAGCCTTTGTGCCATTCCGGATTTGAGCGCGCCCCCAAGAGATCTACTGTAGTGCCCGTGATGCATCTGCTGGAGGTTGTGCAGGGCGGCGACCTGGCCTCCATCGAGCGCGAGCTCCAGCGCGACGTGGATGTGAATGAAGCCGATGCTAATGGGCGCACTGCTCTCATGTGGGCGGTCGAGAACGGCAACGAGGACGTCGTAAAGCTGCTCCTCGACAAGAACGCCGCGCTGGGCTTGTCGAATCGAAGCGGCCACAACGTGCTCGACCTCGCTCAGGGCAAGCCCGAGGTGCTCGCACTCATTCAAGAGCATCAGCGCCAGCAACTGCACGCCATGATGGAGAGCTTGCCAGACCTGTGCGCCAACATGGCGGAAGTGCGGCACATGAGCGAACACTTACTGAAGCGAGTGCAAGTGGCACACAAGCAGCTAGAAGACAGTGGAGTCAGCACGCCAGAGGCTTCCAGGATGTCCCTTTTTAAGATTATGAGTACGTTCCACGTGTTGCTCCAGCAACACTCGAAGAAGTTGAAGCTCGAGCGTCTCGTCAGTACTCGGACGGTCGTTGGGTGTCTACGCCAGCTACACTCCGACATTGACGCACTGATGGATCAAGGGACCCCCAAGCAGCACTCCATTCTGACAAAGCGAGCTTGGCAAACTCAGTGGGACCAAGAGGAGACGGACGTGTACAAGAATCTGGCTGCAACTCTGGAGACCGACATGCAAGGGATATTGCTCGAGCTAGGCAGCGGGGCGCGACAGGAAGACGCTCTCAAGATGCTGAAGTATGAGTCCGAGGAGCATGAGCGCCACTATGGACCGCAAATGATGAAAGCCTTGGAAGCTGCGCAGACCAAGTTGATACGATTTTCTAGTCTGGGAGTGCCGGAAGTGCCCAACTGGTTTCTGCCCGAGTACGAAGTGCAGCGTCAGTCGACGCCGTTCGCGCACGGCTCTTTTGGGGCCGTCTACCACGGCACGTGGCTGGAGTCGCAGGTTGTGATCAAGTGCGTGGACCCGAAGACCGAGGACGACAAACGCACGTTCCGGCGCGAGGCCAGGATCTGGCAGAAGGCGCGACACAAGCACGTTGTCAACTTCTTTGGCGCTTGTGATCAAGGAAACCCCTGGTTCTTCGTGTGTGAGGAGGCCACCAACGGCAATCTGAAGAACTATCTGTATCGACAGAAGAAGGAAGGGCGGTCGCTGGCATGGCGCAAGCTGTACGAGGCTGCTCTGGGTCTCCACTTCTTGCACCAGCGCCACATCATCCATAGCGACTTGAAGTGCAACCAGATTTTAGTGAGCGCAGAAGGTGTGGCAATGTTGACGGACTTCGGCTTGAGCTTCATGTCGGCTGACTCTCGTCCGAGGATGCCCCCGGGAGGGGCCGTCCGCTGGAAAGCTCCCGAATGCTTGAAAAATGCCGACCAAGTTCCTACCACGGAGTCGGATGTTTATTCATTGGGTATGTGTGTGGTGGAAGCTGTGACGGGAGAGTACCCCTGGGGGCAACAGTGTCCAGACCTTGCTGTGGTGTTCCAAGTGAAGCGCGGGCTGTTCCTCCCACGACCTAGAGCGTTTGCAGATGACGAGCAGTGGCGGTTTGTTCAAGCTCTGTGTGCCACTGAGCCGTCGGACCGTCTCAAGATGCCCGACGCTATCCGACTCCTAAGGAAATTTGCAGACCAGGAACTCATGCAAGAACGAGCAAGCAACGAGAACCAACCTGACCCCGAAGTATAGTCGAATCGCCGAACTTGTCACTGAAACGTCGACAGTATAACACGCTACTGCAGACTATTACACCTTTGTAAAACGCACTTAATACTGAATAACGTTGCTTGACTTGACAGATTCGGTGTCGTCTAGTGTCTGGATCGGTGTTTCACTCAGAAGCTTTGCTGTCAATTTCACTTTGAAGACCTACATCAGAAAGCGAGGAAAACAAGACAACGTGCAAGAGTTAGAGCTGTAGCGTTTCAGTGCACGTCAAAAGTTTCTAATGACGTACTCTGCCGCCCAAAAAGCAAAAAAAACTAAATACTGAAGTAGCAGCTTGTTCTCTGAATCGCTGGTCTGATTAATCGCTTAGTGCATTCCTGACCAAGTCGATCCATCAATTTTCATCGATAAACGAGGGTTTATTTACAAATACCGAATTTGTTTTGCAGAGGGATACACCCACCTATGGGATACAGGATAGTATTAGCTAATCACAATTGTGTCTTCAGATTGACAGGGCTTGACTTGTTGAGGGATACACCAGTTTCAAGCCAGTAATTTTTGCACTCTCGGCCGCTCAGCGCGCGATCATTTCTGCAACGGCGCGAGCGCCACCAAGTCACCCTCGCCTGTCTGGAGGTCAAGGCAGGTGGAAAACGACGCGGGTCCTACCATTTGCACTGCACTGCTGCAATGAAGAAGGCTATTGCCGAGCACCTGAGACTACACTGCAATGTTTGTTTCACTGTAGATACGTTCTTTCCGGGTCTACCTACAGAGTAGTGGTGTTAAGATGGGCTCTTCGTTTAGCTCTATAGCTGCTGGGGGTGCTTGTCGGCGGCAGGAACAAACGCAAAGCTTGCTCTACTGAGCTTCAATCTCAAGTTGGGGTGGTGGCGGCGAACAAGCTAATAAGTTGGGCTGTGTCGGTAGAAGGAATGGGCTGACACCGATGGCTACATTGCGAGTTGATGAATGCTGCGAGGTTCACTCATGCTGGAGCCAAGTCGGACGCGAGACAAGAAGATCTGCGCGCCGTTAGTTGGGACGCGACAGACCAAAGATTTTTTTTTACTGTTGAAGTTGCTGTAGTGCATGTCCGACAGCTTTCCCTCCTCGTGTACGACACGTTGCATGTGGGAGTATGCGGTAGGAGAAAGAGAACAATGAAAGCATTCTGGTTTTGGTTCCTGTTGAGCTAAGTGACACGAGATACTCGTTTAGTGTTCGTCTGCAAGGCCACCTACGCAGCAGGATCCAGCCTGCGCTCTGCTAGAGACCTGTCGGCTAGGTTATGAGCCCAAAGAAGGCTTCTGGACAGAACTAAAATGAGCAGTGATCCAAATCAAGTCGTGTCGAGTCAAGGAATGCAGAACGTGAGGGCGAGTGGACAAGGCTCAAGCTCGAACACGCCGGGGCAGCCGACGATGGTACAAGCGGCATTGGGGCCGTCTGGAGGGCAGCCTTTAGTGGATTCGGGAGCTGTTGGCCAGCCTGCGACGGCGGTGGATTCAGTGCCCCAGGGGCAACCTGGTGGACAGCTACCTGCTAATCCTGTGATTCAAGTGCCCAAACCACTTGGCAGCAGCAAGCTACCCAATTTCAACGATACCTTCGAAGTCTATCAGATGCGGCTCAAGTTGTACTTGGAGTAGAGGGACTCGTGGGGAGTGGTGACTGGTGAGGAACACCGTCATGAGACGGACCCACTGTTGCAGCGTCATTTTGATGACCGCAATCGACTAGCCATGGAGACAATCATACGTGGTGTGAAGGGTGCAGATGCGCAGAAAGTGTGCAACTTCGACACAGCGAAGGAGATGTGGCCGACGCTGACCGCTGAGAAGACGCAGCGAGATTTCTCGTATGCGGTGCACCTCAAGCGCGAACTGTACACGCATTCCTACACACCGGGGAAGAAGATGGCGGACTACATTCAAGAGATGAACTCGCTTCGTCAGCGACTGCAGCACATGGGGCCTGGCTTTGAGATCCATGATAATGAGATGTCTCAGTTGCTGCTGATGGGAGTTTGTGCGGTGCATCGGGAACTTGTGACTCAGTTTGACTTCTCTTACCGGCAAGGTCTGTTTCCAAACTTGCAACAAGTGAAGAACGCGTTGCTTTCTCGTGATGAAATGGAGAAGATGGCTACAGACTCAGCTGCAAATAGTGGAGCACCGAGTTGTGGCAGCTCGGTAGTGATGTAAATGGGCCAGACTTCGGGCTGGCAACCGAGCCAAGGCCCACCTCCTGGACCTGGGCCAGGGCCGTATGGACCTGTGCAGACGACTGGAGCTGGCAAGCGTCGTGCCATTCGCTGCTATCACTGCCACAAGCTGGGTCATATGCGGAAGGATTGCTGACATTACAAAAACAAGAAGGATTGCTGACATTACAAAAACAAGCAGTCAAAGGCCCAGCAAGTGAAGAGCAACACGCATGGTAAGGAGAAGAAGAAAAAGAAGGACAAGGGCGGAAACGGAGACGGTGGTGGACCCAAGCAGAGCAGTGCACCGACTACTGGTGCAATGGGCTACATGCGGTTTGTAGCTGAAGTAGACCGGGACGAGCAGAGCAGTAGCAGCAGTAGTTCGGAGAGTGAACCTTTCGTCGGCATGGCGATGAAGGAAGGTCGGATCGGTACGAGTGGTGATTGGATGCTGGACTCGGGCACCACGTCGCATGTTTGCATTGAGCGCGAGCTGTTCACGCGATTGAAGAAGTCCAAGGCAACATTCAAGGTGTGGGATGGTACGGAAGTTTGTGCGGGTCTGTGGTGGTTACTGCCGTGGACGTGCTGAGCCAGAGCGAGTTGACACTAATGCTCGATAACGTGGAGTTTTCCCCTTCTGGTCCAGTGAATTTGCTCAGTCTTGGTCTCTTGCTGAAATCAAGTTGGGTGTTGACCACTAGTCCTCCGAATGAGCTGCCTTGCAAAATGTTTTTGACGCGTGATGGTAAATGCTTGGAGTTCATCTTTCATGGAGAACACTACTGGTTGAACAATGGGACTTTTGGCGAGAACAATGCGGTGGTGATGTCGAACGTGAACGCAGATGCGAGTCCGTTGATGCGTTGGCACGAGCGTCTGGCCCATCTCAACGAGGCATCACTGAAGTACATGGCGAAGCATGATGTGGCCAAAGGAATGGACATCCCTTCGGATCAACTGAGAATCAAGCTGAAATGCTTGAGCTGCATGTCGGCGAAGAATGACGTTCGGTGACGCTACGGATAAGCGCACTACGGCACAAGAGTGAAGCTGCTGGCAACACACTGCGGCTGATCGGGGGGATAGTTGCTGATGGCAAACGAATCGCCCGGTTCACGAGTGACGGAGGGGGAGAGTATATGAGTAATGAACTGGCTGCGTTCTTGAACAAGCACTATATCGAGTTCATCCCCACTCACCCGTATACTCCACAAGAAAACTGACTAGTCGAGAAGATGAATGGAGTTCTCGTGAACAAGATGCGCGCTGTGATGCATGCTGCCAATTTGCCGAATGTGTTGTGGACTGAAGTCCTGCCGTACGTGGTGGAGGTGGACAACTTGTCGCCGACAAAAGCACTGAAGGGAATGACGCCCACGGAGAAGTTGACTGGGCTGAAACCTGACATCAGCAAATTGAAAGTTTGTGGCTGTGTGGGTTATGTGTTTATACCAAAGGAAAAACGAAAGAACAAGCTGTCGGAGAAAGCTGAATCTGCGTTGTTCCTCGGACTTCCAAAGACTAAGCATGACTACCGACTGTTGCATCTGCGAACTGGGAAGATGGTGGATCCCGTGACGTCAAGTTCCGCGAGGACGTGACGGTCGAGCGCACGTATATCAACGCGCTGCTAAAGGGAAGGCAACACTATTATCCACAAATTCCGTTTATGCCGCTGCCTGTGGAGTATGTTGCAGAGCAATCAGTGCGTGTCAATGCTGGTGATTTGGTGCGTCGGGCGGTCAATGAAGTGGCAAGTGGAGACCACGTACAACAAGGGCATTCGGATATTGCAGAGCTGCCAGCGCGTACTGCGAACGTTGATGCTTCGGTGGAAGGAGAGCATGTGCAAGAATTGCATCCTGCTGAGCAGCAAGAGCCCCAAGCTGACGTTGCAGATTCTGTGGGAGAAGCGCATGCATCAGAGGTCCGCCAATACCATAAAAAATTGTATTGCCAGCAGCATGACTCCATAATAAAGATTTCAATATAGCGGCAAGCAATAGTAAATATTGCCGTAATTTATATTGTATTGTTAGTTATTTCTTCATGTTCTTCTAACACTCGCTCTTCTACCACTACTTCCCGTAGGCACGCCTATCTCGATAAAATCTCTGCGATCCACAGGCCAAAACACGCCGAGCACCTCCTCAAAACGCGCAATGGCATCTTGTGGTAAATATGACGCTGGCTGCCAAGTAGGACGGGGGTATCCAACCCAGCTCACAAAGTAGTAGTCGTTGCCATCCAGATCAGTCTTTTTTGCATAAATAAACTCAAGGGTGTATACAATGTTGAAATGAGACGCTAGGCCACCCGAGAATGGCGGCTGGGCTTCTCTACGAGTCTGCTCCTGACCAGTAATTGTATCGACGCTAGTGTAGTGTGGAGGACCCCATTGTTGATGTCATCGGTGGTGCCATGTGATGCCATCAAACGTAGGTTTGTGGTGGGCCGCAGAACCGCACTTTTTCATATTTATTGTCAATAATTGGGTCAATATCATATTGTATTGGTAGCTGGGATGTCCAATAATAAAGATTTTTATTGCAAAACCCAATTATTTATTGAATTGAAATATTTTTTTCGACCTCTGGCATGCATCTCTAGCCGGCGGCAGTGATTCGGTTGGAGCTGAAGACACGGAATGCAATGAGTCAGAAGAGGATAAAGCCTACGTGAGTCCGATGCCGACTGCCGATGATCTTAGACCATGGAGTGAGAGGCACAAAGAGGCACGTCCTCATGCAGGAAGTCAGCCACGACGCAGCTCTAAGAGACAGCGCGGTTTGCGACGATCGCAACGTAAGCGGCAAGCCAATGTACGCCTATTTGACTACTTTATGGCTACATTTGAGGCGCTCGAATACTGTGCAGGCAATCCGACTTCCGTTGAAGACGCGTTGAACTCTCCGATGCGTGACAAATGGTGGCAAGCTATGCAATTGGAGATGGATGCGCACAAATTGAACGGCACCTGGAGACTGGTTGAGAGGCCAAAGCAACCGTGCAATATACTGAAGTCCACATGGGTGCTGAGACCGAAGCTCAACGAAAGAGGAAAAGTGGATCGGCTTAAGGCTCGATTGGCTGTGAGAGGCTGTGGACAAAAGTATGGTGTCGATTACATGGAGACATACTCTCCAGTGATGCGAATTGAGACAGTGCGGCGGCTGCTCATTCTGGCGTTTCTGCATGATCTGGACTGTTACCACGTAGACTTCATTACGGCATTCTTGAATGGAGGGCTGCGTGGCGTTAAAATATTCATGGAGCAGCCAGACTACTTCCACGATGGCACGGATCGAGTGTGTGAGCTCCTAAAAGGACTGTACGGCATGAAACAAGCGTCCAGGCTCTGGTATCAAACGCTGCATGAGTTTTTACTGGAGATTGGTTTCACGCAGTGTGACTTTGATGTGGGTTTGTACCAGAGATGGAAGGACGGACGCGTGGTGTACCTGACGGTGTACGTTGATGACTTGCTGATCGCCGGCAAGACGGAGGACATCGAGGAAGTAATTGAGGAGTTGAGTGGCAAGTTCGCGCTCAAGAATCTGGGAGCGTTAAGCACATCCGTTCCATGGAAGTGAACTATATTCCTGGTAAAGTGTTGTGTATTTCCCAGACGGCCTACATTGATCGGGTACTGGAGCGCTTTGGCATGAGTGATGCGCATCCGGTGGGTTCGCCGTTGATGCAGAATGAACAGTTACCTCCCGTGGAGACGGACGAGAGTAAGATTAACGATCCGAACATCCCGTTCCGAGAATTGGTGGGAGCATTGCAATATCTGGTTGGTTGCACACGGCCTGACTTGGCCAATGCAGTACGGAGTCTCTCAAAGTACAGCAGCGCGTACACCAAGGCGAACTACATGTGCGCAAAGCGAGGCTTGCGTTACCTTCGTGGTACACGGACGTATGGCTTGGTGTACCGGAAAGAAAGTGTAGTGCAACCACTGCAGATCGATGCATTTTGCGATGCTGACCACGCTAATTGTCCGGATACGAGTCGGTCGGTTACTGGCTATCTACTGCGATTGAACGGGTGTCCATTCCTGTTCAAGAGTAAACAGCAGGACAAGGTGGCCACTGCCACATGCGGTTCCGAGCTTTTAGCTGCAAGCATGTGTGTTGGGGACTTGATCTGGGCACAGAAGATGATGAAAGAAATTTACGGTCAAGCCCTGCCGTGCTCTACGCTTTATATGGACAACCAAAGCACTATCAAGGTGATCTCGGAGCCTGGTAACTACAAGAAGATGAAGCGATTCGCGAAGAAGAGTCGTCAAATCACCGAGTTCGTGGAGAGTGGCAAGATCGAGTTGCAGTATGTCCCGTGTGGGGACAATGTTGCCGATATCTTCACGAAGGCGTTGGGAATTAATGGGTTCCAGAGTCTGCGTCAAGCGCTAAACGTTGAAGACGTGTCAGTAGCAATCCCGGTCCAGCAATGAGTGAGGTGGGAGTAGCAGGAATGGGCTGACACCGATGGCTACATTGCGAGTTGATGAATGCTGCGAGGTTCACTCATGCTGGAGCCAAGTCGGACGCGAGACAAGAAGATCTGCGCGCCGTTAGTTGGGACGCGACAGACCAAAGATTTTTTTTTACTGTTGAAGTTGCTGTAGTGCATGTCCGACAGCTTTCCCTCCTCGTGTACGACACGTTGCATGTGGGAGTATGCGGTAGGAGAAAGAGAACAATGAAAGCATTCTGGTTTTGGTTCCTGTTGAGCTAAGTGACACGAGATACTCGTTTAGTGTTCGTCTGCAAGGCCACCTACGCAGCAGGATCCAGCCTGCGCTCTGCTAGAGACCTGTCTGCTAGTCGGCAGCCGCATTGGTGAGATTCGGCCTTGAGAGACTTGAGGTGGAGTGCTCAGTTTAGTAATTTTGATAAATACATCTGGGCGTCCGGTGTCGATTCGTTTTTTGAGCAAAATCGGGCGTCTGGTATTTGAGCTCCGGTAGGGTGTATCCCTGAACAAATTCGGCAGCAAGTCAAACTGCTGTACAGTGGAGTACAAGAATACACATACCCCGCGTAAGGTGATATTTTAGGTGAGTGTTACCTGTGGCGGCAGGTTGTGTGGAGCACCCCAAATAGCTACATTCGAGCGACCTAAGTCGAAAATTTGCGTTTACCGATCAGAATTTGACGATAGAAAAATAGATTACCGCAGCCACCCCGGTAATCTACAGCCGCTGCATGATCAGTTGGCTATCAGATACGACACAACGGGGGCCGTAGCTACCGGTGCGGCTGATCAGTGGTGCTGTTGGTCAGGAGCAGCCCGTGATCTCACGCATTTAAAAATGCGTGAGATCACGGGCTGTATTTAAAAATACACGTCAATGGCGCGGACAACCGGCAAGTACAAATGCAAGAACAAAAGTGTGACCGCCAGCGACACTGTGCAAGTTACCGCAGTATTTTACCCTCTGTCTTGCCGCAGTGGTTGACGGGGAGGCAAACTGTCCTGCGGAGGGGTGCCGTACGACGAGTCCATTTCGGATTCGGCTCAAACCAGCACTTCTCAGAGTGGAAACACGCCGGATTACACAATTCAACATGCAGACAGTTCACCTGCTCCTGGCGGCGCTTGTTGTCAGTGCCAATGCCACTATTGTCGCTAAGAATAAGCTACACAAGCAACCATCACGATCTCACAGTGTTAACAAAGATAGAGAGCTACCAAGTGACGAGATGAGAAGGAGGAGAACATTTTCGCACCCTCAACTGAGGAGGAGAGGAGACTCTCCTCGGAAAAATCCCTGGTACCGTCATCAAGAGCTGTGTAGAGGATAGTGTGTCCATTGTGAACAAGCTGGACGAGGTTATGGAGAGGAACCCGAATTTCGTGGACAAGCTGAGCATGGATCTTGCAGCGATTGAAAAATTGGAGAAGAACTCTGAATTTGCTCAAGTGTCGAGGAGAAGAACATTTCAACCTAACGTGCATCACTTTCCTCTTTTGCTTCACCAATTTTTTTTGTGAAAACCAGAAATTTCAGAGCTTCTTCGGGCCGGAGGCACGACAAATTTGTCAACGGTAACGCGTAGCGCTTTACTTCCGCCGCGCTTTCTTGCAGTTTAGTAGCTGCACCACCTCATCATAGCCGACAACTTGCGCTTTCGCCACAGCATTGTGAATACTGGACGAATCGAACAATTCCACAACTGACAATCGGCTTTCAACAACTGCAAGCTCCAGAGCGCACGCAATAGCCGACGAATCGCTTTTGTCCAGCAAACTAGCGACAACCTCAGCATGACCCCGCACTGCAGCACTGATCTAAGCGCGATGGATATTACAAGGCTCCATGTGATCCAGCAAAAGCTGTAGAACGCAAACAGAACCACTCATGGCAGCACATTGAAAGATTCGCTTGTGCGCACCGAGATCGCATTTACTTTGCAGCATCGTCGATATCTCAGTGTCACCCGATGATATTGTCTGTTGTAGAACGTTCTCAACCGTCGGGTGATCCGAGTGATCAAGCAAAGCTTGCAACATTTCAGCCTTTCCCATGGTGGCGGCGTCGTATAAAGCCCACGCAACACGATGGCGTTCACTTTTCTCGACAAGAAGACTGGCCACCCTCACAGAGTTGTTTCTGACGGCTGCCCCCAAAGCATTTCCAAGGCCGACCTCGCCACACTTGGTAAAAAATTGTTGCAAAGTCTCCAAGTCGTCATTTGCTGCGGCTTGTTGCAGCATTAGTGTGATGACAGGTGCCATTCGCGGGTTCTGCAAATACTTTTCCTCGCACAGTTCCAGCAACAGCCTCTGGACTTCCCGCTGCCCGTAGACTACTGCACGGTTCAGTATGTCGCCGGCATACAAGGCGCTTTTCTTGGTTAGGATCCCGAGTAGTACTCGGAGTACCCCCAGATCGCCAGCATCTGCAGCGTGGATCATAGCTCTAGTGACAGCTACTTGGATAGGATGGGTAAACCGGATGCCTCTCAAACCTTGTTGGATGCCGCTTGTACCCATTGGAGGACATTTTCCCAGCAAAACCTTGACCAAATCAGTGTTGTTGTTTTCTGCAGCGGCAACCAAGTGTTTCAGGAAGTTGACATCTCTTGAGCACCGCCCGCATGGTGTCCGCACTGAGTGTCGCCGCCACACTCCGAAAAGTGGATTCGATGTAGAAGCTTTTTCCAGTTCTGGGCAAGCCACCAACGGTGATCCGCCGAAAGACTCGAACAACAGGAACGCGGCCGTTGGCCGCTGCTGTGACGAGCAATCTGTTTAACTCAGACTCGTGTAGGATCCAGATTCTCAGCAGGAACTCGACAACGTCCACGTGGCCATGCGTAGTGGCCTCCGTGAGCTCCTGCAGCCCCCGACGCAAGTCCGGGTAGAACCGGTAGAGCCACTCCAGCACTTCCAAGTAGCGGCCGAGCAGCCCTCGTCTCGCTCGTGGTGCAGTCTTTGAACAATGTCGAGACGTCCGATGGCTGGAGCTCCGTCCATAGCCCCAACTGTATCAGGGCGGAACCCCTCAAACACCTTGAACACGCGCTGCAGGTCGTTGTACACGGCAGCGTCGATGGTCGACGGCAGGGCGAAGTCATTGATGAGCTGGGCTACGTGGGGGATGGCTTGGATGTGCGGCGGCAGTGCGAACTGCAGCAGCAGAAGTAGCGGAGTCGTCATTTCGGGTCAGGCAACCGGAAAACTTCTGATGACAAATTATGCCTTTCATTTTCTTACGGCTTATGTTGCGCAACGTACTTCGTACGAACCTATCTCCTTTCATCTTTTGGCGCATTCCTCATGACCCCGTCGCCGCCGCTTCCACCTCCGCTCTTAAGCGTCTCGGCGGCTGTGCCTGACGACATCCAGGCTGTCCCGCACCTCTTCCAGTCCATCAACTCCTTCCTCCTCCCACGCACCATCGACGCTGCCGTCTACAGCGACCTGCATGGAGTCGTCGCCACCTTCGGAGATGGTCTGCCAGTGACCTCGCGCGCAATGGATGGCGCTGCCGCCAGAGGCCGCCTGGACACTGTCAAGAGGCTCTTCGCTACCAGATCAGAGGGCTGCTCCACTGAAGCCTTCGTCGGAGCTGCGGCAAACGGCCACATGAAGGTGCTGCAGTGGCTGAGGAAGCACTACCCAGAGCTCTACGACCCCATGAGATGCCTAACTGTAGCTGCAGAACATGGACAGGTAGACGTGGTGAGGAGAACGAGGCTACACAGAGGGCGTGACCAGCACGTGAGAGACTTTATTGGTCCACCTATGGAGGCAGCCGCGGCCAAGGGATACGTCGGCGTGCTGGAAGAGCTCCAGCCGTGGCCCACTGATGTAACCAGAGCGTTCACAGCGGCGGCGGCAAATGGTCACATCCACGTGCTGGAGATTCTGCACGCTTACTGTAGTGAGAGACGTTCGCGCACCTTGTGCTTCAGAACAGCGCTAACGGAGATTGTGGAGCGTGGGAATTGTGCGGCGGTCGAGTTCCTGCTGCCGATTACTGATGAGAGTGACATTGGCCAGATGCTGTCTGCTGCAGCGCGAGCTGACCAAAAGAGGGTGGTCCAACTGATACTCAGATCACGCGAGATGGAGGAAACCATCGTTCTCCGCGCACTGAAGGAGGCGGCAGAGAACAGCAGCTACGGTGCAGTTGAACCTTTGCTCGAACGGTTCTCTCGTGGTGAAACGAGCAGCTCTGCGATGTCATTTGAAGAACGTCGTAAGAAGAGCAACGTTGAGGGCTCTCTCAGCGTCGCATTACACTCAGCAGTGGCAAGGGGCGACGTCAGGATGGTTGGCGTCCTTGCCGAGCGCTGCCAATCGGATGCAGTTGAAAGCGCGTTGGGGAGAGCAGCAAAACGAAGCGGGAATCGAGACATGGTGAAGCTGCTTCTCGACACTTGCGCTGCGAGAAACAGAACGCATTCGTACGCTGTTGGTGACGCTGCTGGAAAAGCGATCTCCTGTGGCGACCGTGACGTAGCAACGCTGCTACTTGGTGAATGCAATGGATCTGCTGCTGGACAAGCCTTGCTAATTGCTGTGAAGAAGAACCATCTCGAGTTGGTTAAACTGTGTGCTGGAAAAAGCGATGGTCTCTTTAAAGTTAAGGCGCTGGTTCGAGCAGCACAAGGCGAGCAGATTGATATCCTGGAGGCGTTGATCGAGTATCTTGACGAATCGTCCGTCTTCAAAGCGCTGAGGCACCTTCCGTTCGATGTGAATACCACCATGTTGCAGGCAATGTTAAGCAAGTGCGCACCTACTTCGCATGCAAGGATTTTCACGGATGCTGCTGCGCGGGGCTTCTGTGGCTTGGTTGACAGCTTAAAGACTGAGATGGATTCCAAGAGCATCCGTTGTGCAGTCATGAATTCTGCGTCGAATGGCCATTCTGAGGTGGTGAGCTCATTGCTTAGCAGTTGCGATTCAACCTCTATCGGGTGCGCACTAGAAGCAGCAGCCATGAAAGGGAAGGTGGACGTCGTTGATCTTCTTCGTGGGCTGAGTGATGCAGAAAGCATTAGCAGTGCGTTAGCGTCCGCGGAAGAAGCTGGTCTAACGGAAGTCGTGCAGCTGCTGGCCAGCAAGAGACCTCGGCTGGTGTAAAACGTGCTGCGGTCTGCGCTGAAATGTGTGTGAAGCAAGACCAGCCTCTAGGTTTCAGCGATTTATTTACAAATTCGACAGTGACGTTTTTTTTCTAAGGATTTGTTTTGCCATTTGAGAAGAGAAGGCCCCAGGTACTTGACCTGGTGGCGTATATTTAGGCACTTATTTCGGAGCCTGCTGGGAGCTGGCACTTTGACGTCTAAGTGAGTTACCCTAAACTATTCCTAGTTGATCGGTTTCCCTTCCTGGGAGGTGGTGGTGAGGCGGCGGTAGGATTTGTTTGCCATTGCCTGATCACAACTATCCCGATACGTCGGCACTAACGCCAAACGCAGCAGGTGTCCCTATGTATGTATGTACTGATTTGATAAACATAAGGCTAAGCTGCGCGTGCTCAGTCGTCAACACAGGATAGAGTTCTGACATGGCGTTCAGTCCCCAATCTGCCAAGCATGAACGACCCCGAGTTGCTGCGGATTGTGTGTCGCGTGTTGCCGACTGAACTGCTCGCGATTGTGCATATTCCTGAGCTCGTGAACACTTTCCTCCTCCCCGCGACCATCGACAGCGCTGTGTACAATGACCTCGTGGGTGTGATTCAAGCCTACGGATGCTCTCGGCCTTGGACTGTTGCAGCGATGGACGGAGCAGCAACAAGAGGGCGACTGGATATCGTGCATTGGTTGTACGCTCACCGCTGCGGAGGATGTTCAACTGCCGCTTTTCTTGGAGCAGCATCACACGGCCATCTCGACGTACTCAAGTGGCTTCACAACTTTTACCCCATGCTGTGTGATTCAGAAAAGGAGCAGGTGTTAGCTGCAGAATATGGCCACGTTGGTGTGGTAAGATTCCTACTACCAGGACGGAGAGCTCGTGAAGTCAAGGCGTGTCTCGTAGCTGCAGCCGCGAATGGCCACGTTCAAGTGATGGAGGCAGTTTTCCCATGGCCAGTCGATATGACGCAATGCTTGGTTGCGGCGGCGGCAAAGGATCACTTAGAGGTGTTGCGATTGTTGCTCGATAGAGGCTACAACGACCAGATCCGGTATGTTGGTCCAGCATTGAGAGACGCAGTAGCTGCCGGTCAGGTCAATAGTATCCAGTTTCTGCTCGACAAGTGTGATGATTTTGGCGTACGAAGCGCTTTGGGTACTGCGGTGGAGAGCGGTCGAACTGCAGTAGTGGAGCAAATTCTGGGGCGTTGCAGTCCCGATGAGGTTCCAATCGGACGTGAGTTAAAGAAGGCAGCCCAAAGAAACCAGTGCGAAATAGTCCAGCTTCTGCTCGCAAAACGTGCGCACGCGCGTTTGGGTCTGACGAAAGAAATCCAAGCAGCTATTGATGTTGCATTCCTAGATGCTGTCAAGCACGGGCGTATCGATATTGTGAAAGCACTGGCAGACAGCAGTGGATTCAGTGTTACCGACGCGTTACGCCATGCAGAACGAAGGAGACAGTGGGAAATCGTGAAGATGCTGCTCGATTTCGCCAGAATGGAAGGTTCCATTTGAAATCAGGATGATACAGGTACGTACTAGTGCCGATGCATGAGAATACGACAGTGGGCACTGCCCACATCGCTTCCTGGGCAGGCACGCATTTGTGGCATCAACTCGACAAGCAATCGACCAACCTGGAGAGGATCAGCATTGTTTGCATGAGTGACGAACCCTCTCATCGTCATCATTGCTAAATGGCCAGCTCTTGGCGCTGGGATGATCGTTGGGTGGCCGGATTCACGTGACTGCTGCTAGAGTCAAGAATGGGACGGCGTGGCGAGCAGTTCAATCATGGTGGGTTGGGTCTGCACTCGTACCGAGCGGCAACGAGGTCTGAGTGAAATGTCGGCCACGTCGGTGGAGACTGTGGCGAATCGATGTCCACGTCACTTCAACGTGGAACTAATCCTTGATGCTCATCTTGATGCCGCGCAATCAACCTCCATAAACACAAGAGCAGGTCATTGATCACGACGAACTCACTTTCCGTTTTGCCGCCATCGACTAGAGACCAATCCCACAACCAAATCAGCAAATGGAGAAGCCGCAGCTCCTCTGCGTGAAGTTGGCACTGTCGCCAGAGTTCGAAGCCTTCCCCCATGTCATCCAGTCTGTCAGCGACCTCCTTCTACCGGGAACGATCGACGGTGCCATCTACAACGACCTCCACCGCATCAAGAAAGTGTACGAGCCCTTCCTCCCTATCACCGTCGGAGCTATGGATGGAGCTGCAGCCAGAGGACGTTTGGACATCCTGCAGAGGCTGCAAAATGCTCATGGAGAAGGCTGTTCATCCGCCGCATATGTCGGTGCAGCCGCTCATGCTCATCAGGAGGTTATCTGGTGGCTCAATGAGTTCTACGAGAGCTTGGCTCCACCGGCCGAGATGGTTCGCGCTGCTGCTCGAAATGGCCACATCCGGGTGGTGGACTTGTTGTGGAGAAAGTTGAGCCGCGATGAGTTGGAGTCCGCTCTGGAAGTGGCTACAGCGAGCGGACACAACGACGTGGTGGAACTGCTTCGCGTGAAGATGATCGATAGCTAACTTCATAATGTTCAGATGTAGTTTGTGTAGTAGTGGCCCCAAGTTGTATAAGCTGATCGCGTTGATCTGTAAATTAACGTCTTCGCGAGCCTTTTCAATGACCAATTGCAAGTTGCTAACGTATCCCCACAATATACAATAGGAAAACAGATAGTTTTGCGTGAAAAACTAAATAATTACCACGAACCGACCATCAAATCAACCTTCACACTAACTTATGAGGAGGAAGACGACTCAATCTCCTCTGGGAAGCACGGGAACTTCTGCAGGTCCTTGATGACGTCCAAGGCGGCCATGCCCCGCAGGAACTCCTTGTTCGGCGTGAGCCAGTCGTCCTCCAGCAAACCCTCTGTAAACGTGCCGTAGACATCAGCTGGGTTGTACTGGTAGGCGCTCTCGGGGTTCAGCGACCACATGTATCCTCCAGCATAACCGGCCTTGAGCATCACTGGGTATCTTTTGGCAAAAGGCCAAAGATCCGGTTTTCTCAGCACGAGGAGAGAGTGCACGGCGAAGACAGGATCAGGCCCCCATCGCGCGACCCGTGGAACCGCCAGCTGCAGCTGCACATAGGTTAGTTTAGAGTTAGCTCATTCTCCAATCTGCTCCGTCGAGCAACGACCCACCGCACCTCACCCTAGCAATGGTGCAAGCACCAGTGCGGTCGACCGATAATGAATGCAGCTACGTGTGACCCCTCTGCGATGACGAATGTGAAGGAAATTCGATGGTGAAGTCGGTCGTGCGCTTGGTCGTCTTCATGGGGTCGGCGTCCTTCGCGTACAGACCGGCGAACTCGCCCATGACCATAGCGGAGTTGGTGTCGACACCCAGCAAGTAGCCGAACATGACGTTCATAGTCGCCTCAATGTTGGCGCGCAGGTCGTCGTCGCCCAGCTCGACGTAGCTGGAGAACGCCCCGCCATCGGTCGTCTCACCAACTTCTGCGTAGAGGTACCAGGCCGGGTACACGCCCGTGTTGTAGTAGTGCGGGGCCCACGCCATCTTGTTGCTGGTCATGAGCGCGACGGGGTTCTCTCCCAGCATTCTCGAGCCCGCCACCCCACCAGTCGTAGTACATGGCCGTCCTGCCCCCCACCGTGACAGTGCCCGAGCTGCCGATGCCTTCCACGAACGCCATCCAGTTGGGGCAGCCCTCCAGCATGCGGTTACCGATCAGCGTCGCTCCCTGCTGCCAATCGGGGGCGTCCCCACCCCAGGAGCTCTCGTGGGGCTCGTTCTTGAGGTCGAGGCCCAGGACGTTCCAGTACTTGGCGCTGCAGAGGTTCTTAGTCAAGATGTCGACGGCCTCCAGGAAGTCGTCCTCGGACACGCTCAGCGCCTCGCTGTACCAGGCGCCGCCCGACTTCTTGGGGTCCAGCGTGTGCAGGCTGATCATGACCGAGATACGGCGGTAGCCGAGCGCCTCCACGATCGACTGGATGGCCGACACGTACGACGTGATGTTGAGCGCTCGGTTCGTGTTGACGTTGATGAGGGACTTCTCCGGGGACGTGTTAATCAGGATGTTCTTGATGCAGACCGGCAGGCGCACGCTGTTGAAGTTGTTGCGAGCGAGGAACGCCGCGATCTCGTAGACCGACGTGCCGTTGTCTGTGTTCTCCCAGAGTCCGAAGGGGATGGCCAATGCCGTCTCCATCCCGAACCAGTTGACGCCCTTGATACCCACGGGCACCTCCGTGCCGTTCTTGGACACGGCGAAAATCTGCCCGTTCTTGCTCTGGTAGTCGGGCAGCTCGCAGCCCATGTCCGGGTACGACTTGGGGTTGCCCACTTGTCCGTCGTCCGAGATGATGACCTCGTCGTCTGTGAGTCCGTCGTTGATCCTGCGCTTCTCCTCCACCTTGTTCTCGAAGCGAACTTGTCGGGTGGAAGCGCTGTCGCTTTCGCTCATGGAAGACAGCGTGATGAGGGCGGCAGCGCCACCAACAATGGCACAGAAGAGAAGGAGGCCACGCCATGTCTACAGGTAGACATCAGCTATGCAAGCTGAACCAGGTAAAGCAGCATTTCAGTCGGCAGGATACGTACCCGGATCCGACCCTTGTAGTTTTTTACTCGTTCTAGTGGTAGGTCGCCACCTAAATCCAAAGCTTTGATCTTCAGCTCGGTCTGGCGCTGGGTCGCGAATTCTGGGCCGGAGTCGGACATTCGGTCGGCAAACGCATGTACTTGGCCCATTGTGTACTCGCTATTCCGGTAGGTTGGGGACGGTGGACCATCAGCGCTGCTCGACTCCAAAAGCACATCGCTGTCTATGACTTCCATGCTGATGACAAAGGAAGCTGGCGCGAGAAGGAAGAGATGCGTAGCAGTCCAGTTGCGGAATGGTGAGCCGAGGCTCGCGCCTTGAAGGCGCACCCGATGGGTTCAAGGGGCACACGAAACTGTCCACGGTTTGTGGAAGTGAATCCATCAGCCATCGGCCATCCTCAGAACCCGGTGGAGGACATTTGCCGAGTGCGGTCGCTGCGGCAAAACGGACTCTGATGCAATAGGTAGCTGTATCCCCACCGCAACGTTTGCACCTAGGTTGACACGCAAGTCAAGAATGCAGATGTACAAACGAGGGTTCAGTAGAAAATCGTGGCACAGCAAGTCCGGCTTCATCAAGAGAGGATGAACATGAGCAACAGGCGTAACCTTACGTATGAGGCATTCCGTTCAAACACTTGACATTCGATGATACACATGTACTTACTAACGAGGAGTCGGATTACCTAAAGGATCGACAGCCTCGCACTGCATTATCAGTACTTCGCGGTCAATATCCACCACGTTACTCCTGCTATAAAACGCTTTACTAGTTTTGCTCAGGTGTTCGCGGTGATTTTGAGGATTGAACTCAAAGTTTGTACACTATTTACGATCTGTTTTAATAATCGAAGTACTTGGAGCGGCGGCCATGTAGGAGGCGAATTGTCGGATAAACTATATTTGTGAACATATTAACAATGATAAAAAGGTGATGCAAAAAATCAACTAGCCGCTTCATTCAGTAGCACAAAGAATAGCTGTGGTGAGCTCGCTTCAGTAATTGCGGTAACACATCCTGATCATTACGCTTTCCGTTTACGAACCATTTGTACTTAGCTGTCTGGAACCTGTCAAAGTTGATCTATTCTTCCATGACCTCGAATAAGCTAACCTCGTCGTCGTTGTAGCCTAGCAAAACGGAATGTACCCTGCCGTCGCTTTGGCCAATTGAAAGATACTTTTTTTACCTAGCAGTTTCGTAGTAGAACACCAACAACCTTCTCGTGACCAAAACTCCCACTGACAGCAGCACCGACCGCGTTTAGCCACTTAAACTCATTGATGAAGAGCTGCTGGGCAGAGTGTTTTTTGTCCAAAACGGGGTATTATTGCTGCCTTACACAATCCATAATCATGTTGTGACCCATTATCCGCAGTTCGTGAGAACTGTCGTTTGCGCCCCTGCGGATGTTTGAGATAATGCAATATAAGGTATTATGTTGCATTATCGGTTAAAGAGCTATTTGAAACAACAGCAATGACAGTTGTACAGCAATTGTAGTACAGCGCAAACTCCGATTCATTACAGCTCAAAGCGCTTTCGGCGACAAGCTAACCAGGCAGCAGCAATAATAAAGAGGGGTGATGAGTCAATCAATGCAATTTGTGAGGAATCGACCGTATCGGGCCAGCAAGCGAGCAATAGGTAGGTCGCCGTCGTATCGGCTAAGTTAGTTTAGGCATGTGGCTGTCATTTCTAAGATACGATATCTGTATGTACATGTCGGACGCCACAGCAGCAGCAACTATAAACCGTCGTTGAGTAAAACAAAATTATCGCTATTGATTAATGGTGTTGGGTGCAGACTGTTTGTTGAGAGTCGACTTTGAAGTGAGGAGACCTAAACGGCATTAAAATCAGTGTAGCAATTCTACAAAATCAAGTTGCAGGCGTCAAAATTGGACATATAGCCCGAATAACCCCAGAAAATAAACACATTATACATTCAACATGAACCGAAGCTCAGTCTGGCAGCTTGAAGCTGTGCAGTATGTACCATGAATAGCAGTAACGCTAGTATGAGTTCATGCAATGAAATGAAATTTGCGGTTATGACGGCTGACTACGCCCGTCGCCGCGCACTGCTGCAGCGCCTCATACGGGGACTCCCGCGGTAGCAGCCCAATAGTGTGAGTTCACGTAGATCCGCCACGGCAGATCGAGCAGTGCAAGCCATCCAGCAAATTGACGCATGATATTTCACAGTTCAAAAATAAGAGCAAGCGCTAAAATTCAAGAACGTCTTCATGCAACGCTCATCTGCGGCAAACATAGCGCTACTACATAGTAGTAAATAAAGTTTTCTACTGTGCAGGTTTTGGAATACAGTAAAAAAAAGACCGAACTGCGAACACCGCGAGCCAAAGCCCGCAAACCAGTATTAACTGTTATTGCCGCTTGCAAATACTTTGTCCTCTAAAATAGACCTCTAAAATAGACCACGCCTGTCTCTTACTATGAGTGGACACGAGATAGGCGAGGGCTGTTTTAGCTTTGTGCTTTGGTGAAGGCCGCTTTTAGGCCCAGAACTTCGGTTTGGCCCGTCTAGAATGGCATTTCTGCGTTTCCAAGCCGCAGAAAAGCGTTTTGGTCGGGAAAACAGAGCCCCAAGCTTGCATGTTAGACCAGTACTGGCGATGTATATAAATCAGACCTAGATTTTAATTAAGAGCTGGCTGGATTAAAATCGAGATTATTGACGAGATAATAAGCATGCGTTGGCCAAAATATCTGCAAACAGCAATACCCGTTTGATGTTGATACATGCAGATTTTTTTGCCGGTTTTCTTTCTTTTCCAGCGTTTTTGCCTTGACTGAGTCATCATAGCGAGCTCGCCAAGTCGGTTACCTTTGACGCCAGCACATTGTGTGTCGTTATAGCCCAGTCTTAGTACCACAATTAACATTTACCGGAAGATGCGAACTCAAAAGTCAATCTTTCGCGCCGGGTTCTACTGCTGAGCCATTTACGGCAGGCTGTGGCACTCATACTCCATCCCTCTCCGCCTCGATTTCTTTCCTTACCTCAGCCGTGGTTTCTTGCCAGCGAGTGGTGGCACAACTTCTGCGTTTGCCGACGCCGATGCACTGCTGATGATTCGGGAGCCCCGTTTCACACGAGGCATTGGGGCAGTATCCGCCTCATGCTTCATCGTCGCTAGTTTTCGAGTCCATTGAATAGTCACCGGATCGCAATTTCGAAAATGGAGTAACGTGTTCACCATCTCAGTTTTTCTGTCGTGGGCTACTGGGGGAGTGCTGCACAGCGGCAGCACCTCAACGAGATGTATTAGCAGCAGCGCCTCTGGTTTGAGGAGGTTGCCCTGGGAGTGGCGTGGCGGGTTTGAACTGGTCGGCTTGAGCGCAAATTCGCGAATGGCCGCCCCCACCGGTCTTATCTATCTAGTGCCTACTCTAGCTTGGTCACTTGAAACTCCTCGGGTATTTGAAGGTGCTCAATCGCACGTAGTCAGTAGCACCATTCCAGAAAACTTCTCTTCCGCACTCCAGCGGAAAGCACACCATTTCTGTCGTGGGCTACTGGGGGAGTGCTGCACAGCGGCAGCACCTCAACGAGATGTATTTAGCAGCTGCGCCTCTGGTTTGAGGAGGTTGTCCATTGTAGTTTGCCGCTGCTAACATCGGATTGAGTATTGCCCGCGCCATAGTTGATGTCTGATGATTATTCAAGCGAATGTATCGCTCAAACGCGTCCGATCTCCACCGCCCAAATTGCTTCACGGCTATGCTGTCGACACCAGCTGCGAACAGTGCCGATGCCCCACCACTGCGTAAGGAGTGAGTGCCGAAGTGCTGAGGCGGTTCATCAGCGGCGACGGCTGCTGCCTTGATTAGCTGCGAAATGTCACGGACTTGTACAATTGAGCCCGAAGTGATTGTGCAGAGCGGTTCTGTGGCTGGTAGCCGAAGTTCACGGTGATGTTCAGCCAAGAACCATGTAGCGTGAACGGGGCAGAGCCAGTTGGATCCCGAGCGTCCTATTGACCGGGTGGTGCCTTGCTTGTATTGGTCGTTCTTCCCACCCCGAAATCTAACAGCAACTTCCGTGATCTTGTCAAATGTGCTACAGGCCATTCTTGTCGGTGAACGAGATGTCTGCGCGAGTCAGGATGAACTCGTAAACCTTTTTCCCGACAGCTAGATATTCGGAACGGCGGAGTAGAAGGAAAACCCCCAAGACCACAGCCCCCCCCGATAACGCGGTGGCGGGGTTGGCTGAAGTCAAGGGACTTGTGCATGATTCGTAATAGAGCGACTGTGACCGGAGACTTTCTTGATGATTTGGCGTCCTGGCGGCGCATTCCGTTGAGCGCGAGTTTGTGTCTGTCCGAGAGCCCAACTGAGTACCCGAGCACGCGACGATGATGCCACGAAATGTGGCTGATTTTGGAGACGACGGTAGAGGTAGCGTTTCCTTTGTTCTCGTAATTCCACCCGAATTTCCAGCAGTGCACGCCGAAGAGTACAAGTTGATACGAGTGCAACTCTGTTTGAGGTAGCAACCAAATGGAGAACCCGAGCATGTTGCACCACTCCTGCCATTGATGCCAAGTTGTTGCGTACTTAACGCGGGACGACTGGGCCAGTGATTGGGATTGAAGGTCTTGGAGAAGGTTTGATAGAGCTTCCTCAAGGCCTTGGGCACTGGAACCTGTTTCCATGATGAAGAAAAATTAGTCCAAATTTCCGAAAAGGGAGAAACCCATGCCCGAGATGCCGCGTCCGCGGCGATGTTCGTCGATCCTGGTAGATGCGATGCAATTACTCGAACGTTGAATAATACTTCGGCGAGACCTATCGCGCGATTGACTTCCTGGCTAAGCTCGTTGGTGCTCGCAAGCGAGTTGCTCCATGCCACCGCGGCTCGGTTGTCACTCCAGCATTTCACGACTACGGTGCGATCTGGATCCAACGACGTCCATGTTGACCCCCAGATCCAGAGTGCGAGTGCGATGCACATGTGCTCTCTAACATTTATCGAAAACGTGTTTGATTTTGAATCCGCCATGATCCACTTTGTTTCTTCGGAGTCGAAAGCAATTTGGATAAATTCATTGGCCGACGGGTTTAGCACGGCAAGGCCCATGTCGGAGCTCAGCGAGGGCGACGGCCTCTTCCCGGACCTGCAGCCGCAGGCGTCCATATACAGATGCAGCTGAGCTGTCGGTTCACGGCTGCCGAAAATTGACAGTGGTAATTCTTGTAGATGCCCGACACTCAGTATGCGCTCAACCAGTCGAGATCGGATTTTGCTCCTGCTGAAAGTTTTACTGCGCCATGCCGGGGAGCTCGATTGCACAAAGACTGCAGGTGCTGGTAGAATGGCCGGGAAGTCCGACGACAACTACAAACGTGGCGTAAACTCCCGAGAAGTTTTAGGAAGTCAGATTTCGTCACTGTTTTTGATTGCTTCAGTTTGCGCACGCGACCCAGCGCCTTGGCAATCTTGTCAACGGGCATCGACACGGTGCGGTTGGCAGTATCCGACGTTAGGCCAAGTGCATTAAGCCGTGTTTCCCACTGTGAAAAAAATTCTTCGTTGATTGCACGAGGGCCAAGAATGGCCAGCATTGCGTGTCGAAGGGTTGCTTCTGCTAACTATAACCGGTCCTCCGTATCAACTTCGATGAGAAGGTGATCGTCGACCCACTCAAATCCCCAGAACGCTTCGTTGTCTTCACTGGCCGACACTGTATGTGGCGAATTCTGCTGTACGAGCCAAGTGATTGCGCGACCAAAGGCACTGTAGAAAGGAGGCGAGCCGGACCAACCGAAGGGTGCCGACAAGTCTATCAATAAGGCTTTTGCTTCTGGAATTCGAGCTGCCATCCAATGTGTGGTGGAGTGGATCCGGTGGAATTGGCAGGGATCCCACACTCACACACTGCGCCCAGACACCAACTAACGGAGGGGGTACTCCGATAACCGTAGGTTGCTGAGTGGCTCACCTTGTGTACCCGTCGGCGGGTTGGTTCTGCTCTCTCGTTGACACAAGATGCGCAGCGGGTGAACTTGAATGTCCCTGGCGGGGACTTGGGGAGATGTTGGGGTAGATCCGCAGTGGGGGTTCCTTCGCGCGGGTCTGGGTAGGTTGATCCTTGGTCTTGGCCGTAGATCTTGTGGATCCGATAAGTAATATACCGGATCCGGAGTTGCTGCCTTGTTGGGGGTGTTGTATCCTTTTCCTTTACGTCGCTTGCCGCCTACGATTAGCGGGGGAGCTGGGGGGCGAGGGCCGAAGGGCGCGAGCTGCTGACTAATCTATCCAGCAGTCTGCCACGTGTGCGGTGGGCAAATCACTTAATTAAAGTATGGACCAATACTAATCCCAATACTAAGGGCCAAGTGTGTGGTTCCCAAGCAAATTCAACTCTGATTTATGTTAGCCAATACCCAGCCTTCCCATCCGACTTGGATCCTATCCATGACTGGCTCTCCCTCCTGCCTAATTATCCCAACATAACCACTGTATCAATAAGCTGGTACGGATCCGCACCTAATCTAGGGGATCCTAATATAGATGACCGGATCCGTATGCACCACACCACTCGCACCTGATCCAACTTCAACTGTCCTGATCCCGCAACCGTGCCTCCATCCCGCAACCATGGCGTCATCAGAGGGACTGTGCATCGTCACCAACTGCCGGATCCCACTACCCAGTCAACTGGCGGATCCAGTCCCATCAAGACCCTTCTTGAGCGGATCTTCTCACCACATTCGCCCCTGGGACGAGGTCGCTGCTGCACAACGGCATCACCTCGTGCCACCTTTGATCCGCATCATTAATTGAAGATTTCCCGCAGTTCTGGCACAACCGCTTTCTGCCACCATTCTTCTTCACCATGGCTCAGACACGCCACTGCCGTCCTGCGACTGGATGTCCTGACGTGCCCGAAGCCCCGTATGAGGCAGACCCTCCTGCACCGGGGACACGTGTGGCTGTCACCGTCGGATACGGTCGCTCTTCGGACCCCCCGCCCCCATGTGTTATCTGCGACTCCGCGCCTTCTGACCCCATGTTGTCCGTCACGCCTCTCGCGCTGTCGCTCGACCCGACTGAGGTCACGCCGGCTGCGTTATTAGCCGTATCCAACCACTATTACACGGTGCTGGAGGCCTTTGACGAGCTGCGCCACGCGTATACCCTTGCCCGCCAGCACAACGGACAGCTTCACGCCGCACCCACCGCCATGCGAGAGGTCGCAGACCGCTTCGTGACCTTCGTCCAACGCAAGTACAACGCCAGCCAAGCCAAGTTAGACGACGCGAACTTCCGGGCTGCCGATGCCATTGCTTCGGTGGATCGCATGAAGGACCAGCTGCACCAGTTAAGGTTCTCCGGATCGAGCATGAGCTGCTCCGAGAGACGTCAACCGAAGCTTACGACCGCCTTCAACATTACGCTGCTCAGCTAGAGCGACGGATTGAGGGCCGCTTGATGGATGGCGAGTTGGATCGATCCGTCCTCCAGATCGCTCGAGACCTGAGTGAAGTTCGTCGCGAGAACGCGGATCTTGCGCGCCACGCTGCTGATCACCACAACCCAATTCGCTCCGCTCAAGCTGCCCAAGCTTCAACCGTCGCCGATCTCGCCGAATCCCGTTCCCAGTGCGACGCACTCAAGTCTCGTCTCGGGGATCTGTTGACGCATGCCCAGAGAGTGGAGGAGTCCAACCAGCAGCTTCGGGAGGACCTACGCACGATTTCGGGTGGGGATTCGGCCGTCCACGGACTCCATCTCGAGATTCACGTCCGCGGCGAGCGGATCCGCGAGCTGGAGGGTTTGCTTGATCGCATCTCTGCCCATCGTGACCGGCTACAGCAAGACTTCGACGACGCCAACCGCCGTGCTGAGCGTGCGAACGGAGCTGTGGAACGGGCCAATGCCGCGGCGGACCGCCAGCAAGCTGCGGTCCAGGAGTCACATCGCCAGAATGCGGCTACGCTGGAGCGGGTCCACGACGTAGAGGGGCAGTTGGACCAGCTTCGGCGCGAGCGGGATCAGCATGCTCGCGAGTACCAGACCGTCGCCACCAATTTCCGTCGGTCCCAGGAGCGGCTCACACAGGCCAACGCGCGGATCGACACCTTCGCACACCTCCGCAGCGAGAGGGACGCTCTTCGTGAGGAGTTGCGTGTGAGCATAGCCGCTCCGAACAGTCTGCAGGCAGAGAAACAGGTCCTCCAGGGCGAGCTGAGGGCCTCGCGCGAGGCGCTTACCCCTGCCCGGCCCCCTGCGTCGACTCCTCCGCCTGCCACTACTTCTTCCGCCCCAGATCCGGCCGATCCCGCTCACGCTTCCTGTGTGCGTGGCTGCAGGGAGCTGCTTGTGCAGATCGCCGACATCCAGCAAGCGTACGGCCACCTTGCCGCGACTTCGACGGCCTGGAGGTGGACTTCGGCTCTCTGGAAGCCGAACATGGTGACCTGGGGGAGATCTACCATACCTTGTCGGAGGATCACACCTCCGCGCTGGAGCGTATCGCGCAGGTGGCGGCTTTGGCCGTGTTGGTACCTCCTCGCGTCGCTGGGGTCCAAGTCCCGAGTGTTCCGTCTCCAACCGCCTGCGTTCCTTCTTCCTCCAAGCGAGCCCGTCTGCCCGCCATCGAGCCTGGTCTCGTGGCCGCTCCGGCCGCGAAGCGTGTTCGTCGTGTGTCGTCGCTGGCGGGTCGGCTCCCCGCCGCTTCTACCATGTGATCGAGGTGACGCCTGCGGGGGCCACCTTGTCTAACATTGTTTCAGCCGTGGATCCGGCTGGTGACGAGGTGGATGATGATTACGCCTGCTCCAACACGGGCACCGAGCCCAATACTCTGACTCCGACGAGTCTGACGACGACGGGCTGCGCGTAGCCCAGGCTCGTTTCCGCTCCGACTTCCGCCGTCGCGACTCTAAGAGTTTGGCCAGATCCGGTGTTTCCTCGGCTTCTGAGGGTTCTGCGGCCGCTCCGATCGTCGTGGAGAATGCAGACGCCGTGGAACTTTCAGGCGGCATTGATGAAGATACCAGCACAGTGGATCTCGACGATTCCTCCACAGGAGTATCCTTATCTGCAGCGCTGCGCGGTGAGGGTCCTGGGACTGGGGGCCAGCTCACGGTGGGATCTGCTACGACTGATGGGGCCGCACACGCTGGGGTTGTTGGTGATATGCTTATTCCTTTCGGGCCACTCGGATCCTTTGTGCCTGGTCTCCGGCAGCAACGTGCGGTTTCTACAGAGGAGGTCGACCCTTGGGAGCCGTCTCGGATCGCCGTGTTAACCATGACACCGCCACGCCCCGTGTGGTGATCGACTATCAAGTGCTGAGCGTGGGCTGGATGTTTCCTGAGCGCGTTGGGCGGGGTGGCACTCTGGATCGAGCGCTGTATACACCCGAGTTGATCTCGCGCGTCAATGTGGAAGGCTTGTATGCCGAAGAGCCTCGGCAGGCATTGTCCACCAGGCCCGCCCCTCACACCTTCGATTTGGATGTTTCGCCTCAGCTGCTGAGTATCGTGGATGGTTACATGGACTTCGAGAGCGACTGCTTGCAGGCGATCTGGGAGTCCACCCATCCTTTCCCCATCCCGAAGGCGTTGAAGAGGTCCGATCCCTGGTTTGCCTCGTTTTACACGAGCCGCAAGAACCGCAGCTCTCATGTCCGGGAGAAGTACCGGGATCGGCAGGAGCAGGGCTTCGAGAAGGCTCGGCGTACCGGTTGTTGCGATCTGGATCTTTGGCTGGATCCCATGTTCGCCCGCTTCCCCCAGCAGAGTGAGGACACCACGTGGTTCACTGGTGGAGAGGCCATTGCAGCGGGGCGTGCGGCACCCGCAGATCTGGTGGACGCTCTGGCCGACTGCGACCGCGCTGACCCATGGCGTAACCACTTCCGCACCTCTGCCGGCTCGCACCCTGCACTCCGCATTGACCGCCTTCGCCTAAAATTCTCTCGTGCCTAGTGGTGGTGCAGCGATTCCGCGGGACTTCTCCCTCTGGCGTCTAGTTCAAGCGTGTTTGGTAGCGGTGTAAGGTGGCTAGTCGTTTTGACTGCATGTCTTAATTCAACTTCAGTTTCATCACTCGCAGTCCTCCTCATCTTTTCGTCCACAATCCAGATCCATTTCATCAGTCGTCATTCCGTTCACTTGTTCATCACATATACATGTACCCCAAGTCTTCCACAGAAATGCAGCCTCCCTGCCCATCTTTCTCCGCTAGTTTTATCTCATGACGGCCTGCCCGTCTGAGAGCGCCCTTCCTCCTTGATGCTGCAGCCGTCCTGCAGATCCTTCACTTTGATCTTCACGTCGGTGCCCAGCCCACCTGCGTGGCTGCCTCCGTCACTCTTCCTCGTGTGACTACATGGCTTGGAATCGATTCCGTTTCGCATGGGCGGTCAGAAAGTCGTGGATCAGCGCGCCGCAGTTCAAGTCCGCCTCATCCACCCACGAGAGCTCTTCGTATCCTTTCCACCTGATCTGAAATTCGCGCAACGTACGTCCATAGCGCGTCTTTCGTCCAGTCCTCACGTCCAAGATCTGCTCCACTTCAAACTCGTCTTCTCCCAGCTCTCGATCCCAGCTGTCTTCTGGCAGCAGGGCTTCATCGAAGTCTACTCGATCGGCCTCGTCAACAGTTAACTGGATCCGCGGGCGTTCGGGAAACTCTCTCATCAGCTTCCGTTTGGCAATATGTACCACCGGAAAGAGGTGGTACTCAGTCCCTGCAGTTTCCAACCGCACCGTATACTCGTTCACCATCTCTAGCACTCGGAAAGGCCCGTGCCACATGTGCGCGAGCTTCTTGGCATAGCCCTCCTTCACTCCATCCAGATAGAGCGATACGCGTGATCCAGCTTTAATATGGTGGGGTGTAGCCTGCTCGTTTCGCGCTTCCGCCCTTTCAGCGATTGCCTTCTTCAACTTCTCGTTCACCTCTTGCCTGGCAAGTTGGTAGAACTTCTGGATCCTGTACCGCCAGCGGCGGGGATTCGAGTCTCGTCTCTTGGTGCTGCCTACGGGCAACGTTGCTTCCAAAGTAGTCGTAGGATCCCAACCATGCGCTAGATAAAAAGGCGTATCGCCCCTGATCCGGTCATGAGCCGTGTTCAGTGCGAACATTAGCCGTTCCGCGTACTCATCCCCGTCGCGCTGATCTTCATCTTGGACATACATCTTGATAGCCCTCGTGATAGTCTGCACCATTCGCTCCGCGGTTCCATTTGATTGTGGCCGGTAGGCCATAGTGGCCCGCTGGCGCTGACCTAAGATGCGGTTGAAGGCGCGAAAGAAATCCGACATAAACCCGGGCTCACGATCGTGACGGATCACCTCGCTCGCACCGAAGCGGCGGAAAACACACTCCTTGTAAGACTCAGCAATCGTCTGCGCAGTACGCGATCCACTGGCCTTCGCCACCACATAGCCTGTGAACAGATCCACCCAGATGAGTAGTTCGGTGTTGCCCTTCTTTGACTTCGGGAGCGACGGGGTATGATCCATCGCGATCACCTGGAACGGATACGTCGCTCGGATGTTCCCTGGGGACCTTCCTCGGATCGTCGGTCGCCCCTTGCCTGTCTCGCAGTCGACACATTCACCGACAAACTGCTGCACCGACCTAAACATCCCCCTCCAGAAGAAGTGAGGTTTGATCCGTTGATAGGTCCGACTGATCCCTTGGTGCTCCCCTTCCAGGCTCACATGGTAGTGGTGGAGTAGGTCAGGTTGTAGAGATTCCGGCACGACTAGTCGAAGCAGGCCGTCCCGGTCCGCCTCTGTTCTTGCCGACGGCGCGCAATAGTACAGCAGCCCTTGGGTATCCGTTTCGAAGTCTGCCGCTAACAGGCTGCAAGCCTTTGCCTCCGCCTGCGACATTGCCTGTACATTCCCTTGTAAGTATTGCTTCAGCTGCTGGATCCATGCCTCTTCTTCCTGGGCCTGGCGGATCCGTTCTACACGTAACTGTTGCACCACTTCCTCTTCCAACACCTTCGCCTTCGCATTCCTTCCGGCACTGGATCGAGTGTGCATAGCATCAACTTGGACCACGTCACCCGCTGTAGCCGGCATCAGCACTTCCTCCAGTCGGTTCAGCGTGATCAAGTCTTCCGCTTCCGCGTCTGTCTCCACAGTTCTCCCTTCTTCCCGTTGTAGAGCGGCGCCGGCCAAACTGTCCGCACTCGCGTTCCATGCTCTCTTCACGTGTAACAGGTCGTGGGTCGGCCACTTGCGCAGACATTCTAGTGCCTTCTGCCTCGAAAGCATGAGACTCGGCGCTTTGCAGTCAATCTCCCCACGCATCTGACGGATCACCAGGTTGGAGTCACCGCATACTATCAGACGTCGCAGCTCTAGCCCTTGTAGCAATTTGAAGCAGAGTAGCAGTCCATGATATTCCGCCTCATTCACGGTCATGTCGGCCGCATATCTCGATGCTGCGGCGACTACCGTCCACTCGGGCAACTTTCACACGATCGCACTGAAGGCTCCCCCACCCCTTTTCACTCTGGCGGATCCATCGAAACTTGCCACCCATAACTCTTCCTCAAGCTCCACTGTAGGGACTGGCATGGATATCACCTTCCGTGGTTCCTTCCTGGGGGCGATTGCTGCTAGTGCCTCATCCATCTTCTCTCTAGGGGTGATGCAAGCTGCTAGCGCCCCTAGGATCTCGTCCTCGCCCTTGGCGCATCGCTCAATTTCGATCATCCATGTCGACAACAACGTAGCCCATTGGCTCAGGCTGCCTTGCAGCCCCGTCGACCTGAACAACCAGGCCAGCGTGGAGTGGCGAGTTAACACCCGGATCCGTCTTCCCACCAGCATCGAATAGCCGAGATCCAACATCCTTAGGATCGTCAATACTTCCTTCTCCGCGATGCCATACTTCAGCTCGTTCTGCTTCAATGTCCGGCTGACGAACATCACCGGCATGTATACGCCGTCGTGTTCTTGCATAAGTGACGCGGCGATCGCCCACTCGCTTGCATAGACGATCACTACCGGCTCCCTTTCCGCATCGAAATGGCGCAGGATCGACGTGGCCGCTATCTTGCCCTTCAGTGCGGCGAAGGCTGTCTCGGCTCTGCTTCACTTCGTACTACGATCCTCCTTCTTAACATCGTCGTTGTTGGGTTGCTCCTCCGTTGACCGCTGCCTCAGCTCTGCGAAGTCGACCTCTCGTAGCTCGTACAGTATCGCCGCATATACAGCCAGGTTCTCGATGAAGCGGCCGTAGTAATTCAAGCTTCCAAGGAACGACTGCGTTGCTCGGAGGGACTTCGGGAACGGCAGATCGGTTAGAGCTTGCAGATCCTTCGGTTGTGCCTCCAGGCCCCCAGCGGACACTCGGTGACCGAGGTAATCCACCTTCTTGAGGCCCCAAAAACTCTTGGCTACACTGATCGGTAGGTTCCACTCGTTGCACGCTTCCAGCCGTTTCCGCACTCGTTCACACAGGTGATCCCACGACGTAGCTGTCACCAAGATGTCATCAATGTACCAGCGCAGACGGCTCTCCCCCATCATTAGGCTCGCCCTCTCTGAAGAGATCGACGAGATCTTCTCCTTTCGAAGCTGGCGGGATCCGGAGGAAACCATACAATGCGTTGTCGATCAATCTTTGGTAGATCTGGGGCGCGTTCTTCAATCCGAATGGCATCCTGTTCCACTCGTAAAGGCCAGACGGGGTGATGAAGGCTGAAATTGCCCGCGCACGCTCAGTCATCGACACCACCCAAAACCCGCTCGCCATATCTAACGAGCAGTACCACAGCGTCGCGTCGAGATCCTCCAACAGGTCGTCGATCAGAGGCATGGGGTAGATCATCAACCTCGTTAGGATGTTCACCAACCGATAGTCGATGCAGAGGCGAATATCTACTCCGTTCTTCTTGATGATGACCACAATAGGGGATGCCCATGGAGACGTAAAGGGGCTGAGAATCTTGGCCGAGAGCAGCCCCTTGAGCAGATCCGCGAGCTTTTCCCGATATTGCGGGGCGACCTTGCGCACACGCTGTGTGACCGGCTTCGCATCTCCAACGTCGATATCGCAGACTGCGCCGACGGCGGCCGGAGGTAGAGCGTTCCCTTTGTCGATGAGGAGATGCTTGTACGCCCAGATCTCATCGATGAGGTTTTGGATCTCTTCTGGGGAGTTCGCTTCAGCGTCGCCTACATGCAGATCTTCCACCTTGACCTCTGCCGTAGTGACCGTCACTTCGGGCAGCACCGCCAGCTTTCCCTCGTAGTCCTCTGCGTACAAAGCACTCGCCCTGCGCTCGTACGTCTCCTCTGGGGAGTCTGACTTTCAATCTCCGCATCCGCTGGCTCCGTCTTCGAGTTGTCGCTTGATCCTTGGGTCGTTCCCTGCTGCTCCGCCGGCGCCTCGGCGGGGGCATCTTCTTCGGCATGAGCCTCCGGGTCTTCCGCCGCGTCGCCATGTGTACCTGCGCCTTTTTGTCTATTGGCTCTGGCTGATGGCAAGACGGTAGTAGGGATCCGCCGACTTGGATAGAGGCTGGTTGTTCTTCTGCACATCTCGCGGCCATGGGGATGAGCTCCGCATCTTCAAGGTGAGTCGCGGTCGACCCATCCTCCCGATCCACGTCCGCGGGCGCGGTCCCTGATTTCTTCGGCGACGCCTCTTGTCTCTGCTCAGCTGACCTTAGGATCTCCTGGCCTTGGGGGCCTAGCGTATCCTGTGTCCCGGCTACCTCAGGGGCCTTTTCTTCCTACCTGTTTCCCGTTTCGGTTATCCTTGTCTCCGCTTCCGCCCCTAGCGCCTGATCCGAGTCGGCTGGGCTCTGTTCCAACTGCGGCGCAGACACACGCGTGGCGATCAGTCGGCCACCAGCAATCTTTTCCGGCCGACTCATTATCGCTTTGGGCGTCAGGTACACAGACTTAGGGACCGCCGTCTCTGGTGATTCTGGGGCTGGATCGGGCCGCCTGTCAGTCGTGGCGCTATACGCCAGGTTCTGCCACTCGGTATACCTTCTCGACCCGACGGACACGAAACCCGGTTTGCGAGGATCGTGATCCCCAGTTAACCACATGCCCACCTGATCGTGGTGTTGTAGGCAGACCGGCGTTTCTCCAATGTTGGTGATCTGCAAGTATCGCGTCTTCCCCAGTCCAGCGGCCAACGTACGTACCCACTACTTGCCTCTTGTGAGCCATAGTTGTTCGGAGTCAGCGAGTTGTATGCGTTGCGGTAGCTCGACCGTCTCGCCCGCTGCTAACGACACCCATTGACCAATCGTCATCGCCCGCGCCCGGTCACTGAAGATCTGTCGCCGTCCATGTAGCTGGATCCGGATCTCGTCCGGTAGGCACATCGATCCGTCTCCGAGATCTAGGCGGATCCCGGCTGGTACCATGAAATCCATGCCCTGGATTGCTTGATAGTCTGGTGGCAGATCGTCGCCCACCCACACGTCGTAATAGTACACCAGGTTTCCGACTAACGTGAGCTTAATCCTTGTTCTCCCAGTCGCCACGTACAGCTTCTCTCCTATGCCGAGACACTCTTGACGCTGACTTGTATGTACATAACATCCTACCTCACGAGCAAAGGTGGTGTCGATAATCGACACCTCGGATCCAGAGTCAAGCATGACTACGGCCTTGGTATTGTTGATCCTGCTGCTGACCTTGGCTTGCTTGAAGTGTTTTCCGGGTACGTAATACTTCCAGTACCCTCTCGACTCTCCAGGCATCAGATCCAGGGTCATAGGCACTTCCGACCTCATTTATTCATCGGGTGCACGCAGACTCGCAACAGAGGCAACACGCTTTCTTTCATGATCACGTATATTATCAGAGGGCCCCGATCTTGCGACCGTTCCTGGGTGTCTCGGTTGCTTGTCCACAAATGCATAGATGCAGAACGTAGAACGCTCGTCTCGTACCGGAGTCAAACCCGGCGAGCGCTCTAGTTTAACACCTTTTCCGCCGCTTCAGGCAGAAGTCCCGGGTGTTTGCTGGGATCGAACCACTGCCGGATCAAGTTGTAGAATTCTTCCATCTGACACTTGCCGTGATCATGGAGCTCGCCGCACCCGCGACACACGAAGAAGTATCAGTCGGACGGATGCCCCTTCTTGCCGCACTTCTGGCATGTGAGACGTTTCCAGCAGCCCAGGTCTGAATGCATTCTCGATCCGCAATGCGAGCAGCGTTGCCCGTCATTCGGAAAACGAGGCCGGCGATCTTGTGCGCCGGGGTCTATGGGCGGTGAGGCGGAAACAGGCGACGTCGCGCTTTCGCCAGTCATAGTCGTGATCTCCGCCGATTACGATCCTCTTGTCGCGGCCACGTATGCTCGGTGTAGCTCTCCCTCCGATCCTGACTCGTCTGTGTCAGACTCACTGTCCGACACTGGTAGATGCATTGTTCGTACCGCTCGCGCGGGTGCCGACGGCTGCGGCATCGCTGCTGGCTTCGGTCGGAACTTGCTGCCTCCTGCCGGCTTCTTGTGTCTAGACTTCGATCGCTCTCGCGGTCGTAGCACTACCTCCAGCTCTTCTGCGTCCCTCAACCGTAACAGGGTCAGCTGGTCTGCAAACTCAGAGTCTCCTAAGATTTCGATGAAGTGCTCCACGTGCTCGCGACGAGCCTTGGAATCCCCGTCGTTGATCCTAACGCGGGCGCGCATGCCCGCTACATTCAACCGATGTAGATACTCCAGCGGAGGTTCGTCCCCGCGCTTACGCGCGTGGTAGTACTGCCACGCTACTGACACCCCCAATCGACAATACTGTGACTGAAATTCCTTCGCCAAGTCTGCCCATTTCGTTCGCGTCGACCGGCTCAGTTGTCGATACCAGTTTCTGGCCGGGCCTGTGAGGAGATCCGCGAAGGTGAGGCACTTCTCCTCATCCGACGCTTGGTCCCTCGTGAAGGCTGACTTGACTTTGTTGATCCAGGCTCGTGCGCGTTCTTCGTCGTGGTCCTTCCCAGTGAAATCCTTCAGGTCTGAGATAGCCGAGATCCTAACCCGCTGGATCGTGGCTGTTCCGGCTAGCGGTGTCGTTGATGCAGCTGTAGAGGCTGCAGCTAGCCTCCGGGTGCCCACTGCTCCCACGTCGTCCGGGTCATACTCCCAGTTCTCGGGATGATCGTGAGATCCTACCGACTCCATGTCCACGTCCTGTGTTCGTAGGTAAGCTGGGATCTGCCTCCTTCGCTTCGCCGTGGTTGGGTCCGTTTTTGGGACTGAAGTGAGACTCCGTTCTTGTAGGAATTGATCCATCGCTGACTGGAAGAATCTTGCCAACGCACTCGACGACTGCGCGGGGGGGGGCTACCTCGGGCGACCTAGCTGTCGGGCTTGTCGGGGCCCGAGCCGGCCATGTAGTTTTCGCCTGTGGTGCTGCAGCTGCTGACCGGTTCCGTAGCAGCTCGGTGCCTGCTGGGCCCAGCGGCATGCGCTTCGGTTCGGTCGAGCTGTCCGATCCTACTTCCGACGTGGCCGACTCGTAGGTGGAAGATCCCGTATGGTACTCTGGCGTTGGTGGTTGGCCCCCTTCGCGTAATTAGGCTGGATCGGTTCTAATGCCTCCTTCTCGCCTACGATCGGTTTCAGCTTGTTGAACAGCGCGGCCGCCGCGAGTCGGATGGTATCCAGCTCTAAACCGAAGAGGTCTTTCGCCTCAAAGACACCGACGGCGAGACCCGCCTCCTGCGCCAGGCGCAGCAGGCCTGTGGCAGCCTCCAGCTTGTTCATCGTTAGGGACGGGGCCTGTATCGGTCCAGTGAGTCCTTCCGGTACCTGTAGCTGCAAGATCTGCATCACGGGGTGGTCGCGTAGGAAGTCTTGCAGCACGATCCGCCGGTAGGCCACTTCCAGCTTGGATTGCGTCCATGTCGCCTTGGTCATGCTACGATCTTCCGGCTCCGCATCCGGAGCTCTTAGTTTCTTTCGCGCTGCTCGTGTCTTCTTCTTAGACATGGCTCCCTTGGTCTGCGCGGGGTTTTTGGCCGAGGATCCAACAGCTTTCGCTGCTGGGTGCTCGTCCGGCGGGTCGTGCTTCGCAGCGCGACCCGCGGGGGTCCTCGGGAGGACCTGTGGAGGGGGTAGAGGCTTCTCCTCGAGATCAGGGTCATCCCGATCCGCCTCCGATCCGCCGGTAGAGATCCTCCTGGCACTTTGTTGGTTCGAGGATCCATTCTTCAGCGACGCCGCCGGTGATCCTAGCTCCGTCGGCGCTTCATTTCCTGATTCGTTGCTCACATGCGCATCATCTTGGGACTCACGGTGAAATCCCGCGTCGCCAAGAGATCCGGGCACGCGCACCATTGTGGTGGAGTGGATCCGGTGGAATTGGCAGGGATCCCACACTCACACACTGCGCCCAGACACCGACTAACGGAGGGGGTACTCCGATAACCGTAGGTTGCTGAGTGGCTCACCTTGTGTACCCGTCGGCGGGTTGGTTCTGCTCTCTCGTTGACACAAGATGCGCAGCGGGTGAACTTGAATGTCCCTGGCGGGGACTTGGGGAGATGTTGGGGTAGATCCGCAGTGGGGGTTCCTTCGCGCGGGTCTGGGTAGGTTGATCCTTGGTCTTGGCCGTAGATCTTGTGGATCCGATAAGAAATATACCGGATCCGGAGTTGCTGCCTTGTTGGGGGTGTTGTATCCTTTTCCTTTACGTCGCTTGCCGCCTACTATTAGCGGGGGAGCTGGAGGGGCGAGGGCCGAAGGGCGCGAGCTGCTGACTAAGCTATCCAGCAGTCTGCCACGTGTGCGGTGGGCAAGCTATCCAGCAGTCTGCCACGTGTGCGGTGGGCAAATCACTTAATTAAAGTATGGACCAATACTAATCCCAATACTAAGGGCCAAGTGTGTGGTTCCCAAGCAAATTCGACTCTGATTTATGTTAGCCAATACCCAGCCTTCCCATCCGACTTGGATCCTATCCATGACTGGCTCTCTCTCCTGCCTAATTATCCCAACATAACCACTGTATCAATAAGCTGGTACGGATCCGCACCTAATCTAGGGGATCCTAATATAGATGACCGGATCCGTATGCACCACACCACTCGCACCTGATCCAACTTCAACTGTCCTGATCCCGCAACCGTGCCTCCATCCCGCAACCATGGCGTCATCAGAGGGACTGTGCATCGTCACCAACTGCCGGATCCCACTACCCAGTGAACTGGCGGATCCAGTCCCATCAAGACCGTTCTTGAGCGGATCTTCTCACCACAAATGCACATGCTGTGAAGCTACCATGAGGTGTCGATACGCACCCTTCACGTCACCTTTCAGTATTCGTATCACACACTGAGGGTATCGCGTGATGCGATCTAACAATTCGATCAGCTATGGCCCCGATGTAGTGGTATCGAATCTCTGGAGCGGAATTTTTGTCGAAACTTGCATTCGTCGAGATATTTTCAGGAAAACTGAGGTCGTGTATGAGACGCACTTCAATGGCCGGATCGATGTCTTTTTTCTCGACTGCACCAAGGGGGCTGCACACCACATTTGACCACTGCTCTAATAATGCGTCATCGACGATCATATAGCGTCCGTTGTTTTGACCGTCTCGAATACTGCGAATGACTGCCAAGAGATGCTTTTGACAAGGCTTGTGGTTCTTAACGGGTCGAGCGGGTGGTGGAGGGCGTAGCCACTTAGGCTCGATGCCGCGCTCCATTATTGCTAGCACCACATCCCGATGCTTATAGCCGTCTAGTAGCGACGCATTAGCTTGCGGACGCATGGCTTTGTTTGGTCGTGGGTCTGTAGGGCGTTCACAACGTACAAGGCTCGCAGCTGACGCCACGTCAAGTCGTTGTGCTTGACAAATCGCAGTCAGCGTGCGTTGTGCCAAGGTATCCAAGCCGGTGGGAGAACGATCTCGACGAAAACCTTGACGGTGTAAATGGGTACTTATCACGACTTCTTCATGGAGCAGATCAGATTCAAGGCACTGCGAATAAATTCTTCGCTGAATTTGGATAGTTTGAACTGCCAATAGTCTGCTGCATGATGGTGTGTTGTAGAAGGCGACGTGAAAGGTTGACCTGCCACGGCGTTGACCGGTGGAGGGACCAGCGTGTTGAGATCCGATCTTGGAGGTTCGGAGAGCAGCTGGCTCTTGGAAAAACCTGCCATATTTGACGGAGGAACCAGCGGGTATGTCTGGGGATGCGAAGGCTGACCCAGTAGCTGGCTCTTCATGTATACTTTGACGGAGCTCGACGCCAGTTGTATAGCTTCATTTTGCGTCTGCGTAGGCACGGTGTATCGCAGCTGTCTGCCCGACGACCCTGCCCAATGATCGCCCGGGCCTCTTCAGAGCGACGAGTACTTGGCCTTGAGCCCGCCAAATCGTTTCTTGTTCAGAGCCTTAAGTCGAGGGTGCAGCGACTCAGGATCGAAGTGGGCTCTTCCCGAAAAACATGGGACGGTTGGCGTTGAGCGGCAGCCTTTCACCGACAGGTATTGTCAATTCCGTTGAAAATTTCCAAATCGGGCCGATTTCGAAAATCGACCAATACAAATTCAAGTTCAGATCGAAACCGCTCCAAACAAGAATGCCATATGTAAATCGTACTTAATTGAGTTCCAATAGACAATCCAAGCGGCCGGGGCGATTGGGGAGCGATTTGGCTCGGGCAATTGCAATCGGCCGGTTCGGAAATTTTGAGTAGAACCCACAATATCGAAGGCATAGTTGTGTGCCTTCTTGTTGCGGAATTTGCTTCTCCAGATCGTTCGTCAATGGGGCGACCTGCTTGGCTGCAGAATCATTGTTGAGCTGTTCTTGACCGCGCTTTGGAGCCCGACTCGACTGCGTGATTAGCTGTCGGGAAGACACTGTTTGTAGGATATGTCCAAGGCTGCTGTTCTCCACCAAAAACGTTTTCTTGAATTCACCAGGTACCTACGTTGCTTGGCTTATTTGCGTTCGATACTCCTCCAGCGTGACGTTGATCCAATAGAGGAGAAGCGGTAGGTCGTCGGCCTCCCACACGTGCGACCGCGCGAGACCTGTAACTAGCGCAACTAGCGCCGTGATAGAAGCCTTCAGGTCGGCAGAGAAGTAGTCGCTAGCAAAAAGCTCCAGTGTTTGACACGCAGCCACCACTTCATGAACATCCTTTGGTTCCGGGGCTTTGGGAATCGCCGTCAAATAACTCAGATTCTGAAAGTTAGATCATCCATTCATGTACCATGCCACTTTATCATCAAATGCGAGAGGCTGGAAGTGCATCACCGACAGTCCTCGCTTGCCGAACTGAATATCACGGACTCGCGTAGACACCCCGGGCAAGGGTTTAAACAAGCAATACTCCGAAGCAATCATTCCATCCACATATTCTTCTAATGTCGTACCTTGATGGTGCGGTGCAGCGACCGCTTCATGAACCTGGATCTGTGATAAAGTAGGAACACTTGCGTTGCTGACATTGAAATGCAGCGCTGCTTCACCTTGTTCTGAGTTCAATCGCATGCCACTTGATCCTAGGGTTGTCGTAGAAGTAGTTGGTGCCTGCGTGGATGTTCTTCCTACAACTGAGGAGTCGGGTAGATAGTTCTCCGCGAAGATACGCTGCAGGCGGGGCTGGGACGCGAGGGCAGCTAGAATCTCTCCACTGTGTTGCTGCTGTGCGACAGACAGTGTCGTTCCAGCTCGTTTGCTTGGAGGAGGCACAAACTGCTGCACCTCGTGATTGGGTCCATCCGTCGAAGTGCCGACTTTAATTTCTTCAAGAACGTCGTCATCATCGTCTTGTGTGTCGAACATGGCACTTGCTTCCGTACGGGTGGAGACTCTACTGGGGTTAAGGAGGGAGATCCTGCGTGCCGTCCTTGTAGTTTCGGCCACCTGACGCTGGTTGGATGCTGTCGGAGGTGTGCAGAATGAGGTCCCTACCGAATCTGGAGTTGGCTCCATTCCGGCATCATTGTAGAAAGCATAATCGACGGCATGTTGAACAGGAAAAGCAACTTCCTGTCCAGACAGTGGGTTGATCCACGTCACAATCTCATCTGCCGAGGGTCTCATGGCATCGTCGATGATACCGTGCATTATTTGCTGGACGTCGTTGGAAGCGGTGGCGCCGTTGGTGCGCAGTATGCGATCTAATAGCTTCTGATGGAGGTCAGCGATTTCGGGTAGGCCCCAAATTTCTGCGGCAAACGACAGGTTTCGAAGCAGAATAGTGACGACGGGGGCCGATCTGACGACACTGGATTGGGGTACACGATGAATTCCCCCAACCGTGTTTACCACAGCTCCATCGCCGTCGCACGCAGCCACTTGACCATGGATGAAGTGGACATCGTTGATAATCACCACAGGAGAGTGGATGAGTGGAGAAGGGTTCGTCTCGACTTCGTCTTCTGAAACTGCCCAAGCCAGCGCCTGCTCGATGGTGATTTTCCACTTGCGCCCGCGCTCACTTCCAACGGCACACAGCGTGACGCCAGACCGCATTCGACGAGTGACCTTGGCGTAATGCGGTTCTTGAATGCCTTGATCGAGGAGTTCAGGGAGCAGCAGCACGTACTTCACGGACTGAAGCGTCGGCGGAGGGGCAATCGGAGTGGCTGGAATGTTAAACTTAGAAGTTTGAACTGGTCGGCTTGAGCGCAAATTCGCGAATGGCCGCCCCCACCGGTCGTATCTATCTAGTGCCTACTCTAGCTTGGTCACTTGAAACTCCTCGGGTATTTGAAGGTGCTCAGTCGCACGTAGTCAGTAGCACCATTCCAGAAAACATCTCTTCCGCACACCAGCGGAAAACACACCATGACCAGTCAGCACAGCATTCCTGAGTGCCGAGTTGATACTCTTTGCATTCATGTTTTCCTTGAACATTTTGACCAAACCAACGAAGCAGCTCTCGCGAAAATCTGGGCGTACATGTTTGGTCCACACCTGTTCAACATCGCTTCTAACACGCCGCCCCTAATATCAAACGGGAGATTTAGCAACGATCGAGCGTTCGATGCTTGGTCAAGGCACTCCATCAGAGCCTCGAGTATTTCAAACTGCCCACCTCTCGCTGCTTGATCCGGGGCTTCGATTGTATCAAAACGACACGTATGTTTGGCGCAAAGTTTTACAAAATCAACATGGTTGATGTTCACTGCAGTTCTCAGCGCACGGCCTGCATCAGTTTCATTGCCTCTATCAAGAAGCAGCTTTACGATTTCAAAATCACCACGAGAGACAGCCTTTTCAGCGGCCAAGCCTACGAGATAACCATGTTCTGAATTGTCGGTGCCTTTCGCAGTGCTCGCATCAAGAAGCAGCTTCACCATGTTCGAGGTCCCATTTGTTTCTACTGCGCCCGGCAACGCGGCTTGAATCGAAGATGACGAGCAGCACTTGACAAGCAGACCAGCCATCCTGATATCGCCTCTAGTTACGGCCGCTACTAATGTGCTGCGTAGCACCATCTCGCGGGGCAGTGCCCTGAATTCTGATGAGGATTGGCCTGCATCTGGGCGAGTCCACAGCTCGAGCTCGAGCAATATCTCAACCGCGTCATAGTGGCTATTATTGGCGCCTGCCTCCAGGGCGCACACAATTCTGGATCCATTCAACTCAGACGTCGACAGTATTAGCTGGACTGCATTGCTTTGACCAACTCGCGCTGCCGCACGTAGGGCCCAGCCAATCTCAACTTTGTCACATCTCGGTATCAGGAACTAGATGGCAGCACAATTCCCACGCTCTGCAGCCTCCTCCAACGCTGCCGAGACACCAAAATAGTGCATATTGTTCACCCTTTGGTGATCAAAGAACATTTCCAATACGTGAATTTGTCCATGAGCCGCAGCAGCAGTGAAAGCTCCGGTCAGACGGATCGGCCACGGCTTGAGAGCAATCAGCACCTCCACGGATCCATTAGTCGCTGCATCCTCCATCGCCGGAGCTACGAAATCGCGCGGCGTAAATACACCCCTACGCTGTTGGCTTGTCCACTTAACCACGTCAACGTGCCCATGTTCGGCTGCTGCAACTAATCAACGCGATCTGTTGTAGCGACCTGGGTAGCGGTGTATTAGCCACCGGAGCACCGCTAAGTGGCTGTTGGCTGCAGCCCTGGCGAAAGCCTCAGCTGAGCAGCCCTCCAATCTGGTAGCAAAACGCCTGTGGACGATGTCAAGCCGTCCTCTTGCAGCGGCACCGTCCATCGCGTGGAATGTCAACAGGAGAATCGCTCCAAACGTGTGCAGCACGCCCTGCAGGTCGTTGTAGACGGCTGCGTCGACGGTTTGCGGGAGGAGACACGCATTGATGGAGGGGAAAAGCTAGGGAGCACCGAAAGCGGAGCACCAGGGCAGAGAAAGCCCAGGCATACGATGGCAGTAACACCACATGAATGATTTAACTTCAACACAAGATCGAGATGAAGATACATATATTTTAGAATGCAAATCAAAGTGCACTTCAAATGTCGAAGCACTTATTCGCCTAGTGCTCGTAGTCCGGCATAACCCCACGTACGGGGTGGGCAGAATACCTGCTGGAACTCGGTGTCATCACAGTCGAGAAGGGCTTGGAAGGACGGAAGTTGCGCTGGGGTGCTTGTTGCGGCTGCCAGGTTTTGCTCAATGATTTCAAAGCTGGAAGGCTCGCGGCGTGTACTGGGCATGCCGTATCCGACTCAGTGGGGGGTTATGTTGGGTGTGTTGTCGTCCACTGCGGAGGGAGACAGGCTCTATGATGCGTGGAGGCGCACCCTTGAGAACCGACGGCAGCCACTAGTGACGGTCAAAGTGCTGTGGCTCCAGCTTTAGCAGACCCTCAGAGTCGATGATAAGCATGGGCTCATGCAGGCATGGACGGCCGTGGATTCTTCGAAATGTCCCCGCGCACGTACTTCTTTCTAGCCCATGAACAACAATTTTATGAACCTTCGCCCATAAGGCGTTCGTCTCCGTGATTGCCCAGACACTGATTATTTTGACGATTGTAGAATATCGTTCAACCCCCCGTAATACAATTGGAATCCGTCCGGCGTCATTCGCCGCCTGAAGACTGTTTCTTGATGCCGCTGTAAGCCACCATGGAATCAGGTCCTGAAAAACCTTCAGCAAGTCCCCTCGAGAATTCTCGAGCCACCCCTTCATTGTTGCGTGCGTTCCTTCAACAGTGGAGGTATGTCGGCAGCCGAAGTGGCTGAATTTATCCGTCCAGCATCTCACGAACTTCTTCTTGTGGGGCCACCACTGCGTATCGAGGTATCTCCCCCATTTCAGCGCTCAGCTTACGCAAACCCGCGGCTCGTCCGTCGCTTTCGATCGGCAGGGTCAATCTTTCTTGTGTTCTTGTGTTTTCCGGATTGATCACACTCGAACAGTCGATAGCGAACTTCTCCGTTGGCGTTCTTCTCTTGCTATACTCGAGAGACATTGTACCCGTGAGCGCGGGTCCACGCATGAATAGCAGCCTCTACGTCTCTTTCAGACGGATATTCGAGCGGGGGTGGAGGACCGAGGATAAACGTTCGTGGTGCGTCTGTAGTCATGGCTTCTAGCAGTGGTGGAGGGTAGGTTCGCGGCACGCCTGTAGCCATGGCTTCTAGTGGTAGTGGTAGCGACAAGATGAAGTGGTTTATGTTGTGGCGAGGTGTGCGTGGATGCATTCTAAGTCCAAGGCGTTGGTTGCCTCCAAATCTAAAATGATCGATATCTATATCCGCTAAGAATCCCATAGATCTGGGCGGAGGAGTGCGCATCCGTAAATACCTCGCACTGAGCATTGAAGTCTTAGGTTAGTCAAGTTGAAGTTGAATCATTCATGTGGTGTTACTGCCATCGTATGCCTGGGCTTTCTCTGCTCCGGTGCTCCGCTTTCGGTGCTCCCTAGCTTTTCCCATTGATGGAGTCGAGGATGTGGGGGATGGCTTGAACGTTCTGCGGCACAGCATGTAAGACACTACTTAGTGGTGGAGGCGTTGTTCGCGAAGAGGGGGCCGTGTTGCCGTTGCCAAAAGAAAAGTGAAGTAAGGCGTTTTGGCCGAGTTGAGTGATGGACGGGAGTATAGTTGAGGTTGATGGAAGCGAACGCAATCTACGAACGACCAACGTGTTGAATTCAAAGGGGGTAAAAAAAAAATTCAACGCACGAATTAAAGACGCCCTACTCGCTACAGACCGCACAGTTAGTTGACTGCAGACCGCTTCTTCATCCCAGCCGAGGCTTTTTGGAAGTCAGTAGTTGCACAATTTCAGCGCTTCCTCGCGTTTCTGCGGTCACCAACGCACTGTGAATGCATGCTGTGCCACATCTCCCACGGAGCAGCCGGACGGCTGCCTTTATTTTGATTCTTATGCAGATCAGGTCTAGGATTTGAACATGCTGATTATGAGACCGAATCGGTAGACCTGAACCAAACAGCCACAGTAGTGGAACATGGTACTACTTGTCACCATTTGTACGAGCTCCGTTCGGCTTTCCTGCTCTAGCAAGCATCCATAATGCTACTTGTACATGAAGGCTGAGCATTTGGACCCACTGCTTTAAATGAGAAGGCATTGTGCAATAAGCGGAGCCTATCATTGCATTAGTCGCTTCACATTGTACCGTGGTGAGATGGTGGCTACCTAAGCCACGACGGAAGGCGTTTGCTCAGTCCAATTAATAAAGACGATGGACTTACACGTTTTCTAAAGAGTGCAGTACTACTCATTTTTAGCAAACCAATGCAGCAGCTCAACGCTGGCTCACCTCGGTCGATCATCATTGCTGGCATCTAACTAAGTACTTGCAAATATGTTATTCGCATTAGTTTTCCATTGAGTTTGTTGCCGATAGTTTGCGGCTGCAAGAAGCGAATACGTATCCTTTGACCATACTGGACGTGTGCTTCAGCATGCTGGGGCATGTGCTTCGTACTGATAGAAAACGATATACTACTTCCTAGAGCAAGAAGTAGTCCTTAACCCCTTCAAACAGGTAGCTGTAGAAACTGCGTTTAAAAGTCTAAAATATAACCGAAGTAGTTGATCATTTGTTTTCCGTTCTATTCCGTCCGACTCAACTGAAGCGCTTCAATCGCCAGAACTGATTGCTTGCGCATCTCGATCGGTATGGTTTCCAATTCAGCCTGTTGCCGCAAAAATAAACGTGAGCTTGACTTGCTTCGGCGCTCAGGAAATTCCAGCGCCGTCCCTATTACACTCGCTCCGAGATGTCTACACTACCGACGCATCCGCCCACACCACCGGTGCTCACACCCATGCCGCCAAACACGTCACTGTTGGTCACATTGCTGATGCTGCAGCCATGAGGACGTGGCTGCTCACCGCGCGGTGTCAACTGCCTTGAAGTTTTCATCTGTAGACGGCCCGCTCGCCTGTATGCCAACCCTTGACACGTTGCCAGCGCTGTGCTGCGCGAAACACAACACCAGCACTGTTCCGCTGGCCACATCCGTCCCGCTGCCGTGTTGAACGGCCATACCATAATCTGCAGCCGCTTCTCGTGCCTCGCTTCTCTTCGACACACCGGAGATCTGGACCTTGCCTACAACATGTACACCGCATCGACATCGTCGTCGCTCGTCGCCTATTATCGTGCAGGCCTTGTGTCTGGCCCAGCACGCCGTCGCTGTCGGTATCCTTGTCCACCAGAAGCACCACGCCGCGCCGCGCACGTAGATCTTCTTGCTCCACAAGGGCATGATCATGTCGAAGCATCCGAGCCACCTCAGGGTTGGCCCCCTCGTGCGCGTTGGATAGGAGACGTAGCACAGCCTTCACGCTGAAGTAGACGCTCGGGGTCCCTAACGTGCTCAGCGCAGCAGTGACGCGAGGAGGCTCAGTCCATGGCGGTGCTAGTTTGGCTTGCGCTTGAAGGCTCGGAATCACGGAGCCGTAGGGTGCTGGACATTCCTCCACTGAAGCTAGCGTAGCAGAGTGAGGCAGGACTTGAGGGCCTCAGTTCACAAACAAATGTGATCCAATCACTGGATCAAAGAAAAAGTACGGTATGATCAAATCCAAGACCTGTTCAGCATAAGACCCATTTAAAATTCTTCCCAGCCGGACGACGTCCACCTGACCATTTCTCGCCGCTGTTTCCATCATTATGACCATTCGACGCAGCGTTCATAAAGGCCCATCGGATGCGTTCCATGTCCATTTCTTATTCAACCAAAGCGGAGAATCCACGGGTGGCAGCATCCAAAAACATTCGTTTGTAGAAGCTGGAGTCACGAGACGGCGACGTTCACATCGCGCGGGAGTCTGGCCAGCGCTTCCGCGATCGATATCTCATCAAACCACCCCGCTAGAGCCTCGATCAGCTCAATCTGCTCTTCTGCTGCTGCTTTAACCAGCGCATTCCACTTGGAGCGGATTTCACTTCTCCCCGCGAATATTTGGACCAAATCGATGCGGTTGTTCTCCGCGGCAGCCAACAGGGCCCTGCCCACGGCACTACTCAGTAGTATCGGACTTGAACTTTTCGCGACACAAAGATCAAGAAGCAGCTGCACCATCTCACGACTTGCGGTAGAGTTTGCGGCTTGCTCCAGGCCACACTCGAACACACACGACGAACAGTGCTCGGCAAGCAGCTCAATCATCCTGACATCGCCCTTAATCGCTGCATTTGCGTTGAACCGTAAAGAAATAGATCGAGCCTTTGGCGCTCCATTTCGTTTAGGCCTTCGCGGCACCATTCGAGCAAGACTTCAACCACATCATAGCGGCTATTGTCAGCACCATCTTTCACCGCTTGGGCTATCATTTAGGCGTCAACAGCAAACCTCGACAACATGAGCTGGACCACAGCCATCCTGGCCACATCTCGGTAACAAGTACCCGATCATGGTAGTATCACCGCGCTCTGCGGCCTCCTTCAAAGCCGTCGTGGCCCGAAAATTGCATCCATCGTTCGCATCACAGTATTCGCTAAACATCTCCAACACATGAACAATTCCACGAGCCGCCGCCGCAGTGAACGCCCTGGTAATATCGGCTGGCCACGGTTTCAGAGCGTCCAACACGTCCAAGTGTCCTCTAGCAGCAGCTACATCCATAGCTGTGATAAGACCTCTGAAGTTAACTGCATGTAGTCGCTGCTGCTGCCTTATCCCCCTCACTAGCTAGGCATTCCATGGGGTCGTAGAGCTCTGGGTAGTGCTCCCTCAGCCACTAGAGCACCTCCATGTGCGGCTCCAGTGAAAGCTTCGGTCGAACATCCCTCCAATCTGGTAGGAAACAGCGCCTGGACGATGTCAAGACGTCCTCTGGCAGCAGCACCATCCATCGCACGCACGGTCCACGGGAGGAAATCTCCAAAGGTGTGCAGCACCCGCTGCAGGTCGTTGAACACCGCAGTGTCGACGGTTTGCGGGAGGAGGCGCATGTTGATGGACTGGGGGATGTGCGGAAGCGTGCGAGATGATCAGCAGTGGTGGCGGCGGTGGTGGAGAATCAATGCTGCCGTTGGTGAGAATTGAAGAATGAGGTTGGCGAAGAGATACGCTCGTACAAAAGTAAGTGCGAACATATCTGGTTGAAGCTGCAAAGCTGCTCAACCATGCGCAACGTAAGCTGGACAAAAAAGTTGTAAAAATTGACGAGTTAATTCGTAATTACTCAGCAGGATTCCTTAGTTCTCCGCCTCTGCTGCTGGTACAGCATGTGTTGGAAAAGGTTGGGCGCCGCGGGGATTGAACTCACAACATACCTGTTGACCATAGCTCGTTAGACCGTTACACCATATAGGCGCCCCGGTCGTCGTCTCTTCGGGCTGGGACTTCACACTGTCTGATTGCATATTCCAACAGCACGCGCTACCACCGCACATCCAAGCCATCCCCCACTTAACGCAGCTCGTCAACGACTTTATTCTGCCGTCGACCATCGACGCTGCCGTGTACTACGACCTGCGGCGCGTGCTCATGGCGTTCGAGGGATTCCGCAGCTATACAGTTGGCGCCATGGACGGAGCTGCGGCTAACGGACGTCTCGACATTCTCCAAAGACTGCACTATGGTCGAGACGAGGGCTGCTCGTCCGCTGCATTCATCGGGGCGGCGTCCAACGGCTTCGGAGCCTTGATGCAGGACTCGTCGGTGTTTTGCTGCGCATCTTCTTCGCTGCTGACGTGCGCCCGGGTACGTTTCTGTTTCGCTTGCGCTTCGAGGTAGGTACACGCGCAGGGGTGTTGGTTTCTTCTTCTGGGAAGCGCTGTAGCCGGACAACAGCGACGGCTTCCTCTGCGGTTAGATCTTGGTCGCGGCCTTGCATGATCTTGACCACGCCGATCTCGAACGCAGGAGACTCCACGATGTCGGCGTCGGCTTTGAGGCGGTCTGCCATCTCGGGGAAGTCGACCAACGTCTCGTCCAGAATGTCTCACACTGCAACGAGCGTCAGGTTACGTGCCTGCAATCGTTTCGTAGCCAACTCCAACAAATTCATGTCGTCTAGGCGATCCAAAATGGTGCAGTGGTCTTCTGGGCTGGGCAGGTACTGTACAATGGGGAATCGTCGCGTGTCGTCTTCGGGGGTATCTTCGGGGATGCACCTATCAACTTCGCAGTCTCGCTCAAACAAGAACAAGTACGGCTGGAGCTGTTTGTACCGCTTGGGCATGCGGTGGATGCCGCTCCACCGAAGCTCGTGCATTGCAACGGGCTTCTACTTGCACCCGTTCGCTTTCAGCAAGGCGATGCGCTTGACCGACTTCAATTTGCGCATCAGAACAGACACCTTCTTGATGGTGTCGGTGTATGCTTTGATGTAGGCCTTGACAGCCAAATTAAAGCGATGCGCCGCGCAACCTATCATAGGCGCAGAGACACGTCGTGAAATGGCTTTGTTGGTCTCCATGTTGTCGCAGACGATGCCGACGATGTTCGCGATGTCGAGTTGGTACTGGTCGAGAATTAGGTCCAGGAACCGGATGTGCTCATCCGCCGTCATGCTGCGCTCATCCATGAAAGATGACAGGGCAAGGAATCGCCATCCTTTGCGCGTCACGACATATACGGCCAACGAATGCTCTCCGTTGTCGGTCACAGCGTCGAAGACCAGCACATACCTCTCGTCCTTGAGCTCTTCTATGATCATAGGCTCGTGCAACTTGACATACGGGCTTTCAGGGTCTTCGAGCTCATAGAGTTGAACTTGACGGCGGTACGCACCGTCTCGTCATCCACGTCAGCAAACGTGAAGTTTTTGTGGACGACGATATTCATCCACTGGTACGTCTCTTGCGTGTGCCGGTCGACGAACATGTCCATGGTGACGACGCGCTTTTCGCGCAAACACTTCCGGGCGATATCCTCGTAGCCAGGATGCTTGGACACGAGGTGGTTGAGCAGGTCGGTGTATCCGGCCCTCTTGGTCTGCTAGACGAAGATGTTGCACGCGTTGCACGTCCGACCCAGGGTACTTGGTTCTCGAAACAACATGGCAACAACAGTCTTGGAGTCGAGTTTTGGGCCGAGTAGGGTGAATGCTGAGTTGGTGGCCATGTTGAGGGGTGAGAGCACGTGCTGCTGGTCTTGTTGTACGTGAGCCACCGGCAGGACGGGTTGGATCGGTCGGGACGGCCTTCGAGATGCGTTGGTCTTGGGGGTTCGTGACTTGCGCGTGCGAGTCGAGCGACGAAACCTTGCTTGAGGAGCGTGATATGTGTTCGATTCGTTTGCGGGCGTTTACAGGCAGTGGTGCTTTAAGGGAGCGTGGTGCAGTGGCGGTGAGGTCGGGGGAGACGGTTGCTTGCAGGGGGTCAATTCGAAAGTGAACGCTCAAACGACTCCGCTGTCTACCGTGCTCTCCCGTCTTGTGCGGCCTACCCGAAAGCTATTTATGCCTCTGCCAAGACTGTGAAGACGACTTCAACTTGAAGATACACAAGTAGATACGCATATTGCAATGTATTGAGGAGTATATTGAGATTGCTATAATATTGATTGAGTCGGCCGCCTCAACAACAATCCATAAACAATGGATATTGTCCGATCCCTGCCGGTGGTCATCGGTGCGAAGACAATGCGGTTGATATTGGAGAGGTGCCAGGTTGATGAACAGGTGTTGGGAACAGTGTTGATGACCGCAGCAGCGAACAACAAGTATGACCTGGTCCAGGTCCTGCTGGAAAAGTGCCCTTCGATGGAAATAAGCGGCCGAACTCAGGTTTGGGGCGGCCTTCGGTTTACCCACCCATGTCACTGAGGCTATTATCGACGCTGCGGATGCTGGTCAGTTAGATATGCTCGTGATTCTAGCGAAGAAATATGGCTCATTCGCAGGTGACGCACTGCGCCATGCAGTGGCTAACCACCAGAGGGAAGTTCAGAAGCTTTTGCTGGAAATGTGCGAGGAAAAGTATTTGAGAGAACCTCGGATGGCACGATGCATGACAAGTATGCTGGAACAAGCTACAACTGAAGACGACCTAGAGGTTGGACTACGACTGTTTGTGAAGTGCGGCGAGGTCGGTGTTGGTCATGCATTAAGAGCTTGTTGGCTACGACGAGATCGTGCAGCTTCTGAGCCGCAAAAAAGCTCGGTTGGCGTGATTGTGAGGCCGGCAATTGAGAATTGGGAGAAGCTATCGCGAATCCTTGACCAATTAACCGGAGGTTTGACTCGTACTCGTATTCGTTTGTCGGTTAAGTAATATCAGAAGCATGAGTGCATTGATATGAACAGTGCTGTTGTGCTTGAGTCGATTCGCATGACAACTATTTCAAGAGCTGTTTCTTCTTCTTTTAAGAAGACAAACAGGAAGAAAAACAGTAAATTAAAATTTAATTCGTGATCCCAACGCATTTACGCCACTGCTGCTATGCATACTCCTTTACCGTGTTCATGCTGGCCACGATTTCTTCACCCCAGCCGCGGTTTCTTGCTGGTCGGTAGTTGCACGACTTCACGGTGGTCAACCCCATGCGTTGACGCCAATGCACTGCTGATACTTGCTGCATCACTGCGCCCGCGCAGTGATTAACAGTGCCCACTTCGCCTTTAACTGCTGCTTCTCCTAGGCCACACCCAATACTTGTCAAGTGGCTATTACGAGGTAATTCGTTCGCCTCCTCAGTATGGCCATCCGAAGGGGCTTTCCTGAGCGCACATTCAATCCTCTGCGTATCGACTTCATTCTGCAAAATCGCAACCAAACCGAGAAACCCGCGCTCCGCAGCCCTCATGAAAATCGTGCGGTAGAGCATTCGCCCACACCTTCTCAAGATCTTCTTCAAAACGACGATACTCGCATCAAGCGAAAGGCTGGAACGAATGCTTCCACGATCGATGTTTGGTCGAGGTGCTCATTCACGACGTCAACTACTTCCAGCTGGTCACGTCGCGCCGCCTGAATGCGAGCACTCGCTATGCGAGTCTGCTTTGATTTTCCAACGCACAGTTTCACCAACTCGACGTGGTTTTTCGTGACCGCGGCTATCTGTGCACGGCCAGCACCGTACGCATTGCATCCACCGACCAGCACTTTTGCCATCGCAATACGACCACAGGAGACAACATTCCCAGCAGCCATAGCTATCTTACACCAGAAGTTTTGGTCTTTTGTTGTACTGCACAAACAACTCCACCATTCTAATATCATCTCTTGCCACCGGCGATTGGAATGAACTATGGATGTGGTATGTCATGACCAAGCATTGCTGGGCCTCACAGGAGGTCTCCCTCGCACTCTGCACCAATCGAGCAAGAGCTCCACCATGTCAAAGTGGCGGCCATCCCAATCCTAAATTGATCTACGTTGGTTGCTGTGGAAAGCACCAGCTCGACCACATTAGTCCGACCATTTTTCGCTGCAACACACAGCGCTCGACTAGTGCTGTCCTCGTCGCATCTCGGTAACAAGAACTCGACCGCCGCGGCGTGGCCTCGTATTGCAGCCACTTTCAACGCTTCTTCGAGCCTGAAAAAGCACTCAATATCCCACTCGAGTAATTACATTCCAACTCCAGCACCCGAACGTGACCACACGCAGCGGCGGCGTAAAAAGCCCTGGTCACGTTGTACGGCCAGGGCTTGAAAGCTTCCAGCACGCCCACGTAGCCTTTAAAAGCAGCTACCGCCATGGGTATTGATGTAGATACCTAGGTCCTGCTTCACAAGCCTCACCACATCTGCATGACCGTATTCGACGGCTCGAACCAAACACAGCACCGAGACGTAGAGCTTCGGGTAGTGTTGTCTCAGCCACTGAAGCACCTCCAAGTGGCCGTTTGCTGCAGCTCTGGCGAAAGCCTCAATGGGGCAGCCCTCCGACCTGGTAGCAAAGAGCCTTTGGACGATGTCGAGACGTCCTATTGCCGCAGCGACGTTCATCGCACGCACAGTCACGGAAGGAGGTCTCCGAAGGTATGCAGCACCCGCTGCAAGTCGTTGTAAACGGCAGAGTCGACGGTTTGCGGGAGGAGGCACATGTTGATGTACTCGAGAATGTACGGGATAGCTTGGGTGTCCTCTGGTACAGCGTGCGAGACGCTCAGTAGCGTTGACGCAACATATGAGCAACTGGTTCTTTGGGGCGAAGCCCCCCTATAATGAAATCGCTCTGTTTTATCGCTCTGATTTACTTTCTTTCGATGATTTTATGGATAGGGCTAGGGAAAGGTTTAATGGTTGCCTCTCCCAGGGGCAAAAATGCCGCATTTTACCTCTGTATAAGATCCTTTAAGGCCGTTCCGAGTGACTATTCATAGAAGTTCAGGGGTTTAGCCTCCATTAAATGGTGCGAAAGCCATTAAACTGAGGCCCGTCTTTTAGGAGGCCCCTTTTAAATAAGGTATATATGGATTTGGCGTAAAACTGCATTGTTTTAGCTAAATGAATACTCTATTTTGCTAAACAAGCGACCCTGTTTTAGCTTCGGAAACGTTGCTGCGCGAAATAGCTAGCTTCGTTGAGGCTTGCATTGGCTGCAAGACGCTAGCTACTCCGTGGAGCCGTGAGCGATCGCGAACCATGCACAGCCGTCACCGCCCGCCCCAACCTTGTCACCACCTTGTGTTGTCGACACGCCTTCACGGACCGTCTTCGGGCGCGCCAAGTCAATGGCCTGCTCCGTGGGTGCTCGTAGACACGCACATCGAGGAAGAGAACCGCGACAACACCCACCGCCAGATCCCCTTGCAATTCGTAGTAGTATCCGCCAAGCGATGACTACTGTGCCGCTGCTGCTTCTGGACGTGGCTGATCGAGGTCGCCTCCGAGCCACGTCAATACTCGCTCGCAGCCCATATTGACGGCCGACCTTCGAGAGTGAGACTCCAAACCGAATCCAACCATGAGGCTTGCCTTGCCAGGTTTTGTTTTCGCGGTGCTTGTACCCAATGTGAACTTGGGTCGACTTGGACGCCTCGCCAACATGCTTTCTTTTTATTATCTTGGCAACATATCGAGATTGTGGAAAAGTGCTATCGTCTTCATTTCATTTAGAAAAATATTTGCATGAAGTTTAGTTTGGTTAACAAGATGAATGATGCGATCCCTTTCAGTGTCAAACGATGATCGACTCTCTGGGGACGCTGTGAGCTTTTCCAAACTCAAACGATGCGTAAGAACTATATATTCTCTTTTTCTAACGCGGGAAAGAGCAAGGTAAGCATAGGATGCATTTGGCAGTGAGTTGGAATGAAATGCGACTTTTGAGCATGTAAGCCCTTGAGCCTTATGAATCGTCATAGCGTAGGCAAGCCTTAACGGAATGTCACACCGAACGACTTTAAAGTCACTCCTTGTACTTCCCCAGCTCGTTTCCTTTGAAATGATGGGGATAATGTTAGGTACGTTTGGTAAAAAGGATGGACCAAAGTATTCATCAATTATTTCAACCAAAACGATAGGAAGTTCTGATCCAGACACAAAGATCATGTCGTACACAGTAGCGTTCGTTCCATTGCATAGCCCTGCTGTTTGCTCAGCATTAAATGTTAGTGTGACAGGAGCACCAATTGCTAAATTGAGTTGGATTGGTACAACTCGGTCTCTCCTTGGGACCTTTTCTTGTGCCTGATCTAAAAGAGCTTTAACTGTGCCTTGAGGTACTTCTCTATTTGCGATCAAGCGTTTTTGCTTCAATTGTGCACGGACTTTATGTGCACAATTGGAGAAGAAGAATTCTGCAGATTTACGTCATTAGCACTATCAACATCTGCGTTAAGGTATGCAATGTGCTTCGCAGCATGCACCCACTCAGGCATTGCGTTGGTTTTGAAGAATCGAGTATTAAAAAGGTCAATGTCCTACTGTGTTGGTACTTTTTCTCGCAATCTTCGTAGCGCTTCAAACCATTCCGGGTCATCCTTCCCTCTATGTTGACTGCTTAACGAGCATACGCATTTAATTTCCTCCCAAATTCCGCGTCCTTTGCGCTGGATATTGTCACGTATTCTATCTGTGGATGTCGCTAGAGAGTAAGGGGTTACAGGGTCCAACTGGGCACTGTCTCCCGTGAAAATGGCATCTCTTCCACCAAATCGGACCTCGCGCTGATCAGGCCATATCTCTCGCATTCTTTGGTCTATCCAATATAGCATTCCACATGATATTACGCTAGATTCGTCAATTATTACCAGGTGTATATCCTTGAAGAGCTGCTGTAGAGACAATAGCTTAGCTGGGCCGTTTTTTGCGTACGTAAGGTTTGGAAAATCTTTGTTTGTGATCGGGGGATTGCTGTAAATTGAAATGAAATGCTTCTCGCTGATCTTTTGCCCATGACCGCACATATTTTGTCATAAATTCGCGTGCTCTATTAATGTCTTCGTTAGAGTAGTTGTGCTTTGGCTTCCATTGAGTATGAAGGTCTGCAATAAGTTTTTTATCTCTCTCGATTTCCATCTCATGCTCATTGAGGTGCTCATCAGGTTCTTCGATGAAAACATACTCGGACGGGGGCAGATTAGTGCAGCATTGGTTCTCGCGAGAATTCTTCAGAAGATTTAATTGACATTGCCTCGTTACCTTTAAATTCACTTCAGTTCGGAGTTCATTGTCGAGGTTTTTATTTTGTTCGTCGTAGAACCGACTAATACAGTCATCGTCAGTAATCGGTAAGTCGCTTAAGTGTCTCCAAGGAACGTGTAAAAACAACTCAGCAAAACAAAAGTTAGGGTTTGATGTGTCTGGTGCCATCCATGGCGACATACGAAGAACTTGGGCTTTTCGACGCTGTCGTAAAAAACCTAGATTATCGATTCGCTTCCAATACTTCGCTGTTGAGGTTGCGCTTTCAACTACCTCATAGTGCTCTACAAAGCTAGCATATGACATCGACTTAAACGGTTCTTCCTGAGGACGCGCCATGTTGGCTTTTTCGTATGATTCAATTTTAATATTATCGGGTTGAGGCGGTTTGTCGATGCCCAAGTTCCGTAAGGCTTCTGGTTCAACTCGGTAATATCGCAAGTGATGACGCAAAACCTTCACTCGGCTTACTTTACGAGACTTACCATACATTTTTAATTCCCGAAGCAGTATGAAGTAAGCTTCTAGGGCACTTACCTCACGAACAGCCAATGTGGCGTTAGCTATTCTTTTAAGAATAGCGTAGTAAGGGAGATTCGGGTCACATCTCTTAACAGCTGCAGCAACAGTGCTTCGGAAGCGCAATGTGTCAGGTTCGGCTTTGCTCACGTAAGCAGCAGTATATTCGGCAGCGCCATACGCGTTTCCTATACTCTAAATATCCATGTTTGCGCGCCAAGTCGAAAGAATTATTGGCGAAAAATTGTTTACCGAGGGTGAGTCTCTATTTAATAGTACTTTTAATGACGGGGTACCGTCAGGTGCAGTTTTTACCTCAACTTCAGTGCGAGGATGAAGAGTTTTGGGAAAGCCAAATCTACATTCGTCGGCTTTCGTTCGACAAGAAGATCCACTGTAGCATACATGTTGCTGCACTCGGCGAGCTAATCGGGAGATATCGCGTGCCCATTCATCTGAATTGCCACATGGCGGTCGCATTGCCAAAATATCAATGCTTGCAGACCGTGATGACTTGCAGACGGAGCACTGGCACAAATCTAGGTCATCGAGCGACTTTATCAATACAGAAATATACTTGTCAATATATGCTGCCAATTAAATGCGACCAAATTCTGTTTTTGAGAGCTCAAGGACATCAGGGGCATCTTTTATCCACAATAGTGCATGAATATGAGGTGAGCCTCTTTGCTGAAACTCAACTCGCCAAAAGAAATCAATAATTTCACCCAGAGGTTGGCTTGGGCCGCGAAGTACGTGGTCGAAAAAAGCTTTAAACCTTCTGTTAAAATGCCTGGCAGCAAAATCAGGGTTTTCGTTAAGGTACTTATGTCGTTCTTTAGACGTTTGATGTGCAGCTTGTTCCATAGTCAATGAAGGATTGCAAGCCCTAAAGAAATCGGGCCATACTGTGTCTGCCGCACTCAACGTTAAGAAAAAAGTTGGCCATCGCGTGGGAAGCAGGTGTTCGAGCAGGTGAAAGCGCGACTGGCCGGCCGAGACGATCAAGAACGACTACCTATCTATAACTACTCTGTGCGATGTGGCGGAGCAAAAACCGCTGGTCCCTCAGAACCGAAGGTTCCTCGGACCCCCGGGTGAAAACCGCTTATCGGACAGTCTATCCTAACCATAGCCATGGGGCTCTTCAGCATGAGCGGGTCGCTGAACTTGATGCAGCTGAGCGAACCATGACTGGGCTCCAGTTGTGGGAACGTGGCTTTCTTCTCTTGTGCAGGAAAACTTAATTCCCACTTCGCTTCGCTTGATGGAAATACCGAAGTATGCTGCCTACGTTCTCACCACTTTCAGTGGTACTTTGAATGTCATTCCTATGAGGCAAATTTTAAATGAGGGGCATATGGTTTGTGCTGGCCGTGAAGGGCGTCTCATGCAATAGGGGTATCTCGTTAGGTTTCCCTAAGACATTAATAAAATAAGCACTGATTCAACCTCTTGCAAGTACAGAGCCTCAATCTTAAACAAAAAGCGGCACAAAGACTAAAAGGCGCAATACACGTCAACTCGGGGACCCATTGGCCACGAAAGGATTGCTAATGCAAGTGTTGCTAAAGCGCTGAGAAATTAACATTATTCCTGTTGTCCTGTTGCTACCCAATTGCCTACCGTTATTCGTTTTCAAAAGTACAACTATTTTCAGCGTACTTTTGCGCGGAGGTAAGATTAACCGAGAGTTCCAGGGCTCGGCAACGGTGTAGTAGTGCACTAAAGGAAAATGTCAGGTTATCAAAATCGATGAGCAGAAGCGGAGGACCGCAAAACCGACCAAGCAATTGATGCAGCTTGCTATACAAAGCAGCTACGTCAAAGTACACAACAGTTACAGATAAAGCAAATCGAACAGACTACCAACACTGGCGGATAGCTCCAAGAAAGCACTTCAAACGATGTAGAACCTTCAAAATTTCTCCCATATTCTGTCAGTGATCGCCAGGATATAGGAAAAATTCGGAAATTCCCGTATTGGTAGAGGTCTGCGCATGAGGCATGCGTGTGAAGTGTTGATACACAATCTCGATACACTCGCTTACTCCTAGCACTACAGGTCAACTAAATGAAGTTTGACGACAAATTAAATGATTTCTCAGCGTATCAGGCTGTTAAGCTTTCTTGTATGAAAAGGTTTCGATCGGGGGCATCGTGAAATAAACTGAAGCGCAGTGAACGAGGTGCTCAGCTAGTCTTAAAGCAACTGAAAGCAGCATTGACGTATGTTGCCCGTGTCATAAACGGACGTGTGTCATGAATGCATGGCAAACTTCATATGTACATCTATCTTACCTTGCATTCTTCAAATTACATGAACTCTATCTCATACTGGTTGGTATTCAGCCAGTATCCTTTTCCTCAGCATTTAGTCCCGTTCGCTGAGCAGCTCTACCACAGCCAGTCGGCCCTGCATGGCAGCCACATTGAACGCTGAAGTCACACCAGCAGCGTCGCTCTTCACGAGCAGCACCTTCACCACTTCCGTGTGGCCGTTCATCGCAGCAAACCGCAGCGCGTCTCCCGCCTCCCGCTCGTCCACTTCGTCCAGCATTTGCTGCACGAGTCCGACGACACCGTTGGCTGCTGCAGTCTCGAACACGCGCCTGCAGGACTCCGGGTCGCACTTCTCCAGCAGCTTCAGCGCCATCGCGTGGCTGCCAGCAGAAGAAACCTTCACCAGCGCCTGCTCGATCATACGAGCGTCACCATGCTCAAGCAGAGCCGCAACAATATCGAGCTGTTCGTTGAGCACAGCGGCCACCAACGCGTCTACTTTACCCACCGGGTTGCTCTTCGTGACGAACAGCTTGGCCATCTCGAGGTGGCTGGTCTCCACTGCGGTCTTCAAGGCCATACCAGCCGCCGAGTCATTGCACTTGGCGACAAGTAGTCTTGCCGTCTCGAGGTGGCCTCGCATGGCTGCTGCAGTGGTGGCTGTATTGATGGATCGCTGGGTGTGCCACCTCGTCGATTCTCCCCTGTTAAGTGCCGGGCTGCGTGACAAATACATCTCGTTCTCCTCGGGGCAGTTGTCGAGCAGAAGCTGGACCATTCCACACCGGTCGTCCAGCGCTGCTTGCTCCAGAGCCGCTCCGATGTCTCTCGGGTGGCGCCTCTCCACGATCATCTGCAAGATGTCGGTGCGGTTGACTTCCACCGCGGCATTGACAGCGTCACCCAGAGCGTCATCGTCGCAGAAGTCCAGCAACAAGTCGACGAGCTCAATGTGCCCACCCGCTGCCGCCTCCCTCAGCGACGGGTTCGTGTACATGACGCTCGTGAATCCATGACCGAGCAGCAGCCGAACCACCTCCAGCTGTCCATTGGCCGACGCCACCATGAACGCGCCCTGGGCGAGACCCGAGAAGTAGGGGACGAGAGCGTCCACGACCTCAACGCGGCCATTTACCGCCGCATCTTCCAGTGCAGGGACAGCGTCGGTCATATTGACGCTCGTCCGTAAGAAGCGGACGACTGGGGCGTGGTCGTTCTCCGCCGCCACCGTCATCGCCTCCACGGGGCGACAGAAGTCCGGGTACAGCTCGTGCAGCCACTTGACCACCTCCAGGTAGCCGTTGGTGGCCGCCGCCATGCATGCCTCCGTGGAGCAGCCTTCACTTCGCGTGTCGTGCAGCCACTGCATGATATCGAGTCGTCCTCTCGCTGCAGCACCGTCCATTGCTGCCACCGTCCAGGCGCGCGAGTCTCCGTGAGCTTTCACCACGCGCGTGAGGTCGTTAAACACGGCGCTGTCAATGGTCGCGGGCATCAAAAAGTCGCTGACGGACTCGACAATGTGCGGAAGCGCTTGCACCTCGGGCGACAGCACCCGCGACACATTGAGGAGCGACTTGGGCTCGTACATCGTGGTGGTGGATGTCGGGGGTTGTGCAGCGTTTGGGGGATTGCGCTGGCGGCTGGCTGCGAAACGAGAAGTGAAGGAACGTGGGTCTTATCCCCCTTCCTTGAGCTCACGAACAGTCTCACTTCGCCACGTACGAGAGCGTTCCACCTGGCGAGTGCTCGGACACATGTCGTCGCTTCGCCTGTCGCCGGTTTTACAGCGGCAGCCATTTTGGGACAAGCGTCGAGGGTTTCTCACCGATTCAGTCGGAGCTTGTTGCTTGATTGATCCCATCCACGAGGAACGGCGTTGGCAAAGGCGCGGCCGCAGGCGCGAAGACGCGCGGGGAAGTGGTTGCCGACGACGAGCGCGGGCAAGCACCACAATAACTTTACGTTCGTGAGTTGCCAGAGCTATGAGCAGCCTTTTGGTCAAGGGCCAACGTGGTCTGGTTGGTGGTCGGTGGGTGGCGTTTCATGCGAGGTGTTAAACAAGAGCTGATTTAAGTGAGCCCTCGTCGGACGGGGGTGCACCGGGAAGCGTGAAACCATGAGAAATCATGAGGAACCAAGCCGAGGGGGTGGTGGCGCCGAACGACGCCGATGCTTGCTGGGGGAAGCGCGCGATTTTGTGGCGTCACCAAATTCAAATTGACATGTGGTTGTCGAGCCGAGGCGCTGATGATGACGATAGTCAACCGGAGGTGGTGTATCCGTGTGATGCCCTGAGCTTGATGCCCAAGTGCCGATGGCTGTTGATGCCTCTGTTTGCGTTAGATCGTCCAACACTGTCGCCCCCGCTTGCTCATTATTTTGAAGGACATGACGACGCACATAGCGACGGTGGTCGTACCAGCACCAGCAAATTGGGGTTGATCGTATGTGAACGCTGTTCACTGAACAGCCCACCTTCATGAGGGTATTCAGGGCAGGCTGAAGGCGTGGACTTCCCCGTGAGGAACTGCTGCTCATTCGCGTGCGAAAACCAATTTGGGCGGTGTTTGGAGCTCTTTAGCGAGCCCAAACTCGCCGCTATTTTAGGTAAGTCCAGTAGGGGGGGCATGGATTTGATGCTTGGAGAGGTTACTGTTCGATTGCCGCCGATAATACTTTGGTGAAAAGTCTTGTGCCAGGCCTCACAAGTGGAAGGCCAACCTCAGACAAAAGCAACGGATGTCCCAAGTTCACGCCAACAGCATCACGAAAGTGACCCGCATCGTGATCATCGGGGGTGGAGCTGAGGGTATCAACACGGCACAAGCGCTTGCCAGGAAGCTCACCCCAGCTGACAACACCGAAGTCGTTCTACTAGAGAAGAACGCCTACTTCTACCATGTCGTGGGCGCCCCACGCGCGTACGTAGACGCCAACTATACCAAGAAGATGTTCATTCCGTACGACAAAGCCATCCCAACGCAAGCAGCCAAATTCGTGCGGATCGTGCGAGGAGTAGCCACGAGCATCTCGGCGGAAACGAACGAAGTGTATTACCACTCCATCGGCAGCGACGACAAGCTAAGTGAAGCAACCGAGAAACTCCCCTTTGACTACCTCGTGCTGGCCATGGGGAGCACCTACTCGGTGCCGATCAAGCAGGACACTCACGACTACGCTCGCTCAACGACCGAGACCAAACTTCAAGAAGTCCGCAGTGCGATCGATAGCGCGGAGAAGATCGTGGTGGTTGGCGGTGGGGCCGTAGGCTGCGAGATTGCGGCTGAGATCAAGACCAAGTACCCAGCCAAGACCGTGACTATCATTGAAGTGCACAACCAGCTTATCTATGGCAACAACCTGACCGCCAAATTCTACGCCAGATTGAACGCGCGGCTGGAGAAACTCCAAGTCAAAGTGATCCTAGGCGAGAGGCTGACGGAGCGTCTGAGTGGGAATAGTTTGGAGAAGCGGACGCTGCGGACGGACAAGGGGATGGAGATCGAGTCCGACATTCAGCTGCTCTGTGGGGGCTTCAGTCCTGTGGGGCAGTTGGTGGAGGGCTTGGATGCCTCGTTGGTGACGGACCGTGGGGCTGTGAAGGTGAATGCTCAGCTGCAGCTTGAAGGAGACAAGTACGCGCACATGTTCGCAATAGGAGATGTGTGCAACCACGCCTCCCCCAAAATGGCCTTCATCGCTGGAGAACAGGGCAAGTTCTTGGCGAATGAGCTCGTAGCAGCGATTCGCAAGAAGCAGTTGGGATTCACCAAACCATTCAAAGCTCCTGGAACCGCGGCGATGATTTTGCCTCTGGGGCCTTCGGGTGGCGTCTCGCAGTTGCCCTTTTGGGGCGGTGTCGTTGTTGGTGACTGGTTCACTAGGATGATCAAGTCGAAGGACTACTTGGCAAGTATGATTTGGTCCAGCCTTGGAGCAACAACACCTAATTAGCGAGGAGGGCGTTCCCTGCTTTTTACCAGAAGAAGACTTGTACCTCACTATCTCCACCTGAATTTTGATTCTTCTTTAGAGGTTCAAAACCAACGACGGTCTGAGGTTGTGCCAAGAACATGTAACACGCAGGGTAGATACTGTAATTAATAGGTGTCCACCTGCTTCGATTTCAGTTAAAGAGCTAATTCGACTCCCTTGTTGTCTCAAAGACGCTAACAGGCTGCACTTGGTACTTCTGCTGAGATGCTCTCCAACCGTCTAGTGTTATGGTGTTTTCCGTCACATTCGTCGCGTTGGTCATATTGGTCATGTTGGTCGCATTTGTCGCATTCACATTGCCACCCGCAACCAGAAATGACCTTGAAGACAGCCTGCTCCTCACACTCTTCGAGCTCCCAGAACTGGCCGTAGCCACTTCCTTCGGTCGGAATATCTTCGGCACAAGCATCAAACCCATGATCAACACTGTGCAGATGAGCAGCGTACACGCTAGAAATACGTAGTACGTCGCCGCGGGCATCTGGACTAGATACGACATCGGCATGATGAGGAGGCAGCCCACTAGGACCACAACAACCGAGCCAGAAATCCACGGAGATTCCTGAAAATCCACTGATACATTTCGGATGAGGAACGACAAGTAGAGCCCCAGTACGAGTAAAATCAGTTTCCAGAAGATCAGCAATGCCGTGAAGATGAAGCTGGAAGAGCAGCACGAGATTCGGTCGACTTCGCCGCGGAACTCGGAAGCTTCTTCCGTTGTGACGGTGGGCTCAGGGAAGTCTGCGGCGTACCATCCAACGAAGATGACAATGTCCCCCACGTAGAAAATGGCGAGCATCTTGACGATCTTAAAGAACGTCACCTTGACGCGCTTCATGGAGGATCTCATGAACACACGGTAGACGCGCAAGGATTTTATGACCAGAGCGCCGAAGATTGTAGTGAAGCCCATGCACACGAGGATCGGTCGGATTCCGCACAACAGCCGCGAGGTTCTCCAGCATACGCCACTGCCGCTCCTGTGGTGAAAAAGCCTCCGAAGATCATCAGCTCCAGCATCTCGAACTGCGACCGTTTGACGATCGGTGCGTTGCGATGCTTGTACACCAAGAACGCAGCCACCAGAAGGAGCACGGCTACAATCGCTGCAAGTACAGCGAGCGCTGAGAAGGTTGGTGAAGACGTGGGCATGTACTCGCAGTCGAGTTTCACATCTTCCGGAAGACTCACCCCACCTGTACACTCTGTAGAGAATAGCGGATTCTGTGCTAGCGGGAGTTTCCAGAAGTATTGAACCGTGCGATGGGCGGTCGAGTCACATTGCGAGACATTGTAGTCGTAGAAGGTGGAGTCGCATTCGGGTTTCATATCGATCCAGCCGGCCCAGACCCGGCTGTTGTCAGAGATCCACTGACAGGATCGGCTAGTGGCAATTGTAGCGGGTAGTGCGGCCACACCTCCGTCGCAGTTGTACGGTAGCGACGTATTGCCTGGATTCGGTACATTCCACGCGAGCTGAATTTACGAACGGTACTGCCGTTTTCACACCCCGTCACGTGGCTGACGATATGGTCTTCAAACGTGCACAAAGGGAGCCGGTCCAGCCAGTCGCTCCAGATATCGTAGTTCGCTTTCACCCAGTTGCACGCAGCTCGAAAATATGGCTCGGGTTCGGCTGCGTCGCTCATGGCGATGCTATACTCAGTCAGAAGGTCGTTGATATCTGTATCGGAGAGCGATAGCTTGGAGAATAACGAGCCAATCGGCAGGTCTTTCACTATGGATGCAGCAAACTTTGAGAGGGGCAGGCTCGGGTAGTCCACATCCACAGGATTGTCCGTCTTTTTACCGAATCCGTGCTCGCCATAATCCCCCGTGGCGAGCTTCACACGCGCAGGGTCAGTTCGAGGAAGACCCACTCGGGTGAACAAACCCTTGCGCGTCACGTGGAATAGATCAGGCTCGTAGTGGTAAAAGACCGCGGGCGTTCCGTTGGTCGCAGCATCCGATGCAAATTGGTTCACTCCGTCCTAGTCCAGAAAACAAAAGTAGGCGGGGATATTGAGATTGGCGAAGACAGCCTGGAAGTAACCTTGGTCGTAACCAGGGACCATCAGCGCTAGCATGAGGCAGTCTTGCCCATTCAACTCACGCTGCGTGCATGCCTCCGTCTTTTCGCAGTTGTCTTTGCATCCCATGGTGCCGTCGGGGCAGAAATCGTCTGCTGGAGGGTAATACTTTGAGTTGGCCTTGAATGACACGACGCTCAGTGCGTTGATGAGGTCATCGCTAAGCTTGTAGTGTTTCCAAAAATCTGGGAAATAGGGCGGAGAGGCTGACATACAAACTTCTTGGTCGTGTAGACTCCTGAAAGTCCGTAGTAGCCTACGTTCCCGGCTTGGTAGGACTCGTTGAAGTAAACCCGCAGGTCCGACATTGTACTGGATGTCCAGACTTCCGCGTTGGGGTGCACATACCTGATCCAACAGACGACATGCGCTCGGTTATGTCCACATCCACGCCACTTTTGCTGAGGGATACTTTGTAGCCACTCTGTGACAGCAAAATGGGTTCATAAATCATTTGACTACCAGGCATCAAGGAAGCGTAGGTGAGCGTACCACTTCTTGAGCCATAATTGCCAACACTAGTGTGGCAAGTGCGTGCGTATCCCAGGCACAAAGGTCCAAAACGAGTGTTCCGTTCACCTGGCCGCGGCTCCTGCCTTGGGCGTCTTGGTCGGCACCGAAGAACACAGCATCAGAGGCCATGCATTGATCTGTAAACGCTGTTTCGGATGATGTCCTAGGGTCATCTACCTGTACAAAATATATGATTTTGTGAGAGCCAGGATTCGTAACCGGTGACTAGCATCTACCTGCAACGTGTTTGGTGCCCCACACGCTTGGGGTTTGGTCGCGACCGTGCTGATGCGGTCGAAAGTCCGGATGGCCGACAGTGTCGAAGCGTAAGACACTGCGCCGGTGCGTGCCCGACTGGCAGCAACACCTACTTTATTTAGATGAACTAGCGCGGTGTCAACCACCGACTAACTACAAATACACGTGTACGTCGAACGCGCACGACTCAGTTCCGTAGTCGCTCCTCTAGCCACTCGGGCGTACGCCCACACGCGCCTGCCCAACTCGTCGCAGCCGTCGAAGAACTCGGAAGCCACGTGCTTCCTGTTCGTCACTCTGTTGTCGTTCACGCCGCAGCCGTCCCCCGAGGTCGCCGTTAGTGTCCACCGCCGTTCGTCCACCTGTCGTTCGTCCGTTCACCGCTTGTTGCGCTTGCTGCCAAACGCGCGTTCCTCGGGCCTGCTCGCTGGCCGTCAAAACCCAAAGTGAGCTCCGTCGTGGGACTCGCGGAGTCCAGCGGGCCCGAAGATCCAGTAGATCCCTCGGTACCGCGCAGCAGATCCTGCCGACCACAATGCCAGCCGGATTCACGTCCCACGCTGCCGTCTACTTCAACGCCGTCGTACAGCGTGGTTGCGCGCCCACCGTCTCGTCCTTCGCCGTGTCGTCGGCCTCCTTACACGTCGTCCGCATACCCAAGGTCTTCCACGACCCGGGCGTCCATGTAGAGTCGTTCGTATTGAGCCACCGACGTCCACCGTGCTCGTGGGCGTCCATCTGCGTCGAGTCATAGCTCACCGTCGCCCGTCAGCCATCGTCGTGGGTCACTGCACGGACACAGCTCGTACTCGAGCACGTACTGCCCGGCTCCGTTGCGCCGTCGCCTTCTCCGTCGCCCCACCACGAGTCCACGCGTGACGTCGCGCACACCAGTGTCATCCACTGCTGCTCGCGTTCGTTTCGAGTTTCCAGCTCTCGTCGTTCGCCCAGCTGGCGCCTTCGCTGACCGTACAGCCGCTGCTGTCTCCGGTTCATCCCGCGTTGGCCGCTGTTCTTCATCGTTGAGCTGCTCGTCAATGTCGCGCGCAATCTGCGCTAGTAGTGCTTCAGGATAATGATAACTAATGAGGAAAGACACGTGGGAGATCAACGTCTAAGCCTTCCCTGTCTTATCCTCACGCGTCAGCACGAAGTTGTCGTACCCAGCAGGTTCCACGATCCGTAGTGGTCCCATCCACTGGTGCACGAACTTCGTGGCGTTCTTGCCACGGGGCGGGTTGTGCATCCAGACCAAATTGCCGGCCTGAAACTGCCGCCTGTTCCGAGTCTTCCGATTATAGTACCGAGCCTGCCGTTCTTGCTCGCGTCGTCGAGCATGCTCTGCACACTCATGACTCCGTTCCATCGCTTTCACCAGGTTCGCGTGGTAAGCTGGCAGCTCGCCCGCTTCCGTCACCTCCGTCCGTCTCAGCAGTTCGTTGGGAGCCCTCAGCCGTCGTCCCATCATAAGCTCCTTCGGGCTCAGTGCCACAGTAGAATGCTTTGCCGAGTTGTAAGAATAAACAGCGAATTTCACCCAAAGATTCCAATCGACTTGTCGTTCGTCTTGCATGAACGTTGCCACGCAGTCCTTCCACGAGCGATGAAAGCGCTCCACAAGTCCAACGAGTTGAGGTCGGTACGGTACGGATTGACCTGATGAGCTTGCAGGAGCTGCACTAACTCCTCAATCACTTTGCCAGCCAGCTCCGGCGCTCCGTCCGTCAGCAGTTCACGGAATACCCCGAACCGTAACACCACCTCCTGCATAATGAACGTCGCCACCGTCTCAGCCGTATGTTCCGTCACGCAGCTCGCCACAGCATACCTCGTTACGTATTCGACGGCGGCGATGACATACCTGTCACCTCCGTCGGCTGCTGGGAAGGGTCCGGCGACATCGAGCGCCCAACGATCTCCCACCGCACCACCGCGTAAACTTCGTAACGGCGGTATCACTTCATGTGGTTTCGCCTTTCGGGACCCGCACTCAGGGCATCCACGCACCCATCGCCTTACTTCTCGGTACAATCCCGGCCACCAGTACAGCTGGGCTACGCGGCCATACGTGTGAGGACCGCGCAGGTGTCCGCTCCACACACTGCCGTGCATTTCCTTGAAGACAGCCGCCCAAAGTGTCGGTGGCAGCACCACTCTCCGTCCGTTCGGCGTGTCGACCGTCACCAGGCCGTACTCGTTCGCGATCGGCATACTGCCGTACTTGCCGTCTGCTACCAGACGCTTCACGAACTTGCTGCGCTGCTGCGCCGTCACCAGTTCGTCATCGCTCAGTTGGAGCGTGTAGTCGTCCACAGGGGCGCTCTCCTCGTCGCCGCCCATGCCGTCCGCGCCGCTCGTCACCATCATCACATCGTTCGTCATCGTGACGGCGCCGTTCGTCGTGCCCTTGGCCGCCGTCGAGTTCATCGTCGTCACCGACGTCTTGCCCGCCGTCTTCGTGTTGGCCGCGCCCTTGGTCGAGGGCTTCCGCTTCGTCACCGCCGTCAGTGTCGTTCTCGCCGGCGTTGGCGTCACCGCGGGTGCCTTTGCTCTCGTCTCCGCAGTACCTTGGTCAGCAGGTGTCGTCCTCTGCGTACGTGGCGTACTCGTCGCCGGAGTCCGTGTCGGAGTGGCTGCCGCATGGCGTCCATCGTCTCGCACTGTACGAGCACCTGATACGGCTGCATCCTGGTCACGTGGGGCAGTTGTCGTCGTCGGAAGCGTGGCTCCTGGTGTCGTCCGGGGCGCCGTAGCCACCGTAGTCGTCGTCGCTCCCGTAGTTTCCGTGGGTGCGTCTCGCTCAGTACTTTGCGCTGGGCTGCTCGCGTCGTCCGCGTTCGTCACCGTCGTGGCCCAACGCGCGTGCCGCTGCTCGCGTTCGCGGAGGCGCTCACTGCGTCTCGTTGCAGGTTTCGCCGCCTTCTTCACGCGCTTCCGGCCGGTCGTGGCAGTCACGGTGGTGCCAGCCAGCTGCCTCGCTGTCTTCACCGGGTGCTGCCGCTCCGTCGTCATTGCCCGTCACCGTCCTCTCGATCATCGTCGTCCGGGTGCCATCCGTCGTGCTCGCTGTCGTGACGTTTGGCGCTGCCGTAGTATCCGTCGGCGTCGCTTCATCCATCGACAGCCGCGCTACCCCTGCCGCTGCCGTCGTCCTGGCATCTGCTTCGGCCGTGGTGACGGCACGCACCATGTCGCCACCCGCCGTCATCTCATCCGTCAGCTGATCTGTCGTCGCTCCCGGCGTCTTGTCCGTCGTCTCGCCCGTCGTCTCGCGTGTCTGACCCACAGCTGCTGCTGGAACCATATTCCCGTCCGTCAGCATCGTGGTGCCCGGCGTCTTGTCGGTCATCTGGGGCGCCATCCCGCCCGTCGTCCCGTTCGTGGTGGCTGCCCGGCTTGCCGCACCGCTCGGTGGCGTCGCCGCTGACGCGACCGCCATCATCTCGTCGTTCGTCGTCATTGTGGCGTTAGCTGCTGTCGTCTCCGCCACTGCAGTGCTTGTCGGCGGAGCTGTCGCCGTTACCTCGCCCGCATTCGTCGTATTATTCGCATCCGTCGTCCTTGGCGTCGTTGGGCGCCGTTGCTGCCGTCCTACCGCTGCTCTGACGGCTGCAGGTGCCCGGGACAAGGCATCTGCTACTACGTTCGTCGAACCAGGCCGGTACTCAACCTGAAACTCATATTCTTGTAGTACTAGTGACCACCGATGCAATCATCCGGCCATGTTCGGTCGAGTCATGAGCCATTTGAGTGCGGCGTGGTCCGTGATGATCGTGAAGGCTCTGCCGTACAGGTAGGGTCGGAACATCTTCACGGACCAGACCACAGCGAGACATTCGAGCTCAGTGATGGAGTAGTTCGACTCCGCCTTACTGTTCACTTTACTGCCATATGCAATCGGCTGCCAGCCGCGTCCGTGATCCTGCATGAGGCAGGCCCCCAGGCCAACCTTACTAGCGTCCGTCACCAGGCGGAAGGGTAGTTCAAAATTAGAGTAGAGCAGCAAAGGTCGCGTAGTGAGTAACATCTTCACACGTTCGAACGCGAACTCCTGCGCCTCACTCCATTCCCACTGCACGTCCTTCTTCAACAAGCGAGTCATCGGCTCCACGATCGAGCCGAAGGCTGCAATAAACTTACGGTAGTAACCGGCGAGGTGGACAAACCTCTTTACCTCAGTAGCGTCCGTAGGTCGTGGGAATTCCCGCACAGATTTCACCAGCCGCTCAGCGGGCTGCACGCCCTGGTCACTCAGATGGTGGCCCAGGTACTCCATTGAAGTCGTAGCAAAGGTACACTTCTTCAGCTTGAGACTTAGGCCAGCTGCCCTTAATCTCTCGAATACACCCGCTCGTTCAATCACATGCCGTTCGATACCACCCTTCGTGAAGATAATGATGTCGTCTAAGTACACCAAACAGGTCAGCCATCTCAAACCGCGAAGCACTCCATTCATCAGCCGTTGAAAAGTAGCAGGAGCGTTGGTAAGGCCGAAAGGCGTTCGTCGAAATCGGTACAACCCTCTCTTCGTCATGAAGGCCGTCTTATCGCGGTCCTCTTCCGCCACACGAATCTGCATCGTAGGTCAAGGGTCGTGAACAGACGTGCTCCGCCCAAAGACTCTAGCGTTTCATCTATTCGCGGCAACGGGTAGACGTCCTTGCGCGTGACGCTGTTCAGGGCCCTGTAGTCCACGTAGAACCGCACGGAACCGTCCTTCTTCCGTACGAGTACTACGGGAAAACCCCATGCGCCTTCACCATGCTCGATTACACCTGCCGACAGCATAGAGTCGACATTACTATCTACAATAGCGTCTTCCGTCTGTGCTTGGCGTCGTCGGCGCATCATAATGGGAGCAGCGTTCCCAGTATCAATGTGGTGCTCCACGTTGAGCATCGTTGCAGGCGGACACTCGTCTTGTGCGTTTGCCAGGTCTCGATAGGCACGCAATAGTTTTAGGATGAGCGCACGCGCGCCCGGCTCCTCCATACCGATGTCCACGTCGTGTTCGTCATCCAAGGGCGTGTCAGCGTCCCCCAGCTCGTCCAACCACGTGTTCACACGCTCCGAGTCCAACTCACCATGCATCGCCAAGAGCTCAATGTCTTGATTAATAGGTATCCATACACCTAGCTCCTTTCTGCTCGGCAACTTGATGCGTCCACCGTATGTGTTAATGGCAGGTATCATCGCCTTCCCGTTCGTCACCTTGGTCACTGCTGACGCGAGCAGCACCGCTCCGTTGTTCACTGTCGGCAGGAACACTCCTTCCTCGCCAACCGGTGCTGCAATCGCTACCTCCACTGTCTGCACGGCACGTCGGTGTAGGTTCGTGGCACGGGCCAGCCTCACAGCTGCCGTCGCCGAGTCACTCGTTTCCGCCGTCGTCATGAACGGAATGACCGCCATGCCGCCGCGCTCATCGTAGCGCACTTCGCCACAGTCGAAGTCCATTGTCGCCCGATGACCCTCGAGGAAGTCCACGCCCACGAGGAATTCGCTGGTGCACCCCTCGACGATGCATGCGTCGATAGTCACCACTGTGGAGAAGCAGGATCCAAGAAATTGGAACAAAGGGAGATCGGCAGAATGATGGATACAGACTCCGCGACGGATCCACCAGACTGGCGGATCGGGCCCCGTACCAGATGTTAGAAATTGCAACGGAAGACACTACGAGTGCGACCGGACGTCACGAATGTGTGCCCAAGCAACGCAATGCCTCGAGACCCAAGATCCAAGAGATGCAGCTGTCAAGTGGATCGGCGATCCGATCCAATCCAGATCTGATTCTGATTCGGACTCAGATGGGATTGAACGGTGGATCTAAGGTTATGGCTCGACGGAGGCAATCTAGCGGCACGCAAGGAAGATAATCAAGCCCCATAGAGTCAGTAGATACAGATGGGATGATAGGATCTATAGCAAGATAGGACTTTGGGATGGGATTGGGCTTAAGCATAAAGCAGACTCGAATTTGCCTTATACATCGCAAGTGCCTTCGGCTTCGCCTGGAAACGGGAAGTACATAGGCCCCACGGTTTTGCAAGGTTCTGGTAGTTGATCTAGACTGGATAATACATTGGCCAGTTCTACAACCTTCCTAGTGACCTACTTGCAAGTGCAGATCCCCGATCCACCCGGAGTTACTACTTGGCCGGGTGCATCCTCGACTCTCAACATCTACGGATCCCGCTACAGGAAGCGGCAAGTACAACAAAGGAAGACCTGCAAAGGCAAAGGAAAGGAACAACAACAACCCAAAGGCAACCCCACGGCCGGATCCAGATCCAGGTCGCCAGATCCAGGTACAAGACCACTGGAATTGGAATACTACCGCGAGCAGAGTGAAGATTTCCGCGCTGCTCCACCCACATCCCCGCGTCTCGCCCAGACTGTTCTGATTTCAAGGCTAGAACGCTTCAGCAGACACCAGAGGAGCAGATCCAGCCCTACCGACGGGTACACAAGGTGATCAGTTCAGCACACAGATCACGGATCATCGGGGGCCACCCCCTCCGTAAGTCGGTGTTCGGGCGCAGTTGGTAAGTTGGATTGGTAATCTCCCAGATTTTGCTGATCCCGCTACGCCACTCCATCTGCTCGTACACGTTCGCCATGCTGAACGTCCACACGCCCAACACGTCCAGCAAAAAACCGCCGATACCCTCCACGTACATCACAGGGGCGTCCACCTGCTTCCGTTCACCGCGTGCCATCCATTTCGTGCCCGCCACGAAGTAGCGCGCGCCACCGTCGATCTTGACATACTGTTGCACGCCGCCCACCAACATTGCAGCTGTTGGCAGTCCGCCACTGGCCTCCATACTCACGCCGCTATCGTCATCATCATTCTCGGCCGCCACGGTGCCCCCGTGCTGCACCAAGTTCACACGAGCTCGCTCGCCCACTTCGTCTTCACCACCGGCAACTCGTCGCTGCCGTCGTACTTCCAGTGCACTGCGCGCTCCTTCAGCTTGCCGCTGCCACCACTCTTCACGCTCAGCGTCGAGCTCAGCGACAACACGCGCGACTTCTTCATCGTCACACATGCTCTTGGCCGCCTTCTCACGCGCACGCTGCACACGCTGCTTCTACGCTTCGCGCTTCGATCGCTTGACGGCCATGCCCACCTTCGCCACGGTGCCGAGCTCCATCACCGTCTCGTCCGTGAGCTCCACGCCGAGCTCGAGCGCTAAGGACTCTCCGTCCTCCATCTCGCCCTTCCTCGTCGTATCTATGGCCGACACATCGCCTTCCTCAGCTTCGACCACGTCATCGGGCAGCTGGTCGCCCGTCGTAGGCGTCACGCTCGCCACCGTCGTCTCTGCGGCGCCTTCCTCAGCGAACTGCACGCCGTATGCCGCTTTGCCGCCTTGCCGCCTTCCTCAGAGGCTGCCACCTCCTCGAAACGAGCAGGGGTGGCTGTCGCCGTTGGCGTCGAATCCTTCACCGTCGCGACGCCGCCGCCTTCTCCATCCGTCTTGTGCACGTAACGCAGCGCTGCCATTGCTGGACGCACTGTGCACACGTACCGCTCTGCTCGCCCCTCATCGCGAGCCGAGAGCTCTTCGTCCAATTGAGCCGCGACAGCCCGTCTCACTACTGCCACGCTCCTGTCGTCTGGCACGTCCATGCCGTTCACCATCTTGCTCCCGCCGTCGGTCACCGCCGCCGGCACCGTCGGTGCGTTCGTGTCGCACGCCGTATCACCGTCCACCGTCACCGTCACGGGTCGCTGGGGAGTCCGTCGTATTGCCGAGCGCCGTGATCCCCCTACGTCGCTCGATCCTCGTTTTCCTGCCGCTTTCTTTCTTGCTCACGCCGAGTGAGATACTCGTCGTTGCGGGCGCGCGCCTCATCGTCTGGACACTCGCGGGCAAGATGCCCCATCTGGTTGCACGCGTAGCATTTCAGTTCGCCGAATTGTCGTGGTGCCAGAGCCGTCTCAGGCTTCGTTCTCGGAGTTTCCGGCGCCTTCACTTGGCGCGTCGCAGCCTTGGTACGTCGGGCCGTGAGCTTCGGCTTCTTAGAAGGTGGAAGTGCGCGTGGCGCATCTGTCTCCTCGTCGTCGGCGCTCTCTTCCTCGTAGTCAGCGTCGGCAGCGACCGCCATGTTCACCGTCGCCTTCTGCGCAGTCTTCGCCATCGCCATGCGCTTGGTCGTCGTCGGTGCGGCTGGTGGAGCCGTACGTTTTCGCAGTACGGGTGCCCACATGTGTCCGTTCCAGACACGTCCCTTCGGTGCCTCCCACAGCCCGAGGTACTTGTTGTACACGCCGCGCGAGTTCGTGAAGCACGCCAACTTCTCTTCTTCCGCCATGTTGGTGCTCCCGACGCCAGGGATCAGCGCCATCTGCCCAGTAGTCCCATTCACCGGTACGACGTACGTATCGGGTGCGGTGACGAACGCTTGTCCGATGTTTTCCATGCCTTGCGCCACGTTATCGATTGGGTCGCTAATTTCCGTTGCTTTGTCCACAGCTTCTTCCAGTGTCGTCGGGTTCGGACGCTGCTTCACGAGAACTATCGTCGTGCGATCCAGACTGCGGTAGACCTGTGCGAGCAGCACACGTTCCCGGATTCGGTTGTTGCCACACAGATCGCGAAGGGCAGCAGCAAAGTCCGCGCACGTCTCTCCAGGCATCATCCTACGTTGGCCGACACGCCACTCGGCCATTGCTTTATCCGGGCGCTCACCATATCGTCGCAGCAATGACGACTTCAACTTCGTCCACGTTCGCTCACGGTCGCGTAGTTTACGATCCAGCTGGACCCACCAGCGGGCAGCGCTGTCCTGTAGCTTATTGCCTAAGATGTAATACAGTTCTTGATCAGTCCATTCGCCCCGTCCTGATAGTCGTGCTCCTTCGAGTGCCAGGTCAACGCGCGCGATCCACGTCGTCACAGATGTCTGTGGTGTCGGTAAGAAGGTTGGCAAGTCCAAGTCTCGAATGGCTCGCCGTCTGTTGCGGTGAAAGTCTCGATCACCGGGCCTCGTAACGGGTTGGCGTCTGGCACGGCGTCCTCCACCGTCGTGGCCGTCGTCAGATTCGTCGTCGTCGTCGGAGCTGCTCGAAGACCCGTCGTCGTCGTCATCATCGCTGTCGTCTTCGTCGTCGTTGCCGTCACGTGGCTGGTAGGCCACCTGCCGAGCTGTAGCCGCTGGGGGGGGGTCCCGTGGTGCGGCGGGTGGCGGTGCCTGCTGTGTCGACGGATTCGTCGTTCCCACCGTCTGCGTATCAGCGTCCGCGGGCGCAGGGGACGGCGCGGGGTTGGCCACTGTGGTGCTCAGCTGGTCCAGTCTCGCATCAATCCTTGCGATCGTCGTTGCCATCTGCTGCAGTGCAGCGGTCAGCGCCGCTACGGGAGCCATCGCTGTGCCGTCGCCGCTGCCGCTAGTTGCCGCTTCGTCGGGTGGCGCGTCCTGCGTGTCGTCAGCGCCGTGGTCGTTGCGTTCGTCGCTTGGGTTGTCTGCGTCGCCCGGATCGTTCTCCTTCATCTCTTCGTCCTCGTTCTCGTTCGCGTTCTGACCGTCTTGTCGCGCCAGATCCGATCCTCCAGTAGGCACGGGAACAGACGTCTGAGTCTGAGTAGCCGGCTGATTCCGAGTCGCACGGGTCGTGGGTTGCATGACGACCTTCGTCCGAGCCATCTGAGCGTCTTCGGGTGTCTTCGTAAGTCGAGGGCTGCGTCGGATACGTACACTAGACCCCTGTATGACCACCATGCAACGTGTTTGGTGCCCCACACGCTTGGGGTTTGGTCGCGACCGTGCTGATGCGGTCGAAAGTCCGGATGGCCGACAGTGTCGAAGCGTAAGACACTGCGCCGGTGCGTGCCCGACTGGCAGCAACACCTACTTTATTTAGATGAACTAGCGCGGTGTCAACCACCGACTAACTACAAATACACGTGTACGTCGAACGCGCACGACTCAGTTCCGTAGTCGCTCCTCTAGCCACTCGGGCGTACGCCCACACGCGCCTGCCCTACTCGTCGCAGCCGTCGAAGAACTCGGAAGCCACGTGCTTCCTGTTCGTCACTCTGTTGTCGTTCACGCCGCAGCCGTCCATCGAGGTCGCCGTTAGTGTCCACCGCCGTTCGTCCACCTGTCGTTCGTCCGTTCACCGCTTGTTGCGCTTGCTGCCAAACGCGCGTTCCTCGGGCCTGCTCGCTGGCCGTCAAAACCCAAAGTGAGCTCCGTCGTGGGACTCGCGGAGTCCAGCGGGCCCGAAGATCCAGTAGATCCCTCGGTACCGCGCAGCAGATCCTGCCGACCACAATGCCAGCCGGATTCACGTCCCACGCTGCCGTCTACTTCAACGCCGTCGTACAGCGTGGTTGCGCGCCCACCGTCTCGTCCTTCGCCGTGTCGTCGGCCTCCTTACAATCTACCTACTCTGTAGCGAGGATACTTGAGGGCTTGCTGCAAGAAGGGATAAACGAGGCGGCCACTTGAATCGCGTTCACGACTGGAGATGCCTCGTTCATCCTCCATCTGTGCAACCCACGCCGAGTCAAGGCATTTCCCGAGAAATCGGTTTGGACCTACGGGCTTCGTGATCAACAGCCATAATATAGCTTTCGTTGCGCTTGAGATGCCCATGTGGTTGTTGGTCTACCACTTTCTAATAATGACACCCCGTGCATGTGGCTGGAACGATGCTGGCGTTGGACTTTGTGCCAATTATAGGAGCACTCAGACGAAGTCAGCGTCATTGCTAATTGAGTCAGCGTGACTGAGCGAATCCCTAATTCCGGAAAACTTCAAGTAAATCACAAGCCAAAGCAAATATAGCCGTTCTCAACATACCAGAGCTGGGCTATCATCGCTAGGTGTTGGAGCTCCCAGAAATATACAAAGTTGCCGAATACCCCCAAGGCCTAAGTGTTGTTGAAAAAGGATGGAGATCCATAGGCTGCCTGTCTGTCCGTAGAATAATAAAACGACAAGTACCTCTGGCCGCGAAAGGACGTGGTGCGATCCGCCATGGAGCCGAGCAAGGTCAAGCCCGTGGGCAGCATCTCCCGCGATGACGTCCGCCATACGCTGCACACGCATTTCCACTCTACCAAGCCCAATCCTCGACCGTCTACCGGTGGCGGCCCTGGTGGGGGTTCTACCGCCGTCGCCAGTCGCAAGCGCGTCTTCTCCTTCTTGCAGGTGCAGAAACCCAAGACGATAGCGGAGACCAAGCGACTGTTTGGCCACGGAGCCAACGCCAGCAAATATTTCGTCCTCTGCGTGACGGTGCAGGACTCGACCGCTGCCGTGAAAGGCGGTGGGGCTCAACTGGAGTTGCATTACGTGCAACTGCTGAGCAACTTGTCGGTGGACGTTCGTCACTCGTGGAACTTGAGTGCATTGGACACCATTGAGCACAATGGCATTGGGCCCGACAAGACGAGGGGCGCCTTCGCGCTCTTCTTCGCGGGGGAGGCGACGTCGTGGCAGTGGCTCGTGGAGACGCGGGAAAGTGCGACGGCGATGCACGAGTTCCTGTGGAGTGTGTGTGCCCTTGCAGTGCAGAATAATGTACGTGAGGAGAGAAGAGTGTCTTTCGTGGGTAAATATTTTTTAACGGTTTGTTGTGTAGACCTTGCTGCCGAGACTGGTGCGGATCAATGTGGAGGAGCTACACGAGGCAGCGACCAAGCTCAACCTGCAGAAGACGTACGATCTGGACGTTGATCTGGTGCAGTCTGTGGTACGTGCGTCTTTCGTTCGATTGCTTGGGATATCTACTGATAGTTGGTGGTGGTGTGTGTGAAGACTGAGATGAAGAAGAACGGAGCATTGACGGATGATTCAGTCGCTGGTATAGACGCTGCTACGGGGAAGAAAACCGTGGATATCAATGCAGGAATCGACGTGTCTGGGCTTCGGCTTTCGTCACCGGAGAGCGACGAAGCTCTGAGTCTGCTGAACGACGTGAACTGGAACGAAGCGCAGCTGTCGGCGGTTGAAGACGATCTTCGCAAGAAGCTGTGTGCGCTGGAGGATGAGAACATCGCGTTCTTGCTGTCGTTGGATGGGGATGCATCCGTGTCGCCTCTCCCTGCTGCGGGGATGACTGGAAAGAGTTCCTCCAAAGCTAGTACATCGGTAGACAAGATCCTCGAAGCCATCGACGCACTTCAACAGCGCATTACGTTGATTCAAGACTGGACCAACGAGTCCGACGAGTCCCTGGGACAGACTTCGAGTAGTATGCAGCACTTCGAGGCGCTCAACAACCAGCTGGAGATGCATTTCAAGAACAGCGTCTCGCTTGAGGAAGTGCTGGCCAAGTTGATGGCTCAGGTGGAGGTTCCGCAGCAGCATATGAAGGTTTTCCTGTCTCCCGTGGACGTATTCCCCAACGAAGTCGGAGGAAGTAAGACTAGCGTGACGACTGGGGGCGATGGTGGTCGGGATGTGGGCGTCGCCGAACGTATGCGAGCGACCATTGCTGCTATTGCCGCCATGGTTCAAGCTATAAAGTCGACTCAGGCATATCCAGCTAGCGAAATGATCGCATTCCGAGCGCGCGGTGACGAATTGTCCAAGTTAGTGGCGACTTTCGGCGATAAACTCTGCGTTTCGTTCGATTCTTTCCTCCAGCGGAAGATTAAACAGTGGATGAACGCTCGAGGTGGTGACAAGCGTGATCCGTCGTCAGGCAGCGATGAGATGAACTGGAATTTCACGAGTGAGCCTCTCCACCACCTTCTATCGGACTACCAGTCGCTCTTTGCTCACGTGAATTCACTGGACCCTCGAATCCTCGCGGCGCTAAGACAGACATACAGCAAGCAGCTTGCGCCCGTCTACAATGCCCACGCTCAGGCGCTGTTCCGCCACTTGAGGGACAAGCTGCCTCGGAATTCCAAGCACCACTTTCACAAGCCAACGTCGATCCAATCTCGAGGGATCCACCTCTCGTCCTCCTTCTTCAGCGTGGGAGACACAATGTGTGCAGCTCCGTTGATGCAGCAGGCGCTAGACCACCTCACCCCACTCGTGATAAGTGAACAACGACTGGTGGCTCGCGTATTCTTCCCCAGTCCGACGGAGCGAGCAGATGGGAAGCATGAGCTCGAGGAACTGACGGTCATGATGGAGGGCGTCTTCGAGAAGCTGCTCAAGCGCATGAACGAATTCGGCGAAGCGGCTGGACTTCGGAACATCTTGGACGCTCTAGCGCTCGTGGTGCTGGTGAATGGGAACCTTGAGGAGTACCGGCAGCAGAGCGCGTTCCTGTACAACGTCATGGTCAGCTTCCAGCTCCAGATGAAGAGAATGCTGATCAAGTTCACTGAGGAGCAGGTGCGTTTTTCAACCTCTAGAGTGTGTTGCTACTTTGCTTCTGATGGTGTGGTGGAATGACAACAGGAAGCCTGGATAAGTGCCCAAAATGTCGACACGAAGATGGCAGGTGTGCTTGCTCCAGTCAAGAAAATTGTGGTAAGACCCGACGATTCCTACGTTCAAACGCTGTTTTAACGAGGTGTTTACCGCTCATATCGCTCGCATGTGTAGAACATGATCGCTCGGATGGAGGAAAGCGTAGCTGGCAAGGCTAGTGACAGCACGTTGGTGTCCATCTACAACATGATCGTGCCTGCAACGATGCAGTGGCTGGACAAAGTGTCCGAGTCACGGCCGAAGTATGCAGCCCTGACGCGGCTTGGTACGTCTGCTATCGTCCAATCTCAATGTCGATGCTTCTCTCACAACATTCCATTTGGTGCACGTGTAGAAAACTACCTCTTCCTGAGTGACAACCTGAAAGCAATCAACGGTTCGAAAGACCTCCCACTAGCTCAGTATGCCGAGGAGGCGTACGAGCGGTACACGAAGAACCTGCAGCTCTACGTTGCTTCCGTCTGGGAGTACGCTTTCAAACAACTGGTGGTGCGTGTGCCAAGACCGACAAGTCCATTTGAAGTGGGAAGGGTGCTAAGGCTGTCGATCGTGCTGGTTGTGGCAGCCCTTGATTGCATCGATTGAATCGCTCATGGCGTCAGTGCCAGCGTCAGAGATCCAGTATCATTCGCCTCGCCAGGAAGTTCGTCGTGTACTCGATGCGACCGCAAGCACGGTACGGAAAAAAATAAACGCCAGGACTTACTTAGCCAGGGCTAACCCGACCCCATGCTTGTTGCAGTTCGAGAAATCTGTTCGCATCATGCATGACCGCATGAAGAAGCACTTTCGTGAGAACCCCAAGATTTTGCCGAACGTGTGGACGCAACTCGTCGCCTACGGGAGCAACCGTATGGCTGTGTACGCTCTCGTTGCCGGAGACTGCTATCAGCTACGCCTGGAGCCGACGCCCGAGCGCGGGTTGGAGCTGCTCAACAAGTTTGCATTCACCTAAACATGGCCGTTCGAAGACTGTTCATCACAAGTACTCACGGAATAAGTGTTAGCGATACACCAATCCAGCACTGAAGTGCGCACGTATCTTTCTCGTTATTCTTGTTTCCACTTCCTCGCCGAAGGGGCTGCCTTCGGTGCAGGGTAGGCCCAGATAATGAGCGACAGCGTGTGCACGGAGACGTAGATGCAGCAAATGTACGACAGCGCCAGCAGGTTGATGCGGTGGACGAAGCTGCTCACAACAGTCGATAAGGCCGACGCGTGGTCTGTTGCAATAAACAACCCACAACTTATCAGTAAATATGCGCTTGGAATATCGTAGACAGGGTGAAAGCGCGTACCTAGGCGACTCCATTTCAAGAGCGCAAGTAGCACCAGAGGAGACGATACAAAGAGCCACAACCCATTCAACACGTTCTTGGCTACTGATGCGGTGGAGAACGGGACAACTCGCGCGAAGTGGGTCATTGCAATCGCGCAGAAGAGAGCCATTGGATAGTTCAGGATGCCTAGAATGCAATGAGCATACCTGGTCATAGGTATCGTTAGATATTAAACACAAAATTTGGCAACCATCGAGTGGCAATACAACGTACACGAGCATCGCCATCGTAATGAACTTCACCGCCCGCCACCCTGAATCCAGCTCCGGGATATCGTTGCTGGATTCACTTAGCTCAGCAGGACTATCTGTAGATCCCTCCTTCTCTTGGTCCAGTCGCTTTTGCTGCTCCGCATCGTACACCACGATCCTCTTACGCCAGTCGTAAATCTCAACGCAGCCAGAAAAGCCCACCACGGAACGTAGAGCTGGCAGCACAATCAACACCACTAGAGCTTGCACAACGGAGACTATGACTGCAAGTGTCCACCACCTTGCAGCATCACGCTCACCATGGACTCCCAGAAGAGCAGCCGGAGACGCAAAATAGCGACTCACCCCAACCAGGAGTAAAGCACACAAGCCTTCAACCACGATGAAGACCGACAGTGCGAAAGCGACCCGCATTCCACTCGTTTTGTTTGCCAAGAACAGTAAATGCGCGATAGCAGGCGAAATCGCCAGAGCCACTGTATAATAGTACTCGCCCACGGACACGAAGGTGGTCGTGCTGGGGAGGACGTAGAGGAAGAACGACTGGTGGAGCTTTTCTTCCAGGTTGCTGAGAGCACGGACGACCATCTCGATAGAACGCAGCACCTCACGCGTTGAGAGTGAGCGATCGCTTGAGCCTACACTTTTCACCAACGACAGCGTGATGCTGTCGATGTTGTAGCTGATGAAGTTCGCATGGGGACCAGAAGGACCCGATGCCAGCGTCGTCATAAAGTGCAGCATCCCCTTCAGGTTTGCCAGGTAGTTCTGTGCGCTTTGCTTGTATTCTTCCGGGGTGTGTTTCTCGCTGAGACTGGAGATGAGATTGATCACAGACGACACGTATCCCTTGTGGTTACGACCACCCACTTGCGCTGCATCGGCGCGATCCAAAATCGTAGGGATTTGGTGCTGGCCGAAAGCACGCACGGCAGTGTTCACGAGGTCCAGGTTCGGCAACTGGCCGTTCATGCCAGCGGTGTAGATTCCTACCGAGCCCACCTCCTTCGAGTTCATCAACGTCTCCACATTCACAGCTGCGCGAATAACTCCAGCGCGCATCGGCAGTGCGCCTTGCAGTCCGCTCTCGACCGGGTCCAAGTGGTAGGCCCGCAGCCAGGCTTCCGTCCCCAGCGCATACCCGTCACTTCCGTCCAAAACGCCATCTACAGCGAAATCCACAAGGCAAATCTCATATACGTAAGAAAAAAAATCTCAAACCTCCGCTCGAAGCACAACCCGTACCGTCCGCAGCGAGCAGAATGACGTCTTTCGCCAGCCACTTGGCCCTCGCCAGATACTTCAGCAGCGCCAGACCCAGCGACAGTCCTGAGTAGTCGCCACTGTCTTTCCCAACATTTCTGTAGTGCGTCACCAGCACGATCGCCTCCTACACGCACACCAAGTCCAGCAGCAATTAGTAGCCAAGCTTCTCTCTCACCCAGCACACCACTGCTACGTGTTGTTCTACCTTCCCATCTGCGAGCGGTGAAGCTCTCAGCACACCATACACATTGGTGCGTGGCGTATCACCCCCCTCCGACTGAAATACTTGGCAGTAGGCTTCGACACGGTCCAGTCCGCGTAGCTGCGCGTCGATCCAGTCCACGACCAGCGAGCAGTTGTCCCCGCAGCCTCCTGCAGGCAGATCCGGGACCTCCAGCAGCTGCTCGTGGAAGCTCCGCGCCGAGTTTCCCTCTTGGTGACTGGCGCGCGCCTCCATGAGGTCGATCAGCAGCGCGTTCTCCGACATGTACGTGCCGCGGCACTTCAACTCGCCTAAACGCACGTAAAATCACGTGTTAGGAATGTTTAAGCACGAAAAAACGTGGTTTTAGCCAACGTGGTTTTAGCCGTGTTGTTGCGATGATAAGAGGTAGTACCGGTGGTGACGGTGACGACGGGGTGCAGCAGCAGCCAAACGAGCCCCAGAACGTACGTCCCCCAGCTGAAAAACACACAAACCCATGGTGGATGTGAGCAAATAGCTGGTAGAGTTAACGATCGATATCTCGGCAGATACGAAGGGTCTACCAATGATTATTGCGTGAGAGAAAGCGGAGAGACAGTAGAACTACTCACCATAATGACAGACAGCGAGCCGCCACGTAGCCGCGGAGACGCAGCAGCGCGCGGCGCGCCTTGGGCGGCGGCTTGGGCTTGGCGTCGCTCATTGTCAGATCGCACAAGTTTCTATCTGAAAAGCGACGTTTCTAGGGTTAGACCTTACACACAAAATATTTCTAAATAGTAACGGCCAGCTAGAAATGGCTACATGTCAATTTGGTCCTCAATGGAGCTGAGCGAGTATGAGGCCAAGCGCCAGCGCCGCGTACAGGAGAACCTGCAGAAGCTGCAGGCGCTGGGCGTCCCCAAGATCCCGCAACGGCCTCGCCCCGTTGCCCGCAAGAAGCGAGAAGCGCAGCAGCTGCAGCCCGTGCGTAGGTCGCTGCGTCAGCGTCGGCAGCGGGAAAATGACACAACAGCGGAAGAGGCCGAGCCCGAAGAGCTGCAGGCGCTGGACTCGCTGCCCCCACGACCAAAACGAGTCAAGCCCGAGCCCCCAGAACCTCTGGACTTGCCTGTCACCCACCCAGCGGAGCTGTATAACCCCCACAGGGGCAAGAACCAGCACGTGTCCAGCTCCCAGATCCAGATTCAGCTGGAGCAGTTCCACTCGGAATGGCTGGGCACGCAGTTGCTGCCCGTGGGTAAGCAGACGGTCATGCAGGGCATGTGTCCGCCCGGGTTTGTCGCCAAGTTCTCCAAGATGAGCGGCGTGCAGCCGTGGAGCAACGCCGTCGTGCTGTTCGTGAACGTGGAGAGCGAGTCGCCGTACGACAATGTGTTCCAACAGGAGGAGGCGGACGGACGCAGTGCTGTGCACTTCCAGTGGTTTGGGCAGAACCGATGGCACGACGAGTCGCCGTTGGTGATGAGGCTGAGGAGGATGAAGAGAGGCGACGAGAGTCTGAGGTTCGACGAGTCGTACTACGACAGGGTTGAAGGGGAGACACGGGAAGAACCGCTACTACTTTTCCTCCGACACACACAGGTACAGTCTACAAGTGATATAAGTTTAGTGACAGACTAAGGATCGATTGTTTTGGCTAATACTTACTTGTTGGATGTGGAAACGCCCAGGGCCCTTATATCTACTGCGGGCGGCTTGGTTACCTCGGCCATCGGCCGGCATCCAAACCTTTGGAGTTTCGGTGGCAATTGCTGGATGTGGACTTGTTACAGAGGGAAAAAGTGCGTGACCTGTTGGCAACCTCTGATCCGTCTAAACACTTAAGTGGCCAGAACTAGTAGCATCAAAGGACAACGGTCCATCAGGAAGGGATGTGTCGGATGCGTGGAATGAGACGGCCATTTCGTTCTACAACAAGATCATCGACGCTGATTTTGTGCGACGACGTGATGGCAAAACATTAGGCGCATTCAGCACGAAACAAACAAAGTTTCAGCTCAATCAGCCTGATGTATTATTATTTCGGCAACGTCGTTTTTGAACGGATTAATCTGCGTGATTGAGGGCTTCTGTCCTCCCATCGTGTCCTCCCTTAATTCTCAGTGGTTCCAACTCGTGCTGAATCGAACAAGCATACAAGTATGCAGCCATGCAATTTGAAAAGTACAGATAGTAGTGTAGCGTTTTTCGCCGGTCAAAACGAGGCACCTCCATCACCAGCCAAACGTTCAAATACTACAACTACATTCGAACAAAAAACAATGTTTTGAACTCACAGAAATACCGCGATCGTTTTTAGTCTGTGGTGCCCATCGATCTTGTACTGGTTGTTTGGTTGACTTTCAGTCCAGCCCTGCAGCTGTGGCCAATGACGGAGCCAGCATGGCAGTGCATCGGTCATTCCAGTTTCAGCGTTATTGTGCGAAACCCGTCTTCTATTTTTGATGCGCCTTGTACTCGGCCAGGTATGCTTCGTAGCCGGGGTAAGTTTCACCGAACACACGATCCGATAGCAAGATCCAGGTAGTCCTGGTAGCCGGGTCTACGCCTTGGCCCTTCAAGAACTCAAATCGCGGTCGAAGGATGTCGTCTCTGCTGCGGCTTAAGTATCTTGTGCAGGACTGCAGCCGGTCTGGGGTCAGGCCCACGACCGACACAAGGTAGTCGAAAGCTCGCCGGAGTCCCTCCACATTGTACGAGAGCAGACGAAAGTGGCGCTCGATTGCTTGAGAACCGGCCCCGTCACCGAACATTTCGTCCAGCGCGTCGAAAGTCTCCTGAATTCTCGACATTCTCAATCCAAGGATGTCAGGAGCATTCGGAAGAAGTTGTGGCAGACGTTCTCGAGGTATGCCAAGCTGCACCATGTAGTCCAGCTTGCTGTTCATGCTTTCAGTCGAATAGCAAAGAACTTGCGGCGCCCTCTTCAGAATACCCGTGAGCTGCTCGTCGGTGAGTCCAATCTCCCGGAAGAAATCTAATTTCGAGTCCAGGGTGTTGCTGCTGAGGCTCAGCAGGCTGGGACCAATGATAAACAGGAAAGGCAACTTATATCATGCTGTCAGACTTCCGCCGTTGTCAATAAAAAGCACAAAATAACTGCATATTTACGTACTTTTGCTTCGGGCACACCATGTGCGAGGAACCAGTTTACCAGCGTCATGTACCTCTCAGTCGTGTGTCCCAGCATGGATGGGTTCCGCAAAATCGCGACGTTGATCTTGTCGTGACTCAGACCCAACTCCTCCAGCCAGCTTATCTGTCAGTCCAATGGCGTCGTCAGTCGTTTGCATCTCTGCACTCCACACCATTCATTCTTGCGCACCTTGCTCTCCAGCAGCTCCGTTGAGTACGTAACCAGCTACAGGACGGTAAGAAGAACGCCCCGTTAGCCTCGCTGCAGCATGGTCAACTTTTTTGTTACTGTGTGATACCGGAACAAAATTTGCGACGGCCTGCATCGCTTTCGTCCTGGAGATCCCTCGGTCTGCCAAGAAGGCCACCGTGCGGTTCAGCGCCTCATCGGAGAAGACACCTTTAACTTGTCGCGGGTACTTCTCTAGGATAGTCGCGTAGTACTGCTTCTGCTTCCTTTTGGCAGCCACGCCGCCCTCTGCGGCTGGTACAGGGAGCGCAGCAAACCCCCTCGCGAGCGGCACCCGAGGAGCTCGCCACAGCCGCAGCATTGCGAAATTGACACGGACAAGCATGTTTGACAGGTATCGTTCAAAACCGGTCAAAACCGGTATACCTTTAATTTGTAGGTTTTCGTCACATTTTGACACGCTTGGGTAATGTGTCTGCTCCTGTATTGAGCGAGTATGAGGCCAAGCGACTGCTCCGCATCGCCGAGAACAAGCGCAAGTTGGTGTCTCTGAACATCGCCACCTTCGAGCGCCCTGCACCTCCTGCAAGCGCACCAAAAGCCAAAAAACAGAACAAGACCGCGACGAAACAGACCAAGCCAACCAGAGTGTCCAAACGAGTCAAGACTCTACGAACCCAGCAGTCGAAGGCTGATGCAGTGGCTAAGGAAGCCCACGACTTTCTGCAGCATTGGGCAACAATAGTCAAACAGCTGAGGTGGAAGAACAGGCATACTCAAAAACTCGAAGCTCCGACCTATACCTGGGCCCAGTTCAAAAAGCTCAAGGAGGAGAGAGAGCAGGAGCTGGACAAGCTGCTCGAAGAGCAGCCTCCATCGCTCGACCTGCCGTTCGTGTATCCGTGTCAAGTGCAGAGCTGGCGTCGAGGGTCCCAAGAGAGAACGAACGACCTGAACCTCCAGTTTGAGCCTTTCCACAGCTTGTGTCTCGGCAGACAAGTGCTGCCTGAAGGCAGGCACAGCGTCATGCACGCCTTGTGCCCGAGTAACGCAGTGAATTTCGCCAGAACCAACAGGATTTGTCTCTGGAAAAATGCCATGGTGCTGTTCGACTCGGACGAGGATTCCGAGTACGCGTTCCATGAAGATACGGTGGACGGACGCCGAGTCGTCTACTTCGAGTGGCTCGCCCAACTGCGGAAAAACAGCCTCCCAATGATTGTTCAGCGGCTGAGCAAGGTTCAGAAGGGTGACGAGTGCCTGCGCTTAAACAAGTCGTACTATGGCACTAGTGGCGATGAGAACGAGAGCACGAAGGAGCCGCTGCTGTTTTTCCTCGAACACCCCGCGGTAAATACTCTACTTCGAAGGACCTGTGTCTCTATGACGTTTCGCGAGGGATCTCTAACGTGTTGGGTTCTCTGTTCTTTTGATGAGCAGGGCGTTCATATATACTGCGGACGGCTTGGGTATCTTGGCCATCGAGGGTCGAACCCGCCAGAGTTCAGGTGGCAGTTGCTGGACGTTGCGGCAATGGACTGGAACAAGATATTCCGCGCCCTGGATCTAGAGTATTAACAGAAATATTGCAGCGGCCGAATGCCTTATCTACACGATCGAGAACGGGATTTTCTTTGGTTGTTTGTCGAGGCCTAAGTCTTGCGATTACGAGAAATTATGGGCTGCTACCGTGAATATCACTTTCATGTTTTTAAGTACGGTGCACCGGATGCCTTATCTGTGTGAAAGCCGCATACTTTACAAGGCCGTGCTCTGCCCGGAACAGCTCTGGATTTTACGTCGCTCTTGGGCATAAGTTGGCGTACCGCGGTATTTTGTTTCTACTCGGCCAGCAGCGGCAGCCAGCCAATCCCTGTATTTTGCCAGTTCGGACTGGTTGACTCGTAGGACTTCCCGGGCACGAAATCTAGCGACGACAAACGTGGAAACCTGTGCAAGCCGGCCTCCAACCAGCAAAAGGAAAGACAAGAACTTTAATTAAATTATTCATTGGCATGCAGAAGGAAATAGTCGACTCAGGCTGCACGTACTCCACATAATAACGCTACCAGTGCTGATTTGTGAAGGCGCGCCTTCTTGTTTTCCAGAATTCGTACGACGTCGAAGTATCCGGTCACCTTAGCTCTCGCTAGTGCTTCACCGATGCTCACATCATCATACTGGTCTCGCAACAACTCCACCACCTCCACACGACCTTCCATTGCTGCTGCCGAGAGAGCAAAGTTGACAGTCGACGCGTCACTTTTCTCCAGTAAAACTCTCACGACCTCGATATGGCCACGTGCCGCAGCAGAAGTCAAGCCACGTGCAATAGTGTATATGTCCATTCTGCTCAGCAAGTACTCGGCAAGGACAACAGAACCATCAGCCGCAGCATCTGCGAAAATATTCACGATGGTGTTGTCATCGCAACTGCCAAGCACCAAGTTTGTCAAGTCCGTCATACCACACGCTGCAATCTGAGTTAAGAGAGCTCCAACGATGTCACGTTGTTTTTCTGGAGCTGCTTTGACCAAAGCATTCACTCGGCACTCCAAGCTGCTCTTCGCAAATACCTCCACCATACTCGGACTGTTCTTTTCCACAGCTACCTTCAGACCCCAACTCACATCAGCATCTCCACATTGGGCAAGGAGAAGCTTAAGCACCTCGACAGAACTATTCGACGCAGCTTGTTGCAGAAGCTCCACGATATCATGTTTCAGACCCTCTCGCTTTGATTGCGTGGTCTGACATAGTTCGAGCATCAATTCCGTGACAGCGAGCTGATTGTTCTCCACCGCGTAGTAAAACATCATTTCCACCGACATATCCACACAGTCAAATAGCAATTTTACCGCATCAGTTTTACCCGAACTCACGGCAAAATCAAACGCGCGGTCGATAGCTTCTTGGAGGCGGCAGTACCGCTGCTTGCATCACTCTCGCTAAGACTCGATGGCTTGGAGTCTTCCTCCGGAAGAGGGCAAAATTCAAGCACTAATGCCAGCATTTCACAGGAACAGTTGGTAGCTGGCACGATAGCATGCGCCAGTGCAGTTTTGTCAGGATGGTATCGCTCCTGTATCAACCTCACAACATCGAGTCGACCAGCTTTTGCCGCAGCGCTTAATGCATCACCAATGTCACTCATCTTTCCCATATCAGCCAAATACTCGACAATCGCAATATGGCCCAACTCCGCAGCCCTGCGCAAGGCGAAACCATCGAACATCACGTGCCCTCTTCTCTCAAATAGGTACTGCAGGGCTCGCAGTTGCCCATTCTCCGCCGCAAGGTAAGGTGCCTTCCTCATGGCATTACTCCAAGGATTCCTTGGCCAGGGCCAAAGAGCCCGCAGCACATCAACGTGACCCCCAGCAGCCGCTGCTTGCACAGCTAGGACCGTGTCGTCCGCCTCGACATCTTCGCGTAGCATCTCCACCGCCTGCACGTGTCCATTCGTAGCAGCAGCAGCCAGCTCCTTCGGTGGGTCGCCGTGTTCGTCGTAGAAGTCGTAAAGCCATCGTAGAACGTTGACGTGATTATTCCCTGCTGCTCCGATGAAACCAGCAGATGAACAGCCTTCGTCTCTGGTGTCGTGTAGCTTCTGTAGTATGTCTAGACGGCCTTAAGTCGCAGCTCCGTCCATTGCTCCCAAAGTCACGGGACGAGAAGATTCGTAGACCCGCAGCACTCGCTGAAGGGCGTTGTAGATGGCAGCGTCGATAGTGGTCGGTACGAGGAAATCGCTGATTGCCTGGGTGACGTGTGGCAGCGCTTGGACTCGCGCGGGGAGAGCTACGGCGACGCAGAGTAACACGGGAGAAGGAGACCGCATTTTCATTTCTGGCAACTCGAATAGTTGATTCCCATGCTAGTCGGAATATTTGGGTAAGGTAGTCGAAATATTCTATTGGGACCAGATATCGTGCTACTTCAGAAGTAACAATTTTCCAAAGTTGTGGGTCACTTTGGGGGTACATTTTCTAGGAGCTGGTGATCGCCGATCATAAATTCAAAACGTTCAAATGCGTACATCTCTAACCTGTGCGAACCAGCGACAAACACCGAACCGGGTACACTACAGTATTAGTCTCAGATGAAGTAAAGAAAGCTGGTGAATGATGTACTGTACAATAGCAAAGATGAGCATTTGTCACACGATCAATCGTACGTCCGCCGCTTCCAAATTCAACATCATATCTTGTACACTGCTATACACTTTGAGGCAAATTACCGGGGGGATGCTGTGTACGAACTGGTTTTGTAGGATCACGCAACGAGTGGTTGCAGAAGCAGTTGTTCGGTTTTGTTCCTGAAAAGCAGTAGATAAATCTCGCCATCATGGTAAACTGCGTGAACCAACGTAGGATTGCCATTCACGCAATCAGCAAGTGATTGGGATCACTACATATTGAAGTGAGTCTTCGCGCGCCTTGAGGTCCAACGTCCGGAAGTATCTACTTAACCGTTTGAGTTTTACTGAACTTTGTTTAGGCGACCAATAATACTGCAGCCCTGCCTGGAGCGTCATTCCGACTTTGTTAACTTTTGGAAGGCGCCTTTGCTAGGTTGAATTGTTGCAAACTACGAAATCTACTGTAGTCAGCATGATTCTATCGCGAGAACCGTCACACTATTACATGTGGTATTACAATGAGAATAGGAAAGGATCCTAAGCTGGGGGACAACAGTACGAAGCATGCAATGCCAAGACGCCTGCATTCGTTGCTAACAGATTAAAATGTAGCTAGACCTGCGGACTGATGACTCCACGAGAGAGTAATACGGATTGCACCATCACGCCTGGCGTTGAATCGGCTTGTCCGATTCAAGACCTCATTCCTCAACTTTCCAGCAACCAATAATCCCGTATTGAACCACCAGCTTGTTGAGCAAGCATGCTGCTCTACCGGACCGTGACGATTGGGCTATGCTGCGTCTTAGCTCAGACGGCTGCCGCAGCGAATGCCGCAAAACGTCCGCTGAATGGGTGGTATCCTTGCTCTGAGGTCACCTTTTCAGACGCCGCAGGGAGACCACGAGAGCAAACTGCCGAATGCGCTGTCTACTCCGCTCCGTTGTGTCACCCTGGCGTCTACAAGGCCCCAGCGACGGCGGATCCGACAGTCGACATCTTCGTGAAGCGCCTGCCCGCTTCGGTTGGTAACGTCGCGAAAGCGTCCAACGCGTGGCTTCTATCCGGAGGACCTGGGTTTTCATCCGTTGGCAGTAAGTTTGCACTCGCTCTTGTATTGTTCCAGTATAGAATTCTCACGTGTTTTAATTGTCGTTTTTGATGCAGTGGAGCAAAAGATGAAGGACCTTCACGCGCGACTCGGGGGTAAAGTCAATGTTTACACCTTGGATCATCGGGGCACTGGACGCAGCACCCTCTTCGACTGTGTGGCCGCACAGGCTATGACGAGTGGGTCGCCCCGGGGTCGCGACATCAGAGGGACCGAAGTTCCTTCCTGCGCGAAGGACTTGCACTCGAAGTACGGAGACCTGTCCTCGTTCTCGATTACCAGCGCTGCGTCGGATATTGCCTCGTTCATTTCCGACTATTCGAACGGAGCGAGCACTTTCGTGTACGCCGAGAGCTACGGTACAGCCTTGGTCGAGCGCCTCATGCACCTCAACCCAGCCACCGTATAGGGCTACGTTCTGGATGGCGTTGCGGCTCCTACTGGTGTTTCACCGGGCAAATTCGAGTACTTCTCGATGTGGGATACTGGAGGTGGGCGAGTACTTCATGGGGCTGTGCGGTTTGGACGGCGACTGTAAGACGCATTTCCAGTCGGCGAACCTGTCGTCTGCGCTCCGCGGTCTAATGACAAAGATCGACAACGACCGCAACTCAACTTGCGCTTCGCTGGTTGCTAATGGGGTCACGACCGTTCCCCCATCATACATGCTCCGAAATGCGCTGGCTAATCTGCTGAAAGAGGCGAACATTCGCACGCTCATCCCGCCAGTTGTGTACAGACTGAACCGCTGCAGCACGGACGACGTGGACGTCCTGACCCAGTTCTTCGCCTACCTCCACTCGTACACGTCTTACTCGAATGTGGACGATCCGTACTTCTCGAGCCTTGTGTCCTACCTCATCGTGTTCTCGGAGATGTGAGAGATCCCGACGCCTTCGCAAGCCCAGATGGAGGCACGCTTGGTGAACTCGAGTATCGCCCCTGGAGACACCTACGGCCAAACGTCGTTGTACTGCGCGTTCTCGAAGGAAAAATCAGCAGCGTGCGATGCGTTCAAACTCGGCAACTACAATGGCAACGGGATCTTCTACCAGCGTGACGGATACTGGAACAAGTCTGCGACTCTCCCAGCCGACGTTAGTGTGCTGCTGCTCAACGGCAAGTTGGACCCGCAGACGCCGCACAAGTACGCGCAATACATGCTCGAAGCGCTTCGCACCAGCAAGAAAGAACTCGTCACTTTCGACTACGCTGAGCACGACATCGTGGCTACGCCTCGACTGGGCGACAGCAACGACCCCGACGTGACGTGCGGCATGAAGCTGTTGGTGTCGTACATCAGCAACAACGGCGACCTGCAGCGCCTGGACAAATCGTGCGTCGGCCAAATGCCAGCGTTCAACCTCACGGTGCCAACCAATGAGTTGCACAACTTTTTCAGCACGGACGAAGCGTACGACGGCGCCTTCCAATCGGGCCTCAGCTCTACCTAGGCAACACGCTTCGGCGGTGTACTTAGTAGACGACTTGTACCTACCGGTCTTCACAACTCCTACCAAGCCTAGACGTAGATTTTCACACTCAAATCAGAGAAAAACGCTGTTTCCAAAAGGATATTTCGACTAACTTACCGAATATTTTGACTAACAAAGGGGGGGTCGATGCCGTGAAAATGCGGTCTCCTCCCGTGCTGCTTTGCGTCGCGGTAGCTCTCCCCACGCGAGTCCAAGCGCTGCCACACGTCACCCAGCTGATCAGCGACCTTCTCATACCGACCACCCTCGACGCCGCCATCTACAACGACCTTCAGCGAGTGCTCGGGATCTACGAGTCGTCTCTCCCCGTGACCTTCAGAGCGATGGACGGAGCTGCGGCACGAGGGCGGCTCGATATCTTACAAAAACTACACGACACCAGACAGGAGGGTTGTTCGTCCGCAGCCTTCCTCGGAGCTGCGGAGAACAACCACGTCAACGTTCTACGCTGGCTCTACGACTTCTACATCGAGCTCTGCAACCCACCGAAAGAGCTGGCTGCTGCTGCTACGAACGGACACGTGCAAGCGGTGGAGATGCTACGCGAATACGTCGACGAGGACGAGATTGGTGTTGCACTTGCGGCTGCGGCTGCTGGGGGCTATGTTGATGTGCTGCGGGCACTGTGGCCGTGGTCAGTGGATGTCTTGTTTATTCAAAATGCCGCTGACGCCGCGGTGAATAATGGGCAACTGCAAGCTCTCCAGTACCTTTTTGAAAGAAGGGGCTTCGCAGTCTACGATAGCAGTACCCTGTACAAGGCTGCGGAGCTGGGTCATACAGCCATTGTCGAGTTTTTAGCTGGTATGGCAGATAAGACTGATGTCGGCGAGGTATTTTGTACAGCAGCTCATTCTGGGCAGATCCAAGTGGCGCGGTTGATACTGGAGAGATTCCACCCAGGCAAGCGTGTGCTGGCGAATGCTATTCCTAGTGCTGCCGATAACTGTGAAATGCTGGCACTTCTTCTGGATTATTGTCCTGGTCTGGAGAAAAGCTCTCAGGCGTTGGGCCTTGGAGAGGGTGGACAAGAACTGAGGCATACGTATTGCCCCCTTCGAGAAGCGTTCGATTTCGCTTTTATCGTTGCGGCGAAAAAAGGATCCGTGGATGCGGTGAAATTGCTTTATGAGAGGGTGGGGTTGCCAACAGCGATTGGGGGCATGCTATCCATGGCAGTAAGCAATAACCAACTCCTTGTCACGGAAATGGTATTCGACCTGTGTCCGAACAGAGAAAGTATGAAGTATGAAATCGTGGACATTCTGCATGAGGCGGCGTCGAACGGTTCTATCGATATGCTCAAGCTTCTCGTTGATAGATGCGGAGACGCTGGTGTGAGCCGGGGTCTGACGATAGCTATTGGAAAAAACAATGTGGACATGGTGCAAGTGTTTGTGAAGAACAGCAGCTTGGAGTGCCGAGTAAATGCTTTAGTCAAAGCCACTTGGTAAAAGATAACACGTCCTAATAGACGTCCTAAGATGTCCTATTGTCCTAAAAAATGCGGTATATTACTTGCAGTTTGCTCATAAACGGTACCAAAAATTAGGACAACACAGCTCGTTTTAGGACGAACGGGCTGGTTAGGAGCTGTCCTAATAGGACAGCCACAATTCACTTACCGAAATCTGTCCTAATAGGACAACAACAATTCACCTAAATGAGGATCTGTCCTATTAGGACACTTAGTCGAGTAATAACCGAGAGCTGTCCTACTAGGACACTTAACTGCCTAGAACTGGCAGTTGTCCTATTAGGACACTTTGTTGACTATAACTGGGAGCTGTCCAATTAGGACAAATGGAATTTTTTGGCAACTTGTTAGCAAGGGCTCTCGTTGAAGCAGGACTGCATTATCAGCGTCTGAACACCGTACTATCATACTTAAAGTCCGCATAGCCAGCTGGGATCCCTGGCACTACTGGCGGAGCATGCTGCGGAGCCGTCTGGAGTCCCTTCTTGATGTCGTCAATGCGCTGGAGATAGCGGGCTGCTTCTTGCTTGGTGCCTTCAATGAAGGTAAGCAGGCTAGGGTACTCGCGACGCGAAGTCACGATTGTACTTTTCCAGCGGATTGTTGGTGCGGTTAACGATGTCAACACCGCACCGCACCATTTCATGAACGTTCCAGGTCGTGACATCAAATCGCTGCGTCCAGGTCTTGAGGAAATACTTCCAAAAAGTATTCCATTTTGTTTTCGAACCGGTCTCGTCGACAATACTCCTCACGTACCTCACACCCTACAATGCAGCCATTCATCAGAATAGGTCAGACACAAAAAATTGGTCACCCCAAAAAATAGTCCGCACCTTTTCAGCGATTTGGTCCTCCGGGATAACCGTGAGAGTGTCGAGCCTTCCTGGGCTGAGAGCGTCCTTGATTTGGTCTTCGGGTAGCCGCAGCTCAAGCATTTTCCGACGGAGGGCCTGTTTCCAGTGGAACAGGCACCCAACGAGGTTCGCAGTCGGAAATTGCTCCAGCACAGCGTTGACAAGGGCGGGCTCAAAGTCACACGTGACATTTTCGGGCTCCAGCTGGCGGTTGCTCAGGATCACGAGCTCGTTGAGAACCCGCCAGTACGTTTCTTGGGACTTGACTTGCACCAGTACATAGCAAACAGGCACGTAGAGGTCGACAGAAGGCTCGAAAGCCATCACAATCAGACACTGACTGAACGGCTTAGGAACCACCGCAAATGTTCCGTCAATGAACAGCGTGATCTTCGGGTACCGTAGCATTCGAGCCAAGTCGGGATGGGTCAGTCCGATTAGACGTTGCATTCCGGTGCCCGCGGCGGTGGGGTGGACCACGCTGAACTGAAGAAAGGCCCTCGCATCCATGTCACTCACGCACCGAACAGCTTGGGTCAGAATGGCTTCAAAGACATCACCGCCAGAGCAATCCTTGCGCGTGTGCTTGATGATAGAGACGGCCGGCTTCGCAGGGATGATCTTGAGCGCAATACCTTCTCCGCCGTAGCGAAGCGTGAGATCGTCGTACACCTCTTGCCACAGGACCGCCGGTGGGGTTGACATCTTGGTGATGCTAGAGCGCTGGAGCTCCACTCTCATCTCCTTGCGCACGTCCACCACTTCTGGCTTGGGCTCATCCTTACAGTTGTGCACACTCTTCTCGGCGACGACGGCTCCTCCTCGGACAATCAGTCTTGCCTTGCATCCCTCACGAAACTTCTTGCAGCTGTAGTAGATCGTGTTTGTTTCCGGGCATGTGCGCTTAACGCAGAATGAATACCCGCCGTGGTCCATGAGAAGAAGGTTGGGCTCTCACACTTAGGCTGCAAAAAGTGAAATTGCTGGCAGCACTGCACTGTGGGGTCTAACATTCGACGAGTGGCTAGGATGAGCCCATAATTACGCGTAAATAACGTTGCGAACGCTCTAAATTACGCGTATCAAACAATGTGGTCACCAATAAAACGCGTAATATTCATAAAACTAGGTTTTAGGACAGCTCGTAGGACGTAATTTATTATATTCTGTTACGAAGGATTATACGAGTTTTAGGACATCTCACGGTAATTTTCGAGAGTTTTTTAGGACAATTAGGACTCTTTAGGAATCGTTTTAGGACGTGTTATCCGACACCAGCCACTTAAGGAGAAGCGACGAGATATCGTTGAAGTTCTCCTCGCTCACAGTGATCAAGACACGAACCAACGCGCGCTGCCGCAGATTGCAGCTAGTGAAATATCGGATGTCGCTGAGTTGGTGATCAGCAATTGCACGACTGTGAGTGTTTTTGCAGGTGCTGCGGCTGATGGTTCTGTCGTCCTTGTCGATCGCTTGCTGAGCAAAATGGACGCGTACATCGTCACCCGTGCGTTGACTTGTGCTGCCGCACGTGGCCATTACGAGGTTGTAAAAGTTTTGCTGGAGAAAAGTGACGCGTCGGCTGTCAACTTTGCTCTTTCGGCAGCAGCAATGGAAGGTCGTGTGGAGGTGGTGGAGCTGCTGCGAGACCACTGTGACCAAGTGAGCGTCGGCGAAGCAGTAGCGAGAGCTAAGGCAGCTGGCTACTTCGACGTTGTGCAGATTCTGGAAAACAAGAAGGCGAGGCATCACTGAAAAAGAACCGAAAAGTAAAAGCTAAACTATTCACTGCTCACGTATTCTACCTGAAGCGATGGATGAGTAAAAATCCGAAACTTGAATTGGAGCTGCTTTTGATCGGTTATGCCGTCAATCCAGTCGGCAGAATGCCCTTACTTCGTTGCATCTTCTCGAATTCTTTGTAGGCAAATTTTAGCGCGGCGTATCCCGTTGCCTTGACCAGGCTCTCACCGCATTTTTTTTTGGAAAATGATTTCATGCCATAATTTTAGCTAACATAGGTACACTCTTTTTGCCCTATGACAGTTGCGACAATGCCGCCGCCTCCCCTGCTCCTGCTCAAGTTATGACTGCCGTCAAACATCCACGCCATCCCCCACAATCACGCGGTTCATCAGCGACCTGCTCACCCCGAGAACCATCGACGGGGCGATCTCTACAACGAGCTACCACGCGTCGTCCAGGTGTACGAAGCGTTCCTCCCCTGGACCTTCGCAGCGATGGACGGCGCCGCAGCCAGAGGGCGGCTAGACATCGTGCAGACACTGCACAACACCAGGGACGAAGGCTGCTCTACTGACGCGTTCGTCGAGGCAGCAGGGAACAACCACCTGCACGTTCTACAGTGGCTCCACCAGTTCTACCCGGACAAGAGCGATACACGGCAAGAGCTCAAAGCTGCTGCGGGGAACGGCCATGCTCGAGTTGTGTAGTATCTACGGCCGTCCATGGGCTTAAGGGCTCAAGAGCAGGCTATAGTGGCTGCGGCCGCTAATGGACATATCGATGTCCTGGATATTCTGGAGTTCTGGCCATACGATAGAGCTATTGTGTTCGTCGCTGCGGCAGCGGCGAACCAGTTGAAAGTCGTGCGGTTCTTGGTGAGAAAGTATGGAGAGAGGGCACCGTCCACACGCCACGCGTTGCTGAAGGCTGCGGAGTTGGGGCACACTGAGGTGTTCGAGCTGTTGGCTGCTGCGTCAGCGCGGAGGAGGTATCGGGCGCCTTAAACTACGCGGTGCGTGGGAATAAGGTGGAGATGGTCAAGTTTATGTTGGAGAAAGTTCGGGATCTAAATAACCCAGACTTCGGTAAACTCATTCGTGTTGCTGCTAAGCATTGTTACTGTGAGATGCTGCAACTTATGCTGGATTCCCGGATCAATACTAGCAAGCTGCCGTTGGGTCTCTCAGAAGGGGAGCAGTTTTCGTGGTTCTCGCTACATCCAGTGGAGTGTGGCATCGATCTATCCTTTGTGTCTGCGGTGAAGGATGGCTCTACCAACGTGATGACGATCCTATTTGACAGAATTTCGCACGAATGTGTGGCCGAAGCGCTGATACTAGCGATGGCGTGCAAGAAAATGGATGTTCTGGAGCTGATACTCGACTTATGCTTGTCGAGACAACTAAGTCTACTGTAGACGAGTACATTGCGCGGGCGCTATCCAAGCCTGAAGTGGCGTCCAAGACTGAAATGGTCAAACTGATACTCGATAAGTGCCCAGATTTTGATGCGGGCCACCATCTAATCGATGCCGTGATCACGGATAACCCTGGGTTGGTTGGCGTGTTGGTCAAGTCAAGTAGTCGGGAGCTCAAAATGGACGCTCTGGTTGAAGCGACAGCAAACGACCGACTAGAGAGTTTTAAAGTTGTTCTTGCCTGCTGCGACCAAGATACGATTACATGCGCACTGCCGCGACTGGGTGTAGATGGAACCTCCGAGGCGTCAAAGCAGCTACTGAAGCACAAGGAGCACAGCGTTCGCGAGGCTATCTTCGCCAATGCTGCCGCAAGTGGGTTTGTTGTACCAATCGAGGCGCTGATAAACGAGATGGATTCTTGCAGCATCACTCGTGCCTTGGCATGCGCTGCTACGCGAGGACATACCGAGGTGGTCGAAGTTTTGTCAAAGAGAAGTGATCCAACCAACATCCATTATGCACTCCTGGTTGCAGCGATGGAAGGACGTGTGGGTGTTGTTGAGTTGCTTCGGGACCAATGTGATGAAATGAGTATCAGTGAAGCTCAAGAGAGAGAGACGATGGCTGGCTTCACTGATGTAGTGCACGTTTTGATGAACAAGAGGCGTCGATTGGCGTTGTAGGCGCTGCGGTACGCGATTCGCTAAATTTCATTTCCTAGTTGCAGCAGGATGGGCGTAGCGAGAACTACAGCAGAGCCCAACGATCGCGTTCCAGTCCAGCACTGTAGCGACGAAGCAAAAAATGGCAGTGTATCAGCCATTATAGCTACGGCACTATCGCGTGGAAGCCGTGCTCTCCTTTTGACGTGCCCTGTACTCGGCAAGATACACTTTGTAGGCGGGATATGTTTCAATGAATATGCGCTCCGATAGGATGATCCAAATAACTGTAGCACCCATGCCAATACCTTGGCTTTGTAAAAACTCGAAACGCGGTCGAAGAATGTTGTCTCTGCTCCGCCATAGGCATTTTGCCGACACTCGCTCAGGGGCCAAGCCACAACTGATACAAGGTAGTCGAAAGCTCGTCGGAGTCCCTCGATATTAGCCATAAGTTATGGCCCATAACAACCCCGACCGAAGGTACGCAGGAGTTCTTGCCACGCCGGCCCCGTCGCCGAACATTTCATCCAAGGCATCGACAGTTTCCTGAACTCTCGTTGTCGTCAAGCCAAGGCTTTCAGGAGCACGCGGAACAAGCTGGATCAGGCGTTCTCGGGGGATTCCAAGCTGCACCGTGAAGTTCAGTTTGGAGCTCACATACTCACTCGAATAGTGGAGAATTTGCGGTGCTCTCGTCGTCAGAATACGCGTGATCTGCTCCTCGATGAACCCGCTCTCTCGGAAGAAAGCTAGTTTCGAGTCGAGGTTGTCCGTGGCGAGGCTAATCAGATTTGGGCCAACGCTAAACAGGAAAGGCAACTGTTGTGATGCTGTCAGTCTACCACTGCGAATGAAAACTACACTACTCCATTCACGTACCTTTGCTTTGGGTACGCCGTGTGCGAGATACCAGTCCGCGAGCTTCACGTACCGCTCAGTCGAGTTCTCCAAGAGGGTGAATCATCACATTGATTTTGTCCTGACTTAGACCCAACTCCTCCAACCAGGCTATCTGCGATTCCACGACATGACGTTATAAGGCACCCCATCAATCCAACAACACTTTACAGCGTTTACACTGCACATCGTTCATTCGTACCTTGCTCTTCAGCAGCTCCGTTTTGCGCACTAACGTTATCAGCTGTAGTAGCAATAACAAGAAAAAGATACCCTACTGTTAGTGATGGAGGCGGCTCATCGCCAGCTTCAATTTTTTTCTTTCTTTCTCGTGATACCGGTGCAAAATTTGCTGTGGCCTTCATCGCGTTCGTCTTGCTGGTCAAAACATCAACTTCCTACTCTTAGGTTCTTGCAGAGCCCTCGGCCAAATAGGAAATGGCTACGGGAATCGCTCCAAAATCGTACTGCACTGGTTGCTTGTTGGCTAAATCTAGTGACACTCGCTCCTCATGCTGGTTTGTCGGACTCCCAGTCCTCATCTTTCGAAAGCTCGATCGACTTCCTTCGGAAAAGTGCATCGGCATATCGCGTGGGTGACCTCTTGCTGTTCGATGATCCGCTCGTATCCGAAACAAAGGAGCTCATTCGCTTCAAGACGCGGGATTGGGCGTTCGACAACGAGCCACGGGGCGCAGCGTGAGCTGCCAACGCCTCTGTCAGTGCACGCATCGACTGGCTGTGGGTCCGCTGGAACGTCCCCCGTCGCGCTTGCTCGCCAGCGACTGCTTTGGTTGACGAAGCAGAGTCGGCTCGAGCTCGTGAAGCTCCTTGCAACTTCCTCATCGATTGGCTCGGCAAGCGCTGGAAGTGCATTCGTTGCTGTTGGTTCTCCTCGGGCGGTGCACTGGTTAGAGACTTGGTCGACGCCCGTTGCTGGTCAGACATTTTGTACTTCGTAGCTGCTTGGGGCGTAGGCGCCTTCGCTGGTTGTTGATCAAACGGGGAGTTTTCGACTGTTGAGAGATGCGACTCAATCTCCGAGGAGAAGGTGAACGAGGCTTCTTGTCTGGAGCTCGGCTGACGCTGGCGTCGGACTGGATGATGGAGCTCGTGGAAGCTAGATCGCTCGGATGCAGTAGAAGAGCCTTGGCTGAAGAGCTCGTCCGCGTATCGCGTTGGTGATCGCTTGGACGCTTGTCCTCCGGTCGGTTTGCTCTCCAAGGTACTTCCCGACGCCAGGCCAACGAACGACCCCATTCTTTTCACCAACGGAACTCCTGTAGCTCGTTTTGGAATAGTTGCGTCATTGCCCAGCGCCGAGCGCTTGCGTCTTGGTGAAACAATTGGAGTTACTTGACGAGCTTGAAGTATCTTCAAGCTGGCCTTCAGCTCTTGCAACGCCTGGACGATGACGATCTCTCGCTCCTCCGCCTGCTTCAAGCGTTCTAGTAGCGACGGCGACAGCGTCGATTGTGCTGATTCGTGGGCTACCGAGGCGTCTGCAGTGCTTTGGACGGGTTCAACCACGACTCGCTTGCCACTGGTTGACTCCGTGCGTATTCGGTCATCAGAACCTCGGCGGCTCCTACTATCATAACTAGGAGGTCCAGCAGCGCTGGCCTTCGCTTGTTGCTTTCGTCCGCGTTTCTTCTGAAGCTTGTCACGTAAATCAACCAACTGGTCGCGGATGTTCACACCCACGCCAAACTTTAGCGTCCCGTCATTCGTCTCCACGTTCATGGCCGTGTAAATTCGCTCTGCAGCTTGTCGAGCTGAAAGAACCGGCGGTATTAACGGTGGATGGCCACCGGACTTCGCACAGGCCTCAGCGATAGCTTCGGGACTGTAAACTTTGCGTACGAGCTCTAACAGCGGGCAGCGCGACTTGACCAATTCGTAGCTCTGCATGTAGGACGCCAGCATCTCAACGACAACGCGCCGGCGGTCCTCGGGGTATCGAGCCAGCACCACTTGGAAGTCTTCTCGGGAAAGCACACACATCTCCACGTGAGTGACGGCCCGTACATTTGCTGCGCGCTGGTAGTTCATCAGCAGTGCCATATCACCGAAAGCTTGGCCTCTGGAGATGAGGACATCGTGACCTTTACCTCCTCGACCTCCCGTGCGATAGTATCTCCGCTGGGCTGCATCCAGCTCGTACGCTGACTGCCGAGACCCATCACTGGATTGATCTCCATTGGTGGGGCCATTACGACGGCGAACACCCATGCCGCTGTTACTACGGCCGATACTAAAGCCGCCATTGCTTGGTCCTCCTGCTGTGATCGTTGAGGTGGTCACTCTCTCGAATCGGTTCTTATCGCGACCAATCTCGCAGTGCCCGCGATTCACCATGTAAAACTCGACATCTACCTCTCCTTCCCTCATAATAAAGTCGTTCGGCAAGTATACACGAACATCAAGCCTCAGCATGAGCTGCTTCTGGAAATCCGGCGTGCAATCTTTCCAGAACGGTACATGCATCACCACCTCCATGTACTTGAACAGCACGACTTCAAGGCCAAGCGTGTGTGACAACTCCTTGGAAAACTGGACAATCTCGCCGTCTAGGCACTCGTACTCGTGCCACAGGTGCTCGTAATACTCGTGAATGCGTTCTCGTAGGGGTGCTGGCAGCTGGAGTTTGGCGGTCATGGCGAACACTTCCTCCATTTTACGCTGGTAGCTTGTAGTATTAGCGTTGAAATTGGAGACTAGGATGGCGACGTGGCCGAACACCACTGCCAAGACGATGGACCCCACTATCACCGACAGCGAAGCGAATAAATTCTGACCTGCACTGTTGGTGGGGACCCCCTCTCCTTGCAACAACAGTAGAGCCGCATAAAAACTCCCAGAGTAAACGTCGCGCCACGACTCGAACGATTCTTCAAACGTTTCATTTTCCTCCAGCAAAATCGCCCAGATGCAAGCGATGTAGTGCGCGATGCAGACGAGAATGGCGACAATCCCAGCGATCCGGAAGAGGTGCGAGTAGCGAGAGTACAGCAGCCAGGCCCAGAAATTGTGGCTGCCTCCGGACTGGTTAGCGCGAATGAGCCAGATCACGCGCACAATCCGCATCATATAAGCCAGGCGCTCTACACTGAGTACGTCAAGCAGGAATAACACCCATTTGCCCCCTGGGATCGAGTTATTCATGGTGTTGCTGTGCACCAGGAGCGGCACCGAAATCAACGCGTCAATAACGAAGCGTGTCTTCATGTAATGCCCGAATATCTGCCAATGTGAGACGACAATCTTCCCCGTTTCAGTCATGTAGCCTGTGTGCAGCGTCAACACGACATTGAGCCCGAGCAAGACTCCGATAGCAGTATCGGCAGTAGCAATGTGGTATTTCTCGTGAAATGCGAGCTCCAGCGGGAACCACACGATGTAAACGACGGTCGTCATCAACGTGACAGCGTAGCGAGCTTGGGAAATTTTGGAGAAAGGAGAAATGGGCCTCGCTAGCTTCTGCAGAAGTCGCTCGACACAAGCGAGTAAGTAGTTCCTTGCGCTAGACTGGTAAAACGGCGTCCCGTAGGCGAGGTTATACTGCTCCGTGAGCTGCAAACTGCTCGTGCCGCTTTCGAGTGGCGGTCGTCCGACCTCAAATGAGGAATTCACATCGCCTAAATTCAAGAAGCTCGCCTTCCTGGTGTTTGCGTCGGGGGTCGAGGCGTGTTCACTGACGTTGCGAGCCGAGAGACGCGGGAGCAAATGGTGCTCTTGCCTTGGGGTGCGGCCTGTGCGTGCACTGGACGCGGTGCCTCCAAAGTCTACCCCCGCTCCTCCCAGAAGGCCTTCCAGTCCAATCTCCATAGTCGGCGGGGTCCTTTGCAGCTGGCGGATCTGGAAGCGCTCCATCATTTCTTCGTACGGAGACTCACTGGCCTTCCGACGGTTGGTCAAGTCCGAGTGCGCTTGCATGTCCGACACCGAGCGACGCAAGACTGAAGTCACGGTTGACCACGCCGCGACGGAACTGGAGGGGGTTCCTGCGATGCCTCGAGACGACACGCTCCTCTTCCTGGCTCGGTTTGCGACTTCCTCCGCCCCTTTCGCGACTGGATGTACGACCCCTGAGGGCATTTGACTTGAGTTTCGTCGAGAACCCCGGAGAATGCTCCTGTGGAGGAGAACAACTGGCGTGTGCTCCTTCTCCTCCAACGAGGGCGACATCGTAGCTGACCGGGTCGTGGCAGTGTTCGGCCCCCCATTGAGTTCCACGTTGGAGTCGACAATGTCCGCCAGTTGAGGGGACTCCGCATCAGAGAGCCCCGTCATGGAGGATCTTACGCGTGCGCTTGCTCTGAGGCTTGACAAACGCGCAATGCGTCGACTCAACTCGACTCGTTTTACTTCGGAAGCGCTTTCCGATATTTTTACGGCAAGAGCCTCACTCGCCGTCGTTTCTTCTTGTTTTGGCGACTGATGGGCACAGGTCTTTGAACAAGCGCGTGTAACCAACCACCCCCATGCCCGCAGATTTCCTGAGTAAATGTCCAGCTACAGTGGTGACAAGTAGCTTTTGTAATGCTGCGTTATGTAGTCTAGTAATACTGAATGCTGCAGGCCTGAGCCGGCTATTGTCATACCTGGTGAGCGAGTGTCGTTCGCGTTTCATGCAGCTCGATACAGTACAGTACCAATCTGCAGATCCAAGTATCATCGCAACGCCGTGGAGCGTTGCTTCCTCTCTGTAGTCGCGGGCATGCATCAGAAGCTTCCTCGACATCCAGCGCCATGCACCGGGGGCTTCGCGCTGTTAACTCCCGTGCCTCGCGGCCATCTGCTTGAATTGAACGATGGCAGTATCTTTGTCGAGGTCATGCTGCATGGTGGCGTTGGCCAGTCGCTGGTTCATGTGGCAGCTTCAAGTACATGTACTCCGCGGGTGATTGCATGGGGTCGAGTCGGGCCACTCGTGAGGCATTGCAAGCGTTATATTGGGTTGAAGTTGTCGAAATCGTCTGCTCATCTGCTGCGCTTCTCGGGTCTCTGCACGGAGTCTCCGGCGCTCGTCCGATTCATTCTGTGCGAAAGCTAATCCCGGCCCCCGGCTACGAACAGCGAGGAGCGATTTCCCCGATTTGAAAAATTATGCAATGAACGTCGGTCATACAAAACGCAGAGACTTCGATTTGCGACTCCATTCCATGCAGCAACGAACAAACTGAAGAAAAAAAGATGAAGCGAAGCCACCGCGGCGGCAACTCCCCATCTCTTTTGTTGGTTCTGGGACGCGTATGAACAGGTGGGAATGGCTCATTTCAGAATCGACCGGCAAGGACTTAAAACTGAGCGACCGACCGTCTCTACTGCTGGAAGCCCCAAGTCCCCCAAAAGCAATGCGTTCCAACTTCTTCCTCGTGGCGCTGCTCCTCATCACCCTCGCAGTGTGCGTCCAAGGTGATGACACGCACCGAAGCCTCCGGTCCAGCGTCACCACGCAGGACGCCGAGGCTGAGGAGAGAGTGGACTTGAAAGGGGCTGCAGGCAAGTTTTCGTCGTTGGTGAGGGAGAAGAGCGGCAACGTGTTGGAAAAGTACCCGTCGGTCGCTGCGATGCTGGGGAAAAACCCCGCGCTGGCCAAGGGCATGGACAAGATTATCAAGAACGAGAAGCTGGTGGCAGACCTCAAGAAGACCAAGTCGTTCAAGGACCTCCGGACCGCCATCCGCGCCAACCCGCAGGCGGTGGACTCGGCCAAGGCCGAGCAATTCGGAAAAATTATGGTCGAGAGACTCCGGGGGATCCAGTGGGTTGGAGACACCAAGGGCATGGCCATCGTGTATAGCATCTTGTTCCTGACCCTGCTTGGAATCGGCGGGACCGGCTTCTACATCTACAACAACGTCAAGAACAGTTATATCCATTAGGTAGGAGCGCTGCACGACAACGTGCTGCCTATTCAGCACGCATTGGAGTAAAGTGCCTAAATACACGTCATCAAGTTTAAAATCAAGTTGCGTCGCTCCTAACAACAACTCAGTGCGGGCTTTAGATGATACCGGCAGCCACAGCTCGTGATATGACGGTCAAAAAGAACTGTACGTTTCCTTACTACAGTACCTACAGTAATTAGTCTGACCTGATTGGAGGGTTAAGGTATCTATGTTACACGCTATTTGACGAAAACCTATCATTTTCAAATTGCACTTTTTACGCAAATTTAAAGGTCAGATTAATTACTGTAAGCACTGTACCAGGTACTACTATGCAGTACTTCGAAGTAGTATTATACGTACTAACGAACTAGGGCTCCGCGAAGGCTGGGATAGGAGGTTTTTGGTATAATTGCTTTCTATTATTATGAGTTTGTTTTACAAACCACGGGCATCTCCTGCGCCTGCTTCGCAGCCACAGCGTCTGCCCCGTAATTCACCTCAAAACTGTAGATAGTGCTTATACACAGTGATAAAACGAACCTTGCTCGAGATCTGTTTGTAGCTTGTAGAAAATGAAAATGTTTACCTTTGTATGCTTCTGCAGCAGTTCGTCCGCTTCAATCATTCACTTTACTTCACTCCTACTATTCGATATATGTTACTGACTCATACCGGTTCAATCTGCCCACGCATATAAACCTTTGGAGGGCCCAGTGCGGCACCGCGGCCGTACCGGTGTAATGGGTGTTCTACCTTTTGGAGGGCCCAGTGCGGCACCGGGGTCACACCGGTTTCAGGACAATGTACCAGTTAGGTGTCAAGAGGGGTCACCTTTTGACTTGACGTACCACGGATATGATCCTATTTGGTCTGCGATAGCAGCACTAACGTTGCTTCCTATCCCAGTAAAATAAGTACTTAAGTATCGTCACTTCACTCGTTGGAATAGGTGACAATGAGAAGCTTTGGAGTTAATAAAAAATACTTAAGTACTCTTGTTGGCACCACAGCTGAAAATCGCAACAGGTAGGTTTAACGTCGAATTTCGAGTGTGTCCATTCTCCGTCGAGCAGAAATAGTAGCTGACACTGTGTACGCTAGTAACGGAAATGCAACAACCCCCCCCCCCCAACTCATTCCTCTTTTTCCCTAGCGCCCAAACGTAGCTCAGCCCAGCTCAACCAAACCAAGTGCCGCCTGGTGCAACAACCGCCACATGTGCTGCTTGTTGCTGTCCGAGCGAGCCAAATACGAACAGAGGTCGCCGTTCGTCGCGTCTTCACACACACACACAACTAACGCAGGGGAGCTCACGTACGAGGCTCCAAACATTCGGATCACGTTGGGGTTGTTGAATTTGTGCCAGAGGTTGATCTCCTTCTCAATCTGCTGCTTGGCGCGTTCGTCAGCCACGAGGTCGTCGTTGAGGAAGCGCTTGACCACGACCCTCGTGCCAGTGCCCCACACGCCGCGGTACACCGACGCGAAGGAGCTACGGGCGAAGGCTTCTTTCTCGAACTTGAGCTCGTCCGATGACATGAACCACGGCACCGTCGTCGAAGTCGCTCGGACGACTGTCCCCATCATCGATCTCTTCGTTAATCTGGCAGAGCTCTCCGAGCATCTCTTGGTGGTTGATGAGCCTGAACACCAGCGTCATTTTCCGATACCGATCCAGACAGCCCAGCGACTTGGAGATCGCGCCAACGTACTCGTCCAGCGCATTGTTAAGCGGGAGCTGGCCTTACTTCTCCATTTTCTGGAGCTCTTCGAAGATTCCTTTCAGCCGACGATGAAGCCGCTTGCAGACTTCTTTGCCCTCGTTCATCTCGTCGCAATAGCCCCAGAGCGTGCTGAGGGCGTCAAGCACCACGCCTGAGCAAGGCACGAACAAATCGAGTAGCGCGATACTCATCGGGAGGATGGAAGCAGTGGAATCTGAGAGAGAAGGCACTGATTGAGCTAAGAACTACATTCATAAAATGAAAGTGGTGCACGGGGATCTCAAGCTCAACAACATCCTCGTGGGGGCTGATGGATTGGCCAAGCTGTCGGACTTCGGGTTGAGTGCTGTCCGCAACACTCAACTCCAAGACGGCAGCAGGCGCAGCGATTCACGCTGGTGCGTTGCGTTGGAGAGCTCCCGAGTGTTTGAAAAAGCCGCCGACATTCGCCTCCGACGTGCACTCGTTTGCCATGTGCATGATCGAGGCGGTGATCGGGAATCCTCCCTTTGCTTCATTAGATGACGACAGCGTCCGCGAGCTCCTGAAACACGGCAAAATCCCCGAAAGACCTGAAGACATGCCGGATGAAGCCTGGGATCTCATCGTGTCCATGACGAATACGGATCCAACGAAGCGAGTTAGCCTCGCACAAGTCCTGGCCCTATTGAAGGCGCTAGCCGATGACGAAGCGAATAACTATGGGCTCGGAGGTGCTTCGATAGCTTCCGAACAGCCCTACAGCTACGTAAAGCTGTCCGGATCTGCGAGCTCTTCAAAGTCTCGACTGAAGAATAGTGCAACGTCAATTGCAGATCTGCTGGATGAGTTAGTCGACGCGGATGACCGCAAGCAGGAGAAGATTCTACTCCAGCTTGCTCGGAAGTGCGTGAACACTGAACAGCGCGCACCCATGTACGAAGACAATCGCATCGACATCGTCACCAGCATGGTGAGAAATGGGCCGACCTACTTCGCCAAATTGTACGCGCTCCAGTGCTTGAAGTGGGCCGTGATCTCGGATGCACAGGTTTCGCAGGAGGACTTTGACGCGCTTCGAGACTGCGTCCAAGAGGCTTCACGGAGTGAGATCGCAGCGGTAGTCAACGCCTTTCAGAATGGCACTTCGGGAGAAAAGGAAGAAGCAGCGGTGCGCTGTGCGTGTATCGCCACAAGAGCGAACGTTGACAGGTTGCGAGAGGCTGGGACGAGATCGTCTTTCAGCTCCCTGCTGAGAAGTAGCAGCGAATCGAAGCTGTGTGCCGGAATGGTGCAACCTCTGATCACTCTACTACAGACTGGGAATGACACGCAGAAGTTGTGGACAGCTGAAGCGCTGGGCGATCTCGCCATGGAGAACGAGACGATCCGAGCGGAGATTTTACGTGGGAATGCGATTAAAACTCTCGTGGCGCTCTTAAAAGTCGGCACTAGTGAGCAGAAGCACCGCGCGGCATACGCGCTGGGGAGCCTTGCGTCCAGCAAAGACGGAAGTGCGAAAATTGTACAAAAGGAAGCAATCACGCTGCTGACTGCGCTTCTGCTTGAAGGGACTGACGAACAGAAGCACCAAGCGGCCTGTACGCTGGGAAGAATCGCTCTCAGCAAGGGCGCAAGCGACAAACTCGTGCAAGAAGGGAGCATTGGTCCTCTCATTACACTGGCGCAATCTGGAAACAGTCAACACGAATATGGGGGCTATCTTCGTTCTGAAAACCATTGTACTATCACGCTACCCGGATCGCGCAGATGTCGTTCGAGAGAAAATGATCGCACCGCTAGTCGCTCTACTTATTGTGGGCTCCAGCCAACAAAAGGAGGGCGCGGCGAGTGCTCTGATGAAACTCGCTTATGTTGGCGATGAAAATTGCGCTGAGGTAGTGCGAGAAGGAGCAATTCCCCCGCTTGCGGGGCTTCTTCGAGATGGGACCGACCAGCAGAAACATTTAGCTTCGATGCTGACGTCTGCAGTAAAATTGCTGAGAATGGAGGAGTCACTGTACTGACTGAGCTACTGCAAGACGGAACGGATCAGCAAAAAGAGCTTGCGAGTGGTGCCATCAGCTCATATGTCTCTGACAGCGATGCAGCCACCGAAATTGCCCGGGAAGGTGGAATCTCGCTACTTGTTAACCTTTTGAAGGTTGATAGTGACTCGCAAAAAGAAAGCGCATTGAGCCCACTCACACGAATTGCATGCTATTACGACGTGCGAGTTGACATTGCGAGCGAAGGGGCTATCCCGCTGATAGTCGCGCTACACGGAAACGGAACTGAGACGCAGGTGGAAATGGCTGCAGAAGCGATTGGAAACCTCGCGTATACCGCTGAGGTGTGCGCTCTGATCGCTGTTAAAGGTGGCGTTGCGTTGCTAGTGGAGCTTCTACGAGACGGGGATGATGAACAAAAGGAGAACGATGCAAGTGCACTGGGTAGTGCGGCGGTTAAAGGGGACGTCTCCAACGAGATTGCGCAGCAGAATTGAGTTGAAGCGCTTGTGGAGCTTTTGCGGTCTGAAACGGACACGCAGAAGGAAAACTCTGCAGTGGCAATACGGAATCTTGTCTCCTCCAGCGACGCTCACTCTACAGCGTTCGTTGAAGAACAGGGACTTCTCCTCGTAAATTGGCTCTCGTCCCACTACGAAATCCGCCCGTCTTTCGTACGCGAAGGAGGTCTTCAGCCACTGATTGCACTGCTGGAAGTCGACAGTGACGTTCAAAAGGAGAGCGCGGCCGCTGCACTCAAAAATCTTTCAAGTGATCCGGAAACCAGCAAAGCCATTGTGAATGGAGGAGCTATTGCACCATCGATTGAGCTGCTGAAAGAGGGAAACAACTACCAAAAGGGAATTGCTGCAGGTGCACTTGGGAATCGCGCCTACAAGAACGAGCTTTGTGAAGAAATTGCGCGAGATGGAGTCATCCCACACCTCGTCGAGCTCTTGCGTGACGGAGCTGACGAGCATAAGAACAGTGCACTGTGTGCGCTAAGGAGTATTGCGTACAACAAAGAAATACGCACTCATAGTGTACGTGATGGGGCCGTCGGCCTGTTGGTCAACACGTTGCGAGATGGAAACGACCAGCAAAAGGAGAACGCTGCCGGGGCACTGGAAAGACTTGCTGCACATAACGTTGACGACGACCACTACGACTACGTTGACGACGACGATGCTGATAATGATGTGCGCTCTCTTATCGCGCGCGAGGGTGGCTTACCGCCGTTGATTGAGCTTCTGCGAGAAGGAACTGGCGCGCAAAAGGAAAATGCGGCTAGTGCACTCCATAAACTGGTTTGGACCGATCATGTATTGACTAGTATTGTGAGCGAAGGAGCTGTGGCATCCCTCGTAGGACTTCTCCGAAATGGAACTCAAGCACAACAGACAAACGCTTTGGAGGCTCTCACTATGATTGCCCAGGTCAAGGAAAACTGCTCCAAAATCATGGAAGAAGAGGGGATTGAGCCGATTCTCGATCTCGTGCGAACAGGGGCAAGCGCGCAAAAGCAGAACGCTGTGTTAGCAATTTATCGCCTGACCGAAAACGATGAAGCGTGCGCCGAGATAGCTCGCCTCGGTGCGATCAAGGCTCTTATCGAGATTCTTAGACTTGGAGATGACGACCTGTTGTGGTATGCCGTCAGAGCACTTGGGCAACCTGCGTTTAGTGACGACACAAGAACAGAAATTGTCAGTGAGGGGGGCCTTGAGTTACTCGTTGGGTTTCTTCGGGTCAGAGCGGGCGCTTTGACGCTGACACCTCTGGCCAGTAACTTGGAGATTTGCGCTGTTATCGTGAACGAAGGAGCCATCGCTCTGCTTGTCAATTATATGCACAACGACACCATGTACGATGCAGGGGATGTTGTTCTGCTAAAAATTATTGCTGACCACAATAGTGCGGACCGAGCATCAATTGTGCAGGAAGGAGGCATCGAGCCCCTCATCCAGTTTGTTCGGGGCGGCTCGAATTTGTATAAAGAGGTCGCCGCTAGCACGTTGGCAGTCCTCGCTGCCGGAGACGACGAAATATGCGCTGAGATTGCCCGCAAGGGGGGTGTCGCCCCACTGATTGAGTTGCTGCGAGATGGGACGGATACGCAAAAAGAGAATGCTGCAAGTGCGATTCATCGACTCGCTTGGAAAGATGACGTCTGCGGCGAAATTCTACGCGAAGGGGGGATTGCTCCACTGCTAGAGCTTCTTCAAGACGTAACTGACCCACAAAAGGTTTACGCTACGGCAGCGCTGCGAGATCTAGCCTATGACAACGATACCACTTGTGCCCAGATCGTGCAGAAGGGAGGCGTTGAGTTGATCCTTCGTCTAGTGCAGAGCGGAAGGGGCGAACAAAAGCGGCTTGCAAATGGTGCGCTTCTAAATCTTGCAGGTAATGATGAAGCGTGCACGGATATCGCATGCTGTGGAGGCATCGAGGCCCTTGTTACAATTGTGCAAGGTGGGGATGATATCCAGAAGGAGGCTGCAGTGAGCGCTCTTCAGAAGATTGCCGTTAGTGGAGACAACTTCGCTGAGGTCAAGCAGAGAGGTGAAGTTGCTGTACTAAGTACTTGTCCAGTTTCTTCGAGATGGGACAGATACACAAGTTTTCACTCATTTCAAGGTTGAGGTTAGATTGAGTTCATTTATCCTAACTAAGATAACGACGGACGCATCCACCGTCAACACCGAGCTCATATCTCCCGATGCCCCGCCGAATAGTTGAAACGGTCTACTCGACTTCCGTCGATTTGGTACCGCGGACAGCGAACGCGGTCCCGCTGCTCCGTCAGCAGTGCCTGCCCTCCGAAGCTTGAGTTCTCCACTGCATTTTCCTGGGCCGACTTGCGTTCCTTCTTCCCAATGTGTTGCAGGCCACCAGCGAGCGCCCCAGCAGCGCTTTATGCGGCGACGTGTCGTCACCTTCCCCGAGTCAGCCGTATCTGGGTTTCTGCCACTGCGATTTTCTTCGCCCTGCCGCGCCATGAGTGCACCATGAGAGGACCACCCCGTCGCAGCCAGCTCCATGTAGCGCAGGCCATGTTGACTGACAGCATGCTCCCGCGCGTCACTACGAGTGCTGTGGAGGGTGTGCGCACGTTGGAGTGCCGCACACCCGACGATCTGGTGACCTGCCAGTATCGCACGCAACCTTTGTAGGCTATGACTACCAGGAGGGCCCACGGCGTCACCCGTGGCCTGGTTTGTAATGGGACACGGCGCGATGGGCTACGTGTAGACCACCATGGACCCCCCACAGGCCCCGCCTTCCGGCTGACGGTCAAAAGACCGCCGCAATACGCCGCCGCACGCAGCGACGCAGAAATCCAGCTTGGTCCGCGGCTTCACCCCCGAGCTGCCCAGCCGTGGCGTGCAAGCACGCCGGCCAGGTGCATGCCTTTCGCTGGAGCTCCGGTCGCCAGGAACGACTGGCTCCACAAGGGAGTCGCCGTCGTCCAGTCGTGGCCAATCAGAGCGCTCTCGATGCTCACCGGCGCGCTCTGATTGGCCGGACCGCTGGGCCAGCTGGCTCTATCGCCGCACTGCCCGCTGATTGATCCTCCACGAGTCAGATACACAAAAACAACAAGTTGTGGGGGAACTACAGGCACTATCACTTAACAACGATGGGAACCGGGCAGAGATCGCGGGAGAAGGAGTAGTCCCATTGCTCATTGAGCTGATGAAAACCGGAACTGACCACCAGAAGGAATACGTTTCAGGTGCACTCGGACTTCTTGCCTATAATGCTACAATCTGTACGCAGATAGTTGATGAAGGTGGGATCGCTCTCCTCATCGAGCTATTGCGCGATGGAACCGACCAGCAAAAGCTAAACACATTGGTTGTACTTGACAAGCTGGCCTGGTTCGACAGTATCCGACTTCAGATTGTAAGCGAAGATGGTATTGCACAGCTTATCGAGCTTCTTCGAGAGGGCACAGAACTCCAGAAGAAGAGCGCGATGACTGCGATTGACAGACTTGTGTTGAATTCGACCGTTCGCGCCGAGTTTTCACGTCATGGTGGTGTTGGGCCACTCGTCACCCTTTATCGAAATACTACTCACCCACTTTGGACGAAAGCTGCAAATACTCTGCGGGGGGGGTTGCTCGGACTGTTGAAGGCTGCGCAGACATTGCGCGCGAAGGAGGTGTTCTCTATCTAATCGACTTGTTAAAATACGGGTCTGGCAAGCATAAAGAAAATGCTTTGGAGGCACTTGGGATGATTTCACCCCCAGACGATACGGACCGCTCCGAGGTTGCAAGCTGTATTGAGCCACTGATCACACTGCTACAGTCTGGGACAGAGCAGCAAAAGACGAACGCAGCGAGAGCCCTGGAAAACCTCAACTTGAACGACGAGGTCAACGCTTTGATGATTGTGCGCGACAGCATACTGCTGGTTGCACTTCTTCAAAATGGGACGGACCGACAAAAAGAGTCTGCAGTCAGCATTATCGAAGACCACGGTATACCGAGGGAAGGTAGTTGCGTTGAGATTGGCGTCGTTAAACCCCTCATCACGCTCATGAAATCCGAAACCGAAGGGCAAACGAAGAAAGCTGCCAGGGCATTGAGAAACCTCGCGTCCATACCTGAAGTTCCCGCCCACATCGCGGACGAGGGAGAAATTTCGTCACTTGTCGATCTTTTGTGTGCCGGGACTGCAGAGCAGCAAGAGAGCGCGGCGGGCGCCCTTGGGCGTGTGGAGTGCACCGACAAAGTGTGTGGTGGGATTCGAGAAGGCACCATCAAGCAACTTGTTGAGCTTCTGCAAACTGGCACCGAACAGCAGCAGCGCTACGCTGCTGATGCTATCAAGAATTTTGCTCGTAACGATGACGTCCGCGCTGAGACTGTTCGCGAGGGAGGCGACAAGTTGCTGCAGCTTGACATGGATGGAGAGCCCAGCATCAGTCAGAGAAAAGTGCTGGGCGCCCCGTACAGCAGCCGAAGGGAGGGTGCTGCCTCATCCTATAGAGTCGAATGACGCTCATACAGTACAGTACAACATTCCCATCTTTATTTTTTTTTGGCGCCAACAGTTCTCGCTTTTGGCGCGTCGCGTTGACTTGATTCCAGTATGTCTCTATTCGCACTTAGCGTGGACCAGCCTCCAGCCCATTTCCTCCAACCAAAACCTTCTCGTGCGCAACCCTTCAAGAAGAAGAGGAAGATGAAGGCGGACGCGGGCGTGAGCGAGTACGAGGCCAAGCGTCTGCTCCGCGTCGAGGAGAACCGGCGCCGACTGCAGGCGCTGGGGCTGCCGACGCTCGGATCCGCGACTTCTCCGCAGAAGACGGCGCTGAAGGAGGAAGAGGAGCAAAAGAAGAAGGAGAAGAAGGAGAAGAAGCGCAAGCGCGAAGAGACGCCCCTGGAGCCCACGCGCAAGTCGGAGCGCCAGACGAAGCGGAAGCGTCAGGCGGAGAAGCTCCAGGAGAAGATGCAGGCGAAGCAGCAGAGAAGGCACCAGCGCAAGGAGGAGAAGAAGCAGCAGAAGAAGCAGGCCAAGATGGAGCTCAAGCGGCAGGAGAAGATCGAGGAGAAGAAGGAGAAGAGGCGTCTGGAGAGGGAGAAGCGGCTCGAGAAGCTGCTGCTGCGGAAGCTGGAGGAGGAGAAGCGGCTGCAAAGGGCCGAAGCGATCAGGCAGAAGAAGAAGCTGCAGTACCGCGAGAAGGCCGCGCGGCTGAGGCTCGAGAAGGAGAAGGAGAAGCGCGAGAAGGAGGAGCGCCACAAAGAGTGGATGAAGCTAAAGGACTGGAGACTGCGGCGCAAACTGGAGATCAAGGAGGAGAAGATGATCGCGAAGGCCAAGAGACGAGAGCTGATACACAAGGACAAGATCAAAGAGAAGCTCAGGCAGGCGATCGAGAAGAGGAGGGAGGCCATACAGACGCTCAGCGTCAGGAAGAGGATCAAAAAGAGGAAGATGAACGAGCGCCGCCTAGAGAAGCTCGAGATTAAAGACCAGAGGAGGGTCGAACGCAACATGATGGCGGAAGAGGATGCACTGTCGCGGGAACGAGAGGAGATGGACGCCAAGGTGCTAGCGGAGAAGGCGGAGATGCAGGAGAAGATCAAGAAGTTGCAAGAGCTCAACAGGGACAAGTACCCTGTGCGCCGAGTCAAGCACCTGCCGTACGTCCGCATTACTGGCGCCATGGCGAAAAGCAAGGAGAAAGTGGCGGCGCTCACTCGCGAGCTGTACGTGGATGTGGACGCCTTCCACGCGTTCTCGCTGGGCAAGCAGTTCCTCCCAGCAGGCAAGAATTCAGTCATACAGGCGCTGTGTCCCAGTGGGCACACCGCCGCATTCGACGATGGCGTCGATATTCACGTGTGGAGTAACGCCATGGCGCTGTTCATCCCTGCGGAAGCTGCGATCTATCTGGACCATTTGCTCCAGGAAGCGTGGCTCGACGATGAGCGGAGCGTCTTCTTTCAATGGAGCCGCACCCAAAACGTCACGCCAGCGATCATGGATCGTATCTTCGAGGTCGAGAAGGGCGACGAGCGTCTCCGCTTCGACGACAACTACTACGACCCGCCGCCTCCGATTGGAACGCCACAACCCTTGCTGATCTTCATCCAGTTCCCCAAGGTAAGGGCTTATGACGCCGCATTAAGCGTCGTGAGCATTTGGCTAATATGTTTGCTTTCATTTGTATGGTGATTGTTGCAGGGCCCCTATATCTATTGCGGACGCCTCGGCTACCTCGGCCACAAGTCCGACCCACTGGAGATTTACTTCCAGCTACTCGACATCGACACTATGTACTGGGCGCAGCTCCGAAATATGCTGACATACTGCGAGAAAGAGCTCGAGAATTAAGAAATGAATTGACTTGAGAAAACGTAAGTCCCTGCCGCCGACGCTTTAATGGATCGCTCTGATTGGTTAAAATGACATGACTGGCCCTTGGCAGTCCGAATGAGGGGCACGTCGGGTACACTGCACTTGCGGGTCACTTATTAAGTCGCTCGGAAATGCGGTGTATATCTACTAGACAAACTATCTAGGTGAAGCATTTAGTAGCATACGCATTACAGATAAAATAGGTGGTTGGGCCGTGACAACCGAAACAACATGGAAGCTGAGGGGCCCGTGCCCTGTACGTGCCGAACCTCGTGGGTGGCGATGTCGATCACCTGTCCTCTCTGAGGTCGCGCTTTGGATTTTCATCGGACTCTCCGCAATCGGAGAGCCACAGCGTTTCTAGCACGAGTGGGCCCAGGTAGCTTTGTCGTAAGCTGTTGGTAGACAGGAGTAGTAAGCAACTAGTAACTAAGTGACAGTACAGTCTCCAAGAAAAGAAAAGAAAAACATGAAAGCTGAAGCCGTACTACTACTACGAAGCTTGGCGCATCCGGAAAAGGGTGGCGTTATGATTTGAGTTAACACGAACGTAGGTTGATCGCGTGCTGCTTGACCACTATCGCGCAGCGCGCTTCGTTTCAGTGGCGCGCGCACCGTTCGCTGTGTACTCCTGCCGATGAGACTCCACCAAGTAGTGGAGCCCCTTCACTCACTCATTTGGCAGCTAGGGACTGCATAGGTTTGGCCGTGAGTACCACCCACTCTAAGCCGACGTCTGCTGGCGTCGCCTCGGCCGAGACGATGGAGACGGTGACGGGCAAGGAGGTGATCGCGGCAAACGACAAGGGCTGCGCGGCGACATCCGGCTGGACGAGCGGCGCGGACACAACCCAGGAGTCTACGGAGGCCACCGAAAAACGGAGACAACTTGTTGTAGAACATACTTACGCAAACTCTTAATCCTGCGACACTGTATTTTAAATTCTGCTGGTTTTAGTGGACACATAGCAGGAGGCATGGATTTGTGCTCGAGGTCTCCGGAAAGTAGTTGTTTAACTACAATGGAGCCTGGAGGCGAATCAGGACTCTGTGCACTTAGGTAGAAATATTTTGACCAATAGGATTCTCCGCTTATCGTCGCTTACGCTTTCCCGGAAGGATGCGATCCTAATGTCCAATAGTGGACCTCAGTCAATGTGTCGTACTCCAAGGGGTGGGAATACACCAATTCCGGAAATTATAAGCCAATCCGCCTACGTTTTGGCGGAAAATCCCATATGTAACTTACGTAAATACGAGAATGTTTTTTCCTTGCTCAAAGTGCTTGAATTTCTCCATTAATTTCTCAGCCAAAATTATGTAAACGTTGTGTGTGCCATCAATGTAGCCTTCATTTCAGTCGGAAACAAGCGCAATGATGGGCGAAGCTGGTGGCGGGCTGTGCGAGTATGAAGCCAAGCGACAGCGCCGCATGGAGGAGAACCTGTCGGAGGACCTCTGTGTCTTATGATCGTGTCCGCTTCAATGATCCTAGTAGAATAAGAAGCTGAAGTAGCCAGTGTATTTATACAATGCATGTAGGATCAATGTGGTCGCTGGGCTTGGCACTGAGAAGAGAACCATCCACTTCTGAATCTCCTTCTCCTCTCCAAGCTCCAGCAACCAAGATCCCGGAGCCTTAGGCCCCGCCATCCAGCGTTCCAACCTTCCTACTGTGCCCGTGGCAATGCGCAACAACCGACAGGTTATGAGCCCAAACAGGGTCTCTAGTCGGCTCCAGGACTCGCATGGAGAGGACGCTCAGAATGGTACCAAGAATCGTCGGGATGACAGTTCTGAAGACGAAGATCGTCCAAGTGACTCATCTCCGTCGTCACCTGCGCCCTCGGCAACGTCGCGGAGCGACGGGGCGAGCTCGAGCTCGAGCTCGTCTAGCTCGGACTGCTCTGAGTCCGACGCGAGCTCGTCCAACTCCGACGAGTTCGGATGAGGGGAAGGGCTCTAAGCGAAAGCGCTCCAGCAAGAAGAAGCGCTCCTCGAAGAAGAAGAAGAGGAGTCGCTCCTCTCGGTTGGACAGCCCCAGCCTGGAAGTCCCCAAGCTGACTGGCGCCGACGACTACGAGCTTTGGCGCACAATGATCGAGTTAAAACTCAAGGTTCAAAAGCTGTGGTCCGTAGTGACCGAGGAAGTGGTGCTCGACAGCTCTTGGAGCTCCGCCAAGAAGCGTCGCTGGAAAGAGCGTTGGCTCAAAGCCCAAGCTGTTATCGCTGGGTCGCTTGGCCCCCGATTGGCTGGTCGTTACAGGCGACTGTTGGTGAGCTGCGACCCTGTGGCTCTATTCCAGGAGATCGAGAAAGAGTACAATGCGGGCAGCGCCGCAAAGAACGACATCCTGATCAAGGCCGCAATGTTTGTGCGCAAGCTGGCCAAGGGGGAGCGCGTAGACACCTACATCGACGCGATCATGCAGCTACAAGAGGATCTCGTGACGCTTGGCCATCCGCTTGATGACGCTGAACTTGCTCGACTACTCCTTACCAATGCGCTTGAGGTATTCCCCGACCTCAGCACGGAGCTAGTGGGTGCGAGAATGAAGGCCAGGGAGCTCGAGGTTGGTAAAGTACGTGGGCGGCTTTTGACGCGAGAGCAGGGAGAGAATATGCGTGCTCCGGCCGGAGGCATCGTGGTTCGCAACGCTTCGAGTGATTCTGGTTCAGTCTGACTCAAATCCAGTATACCAGTTTTCTTCTGGGCACAGCCACAGCAGCAAGAATTTCGATCGCCATGGAGGGGGTCATCGGCAGAATCAGAACCGAGCGCATCAGAGCCGACGCCACTCTGTGAAGGCCGCCATGCAACGCCGGCCGTGCCCCAAGTGCGGTAAACTTGGTCACTGGTATCGCGACTGCTGGCAGAAGACAAGCCAAGATGCAAGCAATCGTCCTCCGAGCAAAGGAGGTCAAGGTTCGTCGGCTCGGGCAGGTGGGCAAAGCGGTAGATGGCACGATGTTACGGGGCCGACGGCGCTGATGGCAACCTTCGGCGGTGCGGCCACGAAGTGCGCCTCTGACGTGGTTGAGTGGTGCGGCGACTGCCAATGTCTGCAACGATCTCTCTCAGTTTGTGCAGATATCAACTATAAGTAACGGCCCCGAAATGCTGTGTGCCAATGGCGGCACGGTAAGCATTAATCAAGTCGGCAGTGTAGAGCTCAGGATCGTGAACGAAGTCACTGGCAGGCAGGAGACGCGCATTCTCTCCGATGTGTACTATGTGCCCGATGCCCCTGCGAACTTACTCTCGCAGGACTACATGCAGACGGAGCTCAACTACTTCGTCAAGATGTCCGCCGATCAATCGGTCTGCTTCCTGACCAAGAAAGGAACAACGCTCAAGTTCGTCAAAGTCAATCGGTTGTATCGCATTTGGTCGGTGAGAGACCAAGTGCGAGAGCAAGCCGTTGTATACAGCGCTATTGTGACCCCGAAGAAGTCGGTGCCGTTGGCGGTGTGGCACAAGCGTTTTGCACACGCGAGTGCCACGACTATCGTCGACATGGGCAAGCAGAAGGTGGTAAGAGGGCTACAGATCAGCACAAGCGGAGCGGAGGCTGCGCCAACGTGTCTTCCCTGTATGCACGGGAAAAAGGTGCGGATGACATATCCTGAGCGACGACAGCACGCACAACGACAGCTTCAACGCCTTCAAGTGGACGTCTGCAGTGTGAACGAGCCCACACTCGATGGGTGTACCTCCTTCTTACTTGTGGTCGATGAGTTCAGCCGATACAAATGGCTCTTCCTGCTAAGGCAGAAGAGTGAAGCGAAGAACCACATTGCGGCACTTGTTAATCACCTGCACGTCAAATATCGCGAACGGAATTGGCGTGTGGAAGAAATCCACTCGGATCAGGGTGGCGAAGTTGACAACAACGACATTCTCGACTTCTGTGCTGAAGAGGGTATCGAGCTGACGACAACCAACGCGTACACCCCCCAAGAGAACGGTTTCGTCGAGCGCGCCAATGGGATCGTGCTGCCCAAGGTCCGTGCACTCCTCCATATGACCAACCTACCCGATCTGCTGTGGGGTGAAGCTGCTCTTCACGTCGTCTACACGTTGAATATCACGGCGACCCGAGTGCTCGATGGTCTAACACCCCACGAAAAATTGTCTGGTGATTCGCCTGACGTGTCGTGCCTAAGAACGTGGGGGAGTCTCTGCTACTATCACATCGCTAGTGGAGCACGGTCCAAGAAGAAAAAGCTCTCGTCCAGAGTGGGCACTGCGATTTTGGTGGGTTATTCCCCAACCACTCATGGCTATAAGGTTTTAGACCTTGCGCGTGGTGCAGTCTCCACTCATCGCGGAGGCAATTTGATTTTCGCTGAAGACTTTACGGTGGCTCGTGAATACGTGGAGAAACTGCTAGCCAACGCCTTCAATCACGGTGACCATGAGCTCCCGCCGAGAGCGCCGCTGGTCCCAATGCAGATGCAGATTGAGGACGTTGTTCGATTGGATTCTGAGCGAGAGAGTGTTCTCGTGCAGCCTGGCCAGTCTGTCGCTGTGGAGCAGCCCCCTGCTGCTATTGCTGCTCCCCAGCCTGTTGGTCCTGTGTCTACTGTGGAGGAAGCACCTAGTGCTCGTGGAGGCGTAGACGTGCAGACTGCTCCTGTTGATGGTCTTGCTGACAGCGATACTGTGGCGCGACACCGAGTCTCGCGTTTTGGCAGAAAGCGTAAGAGGAACTCGAGACTCAAGAGATGTACCTGTGCCAGCGACGTATAAGCAGGCAATTCGGTCGAAGTTTGCTGCGTACTGGTTGGCCGCTATTGCTGAAGAACCCGAGTCGCTGCGCAAGCATGGTGTGTGGCAGGTTGTAGATAGAAGTGCTGCTGGAAAATCTGCTGTGATCACGAACAAGTGGGTCTTTGGAATCAAGAAGGACGAGAACGGCTTCGTCAAGCGCTTTAAGGCTCAGCTCGTCATACATGGGTTCAAGCAGAAGTTCGGCGAAAACTACAACGAGACGTTTGCACCAGTCATTAGGTTCGACACGATTCGCGTCGCGATTTATTTCGCTGTCCAGCGCCGGTGGTCGATTTTCCAGTACGACGTCAAAACAGCCTTCTTGCACGGCAAGCTCACTGAAGAAGTCTTCATGGAACTGCCTCAAGGCAATGGATCGCCTGGAAATAGGGAGATTTGTAAGCTGATTAAGTCCCTGTATGGACTCAAACAGGCTCCCCACGTCTGGAACAAGACGCTGCACCGACACCTAGTTGCACTCGGGTTCACGCGTCTGGAGAGTGATCATGGCCTTTACTCCCTCCTCGAGAAGGGGGAGATTGTCATGCTCCTAACTGTCTATGTGGATGACCTGCTGCTAATGGGCGAGAGCAGTCGGTGTGAAGCTATTGCTCGGAAGCTGGCTGCAACATTTGAGCTCGTGGAGCTCGGTCCCGTCAAGTACCTGCTTGGGGTGGAAGTCAGCATTGATCGTGAGAAGAACACTGTCTTCTTCAGTCAGACAAACTACGTTGAAGAAATCCTGCGACGATTCCATATGCACGACTGTCATGGTGCTGCGACGCCCGAGGCAACCACGATGGAAACTGCTAGTGAAGGCCCAGCGGCGCCTGAGCCGAGTGATCTGCCGTATCGCGAGATTGTCGGAGCCTTCCAGTATCTCGTGTCGGGGTCAAGGCCCGATATTCCACACGTTGTTCGTCGGCTTGGACAGTATATGGCGTGCTTCGGTGCTGTCCACTACGCGCAAGCTAAACGGGTACTCAGGTATCTGCAAGCCACCAAGCATTTTGGTCTCAGTATGGTGGTGACTGGTTCAACCCATGTGGATTTGTTGCGCGTGGAAGCTTATAGCGATGCTGACTATGCCAACGATAAGGAAGACCGCCAGTCCGTGAGTGGGTATGTCACGATGGTGAATGGCAGTGTAGTCTCCTACGGGTCACGGAAGCAAGGCTCAATGCCCAGAGCACGATGGAGTCCGAGTACATCGCCATGAATGAAGGCGCGCGCGATATCATGTGGCTTCGTGGTCTGTGTGACGAGCTGAGGTGGCGGTATGACACCCCGAAGCTCTGGTGCGACAACACGGCTGCGATTGCGCTGTCCAAGAAGCCAGGAAAGCACAACGACAGCAAACACATAGAGAATCGTTTTCACTACGTGCGAAATCTCGAGGATCGAGAGCTACTTGAAGTGCAGCACTGCAGAACCGACCAAATGACTGCCGATATATTGACGAAGCCGCTCGCACGTGTCAAGTTTGAATGCTTCCGCTCTCTGCTTGGCGTCGTTCGCCGCAACGAGCAAGGGGGAGCTGCAGCTGAAATCAAGCAGTCGGATACTGCCTTTGTTGCCTGGATGCGGATTCGTTTGAGTCGTGAGGCAGGTGATGGTTCACCAAAAGCGGCTGCAACGTGCAAGAGCAGGCATTAGCTCACCGCGATGTTACGTGGTTGATACTGTCCTGGCGCCGATGTTCGTGCGCTCCGATGCTTGCAGCGCGATGTTCGTGCTCACTGCTGCTACGATGTTCGTAGCTTGTGACGAATTTGCAGAGCCACAGTATTGCTCGCAGAATCAGCGTAACGCGAGCAAGGGGGAGTGTCGGAGGACCTCTGTGTCTTATGATCGTGTCCGCTGCAATGATCCTAGTAGAATAAGAAGCTGAAGTAGCCAGTGTATTTATACAATGCATGTAGGATCAATGTGGTCGCTGGGCTTGGCACTGAGAAGAGAACCATCCACTTCTGAATCTCCTTCTCCTCTCCAAGCTCCAGCAACCAAGATCCCGGAGCCTTAGGCCCCGCCATCCAGCGTTCCAACCTTCCTACTGTGCCCGTGGCAATGCGCAACAACCGACAGAACCAGCGCATGTTGCAGACCTTGAACTTGCCTGCCATGCCTCGCCCGTCACCTCGTCCTCAACCGACGGCGCCGGCCAAAGCCACACTCAAGTTGGAGCCCACGAGGAGGTCGTCGCGGCAGGAGCAGCGCCGAGCACTGGCTGAACAGGAGGAACGGGAGAGACAACTACGTCTAGAGCGAGGAATAAAGGCGAGAGTATTAGTGGAGAAGCGAGAGCAAAGAGAGAAGGAGAAGAAGCAGCGACTGCGGGCCTTGAAGCGCAAGCAGCAGCAAGAATTGAGGGAGCAGAGACTATTGAAGAGGTGACAGAAGATGACCCAGCAAGAGATCAAGCGGGAGGAGCAAGAAAAGACAAGGAAACAACTGCTGAAGGAGCAAGAACGCAATCTAATTTGGCTGCTGAAGGAGCGAGAGCGCAATGAAATTCGGCTGCTGAAGGAGCAAGAGCGGAAGCGGCGGCAGGAGCTGAGGGTGCAGCAACTCAGGTGGCAAGCGCAGCAGCATCGCAAGCCACAAGAACTGCCGCCGGAAAAGGTTGCTGAGCGCAATGCCGGCATTCAACGGCTTATTCAAGAGGAGCTGGGCAAGCAGGCGAGACTCGCCAATGAGCAGAAACAACGAGAACAAGAGCGACAAGTTGTGGCGGCACAGCTACAGGAAACACGATTCAAGCGGGTGCGTTGTAGCGACACAACGACCACAGAAGAAGAAGAAGAAAAACAAGCAGCAGATGGAATTCCTTCGGTCCAAAAATTGAAAGCGTCGAGTGGTGGTGGTGATGATCTTGTGGTTGAGTTGGTGCTGTAAAGGCTCATGCATATTGTACTTCCACTTGACTCCAATGTGATGGCCCGTTGACATTTCCTGCAAAGTAATCAATGACGTTTGGTCGCCTGACTTACAGCATGGAATGCTTCGATCATGCAGTGGACTCTTCCTGCGCAGCAAAAAGTATTTTGTCAGCTTGAGGCGCGTTTAATGTGACCAGCGACAAGCGATATTGCGATTATAAAATGCGCCAGCACAATTCCTCGTGATGTGGATTTCGACTCTAGATGCGCGTCCCCATCGACACTACGATCGGGACGTCGCGCTGGGCAGCATGGAGCTTCTTGAAGCAACGCATTTGGATGCAGCAGCACCGACGACGTGAAGCAGGCCGCAGAGCTTTCCTACCAGGAGTAGCATTCTCGTCGCCCGCAGCAGGCTGAGCAGCACAGCACAGTTTTAGCCTGCAACTTGGAGGATGAGGTCAGCATGGTCAGCGGACCTTGCAAGCGATGTACCATTGCTGAAGAAATGAAGGTACCCTGTCGAAACATTCAGGCGGTGGTGTTCTGGAGGTCAAACCAGAAAAGCAGTGATCTCCGACCATTTGACAGCATGGTTTGGCGACAAGAGGAAAAAAATATTTCGGAGAAGTCTTGTACCTACGGTACAGTTTTTCGGTCTGCACCTAAAATCCAAACTTTACTTTCGCCTTCATCTAGAGTTTGCGTGGCCTCCGTTCACAATCGCACCACACCACCACCAACCCATCCGTCCGTGAAGTGAGTTTTAGCTTGTGCTTCCAATGTGACCTAGTTTAGAAGCAGTTTTAGGTGCTATCGCCCTATTGGCTGCTATCGGTCCTACTTCCGTGCTTACGGATTCGAAAACGATAGCAATATATCCCTCATCCAGTGTCCAGGGCTGTCCGGCATCCCGAATGAGACACTTGTTTCACGCGGGCGACTCGAATGAGGAAGTGCTCACATTACTTTTTGCTACGAACGTGTGAGCTTCAATTGTAAGCGCCCTTTTGATCCAATACACCCACCGTGGAAATGCTGCGACGATACGTTAAACCGAAGATTCTCACGCGATTCTCGTAGACGATCAAAGGGATTATGAAAAACCACGTAGTCGGCAACTTGAAATTAGGCGTGATAATATTTTTACCGCTTATATACCCACCCCCATTATTCTGCAACGTGTTGTGAGCCCCACACGCTTGGGGTTTGGTCGCAACTGTGCTGATGCAGTCCGAAGTCCGTCTGGCCGTCAGTGTCCAAGCGTAAGACACTGCGCCGGTACATGCCCAACTGGCAGCACACCTATTTTATTTAGATAAACTAGTACAATGTAAAAGCCACCGACTAACTACAATACACGCTACTTTACGTGTACAACTTGAGTGCCGCTCGTAAGCCACACGAGGCTCCGCGTTCCGTGGAGTCTCCCATTACAGTTCTCGCTCGTTTCGTACTTCCAGCTCTCGTCGTTCGACTAGTAGCTGCCGCCGCTGTCCGTACAGCCGCTGCTGGCGCCTGCTCATGCCGCGTCGACCGCTGGTCTTCATCAGCGAGCTGTTCGTCGATGTCGCGCGCCACTTGCGCGAGTAGGGCCTCCGGGTAGTGCTAACTAATCAAGAAGGAGACGTGAGCGATCAACGTCTCAGTCTTTCGGTTCTTGTCTTCCCTCGTTAGCACGAAGTTATCGTAGCCAGCCGGTTCCAAAATACGCAAAGGCCCATCTATTGGTGTACAAACTTGGTGGCGTTCTTGCCACGCGGCGGGTTGTACATCCAAACCACGTCGCCGGCCTGAAACTGCCGCTTGCTTTTCACCTTGCGGTTGTAATACCGCGCCTGCCGTTCCTGATCACGCTGTCGAGCACGCTCGCGCACTCATAGACTGGCAGCTCTCCCGCCTCCGTCACCTCCGTCCGTCGTAGTAATTCGTTGGGTGCGCGTAGCCGCCTTCCCATCATCCGTTCATTGGGGCTTAACGCCACCGTAGAGTGTCTAGCCGAGTTGTAGGAATAGACAGCAAACTTGACCCATAGATTCCAATCTGTCTGCCTCTCGTCCTGCATGAACGTTGCCACGCAATCTTTCCACGAGCGGTGGAAGCGCTCAATAAGTCCGACCATCTTGGGCCGATAGGGCACCGGATTGATTTGTCTCGCCTGGAGCAACTGCACGAGCTCCTCGATCACTTTGCCTGCCAATTCCGGAGCTCCATCCGTTAGTAGCTCGCGAAACACGCCGAAGCGCAACACAACCTCCTGCATAATGAACGTCGCCACCGTCTCAGCCGTATGTTCCGTCACGCAGCTCGCCACTGCATACCGTGTCACGTATTCGACGGCGGCGATGACATACCTGTCACCTCCGTCGGCTACTGGGAAGGGTCCGGCGACATCGAGCGCCCAACGATCCCCCACTGCACCACCGCGTAAACCTCGTAGCGGCGGTATCACTTCACGTGGTTTTGCCTTCCGGGACCCGCACTCAGGGCATCCACGCACCCATCGCCTCACTTCTCGGTACAATCCCGGCCACCAGTACAGCTGGGCTACGCGGCCATACGTGTGAGGACCGCGCAGGGTGTCCGCTCCACACGCTGCCGTGCATCTCCTTGAAGACAGCCGCCCAAAGGGTCGGTGGCAGCACCGTTCGGCGTATTGACCGTCACCAGGCCGTATTCGTGCGTCACCGTCATGCTGCCGTACTTGCCATCCGCTTCCAGCCGCTTTACAAACTTACTGCGCTGCTGCGCCGTCACCCGTTCGTCATCGCTCAACTGGAGCATATAATCGTCAACAGGGTCACTCCCTTCGTCATCGCCCATGATGTCCGCGCCGTTCGCCGTCGTCATCGTGCCGTTCGTCAACGGCACCGTGCTGTTCGTCACGTCCTTGGTCGCTGGGGTGTTCGTCTTCGTCACCGACGTCTCGTTCGTCGTCTCCGCGCTGCCGGAGCCCTTCGTCGTGAGCTTCGTCTTCGTCGCAGACCTTCGATGCTGCTGGTACCGTCGTGGGTGCCTTCGTTCGCGTTCGTGCACTCTTCGTCGCTGGTGCAGCGTCACCTGGTGCCGCTGTCGTCGTCTGTTTCGTCCGCGTTGGGCTCGGGGTCCGTGTTCGTGCCGCAGTCGTCATCTCCGGGCGCGTGGGACTCGTAATCCGTGCACGTGTCGTACTTGTGGTGTAACGGGATCAGCAAAATCTGCGAGATTGCCAATCCAACTTACCAACTGCGCCCGAACACTGACTTACGGAGGGGTGGCCCCCGATGATCCGTGATCTGTGTGATGAACTGGTCACCTTGTGTACCTGTCGGTAGGGCTGGATCTGCTCCTCTGGCGTCTGTTGAAGCGTCCGAGCCTTGAAGACAGAACCGTCTGGGCGAGACGCGGGGATGTGGGTGGAGCAGCGCGGAAATCTTCACTCTGCTCGCGGTAGTATTCCAAATCCAGTGGTCTTGTACCTGGATCTGGCGGCCTGGATCTGGATCCGGCCGGGTTGTTGCGTTTGGGTTGTTGTTGTTCCTTTCCTTTGCCTTTGCAGGTCTTCCTTGGTCGTGTTTGCCGCCTCCAATGACGGTGTCGTTGACAGTTGAGACGAGAGGGACGCACCGGCCAAACAGATAACTCCGGCGGATCTTGGATCTGCACTTGCAGGTAGTTCACTAGGAAGGTCTTGGATCTGGCCAATATATTACTCCAGTCTTGCAATCAACACTAGATCTGCTACCGCTAACCTCTCTACGCCGTGTAGGACCAATGGCGTTCCCGTTTCCAGGCGAGGGAGGAAGCGCTTGCGTTGTACAAGGCAAATTCTGGTCTGATTTATGCTTAAGTTCGCTCCTATCCCAAAGTCCTATCACCATGTAGCTCCTATCACCCGATCTGTGCCTATCGACTCTATGGGTTCTCTTTACCTTCATTGCGTGTCAGCTGCTTGCCCGTCGAGTCGTGTCCACAACTTCCTGGTTGCGCCCGGATGTAGACCCAGATCCACGCTGGATCTTGGATCTGGGATCTTGGATCTGGGAGATTGGATCTGGGAGATTGGATCTTGGATCTTCATTGGGTGTAGATCCAGACCCATCTGACTCTGATTCCATCTGAGTCGGTCACTCTTCCGCATCTGTGGCGAGATCCTGATCCATCAAACGTCTAATCACCTGCCGTCACTCATTTTCTGGGACCCACACTTCTCCACAACCGCCTCCTGGCCGTAGTTGTTGCCGAACAACGGCATCACTACGGGCACGTTGGCTTGCTTGTTCCTTTTTCCCAGCGTCGCAGAAATGTCCGATCACGGGCGCAGTCCACCCCCCGCTTCTTCGGCGCGGAGCAGTCATCACGTGAACCAGCCCGCGCCGGATCCACCCGGTCCAGATCCTCTCGAGCCTCACAGTGAGGAACTCCGTGCTCTGGTCGCCGCCCGTGATACCGCGATGCGTAACCAAGAAGAGGTAGCAGCGCTGCTGCTGCACCAGACGCGAGAGCTGGATGCGGCCCAGGCACACATACAGCGGCAGAACGCGGAGCTGAGCAGCCTACAAGCAGAAGACGCCGTCCACCGCAGCCAGGGGACTACCTCCGTGGCTGGTGCAGTGCGGGCTCTTCAGCTCCAAGGTCGGGTCGCCCAGCAGGTGGGCGAGATCCGTGATCTTCAGCGTCACATTGAACGGCTTGAACGCGAACGCGACCGTCTGCAGGAAAACAACGATTACCTGGCCTCCGAAGTCTCGTTAGCCGGTGCTGAGATCCAGCAGCTCCAAAGTAGAAACGCTAGTCTGGAACGCGACTTGGAGGACGCTAACGACGAACGGGATGTGGCGGAGCATAACATGGATCGGGCGCAAGAGGCACTTCGGCGAGTCGAGGAAGAGCTCGGGTCCAGAAGTCACGTTCCCCAAATTGATCCTCAGCAGATCGAGGCTTTGACTCGGGATCGGGATCGCGATCGTGTGTCTCTGGCTGAAGTTACGCGCAGCTTCACGAAGGCTCAAGAAGATCTGCGAGCTCACCAGCGTATGCACAACGAAGCTCGCGACGAGCTGAACCGCCTCAGAGCCGTTCACATGGCAACCCTTGCGGATCTGGATCGCGCTGTCCAAGAGCGTGACACTCCCGAACTCACTCATCTGCAGGACCTTCAAGAGACGGCCGTCGCGGACTTGGCTCGAGTGTATCGAGAGCGTGACGCTTACCGGGACGAGGTTACCCAAGTGCGTTTGGAACTCAAGGATCTCCAGGCTGACTTTGACGCTTCCGAGCAGACTGTAACTACGTTGGGGCAGCGTGTGAGTGCGATTGAGTCTCAGCGTCAGTCACTGGCCCAGGATCTCATCCGCATGAGTCACGAACGAGACGGGCTGCAGGAAGAAGTAAACGTTGCGCTATGGCAGCTGTCGTCAATAAGTCGTCTGGCAGATGCTCGGCCCGGCGCGATTGAAGAGGTGGTGAATCCGGCGTATATCCTCAGCTTGATCCGTGTGGCGCCTCCTGGATCCGCCGAACAACAGCCTACCGCGGAAACCTCGGATCGGGACTGTTCAGATCCAGTACCCAACCAACAAATGGCATCAAGTGCTTCCAAGCGGGATCGGGGTCGCGAAACGCCCGATCCAGATCCTACTCCGCTAGCTAAGTGTCGCATCTTCTCGCCGCAATCGGAAAGCCGTGAAGCTTTGGATCGAGGCGACGGCTGCTCGTCCCCTGCCAAAGGTAGCGAAATCGCCGACGATGGTGGTCTGTCGGATTCCCAAAGAGGGGAAGGCAGCGACCAGGAAGACGACCGCGGCGACAAGGGAAACGGCGACGGCCACGAAGAGGAAGATCACAACGAATTAGAAGAGCAGGGCAACGACGACGGCGAGGATGAAGAGACTGAATCCATGGCAAATGATCTATTCGAAGCTCAAACTCTGGAGGCGCTGTCCCAGTCGCGATCCGAAGAGAGACGGCGACAACACGCTTCTCCTCGTCGCCGGCCGTCTTCGGGTGCTGGCCGGGCCCCGGACGATGGAGATGGATCGGATCCGCATGAAGATCCCGATCCAACTCCTCCACAGGATCCCGATCCACGCAATCTTCCCCCAGCTCGTGCCCGTCGACCACCGGTGCAAGATCTTCTGGCTCCTGTAGTTCCGTTTGCACCTGACGCGGACTGCATCCCCGGTCGCGAGAACGCACATGCGTTGGTGCCGACCGACTGCCAACCTTGGCAGGTGGACCACTTAAATGATGCGGCCATGGTGACTATGCTGATCGACGTGTTGTTCCCGATCCTGCCCACCGCTCCAGGCTGGTTATTTCCCTACTTCGGTCCTGCCGAGGGCCGTAAGCCGAAGATCCAACTCAATGACTACTGCTGGGAACTCATCACAGAAGAGAACGTGCGGGCGCAATTGGACACCCACCCTTGGGAAATCCTTGAGAACCCGGGCGATGCCATTTCGTTTGAAGTCAAGGTGGGTGGTCGACTTGGGATCCTGATCCAGGAGTACGGGATCTTCGAAGACACTATCTCATGTCCTACTGGGAGTCGACCCACCACTTTCCGATCCCCGATGCGATGGCAAAGAAATATCCGTGGCTAATAGTGTTCCAGAAGGAACGCAGAAACCGTAGATCCCTCGCGGGCCGTGCGTTGAAGCAGTTCTTGGAGTTGTTGATCACCGTCATGCGTGAAGGGTGGTGTGACCTGGACATCCTGCTGAATCCACATTTCCTACATTTCCCCAAGCGTGCCGAGTCCGTCACGTGGTACCCAGGGTTGGCCTAGCGCCAAGCTAATTTGGCGGATCGTAACTTGAACCGGCCAGAGCCCACGCATCTCTTGGAGGCGTTGGATGAGTGTAACAACGAGGATCCATGGCGCAACCACTACCGGGATACTCCCCAATACCATCCTGCGCGCAACATTGCGCGCCTCTCGGCCAAGTTCTTCAATCTCCGTGCAGTTGGCGACCAGTAAGGGCTGGATCTACGGTGCCAGATCTCAAGTAGATCCAGATCCACAGATCCTTGCAGTTGAGCTAATTACGCAGGATCTGGATGTACTTTTGCATGTTGTAGTCGGCGATCATACACTCGTTTCGCTTGTGTTCGTGCCTTTTTTTTCGTCTCACTACCCCGATCCACCTTTGCACTCCAATACAGCTCGAGCTTGTAGATCCGGATCCGGATCCGTACCACACCTCATTGCGATCCAGACCCAATATTACAAATATTACACTCCGATACGGCTCGAGCCTGTAGATCCAGATCCATACCACATCGCTTCGCGATCCAGATCCATAATTGCACTCCATTCCAGATTCAGCTGAGACGCCCTTGTCATCGCCAGATTCTTCTTTCTTCCACCTCGCTCAAGTTCAACGAACACCTTGTTATTCCATACACAAATACAAAATTCTCAATCCACCGATCTGCAACCACCCTGCAGATCCATCACCGCACTCTCTTCCCAAAGTGACCAACTCACTCCAGGAGACCGCAGCCCCCACTACTCCTCGTGGGACTGCATCACACCGAACCGGTTCCGGTTGGTGCGGCTCCGCCGAAAATCTTGTAGTATAGCATCACAGTTGAGATCCGCTTCATCCACCCAGGATGGATCTTCATATCCGCGCCAGTGTACAAAGAATTCACGATGGATCCGGCCGTAACGAGTGCGTTTCCCAGTTCTCATGTCCGTGGTTTTCTCCACTTCGTACTCGTCCTCTCCTAGATCGTGGATCCAGCTATCCTCCGGCAATAACGCCTCGTCAAAATCGTATTGATCTGTGGTGCCTTCGGTTAGCTGGATCCGGGACCGGTCTGGAAACCTCTTCACCAGCTTAAGCTTCGAGACGTGAACCACAGGGAACAACCGATACTCCGTGCCCGGGGTCTTGATCCGCATAGCATACTCGCCTATCTTCTCGGCCACGCGGAATGGCCCATGCCACATATGCGCCAGCTTGCGAGCGTACCCTTCCTTAACGCGATCCAGGTACAGCCAGACTCTAGATCCAACTTTGATCCGGTGCGGATGGATCTCTTCATTATGCCGATCCGCCCGATCCGAGATCGCCTCCTGCAGCCGCATATTGACTTCTGCCCGCGCCTGCTGGTAATAGCGTTGGATCTGGTATCACCACCGCCGTGTATCCCGATCCTGGCGGCGAGTACTGCCTAACGGGATTGTGGCTTCGAGTGTGGACCTCGGATCCCAGCCATGTACCAAGTAAAATGGCGTTTCTCCTCGGATCCGATCTTGGGCAGTATTAAGCGCGAAAGTGAGGCGCTCCGCGTAATCATCCCAATCGCACTGATCCAGATCCTGCACGTACATCTTCAGAGCGCGAGTTGCTGTTTGTACCATGCGTTCGGCGGTTCCATTCGCTTGCGGCCTATAAGCCATCGTCGCACGTTGTCGTTGACCCAGGATCCGGTTGAATGATTGGAAGAAGTCCGCCACGAACACCGGCTCACGGTCGTGCCGGATCACTTCGCTAGCACCGAATCGTCTGAAAACACACTCTTCGTAAGACTCTGCGATTGTCTGCGCTGTTCTGGAGTTACTGGCCTTCGCGATCACGTATCCCGTAAACAGATCCACCCAGATCAAGAACTCGGTATTACGTTTGTTGGATCTGGGCAGCGACGGTATATGATTCATCGCTATAATCTGGAACGGGTATGTAGCTTGGATGTTCCCAGGCGACTCACCTTGGATCGTGGGTCGTCCTTTGCCCGTTTCGCAATCCACACACTCTCCGACATATCTTTGAACACTCCGATACAAACCTCTCCAGTGAAAGCGACCCCGGATCCGCTGGTAGGTGCGGCCGATCCCTTGGTGACCTCCTTCGAGAATGACATGGTAATGGTGGAGGACATCCTGTTGTAGAGTCTCCAGCAGCACCAACCTCATCAATCCATCGCGATCCGCCTCCACCTTCTTCGTGGGAGGGCAATAGAACAGCAGGTCGGTGAGATCAACTTCGTAGTCCGTCGCGATAGCGCTGTAGGATCTAGCTTCATCCTGGGTCAGATCCTGCATATCGCCCACTAAGTACTTCATCAGACCGGAGATCCACGCCTCCTCGTCCTACGCTTGGCGGATCCTGGCGATCCTGAGATCCCGCACTACTTCCTCTTGCAATACACTCGGGTTGGATCTGGATCTGACTTGTGCTCGTGTTGTCACGGGTGAGGCATGCGCGACGGAGGCTTCTTCTTCACGCTTCACAACCAGGATCTCATCTAGGCGGTTCAACGTGACTAGATCCTGCAGATCCACCGCATCCTCCACCATGATACCGGCCTGTCGCTGAAGTGCTGCGCTGGCTAAGCTATCCGCGCTGCCGTTCCAGTCGCGCTTGACATGTACCAGCTCGTGGTCCGGCCAGATCCGCAGCCGATCCAGGGCTTTCTGTCTCAGAAGGGTCAATCCTGGTGCCTTGCAGTCGATCTCACCTCGGACTTGGCGAACCACCAGGTTGGAATCCCCACAGATCACCAATTGTCGTTGTGACTCGCCTTCGAGCAGATCCAAACATAAAAGAAGCCCATGGTACTCCGCCTCATTATCGGTAAGCCCCTCAGCATAGCTGGATCTAGCCTTCACCACAGTCCATTACGGTAACTTCCACAGGATCGCGCTGTATGCGCCTCCGCCACGTTTGGCATAGGCGGATCCGTCAAAGCTAACCACATACAGTTCTTCACCTGGCCGGACGGTCGGGATCGGCGCTTGGATCTTGCGTCGCGGCTCCTTTTTGGGCGCAATCTCGATCAAAGCCTGATTCACCTTGGATCTAGGGGTGATACTGGTCGCCAGAGTCCGCAGGATCTCATCTTCGCCCTTCATGCATTTTCTAATCTCGAGTGTCCACGGCGAGAGCAAGGCCGCCCACTGCCCCAATCGTCCTTGTAGACCCGTAGATCTGAACAGCCAGGACAACGTCGAATGTCTAGTTAAGACTTGGATCTGGCGTCCAACCACTAAGATCCAGGATTCGCAACAGAACCAACACCTCCTTCTCAACCACGCCATAATTGAGCTCGTTTGACTTCAGTGTACGACTCGTGAACACTACTGGATAGTAGATCCCGTCATGTTCTTGCATCAAGGCAGCCGAGATGGCCCACTCGCTAGCGTACACAACCACCACCGGCAACAGATCCGAGTCAAAGTGTCTTAGGATCGGAGTCATTGCCATATTTTCCTTCAATTTGGCAAATGCCCGATGAGCGCGAATCCAACGTGGATCTACACGGTTTGGATCACTCGCCTCCAGATCCAGAGTCTCCCGCTTCCCAGCCTTGGTGGATCCAGAGTCTGTATCCGGTAGGTCTAGATCCGCCGTGTCGGACGAGGTCTGCTCCGTTGGATCTGGAGTCGAAGCCATCACCGCTTGGATCCGGCCTCGATTCTCAGGCTTGCTCATCGCGGCGTAGTCCACTTCACGCAATTCGTAGAGGACCCCAGCGTAGATCGCGTAGTCCTCCAGAAAGCGACTGTAGTAATTCAAACTACCCAGGAACGACTGCATGGATCTAAGTGTGCCTGGAAAGGGTAGATCCGTTAGTGCCGAGAGATCCTTGGGATTCGCCTCTAGTCCCGCCTTTGACACGCGATGACCAAGGTACTCCACCTTACGCTTGCCCCAGAAGCTCTTCACCACGCTGATTGAGAGATTCCACTTATCGCACGCGTCCAGTAGTGCGTCCACACGCTCACGCAGATGGTCTCAGGATCCACCAGTTACCAAAATGTCGTCAATATACGACCGACGTCCCAGTACGGATGATTTGCCCGGACCTTCAGGTTCTCCCGACCTCAGATCTAACGCCTCCGATCCAGATCCACGCTTGGATCCAAGTTCGCGCGCTGGTCCCGATCCATCTTCCAGCCGCGGAATCCGAGTGAATCCATACAATGCGTTGTCTAGCATCCGCTGATAGATCTGGGGTGCGTTCTTCAATCCAAAGGGAATCCGGTTCCAATTGAACAGCCCGAACGTGGTGACGAAGGCGGAGATCACACGAGCCCGATCCGTCATCATCACCACCCAGAATCCACTGGCCATATCCAAAGAGCAGTACCAAAGCACCTTGTCCAGATCCTCAAGCAGGTCGTTAATCAGAGGCATCGGGTAGACCATCAGCCGGGTCAAACTGTTAACCAGCCTGTAATCGATACATAATCGTATGTCTACCCTATTCTTCTTGATGATCACCACAATTGGAGATGCCCACGGTGAAGTCGAATCCTTGATGATCTTGGCTCCGAGCAACCCCTTGATTAGATCCGACAGTTTCTCATGGTACTGCGGGGCTACCTTGCGCACCCGCTGAGCATTGGGTTTTGCATCACCCACATCAACACACAACTCCTCGTGCCGCGGGTGGTAGTGCGTTTCCTTTACCAATCAGCAGATGCCGGCGCCTCCAGATCCGCCGCCGGAGTCGATCGATTTCTTCCGCCGTATTAACCTCTGGATCTCCCACCTGGATGTCTTCAATAGTCACCTCGTCTGTGGTCGCAGTGACTTCCGGTAGCACCGCCATCTCCGCTTCAACATCTTCCGCGTGCAGATCCCCACTCACGTGGTAGCAGACTTGCTCATCTGCATCAGCGTCACCGCGACTTGGATCTATGGTAGTCGTTGGATCTGCATCGACAGTTGGATCTGGCGTCGGACCTGATTCCTGCGCCGTCTCACCATCTGGATCTGCGCCTCGTCCCATCTCACCATCTGAAACTTGAAGCTCCACTGGATCCATGGCCTGTCCAGTATCACCATCTGTTGAATCGGCAGATCCGCCCCCTGTCCCTCCGTGCTTACCACCCGATGTGACAACGGGCTAGACCTCCTGTCCCACATCATCTGGATCCAGCGCCCCCTCGCGACCTTGCGTGTAGTCAGTTGGATCTTGGCCCGTTGGTCCATCGTCTGGTCTCAGCGCGTCGTCGACACTTCGATCGGCAGTTGGATCTGGATCCGGCTGGCGCTCAGCAGGAACTTCGCCTGGATCCGGCTTGGGCCAAATGACCGACACTGGATCTTGGGCTTCTTCCATCCGGACAATAGCTGCGTGCAGTTGCGTCTGTCGAATCGACCCATTGTCCTGCGTCACCGTGGGATCTGGCCTCGACGGAGGTCCGATTGTCGGCTCGTCCCATCCACATCCAAGATCCGTGGATCTGACCTGCTCTGGGGAGATGGGCTCTGGATCTGCACCTCTTCCCGCGTGTCAATCTTCATGCACTGACGTAACGCGAACGGTTGACTGCGAGATTCGCCGTCTCCCAGGGAATCCTCGTCACTTGGATCTTGATCCGGCGAGTCTTCGGCCTGCGGATCTCCTCCGGGTGCTTGTCCGCCCGTCTCCTCCGGTCGCTGGTCTCGTGTCCGCGCCTTGATTGAAGCTTGGAGCTGCAACACCTCCGCCGCCCCAGCTATGTATTCGTCGATCGCCTGACCGGGCGGATCCGGCCGCGACTTGCCCCGTCCACCCCGGCGTTCTTGGATCTTGGTTCCACCTGTCTGACTTGAGTTGGATCCTGCCTCCGCAGTATTGCACGCGGCGTCAGGTACTCAGGGCGCTCCACCATCGGCCCCGTCGGGGTTTCTGGAGGCGCCGCCTCCGTGGATCCAGCCTCCGTCGTGGCTTGCAGCGCGAGATTCTGCCACTCCAGGTAACGGCGTGATCCAACGGATACGTAACCTTGGATCCGCGGCACCCGATCACCGACCAGCCACATCCCTACTTGATGGTTCTGGCGCAGCACCAACTCCTTCTCGCCGACGTTCGTGATTCGAAGGTACCGTGTCTTGCCTGGGCCCTTGATCACTGTTGGTACCCATCGATCTCCTCGTGTAACCCAAAGTTTGTCATGTTCCGATCCAGATCCCCGCAGGCGCGTGGATAGCTCCACGGACTCTCCGACCCCAAGCTGCAGATAGCGATCCAGCTTTACCGACTGCGCCTTGTCACTGTATAGCGGACGGCGGCCGCTGAGTTGGATTCGGACTTCGTCAGGCAGACAGAGAGTCCCATCAGCTAGATCCAGTCGGATCCCGGCCGGGACCATGTAGTCCATACCAAGGATCGCTTCTTGGCCGGACAGAACCCCGACCCAAATGTCGAAGAAATACACCAGGTATCCACCTAAGGTAATCTTGATCCGCGTTCTCCATTCCGTTGTGTACACGTTGTCGCCGATCCCAACACATTCTTGGCTCTGACTCCTGTCGATGTAGCACCCCACCTTACGAGCAAAGGCGGTGTCCACGATGGACACCTCGGCACCGGTATCTATGATTAAGATAGTCTTCTCATTGTTGATCTTGCCGTGGATCTTAGCCTGACGGATCCACTTGCCCGGCGAATGTTGCTTCCAGTACCCTCGGGATTCTCCAGGTAGGAGATACGAGTACTCTGGATCTACAGTCCGCTGGCTTGCAGCGTCACACCTGGATCTGGATTCCGATGTGGCTTCGCCATCGGCTGGTTTGAACCACTGCTCTGGATCCTGCTGCTTCCAATAGCCTTGACGAGCCTCTGGATCCAGGTCCACTTCCACTGTCGCGTCGGATCTGGAGTAGTCGTCGGCTTGCCGAAGGCTTGAGATCACAGCAGTACGTTTCCCAGATCAAGATCACATGTATTACCGCGTAGATCCTGTCGTTTGCTAACTGGATCTGTCGATGTCTTGTTCACAAATGCATAGATGCAATACTTAGCACGCTCGGCTCGTACCGGATTCCAACCCGACGAGCGTCCTAGTTTAACATCTTCTCCGCCATTTCTGGCAGCATGCCCGCATGCTTGACTGGATTGAACCACTGGCGGATCTGGTTGTAAAACGCTTCCATCGGGCACCGGCCGAGTTCACCACACCCATGGCACACGAAGAGGCAATGGTCACCTGGATGACGCTTCTTGCCGCACTTCTCACACGTCAACCGCTTCCAGCAGCCGAGATGTAAGTGCTTCTTGGATCCGCAGTGTGTACAGCGGCTTCGCTCGGACCCATCAACGTGGATCTTGGATCTCTGATCGCGGGAGGTTGGATCTTGCTGCTGCCGGTCTAGAGGGTTCCGTTCCAGGGCTTTCGGCTCTTCCTCGACTGGTTTCGCATGGTCGTGGGAGGCAGACAAATATATCGTGCGGTATTCGTCGCACTCGGAGTCCGATCCATCACTGGATCTAGACTCGGATCCCGAGTCAGGTATGATCTGGATCGCACGCACATGTTTAGCTGGAGCGGCTGGCGCAGGCGTTGCTGGTGCTTTTTGCCGGTACTTGCTGGATCCATACGCGGACTTCTTCTGCCGGTTTTTCGCCCGATCCAGGGCACGAAGGACTTCTTCTAGCTCGTCAGCATCCGGGATTGCGGGATCCGGCTTCGGCTGGATCTCGCCTACCATCACCTTCAGCCGGTTGAACAACATCTCCGTCGTGGCACGGAGTTGGATTGGATCGATCTCGTACATCACTGACGCGTCGAACGCTCCAGCCACGAGACCGGTCCCTCAGCAGCTGCATCAGGCGTTCCATCTCGGGCAAGATTTCTGGACGCTTAACGGCTGCCGGAAATGTCAGGGGTCCATGCAGGGCTCCGATCGGCTTCACACCTAACTTCTGCATAATTGGATCCACTGTCAGAAAGCCGCGTAGTTGCTTCTCGTGATGACGGATCCATGATGCCTCGGATCCATCCTGGGTCGACGTTTCTGGATCTTTGTCCTCCAGCTCCTGGGCCTTCATCTTCCTTCTTGTAGCGGTCTTCTTTGTCTGTGTCTTGTCTGGATGGAAGCTGTAGGGCTCTTGTTTCACTTGAGAGTCAGCAAATGCATACCGATCCTGGCCAGCCTTGGTTTGTTTTGTTAGTGGATCTTGACTTTCGTCGCGATCCACCGGGGTCCTCGAAGGGACCTGTGGAGGAGGTTGAGGTTTCTCTTCTGGATCCATGTCTGGGTCCACCTCGGTTCCGCCGATCCGGGCACGCGCACCATTGTGGTGTAGCGGGATCAGCAAAATCTGCGAGATTGCCAATGCAACTTACCAACTGCGCCCGAACACCGACTTACGGAGGGGTGGCCCCCGATGATCCGTGATCTGTGTGATGAACTGGTCACCTTGTGTACCTGTCGGTAGGGCTGGATCTGCTCCTCTGGCGTCTGTTGAAGTGTCCGAGCCTTGAAATCAGAACAGTCTGGGCGAGACGCGGGGATGTGGGTGGAGCAGCGCGGAAATCTTCACTCTGCTCGCGGTAGTATTCCAAATCCAGTGGTCTTGTACCTGGATCTGGCGGCCTGGATCTGGATCCGGCCGGGTTGTTGCGTTTGGGTTGTTGTTGTTCTTTTCCTTTGCCTTCGCAGGTCTTCCTTGGTCGTGTTTGCCGCCTCCAATGACGGTGTCGTTGACAGTTGAGACGAGAGGGACGCACCGGCCAAACAGATAACTCCGGCGGATCTTGGATCTGCACTTGCAGGTAGTTCACTAGGAAGGTCTTGGATCTGGCCAATATATTACTCCAGTCTTGCAATCAACACTAGATCTGCTACCGCTAACCTCTCTACGCCGTGTAGGGCCAATGTCGTTCCCGTTTCCAGGCGAGGGAGGAAGCGCTTGCGTTGTACAAGGCAAATTCTGGTCTGATTTATGCTTAAGTTCGCTCCTATCCCAAAGTCCTATCACCATGTAGCTCCTATCACCCGATCTGTGCTTACCGACTCTATGGGTTCTCTTTACCTTCATTGCGTGTCAGCTGCTTGCCCGTCGAGTCGTGTCCACAACTTCCTGGTTGCGCCCGGATGTAGACCCAGATCCACGCTGGATCTTGGATCTGGGAGATTGGATCTTGGATCTTCATTGGGTGTAGATCCAGACCCATCTGACTCTGATTCCATCTGAGTCGGTCACTCTTCCGCATCTGTGGCGAGATCCTGATCCATCAAACGTCTAATCACCTGCCGTCACTCATTTTCTGGGACCCACACTTCTCCACATACTCGTCGCCATTGGTCGTGTCGGAGTGGTCACCTGGTGGTGTCCACCGTCCTGTGCGTCGCCAGCACGCGGCACAGCTGATCCCTGGTCACGTGGGACACTTGATGCTGACGTCGGCGTGGGGCTCGGTGCCATAGCCGACTCCGCATTCGCAGCCATCGTCGTCGTAGCTGCCATCGTCTCCGTAGTCTCCGTAGATTCCGTTCAGCCAGCACTCAGCGCCGTGCGGGTCGTGTCGCCGTCGTTCGTCACCGTGGCGGCCCAGTGCACACGTCGCTGGTCTCGTTCGCGAAGACGCTCACGGCGTCTCGTTGCAGCAGTCGCCGTCTGCTTCGCGCGTCTTCGGCCGTTCGTGGCCGTCACTGCTGAGCCGGTCATCATGGTCGTGGACGCTTCGCTGTTCTCGTCAGGCACTGGCACTCTGGCGGTGTTGTCCGCCGTCACCGTCTCGGTCGTCGACCTCGCCATGCCGTCCGCCGTACTCGTTGCCGTCACGGGTCGCCTCGGAGCCATCGTTGATGTCTCCGTGTACACCACTTCGTCCGTCAGCTAGTTCGTCGTCCGGTCCGTCATCCATCCAGTCGTCTTCCCCGTCGTCTTGCCCGTCGTCGTGGCGTCCGCCGCTGTCGTCTCCACCGCTGGAGCACGTGTCGGCGGAGCTGCTGCCGTCACCTCGCCCGTAGGCGACGTACCGCTCGAGTCAGTCGTCCTTGGTGTCGCCTGGCGCCGTCGCTGCTGTCCTACCGCTGCTCTGACCGCTGCAGGTGCCAGGGATAAGGCATCTGCTACCACGTTCGTCGACCCCGGTCGATATTCGACCTGAAATTCGTATTCTTGAAGTACTAGCAACCAACGATGCAATCGCCCAGCCAGATTCGGCCGAGGCATCAACCATTTCAGCGCCGCATGGTCCGTGATGATCGTGAAGGCTCTGCCGTACAAGTAGGGTCGGAACATCTTCACGGACCAGACCACAACGAGACACTCCAGCTCGGTGATCGAGTAGTTCGACTCCGCCTCACTGTTCATCTTACTGCCATATGCAATCGGCTGCCAGCCGCGTCCGTGGCCCTGCATGAGGCAGGCTCCCAAGCCAACTTTACTAGCGTCCGTCACTAGGCGGAATGGTAGTTCGAAATTAGGATAGAGTAGCAAGGTCGCGGGGTGAGCAACATCTTCACGTGTTCAAACGCGAACTCCTGCGCCTCGCTCCATTCCCACTGCACGTCCTTCTTCAACAAGCGAGTCATCGGCTTCACGATCGAGCCGATGGCTGCAATAAATTTACGGTAGTAGCCAGCAAGGTGTACAAACCGTTTAACCTCCGTCGCGTCCACAGGTCGCGGGAAATCACGTACAGAGCGCACCAGCCGTTCAGCGGGCTGCACGCCCTTATCGCTCAGATGGTGGTCAAGATACTTCATTGAAGTAGTGGCAAAGGTACACTTTTTCAGCTTGAGACTTAGGCCAGCAGACCGTAATCTCTCCAATACACCAGCTAGTTCAACCATATGCCGTTCGATTCCGCCCTTCATGAAGATAATGATGTCGTCGAGGTACACAAGGCACGTCATCCATGTCAATCCGCGCAATACCCCGTTCAGGAGCCGCTGAAAGCTAGCAGGGGTATTAGTCAGGCCAAAGGGCATCCGCTTGAAGCGATAGAGACCCCGTTTCGTCATGAAGACCGTCTTGTCACGATCCTCCTCTGCAACCCGAATCTGCCAGTAACCTGATCTCAAATCTAGCGTAGTGAACAGCCGTGCGCTGCCCAAAGATTCCAAGGTCTCATCAATACGTGGCAAAGGGTAGACATCCTTGCGTGTGATGCTGTTCAGGGCTCGATAGACCACGCAGAACCGTACAGAGCCGTCCTTTTTCCGTACGAGCACTACGGAAACCCCCCACGCTCCTTCGCCGTGCTCAATCAATCCTGCCGACAGCATAGAGTCGACGTTGCTATCCACAATAGCGTCCTCCGTCTGGACTTGACGTCTCCGTCTCATCATTATGGGAGCTGCGTGTCCCGTATCAATATGGTGCTCTACGTTGAGTGTCGTTGCAGGCGGACACTCGTCTTGCGCATTCACCAAGTCTCGATAGGCACGTAATAGTTTTAGTATGAGCGCACGCGCGTTCGGCTCCTCCGTACCGATGTCCACGTCGTGTTCGTCGTCCAAGGGCATGTCGGCGTCGCCCAGTTCGTCCAACCACGCGTTCACACGTTCAGGGTCCAACTCTCCATGCATCGTCAAGAGCTCAATGTCTTGATTCATAGGTATCCATACACCTAGCTCCTTTCTGCTTGGCAACTTGATGCGTCCGCCGTGTGTGTTGATGGCAGGCACCATCGCCATCCCGTTCGTCACATTGGTCAGTGCTGACGCGAGCAGCACCGCTCCATTGTTCACTGTTGGCAGGAAAATTCCTTCCGCGCCATCAGGCGCGGCAATCGCTACCTCTACCGTCTGCACGGCACGCCGGTGCAAGTACGTAGCACTGGCCAGCCTCACAGCTGCCACCGCCGGGTCGTTCGTCTCCTCCGTCGTCCTTAACGGGACGATCACCATGCTGCTGCGCTCATGGTAGCGCACCTCACCACGGTCGAAGTCCATCTTCGCTCTGTGGCCCTCGAGGAAGGCCACGCTCAAAAGGAACTCGCTGGTGCACCCCTCGACGATGCATGCGTCGATAGTCACCACTAGGATCCAAGAAATTGGAACAAAGGGAGATCGGCAGAATGATGGATCCAGACTCCGCGACGGATCCACCAGACTGGCGGATCGGGCCCCGTACCAGATGTTAGAAATTGCAACGGAAGACACTACGAGTGCGACCGGACGTCACGAATGTGTGCCCAAGCAACGCCATGCCTCGAGACCCAAGATCCAAGAGATGCAGCTGTCAAGTGGATCGGCGATCCGATCCAATCCAGATCTGATTCTGATTCGGACTCAGATGGGACTGAACGGTGGATGTAAGGTTATGGCTCGACGGAGGCAATCTAGCGGCACGCAAGGAAGATAATCAAGCCCCATAGAGTCAGTAGATACAGATGGGATGATATGATCTATAGCAAGATAGGACTTTGGGATGGGATTGGGCTTAAGCATAAAGCAGACTCGAATTTGCCTTATCCATCGCAAGTGCCTTCGGCTTCGCCTGGAAACGGGAAGTACATAGGCCCCACGGTTTAGCAAGGTTCTGGTAGTTGATCTAGACTGGATAATACATTGGCCAGTTCTACAACCTTCCTAGTGATCTACTTGCAAGTGCAGATCCCCGATCCACCCGGAGTTACTACTTGGCCGGGTGCATCCTCGACTCTCAACATCTACGGATCCCGCTACAGGAAGCGGCAAGTACAACAAAGGAAGACCTGCAAAGGCAAAGGAAAGGAACAACAACCCAAAGGCAACCCCACGGCCGGATCCAGATCCAGGTCGCCAGATCCAGGTACAAGACCACTGGATTTGGAATACTACCGCGAGCAGAGTGAAGATTTCCGCGCTGCTCCACCCACATCCCCGCGTCTCGCCCAGACTGTTCTGATTTCAAGGCTCGGACACTTCAACAGACGCCAGAGGAGCAGATCCAGCCCTACCGACAGGTACACAAGGTGACCAGTTCATCACACAGATCACGGATCATCGGGGGCCACCCCTCCGTAAGTCGGTGTTCGGGCGCAGTTGGTAAGTTGGATTGGTAATCTCCCAGATTTTGCTGATCCCGCTACGCCACTCCATCTACTCGTACACGTTCGTCATGCTGAACGTCCACACGCCCAACACGTCCAGCAAAAAACCGCCGATACCCTCCACGTACATCACAGGGGCGTCCACCTGCTTCCGTTCACCGCGTGCCATCCATTTCGTGCCCGCCACGAAGTAGCGCGCGCCACCGTCGATCTTGACATACTGTTGCACGCCGCCCACCAACATTGCAGCTGTTGGCAGTCCGCCACTGACCTCCACACTCACACCGCTATCGTCATCATCATTCTCGGCCGCCACGGTGCCCCCGTGCTGCACCAAGTTCACACAAGCTCGCTCGCCCACTTCGTCTTCACCACCGGCAACTCGTCGCTGCCGTCGTACTTCCAGTGCGCTGCGCGCTCCTTCAGCTTGCCGCTGCCACCGCTCTTCACGCTCAGCGTCGAGCTCAGCGACAACACGCGCGACTTCGTCATCGCCACACATGCTCTTGGTCGCCTTCTCACGTGCACGCTGCACACGCTGCTGCTTCACCTCACGCTTTGACAGTCTGACGGCCATGCGCACCTTCGCCACGGTGCCGAGCTTTGCCATCGTCTCGTCCGTGAGCTCCGTGCCGAGCTCCGGGTATGCCATCTCGTCCTTGTCCGTCGTCTCCACGGCGGACATGTCGCCTTCCCCAGCCTCGACCACGTTGTTCGGCTGTTCGTCGTTCGTCAGCGCGGCGCCTTCCTCAGCTGACGGTCACCGTCTGTCACTTCGTCGCCTTCCTCAGAGGCCGACACCTCCTCGGTGTCGGCCAGAGGCTGTCCTCGTAGTCGGTGTCGCCTAGGCCACTGCAGCCGTCACCGCTGCGCACTTCGCCGTGGCGCCGTTGCCCTTGCCGCCTTCGTCATCTTCATTCGTCGTGTGCACGTACCGCAGGGCTGCCATCGCCGGCCGCACAGTGCATACATACCGCCCCGCTCGCTCTTAGTCACGAACCGCAAGATCTTCGTCCAATTGAGACAGCTCGTCTCACCACTGCCACGCTCCCGTCGTTCGGCACGTTCCTGCTGTTCACCATCTTGCTTTTGCCGTCGGTCGCCGTCACCAGCTCCGTTGGCACGTCCGTCGTGCACGCCGTATCACCGTCCATGGCTACCATCACCGGTCGCTGTGGCGTCCGTCGTATCGCCGAGCGCCGTGATCCCCCTACGTCGCCCGATCCTCGTTTTCCTGCTGCTTTCTGTCCTGCTCACGTCGAGCGAGATACTCGTCGCTGCGGGCGCGGGCTTCAGCATCTCGACACTCGCGAGCGAAGTGCCCCAGCTGATTACAGGCATAACACTTGAGTTCGCCGAATCGTCCTGGTGCCGGAGCCGCTTCGGCCGTCTTCCTTGGTGCCTCCGTCGCCTTGACTTGGCGCATCGCAGCCTTCGTCCGTCTAGCCGCGATTTTCACCTTCTTAGGAGGCGGCGGTGCACGTGGAGCATCTGCTTCCTCACCGCCGTCGCTCTCTTCGTCATAGTCCACGCCAGTCGCCACTGCCATGTTCACTTTCGCCCTGTGAGCGATCTTGGCCGTCACCATGCGCTTCGCCGTCGTCGGTGCAGCTACCGGCGAGCAAGATTAGGGATTTAGCCTATGTATAGCGAGCAGCGTAGATTGATGACGGTTTACTAAGAGGAAAGTAAGGATGAGTGAGATGGGGTTGAAGTGCTGTCGAAGCACGACGGCTTCTCTTCTCTCATTCCGGAATCAACCACAAAGAGTTCAATTGAGTTTCTTGTTATCTGCTCTGGCCAAGCAGCTACGTGTGGCTCTCCACGACCTCAACTAACTGAGCGAGAGGCTCCACGTCAACTAAACTAAGCCAACGACCTGACTGACTCTGCAAGTGCTGCCAAATCGCACTTTAGACTGCGCTCGTTGTGAGAGCTCAGCTAAAGTTGTGACACAGAACCCCGCGACGTCAAGACCAAGCAGCTCAGAGCCATGTCACCGAACGCCGCGTGGAAGAGCCTTCCTCTGACGCCGGATGCTGTTCAAAATCCTCTGACAGCGGTACCAACTACGCCCGCACCGTCAGCTCGCGCTTCTGCCTTCACTACAACTCCCTCCGCTCGCGGGTGATATCACTTCGTACCTCATCTCGGTCGATGGCTGCGAGAGCTCGCTGGTCGTGACCGGCGACCGCTGTGATATCGACAGTTGCAGATTGTACACATACGAGCTGACAATCGCCCAGAAGTCTGCCGGGAGCAGGGACTATGGCGTGCTGTCCCTCTACAAGACGCAAGACCAAACGTCGGCGGATGCGATCAGGAACGAGGATAGCAACTTCGAAATCTTCGGGATCAAGATGCCTCCGGAGGGCCAGGGCCCCCCACTCATGACATAGGCCCCCTACCTCGAGATTCCCCCGCCCCCAGAGGGAGAACAGCCGGGCATCGTGCTCCCTCCGCTCCCAGCGGGGGCTGTCATCGTTCCGGGACATCCAGATCTCTCGGGCCTCCCGGGCAGCCCAGTTCTCTCCCCCCAAGCCCCCGTGCAGAGCAATGCATATGTTCCGGTCCCCGTCCCAAACTACCCTGTGATCACTCCGAAAGAGGTCTCTGCTGGTGGCGACCAGCCCCCGAGCGGCGGGGAAGACGACGGTGAGCCGGGCGTCTTGAGCGAGACGTCCAATGGACGAGCGAAGAAGACCCCGATACCCCGATGGACGATGAAGAATCCGACATGTATACCCCAACTTTTGGGTCCTCCGGCGAAGCGATAGTGTATCCGCAATTGATCTGGGACGGACCCTGGCGACCATATCCATATTCCGTCGCTAATGCTGCTGGTGGGGGGCTAACGATCACATTGGATCACCTACTCGGTGTGAGTTCTAATTGTAACTGCAAGTTGCCATTGTATCACCCAAATAGTACCACGCGTACTATCACGACCTATGTGCTTCGCTGGAGAGCCTATGATATTTTGTACACGTTTTAGTGTTGTAATAGAATATGATACAGTATTTTGCAAGATTTGAAACCTGTAGTTACCAATGTCGCGAATGTCGCAATTCTTTCATCAAATATTTTAGTACACGTAAGGGCTCCGATATAGCTTAGCACTTTATTAATTAGCGTTCGTAACGCGTTACTATGCATCTTGTGGAAGCTTTACGCTCCTGGGTGATATCGACTGCAATGCTGTGGTGGTGAACTTGTACGCTGTACACTGAACCTGCTAATATACCTGCTTACAACGGTAGGCATCACAGAGAACGAGCATGCTCTTTGTAGATGCTTGTAGTAAGGTGGAGCAACGATGCTCTTTGTAGTAAGATAAAGCAACCGCGAGTTTAGGTGCATGTAATGAGGTGAAGCGAGATCTTTTACAGTTAAGTAAAAGCTCGCGCATACTCCCAATACCTGAGCGTCAAGTTATAGCTACACTTGTGTATAGTGCACAGCGCGCTCTCACAGCTGCGCGGGATAGCTGCGGTCGTCGTCTCCGTACACGATGACGGTGTCAGGGCCCTGATTTACCAGGTGGAAGAGAAAATACACAGTTTACAAGCCCAGCTCGATCGTGCCGAGCGTGCTCAGCACCTCCGTATCCGGCACGATGAGCTGGAGCTTGTCCTGCACTCCTGGTGTGGACTCGCTCCCGCGGTAAACGTGATCGCGGCGCTAAAGCATTTTTTTAGAGATCCCAGCGTAAGCAGTAGCTTTTAGTCGATATATGCGCAAATTATGGATTCGGAACTATAGAGGATCTGAACGAAACTATGTTGAAGTGAATGAAACTTCTTCTGGTCAATACTTTATTCAAGTTGCTCTGAGTGTTTACTTAAATGCGAGGTTTTATATTGGGTGCTATTTACTTAAACCTGCTTTAAACCCATACTTTATGCAAGTCATTTTTGCTTACTAACCAGTTTTATACTGATGGCCTTCCGCGGAAAGTTGCTGGCTCTCAGCTTTTCGCTGAGAGAATAAAGCGCATCGGTAAATACACGATGGAAGTATCGCTGAAGCGCGATGGGGTGCCGTGGTGTGGTGCAAATTGTGAAGTGTGGTCTCAGCTTTAGATTGGACTCGCGGAAGGCGAAGTACAGTGGTGGACAAATGGCAAACTGTTTTAAACTAAGGTTTTATACTGGGATAGGAAGCAACGTTAGTGATGATATCGCAGACAAAATCGGATTATATCCATGGTACATCAAGTCAGACGATGATCCCTCTTGACATCTAACTGGTACATCTTCTTGAAACGGATACGACTCCGGTGCCGCACAGGGGTCTCCAAAAGGTTTATATGCGTGGGCAGATCGAACCGGTGTGCTACCGACGATACTGATATGAATCAGTTCAGATATTGAGCTGGATACGGATGGAAGAAGCGTAGTGAAGAGAACGCTTGAGGTCACTCGTCAATCTGCGCCGTGGAGCTCAAGCCGCCGGGAGGGCCAATCAGCGGGCAGTCCGGCGATAGAGCCGGCTGACCCAGCGGTTCGACCAATCAGATTGCACCGGTGAGCATCGAGAGCGCTCTGATTGGCCACGACTGGACAACGGCGACTCCCTTGTGGAGCCAGTCGTTCCTGGCGACCGGAGCTCCGGTGGACGGCGTGCACCTGGTCGGTGTGCTCGCATGCCACTACCGGGCAGCTCAGGGGTGACACCGCGGACCAAGCTGGATGTCTGCGCCGCTGTGTGCGGCGGCGTATTGCGGCGGTCTTTGACCGTCAGCCGGAAGGCGGGGCCCGTGGGGGGCCCACGGGAGACGTGTTGTCCTCCGCGCCGTTTGCCTGTAGAAACCAGGCCACAGGTGACGCCGTGGTCCCACCTGGAAGTTGATGCCTTACTGGCATGCGTGCGGCCCTGGTCGGTCACCGGGTCGCTGCCCGTGCATCGCGCAGCCCATCCTCAGTGCCCCAGTGACGAGCGGAGACATACTGTATGTCAACGTGGCCTGCGACACAAGGAGCTGGCCTGCGACGTGGGGGTGATACCGGCGAAATTCATGGCGCGGTGGGGCAGAAATTACAGTGTTAAGGCAGCTATACGGAGCGCCTTGGGGAATCAAAAGCGCTGCAGGGGCGCTTCACGATGGCCTGCAACATATACGGCAGCAAGGATCGCAGATCTGCTTGGACAAGTGCAGTGGAGAAGACTTCGGTCTTCGGGGGGAAGGCGACGACGATGGGGCGCAGGGACCGCGATGCTGCCCGCGGGGAAATTAGGCAGAAGTTGCATGGACTGTTTCAACTATGGGGCGGGCGGACAAGATGGGTAGGCTCGGAAGCGACAGTGGTATCTAGCTCATTAACTTACTGCTGTAGGATAAAGTGGCTTATACAAACCTCACCATTTGAAACCAAAACTCTTGAGGCGGACTGTACAATCGCACACTCGAAGTAAGCATTTACATTTTCTACAAGCTACAAACAGATCTCAACCAAGGTTCGAATTTAAAAATTTGTAAAGCACTGCCTGATAATAGAGATGTTTCGGAGCCATTCATAACCCTTACATTAAGCTAAGTTCGCACCTGGTGTGGCCCTTTTGCGCCCACCTCGCCGTGATTGTCCCCAGATTTCATCAAATCCAGGGATTTCATTCCCTACATTTCCCTCGTACCTTTTATTAAGTTCAGCCGAAAATGAGCATACCAACCAAATTTCCTAATACTACAACTCTGTAAACGTATGCAAATCAAAATCATTTAATGAAATGTGAGGGCGCACTAATGACTGAACATGGCTTTGAGGGTAATGCGAGGGTGGTGACAATCCCGAAACCTCTCTAATGTACTGTATTCCGTTTTGGCGTTCCCATACTATGTTTTCGCTAGACTCAGCTTTGCTAGTCGACGGCATAAGGTGGTGTCCGCATACGTCGGGTCCTTCTTCGCCGGCAGTGCGGCGATGATTGCCCTCTCGAGGGCTTTCCATTTAGGTTTCTCTTGCGCAAGCTGCCGAAGCTGCTCCAGGACACAGCGGGTCTCGTATCAGCTCGAGATAAGGTCTGCATCGAGCACAGTCGGTAGTATCGTGTGTGGGCGTCCCCGCCAGGCTCCGTTGGACGACGAGTCGAAGTAGGCAGCCATCTGGGTGTACGCTGGGATCTCGGGCCGGCGCAAAATGTGGCCGAACAGGCGCCATCGTGCTGCTGTGTCTCATGATAATATCTTGCATGTATTACAGTTTTAAGGCAAATATCCGGGCAGATGCTGCGGCTGCGAAGCAGGCGCAGGAGATGTAATTAATAAAATAAAAAAGGAAGGGGTTATACCAAAATCCTCCTATGCCAGCCTTCGCGGAGCCCTAGTGCTCAATCCGATCTTTATCATTCAACATTACACAGCTCTAGAAAAACGTAACACTTGGGTTACGTTTAAAGTGTAATCCTAGGTGGCTACAAATTAAATACATGGATTTTGGACCGCCAAAGACTGAAGAGAAGCAGCCGAAGAGATATCAATTAACCGCTACTGGTGGAGTTACTACATCGTATCCATTTTTAAAGCACTGACGGACGCTGGGAGGTGTGATACAGATAGCTTCAGAAGGAGGTTTTGTGATACTTCAAAATGATTTTTCACCCCTTGAAAAGACCACCTGCCAGGTTAACATGTGCAAGATTCTGGCGGCTGTTATAGAGATTGAGATTTAACTGGTGGATGATAATACTGACACCAGAAGTTGTGCGACTAAGGGAGATATCACTGAATGAATGGTTCGATTGCCGATTTAATGTCCTTCTCGATTTGGACAGATACAATGTACTGGTACTAGTCGTACTAGATAATGAAAATAAAACTAATCCACCCCACTGTGCGAAACACCACGCCGGCGTGGTATGTGAGACCAAGTTGTACATGTCGTGTGCGAAAGTTTGTTGCGTTCCTTTGGATGAACGCGCCTAAGTGCTTGGACTGCCGTAATTATCGCAGAACCCGCTCTATTATTTACGAATGTCGGGGCTGGAAATCCGGAGTAGTCTGCGGTAGTGGCCGCGAAATGCTCTTGCTGTTCTTGCCCAAACGCCAAAACTGCGAAAAATGTTAGAGTTGAGTTCAGCGAGGATATGATCTTTCGTCACTTGCTGTCCGAACGAGATATCCAAGTATTTAACTGTATCGGATGGCTTCATGCACCGTACTTCTGAGGCGAATGGGTAAATTGCTTTTCGGTTGAGGGGCACCAACGCTGATTTTCGTAGATTCACCTTTGCTCCAGAACCTTGGCAGTAGACCTCGACAAGTTCAAGTTGCTTCCTAATTCCGCGAATACAACTGGAGACCAGCGTCGAGTCGTCAACGAAATATAGTCCTGAAATTTGTGTTGATCCGGATATGCAAATACCTAAGTCTTGCAGTGCTCTTATAAGATTACCGAGAGGTTCAATGCAAAGCAGAATCAGAAGCGAGGACAGAGGGTCTCCTTGTTTCACTCCTCGGGTCGTTTCCAGCGGACGGAGTAGGAATCGATTGAGCATCAAAATTGCCAGCGGTTTGTTATACAGCAGTCGGATAATTGAGATAAAATAAATCCCAAAGCCAAGTTTTACGAGCTCTAGAAATAAATATTCCCAAATGACTCGATCGTAAGTCTTTTCAAAGTCAAGAAAAAGCGCTAGAGCGGATGAGCGGATGGGGTCATAATTCCGAAGTTTTTTTCTTTAAAATAATTAAAGATAATTTGTAAAACAATACTACATGTACTTTGAAGTATCTTAAAATAAGTTGTTTTGCGGGTGACCCATGTGTTCTTGGGAAAGCAGGTGATTAGGCTGTGGATCCAGTCTTTTATTTTATCTTCCGCACCGAAGCCTGTTGCTCTAATAATATTATGCGGTAGGCGAAGCCCAAACGCTTCAAATGTTGTGTTACCCAGCGATTTGGGTTATGAAATAACAACGAAATGCTCTAATATCTTGTTTTCGCATTCTATCTGTTAACTATTCTTTCTGTGAGGTACGATGTCAAGAATCCCAATGAGATGGTGAGGTCAACAAAGATATCACTTACCTACTTATTGCGCAGTATTTGCGGATCATGACAACAATGATGTCGTCCAGAAATATGTATTGAGTCCACGCCGACATCGCATCGGCATACATAAGATCGGTAAAACTACGGCAAGCTACTAGCCCAGGTTTTGCAAAACAGGTATTATTCAGGTCTAGAGACAGGTATTGTCCAAGGATAATTTATCCTGTTTTTTATTACCGTCATTTCAGTTTTTGCCTCACAGCCACCAATTCGAGGGGGGCCAAATCCAGCCACGTGGCATTCGACGTGCGGCGATGCTCGGCCCTGGAGACCCCAGCTCCATGGAGCGCACTCCCAAAACGGCCCATATCAAGGCGCCGATGGCCGAGCGAGCGCGGCAAGAGGAGGAGGCGCGCAGGAAGGTGGCCAGCGCGCGAACCAGATCGCAGCGATAACAGGCGCTGCAAGATGCCCGCGACTCTCGGCCCACGCCGTTCGGCCCCCATGCGACCAGAGAAGGCGCTGCATCCACTAGCGATGAACCCGACGACAACGAGGAGGAGAAGAAGGTCGTCGATGAAGAAGATGAAGAAGATGGAGAAGATGGAGAAGAAGGAGAAGATGAAGAAGATGAAGAAGATGAAGATGAAGAAAATGACGAAGAAGACGAAGATGAAGGAGATAAAAGAGATGAAAAAGAGGGCGCAAAAAAAGAAGAAATCAACGACGAAGGGCAGTCAGCGCCGGGGAAAGAAGCGCACGGTTTCTGACGTCGAAGACGAAGACCTGGTCCACGTACCTGCTTTCAAAGCTCAGCATGATTCGTGATTCGTGGGCACTGCCAGACGTCAGGTTACAGGAGTACATGGAGACGACGCGTCAGAAGATCGTCATCGCGGAGGTCATCAACGTGGCTCGCCGCAACGCATACTTGCGTAAGCAGGTCAGCTTCCGAAGGCTCCCTGACTCAGAAATCCCTCTCGTGCCCAATGAGAGGGAGCCCTATCAGCGGAAGTACATCTACAGACACGGCTGGTAGGAGCGTGAGAGGTCGACAGGGAAGAGGACGTCACACAAGCTCCGCCGCACTGAGTGTCCGTTCCAGATGCTGGCACAGTCGTCCTGCGCCGAGATGGAAAGTGGGACATCGTCATAAAGCGAGAAGGCTACAGCCATAACCACAACGTGTACTGATGTTTATACTACTTATGACTGCAGGCGTGGAACTGTCCGATGACGACGCGGTTGCGGAGATGATCCTGAACTTCAATGGAGAGTCGCCCGCTAATGTTGCTTCCGTTCACGAAGCCAACGAGGAGATACTGGTGTTATTTCGTTTACCAGTGGGCACATGCGCGATGGTAGACAACTTTCCGGAGGTTCTGCAGATGGACTGCACACATCAGACATATCAGTGAGTCCCCCAACTCGGTTATGCATATTATCCAGGTTTAAACCAGGTATTAACAATGGGTACATGTCATTTGTGAATAGATACAACTACCCGTTTTTTCACGATTGTAGCTGTGGATCAATTTGACCAAGGGCAACCGGTGCAGTACTCCCTCATCGAAACGAATGGCGATTGGCACATATCAAAGTGCCTCGACCACTTCAAGCGTGCAAATTAGCACCGGCGGTTCGTGCGGGTAGTCATCGTCGACAAGGACATGCGCGAGATCGATGTGATTCGAAAGAAATCTCCGGAGGCACGGATTCTTCTCTGCCACTTTCATGTCATCAAGTGGCTTCATGACACCATCAAGAAATCTCAGACCTATGGAGTCTACGAAGCAGAAGTTTTGACGCAGATGAAGCCCACCATCATGAACTTGACATACTCCAGAACGGAGGAAGATTATGCGCGGCGTCGGGATGCGTTCAAGAGTCTGGCCTCGCGGAATGGTCGTCTGGAGCTATGGGAGTATTCCGACAAGAACGGGAATGCGTGTCGAGAGATTTGGGTGATTGCTTACCGTGTCGATTTGCCACACTTCGGCAACCACACGAATAATCGTGTCGAGAGCCTATTTGGTAAGCTGAAACGAAAGCTGAAAGGCCATCTAACTGTGCGTGCTAGTCTGGAGGTGCTTCTGGAATATCAGCACCGAAAAGAAGAAGCATATCAGTCCAAGGTCGGGATGCCGGGTACTCTGAGAGACGCATCGTACCCGGAGGAGTTGAACGTCGCTTTGGGCATGACCACGCGGTGGGTAGCTGCTGCTCTGCAGGCGCAATTTGACATTGCTGCGAATCCCGATGTTGTCGATACCTACGTTTTCAAGGACAATGGCGCCACGATCACCGTACAAAGGGAAAAGAAAGAGTATCTTCTTGAGAAGGAAGGCTGGGTGTGCGACTGCGAGTTCTCGCACACTATGAAGCTTCCGTGCAGGCACGCAATCATCTACCGGAAAGTATGCAGAAGCACCTTCGTCACCCCATTCGCTTCAATTTTGTCCAGGTATGTCCAGGTTTTCTATGAGTATTGAGATGTTATCCAGTTATTTGGTTTTATCAATGTATTGACCAAGTATTAACCATGTTTTGTCATTGATGCGTATCAATAGGTGGTTTGGACATAATCGCATCTCGCAACAGGACTTGATGGAGGTGGAAAATCCGTTCGTTGCGAAGATCTACAAGGGGCATGCAGCTGCGAGTGCTGGCAGTTTGAGTGAAGCCGAGAAGTATCGGCGTATGCAGTAGGCGTTTGGTCGGATCAGCAGCGTGCTTGTCCGATGTGATAACACTGGTTTCGAGTCTGCGATGAAGCAGATTGACCAGTGGTGGTACGACTTACGTCAATTGCAGTTTCCGCAGGTGCGACCAGATGCAGAACTGGTCGACGACTCGGGCCCCGATCGAGATGCACTGGTGGTGGTGGCGGCAACAGTAGAAGCAGTGGAAGCCGCGGAGGCGGTGGAGGAGGTGGAGGTAGCCCAGGAACAGAGGGGACGAACGTTGGTCCTAGTACTTCTGGCGGAGAGGATACAACTCACGAAAGCGAGCCAGATGATGCTAATCCCAATACTAAGGACCAAGTATGTGGTTCCCAAGCAAATTCGACTCTGATTTATGTTAGCCTATGTCCTGCCTTCCCACCCCGTTTGGATCCTACCCTCTACTGACTCTATACTCTGTTCCATATCAACCAGTATCCAGATTTTGGATCTGTACCAAGATCTGGGTACCCATCTCTACCAGATTTAGCTATACAGATATAGGATCCGATGGCACACATTACCTGACCGAATGCCGCTGGCGATGTCCCTGAAAATCTTCGATCCACTTCACCACAGCTGAGCCAAGACGTGAAAGGTATCGTAGCTGACCCCCCCCCTAGGCTGTCACTTCGCAAAGTTCTCGAGTACTGGCCATACACACCGCTACTTGCATTTGGCTTCGACCTGACCTACGCAGACCTTTTCTGCTTCAGAGACTCCGCTTGGCTGAACGACAACGCCTTGCGGGCGTTTAGCGTGTTTATGTCTACTTACGAGAACATCGTGACGGTGATGGTTCCTCCTCTCAAGACGGGTAAGATGGGAAAGCACATACTCACGCCAACTTCACTGGACGAGGTTGCTAGTGGTATTGAGGCGCATGCTTTTGTGTTTATGCTGGTCAATTTTGGTGGGGTTCATTGGGGGATGCATCGTAGTGGACCGTGAAGCGCGGCAAGTGAGGACGTATGACAGCATGGGTGGGAAGAGAAACAAGAAGCGACTTAAGAAGATGGCTAGCGATCTCCGTGCAGGTCCCCTGAAGGAAGAAGCTTACAGCAACATCGAGGTGACGGAGCCGAAGCAGACAGATAGCGATAGCTGCGGGGTGTTTGCGTGCCGTCTATTGTGGACGTGCATTGACAGCGAAGTACCTTTCATCAAGTACTACGCACATGAGTTTTCCAGGTTTTCCACCTGAACATTACCTGTTCTGGTAATTTAACCATCCTTGTTTAAATTACTTTCATATGATAACGCTCATAACTCATATACCTGGATATAACCTGGATATAACCTGGGCATCACCTGGACAATACCTGCAGAATCAGAAATCTGAGTATTTTCTAACCTGGGAAACCTGGGCGCGTAGGCTGTCCTCAAAACTATCACGTACCCGTACCTCCATAAAGTGGTAAATTTCTTCACAGAAACACGAAAACACCTGCGTTGGTTGTAGTTTGTGCAGTAAAGGAGCTCCCGAATATTTGAACTGCACAAGCATCAGAAGCAGCAAATTCATCTACGACACCTTTTTGTAGATATTAAGTATTATTAAAAAATACTGTCGCATTTTAACAACGAGAGGCAAACGAGTTGTAGAGGGCAGGCGTCTCGGCGGAGTGCGAGGCGGCAGACGTGACGTCGGCAGCTGACGGCGTTGAAGTCACCGCCAGCGTGGAACGAGAATCCGGTCGGCCGTGTGGTCGACAGGATCTGCTGCACGGGATCCCCGAGGACCTCGAGACCTCCGGGCTCTGCGAGCCCCACGACATAGCTCACTTTGGAAATCGGCGTCTAGCGAACAAGCTGCACGGCTTTTGGTTTGGACGGCTGGTGAACAGGCCGAACGAACACGTCCTCGGCGGCGAGCACTCTAGCAACGAATGGACGGAAGGTGGACGAACGGCGGTGGACGCTAACGGCGACCTCGGTGGACGGCTACAGCGGCGTGTACGGCAACGGAGTGACGGTCTAGGAGGCACGTGGCTTCCAAGTGTCTCGACGGCTGCGACGAGTAGGGTAGGCGCGTGTGAGCGTACATCCGAGTGGCTATAGCAGGCGTACGAGCGGCACTCAAGTTGTACACGTAAAGTATCGTGTATTGTAGTTAGTCGGTGGCTTGCATCGTACTAGTTCATCTAAATAAAATAGGTGTGCTGCCAGTCGGGCACGCACCGGCGCAGTATCTTACGCTTGGACACTGACAGCCAGACGGACTTCGGACTGCATCAGCACAGTCGCGACCAAACCCCAAACGTGTGGGGCTCATAACACGTTGCATGGTGGTCATACAGGGGCCTAGTGTACGTATTCGACGCAGCCCTCGACTTACGAAGACGCCTGAAGAAGCTCGGATGGCTCGGACGAAGGTCGTCATGCAACCCTCGACCCGTGCGACGAGGAATCAGCCGGTGACGACTCAGCCTCAGACGTCTGATCCCGCACCCGCTGGAGGATCGGACCTGGTGCACCAAGAAGACCAGGAAGACGGCGAGGACGAAGAGACGAAGGAGAACGAACCGGACGACGCCGACAACCCAAGGGAGGAACGAGACGACCACGACACTGAAGACGCGCCACCCGACGAAGCAGCAGCCAGCGGCAACGGCGACGGCGCAGCGATGGCTCCAGTAGCAGCGCTGACCGCTGCCCTGCAGCAGATGGCAACCACGATGGCGAGGATCGACGCGAGCCCGGACCAGCTGAGCGCCACGGCTCCCAACCCCGCGCCATCCCCTGTACCCGCACACACCGACACGCAGACGGTGGCGGTGGAGCAGACGCAGCAGCCGGTAACCACGACGAACCCGCCGACGCAGCAGGCACCGCCACCAGCTGCACCACGGAACGCTCCGCTAGCTGCCACGGATAGGAAGGTGGTCTACCAGCCACGTGACGGCGATGACGACGAAGATGACAGCGACGACGACGATAACGAGTCCTCGAGTAGCTCCGATGACGACGACGACTCCGATGGTGGCCGAAATGGAGGTGGACGTCGTGCACGGCGCCAGCCTATCACGAGACCGAACGACCGCGACTTCCATCGCAACCGACGACGTGCTATCCGCGACCTGGACCTGCCGACGTTCCTGCCGACGCCGCAGACATCTGTGACGACCTGGATCGCGCGCGTGGACATGGCATGGGAAGGCGCACGGCTGTCAGGACGAGGTGAATGGACGGATCAAGAACTCTATTACAACTTAGGCAACAAGCTACAGGACAGCGCTACCCGCTGGTGGGTCCAGCTGGACCGGAAGCTACGCGATCGAACCTGGACGAAGTTAAAGTCGTCAGTGCTGGACGCTGCGGTGAGCGTCCAGACAAGGCGATGGCCGAGTGGCGTATCGGCCAACGATGAAGGATGCCTGGTGAGACGTATGCGGACTTCGCTGCTGCTCTCCGCGACCTGTGTGACAACAACCGCATCCGAGAACGTGTGCTGCTTGCACAGTTCTACCGCAGCCTGGATAGGACAACGCGACCCCTCGTGTAGCAGCGACAGAAGCCCGAGACGCTGGAGGAAGCTGTTGACAAAGCAACGGAAGTTAACGACCCAATTGACAATGTGGCGCAAGGTATGGAAAACATCGGCCAGGCGTTTGTCACCGCACCTGACACGTACGTGGTGCCGGCGAACGGATCGACTGGGCACATGGCGCTGATTCCGGGCGTTGGCAGTACGGACGTGGCGGAGGAAGAGAAGCTGGCCTGCCTCACGATCTCGCGAGGTGTGTACAACAAGTACCTCGGCCTGTGGGAGGCGCCAAAGGGACGCGTCTGGAACGGACACATGTGGGCGCCCGTGCCACGGAAACGCTCTGGATACGTGCCTCTGCATCTGCCATGGGTTGTATGTATCGAAGTTGATTTCCTTGACGATTCACATGTGCCGTAATCTTGCTTTGAACCCATTACATGCCTTCCCACAAGAGATGGTTTCGCTACGGGGCTCGAGCCGTAGCCTTCGAGGCTTTCCGTTTGTCTGAGGTCCAGAACGTATTGCAGGTTTCCAATGGGCTCCCACGTAAGCTCTGATTGCCCCAGCCACTTGACGTGGTATTCCTTACTTCCGCTGCGCCGTCCATAACCCACAAAATCCTCAACCAGCTCACCGTCAGTCCCATCAGGAAGTAGAACCTAAAACATTGTCTGGTCTGGGCGTTCGCTCTGCGCATAGGGCTTAAGCATCGACGTGTGGAAGACAGGATGGAATTTCACTCGCGTAGGTAGCTCCAAACGGTAGTAATCGTGTCCGATCTGTTCCGCCACTGCGTATGGCCCAATCTATCTCGGCCCTAATTTCTTTTTCGTAGTGCCTGCGTGAAATGCATCCAAGGTGGTCGTCGACAATAACACGCGGTCTCCAACTTCAAGCTTCTGAACAGGTCGATTTTTATCGTAGTAATTGCTCATTCGGTCCTGCGAAGCCTGCAGAACTCGTCGTGCCTTCGCTAAAACGTCCCTTCGATGCTCCACAAATTCTTCTCCAAGTTTCTGAGCAGCACGTACAGCAAATAATGTGCTAACTTCCAGTGGCTGCAATGACGCTGGCGTCGCTAGCGGGTACCCCAAATCTGCCTCAAACGGAGTCATGCTGATAGAGGCCTGGTGTCGCGCATTGTACGCAAACTCAGCCACGGCTAGCAGCTCATCCCAATCATTGATGTTGCTGTTGCTGAAGGCCCGTGGATAGTTTTCAATTGTCTGGTTAACTCGCTCAGTTACTCCATTCGCCTGTTGCCGGAAGGCGGTTGCCAGTTTCTGCCGGGTACCAAGCATCTCACATAGATTTGTCCAGACTGCCGATGTAAACTTTGAATCTCGATCTGATAAAACCTCCTCAGGCAGCCCATGCAGCATAAACACTCGATCTCGATACAATTTGGCTGTTTCAAGTGCGGTTGCAACAGTCGTAGTAGCCACAAAATGAGCGCGCTTTGTCAGGCGATCTATCAGGACCATAATCGAAGCCATCCTTTGTCTGGTAGCGCAACAATAAAGTCCATCGCGAGATGCGTCCACCTTGCTGTGGGAATTCGATGCGAGCGCAGAAGCCCAGGTGTCTTCGTGTTCCGATTCTTAGTGCGTTGGCATTCTTCGCATGATTGCACATAGCTGCGGACGGATCGCTCCATGTACCTCCAATAATACTGCTTTTCAAGTAGCCGTAGCGTTCGCTCCACGCCTGGGTGTCCCTAACATTTTCCATCATGGAACTCGTACAGAACACCCTCAAGAATCTCTTGAATATTCGGCAAAACAAGCCGCGGGTGCTCGTCACTTGGCGCGTGATAGAAGGTACGCTTCTTCGCCATGCTGTACCTCTCCAAGTGTCTTACTTGAAGCTTGCTACGCTCCCCAACTCCGCTCAGATGCTGCTGTAATGAAGCGGTGAAGGGATCTTCACTATACCGCGCCACACCTTACTAGCCAAATCACTTTTCATGCGCTGTTTCACTTGTTGTCGAGTCGTAATAGCGGCAAGTGTCACTGGTTGCTCTATCATAAAGTCTGGTCGCCGCGATATACCATCCGCTACAGTGTTATCTTTTCCTGGGATGTATTGGAATTTGATCGGATACGCGCTTAATTCGTCATACCACCGAGCTACTCGACGCGAAATTGTTTTCTGAGTGAACAGAGTCTCCAGCGAGCGGTGATCCGTCTCCACGATGAAGGGTTTATCCAGCAGGTAAATGCGCCACAATCGGAGACCAAACAGAATCGCCAGGAGTTCCTTTTCGCGCATAGAATAATTCTTCTCAGCCGCTTTTTTTGTATTTACGTCCACCAAAAGTTACGGGTTGTTCTCTTCTTTCATCTCCCTCGCCCTCCTCTTGAAAGAGGACTCCACCAACTGCGAAATCACTCGCGTCCATTCTTAAATGAAAAGGACGATCAAAGTCGGGGATCGCTAGAACGGGAGTCGCACCAATCATCTTCTTGAGAGAGTCAAAATGGCCACGTAGACTTGCTGACCACTCGAGCTGCTGTTTACCGTGCCCTTTTAAAGGGTCAAACAAGGGATCAGCATCGCTAGCAAAGTCCTTGCAAAATCTTTGTAAGTACACGGTTGTGCCCAAAAACGACTGCAGTTCGCTTCGGGAACGGGGTAGTGGCCAATCTCGCAGAACTTTCACTTTCGCGGGGTCGATTCGTACTCCATTTCTGCCCACATAGTCTCCTAAACATGGTATTTCGTCCACCCAAAAAACACACTTGCTCAATTTCACGAAGAAGCGGTGCTCTTCCAGACGAGTCAACACACGATCTAGTGCTTCCAAGTGCTTCTCCAAACTTGGTGACTTCGTGTAGACATAAATGTCATCAAAGTAAGACTTGCAGATCTCGCTTAAATCGGACAACATGCGGCGAACGCCAGCATTAAAGGTCGCAGGTGCATTGGAGAGTCCCATAGGCAGCACGAGATATTCATACGCGCCGTCCGGCGCTTGAAACGCCGTAAAAGGCACATCGGATTCACGTACTCGGAACTGGTAATAGCCACTGAGGAAATCCATACACGAAAACCAGTATGCTCCTTGCATTTTGTCAATGATCTTATCCTTTCTTGGCATTGGCAAGGTTCGGTGAATCGTATGCGTGTTGAGGGAACGGTAGTCGTGCACAATACGCCACCCAACCGGCTTTTTACGCAGAAGGTAGGCGCACCGTGCGGTGACGTCGATGGTCGAATTAGTCCAGCAGCCAGCATTTCGGCTACCCAGTTCATGGTCACCTTCTCTTGAGCTGGGGAGAGTCTCCATTGTCGTCGAAAAAGCGCTTCTTGTGTGTCGACTTCAATTTCATGTTCTCCGTATTCACGAGGACGAGGGCAACTTCTGCAGAAAGACTACTTTGTGTTTGCGCAACACAGAATAGGCCGGATGATCCCGATAGGATTCAATATCAACAGGTTGTTGAGATTCATCGCCACTTTCTTTTTCTGTCATTGGTCGTATCACGATAATGCAATCGATGTGTCGGGGTTTCTTCAGAATACGTCGGAACTGTTTACCACTGATGTACTTGGTTGTTCCACTCTGAACGGAATAATAACCACAAGTAAACAGGTCACCGCTCTTCTTTGGCGGCGGAGCCGATACTGGATGTCGTTCTCCACCCACCAGCTCCGCCGGTCGCTTCGGCTTGTGAGGCATCTTCACTTTGAGCTTTTGTCGTCGTTTCTTCTTTTTTTCTCAAGGACTCGGTGTTTGCCTCGTCCGACTGCACTCGCGGCCTCACGCGTTCCTCCACCCAATCAATGTCGGGGTTTTTTGTTTTCAGCCACGGCATTCCTAGTAGTATATCTTGTTCTTCAGGAACATCAATCACAAGGATGTCGTTCTCATACGGCTTAAACTCGTCCATGTAAGGTGTTAGCCTAACGGTCTTAGTCGGAACAGTCAGCGTCTGCTTCGCGGCTAAGGTGATTTCCAAATGCTTGTGGTGATCCACAGCCCACAATCTATTCGTTGTGCAAAAATTCAGGGCTGACGCCGTCCATGCTGGCTCCACTATCGATAACATTGGAATTCAAAATACAAATGTCCTGTGAAGGACAGTGTACTGTGTTCCTGGTATGCAGCAAGCAGAAGAGCTCACGATCCTTCGTACTTGTTTCTTCAATTTTCACGTTTTCTCCGTCCTCCACTATTTTTTCTGGGTTGTTCACTTTTTCTTCGTCCTCATGCAATACTTTTATGGGTTGTTCATCATTTTTTCATCATGCAGCTTCAATTCACGAAATGTAGACATTCACTTGGTTGAGCAACTCATCGTTATGCCCACCAGAGTGCTCGAACTCCGGTGGACGGGCTAGTTTGACGGGTCAGTAGCCGCTGACGAATGGGGTTGTTCATCTCCGACTGCGAGCGTCTCCAGTAGCGCGTAGATCTGCTGATGTAGCTGCTGCTTTCTTTGTAATTGGCAGGGTTTCTTGTCGGGGTGCTTCACCCAGCACTCTTCCTCTCGATGCATGCCTCACAGAGTAGCGGCTGGTTTGTTCGCATGAGTCTGATGTGACTGATTATTACCCGATAACTTATTACCCTGGGTCGGCTTCGGGCTTGCTCCGCTCCGATACGACTTTGTGGCAGGTCTCCGGCCCTTTTTGCCAGACGAATTCTCACCATGCTGATTTCCTGGCGCTTTCTCCTGCACATCCCATTCCAAGAAGCATTCGCAGACTGCGATTCATTTGTCAATTCATTCAGTCTGACAACACGTTGCATGCCACGGAACTTTGAAACGTAACCTGGGTAAGCTCCAGTCTGTCGCATCGTCAGAAGTTGGTTCCTCACTTTATCATCAAAGTTCGGTTCTCGAAATCACGCTTCATCGCCTCTTCCGCGGCACTCCACAATTTCACGCTGTAGTCGTCCGTCATATAACGTTCATACCACACCAGCGCATTCTTGCGAACACATTGGTTAAGTTCGCGGATCAGTAGGTTGTTGTGTTGCTGGAGATCGTTGAGCTGCACCCCGGCCTTGCACAGCCCGAAACTTCGTCTTGCGCAGCTCGAAGTAGATTGCAAAGTGAGAAACATATATTGGGGCTTAGCAGCTAGCTACGATGTCTCCCATCCTTCCAGCGCCTCCTAGCTCTTACCTTTGACAAGTCTGCCCTCCCGGATGTCGCCCAGCCTGCTGCAACTTGTTGTAGCTCTTGTTGCTGGAAAGTCTGCTCTCGTGGATGTCGCCTAGCCTGCTGTAACTCCTTGTTGCCATGCATGGAGACGTATCACGCCTCCGGGTGGGTGCCACTTGCACCCGTAGCCTGTCCTCGCTGCCTTCGCTGTGTAATGGGCCTACTTTGGCTCACTACTTTAGCTTACACGTGCGCACACGTGTGTGAGGAAGCGTAGCGTAGTTTAAACTAGAGTTAATTATACTCGGGACTCCGAGTATAGATTAATCTAAATAAACGATCCAAATAATGTTTTGGGTTATAATGAGAACTGCTATTCTTGTTTTATGTTTCTGACTTCCTCTAAATGTAATATTCTAAAATAGGAATCTGCCAACGGCTGGTTGGCAGAATTCCAATGCTATGCATGTCGCTCATTGGCTAAGAGATGCTGCTCTCAGCCAATAGGAATCCTAAGTCTCTATGGACCACCCGTCGTGGTGGTCGTAAATGTATGTAGCCTTTGGTGTGTCTACACCAAGGTCGAGAAAGTCTTTCGAACCTCTAACAGACGTCGTGTCTGTTAGAGTTACAAGTGACTGTAGCCACTTGTGCGTGTAACCCTGTTACACCATCCCCCCCTCAAGGTTAGACGCGCCGAGTCACGGCACGTCAATCAGGAAATTGACCATTCGTCAATTCTTCACGTTGGGAGAAAGAAAACTCGAGCTTATTCCGCAATGAGCTTGCCTCAGAAGAATACCGACACTGCAGCAGAGGGGAAGTCCTCCGCCGGGATAGAGACTCTCTCTATCCCCGAGTACCGCGAGCGTCTCAAAGCAAAGCGTGACGCTCTTGCTACCAAGGCTGCGGCGGGGACAACTTAACCAGAGATTGCCCTCGAAGGTTCTGCTGCAGTCGACGACGCCGTTGACTTCGACGACGACGTGGAGATGGAAGAGGGCGAGGCCTCTTCTAGCAAGCGCAAGGAGTCTATCGACAGCGATAGTCTCGACCCGCATGCCGGGTCGAGACGCCCTCGTGAAGGAGACGACTCGGACGCTTCGAGCTCGAAGCGTTCGCGCGGCGAGAGCGACACTCCGCTCTCTGCTGCTGGGGCTTTAAGCTCCCCACGTGATGTGGTGACTTCAAGTTCTCCGCGCGCTGCTCAGGCAGCGCGCGATCCGTGGATGCCGTCTGCGTCAGAGATCGCTGACCGCGTGGGCAACACTGTGCCTCCAAACGAAATTCCGCTGTACGTATGCAGCGGTATCCGCGACGATGCTGTTGCGGAGGCGCAGCACTTTGATCCGTTAACGAATCAAAGGCGCGATTATTACATCGGGCTCTTCCACGAGCTCTGGTACTTCTCCAGCAAGAAGACCTCTTCTCGCAGCAAAGTGCCTGAGTGGCAGGCACTTTGTCAAAGTTGGAACGCTTTTGTTGAGAACTTCAACAAGAAGCCGGCTGCTTACCGCGAGCGGGTTAAGCATGCCCGTAAACGCTTCGAGACATTCTCGACGCGCGGGAGGCTGGAGCAGCTCCACAGATCCTCTGTGGACGCTGGTATTCCATGCGCTGTGCCCGAAGGCAATCAGTGCACGTTGTGTCTTCCGGGTGCGGTGCGCTTGAGCGACCGCGACCTAAACGGGTACACGACGATTCGTATACCTGAGAGTCTCAAGGATCTCCGTGCCAAGTTCTTGGCACGCGAGGAACGCGACGATCGTGGGGCTTCGGGCGCTGTAGGTGACCACAGCGCTCGCACTACCTTCGCGTCGGCAGTGCGTGGTGAGCTTCGTACGCCCTCACCATTTCCGGAATGTCCTGCAACAGGACGTCCTGCGGCTCCCATGTATCTTGGTGGGGCGGAAACCCTCTCCAACGAATACGATAACGAACCGGCTGACGGTTCGTTTTCGGGATACTATGGTTCACAATACGCTCAACAATCCAGCGTGTTGAGCCGTGGGCGTCGCGGATCGGAGGCGGCGGTGGTGGGAACACGCCCCGGGTATGGTCAACCTGGGGTTGACCTTGGCCCGACGCTCGAGGAGCGGGTCGCTGCTGTGGAGCAGCTTCAGAGCCGTGAGTGCGCCGCTCTGAAGCAGGAGATGGCGACCCTGAGAGCTCAAGTTGCTCAGGCCTCGCAGACCGCGTCGGACATCTCTGTCGACGTGGGAGGTCGCGTCGCACGCTTGGCCCAGCGCGTTCACGCGCTGGAGCAGAGGTTCGCTTCCGCTGGGGCTTCCGCTTCGGGCCAGCCGAGCTAGGTGGCTCGTGCTGCCGGTATGGCTTCAGCCGCCCGACGTAAAAGGTCGGATGGAGGCGCATGCTAGATGGAATATCTAGCGTGTAGGCGTTGCCATGCCGTGCCAACACCGTGAACGGCCCGATGAAGCGCGGAGCGAGCTTGCTCGCCCCGAAGTCGGAAACTGCATGTTTAGGCAGGTTTTGAGTAGCTATCAAAACCAATGAACCCTTCTCGAATTCATTTGTGTTGCCCCTGCCAACGTTGTCTGCGTTCATCTTCTGTCGATCAACAGAAGCTGCTGTAGCGTCTTGGACAAACCGAATGACGGCTTGTCTGCGCTGCACGAAGTTGATTGCGTCCGAGCTGAACTCGTTCAGCTCGTTTCTAGCAGTAGGCCCGGCCTCTGCGTTCGTCTTCGCGGTGTCTGTGCCCTGCACAGACCCGTTCTTCTTCTTTTTCTTGCTCTTGTCGGCGTCTGTGCCCGGCACAGACGCGTGCTGCTTGTTCTTCTTGCGCGTAGTCGCGGCTGACACTGTGCAAGTGCCAGCGGCATTCTGCGGCTGCTGCGTTGCAGTCATAGATCCTCCCCCACTTAAGGAAGGAGTCACCATCCCGAGTAGACTCGGGAGGCGTGGGTGCATCTCCGGAAGCTGCTTGCGCTCATGCGCAAGCACAAGCTCTATGCGAACCTGAAGAAGTGCATCTTCGGGGCGAGCGAGATACCCGTGCTCGGGTGTCTCGTTGGGAAGAACGGTGTCGGCCCTGAGAAGGTCAGAGTGATCAATGAGTGGCCGACGCCGACGAACGTCAAGGAACTGCGGCAGTTCCTTGGCTTGGCCACGTACTTGTGCAAGTACGTGAAGGACTACGCGGGCATGATACGCTCGCTATCACAGCTCCTGAAGAAGGACGTCGAGTGGATTTGGACAGCTGAGAGTCAGCAGGCCTTCGATGCAGTCAAGCAGGGCTTGACTGAGGCGCCGATCTTGGCGGTGGCCGACCAAGATCGCCCGTTCCACGTTGTGTGTGACGCATCCGACTTCGCAATCGGATGTGCGTTGATGCAGCACGATCACGAGGGTCGTTATCGGAAAATCTGGAATTCTTCTAGGCATACCAGCTAAACCTAAAGACGGAATCGAACCGTCATTAAAGGATTTGCGGTAATATTAAAGGTATGGCTTTAAACTGAGACAAGAGTTGGTAAGGTTCTGCGCGTATTATCGAATTAAACCACATGCTCCACCGCTTGTGTAGACTCCCGTCAATTCCTTTGAATTTCAATCTTGCGATTATACTTTTCAGGCGGAGTGCTTAACACGTTGGCTGTTATATCTAAAAATTCTAAATATTAGCACTCATCGTTAGGTTTAATGTTATTAATATCTTCAAATCATTTTATAATATTTTCTGAATAATATTTAAAATGATGTAATTTTTTTGCTGATATTAGAATTGT